TCACCTCTCAACAAATTGCAAGTCATTCAACCGCATAAAGCTCTACTCCGGTGATAACTACCAACGTTTCAAATATTGACGACTCAAAGATTGTGGATCAAAGTCTGTTCTGCGAGGAAGATCAAAACTTCAAAGGCACTTTCATGTCACCTACTCATTGGCCAATTTCAAGTCATTCAACTACATTAAACTCTGCTCTGGTGATGACTATTAATGCTTCAAATATAGAAGACCAACTTGCAGCATTGACCAAAATTGTTGAAGGGATGTCTCAACACATGCAACAATAAGACGCCCTCATTGAAAAACTTCTCATAAAGCTGGACAAGCCTGAAGAATCCAGTCATGCCATCGAAAAGCAACTATCTTTTCCAACTGCCCAAAATAAAGCAGAAACATCCGCGGAGCAACGTCATGACAAAGAAAAAGTGGCGGAACCAAATCCATTTCAAGGATTATCCAACTCCTTCGTCCATGTATCCCAACTTGACAAATACATCAAGGGGGCACTCAAAAGAGAATTCGAAGAAAGTTCAAGGCCGGCGCACACTTACACTAAGCCTTACACTACAAGGATTGATGCCCTGAAAATGCCAACGGGCTATCAACCACCAAAGTTTCAACAATTTGACGGCAAAGGCAACCCAAAGCAACATATAACGTACTTTGTCGAGACATGCAACGATGTTGGAACATATGGAGACCTCCTAGTCAAAAAATTTGTGCGGTCACTAAACGGAAACGCCTTCGATTGGTACATTGACTTAGAGGTTGGTTCCATCGACAATTGGGAACAACTAAAGCACGAGTTCTTGAATCGGTTTTACAGCACAAGAAGAACCATCAGCATGACCGAACTCACCAACAACCGCCAATGGAAAGATGAGCCAGTAATTGACTACACCAACCGCTGGAGAAGTCTAAGCCTCAACTGCAAAGACCGTCTATCCGAGGCTTCCGGCATAGAAATGTGCATTTAAGGGATGCAATGGGAATTGAAATACATCATACAAGGGATCCGACCCTATACTTTTGAAGAACTCGCCACTCGCGCTCACGATATGGAATTGAGCATGATGTCTAGTGGAATGTATGGACCGCGTACTGAAGATTTCTCAGATGACGAGAAATACAACACTTCAAACAGTGGGGGCAATCATACTTACAACACTCCTGGAAACGAGGATAAACTTTCTTCACACTCTTGGAAACGAGGATAAATTTTCTTCACCCTCTTAGAAACGAGGATAAACTTTCTTCACACTCCTGGAAACGAGGATAAACTTTCTTCACACTCCTGTAAACAAGGATAAAATTTCTTCAATCTCTTGGGAAACAAGACTCCTTAACACGAGAATAAACAGTTTAACAAAAACAAACAAATTCAATTTATTTTGAACTACGTTATGACTTGATTCCTTCACCGGATACGTAGGCAACTTGGAATATAACTCCAAGTTCAGTCAATTATGCAAAAATAAAATAAAAAAAAGTCCAAAAAAAATTGGGCTTAAAAAAAAATCAATTGGACAAAAAAAATCTCGTCCAAAAAAAAAACCCTTTGAAAGAAATATTGGCTAAAAAAAATCAAAAAAAATGATAGCCATAAAAAAAGTCCGTCAAAAAATAAATTGACTTATGTTTCGAGACTCATTCACGCCTTAAACGCTTTGCGTTGGCGTAAAAGAATCTCGAGGGGGCATTTTGTAGACACTAAAAATATATGTGTAAAATCAATTAAATATCATGTATTTTGGAAAAAAATAAAATTCCAATAAAATAAATATATGATATTTACTTATGCACATATGTTAATTTTTGTACAATAAATATCAACCATTAATGCAAAAATCTTCTTAAAATGGAAGATATCGTACAAATATTACGTGCATAAATAGAGTCATAATAAATTTGACAGCAAAATAAAGTAATCTTGTCAATAAATGAAGTATATAAATTAATATATTCCAAAAAATGATAATGATATAAAGATCTTGGCGAGAAAGGAATGTGCACAATCAAATCCGTCAAGAATGGAAAAGAGAATCTAATGGAAAAAAGAAAGATTATAAAATCTTCCTATTGGCCAATCAAAACGGCCCACGTGACACCATTAAAAAAGGAAGCCGAAGGCACCTATCCCTTATAAATAGGAGCCATAACCAGTTCATTTGAAACACCGAAGTTTCATCGACGATTCAAGCAAATGGGTAAGTCTCTAAACTCTCTTTGTATTGTTCTTTGTGTCCTTCGAAGCTTTTTTCATCGAAAGTCACTAATTTGGACAAATGATCCAATATTGGTTGACGAATCGATGAAGTTAACGTTCTTCGTTGTATGTCCAAGCCGGAGGAAGGATCAAAGCTCTCAAAGCCGTTGAGGAATTCGTCAAAGCCAAGGGAAGGTCTTCAAAGTTCCTCTCAAAGCTTCAAGATGTTCATCGCGTTCTTCAACAAAGCATCAACTAGGCCCTCTTTGATCCAAAAGTCAAAGAGACACGTCGCCAAAAGTGTTATGGAGCACCAAATCCACCTCTTCAAGGATCAAAGCTCCAAAAGCCATTGAAGTGTCCATCAAAGCCAAGGAAGAACATCCAAAGTTCATCCTAAAGCTTCGAGGTGTTCATCGCGTTCTTCACCAAAGCATCTACTCGGTCCTCTTCGATCCAAAAGTCAAAGGGACATGCCATCAAAAGCGTTATGGAGCACAAAATCCACCTTCTCAAAGATCAAAGCTGCAAATCGTTTAAAGAGGACATCAAATCCAAAGCTTATGATCAAATCACCTGCACGGAGACCAAAGTCCTCCAAAAGCGGCAAAGCCAAACCAAAGATCAAAGCCACGGATCATCCAAAGAAGACATCAAATCCAAAGCCAACGATCAAATCATCCGCACGGAGACCGAAGCTCTCCAAAAGGTGGAAAAGACAAACCAAAGATCAAAGTTGTGGACCGTCTAAAGAAGACATCAAATCCAAAGCCGATGATCAAATCGTCCACCTGGAGACCGAAGCTCTCCAAAAGGCGGAAAAGACAAACCAAAGATCAAAGTCGCAGATCGTCCAAAGAAGACACCAAATCCAAAGCAGATGATCAAATCGCCCATACGGAGACCAAAGCTCTCCAAAATACAGCAAAGTCAAACCAAATATCAAAGCCGCGGATCATCCAAAGAAAACATCAAATCCAAAGCCGATGATCAAATCGCTCACACGGAGATCGAAGCTCTCCAAAAGGCGGAAAAGGCAAACCAAAAATCAAAGCTGCAGATCGTCTAAAGAGGACATAAATCCAAAGCCGATGATCAAATCGCCTACACGGAGACCAAAACACTCCAAAAGGCGGCCAAGTCAAATCAAATATCAAAGTCTCGGATCGTCCAAAAAAAACATCAAATCTAAAGTTGACGATCAAATTGCCTGCACGGAGACCAAAACCCTCAAAAGTCCGGCAGAATCAAACCGAAGACCAAATATCTTCAGATCAAAGGGGCCATAGAAAACCAAGTTGGAAAACAAATCGATCTGAAAGGAGAATCAAATGATCCATTTAAAGAATATGATCCGTTTTAATTTCAAATCAAATATAATTTGTACAAATTTTATATTTATTAAAAATAATACAAATTTTTTTCCAGAATTACTTTGAATCCAAACCTACTCACAAACCCCAACATTGGCGGTGTGGTATTTTATATTTTATTTAGGATTTTTTGCATTCTAATTTAAATTTCAATGTTATTTTAATATAATGTTTTATTAGAAAAGACAGTTTGTTTCTATAAGAAATTACAAGAATTGAATAATAGAAAAAAAAAAAAAGTATGATTAAATGTAAAATGAACAAACTCTGGAATTTGATTATATTTTTTGTTTGTATTTTGCTTTTATGGACTATGAAAAATTACTTCTTCGGACCGGAAAATACAACAACAACGATGGGGACGACCAACATTATTATTATTATTATTTATTTATTTATTTAAAAGAAGGAGAAAAATGGTTGGGTATAATTTTATTATTATTATTTATTTAAAAGAAGGAGAAAAATGGTTGGGTATAATTTCACATCCATACAGCATGGCATATAGTATAGGAATAGGATATGATATGAATACAATTCCAGAGAAGTCGAGACTGTGCAAACACATGGCCAGTGGACCATACAACAGTAGCATATGGAATATTCAACACATGCAATATTTGTTCTTGTCTCAAATCATCCTTAATTCCACTACCATCAATCCAACTTCATTTCTTCCACAAATTCAATTTATATATATAAACATATACAATGAGAATGAAATTCATGAATTTATTAATTAAAATTATTGGAGTAATTCTAATATCAGAAAACTTTGTCTCTCTGCAACGATAAGGTATGGTCATTACATATTCAGTGGCCTGACAAAATTTCAAAGATAGATCTGAGTACAAAAAATAATGTTTGTAATTATGATTATGACTGCGATTATTATTCTATTTTATACATAGAAGAAGGATAAATTGATTCTCTGGGCCCACACTGCGTGTGGTTCTCCTGCAACTTCTACGGAACATTAGACCTACCTGTTTAAACAGTGTATAATAAATAATACTTAGTATATATATATATATATATATTACACTTAATATTCATTTTCATTATTTTTAAATAATAATACTATATTTGTGTTTTACTGTCTATAATTAACCATGAAGATTTTAATTAGAAAACTAGCGTTGACTATAGATCAAATGCCACGTCAGCGGGGGCTGTATACGTATCCGACAAGTTGCCGACCGTAGAGTATGGGGACGCTTTATCTACCACATCGTACAGTAGATAGACGGCCCGGATGCGTTCCGCGCACCACGGCGCAAGTTAGCTATTCCCAATTATATCTTCAAACGAATTTACTAAATCACCCATGCCGCCGCAGAATATATTCCAAACTCTAATTGGGCAAAATAGTAACTCTACAACAGAGAATCCGATATAAATCCTCGTGGCTCCTCTTCTATCAAATTTTAGCAGAGATTGACCATTCAAGTAAATTACCAAATTATCCTCGCCGGCGTTGTACTGCTTCTCCGGTAACCGAATTCCGGTAACGTCCATAGCCGAGCAGTCACAGAGCTTGATCGGTTTCGCGGCGGAGACGAAATTGAGAGTCAACCAACGGAGCTGGGAAAAGTAGTGCTGCGCATGATGGGATTTTGCGTCTTCCCGTTGGAAACTCCGGCGAGACTGCTTTGGTGCTCCAGCTTCTTCCGCCACAAGCTAATGCTGTTTTAAGTATAGGTTTTGGCTCTCTGAACGAAACTCTGCACGTTAGCACCATATTATATATGCGAAGAGTATTGTAATAGAGTTGGGCGCCTTAATTATCTATATACATACACATATATACGCCTGGTGGATTGGGAGTGCTCGCCGGGGATCTGAGTGAAGGAGATATGCAATCCGGTCGGATTTTCTTCGATCCTTCTTGCCGCAGCAACATGCTGTTTCTCGGGAATGGAGACTCCGTTTCTCGAGGTATACTAGGCTTTCATTAAACACCGTGGTCCGTACAAACTCGCAATTTTTGGTACATGGAATTCAATTCGTGAAGTAATTACTTCTTCATTGAATATATTATTTCTGGGAACATGTTGGATATGGAAGATCTAGTAGAGCTAGTTTTCTCATATATATATATACTCCTATAAAATATTCTGGCCTTGTGAACTATATCTATGTGTGGTGCTACTGATTAATTAGGGGCGAGATCGGTGGTGAACATGGAGGAACCGTCTAAGAAGCGACCATTTTTCCGATCACCGGAAGAGCTGTATGACGAGGAATATTTTGACGAGCTGCAGCTGCCGGAGAAGAAACGCCGCCTCACTGCGGAACAGGTCTCGACTCTTCCAAAATTAATTACTCATATTAATTAATCTCCCCAAGAGATCTTCTGTAGATCATGCATGGCATAAGCTGTAAGGTGTAAGGTATATATATTGTGCATGAGTTGCAGTTGCAGTTGCTGGAGAAGAGCTTTGAAGCGGAGAACAAGCTGGAGCCGGAGCGGAAGAGTGAGCTGGCCAAGGAGCTGGGGCTGCAGCCGAGGCAGGTGGCTGTGTGGTTCCAGAACCGGCGCGCCCGCTGGAAGACCAAGCAGCTCGAGAGGGACTATGATCATCTCAGATCCTCCTATGACTCTCTTGCCTCTAACTACGACTCCATTCTCAAGGAAAACCATCACCTCAAAGCTGAGGTACATCCAATCCAATTCAATTCATTCCTTCATTTATCTTCTAATTAATTTATTAATATCAATCATCAAAATGTAAGTGCTCACTCTTCTAATTAATTAATTAATTAGATCAACAATGTTGGTGTGTGCGATTTCGTCACCCACACATCCCAGCCCAGGTGATGATAGGCCCTACCCTATCCTACCCATGGTATAAGATTCGTCCTTACCGCTATCCTCCATCAGATTCAAATATAGTATCTGTCCTAAACCCCACCATAATATATATATATATATATTATATCTTCGTTCTTAATTAGAATTTTGCAATTGCACGCGATCCATTTTATGAGTGCACGTTTCCATTAATCACATACAACTTGAAAAGTGTAAGTATCTTTTCTTAGATTGATTGAATTAATTAGCTACTACTGAATTAATTAATGCGTGAAACTGCAGCTACGCTCGTTGACCGAGAAGCTGCAACCGAAAATGGAAGCGGGTCTGAACCCCAGTGATGCAGCAGTTGCGCCGCCGCAACTGAAGGTGGAGGACCGCCTCAGCAGCGGCAGCAATTACAGCAGCGCGGTGGTGGATCATGAGGAGAGCCCGCAGGTAGATCTCGACAGCGGCGACTCTTACTTCCCGGACGATGACGGATACGACGACGGCCGGAGGTTCTTCCCGGATGTGTTCGAGGAGCAAGATCAGGCCATTGGCTGGTGTATCTGGTCCTGAATTGATTTCCAATTGTACTACAAATTAAGGTCTACACCACACCACACCACAGCACTACTTTGGTCCATAGAGTAATAATGAATTAATTAATTACTGTATGAATGATAGCCACTGCTACTCTTAATTATATTCTTAGTTAATTAATGAATGTGTGTCATGTCATGTCGCTGCTGCTGTATTACGTCTATACGAAACCCGCTGCTGCAATAAAATATAACGAGTGCTTGTACGTACGTACCTCAGTGCTATATATATATATATATATATATATGAATATGATACGACGACTTTTAAAAACTCGCACGATCGTGCTGTGCTACATCCCATGCAAGAATGATTATTTTAAGACGCAGTAAATTATGAAACGGAAGATGATGATACCATGTATATATTTTTTTAAAATTTTAAAAGATACCGCAAAATTTTTCTATAAATATATAAACATTCACACTTTTCTATGTGTAATAGTTCTTATATAATTATCTATATGTTGATGGAATAACACTCATTAGAAAGTCGATCGAGACACACAATGATATGATCTGTTTTACTTATTTAACATGAGAAGTTGTTGAGATGGGGTTCAGACCACACAATTAATGCTTGAGTTATTATAAGTATACCATTAGTATTTATATATATAGAAATATTAATGAATCAACGTCAAGAGCCATCAGAATGGCACTATCGGCAGTAAAGAAATAAAAAAAGAATACACGACGCACACATATATATCATTTGATTTGATGTGTTTATATATATATATAGATTCCATGCCTTTAATTTGACGCCTTCCATTCCCATCTCAAGAGTTGAGCTGGCAAATTTTAAGCAATCGGACACCAAAATTCAATTGACGGAACAAAACAAAACAAAACAAAATACGACAAAATAAGTGCATGGAGTTGAAAGGACTACGTGTGGTTTTCAATCTCCTCTCAAAATACATGCACGTCACTTTGCAACAATATCATCTCTGTTTCTCTACATATTCTCTAAACGATCATATGACATATACAAAGTCATGAAAAAAAATATATTCATTTGATTGGGTACCAACTTTAAAAATAATAAAATAAAAACACTACCAGAAAATTAGGCTATAGCTGCGGTAAAAAAAGTCACGGTTTTAGTATAAATTGGTGACTTTTTACTAAAAAGTCACGAAAAAATATACGGAACTATTTCCGTTAAATTTTGCTGGTGATTTTTTTTAAGTGGTGACATTTTTGTGACAATAAGTTATAGAATAATATCATGACATGTCCGTGACTTTATATAGCAACAGAAGCTGCAACAAAATTTCATTAATATTTTATAATTGTGACATTTTCGTGACAATAAGTTACAAAATAATATCATTACACCTCTGTGACTTTATATTAACAAAAGCTGTAACAATTCCGTGATTTTATATTTTTGAAAAAAAAAATTATATTATAATTTGTGTTCAATGCAACCACACACGATTATTTTTTTCGGAATTACTTCGTACCACACTATTTTTCGAAGGGTTTCGAACTAGTGACCTTATAGTTATTAAAGACTTACACGACCTGTCATTCCAACTTAGCTATCTACTCTAAAGTATTATTTTTTGTTTGTTATTATATTTTAACTATATAAATATTATTGATTATAAATTTATCTTTTAAAAATATATACATATTTATTTAATATATCATCATGAATTTTTAACAAAAAAATTGAATAGCTACGAACAATATTGAATAAAGATATTGAAGATGATTTTATTATTTTGTTATTACTTTTAATAGCTACAAACAATAATAAGAAAAATTTATAGTTATTTGCGTTACTTATTTTGTGAAATTTGATTTTAAAAAGTCACAAAAATTATACTATGACAATATCTGTAATAATTTAAAATGTTGGAAATATTTTGGTTATTTTTGCCGCAACTTAAAATAGTCAAGAAAAAATTTCGTGACAATTTTTGTGACGAAATAATCAAAAGACATGGAATAGAAATATCTTGGACATTTTCGTTACACAAGTCGTTACTTTAAATAGTCACAGAAAGTTGTTTGTAGCTTTTTCAACAAATATTATTTACGGAATAGTCAAAACAAAAAGTTGTGACATAAATTTGTCATGAAATTACTTTCCTGACTTTTAGTTGTCACAGATTAAAATTTGCGACAAATTTCCGCAATTATCAACCTTTTTTCTAGCAGTGAAAATAGAAAGTTTTTTTAGGTAAAAAAAATTTTTATAAAAAAAATTATAGATTTATTACTTTAAAAAAAAATAAATTAAATGACAATAAAAAAAAATAAAAATTGAATGACAGAAAAAACATATTGGATCAGTTTACATTAAAGGTGTTAGTGTATATATAAATCCAACGTTAATTTTGGATATGGGAAGTTGAGGCATGCTCAAAGTAGTGGAGGGTACTGCTAATGCAAATTAGAGACAAATGAAATAGTATATATATATATATATATATCCATGTGGTGGTTTGTATCCCCACCACAATTGTAATAATCATGATATCTTTTTTCCACTTTTTATTCTACCAATAGTTAAATATATATATATATATTATTGAGTCAGAGAAGCATATTTGATTTTGATGTCACATAATGGGCAGCCCAAATTTATTACTATAAGCCCATAAACGATACATTTCTCTTAGCCCAATTAATTTCTACTACACAGGTCAATAATCAGAATAGAGATGTCGTAGTACCACGTGCATTCATTGCTATACCTGCGGAAGGGAATTGGATTTGAAAACGACGCCGTAATGCTCCGTCCTTGCTTCTGCTTACTGCTTAGTACTACTGTAAATAATTAAATATTAGTCTGTAATAGTGAGATCTTAGTACTAAACTAGTACCAATGAACACCCAATGATTAATTCAAATGGTGGTGAAACACCGATGTACATAGATATTGATGCTTACGTCATCTGTCACACGCTTGACTTTGTGGAGAATACCTAGGGGCATAAATGGAATTCCACACCCTCGTGCCAGTCGTTACCGTCCCTGCCGGCCACAAAACCCGCCGTCTGTCTTTACTGCACCCGCCGGTTACATATGCGTTTTCTTCTTCTTATTTATTTATTTTTAAATCATATATACAGCGAGAGAGAGAGAGAGAGAGAGAGAGAGTTGATCTACTGGCGCATTTGGCCCTTTCACAAGCTTCGGTTCGCAAATCGCAATAAATATTTCCACCATTATCCCGTTGCTGCTGCTTCTGCGTTTTTGAGGTAATTTCTCTTCTCTCACTACGCATTTAAGTTGTTAGACGAAATTTGGTGAGAATGAACTTGAATCTGCGTATGCTAATCGATTTTATTGACGGCTTGGAAGTTGAAGGACAATAAATTGAAGAGATCTTGCCTGTATTCTTCTTCAGTTCATCTATATGATCGATTGGATTCTTCTTTTGTTGCATTTTCTCTGATTTCACTTTTTGGTGGTGTTTAACCCTCAGCACTAGATCGCTAACCGGATTTTCTGGGAATGGATTTCGTAATGCCGCTGAGTTTTTAGGTTGCAGATTTGATTGGCTTGCGCTTGTTCTTACTTTTTTATTTCCTTGTTTTTATATTTTTTAATTTGAATTTGAGTGATCCATTATTGTTTTGATCTGTGACGGGAGGAAGATTTGAGATTTAATAACTTTTATTTAATTTTTACTTTTGGTTAGTTTTGAACTATGGATTGTAAATTAATTTTTTTTTTTCTACCAATGTGTATTTGCTGCTCTGTTAGTTCTGTTTAATTTGGTACCGACATAGAAAATTCAAAATGATTAAGATGTTGAAGTTGAAGCAATTGAAGGTCTGTTTTTTTGGTCGAATGATGCATTAGTTTCTATTTTTTATTACAAGATATTTAGCTAAAAGAGTTTGTGTTTCCTGGACTTATAAGAATGATGTAATTTTAAGTAAAATATATGGTTTTTATTGCCTTTTTGTGGAAGCATGGAATCGGGTGTAATGGCTGGGAAAGTGTGCATAATATAGAAATAGTATACATGATGTGCATACCTTTTAGTATATGATCACTAACTAAAGTGATATTTTAAAATTCAAACAAAACTGCATTTTCTAGGTTGTAGTTTCTTCAACTAGAGGATACTCAATACTGGTGCAAGATGGGGGTGCACCTATGATTGTGTGTTCATCGAACTATGATTTCTCTTGTTCTATTGTACAACATTCCGTCTCTTATTAATTCCAATATTTATCCATAAGTATTCTTGAAATTGGATGATAAAGCTGCTTGCATTCACTCACTCAAGTTAAATATTGTTCACCACATTGGCTCTTGTATTGCTTCTTCATTCCATGGATGATTGGTCTACAGAATGATCATTTACATGATGAATTGAATGCAAATTTTAGCTCCTTTATTGGCAGAAAAGGTTTTTAATCATTCATCTGGAGCTATTTATGCTACAAGAAACTTCTGCCGGAGGAGCTCTGGCTGCCTGTCCCTTGGCTTTTGTGTGAATAGGGAAATAAATATTCGATTTTGTGAATCAATCTGAGTATTTTGCTACTTATCATTCTTATTTCAGGTCCCTTTATTTCAATTATGTCGGATGTAGCTCTCAGAGATGTCAGTAAAGTGCCCGAGCCTGAGAGATTGAACGGAATTCCCAATATTGGAAACATGATGAAACCTTCTGCAGAAGCCATTAATGAGAACACTGGAGAAAAACAAAGAAAAACTATGGACTCTTTGGTTGACATTTCTATTGAGAAAAATGGGACAAAGGATTCTGGACCAGAGGTGGCAAATTCAGAAGTAGAGTACATCGACTCAAAGGATTTGAAGGATGTGGAAGATGTTGAGGATTGCTTAAAGGTAAGACCTTTCAGTTTCTTCTAAATCTCTTGATAACAAACTCGTGTGGTGGTGTATAATGCCGGATGTGAATTCAGGGTTCTGCAATGCATCTATTCTTATTGACATCCTTGAGGATTAGTCAGTCACTTAAATCTTATAATCCTTTCATTCATCTCTTGCATTCTTGTCTGTAGAAACTTTTGTCAGAACTAGGCTCCAAAGACTGGGTTTCAGTGTGTGAAGCACTCAACAATGTTCGTAGATTGTCTATTTTTCATGAGGAATCCACTGCTGGCATGTTGTAAGTACCCTGCATTTTTTGGTCTTTGGTATGCCTAGAACTAGTGAAACTCCAATTCAGTGACTTCTAATCCTAACAAAACAGGGGCGACATAATCTCCTTGGTGGTGAAATCATTGAAGAATCCAAGAAGTGCTGTTTGTAAAACAGCAATCATGGCTTCTGTTGACATTTTCAAAGTCTACAACGATGGTATCATAGATTCAGTGGATCCACTGGTAACATTATTTTTCTTGCCTGGTGATTTATTGGCATTTTTAGTTTCGAGAAACGGTTGCGCCTACTCATTTTCAAACTAATTCCCATCCATGATGTTGTCCTTGTTTAGCTCGTACAACTTCTGCTGAAATCTTCACAAGACAAGAGATTCGTATGTGAGGCTGCTGATAATGCTCTAATAGCCCTCACCAGCTCAGTTTCCCCTCTCTTACTGTTGCCCAAATTGCAACCTTATGTCAAGAACAGGAATCCTAGAATTCGGGCTAAGGCATCTATGTGCATATCTCGAAGTGTACAACGAATGGCAAGCTCCAAATGCTTTATTTCCAGTTTAGTGCTTAACCCAACAAGTTCTTTATACTGTTTTTACAAGTAAGGTTAATCTCTTATAGGGACCTGATGAAATTAAAGCTTTTGGAATCGACCAACTGGTACAAGTTGGTGCATCCCAGTTGAGCGACCAGCTGCCCGGGTCGAGGGATGCTGCTCGTACCCTGTTACTGGACTTGCAATCCATATATGAAAAACTGCATACTGATTCATCTGATGGGCATCCCGCCGAGTCCTGGGAAGAGTTCTGCCAATCAAAGCTTTCGCCTTTGAGTGCTCAAGCTGTTCTTCGGGTGAGCAATAATGCCCGGGAGGGACTTGTTTCAGGTTCTTAGCATAAGCACTACATATGGGACTTGGTGAGTGTTATTCTTTCATCATCTGGAGTTGGATCCACAATTTTTACACATGTACATATCAACTGGTAAAAGTTTGCTATGGTGTTGGGCAAGGTGACTGAGTTTGAGTAATTGAGGTATAGATCAATTCGACTGTGAATGAAAAAGGAATGAATGGCTCTTTGCTTTTAGATATGTATTGCGTTTTTGTTTCATCTCAGTCTTGACTTCACAATAATCCATGAAGAAGATTTATGGTGGTATATGTTTGCATTATTTGTACTTGGCATGAAATATATGTGGTTGTGTGCTTGAGCTCGAGCAAGTTGCCTACAAATGAATGCCACCACAATTTGATATGCAATAAACGTAACATATTATTTTATTTTATTTATTTGTACTCTTCCCTTAAATTCTAAACCGTAAACATAACATCAAGAATATCTACATCAACAACCATTTCAAAGAAAAATCGTTCACCCCTTTTCAAAGTCAGAGTCTTGAAGCGACTAAGAAAGGACCCCGACAAATTGAGGGTGTGTTTGATTAAAATAAATTTAAAATAGTGTTTAAGTATTTTAAAATTTTATATGTCAAAAAATATATATTTATAAAAAAATGAGAGTTTAAAATAAAAAATTATTTGAGATGAAAATTTATAGTCCAAACTAAAGCTGAAAAAACAACTAACCAATAGGATTTGTTTTATCATGATTTCAATACAAAATTATTACTATTTCACTATTTTCAATCAATATACATATAGTTATAAATATCATGTCAAAACATTATTTAGATAAAAAATTCAAACACAAATCAAAACCACACAAATTCTATAATATTTTTTCATCTCAAACAATAGACCATGAAAAATGTGAGGAACAAATATTGAGTGGCCATCACGAGTTTTGGACATGAATACGTAACTTCTCCCAAGTTCAAATACTCTCTTTATAGTGTTGATTCAATTTCTCACTTTATGATTGTGGCGACAAATTTACGTCACCTCCTCGCTACCTTGAATAGATGCCAATCTTGAAAAGGTTGCCCTAACGTTCTCCAAAATAATACAACTATACTTACAAATATCTTTATACAAAATATTTTATTTGCATATAATTAAATTTATGTGCGATTTATTTATAAAAAATATTTTTATTCAAAAGACCTCGCAATATCTCCTTAGTCGTGACTATATTAAGGGGCAACCTTCTAGATTTTTGGGAAGTAAAGAGGAAAATTACGGTATGATCCTCCCGGCTTAATTATGATTATGATTATGATTATGATTATGATTATGATTTAACCCTTCTTCTCCTTGTCGCGTTTTTCTTTTATTTTGTGGCTTCACACTTATTTCATGTCTTTATCTGCATCTTCAAGTGCGTACCTATGCACCCCTTTCCAAAAATTACTCAAAATTGCATCTCATATTCCATTGAATTCAATAGTAATAAAATAGCTACCATCACTCCAAATGGAATCTCATATTCCACTTGTCAACTCCACACCCTCCTTCACGTTATAGTCTTCGTTCAAGTACATTGATTCCGTCATGCCAGGCCGGGGCCATGCCCACGACTTCATAAATTTTGAGGTCTTTGGGTACTTTTTTTTACAATATATATATATATATAATATTATAATATATATGTACTATTAAAATTTATTTATTTGTTAATTTAAATAATATTCTAATATAAAATAATATATTTATATTAAATTAAATAATAAAAGAAATGGCTTTAAAGCAAAACTAAAGACCCAAAATAAATTAATTAAATTAAATTAAAATTCTAAATTTATACTCCCTCCCTCCCGTAACAAAGTATTCATTTTTTTCATTTTAGTCCGTCTCATAACAAAGTATTCATTTTTTTCATTTTAGTCCGTCTCATAACAAAGTATTCATTTTTTTCATTTTAGTCCGTCTCATAACAAAGTATTCATTTTTTTTTAATAATTGTATTACCTACCTAACATTACAAATACCCTTACAACTTACTTACTATATATTACACTATATTACTTACAACTTACTTACTATATATTACACTATATTACTCAGATATTATTATCTTAATATCACACAAATACTAATAAGATTATTTTAATCGTTTTTCCTTTATTCCTAGTTACAATCCAATATAATATTAATATTTCTAAAACTCGTGCAAAAAGCAAATGTGTACATAATTAAATCAAATTCCTAAGTGTAATTATTAAAAAAACTCTTTTATTTCTATTTTTTTCAATAAATAAATATTTAAATTTATATTTAGAATTTTCTATTTTTATTTATTTATTTATATTATTGAAAATTTTGTTTTTAAAAAATAATATAAATATTATATATTTTATTGAAATACAATTATTAAAATATTTAAGAAATATTTTATTTCTTTTAACTATATAGATGTAATTTTAATTTTAAATTTACAATAAAAGAATAATATTATAATACTTTCTCCGTTCTAATTCAAAGTATTTTTTTTATCAATTTTTTTCATCTCATTTCAAAATATTTTTTTTAATCAAAAGAATCATATATTTAAATTATAAATATACCATTATACATACATTTGACAAAAATATCAAAATTTCTTATATACAGCTAACTAATAAAATACTAAAATAAAGGAAATATATTATTATTAACTTTCTAAATTCTATTAACATTAAATACGGTACGACGACCAAAACGTAAACCTGCTCGGAGTATATATAAACCGAGCCAACCATTATTGCCCTTCTTCTAATATCAGTATGACTATTATATAACCGGTGATGATGACATTCACATTTCGCCACCGCATCGCATTTAGTTGTCCTCCCTCAAGAAGACAATCCGCACACGTATTTTCAAAGAATGACTATAAGACCAAAGTCTTAAAACAACTCCTTTTAAAATGTGAATTCAACCGCGATGCATTCGATTCAACAATAATTATGTAGGTGTAATTGTAATTAGTCATTAATTTTCCTATACAGCATTCCAACCATCATTACCATTGAATGCAATTAAAGAGTATTAGTTGGACAACAGAGCAGGCAGCTACTTTTCAAATAAGCTCTTAAATAAATTTGGGTCGAACCTAATCCTCCATATTTATTTTATATAAGCAGTGACGTGATACAAAATTCAAAAACCCATGAAAAAACAGAGCTGAAGATTCTACCCATCTACCCCTATTTATTCAAAGATGGTCGGAAGGCAAGGCAGCAAGAAACTCAGAGATAGAATGGATGGTTCTACCGATAATTCTAAGCCACACATAGTTCTGTTTCCTTTCATGTCGAAAGGCCACACCATCCCAATTCTCCACCTCGCCTGCCTGCTACACCAGCGCGGCGTACGCATCACCATCTTCACTACCCCGGCAAATCGCCCCTTCATTTCTCACTTTCTTTCCGGCCTTGATACCAATCATGTTTCCATTGTCGACCTCCCATTCCCTGATAACTTACCAGGCATTCCACCGGGTGTCGAAAGCACTGACAGGCTACCATCCATGTCTCTATTCATTCCCTTTGTTAACGGCCTAAAGCAGATGCAACCCATGTTCGAGAAGGAACTTGAGACTATTTGTTCCATCACCTGCTGCATCATATCAGATGGCTTCCTCCCCTGGACCCTACAATCAGCGTTGCGGTTCGGCATCCCTCGGCTTAGCTACATGGGAATGAACTACTACACCTCTGCAGTCTGCCACGACGCAGCTGCAAATGGCTTGTTCACACTACACGAGTCTGATGATGAGCCCTTCACGCTCACTCAATTCCCCTGGATCAAGCTTTCAAGGAACGACTTCGACCATCCTTTTGATAAACAAGATCCAAGAGGTCCGCATCTAGATTTCATCGTTGAGTCAATGGAAGCTATGGATCGAAGCCAGGGCATGCTGATGAACAGCTTCGACGAACTCGAGGAAATGTACGCGGACTACTTGAACCGCAACACTCAAGTTAAATATTGGAGCATTGGACCCCTCTGCCTGGCAAAGCCACCAAGAGCAGAGCTTCCACCAAGCCACCGATCGAAATGGATGCAGTGGCTCGACAAGAAGGGAAACCAGGGTTACCCGGTCCTCTATGCTGCCTTTGGGTCTCAAGCTAGAGTACCGCTGGAACAATTGAGAGAAATAGTGATTGGCTTGGAAGACTCTAATGTAAGCTACTTGTGGGTAGTGAAGAAGAGTGAATTAGAGCAAAATGGCGCCTTGGTAGACAGGGTCAGCGAAAGAGGTATCCTAGTAAACGAATGGGTTGATCAAAGGGAGATTCTTGAACATCCTGCAGTGCAGGGGTTCTTGAGCCACTGTGGGTGGAACTCAGTTTTGGAAGGAATTTGTGCAGAGGTACCCATCCTGGCATGGCCAAAGATGGCCGAACAATACCTAAATACGAAGGTGGTTGTAGAGGAGATTCAAATTGGTTTAAGGGTCAATACGGTTGACAAGTCTCCAAAAGGATTTGTTACTGGGAAGAGCTTGAAGGAAACAGTGAGAGAGCTGATGGAGGGAGAAAAGGCGAATGAACTGAGGAAGAGGGTGAAGGAGGTAGCTGCAGCTGCAAGGAAAGCTATGGCAGAAGGTGGATCTTCATGGCATAGTTTGAACAAACTCGTAGCTGAGTTACAAGAGCAAAAGGAAAACAGAGCTTCTAAGCTCAACCAATAGGGGAAGATATTCGTTATTCTTCCCAGAAACTATTTATTGTAGCACTAGCAAAAAGAAATATGCCAACATATTTATTGAATGAGATACTTATGAGAAAAGTTTCCATCCTACATCGACGAAGTAAACTCCATCAACTGTAGAAGATCAGTCGAATATGGTGGTCCTTCAGCTAACTATGCGATTTTTGTGCAAAAGCAGCAGGGAGAGAGAGAGAGAGAGAGAGAGAGAGAGAGAGAGAGAGAGAGAGAGAGAGAGAGAGAGAGAGAGAGAGAGCTCTCCCTGTAATCAATCAACAACACAGCGATACGCACAAATTCCTGACAAAAAAACTCGTGAAAATTGCAAATAGTGAGACCAACCCTAAGCATCACCGATTCATGACAAGTAATTACAAAATTTCACGGAAATCATACTACGAGTCTACGATGCCATGAAAATCTACTTAATTTATGAAAATTTTAATAAGTATGAGAAAGAGCGGGAGAGAAACCTGCATTCATGCTCCGGCGCTGGATATCGGACAACACCTTCGGCTTCGAGCAAATGCATCCATGGCGCTCCTGTCGAATGCCATATTTGATATTTCACATGTTTTTCTCCTTCCAGTTATGTTGGAAACTGCGAGGGAACGCGGGAATCTCGGGGAAGCAATCGATGGGCTTAGCCTCATTTATTACAGTTAGTGGGCCGTTTCGTTTGTAGCCCGATAGGTAAATTCTAAAAATCCAATTAGGGCTCTAATTACCCAATTTTTATTTTTATTTTTATTTTTTGATAACGCTAATTACCCCAAATTTTCTTGAAACCCAATAAAGCATTCCCAACGACTCTTCCCCTGCTTTAATTTTGAAAATAATTGCCACTGTTTTCGATCACTCCATCTCCTTAAGCTGTTCGAATATGACGTTTTTCTGCGATGATTAGAATACAACCAACGATATCGCCAGTAAAGAAGTTTTAACAGGAAGGTATTAAGCAATGGCAGAGAAAATATTCATTTAATCCTCTGAATTAACCTAACCCACCTCACCCCACGCGAATCTCACACATGCTTCCACAAAGTGACAAAATCAGAGGTGTTGCCTGCTGTTAAGACAAACAGATACGAAAGAGCAGTATGTTTCTGCTGCTTTAGCCTGTACTTAGGCTTAATTCTGAACTCAAAGCTCTCATCTTTACTTCTTATTTATCTAACTTAGTTCTTTGCTTTTGTCGTCTTGAACAGAGCTCCCTTCAGTTGTACTACTTCCCCACTTTCTCTCACTGCCCCTATTTCTCTCTCTCTTCTTTTCTTTCATCACCTGATGTCCTATCTCTTTCTACTCCATTTATTACCCATGGAAGAAGGTACAGTGTTAATTTAGACGAAGGGGGGACAATTTTGCGGGCACATTCTGCAGTTCGTTGAAACTCCCATTGTCTTCGCTAAGGGAAATCGGACAATGGGGAAGAAGTACTTCATTCTTGCAGTGTTCGTTGTGATTTTTCTTGCTGGATGTTCATCTGCTTCTGCATTGCCCGCCGCAAGTGAGTACAAAAGTTATACACAAAACGTCGTCGTTTTGAGGATCCCTCTGTCAAGCACTAATCTTTTACCCTTCATTGTTATATTCTGTTTCTCGAAAAAAAATTGGGACTTTTGGTACGATATGCAGAAATTGTTAGTGGTATGGTCACGAACGTCGCCTCCACTATTCTGAAGCGGCTGTGGTCGCTGAAACCAAATCCCAAAAGTGGTAAGAATAATTTCTATAAACCCGCATTCTATTGAGAATTCCTTAGATCATTCTGTGTAAATGATGTGATTTGGTGGGATTTCAGCTGTTTCCAGCCGTTCGATGATGAAATTCGAAAGTGGGTACACCGTTGAAACTGTCTTCGATGGAAGCAAGCTTGGGATTGAGCCTTACACGGTGGAGGTCTCACCAGATGGCGATGTTCTCATATTGGACTCTGAAAACAGCAACATCCACAAGATCTCCACTCCCTTTTCCAGATGTGAGTTGCTATAAACTTTTGATCTCATCCATGGTTAATTTCTTTAATTTCCAGGCCTGACGATGCATAATAGATTGCTGATGTTCTTGCTTCGAATTCCTTTCTTGGAGATGACTCATGGTATTTGATTTTGTCTTGAATTGGATTTTGGGTTTGGAGTTGCTTTTGGGCAGAAGAAGGTTCTTCTTTTTCGTGGGTTTCTGTCCATGTTTTTCTCCGGATTTGATTCTCTCTTGCTATTCTATGCTACTTTTTATCCAACAACAAATTAAACATCTCTTTATTCCTTTGTAGGCTCGTGTTGAGGCCATTTTTAGCTTTGCATCTTCATACAGGGAAAAGTTTGCTAGCTTGTGTTTCAAGTTCAAATCTTTGTGCTTTCTGCCACATTCTTATTAGATTATAGGATGCAACAAACTCTGCCTGATCAACGGCCGAGATGCACTTGCCATTGATGAACTGCAATTCATACAAACAGCTGCAGTTCTGTTTTCTTTTCTTTATAAATATGGTGAAGACGATGAGTTAAATGGGCTTCTATGTGTTCTTTTTATTGCAAAATGCCTGGCTGGATGCAGATAGTAGGCCGAAGTTGGTTGCTGGATCAGGCGACGGTTACACCGGTCATGTTGATGGGAAGCTAAGAGAAGCTCGGCTTAATCGCCCGAAAGGGCTGGCTGTGGACGACAATGGGAACGTGTACATTGCTGATACAATGAACATGGCAATCAGGAAGATCAGTGATACTGGTAAATCAAGAAAATGTGTACCATGGTTGTTTGATCTTCACTGTTCCTGCCGAGATGCTAATCTTTATGTTTCGTTTTTGGTGCAGGAGTTGTAACGATTGCTGGAGGCAAATCAGGCCGTGGCGGAGGGCATATTGACGGGCCAAGTGAGGATGCAAAGTTTTCAGACGATTTCGATGTGGTCTATGTCGGAAGTAGCTGCTCTCTTCTAGTCATCGACAGAGGGAATCAAGCGATCCGTGAGATCCAACTCCGTGAAGACGATTGCGTGCACCAGGACAACATCGGTGAGCTTCATTTGGGTACGTAAACGTAAATGTGAACTTGTTCAATCGAATTTCTTATTTCCTTCCCTTTGATTTCACTGTCATGTAGATGTACCACAAAGACTGATCTCTTATCGCAATTCCAGGAATAGCAGTGCTTGCCGCAGCTTGTTTCTTCGGTTACATGCTGGCCTTATTGCAGCGCCGTATCGCCTCTATTCTCTCTTACAACACTGTAAGTACCCGAAGCCATAGCTGTTTACAAAAAGATCAGCTCTTTTTACAGCTCTCACTGAATCGCAATTTTTCGACGTCTGCATTCCATTGTAAAGGATAATGTCAGGAACGGAGCGCCTGACCAATACCAGAGGCGGCCGCCACCGAAATCAGTCAGGCCGCCGTTGATTCCTACAGAAGAAGACTACGATAAGGAAGAAGAAGGCGTATTCAGTTCGATGGGGAAACTTCTCGTCTACACGTGTTCATCCGTAGTCGAGCTTTTCGGTGGCCTATTCACAGGTTTCAAGCGGAAGCCCATCCACCACGTGCCGCAGCAGCATCACCACCACCAGTCCCGACACGGCGGCAACACCTGGCCCGTGCAGGAAAGCTTCGTAATCCCACACGAAGACGCTCCGCCGCCAATCGACCCCAGAGAACCCACTCCAAGAAAAAACTTCGTCGACAAGTCCCGACAATTCAAGCCCAGCAGCCAATCCTATTACGGCGGATGGAGCGGCGATTACCAGCACCACCCCCACCAGCAGCCCCCGCCGCCGCCACGTCAGCTGCAGCAGCAGTACCACCATCAGAAGCACCATCCAACCAGCCCTCGGACTTACTACGAGCAGGAAAACAGCGAGACGAACGAGATTGTGTTCGGGGCCGTGCAAGAACAGGACGGGCGGCGGGAGGCCATGGTGATAAAGGCTGTCGACTACGGAGATCCGGTCTACAATAACCAGAATGTCCGGTCCAGGTCGTACAATTACATGAGCTACTCTTACGGCTACTGATAGATCGAACGTCAAAGGGAATTAAGAACTAGTTAATGTAATGTATAGAAGAAAGTACGTAGCTGCATGACTTGATTGATTTCTCCTCGATCGATCTGCACAGGATGTCTGAATATTACCCTTCTCCCTTTTCGATCTGCCTTTCTTTAATTAAATCCGTTTCAAGTTTCTAGAAAGATCGCAATGTGCCTCGCTATTGTGACATCTGCTGCAATCTCCGTGTGAATATAACATTAATTTATTTGTTGCAGCCAATCGCAGGGAATGATCCTAACCGTTGATTGGACTATAGACGGCTCTGGATCATTCCGGGCATGCATAGTGGTAGTAGGGTTCTTTGAGGGACCAAATTGAACTCCAGTTTTTGGACACAAATGATGAACGAGGGAAATTTGTCGTAACATAGTTTTAATCATATCATAAACTTATACAAATTAACAAGACACATGTACACACAAAAGGTATTCCTTAAAACTGGGAAGAAACACACAAAATAATAATGATAATAGTTCTTACAAAAATAAAAATAATAGTTCTTACAATGATGCCTCGTGAAAACGATGTGATCAATTAGATTAGAAAATAGAAGTAAAAATTGTTGACATTTTTCTTAAAATATATATATATATATATATGATTATAATATAGAAAAGAAAGAAATAAGGAAATCTAGGCATGCATGCATTGGTGCTTTATTCCTTGCAAGCAAAAGCATAATCCATTGCTCAACAAGCTACTAAAACAAGTACTCATTTCTCAATCATGTTGCCACCTATGCTATAAACAAAAGAACAAAACTACGTACGCACATCAACCTTAGACAATTAAACATTAATTCCAGCCTTGTAGGAAGAATAAATATGATGATTAGCATTATACCATATATATCAATGGTGCGATCCATAGCTGTTCGAATGGCCTTCCCCGGGGCTCGGGCCTGAATTTGTAATACTAACTTTTTCTGCCGTCGTGAATTCGTCTTGGTTAGGATGAGCATTGCTTATTGGCGCAGGCGGAGGAGACGGTGATGGCCAGTTATTGTGGGCATTGAGGATAGGTCGCCGCGCTCGAGTAGAGCCTAAGATGAAGAAAACGATCAAGAGGGACATGAGGCATTTTGTAGTATGGGAAGCCATAAATGCTTTCTCCCTAGAAAGCTTAAAGCTTAAAGCTTTGGTGTCTATATATGTGTGTATTTATAGTGTGAAGAGTTTGCTCTTTGACTTGTCCCACTAGGATTAGGTGCTCAAACTACAATTTAACAAAGCTATAACTAACATGGTTCAAGGATTTTTTATCTTAACAAATACAATTTTATTTAATTTTATGGTGTCACTTTATGTCTTCTCAGAATATTTTTCCTATATATATTTATCTACATTGATCTATTTTTTTATTTTCTAATCTTATTTAATATATTTAATCAATTATTTTGTATTTGAAATATCATACTAAACATATAAGCAAACAGATAAAACCATAGAAATAAGAAGAAAATCAACTGAATAATAAATCGATTTAATTGGACCAAAAAAGGAGGAAAATTACACTGCATAATAATATCTGTGTACATGTGAAAAGAATATAGCGTGTCATTTAAACTCGTTAAATTTGCATGAAGAAACATGCAATTAATTCATTAATGCGGGGGAAATGGTAGTTTGGTAAGTATATGACATTGATCAGTTCATATGTTGATAAAAATTATTCTACTTGTCCGATCAAAAAAAATAAAAGATTCTACTTGTTTAAAATAAATAAATAAACGTAAATAAAGAATTTTAAGGTATGAATGTATTGAGATATAAAAATAAAAATAAAAAAAATGAAACGACGTGGCGGATGATGTCAGCAGTGAGGGAATTGGAAATCCCTTGTGGTTGTCAACAGGGCAAAATGTTTATATTATTTGCCAAGAGTTTCTTCCACGCTAAGCCTGCTCTTATTAATTTAATCAATTTCCTAAGTTACGCTATTTACGTCTTATTGCCTTTGGTCTTTTTCCATATTTTTGTCATACTTCCATTAAAGGGAATAATCTTACAATTATTGAACAGAAAAAGGAGGAAATTATTATATTATTATTAAGCGTGTTCAATTTCTATATACTACAATAAAATAAATTTCTGTTTAAGAATGGTATCCAAAATGTATTAAATCTAGGCCAATAAAAAGGTTTTCTCAAAAAATTGGACGAAAACCGCCTTAAAATTGACTTTGACCTCATCCACGTGGCACATGGCGTCCTCAATCCAGGGTGCAGCTATGTTTCCGTACATTCGACCGTTACAATCTTCCCCCAGTTTACCGGTTCGCCCGACATCTCTTCCCCGCCATTTTTGGCCTTCACATCCCCAAACGACAATGGAACTGCAGAAAACTGCAAATTAGGCTTCATAGAGATCGAAGGGGGATCGAAATCAGGGTTTGCAGAGAGGCGAATCGTATCGCGATCTGCAAACCCAAAATTAGGTTTTAATTAATCGATCCCATTTCCTAATTAGGTTTCCGATGGGCAAATCCAGATCCGCAGGCGCATTGTCTCCTGTAGATGACTTCCGCCGCTCTTCCTGCCTTCCTGTAGATTTCGCGTGCTATAAATCCAGGCGTCGGTCCGCTAAACGCCAACAAGTCAGGCTCGGGGGCGCAGGAGAAGGACAGCGTCGGTGCGGGAAGATGGTTCGGGCGATGAAGAGATTGCGGGAGTGGTCGAAATCGGTTGCCGGTCCAAAGTGGAAGACGTTTATCCGGCGGTTCGGCCGGACCGGCGGCAGGGACAAGGCGTCGAGATTCCAGTACGACGCAATGAGTTATGCCCGGAACTTTGACGACGGCGCCGGCGACTCCGATCCTGACGAAATGTTCCGGGACTACGCAACTCGCTACGCGCCGGCTCATTGATTCGCTGATGGCGCGTGGACGCTCGGATTAACCTCGGGTGGGATCGAACGGCGTAGAATGATCAAGTTACGATTACTTGATTTATGGTAATACGGTTTTTGTTTTTCCTTTTTGCATAAAAGTCAAAAGGATTTGTTATTTGTATTTTGTAATTTTTCTTTAAAATATATTAATATTGTTCAGGAATTTTTTTTTTTTCTTAAAAAATTTGTATACTTACAGTTTGTTTGTTTTTAATTTTAAACACAATTCAATATTCTTTTCTCTTTTTTTTTTTTTATCATTCTAAATCATATCATAATACTATTTAAATAAAAATTTAAGCTAAAACCAAATACACTCTTATTTTTCATACAAATTTATAAATTACTTTTATCTTAAAATATAAAAATAATAAAATAAATAAATGAAAATAATATGCTTGTTCAATTTTCTTTTTGTTATTGACATGCAATATTTAGAAGGTGTACATGGGCGGCCTTCATGGCCCAATATGCACACTTCATTTTAGATCTTGTTCTGGTTTTATACACTCATCATGTCTTAGTCTTACTATAAAATACTATTATATTTAGGCTACAAAATAAATTATATATAGAAACTCAACACACAGACACAGACGCACTCCAAAACAAACAAACGGACAGTAAAATAAAATTCAATAAATGGGCAGTATCAAGAATGGAGTAACATAGGCCAATGGCAAAGTGACTGACTGACCACAATGAAGATTTGATTACAATAAATAAATGAAATAAAATAAAAGGGCTCCCATCACAAGGAAATTTTATATAGTAATAATTATTTGACGGATCCCACCACACACAAAAGAGTGTGCTCGCTCACACCATCCAAAAATGGGGTGGCCTAATGTAGGATTCCCATTAGATATGCAATTGCAAGGAAAGATGACCAGCAACTCAAACTACTTTACACTACACATTGATGAATGATGAATGAATTCATGACCAAGTCCAACCCACTAATACATACATAGCACAGGCACAGCATTGATAAACCCCAAAAACTTTTTTACACTTGATTCAACATCTTAATAAATATTGATAACCACTTTTGACTGATTCCGTGGACTAACTTTGCCATGATAAAGAAAGATCCCCTTCTAAGCCTAAGCTCTTCAATTCTTCAATGCCAATCTTAAAAGGATTATCCACAGAGAAGATGGAAGAATAGAATCAAGAAAGCATAACAAAAAAAAAAAAATCAAGAATGAAGAAATGCAAGAAAATAAACAGATGAAGAACCATTAATGCATCAAATTATACAGCTACCGTGCTGTGAACTACGGCGAAATTTTGGTCCATCAAGGCACTGAAACTCCAGGACAAAAAGAATAATGCAAGCACCATGGTATTAAATCTATTAAGCAATCGATGATTGAGGAATCAATATATCTAGTAGTAAAAGGACAGCATGAGTACTCCCATTCACAATCCTTCAGTTCGATGCATCCATGGTAAGTCCATGCTTGGCGAAGAAGGGTTCTCCCTGTGGGCATCTGCGGAAGTCGCATATTTCCCCTTTTTCGACCACAGCCATATCTTGGAAACAGAGTAGCTATCAGTCTTCATCCCTATACATATCTTCTTCCCATCTGCACTCTCATCCACTGCAGCACCATTAACAGCTCGCTCGGCTCCTTTATCAAGCTTCGGGTCGCACTTGCTCAAGGCCACCCGAAGGTCAGCATCACAAACGACATACTGATAAGAACCCATTGAGAAACATCTTCTCGCATCCAATTTACTGCTGCTGGTCTCCCCGACAGACTCTGTCTCTTCGGGGACATTCAATTTCCGAAACTTTCCAAGCCGGACGGGGAATACACCCTTTTCTGTCGTCACTTCCTCAATTTCAACCCTCTTCTGAGCTACGGAGATTCCATTGTCTCCATTATGTAGATGATACCCATCTTCTTCCCTAAAGTCATCAAAATCAAACATGGGGTTTTCGACAGAGAACCCGGGGTTAAACAAAGTGCCCCTACACAAAGGGCAAGTAGAATTCGATAGGAGCCAAGTGTCGATGCAATTGATATGAAAGGCATGACTACACATTGGAAGCAATCTCAACTGGTCAGCCTCGGAGAATTCACACAAACAAACTGCACAATCAAAGGGCTCCTTCGGACCCACGACCTCCTTATATGTAAAAACAGGCAATGCATCTATAAAATCTTGATCCAAACCAGAGTCATGTAAATGGAAGAGCTGCTGCAGCTGCCTCTGAAGGGCATCAGAGCTTGAAGGCTCTAAATTTCGATTAGACTCCGATGAAGAAGGGTTCTTGGTAAGGAATCGAACAAGCAAGTGGAGTAGACCTGATATGAAGAACAGAACTGCTAAAATCACTATAATGAAAAGAACAGCAGGGCTGACTTTTGCTCCAGATGAAGATGAGGGGGCTGGTTCTTTGTGAAAATTGCCAACACCAACATATGGAGAAGGAGGCAAAGATCCAAGAGGAGGAGGAGGTGGTGGATATGCCGCCAAGACAGCATCTTTCTGATTGATTTGATGCTGAATCAAGGACAGTTTGAGATGGCCATGGCTGCCATGGCCTTGCCTAAAAATCCATCTCTGCCCTCTCATTTCTGCTATAGGCCAAACCATTTCATCTAGCACATAAACCATGCCCAATCATTTCCACAATAATAAGCCAAATAAGCATCTTCTAAATCCTTGGTTTTCTTTTTCCTGTTTTTTTCCTTCTTACAGTAGATGGAACAACCAACCAACAAAACCAAACCAATGATTCAATCACCTGACAAATATTCCCCACAAGAACACCCACAAAATATCAAATCTTTCACTCTTCAATCGCAGCAAAATCGAAGGATACACAGCAAACAAAAGGTGTGTATGTATGTGGAGGTGAAAATAAAGTAGCAATGTCTATTTGCTTTCAGAGAGTAAATCCCAAATGAACTGACTGTTCATCAAGAAAAATGAAAAGATGACGACACCAGTAACTTTAAAGATTGGGTGTTTACCTACCTCGATATGAAGATGCAAACTTCCCCCGATAATCTATAATAAACATGAAATGGACCCAACCCCCCCTTCTTACAGCTGCAGCAAAACCCTAAAGTCACAGCTTTTGGGTTGGAATCTTACGCCCCACTTTAACACTAGTTTAATTAGAAAAAGAGGGAATTTAAATAGAAAAACCTTCGAACCCCCTCCAAACCCTCACTACGAAACAACAATATATTTTATATATACACTCACACAGATAGATACACGACGGGGGTTTGTCTCTATGTGAGTATGTATATTTATATATACGTGTATTCGCCAACCATCAACTCAAGCAATATATGCACCGAATCGTAATACAGTGAACATTGATTTTGGTAATGAAAGTGATGTCTGTATGTTTACTCTCTTCTCCACTCCAAAAAGGGCAGACACCATTAGAAGCCAAACTGAATTATGAAAGCACGACGAAATACCAACATAGCACACTTTTTATATTTTGTTTTTGAAGAAGAAAAGCTCTAAAAATTAAATAGAGCTGATGATAGATATATGGAAATTGGACAACAGACACAGTCACAGAGCAAGCAATCTTTGGATTGGATTGACGCACACGCGCTGCTTCAGCGCGTGCTTCGAACGGTCAACATTCACCGCCTCCTCGCCTTATCATGTGGTGATTAAATCTGGGCCGTAAATTAACCTTTTACGTGGTCGGTCGAGATTCGATTACCATTAGTCCAGTACTATAATTTGTTTTCTTTCCCTATAAAACCAATTATTTCCAAATTTTTAAAAATCTTAATTAATGTATTAACCTAACGATTTTGAAAACTCCTCCACTAATTCGGGAATTTTTTATTTATTTTTTTCAAATTTCAAATTTTGAAGTTTAAATTTTAATGTAATTATCGTTTTGGTTAACGCCTTGGTTCACACTTAACTCCTCTCCTTATATATAGGGTTGGAAATTCCAAGCGTAACAAAAACGGCGTCGTCTTAATCTTCAATACAAAGGCAATTTAATGAAAAGCAAAAGCATCGGTTGTGTGCAAAAAGGACAAGAAGACAATACTACAACAAAGTAGTAGGTCATTACAAAGAAATGATCCAACCCAAGCTATTTAATTGTGCCATTATTTTGTGACAAACCACAAATTGTTCAACTTCCACCATAAATACACTTGACCATATACCTCTGGCATTATTAAGGGGAGAAAAAAAGATTATCAAAAGAAAGAATAAAAAAACCATAATAATTAATGGTGTAGAAAATTGACATTTTGGAAATTTTGTTCAGCCCCACCAAATAAAACAACTGCAGCCGACTTGTCCATTTTTAAGATTGCTATTACAGCACTCGTTGGGGACATGACAACTCCCAACGGCAGGTATTACATACTAGTTGCACAATTTTCTGCTTGTCCTTATCAATATAAAATCTGCAACTTAGGATTTATTAAACTTCATATCATATTTTAGGAATATAAAATCATTGAAGAATAGGTGTAACACTATATTGACCTCAAATATAGAATTTTCCGGTGGCCTTCGCCTCCGCGACGAACGACGAAGTGATCGATAGTTCAGAGACGACGTCGACAGACAGGTCGTACTCGTCCTCGTCATTGTCCCTTATGGCGGCAATTGCAGCCGCCACTTCTTTCATGTCCGGCCTTGCTTCCGGCCGCTTGTCGACGCATTTGATGGCTACTTGTAATGCATTGACCATCCTCTCCTCGCTCACGCCTTCGCGCAACAAGCTCCGGTCAAAAACCTCCACCGTCCATTCTTCGCGAACCACGGCTAGAACCCAACTCGCGAGATCTAACCCTTCATTCAGAACTGTTCGACCTGTCAGAAGTTCAAGAAGAATTACCCCAAACGCATAGGTATCCGCCTTGAATATTGCATTGGCATCGCAGTTCTCGGCAAGCATTAGTCCATACTCGCTGATGCGTGGTTCCATTTTCGCGTCGAGCAAAATGTTGGAGGATTTAAGGTTGCCATGAGGGATGTTGTCCGAATGCAGTTCATCGTGCATGAAGGCTAAGGCATTAGCAACTGTGGCCGCAGCTGAAATCCGGCTGCTCCAGCCGAATGGCGGTTTTGTAGGATCATCTGTTTTGTAGATTGGAGGATGAGTTTTCGAATCAAATGTGCAGATTATAGTAAGTATTAAGTAGGAGTAATTACCAATTACTGTACCGTGGGAATGTATGTGTCTGAAAAGGCTTCCATTGTCCTGATATTCATAGACGAGAAGCTTCTCCTCTCTTGAGCTGTAGAATGCAATGGCTGGCAGCACGTCGCGATGCTTCACTTGACTCAGCCGCCGCATTCTCTGCCTGAAGTCGCCACTCGATATTGGCCAGTCTTTGATCCTCTTTACGGCAAGCACAACACCATTGCAGACAACCTTGTACACGCTACCATGATTACCTCTTCCAAGCAGCTCGGCCGGTGCCTTGAGCAGGTCTTCGAATCTCAGTCCATTCTCTTCCGGACTAACGAGAACAGTGAGTGATACAGAGGCCGGTCCGCTTTCAGCCGAAAAGTCCGTTTTGCTCGCGTCTCCTGCCTTCAATTCGACAGTGGAGAAACTGCTGTCGTCGACTGCAGCTACCTTGTTGTCGACTTCGGAACTTTCTTCCTTCCGAGGAATCCTTTTGCAGAAACAAAAAAGGGCAACGAGCACAACGGCTAAACCGATCAAGGCATACCCAGCAAACATGAGAATCTGATTTCTAGAAACGCCACCATTGCTTCCAGTTTTCACCGGCGCAGGATCCGAATACTTGGACACTACCATCCATGTGCAATTGCCAAGCAATGGCGCGCCACATAAACCAGGATTATGAATGAAGCTACTCATCTTGAATCGATTTGCCCCTGCCGGAATCAGCCCACTTAAATTGTTAGACGAAACATTAAACTCCGCCAATGTGGAAAAATCGGAGTAAGGGATGGGGCCAGATAGTCGATTGCTCTGTGCCCTAAACACGGTCAGGTCTCCTGGGAGCTGATCAGGCAAAGCACCAGAGAACTGGTTGTGGGATATATCAAGAACTTTGAGATTCGTCAGCTGGGAAATAGACTCCGGGACGATCCCCGAAATTTGGTTCCGTTCGATCAGCAAATGAGAGAGCAAGGAGCAGTTTGCAATATCTTCAAGGTTCTCCACCCGAATGATGTTTCCGGAAATGTTGACAACCAGAAGGGAGGCGGACAGAGACCGATCATTGCACAGAAACCTCGCATCGAGAACTCCTGAGAAGTTGAAACCACCGAGCGAGATTTCCTTCACACGACGGTGCTGGTTATCACAAGTGATGCCCTTCCACCTGCCCTGGCAGGGGTATGAGGATATATTCCAGCCGGGAACAGGATTGGGGACGCCATTGCCGTTGGAGAGTTTGGCCATGAACTCAAGCAGCCTCTTTTGAACATGTTCTTCATCGGATTTCGCTGAGATGACAAGAAAAGGTAAAATCAGGCACAACCAGATGTAAATCAGCTTCATGCTAAAAGTTGGAACCAGCAAATAAGAACAAACTCCCAAAGTTCAGGGAATCATGGCAATGGGTTTATGGCGAAGTTTGCAATGAGGACTTGTATCAGTGTAGGCAAGAAGACAAAGTCCTATAAATTCTAGTACATGCCGGCCCCTGGATGCATCAATCGACGTCACTTTCGGTTGAATGATTCATGAATTTTCTAATCCGAAAATCTGAGAAATATGACAGCTACCTGGATATAGAAACATAAGCACACAAGACAAATAACCTGAAGCCACATATAATTCTAGTACATATTTAATACTTACCAACATTCTTTTTATTGATATGGTCAAACTAAACATACAAAATAACATAAAGCACACTTACATTCTTATGTCCATCCGAGGTAAGACTCTACCTTTAGGTCGAATGCATTTCTTCCCATTCAATTAGAATCGACAAACCATTGGCCAGTAATAATATCGGCCAGGTTCTTTGCATACTACATGCTTTTGTTGTTTTACTACACTAATATAGAGAAGGGAACAATAAAACTAAGATACGGATCTCACAATGCCTAGTCCTCTATAGCTTCTAATTTTTACACACAAGTAAACAAACATTTGAAATACAATGAAGAAGTAAATGGATGACCATTGGTTTGTTGCTGCCTATGGATCAGCACGTCCAGCAACTTCATCTTCGCTGTCACTCCGACCGTCACTATAAGCTTCGCCATTGCTTGCTTCATCATCACTTTCATCTGTTACATTATTATCAACATGTTCCTTTTTTGCGTAGCGCTCACAATACTCTGTAAAAAGAGATAAGGTGTAAAAGTCTACATAAGTAACGATTTGATTTTGAATGTCAATTGTACATAGAAGGGAAATCAAGTCACCTCGAACTTTTTGGTCATATTGAGCCTTATCCTTCATCATAAGTGATGCGGCATCACCATTCAGCGGGTCAGATGCATTTGGATAGAGTAGAAGTTGAGGGAGGAAAACTTCAAACACGTTTAATAGATCTGCAAGTAAATATACCCTCGTCAAAGCAGTGCTGGACAGGGCTATACATCCGTGTTTAATCACATTTAAAGTCATCTAACTCATCTCCAAACAAAGGGAATGATTATATAAATAATTGTGACACTGTTCTTGCATATTCAATATGACACAAAATGAAAAAGTAGCTCTGTCTTTGACATAATGTTTTCCTTATATGATGTGAACAATGTCTGCAAGATTCTTACCAAACATCGGACTCCATGACTGGTTAATGACATCCAGGCATACAGAACCAGACCTACAATCCACGGACATAATTTGATAAGCAAGAATGATATTACTGCACGGGAAGTATACACAGAAAATTTATCTAAGGGAATTTGAATCCAGTTTCTAGTCACTGATGGCAGTTGCCTGTGGAACTTACAGCTCATCAACATTCGGGTGGAATATCTTGTTGATAAAACCAATGGAGGGAGACTTGTACGGATATGCATCCGGAAGTTCAACACGGACTTTCCAAACTCCACCTTCGTAAGGACCTGCAAAAAATGAATCTCTAGAAAATGTATAACAGGAACATCGTGCTATTGCAGTTTAAAAGTAATCGAGCAGAAGGATACAGTAGGATTGCCTCAAAGAGCATTGATAGACGTGAATATCTAGAAAATGTATAACAGGTCCACTTAGACAGGAACAATTGATGTTATTCATGAACATATATGTATTAAACGCAAGTGCAGCAGAATAAGTTACTTCACATACAATAGAGAGAGGCAACAGAGAAAGCTTCGATAACATTACTTTCTTTTGGACCGTGAAATTCGACGTTGAACTCATTGATGCCGTCGTTTATCGTCTCCACAGTGTAGTCGCTCATCATTCTACAAACATGAAAATTAAAGTGAGAATCCACTCAGTCTCTAAACAATTATGCAGACAAATTAGCAAATATGCTTACAGTTTCATCACGTCCATGTCTCGCCTCTTGCTGGGAGAAGACATTTCTGAGAAAGAGAAAACCTAGAGATGTTCAAAGTAATTGCAAGGTCAACAATATATTTCACTAAAAGAATCGACGAAGCACTGGAATTTACTGAGCAACTATCTCAAGCATACAATGTAGTCTCATCAGTCATCTATTGCTAATAACCGAGTATTGTATATTCTTTATCTATTGTTTGTTTGTTTGCTTGTTTGTTTAGTTTTTCTTTGTATCTTTTCCCCTTTCCTCCTGTCTATTTTGCAAGAAAAAATTGATTAATTTCAAACGGAAATACAAACAAAATCCAACTGAATTCGCAATAAAAATCTATCCATCCATCCATCCATCCATGGGAATTCGGCAGGTTCCAGCAACAGCAGATTCAGGAATTTGGAAAAATTCACATCGCCATTAGAGATATCGCAGTATATTTCAATATCCACAGAATATCAACAAACCCCAAACCTTCTATCGTTACAACGCCACAGAGATCAACACTCACCAAATGAGAAAGTTATGCAGAGAACAGATCAAGGTCCCGTCTCCAGCACTCAAACGAATTGCGAATCCGAGATGAAGAAGAAAGACGAAGAAAAAGGAGAGAGCACACAGATTAATAATCTGATCGGAAAAAACGAATTGAGCAAGAAAAAGAAGAGAAAGATAATGGAGAATGGATGGAAAGGTGTCAACACGTTGTGGCGACTTGTACTCTGGGCGTTGCCAAGATTTTGCCCTCTCGGTGGCACGTGCTTGGGGCGGTGCGAGAAACAGAGAGTCACGTGGCCTCGTCGCATTGTTTTGTGTGTGGTAAAAAACGTGAAAGGGCTGCCTGGCGGGGCTGCCGGGTTTACCTCTTCTCCTCTCGATTTTACTTTTACTGTTTTACCCACTTTCTAGTTTCTTCCCCACGCGCCTGTTGTTTTTTTTACTGTTACCATTTGACTTCATTTCTTTGCGAAAATTACTCGTCGCTCGCACGACTGGATTCTTGGAATCAATCCCGTTGGGTGTGGAGCTGCCTGCAGAGTGCAGAGTACGAGGCTGTCCCCAATTATCGTTTCAATTTGGATCCTTTTATAATTGGGCTTTTAATTTTTAAAATATTGGATAGGCCCGTATATTACGGCCCATTTAGAATAGTATAGTTGGGCCGAGCAGTTAGAGGTATTTGTAATTTGACAATATGATTAGGAAGTATGATTAATTAATACATGCATTTTAATAATCAGTATAATATGATACTATAATTTTTTTTCAATGATATGGAAATCTGCATCTAAAATACACATTAGATAAGATAAGTTATGAGCTGAGACATTGGGACTTGAACCTAGGAGCATGCCACGGCTACAACTCCAAACCCCACACTATCCAACCTAATTGCCCTTTGGGTGGGGTTGTACTGTATTTAATCACCTCCACTTCACACACACGACTTTTGTGCCTCCAATAATTTTAATCGGTAATACCAACTGTTGTTTATTTATTATTATTATTATTATTATTATTATAGTTTTTACCTTTGTTTGTGGTTGGGTAGGCTCATAGGGATTGGTGAATTTTCAATTAGCTATTGTTAGGACGTGGAATGATATGATTCCTTTTTTAATATTATTATCATAGAAAAATGATTCGATTTGAACTGTACTTAATTATCAATATCGATGGGAGCTTTATTTGGATATAATAATTGTAAACAGAATATAAATAACAATATATATATACATATTTCAATAAATCTGGCATGTTCAGTTTTGCCTTCAATAATTTTTTAAATTTTTCGTAATCATTACGTTCAATTATTATTTTATTTAAATATATAATATTTATTTTAAAACTATTTGCTACTATGGTCTATGGTTGCTACAAATATCACTGATGATTCTTTCTTGACTTTTGAATTGAAGTGTCATAAATTTCTAGGTCTATATTACACAAACGCATATATGCAGAGATGTTTCTTTACATTTTAAACCTCAATTTTATACTCTTTAAACTTTGTGTTTTTTTAAAAAATACATATATTTATATTTACAAAATATTTTATTATATATTATTTTAATACCCAATACAAATAAAAAATTTCAAACTCTATAAAAGAAATACATACTATCCATCTCTTTTCTTAAATTATGTGTCTTTTATAAAGCAATTGATCATATTATATTTGTATTATAATCGCGTTATTGTATGTTATATCATTGCTAATGTACGCATGTATGTACGCACGTCCGCATTTATTATTATTGTTATTTTTTATTTTAAATTGTTATTGAAAAGAATGAGGATTTATTTAAGTTATATTTTGAGATTCATTTGAATTATTCGAGAAATAATATTTCGTCGGTATCAAAATTTTTATTTTAATTTAAAACCAACATGTAAGTGGGTGGAAAATTCTGGTTGGAAGAACACACCCACACTGGTTATTCATTCGTTTTATATCTTCTCGAGGAAGACAATAGTGAGCTGAGGCCAAAGGGCTACAATGGCGTCCGGAGGAGGCGGTAGGTTCCTCTACCTGAGACGGGAGGTGGTTCCGTTCGTGGCGACGGTGGCGGCGGAGTGCAGCAATGTGAGCGTCACCATATTCTACAAAGCGGCGGTGGTGAAAGGCTTGAGCTACCACGTCTACATGCCGTACTCCTACGCCATTTCTGCACTCCTCACTCTCCCGCTCGCCTACTTCTGCCACAGGTACGTCCTCCAGTGCACGCTTACCACGTTGTATTCGTCTCCTACCTCATTGCAGCGCAACTGGATTTCAATTTTTTATTCTCCAATCCAATTCAATGGTAACTACGGCAGGAATCAGCCGCTTCCTCCCTTCACAATCGGTGTATTCTGCAGATTTTGTCTTCTCGGAGTCATCGGGTATGCTCTTTACAGCACTACCCTAAACCTAATCAATCGCCAAATTAATTGTGGAAGTAATCTCTTTGTCAGAATCTAGCTATGGATGTGTATTCTGTGATTTATACTATCATCATCCATCGCCGCGCAGGTTTGTGCAGCAATCGTGTGGGTACAAAGGGATTGAACTAAGCAACCCCACCCTGTCTTCTGCCATGAGCAATCTCAATCCTGCAACCACCTTCTTCCTCGCCATTCTCTTAAGGCCTCTTAATTTTTTCAAATTAATTGTCTCTCTGCGCTTGATCTGTTCTCCAGAATATCTAATTAACTTTCGGCGATGATAAATATAATCAAAATCAGGATGGAAAAGGTGAAAGTGAGGAGCGTGAGCAGCCAGGCCAAGATCATAGGCACACTGGTCTCTATCACGGGTGCCCTAGTTGTGGTGCTCTATGAAGGCCCCCTGTTGATCAGCAGCACGCACCTGCCAGACCTGGCGAGATTATTCCCCGAAGCTTCGACGACTTCCTCGCAGTCGCAGGCCAATTGGATCATCGGAGGCAGTCTCCTGGCAGCTGGCTTTGTTCTCCTCTCCATTTGGGACATTCTCCAGGTAAACCTCAATCCATTCACAATCCTCTATATACACCTGCAATCCTACATCATAGTATTTTGTAAAGTTTGAATTAATATATTGTCATTCATAAATTAAAATCATGTTCTTCTGCACAAGGTTAGCATACAAATATATTAACCATATATAGTAAGTAGTAACATCTCTCAAACTCAAAGTAGAATCATTATAGATATATCAACTTGTATGCAGTGACTCTGTGACCGTAATATCAAGCAGGGTCAATAGATTGATTAGCAAAATAAAAATCTCTAAACAAGTAAAAATGTTGTAAACCTCCTAAGACTATTTAGATACACGTTTGCAGGCTAAATTTGTGAAGGATTATCCAGCTGAATTCATACTAGTTTTCTGGTACAATTTATCCTCCTTTATGGTGTCCTTGCCGGTGGGATTCATCGGGAAGCCTGATTTAAGTGCCTGGAAACTTTCCTTCGACGTCAAACTGTTAGCAATCTTGTATGCAGTAAGAAGCCCTCTGCATACTCTTAATTCATTTTGTCATTGCATCCTGAAATTCGATATGATTCTTGTGTTTCCTAATTAACTCAGGGAATAATGGGGACAGGCTTCGGCACCCTGCTTCATGCGTGGGGATTGCGCGTCAAAGGTCCCGTTTATGTAGCAATGTTCAAGCCATTGTCCATTGCTATTGCAGCCATCCTCGGCGTCATTTTTCTAGGCGACAACCTCTACCTAGGATGGTAAGTTTGCATTGCCCAAACTCTTGTCTGCATTAACGTGTGGATGTATAACTATACAGGCAATGTCTGTGCAGTGTTGTTGGATCAATCGTTATATCAATAGGGTTCTACACGGTTATGTGGGGGAAAATTAAAGAAGACATGATTGGCAGCAGTGAAGAATGCACTGGAGAATCATCATCATCATCATCCTCTTGTGATGGAAAGGTCCCTTTGTTAATTAATGCAGCAAATGTGCAGATACTTTGATGCAACTTGTAGAAACCAATCAGCCAAGAATACATGTCTAAATTTATTTTCGAATCAAGAAGGTGAAATTCTATAGAATCTCCCAGAAGTGCAATCGATTTTGTTTATTAATTTATATGAATTTTGATAAATTGAATTAGACTATTTATTGATTTATTTGAATTTTATTAGAATTTATAAATTTGTGAATTAAGTATTTTTTTATTAATTTACATTATTTCAATATATTTGAGATCAAGAAGGTGAACACTGTACTTTATTATAGAGGGCACTCGAAACAAGAGATGTATTAATTTCTCTTGAAGCATATAGTTCAAATATCTACTTAGGTGTGTTTGTTTGGGTTTTCATTTGAATTTAGATTGAAATTTGAATAATAAAATAATTTTTAGTATAATATAAAAAAGTAAGTGTTTTTTTTTTTAAAAAAAATTGATATACAGTGAAAATTATGAAAAATTTACCAAACATACACACCCTAAATATCGAATAATTAGGACAAATTGCTTTCGATTTGCTGATAAATCTAATTAGTTAGTTAATTCAATAAGGCAATTACAATAAACGCCAATGGTTAATTAAAAAACTCAGGTAATCACTATCAGAGTGATGTAACCTTGGCCTCACCGTCGCACACGCTACCGCATCCACTAATTTCATATAAAATTATTAGTAATACTCATTCCTAGTCTAAAAAAGTATCTTATTGGGAGTTGACATATATAAAAAATAGAATGTAAATGATTAAAATACTCTTATTTTTTGAATTATTTTAAAGAGTATGTTAGAGTAATAATTAGGGATATTACGAAAAAGTAGAAATAATTTTTTTATAAAGTGGGAACCACCGCTATTAAATAAAGAAACAAGACAATTGTTTTGGGACGGATGAAAATGAAAAAACAACACAAATCTTTTGGGAGAATGGGTATTATTTTATGTGGTCCGGACGTTTGATTGTACAAAAATATTTCCACAAAAATTATTTCAATGTATTTAGTACGCATCGAGGCAGCGCGATGGTTAACAATTGATTTATTACGTTGCATTTAAAACATCTCCATAAAACCATTGTCCAAAATTTGTAACATAAATGAAATCAACGATGGATATTCAGTCAACGTCGAGACTACCCACACTCACTCCACAGCTGTACATATATATATATTTATGTTAATGAAGCGTAGCGTGTGCCAGCAACGCGAAGCTCGAAGTGCGGGGAGAGTGAAAGGGAAGGAAATGGCTAGAGGAGGAGATCCGCGCCGGTACTGTTACAGAGAAGCGCTACCATTCGCGGCGATGGTGGCCATGGAGTGTACCAACGTCGGCCTCAACACTCTCTTCAAGCTCGCCACGCGCCATGGCATGAGTCGCCATGTTTTCCTCGTCTACGCCTACGGTGTCGCCGCTTTCGTGCTGCTTCCATCCCCTTTCTTTTCCCGCAGGTCCTTTCACTTCTCAATTTGGTTGAATTTAGAATTGAATACTGAATAGGAATCGTATTATCCACAGACATATGTATTTTGGTTATTTTGTTGCTTCATCTCTTTCGATCATTTGGATGTATTGGAATAGCATCTCCAGTGAGTGTATGGTAAATCGATTAGAATGAATTATGGCAGATCACCGCTGCTGCCTTCGCTGAATTCGCGCATTCTGCTCAAGATATTTCTCCTCGGAGCCGTCGGGTGAGCAATTGCATTAATTTTAGGTTTATATACGCGACCGGAGATTGAATTAGTTGAATTGACGATGGGATTTTGAAGGTACTCATCGCAGATAATGGGGTACACAGGAATCGATTACGCTTCTCCGACGCTTGCATCCGCCATGAGCAACCTGGCTCCGGCATTTACTTTCGTTCTCGCCATCGTTTTCAGGTCCTTCGACTTTACCTTTTCTTTTCGCTTTCGTAATTAATTGAATCAGCTGCCGTCATTTTTTTTGTTCCTTTATCCTAAATTCGTCATGTTGCGTCTTGCTCATCTTGCACTCCCATAGCTTTATATGGCTAATGCGTCGAATAGAAGCAACCACTAGTGATGGGACCGTATGTGATAAACCCACGTAATCTAATGCGTATGCTTTGAACAGAATTTTACCCTTTTCCTTGTGCCTAATGATTTCGTGGATCGTCCATCCACACATCTTGACTCTGAAATTTTGAAATACGATGATGAATTTAGGAAATTGCCAGTGGCTGTAGTTTGGACTAATAGAACAGTCCCAAATTTTGTGTTGAAAGATTTCTATTGGGAATATATATGTGGGCAGGATGGAAAGGGTAGCTTTGTCAAGCCGAAGCAGCCAGGCTAAAATTCTTGGCACCACTGTTTCTATATTGGGAGCTCTTGTCATGACACTTTATCAAGGTCCAAGCATTAATGCAGCTCACTCGCCTGTTGTTTCATTGCATCGTCAATCGCTTCATTCATCCCAAACAAACTGGATGATCGGCAGCCTATTTCTGTCAGTTGAATATTTTCTTGTTCCTGTGTGGTACATTTTACAGGTAATAAGAATCACAAGCCATGATTAATGGTTGATTGCATGTGCTTGTTCTCATTTCGGAGTTGCCCTGCAGACACAAATTATGAAGGAGTATCCAGCAGAACTGACCGTAGTCTTCTTCTACACATCGTTCGTGAGCATCATAGCTGCTGTTGCCGGGGTTTTCATGGAACCAAAATCCAGCCAATGGATCATCAAACCCAATGTTGCTCTGGCTTCTATGTTATGTTCGGTGAGCGGTTACCGTTTGACCGACGAGTGTTCATCCATTGCCCTGAATCTGATTATCATATTTGAACATTATCATTAGGGAGTGCTCGGGTGTTGTGTGAACAATGTCGTTCACACATGGGCCTTACACCTCAGAGGACCTGTCTATGTTGCGATGTTCAAGCCTCTTTCAATCGCCATAGCTGCAGCCATGGGCGTAGCTGTCCTGGGGGATACTCTGTATCTTGGAAGGTAATATGTCACATTGCAGAATAAGTTTCGACCGGCAAACAATCGCTAATATCGACTGTTTTGCAGCATCATTGGAGCGACGATCATAGCCGTTGGATTCTACACAGTGATATGGGGAAAAGCTAAAGAGGAGTTCGGTGAATACGACGCCAGAGCATGCGCCGGGGACTTGGAGTCTTCCACTGCCAAAAAGCATCCTTTGCTACAAAGCTATAACTCCCAAGTTCCCACCAAGTGGTGATGATTAATTAAGACAACCATGTGTAGGTAAATTATCTCTACCCAAACATATTATTACTATATATATATATGTATATACGAGAATAATAGAAAGAAATACTGCATATGTCTAAGTAACTGTATATTCTTGTTCCTGTCTTGTTGTAATAATTTTAAGATATATATCCAGTTTGTTTTCGGTCATGATCCCATGGATTGAATGGAATCTAGCAAATGAGTTAGAAAGTTAACTTTCTACTCCAAAGGTCCAAATTAGAGACGTCTCTTAATGAGCTCAAAGAGGAGCTGATTCCAGACATCAATGGGGCCTGGGAGGCACCAATGGATGCAGTCACTGTATCCCTTCATCCAACGGTTCCCCCACTACAGCCCCGGATGCCCGTCGGCCCTCATCCACATCATTCCCGTTACATCAAAAACTTCAAACTCATGCCCCTGCCCCTGCCCGCTTTCCTCCCCGGCCCCCCTCGCAACCTCGATCTCCTCCACCTGAATTTGCCGGTAATCCCAATCCGTCCCCTCCTCCTCCTTCACGGCGTCCCGTTCCAACGGCCTCGTCCTGCCGCAGCCTCCGCCACTGTTCCACGTCCCGTTCTCGAAATGCGACGGGGAATACGTCCTCACAAAAGCTCTAATCTTCTTGCAACTCCTGCACTCGTTGATTTCCCTGAACGCCGCCCTGATCGCCGGACCCGGCCCCAGGGCCGACACGTTTGGCGCCTGGCAGTAAACGCAGCCGATTAGGTTCCCTCCTTCGTACAGATAGCTCTGCCGGAAAAACCAGTGTGCGTCGGAGAAAATCGCGTAGTCGATCGTAGGCAGCTTCTCCGACCAGGTGGGGTCGACTTTGTCGAGATGCAAGTCCTAGCCGCCGCTGGCGGTGCCGTTGATTAGTCGTTCACTGGCGGCGACGAGGAATTGCGACCAGAGTGCTATTAGGGTGAAATTATGATGCGGAAATTGCCAGTTTGTGACTCTGTCCTCGGAATCTTTCTCCATTGGTTTTGGAATTTCTTCCTGCAACACATCATTATTTTTATTAGGAAAAACCGACCATCGTCAAGATTCAAATAATGTTTTTTTTTTTTTTCTCATTTGTTTATTTATTTTCATTTGAATGGCTATCCATGCAAGCTCTCATTTTTAATCCTAAAAAGCTTCAAATCACGATAAGCAATAATTAAGTGTGAGGGAATAATAATTGAAGCAATTAAATGAAGGGATTAGGACACCTTACCCACAATCAATCATATCTACAAGCAGGAGAATCATAAAAAGACGTGCTTTTTTATTTTTCTAAGGATAATTTTTTGGGGCTAAATTTGCATAAGATTCCAATTATGTCGCTTTAATCAGTAGCATACTGACAAACAGGTGAAAAGTAGCAGGTGATTCTTAGGCTGCATCCTGTCCGTTGGTTCAACACCATCAATGGTGACGATTCATCAGGATTCTGAGCTCCACGGACTCCCTCAGGAATCACCTACAAGCCGTGCTGGCATCGTACCAAAACTACTTCAATTTTCTTTTCTCTAAAAACACGGTTAACCGATAAACGGCTGGAAAATTCAGGAACGAGATGCCTCGAAAGTGTTGGTCAAAATGCCGCATTCAACAATAGCCACATTCTTCAAGATCGATGTTTTTCGAATGCAATTAAATTCAGTGGACTAACCGTGGACAGCAGACACACAAGTGATTCCATTTGGTTCCTGGCAAGCGAATCGCCAATAAAAGCCATAGTCTTCCCTCGAAGAGTGTGGAGGAACGATGCAGAGCTGAAGCGGGGGATTTCACATTGGTCAGGCTTCCATCTCCAGTGAAGGAATTCTGTATCCTTTCTTCCATGGAGGAAACAGTTCCTCAAGAACGGGATAGTTTTGCAGCTGTGGTTGGTGTAGAGAGAACCCCTTGAATCCCGAATCCATTGCCCTTTGAATAAGTTACAGGTTTCACTGTCTGCACAAGAATGAAACTTAGAGTGTGATTGTGAATGGAGCTGAATATCGAAATTAATAGACGATGAAAATTAATTAATGTACAGTAAGAATATATGCGTGTACGTACCTTTCTTTTTAGGGTTAGTAGTAATAGTAGTATTGGTTTGAATATTGTTGGTGTATATCTCCTGCTCCTGCTCCTGCGTGGTGATATTGATGGAGTGTGTTCAAGCGTAACTTGGATTTAGCGGTCTAGCCGACCCGAAATTAAAGCGAAAAAGGACTGTTTCAATTGGCAAGGTTTCTTTTGAGTTTATCCTAATTAATAACAAATAGGCTCTGGGTTTAGGGTATTTTGAAGTGCTTATAAATAGACAGCTATGGTTTTTAGTCGGATGACATAATTGTAAATCTCTGAATCAGTATAATAAAATCTCTCCGGTTCCTGCCCGTGGACGTAGGTTGACACACCGTCACCAAACCACGTAAAATCTCTGTGTTCTTTATTTGATTTCTTTCTCGTTTTCTCATAACAAGTGGTATCAGAGCCATATCTCATTGATTGAAGATGTTTTCGTATAAGTTTGATCTGGAGAAGTTTAATGGGTCGAATGACTTCACACTCTAGAAGGTCAAGATGAGGGCACTTCTGATTCAACAAGGAAGTGCGGCTGCTTTGGAGGGAGAAGACAAGTTTCCTAAAGACACGAAGGAGGAGGTACATAAGGAGATTTTGACAAGGGCTCATTCTGCGATTTTGCTATCAGTCACTGATGGGGTCTTACGGAAGGTTGTAGATCAGACAACGGATTTTGGGTTATGGAATAAACTGTGTGAGAAGTACCAAAACAACTCTCTCACGAACAGGCTATATCAGAAGCAACATCTTTACACCCTCCGGATGTCCGAAAGTACTCAGGTAAATGATCATCTTGATACCTTTAACCGTATTATTCTTGATCTTCAAGAAGTTGAGGTTAAAGTAGATGATGAAGATCAAACCCTAATTTTATTGTGTTCACTACCTGGTTTATATGAGAATTTTGTAGATACTATGCTATATGGTAGAACTACAATTTCTGTTAATGATGTGAAAGATGCCCTTATGTCCAAAGAATTGAAAAGAAATGTTTCTTTGGAAGAGGGTTCTGGTTCAGGTCTGTTTGCAGGTAGGGGAAGACCACAGGAGAGGGGTAACGGGAATGGGAGGTCGCGTTCAAAATCAAAATCTTCTAGCAAAGTTAAATGTTATCTTTGCAAGGAGAAAAGACACGTTAAAAGGGATTGTCCACAGAAGAAGGGAAATACAAAGATTGATTCTAGTAACAATGGCAGCAATGCTGTTGTGGTACAAGACAGTTCTGATGATGGGGACTTTGGTGAAGTTCTGACAGCGTGTAGTGCTAGTACTGCTAATTCTTGGATTATGGATACCGGTGCTTCTCTCCATATGACGTTCTCTCGTGATCTACTCACTTCTTTTAAGGAGTGGAATGGAACGGTGAAGTTAGGTGATTATGGGGTTCTAGCCATAAAAGGGAGCAGGATAGTACAGATAAAATTGCATGACGGTACTGTCAGGAAATTTGACTGTTGGTATGTTCCTGAACTCAGAAAGAATTTGATTTCTCTTGGCACCTTAGCCAAGAATGGTTTAAAATATCATGGTGAAGGTGAGTGGGTGAAAGTCCTGAAATGTGCTATGGTAATGATGAAGGGAAAACTGCAACATGGAATTTATTTTTTCAGGGCAGTTCAGTGATGGGAACTGCGGCGGTATCCCAATCCTTGGATAAACATGATGAGAGGACAAATTTGTGGCACCGTCGATTAGGTCATATGAGTGAGCTAGGGTTGTCTGTGTTGAGCAAACAGGGTTTATTTGGTGGGGATGTGATAGGTAAAATTCAATTCTGTGAGGCTTATATGAAAGGGAAGCAACGCAGGATGAGGTTTAGTACCGGTCATCACACTTCAAAAGAAATTCTGGAGTATGTTCATTCAAATCTATGGGGTCCTTCTCCGGTGAAATCGCAGGGCGAGTGTTCTTCACTTTCATAGATGATTATTCGAGAAAAGTCTGGTTGTACTTTCTGAAGACTAAAGATGAGGTGTTTGGGAAGTTCAAGGAGTGGAAAGCATGGTTGAAAAACGGACGGGTAAACAGGTCAAGACTCTAAGAACTGATAATGGGTTGGAGTTTTGCAACGCTCCATTTGATGATTTCTGCAAGAAAGAAGGTATAGTGAGGCACCGCACTGTACGACACACACCACAACAAAATGGAGTTGCAGAGCGAATGAACCAAACCCTCATGGCGTGTGCTAGGTGTATGCGCATATTTGCTGGCTTATCTAAGCAATTCTGGGTTGAAGCAGTAAACACTGCTAGCTATCTAGTTAATAGATCTCCATCAACTACAATTGACTTAAAGACTCTTCAAGAGGTATAGTCCGGTAAACCCTCTGATTACTCTAATCTAAGAATATTTGGATGCCCTGCATACGCTCATGTGAATGATGGTAAGCTGGAGCCGAGGGCGGTAAAATGCATATTTCTAGGGTATGTAACAGGAGTAAAAGGATATCGACTGTGGTTTACAGAAGGTAAAAATTCTGGTAAATTTCTTATTAGCAGAGATGTAACCATTGATGGATCTTCTATGCTTGATCAGAGTAGAGGTTGTGAAAGTATTGCAGGTACAAAAGATTGTGGTGTTAACCAGAGGGTGGAGTTTGAGACTCTTGACAGAGTTGTGTTAGAGGAAGAGCAAAAGGATAATACTATTGATCAATCCGATCAACCAGATCAGTCAAAACATCAAGGGAAACCGATTGAGGGGGAAGCTGATGACGCTGGTACTGGGGTTGAAGATTCCATAGCAGCAAGAAAGGGAAAGAGAAATATTCAGAAACCAGCTAGGTTTGCAGGATGTGTCAATACATGTGACATGAATTATATGGCTTATGCACTGGCGGTTGGTGATGATCTTGGCTCTGATGAGCCAAAGACATATAAAGAAGCTGTGGCGAGTAAATATGCAGAAACCTGGATTATGGCAATGAATGAAGAGATGCAGTCTCTTGAAAAGAACAAGACTTGGGATCTTGTTGCACTACCAAAAGGGGCGAAGCCAGTGGGATGCAAGTGAGTCTTTAAAAGAAAAGAGGGAATTCCTAGTGTTGAACCTGCTAGTTTCAAGGCGAGACTGGTGGCAAAAGGGTTTTCACAGAAGGAAGGAATCGATTACCATGAAATTTTTTCTCCTGTGGTGAAACACAAAACTATTCGGGTTCTTTTGGCAATGGTGGGTGCTTTTGATCTGGAGCTGGAGCAGCTTGATGTAAAAACAGCATTCCTTCATGGTAATCTAGAAGAATAGATTTACATGTCTCAACCGGAGGGGTTCTACAGTTCCAAAGGGGACCAGGTATGCTTGTTAAAGAAATCTCTGTATAGCTTGAAGCAGTCTCCGAGACAATGGTACAAGAAATTTGACTCATTCATGGTGTCTAATAGTTATACTCGTAATCAGTTTGATAACCGTGTTTACTCGAAGAAAGTTTATACTGATTCCTTTGTGTATCTGCTGTTGCATGTGGATGATATGTTAATTGCAGATAAAAACATGACTGTAATTAATGACTTGAAGGCTCTACTAAAGGGTGAGTTTGAGATGAAGGATTTGGGTGCAGCAAAGAAAATACTTGGTATGAAAATCTGGCGTGATAGAGAAGCAAGACGGCTATGGGTTTCTCAAGAAAAGTATATTGACAAAGTTTTGCAGGCATTTTCTGTTGATCAGTCCAAACCGGTAAGTACCCCTTTGGCGGCACACTTTAAACTTGATCGAAGCACTATACCGGCTACAGATGAAGAGGTTAGTTACATGAAGACGGTTCCATATTCAAGTGCAATTGGAAGTCTTATGTATGCGATGGTATGTACGAGACCGGATCTCGTTTATGCGGTTAGTGTGGTGAGCAGGTTTATGGCTAATCCGGGTAAAGCTCACTGGGGAGCTATAAAGTGGATCTTGCGATATTTGAAATGAGTGTATGATATTTGTCTGGTATATGATGATAAAGGCCATGATGATGGTCTTGTTGGCTATGCAGACTCTGATTACGGGGGTGACTTGGTGAAATGAAGATCACTAACTTGTTTGATCTTCACTCTGTTTGGATGTGCAGTCAGTTGGAAGTCTACTTTACAACCTATGGTTGCCCTGTCGACAACTGAGGCGGAATACATGTCAATGACTCAAGGTATTAAGGAGGGTATCTGGTTACATGGTCTGGTGCAGAGTTTGGGTCTGAAGTTGGAGAAACCGGTGTTATTCTGTGATAGTCAAAGTGCTTTGAGTTTGACTAAAAATTCAGTGTATCGCGAGAGAACCAAACATATTGATGTAAGGTTGAATTTTATCCGTGATGTTCTGGAGGAAGACAAGTTTTCTATTCAGAAGATAACTACAGAACACAATCCAGCTGATATGTTGACAAAAGCGCTACCGACGGAGAAGTTTGAGCACTGCTTGAACTTGGTGAATATTCGCAGAAGGTAAAGCCCTCTCGGGGCATCTGGCAGGAAGGAGAAGACTGAGAGATACTGACGAACCTTTGGCGGTTGGAGAAACTCCAAGTCAAGGTGGAGATTGTTGAAACGTGACTTGGATTTAGCGGTCTACCCGACCCGAAACCAAAGCGAAAGGGCTGTTTCAATTGGCAGGGTTCCTTTTAGGCTTATCCTAATTAATTACCAATAGGCTTTGGGTTTAGGGTGTTTTGGGTGCTTATAAATAGACAGTTATGGTTCTTAGTCGGATAACATAATTGTAAATCTCTATAATAAATTCTCTCCGATTCCTGCCTGTGAACGTAGGTTGACACACCGTCATCGAACAACGTAAAATTTATGTGTTTTTTATTTTATTTCTTTCTCATTTTCTAGTGTGTGTTTTTTATTTTCTTTCTTTCTCATTTTCTAGTGTTTGGTGGGGAAGTTGTAGAGATGGATGCAGAAAAGAAGGATTAGAGCTATGCAGGTTGTATAGAAGAAAAGAGGAGCTGGACTACTGCCCAAGAAGCGTTGCTGCTGAAACTGAAACTGAAATGGAAATCTTTCTTTCTTGATGAAAGGGGTCTGGTTTTTGCCAGATTTCATGCTCCCAAACAAGGAAGTCAAATAATCGTCAGCAAGTTTTGTGGCGTAACTAAGGAGAAATTAAGAAATAGAGAAGTTAAATGCACTTTACAATAGATAGATTTGCAGTAGGCTTTGTTCATATCTACATTACTTTTCATGATTGATTTTGATAATAATAATAATAGCATTCAAATTAAAATATAATTATTTGATATAATATATAGAGAGATGATATTTTAATATTTTAATTTTCAGTATAATATAAATAAATATATTTAGTTTTAGCCTAACTGGAGCACTCGTTCCCATTCATTTAAAATTTCTTCCATGCCAGTTCACACACTAGCGTTAGGTAATCTAACATGCATGCCCACTAAGCTCTAAGATTCCCTTATTTCCACATTTAGAAACCAAGAATAAAAAGATCCGATTAAGTCTAACAGCCTCCATCCGCGTGTTTGCACGTGCTCTGCTCTCATTTTAGAGACCAAGAAGATCATACAAAACTTGGCGGTGGCCTTGTGCTACACCCCCGGCCCACTGAAAACATCAATCAGTTCGATCTTTGCATCACATTAATTCAATCTCCCTGTCTAAAACCACTTTACAGAAATGACAAGTTGTAATATTTGATTGTTTGAATGAAGAACACCTTCCACATCAACAACATGTCAGTTTTTAATTTTCTCTGTTACCGGGCCTGCATTATTCTTTACCCTTGGTTTTATTGATGTGGACAAATGACATATATATTTACAGTATTTGCTTAATAAAGGCAGCCACTTAATGCATAAATTTGAAGTGTGAGATTTGCGAGGAGAAACTTCCATTGCGATTATGGGAGGGTGTCAACTTAGCTTGACTAGTAAGTGTGCAGCACCATTTTCCATTGCTTATCTACCAACATAACCTACCTGCATGTAATCAATGGAAGCACACCAGTAAAAAATACAAAAAAAAAATAGAACAATTTTTTTATTAAATAAGAAAATAAAAATATTTTTAATAATTTTTTTTTAAAAAAGTGTGACAAATTTACATGTAAAATGAAGTACTATTAAATATCAGTAGAAAAATTATTCAATACAAAACAGTACTAGTTTGCTTTAAAAAGGTCCAGGCCCAATTTATGTGAGAAAATGGGCCAAATGTGAAGATAAAAGCGCGTGAGTTAGAAAATGCGAGAATTCGCCGCTTAGGAAGATAAGCCATGGACTCCATTGAAGACATCTTCGAGTCTTCTTTAAAATTGGAAGAAACTCACTTCAAAGAAGGATACGACGAGGGCTACGCGGACGGCCTTGCCTCGGGGAAGGAAGAGGGGCACCAAGTCGGCCTTAAAACTGGATTCGAAGTCGGGGAGGAGTTAGGGTTTTACAGAGGATGCGTCGATGTATGGAACTCTGCGTTTCGGGTCGACCCCAATTTTGCGTCGGCCAGAATTCAGAAGGCGATCAAGCAGATGGAAGATTTGCTGCAGAAATACCCGATTTCTGAGCCGGAAAACGAGTCGGTCACTGATATAATGGATTCTTTGAGGCTTAAGTTTAGAGCAGTTTGTGCCAGTATGAATGTGAAGATGGAGTACAATGGATACCCCAAAGCATCCGATTCTGGAAATATTTCATTCTGATGTTTACTTTTCGTTGCTCCGGGTGCAAGGTGTTCGACGATTGTCCTGAGAAAGGAATCTTGTTTATTATGGTTGATAGACAGAAAAGTACACAGATTCCCAGTTTATTTTCTGCTGATTACAAAACTTTTCTGTTCTGGTGTTACGCTGTAGTAATCTCTGTACTGTATCTCCATTGAGAAGGATTTTAATAAGCTCTGAAGAACCAGCCTTTCAATTTTGAATAAATTTGTTAATTATTCTTATTACATCTATTCTATCGGTAACTAGTATGGGCTTCCAATGTTTTGTCCTGGGGTTTTTAACGGGCCGGGTTTTCTTGAGACCCATATTATGCTTTCGGCCCAAATATAAAAAATTGAATGATAGCGATCTTGGTCTCTGCAGTCTCCGGTTTTGATTTTACACGCATCAGCTTCTTTGTGGAGTCTGGGCGTTGCACTGCGAGGCTGCGGCTGTGCCCCGACGAATCGAAAGGTTGCTGTTTTTATTCTCTTTACCATCCTCCTGTATCTTTTCGTCTTCTGCATACACTGTTTTTTGAATCGTAATTTACAACTCGTTTACGTATGTGTAATGAAAAAGTAGTTTGGCACGATTCGTTTCCCTTTCTGCGTAGCCTTCTATTTTCTGGCTTTAAATTATGTTGATACGATTTAGGGTTTTTGATTTACTCTCCATGCATGCTGAAAGGCTTGGTGTTTTGTATTTTTAGTACAAGAATACCGCAGTGCTGAAGCTCAGAAGTAGAGCAGAAGATGAGTGACGAGAAGGATGCTTTTTATGTTGTTCGGAAGGGAGATGCCGTCGGAGTGTATAAAAGCATAAGTGATCTTCAATCCGTTCTTCGATCTTCTGTAATTTTCTTTTAAAAGGTTTAACCGTTAGCGCTTCAAATTTCTATCTACATTTGGCTGTGTGTGGAATTCCAGATGCAGGCATGATCTTCTACACACATTTCAAGTTTCTTCTACTTAAACAAGGCATTGAAGATTTAGTACTTAGGAGTTGGGACTGTTAATAATCTTCGATGGCTGAAAATTACTCTTTTCTTGTTGGCATATATAATCTTTGTCAGACTTAGATATGTTTAAGATGCTGGTGGACCTGAGCAGTTAATATTTTAACCTTTCAACTACATTTAGGATTTGGTCCGCAAATTTAATTTTCTATCCAGTTATATCTTTGCTGGTAGGGACATGTGAATGTTATGGGCAATGCTTGATCCGTTTGTAGCTTTGTGCGCGTGCATTTTCTACCAGACTAGTCTCGAAGAATAAGGCGTTCTGATTGAGCTTCATAGAAAGTCTCAAATAACCTTCTAATTATTTATGCTGATCAAAATGTTTGTTCATATGTTTACAAATAATCTATTTGAAGGTTAGAGAAAGATTTAGTCTAAACACTGCTGATGGTTTTAATATTATCTAAAACATTTGATTTCAGGTAAATGATCCTTCTATAAGGGTATTTAAAGGTTATGGTTTGTCTAAAGAAGCTGAAGAGTATCTCTCATCTCATGGACTCAAGAATGCAATTTATTGTATTGATGCGGGTGCTGTAAATGATGATCTCTTTGGCCAGCTTATGGCTTGTCCTTTTCGGGTTAGGTTCTGCGTCTTTATGTAATTATTGTATAGTTACTGTCATTTGAAGTCCCTTTACTCTGCTTGGGAACTTGCAACCACAAATATGATGTTGTATATAGGTTGGTTTAATTTGAAGTGGTATAGGCATGAGTTAATTTTCTCTATTTCTTCTGATTTTCTTTAAGGAACCTAATTCTTCTAAAGATAAATCTGCTACCAAGAATCATTCAGATAAGAGGTCACAGGTGCTTTTTAATGTTCGCTTTATCTGTAACTTATCTCAATTAGAGTAAATATGCTACTGCTTTTGTTGTAAGTTGAAAATACCCACCACAGTTACATTTTTTCTACCAATTTGTCTTGCTGGCGTAATTCCATAGGAGGATGTCGCATCAGTTTCACTTGCAGCAAATTCTCAGATAAAGCACGCAAAATTAGACAATTTCCTCCAAGTTCCTCCAATTTCTTCTTATTGTGTAAGTTTTTATGACAGGGACATTCCTTTGTTTGTTTACTTATGTAGATGTTGTTTATTTTGTTAAGGTTTAGATTTTGTATTTAAATAATATTTGATATAATGTTTTATGAGATAAAAAAGTGAAACGTAGAGTCCAAATAGTAAATATTGAAAACTTTTGCCAAATAAACACACTCTTAGTCTTGGCATTTCAAAAACTATTAATATACAAGAAATATCTTTGGACATGTCAGTATAGAAGATCTTGGCATTATTTTGTCCTTGACTTCATTTCATGTACAGTGTTCGTGTATTTTGGAGTTTGATGGTGCTTCAAAGGGAAATCCTGGGCAGGCTGGTGCGGGGGCTGTATTACGGGCTGCAGATGGCAGCATGGTAATCTGCTCTTGCTTGCACCTCTACATTTTAATGCTTCTTCTTTTTTTCAAAAAAATGCTATGATCTCTCCAACCTATGCCTATGCTACTACCCCCTGTCTCAATAGTTCTTTATACTAGCTGGTGTAATTATCACATCAAGGTCAAAGCTGATCCATGAGTTGCACAATAAATATCTAATACTCCCTCCGTCCGAGTCAAAAGTATCCATTTGACTTCTGTATACAGATTTAGATATATTAATATTTTATAGATGTGTAGTATAATAGAGGAGTTTAAAGTCTCTTTTACCCTTGACTTTTATGGAGATTATATGAAAAGTATGGGTATTTTGGTATGTAATTGGGAGGTAAGAAAACGGATACTTTTGACTTGAATAGAAGAAAATAGCAAAATAGATACTTCTGACTCGAACGGAGGGAGTATCTAGTTTATCTTTGTAATCTCTGGAACAAGAGCAACTTAAATAATGCTAGTTCTGTACCTGTATTCTTCTTTATGCTGCTGTTCAGCTCAATCACTAGTTTTTACATTTTATTTTTGCATTTGATAGGTATTCAAATTGCGGGAAGGTGTTGGTATTGCGACTAATAATGTTGCCGAATATCGAGGGGTAATTTTGGGGTTGAAATATGCCCTCCAGAAAGGGTTCAAACATATACGTGTTCAGGGAGACTCTAAACTTGTTTGCATGCAGGTATTTTCTTCGCTTGTCTGCTACCTGGAAAAAAACTATATATGGAAACATAGCATAACTCCAGAATATTATTCTGGAGCTCAATATAACTTCCCCCATGTCTCTCTCTCTCACTCCATATGTTTGATATTTAATCATTATTATTTTATACCAACAGGTTCAGGGTTTATGGAGAACCAAAACTCAAAACATGACTGAGTTATGTAAGATTGCCAAAGAGCTCAAGGATCAATTTATATCTTTCGAAATTTGCCATGTTGAAAGAGTAAGTTGCATACACATAATTTCTTCAACAAAAGTTGTATTACTGATGGGAACTTTGTGAGTTAACAAGTGCATTCTATCTTTATGTCATTTTTAGATAATTGTCCATAAAAGTGTTGCAATATGTTGATATGAAACTAATGATATTTATCCATCCTCCGAACCGGTTGGTTCTCATTCTATATTGTCCTAACCTAACCTCCTGAATGGGCATTTAAACTATATTTTGTCAGGACTACAATGCTGAAGCTGATGCCCAAGCGAACCTGGGAGTGCATCTAAAGAGTAGTATTATATTCCCTGCCATTTCCAATGTGATAAATTTCCTTTATTTCATTCTTGTATATAAAATCTCACATGACACGATGATGACCATGACTATGCAGCTGGTGAAGTTCAAGTGGAATGTGACATGAAACAATGAACTAATGCTTGGAGGAATGAATGAATGTTTGGATCGTTGCTTGTTGAAATCCTCTAATGCCTTCGCATAAAAAACATGTATATATCTGTTCTCTGGGAATGTGTCGTGCATATAAATTGTGTTTGTCTGTGGATTTATTTTTGGGTTTGGATAACATTAGAACTTTGAATTTTAGATATAAATAAAAAATAAAATTGATTGTTTAATTTGATATTTTTGTTTATTTATTTTTTAAATCATTAACGATGGAGATTTCCAAGTCTCCAATCTTGTTGTATTATTACCTCTTGGTCAAAGAGTTTTCTGAAATTACATATAATGTCAAAATTTTATAAGATATTGCAAAAACAGTTGAAGATTGTTTTTTTCTTTAGATTTATTTTTTAAAATTAAATGTTATATTAAATAATTAAAATACAATACTAGAATCGAATTTTCTCACAACATATCGATTCACACCCGGTCCGAATAGAGCACAATGCCAGTCTTTCTCTTTACAATCGATCTGCCCAGCGGTCCCAACAAAATCATTGGCAAGATCTAGATGCGGGTTTTCCTTTAGCACACCCAATTTGAAGATTCCGTCTTCAATAGAGTATTACCGCATATCAGTTCAGTACCGGATTCAATCGATTTCTGTGAAGAATCAAAGAAGAATGAGGAGAGGCGGCGGTATTCTTGGCGTGAGAAATGACGTCAGGTCGCCGGAGGCAAGCACTCTGAGGCGGCGGACTCAATATCTAAAAAGACGGGAAAAATGGCTAGTAATCCTTGGAGTAGTACTCCATGCAGTTTACATGCTCAGCATTTTTGATATTTACTTCAAGAGCCCTATTGTCCACGGCATGGAACCTGTAAAGCCTCGCTTTGCCGGCCCTGCGAAGCGCCTGGTGCTCCTCATAGGTAGTTGCTGTTTGTTTTTGTTTACATTTCTGTGCCCGCAACTTGTTCGACGTTTTGACTGAATAAGTGTATGATGTTCTGGTTGCAGCGGATGGGTTAAGGGCTGATAAATTTTTTGAGCCCGACTCAGATGGAAATTTCAGAGCTCCATTTTTGAGGAGTGTGATCAGAGAACGTGGGCGTTGGGGAGTGTCGCATGCGCGCCCTCCAACCGAATCTAGACCTGGACATGTTTCCATTATTGCTGGATTTTATGAAGATCCTAGTGCTGTTACGAAAGGTGCGTAATATGCTTCTGTTTGATTAATGCTAGTGTAGTCTCTGCCTCGATGGAATTTCATTTTCCAAGTTAAGACTTCACAAAAAGAACACTAAGAGTTAAAGACATACTAGACCTCAAGTTCTTTTACTTTGAATTTATGTTTGTTGTCATCTGGATTTAAGATGATATCATGTGTATCCAGCTTATTTGATGCTGGGCTCTTGCCATTTCAGGGTGGAAGGCGAATCCTGTGGAGTTTGATTCAGTTTTTAATAGGAGCCGACATACATTTGCTTATGGCAGCCCAGATATCATTCCTATATTTTGTGGGGCCTTGCAGCACAGCACATGGAATCACTATCCACATGAATATGAAGATTTTGCAACGGGTTTGTAAATTTCTGCTGCTTGATTCTGTATGGTTAAGATGATCTTTTATTTTATCCGCTTTTAATACTTTGTATCTTGGATTCTTGCAGATGCTTCATTTTTGGATGAATGGTCACTAGATCAATTCGAGAGCCTTTTGAATAGGTCTAGTGAAGATGCAAAGTTGAAGCAACTTCTTCAACAAGACAATCTTGTGGTGTTTCTGCATCTGCTTGGTTGCGATTCAAATGGTCATGCTCATCGGCCATACTCATCCATCTATCTCAATAACGTTAAGGTTGTTGACAATATTGCTGAAAGAGTTTATAATCTTGTTCAGAGTTACTTCAATGACAATTTGACAGCATATGTATTTACAGCAGACCATGGGATGAGTGACAAAGGTTGAACATGCTTTTCTTCAAGCTTATGTTTCTGTTGGAAGCTAGATGCTTTCTGGGCTCAAATTTCTATAGATCCTTAATGGCCATGTAAGCAATAACACGTATAGCTTTGTTTCTTGATAGGGAGCCATGGAGATGGACATCCCTCAAATACTGATACTCCGCTTGTTGTTTGGGGAGCAGGTGTCCAAAATCCTGTGCTTATTTCTGAAAACCATCACGATATTCCTGTTCGCTTTGTTGATGAGCATGTTCATGATATACATTCTCCGTCTGAGTGGGGTCTGGATGACTTAGAGAGACAGGACGTGAATCAAGCTGATATTGCACCTCTGATGGTAGGAGCTCTTTTTTTTTTTTCGTTTTTTTGGTTCTTGTTCTGTAGAAAGGTACAATTTTGACTTTCATTTGACCATTCTCTATCTTTCAAAGTAATAAATAGCTTCATTGGAACTTGTGACAGTCCACTCTTTTAGGTTTGCCATGCCCAGTTAACTCAGTTGGAAACTTACCACTTGGATTTGTTAATTTTACTGAGGTATGATGACTTATAGTATCACCTTTTGATGATTTATTAAAGCTTAATCCATAGACACTTGTTTCTAATCTGAATTCAAATTGTATGTCGACGCCATATATATCCTATATTATTATTTTATAGTGGAAACTCTGTATATTGGGTTTTCTAGAAAAGTGAAGTGGTCTATCCTGTGACTGTCAGGTGGACAAAGTTGAGGCAGTGCTGGCTAACACCAAGCAAATTCTCAATCAGTTTCTTAGGAAGTCCCGTATCCTTTGCATGAAGACATTATTGCCGTGAAATTCATTAATTCTTAAATTATGATTAAGCTTTGCTCTTATATTTTTGTTTTAAAAGTGATAGATACATGATCTGTGAAAGCTTTTGAAATGATGCTCTATTTCTTATGTTTATTTCTTTATTTTCCAATTTTTACTTGAACACAAATCTCTTTTCCTCCCACCAACCTGTTGTGTGAGGAGAAGGGGTTTGAGTGAGGGTATGCAATACACTGTTGTGCCCCTCGTCATATGTAAATATGGTAAATCGAGTCTCCTTGTTGCTTTCACTGATAATGAAATTGTTTCCTTGATTATGTGGTAAGAGCTGAAGCAATCAAGTTCATTGTATTTCAAGCCTTTCAAGCCCTTGGCCAATTATTCTTTGGTATTGGATCAAATTGAGCATCTATTATCATTAAGGGATTTTGAGACTGCAAAGGAGCTATCTGAAAAACTTCGTAGCTTGGCACACCAGGGTCTTCATTATTTTCAAACTTATGATTGGTTTTTGCTGATGACAGTAATTTCTCTTGGTTATCTTGGATGGATGATCTATCTGATAGTCCATGTGTTGCAATCTTATACTACATTGCCCAAATTGTTATTCAGAAAGGATCAGTCACTTTACTCAAGGATGAATGCTGGAAAGGTATTACAATTAGGATGAATTATATGATTTTCTTCTGTTTCTGTGTAATAAGTTACTTTGTTGTCCCTTGACAGGTTTATTTTTCTGGATGTTTATTGATGGGATTACTATGTATTTTACTACTTGTCGAGCATGCCCCTCCACTCTATCATGCATATTTTGCAGTGACTATATTTCTTTGGATCCAAATATTTTCTGAGTATCGATTTCTAAAAGCACTTTGGAGGTTCATGCTTGGAAAAGAAACTATCTATTTTTTCAAACTTGTGGCTACATTTATTGTATCGGTGCTCATCCTTGAAATCCTGGTATGTAGCATTTTTTAAATTAATCCCTCAAGAATTCCAGACACTCTAAGCACATGATATCTCATTTGAGGCACTTCTTATATACATTGTGCAGGTGAGAAGCTTTATGGATAGGAAGATCTATACTTGGATTTTCTTGCTTGCTGGGTTTGTTGCTTCTGCTTATATTCTTAGCACCAACTCTTGGGACATGAAAATACCAGTTTTCATATGGCTTGCATGTTGGTTTTTATCTATTTTCACTTTGATGCCTGCTGAAATTCCGGACAACACTAAACTAGTGTAAGTTTTTGTTTCTTTCCAGAATATGAAGATAACCAGTGTGCAAATCGGTCTATTTTAAATCTGAACTCAATTGTATGTTCATTATGGTTGCTAATGCTAGACTAACTTATGCTTAAATATATAGGATAGAAGTTGTAGTATTGGAATAATACTCTTGTTTGAGAAAGACAGTACTAATCCTTTCTGTTTTAATCGGAATTACGTCTAGCAAACATATTGGATGCAATTTGATCCATCCGGTAGTTGCAGCCTCACTAATATGCATACATATTATGGAAGTAGCACAATAATATCTTTTGCTAACTCTGTGATTGCTATGGTCCTTTTTGTAGAATTTCTAGTGGATGCATGATTGTACTGATTGGAGGATCAGCAAAATATCTTGATATGATTGCTGGAGATAGTAAATATTGGTTTGATCTGACTGATGTGCCAAAGAACTTCAAATTTAATATGCTTTTCCTTTTGCAGGTATTAACATCTTACAATTATTGAACTTCCCTTCAGATTAATAGTTTTATACATTGAATATCTAATTTGGGGTTCTTTCTGTAATCGTTCAGGTCCTCTTGGTTCTTTGTTCATCAGTTATGGTGTCTGTTTCAACCTCACGTAGAACAGAAAAACAAGAATTGATTGCTCTACACCAAATAATAAATTGGTCAGTTGCTGGTATGGTTTTATCTCTTTCTTCTGCCTAATTTATTGAGTCCATCTCCTTATTTTTGCACTATCACTTAGATATATTATGTCCCCTTGGTTTTATATGTTTAATGGCACTAATAGTTGAAAGTATTGAGAGACTGGTTAGGATTGCTCAGTTCGTACTTTACATATGAATGATCTCAAGCTGCAGTTATAGAAGTTTGTTATTTTTTACCTGTAGGTGTATCCCTGGTTCTCCCAGTTTTTTCAGCACCTGGTATCTTGTCTAGGCTTACATCCATATTTCTTGGCTTTGCCCCTGCATTCCAACTCCTGTCAATTGGGTACTTACATCTAAACTAATGATTTGAAGCAAACTAGTAATTTTTGGGACATGGTGACTTATAGTAGAGCATTAATATGATTTTATTTTTGGTATGAAATGAATGCAGATACGAAGCTGCATTCTACTGTGCTCTTGGTCTTGCACTTATGGCATGGATACTTTTCGAACATGCTCATCTCCATGTAAATACTAGGAACAAATCATTAAACACTACAGAGGCTATGGAAGATGATCTTGTTTTAGCATCCAATGATAGATGCTTGCAGTTATCTGATCTGCGGATCCCCCTAGTATTTGTGAGCGTAGCCATTTGGTTGTTACATCTGCCTTGACTAAACTGATACCATTTTCAGTTTATTTACTTCACAATGTTTTCTTTTTGCAGATGGTCTTTTTCAACATTGCCTTCTTTGGAACGGGTAACTTTGCCAGCATTGCGAGTTTTGAGATTTCTTCAGTTTATCGATTTATCACAGTCTTCAGCGTGAGTATAACTTCAATCTGCATAAATCTGTAATTTTTCTCTTTCTTTACTGAAACTTATTTGGTTTTGATTGCTGCAGCCATTTCTGATGGCGGCTCTCCTTATTTTCAAATTACTGATTCCATTTGTACTTGTCATGTAAGTGTATTTAACTTCATCTATTGCGGCAATTTGATTTCTTGAAAATAGGTAGTGATATGTCATGATTGAGGATTCTTTTAACTAAAGTAAGTCCATGGTTTTCAAAACACACTGCAGATGTACATTTACAGCCATTACCAGGTTGATCAGTGTTCCACTGTTTGGGTTCTATTTTCTAGTCATAATCTGTTCAGACGTCATGACTGTTCATTTCTTCTTCCTGGTACCATCATCATCCTTCCTACTTTGAACTGAACTTCTTTTTGTTTCAATTCATTATATTTGGGCTTTCTTATGCAATCCTGCTAAAATCCAGCTAGATATTTCTGTTATGTCAATAAGGGCGTGTTAGCTTTACTATTGAAACTAATGCAATGTGGTGGTGGTGGTGGCAGGTCCAAAATACAGGAAGCTGGATGGAAATCGGCAACAGCATCAGCCATTTTGGAATAATGAGCGCCCAAGTGGTGTTTGTTCTTTTGCTATATGCACTCACAACCATATACACAAAAGACATTCGGCGGCCGCGACAGAAGCATCTGTCAGAGAAGCAGATGTGATTGTGAGAGCTGAGCTCTACTTTCACCGGTACCCCTGCCTGCCTGTTAACGGTTTTGTTTAGGAAGGAACTAGGAGTTAGGACAGGACAGACAAATTGATTGTTGGTTGTTTGAAGTTTGAGTGGGATGGTATGATAGATTTATTTATGGTTGGTTGGGTTGTTGTATTTGTTGGGTAGGTCAGGTCAGGTGAGGTGCCTGAGATACGTACATTGTCGCATTGATATAGATACAAATCGGTGGTGTTCCATCATCTTCATCTCCTTACTTTGTGATGAAACACCACCAGCTAAGGTTGATCATTTAACATGAGGCAAAACGAATTATCCATGCTATGGCATATAGGTTATGTTTAGACACATCATTTTCAAGTTTTAAAATTTTAAGAATAATAAAAAATTAGTAATTAATATGATATTAAGCAAAAAAAAAAAAGGGAAAAAAAGAAGGTTATAAATAAACATAGCCACGATGAAGCGGTAGAACAGGTGCTGCATAATAGCCCTCCCTATATACGTAGGTACGTAATTAATACGCTCAACCCCAATTCAAACAAGAAACCCTAACCCTAAGAATTCCAATTGATTTTAGATTAGGCCTCCCGTCGCAGAGCAGAAGAATTGGCAGTGAGCGCTGCTGTGTTCTTCGAGCGAGCGTCTTCAAGAAGACGAAGAGGGGGTAGGAAGAGGAACGGTTCGGCAAGGCCATTCTCCGCCGATGGAGGAAGAGAGAACATATCTGTTGTCGAGCGAGGGTGGGAGAGAGGACCAGATCTGTTATCGATCGAGCGTGAGAGAATGGGTGGTGACCGAGAGGTTGCGGGCGGGGCTAACACCGGCGATCGACGATGAACTGGTTTGAGCGAGTGGGAGAGAAAGAAGAGGAACTGATTGCCGGTTACGGCGAGGCTGCATAATAGCTTCGGGAAACAGTAGTTGAGTAGTGGATTTCGGCGAAGACGGGCAGTAGCACCAGTGGCCTTAGGCGGCAGTGGGCGGTGCTTGGTCGGCGGTCCATGATTGTTCTGGCGGTATGGTTTTCTTGCTTTCTTCTCCCTGTTTTATCTGATTTCGTGACATGATTGTGAAGCTGTCATCTACATATCTTATATATCATCTTGCTTTTAATGGCTGAAGGATTGAAAAGCATTGAGATACCGATTAGGTTTCTCAGAAGAAATGCGAATTCACCCACTGTTCTTTATTTTTTAATGCGTCAAATATTCCCCCTTTCTGATGAAAAACAAACAAATTTTTTCTAGTTTCATCTAGTTTTCATGCACAAGGGGAAAGAAGGAAACCATATAATCTGCAGAGTAACAATTAACAAAGACAAATTTATTTTGAGCTTAATGCCATCAATATCAGGTCTATAGCTTATATTCCCATTGAATTGTTGTTGTTGTTACTATTTTCTTTCTTCATTACCTGCTTTTCGCCCTGTTATCATATTTTATTCATTAATTTGGAAAATATTTTTTCTCATCAGTCTATCAGTCGAAGTAATGTTTGTCAATAAAGATAGTTGTCTAATAGTCTCATGGATCCACCTTTCTTTACAGCCGACACAAGTACTCTTTCTCGTTTTTTATTTCGGATTCCACGAGTTTCCATAGGAGCTAGCATAGCAGAGGCACTGGAAATTGTATATAACAAGTTGCAAGAAGTAAACCTTGAACACTGTAAATTATGACTTCAAGCTGCACTTATAGAAGTTTTGTTATTTATTTCTTTCTGTTGCTGTATCTGAACCAATAATTTGAAGCAGAATATAGTTTTGGGCACGGTGACTTTAGTGCATTGATATGCTGCTTCTTTTTTCTTTTTTTTTTTTTTTGTTGCAGATATGAAACTGCATTCTACTGAGCTCTTGGTTTTGCACAGATGACATGGATACTTTCTGAAAATGCTCTTCTCCATATTATGAGAAACAAATCATCACCCTAATTACACTGGAAGATTACCTTGTTTTTTACTTTGGCAGCCAATGTAGATTACTAGATGCTTGCAATCGTCATTTGCTTGTTTCATATGCCTTGGCTAAACTGATTCCTTGAATAGTTTATTTACTTCAAACTTTCATTTGTTTATTTACTTCTAAACTAGCCAGTAAAATTTCATGAGCAAGGCAGCATATGATTGAGTATATTAAATGTCCATTGTATTTTATCACTCACTGACATTGTTATCCTTAGCACTCATTATGTAACAGTGAATAACTTATTTCTTATGTCAAATATTTTACTATTTCAATGTTCTTGATTTGAAGCTTCCTACATAATGCTATACAATGGTGGTATGATGATTGTTCTGATAGTATACTAAATGATATGATCATCAGTTACATGGTTAACAAAATTGATTATGGTATCTTGCAGCTAAATCTAATCGGAACCATCTTTTTATACAAACTGTGCATTACAGTGGCCACATATATTGGAAAAAACTGAGCGTGCAGGAGGTAAGGCTGTAAGGGCCTCTAACAAATAACCAGTTTTGACCTCATGCCCTATTGAATTTGGTGTTTTATCTCTCATTCTTTTTAGTTATTTTGTCTTGCGATGTGAGGCTATGGAAGCACTGGAAAGAAAACAACACAATATTGTGGGGTACTGCTCCTGCTCAGTTGTTCCACCATCCGAGATACATATATGCATGGAGCTTCAACCAGGTAAGCGAAGTTCTCTGTTTGATTTAAAATTTAACTGAGGATCCTGTAGTGTCTGTGCCGGGTTCTATTCTACCTTGTTGCTATACATTTCTGAACTAGGAGTCAATTATATTTGTGTGCAGAGCACATGTATTGTGAAGATAAAACTACGCATGTGCGCGATCGACTTGCCAAATCATATGATATGATATAGCTCACAGATGCTGATTGATTATGTTATAATATTAGTATGGCTGCCATTTTTATCTCTTGATGTGCCACGGTTATATATAACATAACAACATTCCACTTTGTGACCGTCGATATTCATTATGCTATTTTGCTGGAGACTGGAGGGAACTATTTTGGGAAGATGTCGTTAGATTGTTTTTTTCACTCCCTTTCTATGCCTCTCTACACTATTGGATTGCACGTCGCATTTTCTTCAATTATGGATTTGGTTATTAAGAAAATACTACTTACCACTGCTGTGGCTCCCTACTGACCAATGACTGCTAGGTGCAGGTTTATTTCTAGCTTTATATATATGGATGGCTTGATGATAATTTAGTTGTTTTTTTCTTATTCTGACAGAATCACCTTATTGATTAGTGATAATTTAGTTGTTTTCTCGTATTCTGACATAATCACCTTGTTGATTAGTACCGAGACGATTATTTGTGCTGTGCAAGAACTTGCCTTCTGGTTGTTGAATTGGATTAAAGGCAGCATTGCAATTTGCAAGCCTTGATTTTAGTTTCATTTGTTACATAAAAATATATACTAGTATTTCTTAATGAATTTATATCTTTAGCATTAACTGTGGCTAAATTTAAAAAAATATATGTATATATTACATTAGACAAAAAAATATATAATTAGTAAAATATTTAAAAATATATTAATAAAAATATTTCTTTTATAATATAAATAATTATAGATTAAAATTAAGATAATTTAATAATTTAATTAAAATTTAAAAATTATAAATAGTTAAAATATGAGTAAAGTATAATTTTATTTGTTTTTAAAAAAGAGAAGTTATGGGATTATTTCTAATTGAGAATTACATTCGAAATATTTTTATGTTTAAAGTCTTGTATTTTGGGACACGTTTTTTACTATAAATATTTTTTATTATCAAAATGAGACCTGTAAACCACAAAAATTTCAAGGCCCAACCCAAGACAGAGCTTTGCTCGGTTGGTCCTGAGCCAACAGGGCCACATTATGTGTCCTAAAAGCCGACAGGGTCAGGTGATGCTGGCAATATCCAATCCGACACAGTGTTCCAGGGCCACATTTGGGCCCAAATTCTGGCGGCGTGGGCCTATTTGGCCCAAGATTTTATTATTATTATGGCCCAAATAACGGAGTCTTTTGCGGTCGGTGCTGAGCCGACAAGCCCACGTGTGTCTCCAAGACTATCCATTAGCTCCACGCGCTGTCTCCTGGTACGGTCTCCCAAAAACAGACAGAAGTAGGCACTGTCGGCAAAAGTCCAACAGAAACTATTATGGCGAAGTGGGCCTATGAGGCCCAATAATTTGGCAGCACGGGCTTCTTCAGCCCAATACTAACAGTCAAGCCCATGTGACAGGGCCTTCAATAGTCCTTCTAAAGCCGACAAGCCCACGTGGAGACACACGTGTTGTCTCTCAGTCCAATCTCCCGAAAGAAGACAAAAGCACATGTTGTCGGCAAAATTCTGACAGAACATGCTTGGGCGTAGTGGGCCTATGAGGCCCAATAACTTGGCGGCGCGGGCGTCTGAATCCCAATACTAACAGTAAGGCCCATGTGACAGGGCCTCAAATGGTCTGTCTAGAGCCGACATGGTCATTTATGTGCAGATGCACACCTACGTACTGTCTTCCAAAAGCCGACAGGGTCACGTGCAACTGGCACTATGTTCAGGCTGAGCGGGCCTCTAAGGACCAATATTGTGGGACACTGGCCTATTCGGCCCAATATGTTAACGGCCAGGCTCATACAACAGAGCCCTGGTTGTCGGTCCTGGGCCGACAAGGCAACGTGTGTGCCTAGACAGGACCACTTGAAGTCGACCCAGCCCATGCGGCCCAATGTTTTGATGGTCTGGCCGAATAGATAAAGACTATTCTAGCCTACAGTACTCCTTCTATCTTATTAGCAGATCCAGCCCAAGCTAGAAGAAAACTTTAGTACGCAAACGCGCGTTTTTTTTTTTTTGACGAACGCGCTTTTAAATATACGTACAGTAATAATTCAAATGCATCGAAACAACATACAAAATATGCATAATTTGCACAACAATCTCATCCATAACGACAGACTAGTTACAGAGAAACATACAAGAATTACAGAAGGGACAAACCATAATGTTTCATAATTGCATAATTTGCCATCAACTGTGCGCATGAACTTTGGGACGGCTCATCGGAGCCTGGTACATGAGGAATATATTCTTCCTTGGGTTCCTGCAAATTGGCTGCTTTTATTAGTTTCAATAAGGTAAAGATTGTGGAGCTACTTCCAGTCATGTCGATAGAATCATCACTTGCTCAAGGAGAGAATTAGCATTACCATTGGTATTCCAAGCAACTTTAAGGCGATGTCGCTCATTTGCTTTAGTGCCTCCCTATCTAGCCAAAATATATACAACATCCAGATGTTACATGATTCTAGTAACTTGTCTCATGGATGATTACATCATGCAATAATATGTTTGTTTGTTTTTTTCAAATAGCATTCAGAAAACATGTTAATTTCATTATCATGTCATGCAATAATATGTTCATCGACAGTTCTAGATAAAAAGTGAGAACAAACATTTCTTTAATCCACTGGGTGGCCACAATCTAACAATTGATGTATAATAATACATACATTTTCTATAAGTAAAGCACCAAACATATAATAAAATTCAGGGACTCACTATGTAGTTGGTTTCAATACTCTTTTCCTCATCAAAAGTCTTAGCCCAGTTGAAAAAACTGATAAGTAAAATTCAAATGACCATGTCAGTGTACCATTCATTTGGTGCATCGCAAGGGTACATAACTCTGAGAAACCAGCTAACCCGGGGTAATGTAAGATAAAGTAACAAAATAAAAGAGCAACAACAAATCATTAACAACTTCAAACTATAAAATTTTCTAGTCAAGTCTGAACAAGTGAATGGTATAGAACAATGTCAGAGAGCTAATTGTTCCTCTGCGTTGTATCAGATAATTGAGGATTCTAAGTTCGATGGTAAAATAATCAATTTTGAAATGTAAATAGATAGCCCCGTGTTCTACTACATCAAGTTTCAAGAACATAAGTAGAGTAGAGTTCTACAGGCATATTGAAGACCAAACATTCACCAAATTCATGAATCATGACACAACCAAGTATATTTTTATCACTATAGCTTAAAGCCTATAATGTAGGTTTGTGAGTCAACTTAGGTCATATTTCCTAAGAGAGATATTCTAGCCACCCCAACCATGCGTTTACTTTGATGTATTAAAATCTGTAATTAATACTAAACTCAGAAAAAATGTACATCCATTAGATTATACTACAGTAGATATGATAAAGTTAACCATCAAACTAGTCCTAAGGAATTCTAATGCCCGTAAATCTGCTCTTAGATAATTACAGCCGCAAGTCAGCATTTTCCTTGATATTCAACAAGGAATCCAAGTTGAGAATCACTAGAAGAACTATATTTCTATACTTTAACCAACTATTCCAAATGAACCCAGAAGTAGGAAATAAAGTAATAAACACAAGAATGTAATAAATTTTTACTGATTGAGGTGAACAATGGGCATGCGTGGGGGAATAAAAAGATCCACCAGAAAAAAATTTGGAATGTGATTGACAGCTGCATTTGAATTCCAAAAAATGGTGTAACTTCAAGATAATCCAAATGTGGTGAATTTGCAGCTACTTGGGTGAGGTACTTACTAGCATCAAGGGGCCTTGGTCAGGTGAGATACCAAAGACGTAATAACTTTTGATAACTTCCCATGTAGTTCTAACTTTTAACCCTTTTTTTTCCCTCAAGATTTATGTGTCTGATTGACCACCATCATCTCACCTAACTCTAATAAATACTACGGTGTGATGAAAAGAAAAACAAATCTACCCTCAGAAGATTCAAATATGTTGTTTTACTTATTTTCTTTTATAGCTTTAGTTTACTACTCTGCTTACTTACCTGTCTTTCAGCATTTAATGTAAATTCTTCTTGGATCAATTCCGAGTCCTTAGCAATTCTAATCACACTATTTTAGTTACCTGCACAATCACACAGACAACTTCTTTGAGGGTAATTGAGTAGCAATAATGGAAAATATAAATGGGAAGAAACAAAATAAATGAAAAAAGGAATTCCTACATAAATTCAACATTATATAAATAATTTCTTTGAGCTCATAAAAGCTTCTGATATACTAGAATACATTATAACATTTCTTATGATATATTCAAGTTCAAAGAACAGAAACACAATCGTTTTCAAATCAAGACAAGAGAACAACACGGTAGAAATTTCAACTTATAACATTACCTTGCTTTGTTGAGTTAAAAAACCTAGCTGTGCTTAGGCAGCTTTGTCATCATAATGCTTGCAATGAAAGTATAGTAAACATATCTTGCACCTACACAAATAATCACCTTTGAAAATAAATATAAGCATATAAACATTATTTTTAAAAATCTGAGGCCATCTGGTTCTAACTAATTTATAGTATTTTTACAGGAATGGAAAATAACCTGCAAGGGCAGTGAATGCCCCCAGTATATAATTTAGTTCGGCTAATCCATATAAGAAAAAGGAGTATATTATCAAATACATGTCAGTAATTGTCTATTTGTCTCCAATGAAACACGTCATTCGAGAACATGAATCAAAATAAACTGCTTAAATAATTTGAACATAAAAAACAGGATTGTTCTCTAGCTCAACAAAACAATTACCAGTATAGAGTATAGACACAAAACTAGACAGATACGAATCTTTCCAATGGACAAACAAATAAGACTCAATTTAACTTAAGGAAAATAAATCAATTCAAAACCCTAGAGAATATAGCGAGAAGTGAGAATTCACCCGCATCCAAGTTCAACAAGCACTGTCAAGTTACCAGTCATAAATTAACACCGTCGTCGGCGTATGATTGTTTAATTTTTAAACTGTAATTTCCAACATAGAAACTAATGAATCAATCAAATCAAAGGAAATTATAATACAGAAAATCCGGTAACTGACCTGGTGAAAACAGAAGAGACATCTTTATCTATACAGAAATACATGCGCGAATTACGAGCATACATACTGCCCGCAACTTCTTCATTCATTTGACCCATTTTCGTTGGCTTAACTACACTTAATTAATCATAATTAAACTTATATTTCTTCCAATCTATTGTGGAAATACAAATGGAAGTTTCAGAAATGAGATAAATTAGCATATTACCCAACTCTACCGACTTCCGGCGCGGAGCGAAGGCATCGACGGAGGAACAATGAATGAAATGACGAAACCGACGCTGTAGGACGTGGTCTCACAGCTGAACTCTTCCGATTGTAATCGTCCACGACTACTACTGCATCTATCCAACAGAATGTACACACATAATTTGAAAATTGATCATTGATCATGCAGCGGTAGGAGGTGGGAACGAAGCGCACCGCCTTGCAAGATGACGAATGAACTTGGGCCCAGTTAATGAATAATGGGCTGAAATCTTAAAAAATTAAAAAGCCCAGCACTTATGTTCTCGTTTTAAATTTTATTTCAAATTATATAAAATATATCTATTTAAACCTCGAATCAATATTCTAGATAAAAAAAAATATTAATATACATTAAATATTATTTAAATTAAAAGTTAAACATAAATAGAACAAACTCATGTTGCATTTATACACCTTAATATTATCTCAAAATATTTGTAACAAATTTACATTAGAATTAAAATTAAATATTTTATATTTAAAAGCTGATAGAAAAATAGCAAATAACATTATTTTCAAATATTACACTCGTCTTTATGTTTTATTTCAAATATAAAATATTACTAACCTAATAAGTATACTTACAATTTTCACTTTTACCATTAATTTTGCATATTTCCTAGTTTTTTGGACCCTTTTACAAATGTATATATACACAATATAAATTTTTATTTTGTAAGCATAATACTTCATACATTTTTTTATTGATGTACTATATTTTACAAAATATATAGACATTTTGTTTATTTTTCCAATAAATCATCAAATTTATACTGTTTATAAATTTTTATATCAAACACGTGTTTTGATTTATTATATATATACATTACACTAAAAATATTAAAATATAATTTTACATATTCAAGAGCACATAATAATAATAATAACATCTATTTATATATCATTTTAATAATTATTTTGATTTAAAATCTTATTATTAAAAACTAAAATTCAAAATCCACACTCCTAGAGTAGAGACCCCACCCCCTCAACAAGGGTGTGTGAAGGGTCTTCTTCATCTTCTACATTGAGTGTAAAAATTAATTTTTACGCAGGACAAAGATTTAGTTGGTTAATTAGTGATGAGAGACAAATACAAAAAGTAGCTAGTTTTTATTGTGAAATAAAATTAATCAATTAATTAAGTGTGCAAGTACAATAATTGATTTCCTGAATGGTGTTTACATAGAGATCAGAATATGTTGTGCAAGTGATAGACAACAAAGGAAATATTCCATCCAGGCAGAAAGAATTAATGTCGTTGAATGTTGATTGTTGAGCTGCAGAATTAATTACTCCAAACCCACACATATGACATCCTTAATCAATTAATTAATTAGTTAATATATATGCATGCTTCAAGTTGGTTCAGAAACCCTATTTAATTTGATCCTCCATCACATTGTAATATCTTGCAGAAACCCAATCAATTCAATTTGTTCACACAAATGGCCATGTGAGTAAGCATGCATCAGTTCAGGACCACAAAAGACAATTTTGAAGTAGAAACAATACACATAATTAATGTGAGACCACTGATGATGATCAGTGTATATGCTGAGTCTTGAATTCCTGGAAAAGCCTATTATCACCAAAACGCATTCAAATCTCCATGAATTTGTTTTGCATTAGCTTCTAGATAGCCAGTGAGGAATATGATGTATATGAATGTTTCAGCATCAGACTTTTATGGCACTATTGATTTAAAAGAAAGAAAAGGGGAAAGAAGAGAAGAAGATGAATGATTGATAAAGGAGGAAAACTAAGAACCAAAAAAAAAAAAAAAACAGGCTAGAGAATGATGATGATGAGTTCCAGAAAATTCAATTTGTGTAGTCATGATCAACGTATCTCTTTGGAGGAAGATTCCAACAACATATGACAACATAGCAGATAAGTCAAAGCAAACCCTAAAATCAAAGTTTGAGAACCCTAATAGTTTATCTCCACAACCAAAGACAACAGTCTTTCCATTTTAATCCAGAAAATAACATCGATCATACAATATAGATAGATCCGTACAACATATATATATATAGGTAGTAATAATAATACCACGAACAAAAATCCAAACAAACAAAACACAGATCTTTGCTTCAAACCCACACAAATTCCAAAGATCCAACCACACTCGCAAACACTAGCATCTGAAAAAAAAAAAAAAAAAAACTAATTGAACAAAACCCTAATTAAGTTTCTGAAATCTACAAATCCAAATTATAAAGATCTATTACAATCAATCTCACCTTTGAGGAGGCAAAGAGCAGGCAGGCATTTTTAGTACCCAAAAAGGTGAAGTAGCAGGAGATCGGACCGTGATGCTTGATTCCCCATGAGAAGAAAGAAAAAGGAAAGCCAAAAAGCTTGATCACTTTGAGAATTAGGATGATCCATCAGATCAGAGTCGTCGTCGTCTTAATTGCAAATCAAGTGGATTCTTCTTCCCTTCTCTCTATTAATATAATTATTATTAGTCGAAACAAAACTCCCATTAATTGCTAATACTTGGTCTCCATCGTCATCTTCTTCTTCTTCTTCATTAATAACCACAGCTGACAGACCACAACCACAACCACTCCCACTCCCACCCCTTTTGATGATCTTGATCCTTTTCTTCCTGGATAATGATGATAATAGTCTTGTTGGAGGGCCAGCGAAGTTGTGGGCATAATCATGGCTGCTTTGAAAGGAAGGATAGTAGCAGGGTGGTGGTGGTGGTGGTGGTGGCACTGGTGAGCGCATGATATGATATGAAATGATGATTGCTCGTGTCGTGGGCTCTGGCGCTGAAAGATCGGTTAGAGAGAGATACATACATATACATATATATATAAAATGTTTGAGAAATATTATTGAAAGCTCCTGGACCTCAGTAATAGAGACACTATGTAAGGTGTAGATCAATCTGGTGTCGAGACTCCAGGAGCTGCTAAATGACCTCGAATTTTTCAAACATTAAAAAAAAATAAAAATTGAAAATATTTACACAGCCATGGTTTTCGTGCCGTCTCTTTCTGCTTTTTTAGTATATTTTTTTTCCCTCCATTTATTACTTAATTTTTCTTCTTCATTCATAATTCATTCATTCTTACTTTTTTTTTTTCTTTTGTGAAGATAAGCTGCTGGAGAGGGACATTGTGGCAGGAATATCATTTGAATCGATGAAAACTCAAAGGGACTCCTTTTCATTAGAATAACATTCTTTGGGTTTCATCACTGCATTCCTCCAAGCACTCCCTTTGGTAAAGCTCCCCTTTTTCCATTAAACTTTTTGATTTGCAGTTGAACTGATCACGAAATATTCTCAATCTTTACAGCAATCTGTACCACATTATTGTATATGTTCGTTTAAAGCGCAATTTTCTTCTTGAGCAGATAATCCATTATTAATGTTTTTAAACATTCCAGGGATATCTGCTTGGCAGATGAGATGGATGAAAAGATACAGTATAATGCAAATGCAAGAACACACACACACAAAAAAAAGAATTTTGAAAACTGGAATGATATCATGATGATGCACATGTGGTACTGACAAAAGGGTTTCTTTCCAAATCAATGTTTGAACGAATGTCTTTTATACACTTTGATGCAGTACGATATTCGCACTGGACCTGCGCAGACTAGTCAAGCTTTCCATGCTTAGAGTAGGGTGGTGCACTGTGCTGTGCACTATCCAAACATTCCTCACAGAGACAATGAAAGTTCAAGACCTGTTACTTTCTCACCAGCATTTTCAAACATATATATAAAACGTACACACTCATAATTATATGAAAAAAGACGCAACAAAAGAGGGCATTATTATGCCTTTGATAGTGTGCTTTCCCACGGCCTGTACAAGCTTTACACATCTCATATTCATTCATCAAACCATGTATAAATATGTGTACACTTTTCAAAGCCAAATGTGTGAAATTACCAGCTCTCTTGACATGAAGGGTCGATTGGAAAAGAATTAATTCCTTACATTGATGAAAGAGGGGGTGGGTGGGAGTGTAAGGTAGTCAGTACAGAGAGAGATTCCTGACCTGATCAATTATCAGATAGAGAATATGTATATGTGCAAAAAGAAGAATTTATATAGCTGGAAATGACAAAAAGCTATGCCGCGAGGGGTTTCCCACAAGGTGAATTCACTGCAGTTTTCATATGAATATATATATATATATATATATAAGCAAATTCTGCTGCTTTTTCCTGCAGCAGATCACTTCTCAAAGGATTACTCACCTCAAATTGTTTCTGGGATTCCTTCAAAAATAGGGGAATTATCTATCAGCCTCCATCACTTGGCCGGAGCACTTGTTTCTTGAAGTGGTATTCCCATTTGTTTTAGCTAGGTTAGGTAGCAGAAGAATCTTGATTTCTTGAACTAGGACTTCTGTAATGAAGAATTTATAGTGATGAGTGCTAGCTTTACTTTATATATTAAGAAGCAGCAGCAGCAGCTAACAAGCTGGGACAGAGGCCAAAGTATCATTAATTAATCAAGCAGATGTTTGTTGAGGTCATTATTACATGCACATTGCCTGACTAAATGAATCAACACCAAAGGGAAGAGTGCACATGTAATATGGGCATACAACAGTTCAGAGATTGTTGTTCTGTTCCTACAAACAATTCCAGGAAATGTTGTTAATTATTTGGGCAGCATTTGTATTCAGGCAAGTCATTATATATACTTCAAGTTCAGGACCAGCCTGTGATTCCTTGAGCCTCCATTTGAGCTTGAAGATATTGCTCCACTGTAAAAAGCTTTGCCCCGCCAAACCAATTGATCATGAATATGCTCTTGATCTCTAAATTTGAAGACCTGGAATTTGTGGCTTTTAGGCCAGCCTGCCCACAATTCAAAGCATCAGAAGCCACCAAGATATGCTCATAGATAGCAAGAATGAACACAGCACTAATTCTACAGATACATGACAGAATGGTGAAGGAAATTGCTCACTTCTCATCTCAGGGTGCTTTATGAACAAAGCCGTTCGAGCGAATTCAGTTTCCTCCGAATTACCCTCTAATAACTCCAGCTGAAACTCCAATAGCGAAATGCAAATCAGTTCATGAGACAGAAACAGGGGTGGGTTATGCAAAATGTATCCAGGGCCAGAGAGTGATGATCATTAGAAGAACAGAGTGAATGTGGTTATCAATTTGAATGCCTACAGAATTTCGAGCAGAAACTAAGTTGATGAAGGGACCACCTTTCCGATGAGAGTAATTTTTGCACAGGTGGGATTCTCAGGATCTTTCTTGCCGCAGGTTCCCAGGCTGTATTCACTTACTGTGAAGGAAGACCTTCGATCTTTCAAAGCATTTCTTGCTGTCGGATCGAAGGTTGTCATGTAGAAGTAAGGAATGCCTTTCCCTTTACCAGGCAAGCCATCACTGAATGAGATCACATTCCTGAACCAGAATGTATCATGGAGTCCATACGAAATAAATCAAATCAGAATCTAATCATTCAAGAAATCAACCCAATCAACGAATATAACCAGAAGGGGGATTTCATCCAGCAAGAAAAACTTCCATCTTGGTAAAGTATTTGAAGCTAGAAGTATCCCCCGATTCCCATAGTACATTAGGGTTTTGGATTAGACCTAACACATACCCGAAAGGCGAACCTCCCCAATCGCTGGATATCGTGCTGTAAATTAAAACAAAAGATTAAAGAACATAATCAAAGCGAACGACGTTTCCATCGGATATCAAAATCAGTAAACACGCCGTTACTTGAGGACACCCCATGAACTCTGAGAAACCAGCCACCGAGCAAAGACGGCGGCGTTGTCCGGCGGGGGCCTGGCAAGCGGTAGCAGCAGTAGGGGCAAGGGATCCTCGTTTTTACACCGTTTAACCAATTATTTTATAACATCTTATATGAATTTTTAATATTTTTTTAAAATAAAAAAGTAATTAATTTAAATAAAATTATAATTTACTTCTCTATTTATTTTTTTCTATTCCTATTAAACACTTTCATCCAATTTACTTTTAATTTTTTTTTTTTCAATCCTAATTTTTTGGAGAGAAAAATATTTCGGGGAAGAGTAAAGGAAGAGGAGGAGGAAAGATGACGGGGGAGGAGAGATGACGGCCGTTTCCGTGGAGCACACCTCAATGGTTGGTGTCGCGGTCGATGACAAATAGGAAAAAAGCTGAACGGCGCGTTGGCTTTGGCAGCTGTGCAGGGCGTTGTCAAGGTGAATCGATGATCAATAAAGGGGGAAAAAAATAAGAGAGAGTTGTGAGAAAAAAAAAATAGAAAATAAATGCAAATTTGAGAAATTTAATTTGAGAATTATGATCGTCGGAAGAAAATTAGGGTTAGAGTGTTGATGATATTACTGGAGAAAAATTTAAATGAAAGTGTTTATAAATAAAAGAAAAAATAAAAAATTGGAAGGTAAAATTATAATTATAATTAAATTAATTATTTTTTTATTTTAAAAAAATATTAAAAAGTCAGAACTCATATTATAAAATAATTGATTAAACTGATTAAACTGGATAAATTTTAAACCGGATAAATTTTAAACCGACGGTCTCTTGCCCGCGGTAGGCGCCCATGCACGCATTCGTGTAAGAATCCAAGCACAGTGATCGATGTGAAAACAGAGGAAGGATTGAGCCCTTTGACTTTCATGGTTTGTCGGAAACTGTCGTCTGCCCCAACACCCAAAAGGAACAGGAATATAATTCTATATTTATGTAGTTTGAATGAACCCTGTTGAATATGGTCAAGCCGATTTGACCAAAGAATGGTTGTATTCGAACTTTCCTAATGCACGAAATTAAAAACCTATATATAAAAACAAAGGAACAAATTTGAAGGACTACAAGAAGATTCGTAATATACATTGACCACTGCTTATTATTATGATTCTCTACATCTGAAAAACCTGGCAAAAGTCCCGTAAGCCAGCATGCTTAGCGAACTCAACAATGCCAGAAACCAGTAGTACTTATCGAGCCGGGCTTTGGCCATGTCATCGGAGAACCAGCTGTCCGCCTTCCCTCCGTCGCTGGTTATGATTTCCACCGCCGTGATGAGGATGGCGCTGAGGAAGCTCCCGACGCCGAATACACTTGTGTACAAGGCAATCCCCATCGTCCTCATTCTCTTGGGCACCTCCGAGTAGAAGAACTCCTGCATCCCGACGACGGTGAAGATATCGGATATTCCAAGGAGCACATATTGAGGTAGCAGCCAGAAGATGCTGAATGTAGTAGCCTCGTTTTGGCTCAGCCGTGTTCTTTCTGTAATGGCGGCAATGATCATGGCTATGATTGACAGGAACATCCCGACGCCCATCCTCTGCATCACGCTGATCCCCTTTTCGTGCCGTGTTAGAACACGCACCACAGGGATGAACACCGTGTCGTAGAGAGGCATCAGGAGGATTATGGAGATGGTAATCGAGCTTTGCAGCGCAGCCGGCGGGATCTTGAATCTGCTCCCGATGTTTCTCCTCATTGTCATGCCCTGTTTTGTGAAGAACGTCGCCGGCTGCTGGAAGATCACCGCAAACGGTAGAAGCATGATCCAAACCGGCAGCAGCCGCAGCACGATTGTCGCGGCCTTCTTCGCATGCAAAGGCTCCTCATGGCCGCCCCCGGCCTTGGACAATGACGATGCCGATGATGATTCCTCGTCTTGTTCTTCGTTCTGTTGTAGTCTGTGAAACATAAATATCGATAAATTTAAAGATTCATCATTTAACGATGTTCTCAAAGGATTCGAGGATGAATTCGACTTACTCTAACTCAACCACAGCATATCCACTTCTGTTACGTCCATTGATGATATTCAGCACACTCACTTTGATGGCTTGGACAACATCGGCGAACTGCTTGGCCTCGCCGTGCTTGTGCAGAAAGAGTCGGTTGCCGCAGAAGAACATTAGGATGGAACAAATCATTGCAAAAGAGGGGATGGCGAATCCTAGTCCCCATCCCAAGTTGTCCTGAACATAAGACATAACCGAAACGCCCAACAAGCTGCCACAGCACACGCCGAAGTACCACCACTGGAAGAACATGCTTTTCTTGCCGGATTTTTCGTCGTCGTCACCATTAGTACAGCTGAGTTCATCTTCATTTTCGAGCTGGTCTGCTCCAAAGGCTTGTAACGACGGGTTGTACCCACCTTGGCCCAGAGAAATCATGTAGAGTGACCACGACAGGAATGAGATCGATCCTAGTTTGTCCGTAGGCCATCTAACTGCAGTTGATGTCAAAGCTAACAGTCCCTAATTTACATCGGAATTAAAATCCCCGCGATCAAAATCATCAATGGCAGATACATACAAATTCAGTAGCACTTGCAATACATACATGCATAAAAAATGGAAGAGGTGAATTTTCAGAGCAACAGTTGAAATAATTAATTAAGGTGCAGTGAATTATGAACTGACCGCAGCGTAGAGCAGAGACGACGCAACAATGGTGGAGTATCTGTCCCAGTAAGTGTCGGCCAGCGTCGCGACTATCAATGGCAGCATCGACGTGAACCCCACCCAGCTATTCACGAACTTTGCAGCCGAAGAATTGCTCATCTCCATCACATCCGTCAGATACGTCACCAAATTCGACGCCACGCCCTTGAACGCAAACCTCTCCATCCCAGAAATCACTAGCGCAATTCAACACCAAAATTCAAACAAATTAATGGAATGGTTACACTGAATATTAGAAGATTGTGTATTATTTTACCTATGAGGAGAATGCAGGGCTTGTTGAGACAGTTTAATATCTTTAGAGCAGCCATGATCGATACTAGCTAAAGAAAACAACATGAGCTGAAAGGAGGAGGACCAAGAAATTAAGTCCCTAACTGAATGACACAAAAGATTCGTTATTCTCTGTTTAGGATTCAGAATCCAAGCAAAGAAATGATGAGGGTTTTATGCTGTTTCTCAAACGTATCCAGTCACAGAAAATATAGAGTACCATAGGAGGATGAAAATTCCACTATGTTTCCCCCACTACTTTCTGTTCCTTGTGTGTTTTTTTTTCTCTTAGCTCCAACAACTTTCTTGCTTTTGAGATTTAATGGCACACTCAGAAACTCACTAATTGGTAATTAGCCAGTCATCTCAGCTCGTGATAATCCCATCTTTCAGCACCATTACTTTAATTAGTTTCTTGGAAAGGCAGTTCCCCACTTCCCTAAAAAATTATAGTATATGAAAGTAGGAGGAAGCATCAGATGAGTTTTTCTCAGACAGGACTACGCACCAATCAACTTGTGTGCATGAATGATGTGATTGTAATGGCGACATATGTCAAGCAATTTCCATGTGGGCACTCCCTGAATCCGCCATGTAGTAGCAGGGCACAAAATCTTGTGTTGGAATCATATCACTACAAAGTGTGCATTTGATTGTGTCTGTTAGGGCTGCTGCTGTTTTCTCCCTAATGTCACCCCACTATTATTGACTGGATTTCACTCGCTGTCTGCATTGGATAACTGAATTTCAGTGTCTTATAATACAAATACTTAATTTAATTCGCAGTCTGTGTCTGAAGCAGCACAGTTTTGGAGAAGCTAATATAATAATGGTTACTCTTACTCAAGGAAGAAAGGCGGTGCTCTTTCTGGTAGTGCAGAGACTCTTAGCCCGGTTCCGGACAACATTGAAGTTTTCTTATGCTAGGGAAGTTGCAGATTACTATTACTATTACTATTTCTATTGCAGAAAAATATCGAGAAGAATCTTTCCAGAATTATTGAGCACACTGCACACCTTTCATGCGCTCAGCAAAAACACAACACGCCAGAGTCGTGCTTGGGCCTTCTCACGCTTTATCCATACCGTGCAAGTAAGCAAGCAGGTCACAAGAAAAATACCTACGTACCAATCCAATCCCTTCACTTTAACATAACGAAAACTGATTCGTTATCAATTAATTAATTACGACGTAAGCTTCTAAGCACTGAAAGAATGAATGATTGAGCCACTCGGACAGCACAAGATAACTACCCTTTGTTTTTTCAGAAAGGATAAATTAAAGATGAACAGCACTCCCAATCCCAAGTGGCTCTCCAAAGGAGGCTCATGTTGTGGAAAAAGATTGCAAATTTGTTGGACAAGAGGGTTGCCATGAATTGGGTCTGATATTTAATATTGGTGCCGCCATTAATTGTTCCATATGGATTTACACGTCAGGCCTTCTGTTGACGGCGTACGACACCATTCTTGTTTGTTAAAGCATGGTGGGTTCGTGACATGGATGTCACTCCTCTGATCTCCTACCTTTGTTGAATGATTCACGTCATTCATAGCTTTGATTGATGTCTGAAACTGTATCATTATATCTTTGAGCCCAAACCTAATTCAAAATAGGGTCCATTGTGGCCTGTTAGAAAGCCCAGGTTAATTAATGGAAATACGCTTTGTCAAGAAAATAAAAAACTTTTAAAAAAAAATGGATAGGCGACGGCGTAGAATGGAGTCGATAGATGCAGCATTATTGTGTTTTGTGTGGAAAAAACATGGAAAATAGGGATCAAGAAATTCCACATATTGCAATGAAGACCGACTAGGATTGGTCATTGGTGGTGGGCTTTGAAGGACCGATTTTTCCAAAGGGAAGAAAGACTTGAGCCGATCGTCGAATCGGAGTCCACTCTTCTCAATCGGGCGTTGCCGCCGCGCACAGATTCCGGCGACTATGGCGGATCACCACCACCGTCATCACCGGCCGAATCGAATAGCGGTTCCTCCCCGGACCGCCTTCCCGACGGGGACGACTCCGCGACCCTCGTACCCGGTTTTCTCCTACCCACCTTCAACCCCAATTCCCACCCCCTCAAAACACCGCCTCCCCAATTCCAAACCCTCTACGGCGGCGGCGTCCTTCTCCTTCCTCCTCCTCCTGCTTTTCTCGCTGCGTTCTTTGTACTCTCTCCTCCCTTTTCTGCGCTCTTCTCCGCCGTCGTTCTCCATCTTCCCTTTCTCCTTTCTCGTCTCTCTCCTTTCCTTTGTCTGCACCCTTTGTTTCTCGCTGTTCGCTTCGGCTTCTGGTAAAGGGGCCTTGTACCGAAAACTCCCCGTTTTTTCTCTTACTTCAATCACCCAATCACAGCACAAGCTCCTCGTCGCTAAATCAATCGTTTTGGCTGTTGTGTTTTTGTTGAGATTTCAGGCGTTGAGGTACTGCGGCGCAGCCGCGATGATATTGGCCGAATTGTCAGGAAATGTGGCGGCGAGATTTATCGGAGAGGGTAAAAATGTGAGCTTTGTGAATCGGAACATTGGATCATCCAAGGTGCGTGGGTTTATTGCATTGCTTTCTGGATTGCTCCTGTTATCTGTTAGCTGGGATCGAACTGAATGTTTTCCTTTCTCCCATTTGAATATTAGGAGCAGCAGAGGTTTTTTAGTGTTTCCCAGTGGCAATTGTTTGAGGATTTGGCCAATGCTGCTCCCTTTCTTGTCGGGTTTTTTGGGGTATTATGAGCAGATTTTGTCGAATTGGGGGGATCTTCGAGAGCTTGGCCAAAAAAGGGTTCGTTTGATCACCTTGTTCTTCACTACAGTTGTGCTTTTTATACCTGCTGCTGTTAGTATGCTCGTGTTTGAGGTAGAAGGTGATAGCATTTCGGTTTCAAGTCTTGTCTGGCCATTGGCTAATACCGTAGTGTTCGGCGCGCTTTTGAGTGAGAATTTATCCGAAGAGAAAGCTGCATCTGCTTCGAAAGATGTCCGGAGGGAGTATGTAGTTACCTTTGTGTGTACCCTTGTTTTGGAGTTGTTTTATTTTCCGGAGCTTTCGTTGTGGGGATTGCTGATTTGTGGGCTGTTGCTTTGGATTTCGGTGAGGGAATTGAATCCTGCTGGATATAGTTATCCTGAATTGGGCTACGAATCGCCCGAAACGTTGATTACTTTAGTGATGAAATCTCTAAAGCACGTTTTGGGCGAGAGGAAGTCGCGCAAGATTGCTTTATTTCTGTTGATCAATACAGCTTACATGGTGGTCGAGTTTGTTGCCGGGTTCATGAGCAACAGTCTAGGGTTGATATCGGATGCGTGCCATATGCTGTTTGATTGTGCTGCCCTGGCAATTGGCTTGTATGCTTCTTACATTTCACGGCTGCCGGCCAACAGCCAATACAACTACGGACGTGGGAGATTTGAGGTGCTGTCTGGGTATGCCAATGCGGTGTTTCTTGTTCTTGTCGGAGCATTGATCACGCTCGAGTCATTTGAGCGGATTTTGGATCCTCAGGAGATTTCTACTAGCAGCCTACTCTCGGTGTCGATTGGGGGACTTCTTGTCAATGCTGTAGGGCTAATATTCTTCCATGAAGAACACCATCATGCTCATGGTGGATCTGGACCATGTTCCCATTCCCATGATCATCACTTACATGAACATCATGATGGGCTCGGAGGCAAACATTGCGCTGTTGTAGGCCATGATGAAGCATGTAGTGTGGATCATGGAAGTGAGCGATGCAATGGGAACGACGACCACCACCACCATATTCACGACGACAATCACCCTGGCGACAAAGTGGATCACCATGAGCATCATGATCATCATATTACACCATGTGATCATGACGGCGTTCATGCTGACCAAGTTTTGGGTAAAAAAGACGAGAAAAGGCACCACCACCACCACCACCACCAGCACGTTGACCACAATATGCAAGGCATTTTCTTGCATGTCTTGGCAGACACCATGGGAAGCGTCGGCGTGGTTATCTCAACACTATTGATCAAATACAAAGGATGGCTTGTTGCTGATCCTGCCTGCTCGATATTTATTTCTGCATTAATTGTGTCCTCTGTTATACCATTGCTCAGAAACTCCGCAGAAGTGTTGCTGCAAAGAGTTCCAAGATCGTGCGAGCATGATCTCAAGGAAGCTTTAAATGATGTGATGAAGCTGAAGGGAGTTGTAGGCCTTCAGAATCTGCACGTCTGGAGTTTCACCAACACCGATGTTGTCGGGACCATCCATCTTCACATATCTTCAGATGCCGATAAGACTTCCTTAAGGAAACAAGTATCTCACATTTTACATGATGCTGGTATCAAGGACTTGGCGGTGCAGATCGAATATGTTGACTTGGAAAGATGATCTAAACTTATAATAGCCAGTACAATGTGCTACACCATTTTAACTTTATTGTAGTTTCTGCTGTGCAGCAACAAACTGGTCTTGTTGGTAAACTGAGTATTATACCTTCTTATGCATCGTCTGTGATCTCTTTTCTGGAGAAGATGATCTTGATCTCACAGTGTTTAAGATTGATGTATTTATTTGGTCAATTGTCATTTTGGACTGCTTTTCAGGTTTTCAAGATGTGGCTTTTTGTAGTTGAGTTATTCAGGATATTCAGTTGTATGTATTACTACAGATCAACATGAAAACATGTATGTATTATGTACTTGGTATTGATTTATATTTAAGGTTATGTAATAGATTGAACTTGTTATGCCCTTTTTTTCCCAATGTACACCCCATGGCTATCCTAGCCATGCATACTTGGCACATCTTCATCACCATATCCTTAGAAGGTAAAGTCGATTAAAGAAGGCCATAACATATTCTAAACACCTATCTGTTACATATTTCTGTGAACTTTTATAGTACAGATGATGGATGCATACTGCCATAGTTCTTCTTCTTCTTCTCTTCTGTGGGAAGATGGAAAACTGCAGGCAGCACCCAACAAAGTTCTCCATGCGTTTCGGGTCAAGTTATGGCTGCTTGCGTCACCACAACACTCTACAAACTTCCAGAAGCTCGGCAAAAATGAAATAGTAGAATTCTTCCATAGCTCAACAAACTCGGGATTGGTTTGCACAGCAGTGTTACTCTCGCGGTTGTAGTTGCAGTTTGTAAGCCTGTATTTCCATGGGAGAGATAAAGATACGCCCTTCCCGAGCACCTGCTCCAAATCGTTCATTATAGCCGAGCAGATCAGACTCTTTGTGCAGAAGATTAATGGAACTTCCTTCTGCTTTTGTAACAGCCATTCCCTTAAACATTTCAAACAGATTGATGGGCTCATCACCCATAGTCAAACATTGCGATCTGCCTGTTCGACAATATGAAGTATCAAAGTGTCGCCTTTGCACAACAAGCGCAAACCTAGGTTCATCGGGGGACTGCTGAGAGTATTTCGCCGGTTGAGGAACCTTGAAGTTCACAATATGAAAATCACACGGCAAGGAAGCCACCAGAGGGGAGAAGGACCTTGGGGGCGGCTGCACTGAGATTGGATCGGCAGTTTTAGCAATGTGCATGTGCATTGGATAGTTCAAGTGAGCGCCGACAAGATGCGAGAGAAGAGACGGACTCAGAGGATTAGGATTCAAACTGGGATCAACTGGCGATGAAATGCTAGACTCCACTGTAAGATGAAATACCACATTCATGGGATGGTTGTCCATCACTCCTTGTCCCAGACCACGCCCGTCATCTCTCACTAATCTACGATCGAGCATAACCTCCAGCCACCCATTTTTTAAGCTAGCCACGCCCAAGGACTGTCGAGTGTGAACTGAGAAGCGTTCTCCATTTGAGTCTTGCATAAATGCAAGGGACGGCATAGGATAGTAATTTCCCTGCACAGGTATCTTGTCATAAGTTTCCCTCCGGCTTGTCTGAAAGCCATTCAAGTCAGAGTAAAAGATTCTCTTATTATCAACATCTGTCTTATATCTAACGATCAGTTCTTTATCATTGAACTCTTGCCCAAGAAGCTCGACATGGTAATCTTTCTCGATAACAAATTCCTGTACTGTACCCTCACCATTATATACACGGGTGCTGAGGGAGATTGGAGCTTTTCTCCAAGCTGTCTTTGGACGGGAAAAAACTTCTTGTACCAAATGACCCTCGGAAACTACCAGTTCTCCACCATCTTGAGTGATCGATTGAGCGTCACCATTTGGTTTGAAGAGGTAGGCTCCACTCTCAGTGCTAGAGTACAAGCTTATTTCTTCGTCAACATTGAGGTGACGATCCTTATGACTTATTTTCTGCAATAGGCCATTTCTTGCACTCAAGGTGAGAGTATGATGCCGATTTCTGATTTCAACTGTATCAGTTTCTATATCAGAGCAAGAATAATGAGGAGGGCAAGAAACTTGTTTGGACGGAGAAATGATCTTGAGAGAAGCTGCCTGGGCTTTCTCACATCCCACAAAACCATTAGCCACATAGTAGGTCTGTAATCCCATAGCAGGAACAGAAGATTTCCAATACAGACGATGTCTCCCAGTAAACATACCTTTTCTGTCATGGTGTAGTTCGGGAGAGACCTGACTCTTGACACAGGTCCAGTTTGAGTCCAGCACTGTAACATCTGGTCGTCCAACAACCATCATTACCACTTCATTTCTTGTTTGCTCCAATGGGTTAAAAAGGACGACGGTTTGCACAGTTCCTTCACGGGCACTAATGGCTCTATGCACGGTTTGAGCATCAAACCTGGATCTTGTTTGTGCAGGTTCAAAATTTGCTGTATTTTGATCACTTTTCTCATGATGCATTCCAAGCAGAACTTCGAAAGCTTTAGACAGAAAAATCTGTAGGTCTTCTAAAGCCACATGCATCCGTGATCCATAATCCACAACCACATGATCCTTAGCAGTGCCAGTCACACCATCATGGTGTTGAAACAAAGCTAAGTTCCGTCTGGCTGAGATCAACTTGTAGGAAAAACTAGTGGGCAACTTCTCACATTGACCTCTCTGACAGTATCCTAACAGGAAAACCATCATCATTTCTGCACCCCTAAGTGTTTGCTCCAATACACGATCGACAGCCTTGAAGAAAGGCCTGGAGACATAGTACCCACTCCAGTAGTCTTGATTTCTATCAGCATACGTAAAAAAGTCGCCTGATAAAGACGGGAAACCTCCAATCTCACCAGAGCCAATTTCGCCAGCCACTGAATACTTTATTTTATCGGATTCATCACGCAGGGTCCGGAAATAGTCATCCAAAGTACCAAACTTAGTTTCAGCATTCAAGCTAGGATCAGAATTGATGTAATCAAATAACCGCTGATAATTCCGGAACTGAGCCTCTGCTTCATCAACACTAACATAGCGGAAATCATCACCAAGGGGAATCAGAAGTGTGTTTGTCCGGTACAATGTTGATTTCTTCCTGTACTGGTCCAATAATTTCAGTGCCCTCTCCTTCACATTTCCTTGATCAGTCTCTACGGGATTTTCTCCCCAAGGGCACCTCTCATACGGACCTCCGTGCATTCGAGCGAAGTCAAATTGGCAACAAACAGCAGGCTCTGGCCCACATGTATGTGGGACATCATACGAATAGAATGGCATCATGTGGACAAAGATATCAGTTGTTTCCTCAGTATCCCAGCTCTGTCTCCATACATACTCCAGATTCTTAAACGATGCCAACTCCTTCTTCAACTCATAATGTGTTCTCTGTATAAGCATGTTTTCAAAACCCATGCGACGAAGAAGATAAGCCATGGTTGGCGAATACCCAAATGGATCAATAGCCCATGAATTTCTAGGAATAAAACCAACGGTTTCGTTCAACCATAAATTTCCTTCGGTGATCTGAGGTATTCAAAATAATGATATGAACAAAATGTAATAAACATAATAATATGAAAAGATGTATAATAAGACACTTTGTCTCAACAAACATATCAAGTCCATGTAAAATTAGAATATCATACCACAATCAACAGAAATCCAAACACAATATAGGCAAAATTGGCATCTGATGGTGTATCTAAAATTGAATAGAAAAGATTTCCTTTCACTTCAACAACAGTAAACCATGCATTTGATAACTCATAGACATAAGAAATCCGATACACCTAGCTAATGTCAATTCAAACATCCATTCTGAAATGCCTTGGAAAATATGATATCTCATGCTTAAATAGATTCACTACTACAGTATTGCGTGCAAAACGTAAATATAAGAGAGGACTCTTACAAAGGCATATGAATTAAAAGCACCAGAAATATTAGGAGTAGTTCACTATGAGGAAGAAATGGGCCAAGTAGATTACCACACTCGCCAGTTTCCCTTGAAAACATCATTTTAATATAAACAATATTAGACGCGTAACCACTGAGCTATTTGTGTTCCTGAAAACCTAGATAATTCAACTTGCATTGAATAAGTTCATTGACCAAAAGAACAATCAATGAAATTACCTGCTCAATGATAGCAAAATAATGTGAATTAGCCTGCAGAAAAAATGGAGCAAGAAATCAGTAAGATTGGACCACTGTATGGGATAAATAATAATAATAACAGGAAAGAAACAAGTGATGTATACATGATGCATGGAACAGTTGATGTAAGTATTCATAAATGTAACTATGAAATTAAACCTCAAATTGCAGTAGAATTTTGAAGGAAATCATGTAATTTAATCATTTCAAATAAGAAATCATCATGTTGGGGATATAGCATCAATCAATCTTCCAAAACATTCATGAGTTATATCACCTCATCATTCATCACCCATCCACCACCAACAATTTCCAGCTGCCCATTCCGCACTAGGTTGGTGAAAGATTCTCTTTTCAAATGTGAAGCATCTCTCCACCATCTTTCAAGATAAGACATCTCTTCCCATATGAATTTTCGTCGATTATCCTATATTGAAGTAAAAATTATCAGGGTTATAGCAATAAAAATCAATAAAGTTCAATTTCCAAAGCACGAGATAAAGTTCTAAATAGAACTCACCAAAGACTTCACTCATCAATCTATTGCTTAATATCATGCATTCAATTTAAGGAATCAACATCACCATTGGACACAATCCAGAATTTACTTGAGAGAAAACCAAGTTATATTGTAAATCCTATCTTAGTAGGTTAGGATACTGAAACGAATTGAAATGTTAAGCAATAACTGAGCCTACTGAAACATTAGATAGAGACAAATCAAAGAACATATCGATGACCAAATAAACAAATCTTTAGAAAGAACTCTAACCTTTGCCAGTGTTTCAACAATAGTATCAAGAATATGCCTAGATTGCCGATCATAATACTCCTCGACAGTGAGCTTCCAGCCAGGATCATTATGCGAATGCGGCACCACAAATACCTTCAATTTCTCTTCATTCCACTCATTCCCTTTGTAAGTCACTCGCCATCCCTGCTTCCACGGCCCACCGTCCTCATCCAAAAACTGGATCTTATCATACAGCTGCTTCGTGGTGATATCGACAGCAGCCGTCAGAACCGAAACGTTCAGAGACCTATGGACCACAGGCTTCCGATGCCGCGCGGAACGGGCATGCGTTGAAGAAGAGCGTAATTGAACGGATACGGGACCAGCGGAGAAGCGGAAGAGGATAAAAAGGAAAAACACGAAAGTGAAACAGGCGCCGATTGTGAAGAAATTAGAGATGACAAATTCACGTAAGGCTGCGGCTGTACGCTTCCGAGGCTTCCGTGATTGTTTGGCGGAGGATTTGGTGGTTGGAAGGAGGGACGGCGACCATCCACCGGCGCCTCGCCGGGAGGTAAACGCCATGGAGCGACGGAATAGCGATCAAAAACCGACCAAAATGGAGCTGAATTCCGGTGGGAGAGTGTAGCTCGAAGCACGATCTGGAGACAGGATAAAGGATGCAGATCGGAAAACGAAAAAGTGGGCACCCGTTGAACCTCGTCGTTGTGCGTACATACAGTGCTGGGTTTATGCTGTCGTTGGCGAACCATTAATTAAGATAAATATATGCAAGTAAATAAATTAATAATGATAATTGCACCAGCCACTAATTTTTAGTACTATTACTGGACAAATAAAGGATACCCTGTAAGTTTATAACAACGATTCAGAATTATTTATTTATTTATAATTTATAATTGAGTTGGGGACCGTGATTGACCTTTCTTTTTTATATTTTTTTATGCAAGCATCCTAACGATAATAATAATAATAAGAATAAATGTCTGTTGATTTTAGGTGGTGTTTGATCTACGTAATCGTGCATTCCACTCTTTTAAAATTGAAATAAGTATAATTGTCTGTGTTTCTGTACCTTTAATATAATAAATAAATCAAAGTTTATTTTTTATGCATTCCGAGTACTACCAGTATTAAAACCAAATGGACGGTCTTGCTGATTTCTTCTTAAAAAGATACATATAATAAATACTATATATTTTTGTAACATATTGACATCACGCAGTCAATTTTTATTTTTTGATAATATGTGCATGAAAGTATATATTTTACAAATAAAATATCAAATATATTAAAATATATTGTAGTTGAAAAAGAAATAAGTAAAGCAACTTGGGCTATGTGGTCCATGGCCCAAATTAAAGCAGCTATTTTATTTTTAATGAAAGCCTGTACGTAAATGATTTTATTTTGGATTTCCAAGAAGCTCATCTGACTCTACGAACATGTACCAGAAAATACGAAATCCATGAATTGGTTCGGTTTCTTTCAAATAATAATAATAACAATCGAGTTGCAACTTATTGCGGTTGAATCCCCAATAACATTTGGGCTCAATGGGAAATGGAAACTGCCAAAGCAGCAATAAGCAAGCATTTGTCTGCTCTCTCTGGTCTGGATGAATGAATAAGTAATATTAATATTTAGGATCGGCAAAGAAGCTGTTGATGGATGGCATGATTTCAGGAGCTCTGTTGCGGACATACTTCCTGAGAGCATGCTCAGAATACCTCTCCCCTTCTGCATGGTTGTCCAGCACACCAGCAGCTCTGTGCTCTTTTGTCACCCTGCATTGCATTCCCCAATTCAATTTTTATCACACCCTCAATCTTACTCGAAACAAACAAAAAGTGAAATGATCTTGGGAACTTTATGGTGAGATCTCGGGAAGGAGGTGCAGCAGCTTTCAACCAGGCCCATTATTATGATTAAATCGTATATTAGATAATATTATCAACATGAAAGGGTAACAATGATTAACTAAAATGAATGCTTAGATAACCATGAATTTATCTTCATTCGCACTAAACTTAAAAAACCATTTTGTTAACAGAGTTCACCACTACTTGGTTGGTCATCAAAGAATATGAACAAGTTGTCTCATGTTACACTTCTCCCTAATATACACACAGCTTAGCTCCTCTACTGAAAATGGAATCCACAGCCCCAAATTCGTTCATGCCCCACTTAAGCAGAATATAAAACAACACAAACTTGAAGATGTAAATTGTATTTGTAATTCTCAACTGTTTTCACCAGTTGGCAGAGAACAGAGTAAAATCATAGATCCACACAATAACTCAGGAGAGAAAGAAACTATCCATTTGTTTCCTTTGTTTACTTGCATTTTCTTTATCCCAACTTAAAAACCATCACGTTAAACACTCAATTTCCACACACATCAAGCCTTTAAAAGCAAAAACAAACAAACAAACAGGTAAACAATATATGTATCCCTGTTTGAAATTTTCCTATTTAGTAAAATGAATTATATCTATATAGACGTCATCTGGTTGCATCTAATCTAAAACGGGAATCAATGACCTTTGTCTTTCTGATAAACTTACATCCATAACTCCGTACTGAATAAATCAAATATGAATATATAGATCCGCACGCGCATATCATCGGTATCTAATCTCCTGTTATTCCAAACTACGAATCTGATAGACGTCTAAAACTAGCAGCGGCAGTCCAAACATTGCAAATACTATCTTAAAACCCTAAGAAATGAAAAGGAATAAGAACGGATTAAATACGAGAAGTGCTTAATATTTTTGTCAAAATACCTGACTTCAGGATTGATGCAAATGTTACGGACCAATTGCATTCCGCAGATTCCGATAGCCACCCCGACGGAAGCGAACAGAGGAAACACCTAACCAAGCAATCAAAGAAAAAGGATATAACAAAACAGATCTCACAAATTCATCCCCTGAAAGGTGCAAAATCTCAACAACTAACAACCCAAAAAAAAAAAAGCCAGAACTTATATTTATATAGTGAACGAGAAGATCCAGGTAAGTACCTCGGGCCTGATCCACCGCTTGTAACTGGACGCGGAAGCCATAACTTCGAATCGAAGGCGATTGGAATCGGCGAGCGAAGGAAGAAGAGAAGAGTTAAGTGAACGCGTTTCTCAAGGCAACCCAATGCGATGCGGAGGGTTTTCAACATGGGGGTGGGTTTTATAATGCGGCATTGCTCACGTGAAAGACGCTTGCGCAGCAAGACATGTTCTCTTTTGCCTTTCCCTCTTGAGATTTTAAGTTGTACTCAATCTTCATATATTCTTACGGTGTGTTTGTTTTTAATTTTAATTAAAAAAATACTCCCTCTATCTTATATCCTTATTTTCTATTTTCGTTCGTGTGAGACGTAATTTGTTCTTTCTGAAAATATAATTATACACTTTGATCACATTTTAAATTTTAAATTTTAAATTTTATAATTTTTTTAATTTTAATTAAACTATTTAGTTATTTTAATCTTAATCTATAATTATTTTTATTAATGCTTCTTAATTACCTACTAATTATACTTTACCTGTATTTACAGTAATAAGCCCAAAATATGAAGGACTGAGGGAGTACTTTTTTATTCCACTACTATAAATTTACGTAAAGCAATAATTAGATAAATTATTATTTTTTCAAAAAAAAAAATATCATATCAAATTATATAATTTTTTTATATATAAAAAAACTTTTAAATTTATAATTGTAATATTATATTATTTACAAATATACTGTAATTATTTGCATATTCAATATATCTTAAACTTTCTATCTAAATTTCTAGACTCAATTTAAATTGAAAAGAAACACATAAAATTTATTATATAAATACTTGTAATATTTTGACGATTTAATTTGTTTGGCTATAGTTTTAAATTATTTGAAATTGCATATTGAGTTTATTGTTAACTATTACTTCCTCCGTCCATGTAATATTGATGTATTATCGTAGACATGAGAATTTAGGTAAAGTATAATTGATAAGTAATTAAAAAGTATATTAGTAAAAATAAATATTATTTAATAAAAATAATTATAGATTAAGATTAAAATAAATAAATAGTTTAATTAAAATTAAAAAAATTATAAAATTTAAAATGCGATTAAAGTGCATAATTATATTTCCAAAAATAGAAAGGACAAAGTATGTGGAAATAGGGATAAATTATATGGGACGGAAGAAGTATTATTTTGATATGATATTTTATCATAAAAAAATAATATAAAATAAATAATATTATTTCAATTTTTTTAAAAAAAGTAAACTCAATGTTTTCTATATCAATAGTAAATAAATAGACAAGTAAACGTAGCGGTACATCTACACACCATTTATTACTTAATAATTTAATAGTCGATGGTCTATATAGGCTGCCTGGGTCTAAATCCGCCACCAACTAATCAAATGGAGCTTTATTTGCAACTTGACTTTTTTTTTTTTTTGCCATCATTTCCAATAAACAATTGACTTCTTGTAAGGCTATTCTAACTTTTCATTCGTTCATTAATCGACTCTTTTTTTTCTCTCTTTTTATTTATCAATTTTTTATACATAAATATCCTTTTAGATTAACTTAATTTATTTATTTAAAAATATATTAATAAAATCATTATAATTTAATTAAAATAAAATATTTTGGGACGGAGGAATATCAATTGTATAACGTATCACCGCTGATAATTAGAGTTTTGAAAATTTTCTTTTTTTATCTCATAGAGTATAAAGCATTTTATACTATGCCTTGAACCATCCAATTGACATGAATCATAAAATCGTATTATAAAATTATGTTGTATACTTTCCGCAAAGTACAGTGCCTCATTCCCAGCCAACCCCACCCCTCTCTACATTTCATTAACAAAGAAATTAAAAAATAAAAAATGTTGAGGTTCAGAGGTGTATGAAGACGTTGTCAAAAAGTATGTACAAGTGGAGCAGAGGTGTGTTCAAAGAGGTCATAGGGAGACCAGAGATGATCAACAGGGCAGGGCCTGCCTTGATCGAGCCTCACCCATGGCTTCCCCTTCCCACTCCAATGCATCAAGCTGACCTCCCCCGGATGCAAACTCCGGCAGCTATTCACCACATTGTCGCCGCCGAGGCCGTGCTGGTTCCACCGGTGATCGATCCCTTCGATCTCGCCACCGAACACCAGCATCAATGGCGGCAGAGATCCCAGCTCATAAATCCTCTTCTCCTTCTGTATCTCCATCCATTCCTCCATTTTCTCTGTGTAATCTCCTCTTCTCCATCTCTCCAAATCCAGCACCAACACGCCCGTGTTGAAATAACACGGCCTCTTCTTCTTCCCTTCAAATGCCCGCCGCGGCAGCCTCGGATCAGCCCAGAATCGATCGTTAAAGTAGCTTGTGAAATTCGTGTGGCAATACTCGGGCGCCCCGATCACTCTGGAACCCGTCAGTTCGACGGACCAGAGCTTCTGGATATCGTCGACGAGTATTGTGTCGGAATCGATGTAAACGGCGCGGGTGATGGAGGGATCGAGAATGTTGGTGAGGTAGATTCTTGCGTAGTTGAGAGGGTTTTCCAATGCGGGACGAATGGAATGGGAAATCAGTTGCTTAATTTTGTGTTCGTTGTGAAATGGGTAGGTATTGAAATGCAGATTGGGGAAGGTGGACTGGATAATGGAGGATAGAGTTAGAGTTGTTGGTGTTGTAGTGATGAAATGGAAGTGTATGTTTTGTGGGCATTCGGAGTTCTTGAGTATGGAGTGGACCGATGCGATGGAGCCTCTCAAGTACTTGAGATCAAGCGTCATTGCTACATGGACTGTCTGTCGGCTGTTCTTGCAGTGGTCGTTGTTCAAGAATTTGGGAGCTTCTTTGTATTGTGGAGGTTGTAGACTGTTATTGGTGCTGTGAATCCGAATCGAGTTTGTGGGAGATGGAAGAAGAAGAAGGAGAAGAAACAGAGTAAGTTTCATAGTACTTGGACAGATGCTATGAATGATGGTAAGTGTTTGCAGTTGGGTTTGGGGATTCTTGAACAAGTGTTGAGGGTTCATATTCAGGGGCGGGTGGCTGTGGTAAAGGTATATATGGAAGCGAAGGAATTAGGAGAAAATTTGGTGCACGAAGAGGACATTCATTACAAACGCGTTTGCCGTGTACGAGGAATGTTCTTTTCCTATGAAGAAAATGTTAACAATCGGAAATTTTCTTTATTAAAATTCTTCAACGTGTGACAGCCATCGGGGTGAAAAAAATTGTTTGTTATTTTATGGTTTTGAAAGCATCGCTGACCACGTGGGGCCATGTGAAGCCGTACCCTGCCCCGCCGACGTAATAATAATAATAATAATAATAATATTATTATTATTATATTCTAGAACGTAGAAGTAGATCTTGAATGCAATTTCCGTGATGTTTCTTTGCCCTAAATGGCATCAGAAAAGGCATTATTGTAGCACTAGTATCTGTCTATTGCGCTGAATTCGGATTCTGAAAGGTCAAATTTTGTGTATCCATTGCTACTGAGTCTTGTATTGGTCATCTCTTCCGGAAGCATTTCTACATAAGAATCAGTCATACAAACAGCATATATGAAATTTGGTTGAGCAAGCAAACAGAAACAGTTTACACATGACTATGACATCATAATGACACAGAAAAATTAAAGGTGTGAATGTGATTGAAGAAGTTGTTCAAGTCCTGCTGCTATACAACTCACCCTTAACTCTTTACCACTCCATCTGCATCATATTTAATATCATTTCAGCTTCGCAAATACAATAAAAGCAGCAGCAACCCTGTAGTGTCGGCGGCGGCGGGATACTTTTGTCATCCTATCGAGTATTGAAACTAAATGAAACATATGGGCTCTCTACAAATTAGTATAGGCAAGGGTACCTGGCTTTGACGCAGACATACTATACTGACAATGGATGCTGTACCGACTGACCACTGCTTCTCGACTAATCTGTCCAAAGCGGACAGCTTCCGGAGGAATTCTGCAAGTTTCAATGGAGAGTTTGGTTTTGGAGAGACATGGTGATTTTGTCTCTATGGAATCCACTAACTGGGGCAAACCTACATCATAGAGGCACCGAGGAACTGGCGAATCGTTGCATTGTAGATTGGTGGGACTCTGAGGATTTCCCTGCTGATTGCTTTATTCTGCGTCTGGGATGAATATAGCTATCCTCTGTGTCGAGGACATATGAGATCTGAAAGCACATTGCATATCAGAGGAGACTTTCACGAAAATAAGGGAATGAAACTGCAAAGGCGGCATTTTCACTTGAAAAATGTCATGACACGACATGAAACCTAAGTTTGAATCTTAGACAGAGAGTTCTCTAAATTTGAGGAAAGAATGCCAAAGGTAATACAAAGAATGTGAGGAAAAGAACATGCATAGCACAATTGAGCTTAGGATTGGACAACTGTGATAGGGAGATAAAGCAACCAATATAAGAATATGTGTCGTGTATATTGTGCAGCAATGAACACTGTCTATCTAGATAAAGAATCATATGGTAAGCTCGGTAAAGAATATAACGCTAGAACCCAATAATCATCCCCGTTGCATGTAAGAAAGATTAATCAGATGCATTATGATTCAATTTATATGTGAAAATGAATAAATGAAACACGTAAAGTATACCTTTGATGATGAAGAAGACATCTTACATTCCAATCCATTCATGATTCGCGCATTTTGTGTAGCCAAACACAGAGCAGGGTAATAATCAAGATTACCATACTTGCTCATGTTCCTGCATGTATTACAAGTAGACCAGACTGTGAATTAATTACATCAATCTAACCATTGCTCAATTGATAACTCTGAAACATCAGAGAAACTCATAAAAGAACATATAATAAAGGAATGAGTAAATTTCCAAGGGATTTTCTGATTCATGGAAGGGTCGATGACTACTCTCCCTGAGAATGAGATAACACAAACAGTAGGGTAGCTAATAGTATAACAGAAAGCCTTTGTCTTATATTAAAACAGAAAAATGAAAGCTACAATTTAACCATAAATCTCAGCAGACAAGAAACGCATCAGTTATAACTGTCATTGTATGTCATTCTAGCCACAGTTCAACTCTGAAATTACAACAAATAAATGTCACAATAAGCAACTAACAACCACAGTCAGCATCACCTTCAAATCTGCAAGGCTGTACAGCAAGTCTCAAGCAAGACAAAATTACAGCTATGCTGAGCTCACTACAGTTGACTGACTATTCAACAAAAACCAGGTCTGTGCATGTTCAAAACCTCCAAGAAAATAGTGTTAAGTGAGGCTGAAATACAGATGGTAAGATATGCCATGGATACACTCCTTCAGTAGCATGGAAGAATAATTCCATAGTTTCAAGTTGCATGACTGGGACTATACCTCTTAAGCATAACCCCTGAAGATTCTTCCATTCCATGAGCAACTGAAAGATAATCATTGTTAAGATAGGCGGAAAAATTAGGATCCACTGAAGCTGCAACTTCAGACTTCTCCTTTCCATTGTCCATCAATCGAATGGCTAAGCAGGTAGGGTTAGATGTCTACAATCAACATGGAAACAAAGTTAACATATAAGCAGACATTCTTGAATCACATCACATATTTGAGTGCACTGTCAGAAAAATTAGATTCAAATTAAACCTACATATTCGAACCGATATATGTTCTCATTCTCATCATGCAGGAGAACATGGATGTTATCGTAATAAACTGAATCAATATACTTCTCAGCCTTCCTAGACTTTTCATATTCATACAATTGAATCAGCCTACAGTCCATCTCATCAGTTGAAACAGTTTGGAGCTGGCAGAAAATGACCCACAAATGTGTCAATCAAACCGAGACATTTAGAGAAAACATAAACCAAATTATTATCAAGATTACCTGTTTGATCAACTTATATATCAATTTATCCAAAGTGAATAGCACATAGGACTGGTTACCAATCAATGAGCGACAATCATCTTCAAATTTTGAATTATCAGAAGATCCATCCAGTAAACTAAAAAGTGCACTCATGAACCTGTAGAGAACACATCATGTGAAGTCAATATAAAGTAGTATAGCTTCCAAGATATTCATCAACTAGAGTATGCCACTAAACCACCTAGAATAGGAATCTGAACTATCATCTTTCGTGGTTCCTTGTTTTGCTTCACCAGATACTATATTCTCCTTGGCTGACAATATCCTCTCATAAAGCATCTGGAAAGTGGAGAAAGAATTTATGCAATTTCAAAGGGGGAAAGGAAACATAAAAACATGTTCACTGAAATAAATCACTCACTGGATACACTAGATCAAAGGCTCAGGCAGAAAGATGAGTGGTCACATTTTTTGAAAGAACTGTCACAACCACAATAGAAACTACAAAACGAAAGGCTGCCATAAAGTTTACCTGATGCAGCCGAAAAAGCACATAAAACGAGTCACTTCCATAAAAAACCCTTAAATCCTTTTTCTCGTCACCTAAAAATGGTGACACAACATGCTTCGACAGAGGTTTACAGGTCATTGAAAATTTTGCAGATTGTGGAACTGAGACACCATCTCCACCATTATAATGACCTTCACTGGTAATCTCAGCCTCAGCTTCAATCAGGGCTTTTCCATCAAGGTTATCCTCTTCCTCTCCCTCTTCTGCTGCTTCCTCTTCCTGCAAACACTCATTGGCAGCAGACTCGCTTCCAGAAACATCTTTTCTACCCTCCGAGCTGTTATCACTGTCATCATCAATATCTGCATCATTTTCACCTGCAGGATCCACACAAACCTCTTTGCAACTCTCCATCTGATTTTCTTCAAGCCTTTCATTTCTAGTGTTCTCAGGAAGCGGTTGAAAACTAGTGGCCTGATAGGCATCAATGTTATCTTCATAATCACCGTTGGGGGACAGCTCACCCTCTTCTTTCTCATTTTTATAAGGATCAGCTGAATCCACATTATATTCAGAAACTCTAGACCCTCCTTGAAACTTGTCATTTGTTAACTGATTCGATGTTGAAGTCTCTCCGTTGCCCTGTAGCACATGAGGAAAAAACTTATCGCTGGTTCACTGAAAATAGATCAACAAAATGGCCACACAATAATAATAATAAAGATGAAGAAAAATAGCAGGTGGGTCAGGACGGAGGAACAGAGTAGGTAGCAAAGAAAACTGAATCGTGTAAAGCAAGAGAAATCCTTAATCCAATACCTCTAAGGACAGCAAATCTTTTCCATTAGGCTTGGCCACATGACCATCCTCAATCATGCTGTTACATACTTGAGAAGAATTTGTGACATGCCCTTAAAGAAATACTTCCCATAATTATTACAAGGACAATTAAATAAAGTAAATATCAAGGACAATGAAGATGGAAAGCAGTTGATACAAGTATTTCTTTCTCAGTAATGCACAATTTATCCTCCACACGTACCATGATAATCATCCTGACTTGAAGAAACAGGTATGTCAGAGGTGGTTAATCTTTCCCCTTCAACAGAAGTCATAGCAAATTCTTTTGTCAAGGCATCCACATTCATGAAGTCATTATTACTGATAATCAATTGCTGGGATGGATCAACATCACAGTTAGCCTTGGCTTGTTTGAAGTTTGTGATGGCAGCATCACCATTGAGAGTGTTTTTGCTCTCTGTCATGCTTGCTGAGGTGTTTGCCATTGTTCGACATTTAGAGGCACTGACATCTTCGCTATTCTTTAAGTCATTCGTCCGTGAATAAAGGCCCAACATCGGCTCAAAAAATGTAGTCCAGAACCTCAGAAGTGTATTCAACTGATCATTTGTTGAGACAATCTCTTCACATGAGTACTTGACAATCTTAAAGACATCTTCATGTACTTCAGTATCAGCATATTCAAATTTGAAGTTAGGAATGACTGAAAACCCACTTCCAGAAGCAATACTACAAAATTCATCATCCTCTTCCTGCCTTTTCTCTTTGATTGCTTTGATTTCTGCCACTAATGCTGTTTAAGAGAGTACGAAAGAATATGAGAACTAAAAAGATGTCAAAATTCACCAGTATTCTCTAACATTTTTGTCAACAGTAAATTCTGTAAGACTGATAACAATAAAGAATTAGACATCACTTCAGTGGTCACAACTTACAAGAAACTGCACGAAGTGCAGAAAGAATAAAAATAGGGAGAGATGCAATGAATTAGACAACACTTCAGGTGACAATAAATAGAGGGGGAAGGTACAATGAATACCAAGGACTGATGGATGGATACTTGATAGATGAATGGAAGAGAGAGCAATACAGAGAGGAAATGTGGTGAGCTGGAATCATGAAATTCCATCTGGCATAAACTTCATTGATTGCTAAGTAATTTTTGTAGGTGCTAAAAAGAGGAAAGCCACGGTATTGATCAAATGGTAATTCTTATCAAGCCAAAAATCGAAGGACAGTAAAACCCAATGAAGGTTGTTTGTGACATAAAAAATCTGAAGAGAAGCACATTGTCAGAGAGATGAATTTGGCTGCAATCATAGAGCTGCTCAACTTACACTTTGTGCTCAAGTTCTTCGAATCTTGCTGCTTGAAATAGAAGCTACGATGATCAAGTGACTTGTAATGGTTCCTAGAATATACATCAGCCCAAACTTTGTTAAAATCAGAGCGACACTTGGTCCATTCCTCATGCTTCTGCTTTAATCTCATTAAGATAATACGCAAAGCCCGAGTTGGATTTTTACGCAAAATATCTACCACATCAAGGCCATGGTCACCATACAGGCGTTCAATGAATCTCAAATTGAGAGCTGCCACAAATATTAGAAAGAAACACACTCTTCAGTACATATGCATAAAAAGTATCTGGATAAGATAGGAACAAGAGAAAGAATATTAACCAAGAATCTTATCATGCATACCTGACAAGTGGCGCTCAATCATTACTGAGCTATCTGAATCACGTGAATTACTACTAATATTGTTCAAGAGTTCCTCAGTTCCCTTGGCAGCTGAACTCACAGACTCCAACAACATGTCTAGCTCAAATCTAAACCCAAAAATATATTTGATTAGCAAAAACACATGGCCTCCATTTACAGGGAGATGCATAAAGTAGAAAATTTCAAAATCCAACCATTAAATAAGCATCATTTATTGAAATATAGCAATCTCAATTCTCAACCCAAACCAAAGTTTCTCTCATACAGCTCATTCCCCAATTTGACAAACTGCAAGTACCCTATCATACATGAGGGTATGAGAAATTAATATGGGCGGGGTCATATACCTGTCATCTTCACATCTAAACAGGCTTTCTTCATATTGATTTCTCCTCATGTGTTTAAAAGAATAATCTTCACTGCCAGATGTCACAGACACCCACTTATCATTTAGAACTTGAGCACCAACATCGGACCTCTGGCTAGCTAAAGATACTGGATACTGCAAAGGAAATTTTCAGTTAATATTTGTCAAGATGATACAAGCATTTCTTCCCAGCAGCTAAGCTTCATAAGGAAGATTCTCACATCATCTGGAAGAAGCCGATAACTTGGAGTGCAGCGTTGCCAGGTAGATAGATCAATTTCATGAATAGACTTTCCCCAGTATTTCAAATTGTGCCTATTTTTCTCTTTCGCTCCTTCCACCTCATGCTTTGATTCTTTCTCCTTTTCATCTTTTCTTACACCTTTTGACAAATTCCCTTCATTCCCTATTTTTTCTGCCATTAAAGAAACAATCTGCCAGATCAAACATCCTGCCCACTGTAGATTTTCACTGAGGCACTAAAAGATCTTATGCTTTAAATAAACAAGATGTAGTGGCGGAAATGCATACTTTTGCCCACAACACCAGCAAGAAATCCATCTAAAAACAGCAAAAATGTTAGAAGTTCGAACAAAAATATTTAAATAAAAATCTGTATATATAATTTAATTACTACCAATACGTTCGCAGCGCTCCAAAAAATCATTAAAATCCTTCATAAGATCTGGATACTTTCCGAGTAAATCAGCTACCTGAAAGAAGACCATGTTAAAAGAGTAACTTCCCATTAAATCTTAATTTTTTTTAAAAAAAAAAAAAGAAAAAAAACTAATTATAATATTAACATATCATGAGCACTCCGAAACAGAAAGTTAGAAAAAAGTGTATGTAACCATGCAGAAAATAAATAAATATAATAATAAACATGGGAATTATCAGAGAAATACAAGTGAAATAGTTGAATAATCAGCCAAATTATACAAATGTATGAGATTTCAACAAGTTACAAGTAAATAAATAATAATGCAAATAGAAGATGCAGTGTTCATACCAAACTCTGCAATTCCGTTCGAGTAATAATCTCTGTACTGTAAATGTGAAGACATTTTAAAAATGCTTGATAATCATCTGCACTCTGTAGCCTCTCTTTAACTTTTTCACAAAATGAAAACTCATAGCTACACATACCTGGCAAGATAAAACAGACTAATTGTTAAAAGCACCAAGTCAAACATCAGCGAACAAATGAAGAGGGATCATTATTACATTTCTCCTGCCTCTTCAAGTATCTGATAATGAAGTCTAAAATAGTGCATAAAAGAATGTCTTAGCCTATCAACTGTGAAATTAATTTGGCTAAAAGAATCAATACCTGGAAAAAAAAAATTGTGTCGGGGTGGGTGACAATAAAAGGCGACAATTTTTATGATACAGAAAGGAAAATCAAGCTAATATCATAGTCAATCAAACAGATTTCCTATGATACCAGTGAAAACCAAGGTCATTCTAACTCACTCTTCAAAACATTGTTATCATCACAGGTGGCCATATTGGAAGTGCCTCCCCAGTCTTCAGCTTTCTGAGCAGAGTTCCTTTTTTCACAGGGCCTTCGCATGCCAATGCCCCCATTATTTTCAGGGTCTATATCATCCTTATCAGATATTCTCCTATCCTGATTTTCCCTGTCACTATCCTTCTTGTGCTCCTTGTGAAGCTTTGTAACTTTTTTATCACCATCCATATCTGTCTGTTCAATGTTAAAATCTCTTTTTCCATTGGGTTCAATGATCCTGTCCTTCCTCAGTTGTTGCTAAAAAATTTGTAGGGCATACAATATTTAGATGTGGCCCAACAAGTCAATATCCAGTAATGGCTGCACAACATAAATAAATGCAGAGAACAACCTTATCTATTTGAGACTGCCTCGATGCAGGCAAGGCAGAGCTCCCCCCATCAATAGCATGAAAGGGGTGACGACCGATCGACACATGAGGGGCAGAAGCTGTAGCTGTAGCTGAAGCATCAGGCAAAAACCTAGTGAACTCATCAAGAAGATCTTGATGGTCATTAAAAAGAGTTGCAACCTGTAAAAAGAAGACTATCAAACTTCAGACTAAACAGCAAAGCATCATTGGTTACAGCTACGGGGAGATGCATACCTCCTGGAACACCTCAGTTATACTCTTGTGTTCCTCTCTGTACATATTCAAGATGTCTAGGAATGATTTGTAAACACGATCATCATTTTGAAAGCGTTTCTGCAGATGAAATGAAAAGAACATAATGTTTGCTCTTAAACTTCAACAAAGACTAAAGTAAGAACCCTCAAATAATAAACCACCTTGATTCTATTGACAAAACTAATAGCCTCCTCAAACTCAACTGTCCTTTTCGGTGGAGCCCCTTCCCCATCAGTGAGGGTAATTTCATAACCCTTAGGCAAGAATGTGTTAAACCCAAGGATGAGATTAGGATGTCCATTAAATAATTCTTTCACCCTCCCTATGACACCAGTGGTATCAATTCTGGAAAGAAAAAAGATTAAGAAACGAGTTATGAGGAAATTATCCACATTCATCTCTCAAACATACAATTGACTTGAACAGAAAGATAAAAAACAGCAATAACTCATTTACCTTTGAGCCTTGAAATCTTTCATGACATCAAGGAACCTATCATATTTGTTCCTTTGATCTTGAAACATGTCCTTTACTTGTTTCAAATAACTCAAGGCATCATTGGTAGTGAGCTTATGTGTACTACCAGCAGCAACAGCTCCACTGGTAGCCCCCACCCCAGTGTTGCCACCATTAATATTACCACTGGCACCAGCTTCGTCTCCACTAACACGACCGCCACTGCCTGCTGGAGCATGTGATGACCCATACCTATATCAAATGGAAACATTATTAAGAGTAAGCCCAAAATAATGTCCACAGACAATTGAAACAGCACAAACTCTAAGAGGCAGTAATATAGTATGCAGAAATTCTGGAAATTGATGATTTTGTTTGCAAAAATAAAGAAAAATTTTATTTCAAAAGTCAGACTCAAATTGCTTCTACCAATTTCTATTTTAAATGGCAGGCTTGGTCTACCCTGTCCTTGAACACATTCTAGTAACTACAGAGAACGGGGTAGAGAAAGTGCACATAAAGATTCAAATTTTCTTTTTCTTACTATCCCTAGCAACCCGGGTCACTAGTTCTACCTGATTACCATGTCTTCTCCTTCCTAATTCGCAATTACAACAGATCTGAAGGTGTTCGACTATCCTTACACTTGATGCATGGTTAAAAAGGGTCACTACTCACCACACGATCTCAATCAAAAAGAATTTAAGCAAACCAAGTTCATTAGCCTACAGTTAAATCACAAAACCACTCTCTCATCTCACGAAACGCCAACTCTCGACTTACAAACATAAAAATAACAACACAGCATCAGAGACAACAAACAAGTAACATCATTTGATAATGAACTACTTCCAGATGCGCAAACTCAGAAAAAAACTTACAGTTCCCCGCGAGAAGAAGACGAAGAAGTATGCGGCCGCTTCAACTGCGGGTTCATATACGCCTCATCCCGCAACCGCTTCATCTCTCCACACAAACGCCAAACTTCACGTCAAAAGAAACAAGCAAAAATAAATTCAAGAAATGGATTCATGAACTACGATTGAAAATCATCTCGTCGCTTGCTCATTTCCAATTAAAGAAAACTAACCTATCAAGTAATCTCCTTCGCAATATGGAGTTACAAAAACAACAGATCTAAACCATAGTAATAAAATCAGATCAAACTAAAACCTTGCAAACTTTCCTAAATCCTCCCTTCCCTTTCCAATTCTCACCTCAACACTCTCCAAGAAAACGAATTAAACAAAACAGACACCAAACAAACGTAGAGAGCAGAAAATACGTTCAGTGAATTTTTTATTATTATCATTATTATTATTGTTATTTATTTTTTCTTTCGTCTCTTTTTATGTGAATTGGAAAATGCTACATGTTACGTGACCCTCCGCTTCCCGGCATTTATATTCGTCCGAGTTTGTATATTATAGTATTGTTTACGATGGTGTGGTGTTTAAAATTGGAGTTGTCATTCTAAGTTGGATTATCTTGTATTATAATGAGATAAATTATTTTTTAAAATATTTCATTAATTAACTGCAAATTTCATATACCAAGTAAAACTCCCAAGACCCAAATTACAATCACACACGCCCTTAATTCATCTATAATAATTAATTCACTCTTCAGAACAAGTTTTAAAGGATGAAGCGAGAGTGGCTTGAAGAAGTTTGGCTTTCGATTATCATATTAATGGGCTTACCTGTGTTATGGGCCTAGCCCAATCATTATCATCCTTTATAGGTATATGTAAGAATAATATATACTTTGCGGGCTACTATCATCCATTATAGGTATATGATTCTGTGATCAAAGGTTGTTGAAAACCCAGGCTGTCTGAAGCTAACCAGCCCAGTGCATTACAGGAATAATGACTTGACTAATTTTCTTCTATTAAGCTAAAGAAAAATGCTTCAAGCTTGAAATTATTCATAACCATATTTCAAAGCCAACCTATCGTTACAGTGAATTAACTGAAGCCATTGAAGAAGCTTCATACAATCTGTGAATAGGGTAGGACAGCAGCAATGCAAATTCACTCGACACTGGCAGCATTAATGTCATTTCTTTTGCCCAACTCTTACATAATAATGAATATGTACAAAATAAACAATGCCCAAAAATCATTAAATACATATTCATCACACGGATTGAACGATGTGGTTACCGTCTAAAGGCTCTGTAATGAGCTCAGCATTATTAGTTGATCGTAGCCTCTGAAGACTAACAAGCGAATAATACGCTCCATTCGGCCCTTTGGCCAGCAGCGATGAGTGTGTCCCTTTCTCGACAACTTTCCCCTTCTCCATGACCACGATGGTGTTGCAGTTCTGTATAGTGCTGAGCCTGTGCGCCACGACAATGCTTGTCCGACCAACCATCACCCTCTCAAGGGCGTCCTGCACCACTTTCTCCGACTGGCTGTCAAGCGCACTCGTCGCCTCGTCAAGCAACAATATTGCAGGATTCTTAAGGATGGCACGAGCAATGGCGATCCTCTGCTTCTGGCCTCCAGACAGCTGCACCCCTCTGTCTCCGCAGAAAGTGTCGTACCCATCCTTCAGTGATGCGATGAAATCATGAGCATTTGCTGCCTTGGATGCCTCGATGATCTCAGCTTCATCGATCTCGTCTGATGCTCCGTAAGTGATGTTTTGCCTGATTGTGCCAGCAAATAGCGTTGGCTCTTGACTGACCAGTGCAATGTGCTTTCTCAGTGCCCTCAGGTGATATGTCTTAATATCCCGTCCATCGATTCGAACCTCTCCTTTAAGAGGATCATAGAATCGTTCGATTAGGCCTATAATGGTGGATTTTCCGGATCCACTCTGGCCAACAAGTGCAGTAGATTTCCCTGCCTCAATCACAATGGAAAAGCCTTGAAACACCATTATATCAGGTCGAGATGGATACGCAAACTCAACATTGCGCAGCTCAACATGCCCCTTCAGCTTATCCGGCTGGACACCATCTGGATCTTCCGGCTCAATCAATGAATACCGGTCCAAGACAGCGAAAATCGATCCCACTGAATCAGCACCTTTGTTCAGATCATTGGTCATAGTTCCAGCATCCGCAATGACACGTCCTGTGCTCACCAAGATCATGAAAGTCTGAAACAAGGCCTCTGCCCCGATGAACCCTTCTGCAATCAGCTTCCCGCCATACCAAAAATCCAATGCCCAAGTGAATGTCATGAGACTCTGAGAAATCCCCAGCCCAACACCTGCATACCAAGACTGGCGTATGCTCTCCTTTCGTGGGCCTTCTTGGGCTTTCTCAAGCATTTTGAGTATTCGAGCTTGAGAAGAAAAAGCTGTTACCGTCCGAAGATTGGAGACTGCTTCAGCAGCAAGTTTGCTACTTTCTCCTTGAGCTTTGATAGCTTTTTGTGACATGTTCTTTAGCAGAACACGCTTGCAATAGTAGCATATAATGATCAGGGGCTGCACAGCAATCATTACTAAAGCAAGCTTCCACGCAACAGCAAGACCCATAGTGCAAGCGATGATAACTGCAGAAAAGGTTTGGATAAGTAGCGCCATCCGATCGCCTACCAGAGACCTCACCTGCATTACGCATAATATAAAGTCAGGATGGGCACTTTCTTCTATATATAAATGTTTATGTACAATGATAACAAGGCTAGTGAACTTACTACGCCGGCATCTTTGGCTAATCGAGAGCATATAGCACCGGTAGCATTCTCATCTTTATCAAACCACCCAATTTCAAAAGTGAGCATTTTGGACAACATTCTTTCTCTTATTCTTTTGGTCAAATGTTCCCCCATTGCAGCAAAGTTATAATGCTGGCCGATGTTGATCAAAAGGGAGAAAATTGCCAGCCCAAGAAAGCACAGCGCATATATCTTCGTCTTCTCCTTTATTTTATTGTGATCTGGCAAGAAAAAAACGGATACCATTGATCCCATGGCGAAGGCATACACCGGCTGAATAGCACCAAAGAGTATAGCATTTATGCATCCCAATGTTGCTTGCTTCCATTCTGGTGAATTCATGGCTAATAATTTTCTCAATGAAGGATTTTGAAATACTTGATCGTGGGCTGCAGTTCCACTAATGTCTTGGCCTCGGTTTGCTGCAAGTGAGTTGGCTGAGCTAGACCTGCTGACTATAGACAGCCTTCTGCTACTCATGCTGTTGATATCATTGTTCATAATAGACGATGGTGTGGCATTGTTAGAGTTAGCATACTCCTTGGTTTTCTCGGACTGCTGGAATCGAACCAGTGTTGTGTAATGGCCACTTTCATTTTCGATGAGCTCATCATGCGAACCAATCTCCACAACCCGGCCATTTTGGATCACAGCTATAACATCAGCATTACGTATGGTAGAAAGGCGATGAGCTATGATAATGGTTGTGCGACCCACTGCTGCCTTGTCAAGAGCCTCTTGGACAACTCTCTCAGATTCAGAGTCAAGAGCACTAGTGGCCTCATCAAGTAGAAGGATTTTGGGAGCCTTAATTATTGCTCTAGCTATGCCTATTCTCTGCTTTTGGCCTCCGGACATTTGCACTCCTCTCTCACCAACCTGGATACATGAATTAATCAAGGGGGAGATTACCTAAAGTATTATTGTAATGGTAAAGCCACCATGACTTTGATCATTTATAGTAATAAATAGGTTTAGTTGTAAACTATCAGTTTTGTGCAGCAGTATTATGAGGACAAATCATATGTATTACCTGAGTGTCGTAACCTTGAGGCAACATATTGATGAAGTTATGCGCATTGGAAGCTTTGGAAGCCTCTATAATCTCTTCCATGGATGCATTTTCCTTACCGAAAAGTATGTTCTCCTTTATTGAGGTAGCAAAGAGGGCTGGCTCTTGACTCACTAATCCCATCTGTGACCTTAGCCACTTAAGCTGCAACTTGTCAATATCGACTCCATCAAGGAGAATTTCTCCACTGAGTGGATCGTAGAATCTCTGCAATAAAGCAACTGTTGTAGACTTTCCAGAACCACTTCCTCCAACCAGTGCTACAGTCTTTCCTGCCGGGATTTTCAGATTGAAATCTTCAAAGACTATGCTTTCGGGCCTTGAAGGATACGCAAAATTGATATGTTTGAACTCAACTTCTCCAGATACAGTTTGTAGTATTTGGCCATCCATGTTATCTGAATCGATCTTGGGTACTCTTTGAATGACCTCCTTTATGTGCTCTGCCGCAGCCCTTGCCTCCGAGAAGTACTTCATATTGGACAAACCTGAACCAAGTGCTCTGTTCAACAAATACATTGAAAACCATATACATCATGTTAACTGTTAAGTTCGAAGAATAACAAGTAATGGACAAAAAGTTGAAGAAAAGAACAAGATCATATCCTTACAATCCACCAATAGCAATTGCTGCTCCAACAGCGAAGACAGTGCCTCCTTCAGCTCCGTGGTACATGACCATTCTACTTCCGTAATAAGACATGAAGGACCAAATTGCAAACACAATCCCATTACTCCCAATGGCCAAGCCTTTGGCTAAGCCTTGTCTCAATCCCAAATTCACTGTCCCTTGAAGAGCATCAGAATATGCTGAGATGATCTTGCTCTCCCCAACAAAGGAATACACTGTTCGGACAGAAGAAACTGCTTGCTCCACTATTGCACCAGCTTTATTATACTCATCCTTGATTTTTCTTGAAATGCTCATAAGGGCCCTCCCATACAACAAACCTGGTATCAGAAGAAACACTATAAATGGGAACCCCACAATTGCTAATCTCCACAGCAATAGAAACGCCACCACGTAGGAGCCAAAGAATGTCGAAAGGTTCATCACAAAAACAGGAACCTGTAGGAGAAAATCAAAAACTTTCAGTGTTATAGAAGATAAATAAATAAGCAATACATGCAGATGATTGAGTATGAAAGCGTTGCATAGAAAGTTGTCGAACTTATGTTTATATTTTTTACCAACCAACCTTTTCACTAATGGTCTCTTGAATTACCACACTATCTGTGGAGACGCTTTCGATGACCTCCGCTGTGCTGGTTACATGCAAATCAAAGTAGCCGACATCTTGTCTCATTACCGCTTTCAAGTACCTTGTCCGTAGCCTTGAAGCTTGTCTCTCAGCTGTTCTTGTGAAACAATATCCCTCTGAAGAAGGCAATCATGACAGTATGAAATTGATTTAGCCCAAACCCTAAACCATTTCACTTAAAATGAACTCATAAATTATTTCGTTGTCTGAAAAACACTTACCAAGAAAACAAGCCACACATTGCGAGCAAGCAATGTAGCAAAGATTCAGTGCATTCTGAACCATGCAAAAAAGACAAATAAATTCAGTAAGAGCAATAAGTAATTAATATCTCCTCATACACCAAGTTATATGCGTAAGATCAACCGGGAAACATTTTTACAAACGGTCTCTTGCTTATGACTATGGAAAACAAAAGATTCCTGATTATTATATGTATAGCAAGCTGCATATTAAAGATTAAACTAATCCAATTTGACGAAACGCCGGTTAAAAAAACGATAGAAAATAGATTATTCTATACACAAGTCATGCATCCCACAAACATCTCCTTCCCCAAATGAAACTGCACACCAAGTCAGAAGCCACGAACAGAACTCAACAGGCAACCGCAACAATGGAGGACGAAGCTACCTTATTAATGGTGTGACTGAAATTCTCAGCAAGTGAAATCTGAGAGTTTCCAAAGCTGTTCATGAGCTTGCTGGTCACTAACAGCATAACAGGCATGGAAATTCCATCTCCAATCGCACCCAGAAACCCCAGCCCCATCAGCAACACATCCACCGAATCCGCATGCATAAAAATCGACCCAAACCAAATGTTACGCCCACTAATTTTCCTCCTCTTAATCTTATCCTCCTCCATTTCAACACTATCTCTACTCCCCCCTTTTCTCAAGAAATTCTGCAACAGCAATTAATTCTGCCGTTCCTCCCAGCGCTTTGGGAACGACAAATCTCTGCCTCTGGGGGAGCCTCAGTGCACATATTTATACACAGACTTGCAGGTACAGAAGAAAAAAAAATATATGTATATTTACAGAATTATTGGGATTTGACGAAAAGAGACAACTTGCTACTTTATGCAATTACGCATTTTTGCCGTAGAGTCGCATTTCTAAGCTGTGTTTTTAGTTTTAAAACAATAAAAATATTACCACGACTTTTGAAGGCGTTATTATACTTACATTACATGTGAGGGTGTTGAGTTGACTTTGTGAACATTTTTGGCCGTGCGTCATTAATGACGACGATGCGGTTGAGAGTCGCGCCTTATTAGCGACATTAATTAAAACATATAAAAAATGATTTGACCTCTATAATTTGATTGTTAATTTTGTGCAATTAATATTAAATTAGTGTACTCTCATTGGACGAACAAAAAGAATAAATTCTAGATTCCATCCTATCACAATAATTTTATTCACTTTGGATTTTGGCTGTTCATATAATAAATAAGGACATGAGAAATCAGTAATAAATGATATACTACATAATACTCTTGAGGGGTTTAATTTGAAGCTGGGTATATATTTCAATTAAGTAATCATATCGGGCTCACGATTTTTACCGGACAAAGAATTTTATTATGTCACGTGCAGCCAACAAGTAAACGATAAATTTTTATTTATACATAGCTAAACTATATCGTTATTAGAATAATAACTAATTATTAATATTATTATTATAATAAAACTTGAACAAACAGAATTACAACACTCCTTTTGCGAAAAGTTCAATCAAACAAGATGATAAGGGTGTACTACTTGTAATTTTATTCACATTATTTTATTATATAATTTATTTTTTGTTTCAAAAATTCAGTCACATCTATTAATAAAATCACAAGTAAACACACTATTTTATTGGATAGCACATATTAACAACATTTCAAATATACATGGTCATAAATTTGATAGTCCATAATAATAATAATAACAATAATAACATATAACTATAATTGATTTTACTATATATATATATATTTTTTATTTTTTTTTTTTGTTGATGCAAATTTTTAACCATAAAAAGTAAAATTTGAAAATAGAAATTATGTTCGAATTTGATAAAATAAATGTCTGAGATTAAGAATCCCTAAGCACAGTAAGATACATAAGTAAACTAGGAAAATAAATATTACGGATGAAAAAATAAAATGGTGATCCCAAAAGAAATTCTTTAAATTTGATTGTCGATTGAAGATGCTTTCCAGAATAGATCCAGACCTTTAAATAGTTCATAAACAAACGTTTTGGAACCGCCGTCTGTTCGGTTATATTAACTGCTTCACCAATCGCTCCCACCAGTTACAGAATCCAACTGGCTCGACCAACCGCCTCTGGCACCTTACCTCCTTAAATGGACGGCTGGTCCCGAACGACTACTCAACCGCCCAGCATACTTTAGACAGACTGCAGTCCGACCGATTGAAGATGGTTTCTTTAGGTCATGAACAAACTTATTTAAAACCTATGTCAATAGCCACAATCAGGTCGTGCCTTCATATCCGCTAGTCGGTTGTAACTTTTCTCAACCGTCTTTTCAGACGGATTATAAATCACCATCGACTGAGAAACCGTCTGGACCATCTACCGACTGAACCTACCGAATAACCCAACGATTGACCTACCGACCAATCCAGATACTAACTAGTCGCTTAGACCAAACGACTAATCAGTTGCCCACTCGAGCGACCACCGTTCGGTCCCTTCAAACAGCTGAACAACCATTCGTCCAGACGATTCATCGGTCGCCCAATCAAGCGACCACCATCAAATCCCCGCAAACGGCTGAACAACCGTTCGTCCAGACGATTCACTGGTCGCTCAATCAAGCGACCACTATCCAGTCCCTGCAAACGGCTGAGCTACTGTTTGACTAAATGACCGGCCAATCGATCAGTCGATTAACAGGTCGCTTAATTAAGCGACCAATTAACAGACCTTTCCTCTTGTCCGACCTCCGTGTCTGCCATCTCATCTTTCTTCGTCCGACCTTGTCTTGTCCGACGTCCTTATCAGTCGTCTCATCTTTCTTCGTCCGACCTCCTCTTTTGACCGACCCCCGGCTGTCTTATCTAATCATAGGTTTCTCCCGAAAAACTTATTTTTTAATAACATTTGGGCCGTTTGGCTTATATTTAAATTCATTTAGGATTTCACTGTCATTAACAGACCCATTCAACTATACACCAGTCAACAGCCCTAGGTCCATTATCGAAAACCCTGTGCATTAATTTTTTTCTTGCTCAACAATATTCATATAATATATCTGTAAACATGACTATATATTAGCACATGATAAAAATCTAGATAACACGTATTATATTAATTGAAGTAATTTGGAGATTGTTTATACATTGTGTGCTGACGAATTTTAATCAAGACTCTAAGCATTTTATTTTTATTATTGTCTTTACTGATAATTTAAGCACTAGAATTAAGTAAATAAGATGTCACAATTATTCTTTTATTCATTTAAAAACATTCAAAACACGTAACTAACATAATTATCAACTGGCCATGAAGTATTTATAGAAGCCGACGTCAGTAATAGTTTGCTCTTAACACATAAGCACTTTTTATTTATAGTTAATGCATGGTTTATGGAATTCAAGCTGAGATAATCTCTTACATCATCATGAGTGCATGATGCATGCACTTATGTCTGATAGACGACTTTACATTGATTTTTGTAATAAAAAACATACCTGTTGCACTTTTATTGGAGGATATCGCTACATATGTTTTACCATGCGGCCTTTTACTTTTTAAGAACATCTTTTTGATCCTTTTTTTTTTTTTTGTTTAATTTATTTATTTTAAAAACATTATATATATAATTATTATTATTATTGTTAGTTTCAAAAAATTAACAAGTAGAATATAATTTTGAATTAATATTTGAAGTTAATTTAATGAACTTGAAGATAGACCTCCTAATCTCGAACAAATAAATAAAATACAATGTTCATAATTGTTGAGCTTTGGTTAGGGTTGCCTCCCTTAATTGTTCTTTCAATGTCCTTATTCATGATTTGAATCATGTTCATAAGTTCAACAAACAAAAAGCCCTCACTCTTTTTCTTGAAATGCATTTTAGTTCCAATCAAGATTCATGTAGGGCTTTTAACTTGGAAATGATAACAATAAATTTTTTGTATTTTTTAAAAAATTTGATAAATATATTATTATCTAAAAGTAATGTTCAATATCTTATGTACTTGATTAAAAAATAAAAAAGTTAATTAAAAACAAAAAACAAAAATAATAATAAGAGCAGTGTTAATATATGTTTATATCTGTTACTTATACAATAACATGAAATGTGGCACTTCTCCGCGCGATATGACCTAACTATCTTTTTTTTAGTAAGACTTTTAGGGCACTGTAAGTATATAATTATATGGATGGATTTGATAAGATAAGACTTAAATGATTAAAGTGAAACTTACAATTGAACAATGAATATAAAAAGTATATGTATATCATTCAGGTAGGTGTAAATCTCATTTTTAATTTTTAATTTTATAATTTTTTTAATCTTAATTAAACTATTTAGTTATCTTAATTTTAATCTATAATTATTTTTACTATACAATAATTATTTTTACTAATACATTTTTTAATTACTTACTAATTACACTTTACCTACATTCTTGTATCTACAATGAGTCAGTAACACGCTCATATTACATGGGACGGAGAGAGTATTAAATATAGATTAGTTCTACTCACCACGGTTTTTTGAATTACGATTCTCTAAAAATAATAATATAAAATATAAAAACTATTTTACAAAAATCAAAAAGTAAAATAAAAAATAATAATAAAAAAAAAACAAATACTTATAAATTAAAAAGGATCTATTTCTTTACCGCTGTTTTCATAAATTTTACTATTTGGACTCTGCATTTTTCGAAAAAATATATTTTTTCCTTTCACAGAACATCTCATCAAACATTATTTTCATATCAAATTCAAATCAATTTTTTTCTAAATTCATCAAAAGAACACACCCTTTATAATTTGTAAATTGGCAAAACAAATATATATATATAATATTTATATACATACAAGAAATGGAAAAAAATTATAAAGAAAAAAACAAAAAAAAAACAAAAACAAAGAAAAGGAAAAGTGGCACTCTTACTTGATATAGATAACCCCACTGTTGATCTCGACTTTATTCGCGTAGTTTTGTTCTCCATTTGTCTCCTTATCTTCCTTAGGAATAATTTTCCTCCAAATCTCAATTTTCTATGATTTGAATTTTATTATTTTTTTTTTTAAAAAAAAAAAAAAACCCACAAAATATTATTTTAATATGAAATTTAAACATTTTTTTTTTTTCAAAATCAATCAAAAGAAACAAATCTGTTATTATTTTTTATTCTCCAAATATAAAGTATCAATTTATGGACACATCACTAACACTTCCACGTTAACTTTATATTATAGGGATAAAATAATTTTTACATATTAAGATTATTATCAAAATATAAAAATTTACTAAACTTCATAAATATATATATATATATATACTTTTCTAAATAGACAAAAGTATATTTTTATTGGTAAGCGTAGAACTTTAAAAACTGTAGAATAATTGTAATTGAATTATAGTTGATGGATATATATATATATATGCTGTCGAATAGTGGAAGGGCATTATTGCCTCGCAGAATGGGCACAAATAAAGGACCCTTTTTTAGGAGCAATAGCTGAAGACTACCAATATATACACATGATGGCCTATGTGAATTAATGAAGTGGGAGTAACAAGACAAAATACACTAGCCTTTTTAATATATCTATGTTTTATTCAAAAAATAAAAATATACAAAATATTACTACAAGTACATGTTATTAAGATATATTTAGAATATATATAGTATATTTATAACAATTCTTTTATTTAAGAGATTTATAAGCTAGAATCTATGCAAATTTGTATATATTTTTATAATTAAATAAAGAATTTTAATTTTATATTTAAATATATATTAGAATCAATTTTCTCTGGATATATATCTAACTAGTTATATTGTCTATATATATATATATTGTTAATGAATTTGATTTTATCTATCGTTATGCTGTTGTGCCACTTTGATCTCCATTAACAAAGTTTTGTTTTTCGCTTTAAATTTGTTGAAAATTTTGTGTTCGGTTCTATCTTTTTTTTTGAGTAAGCGAGTGAGTCATGTTTTTTACTCTAGCTACATTGTGAACGAATAAGTCTTGTTTCCAACTCCAACTTTTTTGTGAATGAGCGTGTTCTATTTTCAATTTTAGCTCGGTTGAGAGCGAGCGACTGAGTCATATTTTCGATTTGAATGGCGAGTTCTGTTTATAACTCTAATGACGTTGAGAGTCTCATTTTCGATTCTAATGACACTTAAAGCTTTGTTTTTAACTCTAACAGTGTTGAAAAATCTACTTTCGACTTTAACGATATTGAGAGCTCTATTTTCGACTTTGATTTAGTCGATAATTTTGACTACATCACTCTCAATTTTTATTTAGACAAACTCAAGTTGATTCGATTCTAACTTGATTTTAAAGATGGGTGTTAAGATATATTTGAAATATATATAGTATATTTGTGATAATTGTCTTATTTAAGAGATTTATAAACTATTATAAATATGTACATATTATAAAATTTTCGATTTCATATTTCAAACACATATCCTGTATACCACTAATTTATTTCAAACACATATCCTATATACCACTAATTTAAAACCCCAACTAAATCTTGTTTTAGAGTAGATTAATCATAGAATAGAAAAGGAATATATAATAGAGAATCACATCCTAATAATTTCGCTGATACCAAATAATGGACAAGTGTCCACGACTGATATATGATATGCCACACAACAAGATTTTTCAAATTTTAATCTATTTGTATTTTGAATGTAATATATATAAATATATATATTTATTATATTATTGTAAAAAAATAAATAAATAAAGTGTAATAAAACACATACAGTGTTCCCACACGAGATAGCCACAGTGTTCCTGATGATTGCATTCAAGAAAAATTTAAAACATTATAGAATGCGTTTCATATTGATATTTTTCAGTTTTTTTTTATTATGTATGTTTCTAATTTTCATCTTTTTAGTTTATAGTAATAAATAAATACAAAGTAAAATTATAATAAATACCCAAACTAAAAGGAGTTATCACGACAAGTATTCAGGTATTGGAATATGTTTTTTAGCATCGGTAATGTCCCATTGGACATTAATGTGATCATGCCCTTAATCATTCACTTAAACTATAAACTTAGAATTATTATAATAAATGTTGAATTTTATGCATAACATTTATAATTTAAAATGATTTATTTATTTATATAAAATATTATATTATATTATTAAGTTGTAGTCCGTCCACCTCTTAAATGTCACATTTATTTTTTTGCTTAAAAATATCTTTATATTTGTATAATTTTTTTTATATATAGATATCATTCTATTAGTATTATAAGATAATAATTGAAGTATTTTTTCATTTTTTTTAAATTTGTATTGTATTTTGATATATTAATTAATATTCAAATATAACAACAAAAAAATAAATGAGACTAGCTAGACGAATATAGTACTCCCCGTCCCAATACAATAGTCTTGTTTACCATTTTTGTATGTTCCAAAAAAATAGTCTTGTTTCCATAAATAATCATATCACTATAAAAACTACCCTTACTTTTTCATTTTTATTACACAATTGCCATTATTTTTTATACTGAAAAAAAAAAAAATTTATCCATACTTTTTACCAACTGTGCTCAACCTAATTAAAACTATGTTAATGGGACAAATGAGTATTAAATAATGATTTCAATTAAATAATGATTTCAATTTAAAAATATCATATGATCAATATATACATATATTACCAAACCCACTGAGTGGCCACTGTCACGGCAACATAGTGAATATTTGGGCTACTAATCAAGAAATACGATTTTCTTATTTATTTATTTTTAAATATGAGTCATTATCTTCTAACTGTGTAAACTTTCAATTTAGCATAATAGTTCGGAGCATAAGATAAATTACATTGAACAAATTACGTGACATGCAAAAGATCCAGATGATAATTCACCAAATCTTTTATGTTATATTTATATTTTACTGATTTGGCTTTGAGTATTAAATAATTTTATATTCCTTCATTCTTTGACTCAAATTTTGATTACCCAATAGTTCACGTAATTGACTAAGTAGTAAATCGGGTTTGTTCACCCTTTTGTTTTATAAATTTTTTTACAATTCTTCATAAGTATTATAAAAACTATAACATATACATATTAATTTAATAAAATATACATAATATATATTTTTTATTTATCTACAAAATTTTTAATAATTTAATAAAAATATTATTTTTTATATTATTCATACAATTTTTCATATCTAATATAAAAAAAATAAAAAGGTTAATCCAAAGTAACACGGCCAATGTTTTTTTATTTTATTATTTTTTTCAGTATTTTATTTTTATCTTTTCCTTTTGCATTATTATTATTTTTATAGTTTTCTTTCTAATGAAAAGATTGGTTTGAAATATTATATTTACTTTTAAAAAAATATATTTTAAATCATAAAAAAGTTAAATAATACTAAAAACAACCACAACCGATTGCAGTCGTAAAAGTTGTGCTTGATCTTAATTTTGTTTTATGAAGTACAAAGAATGGTTATTATTTAGCTCAAAGGTGCAATGAATGGGATTTGGAATTAAGTTCCTAAAGTGCGCATCCAGTAAGCAACAAAAACAATCACGCCACAAATAATAATAATAATGATAATAAAAGTCTGTAAGAACAAATCTATCCATATCATAATGTGATTTGTTTGTCTATTGAAAAATGAAAAAATAGATTAAAGAATAGAAAAGTAGTAACCCAAATTTATATAAAATGTGAAGAAAATTTTACTAAGAAAATTTTATCTCATATCATTTTATTTTTCTTTGATTGAGCCTTATTATTATTATTATTGTGGACAAATTTGGGTGAGGTGAATTGGGCCTTACGGACTATGAAAGTGAGCCTTGAGGTGAGGCCTTTTTATGGGAAGCAAACACTCCGCACGTGTGACTTGAGCTTCATATAGAGGGCACGTGTTACTGTCCTGGCCATTGATTTTAGCTTTCATATTTGAGCGCCAAAATCGTGCGGCCAGTGTTAATCCCCAATCCCAACGTCAACCCCAACCCCAACCATATAAATGCGGGAAAATTGATTGGTCTTGCATTTTTCGTACAGTTGGAAAGTTTGGAGATCCGACTGAGCTCATGGCAGGAAGCGATTCACATAGGCAATTCCTGGCACTAATTCGTGATTATTCTACTGAAAAGGCTCAAGGAGGTGATTCCAAAAGCATTCTCGCATCAATGTTGATTTTGTAGTTACTTGATATTATATGATTTCACAGTCAACAGAGCATTCACTTTCACACTCTGGATAAATTTGCAGAGCGGAGAATTGTGAATGGGAGAAAACGAATCGAAGAACTGATTTCCGAGCTAGATGCTTCAAATAAGGAGCTAGATAAAGCAAAGCGCGACAAGGAGGCGGCTGAACAAGCGCTCAGAGGCTATGAAGTTGAGTTATCCATGAATGAAGCTTCGATCCAAGCACTAGAGGTTGATCTTCTCGGTTCGTGATATTTTATTTTATTTCCGGATAAGAACTCTATGTATATTATATCTTGTCAGAAGTTTGTTATGTTGTTTCGACAATATATTTTTTTATGTGACTTTGTTTCTTCAATCTTCAGGCGAGGATTGCTGTCACTAACGACGAGATATCAAAACATGGCGCCGCAACGTCTATTCTCATGGTTTGTTCCACTACTCTGAGTGTGCAAGAGTAGTAATTGGTATACCGCAGGACTTAAAGAGATTTTAATATAGTCTCATGCCTTTGTGATTTTGCTTTTGGAAAATCTGGCTACAATGACGTGAAGGGTGAAGAAAGTTCCCTACGGTACAGGATTATTTGTCATTTGGTTCATCAGATTTTTCTTATGGCTTCAAATTTTATCTAACTATTTGTTACTCTTATTTCTACAGAGACAGTTTTATTGCTAAAATGCTTGAGCTTAATGCACATATAAGGTACATGAACTTTGGTTGTTTTTATCAATTTTTTCTCTTATTGCCTCAGAGAAATTCTTTTTATTTTAAGCTAAGCAGACAAATTGATGAATTCTCACTTTATAACTGTTGGCTGTGTGTGAGAGACTATCTTTTCTAGGAGGCCAGTTCTATGCTACCTTTGTTAGTTACTTAGTTTGTTATGCCAAGTACATATTGGATTTTATGTACTTGGCTAGAATGATAGAGAATAACAGCTAATTAATTGCATCATGTTGTCAAAATGTCGCAGGTTAGTTCGTCTTACTACTTTCGAATTTGGATTTCAGTATTCACCATAGCATGTTCAAAATAATTGTGTGGATATCCTTGTTCGCAGGAAATTTCAGGTGATGCTAGCCTCTGTTGTCAACGCAGATAATTGCTCTGAAGCTAGATTGGATGGCGGTATGCATCCTTTGTGCCGATAACGGGCTTGTGATCCATGAGAGATTCAGTCGGTTTGTGCTGATAGGAGACAGCTTGAAATCAGGATGTTAAATTTTAAAACATGAATAATCTAAATGATGCAACATAAAGCTGGTAATGGGGTTCTGATTGCAGAAGTGCTGGTTTTTCTCATGTGCTTATGATCTTTAAAAAAAATAATCTATGCATTTATGCTCTTGTAATCAGTTGAAGGCACAATGTATTCCACGGCTTGGTATCTTCATTATGTCGCTATAGTGTGGTTGCAAATATTTGTGTGGACTCATCTTAAGCGTGTGCTTTAACTGCAGGCGTACATGATGCTCAACAGACCAGATTGTTTCTAGAGAGCAAACTTGCCAAACTAATCTCGCAAACAAATGAGGAGGAGCAACAATATGAATCTGAAAAACTAATTAATGATCAGGTTACTGTATAAAGCTTATACCATGCTATGCTTGCATATCATAAGTTGTGATGCCTCAATATATATATATATTAGGATGTTAAGAAAAATATCTCTAGGAACGTGTCTTCAATATGCATTTGAGATTCTGTTATTGACAAGTAGGTGTGTTTGTTTGGGGATTTGGATTTTGAGTTGGGATTTGAATAGTAAAAATTTTGAATTTGAATAGTTTTATGATGTGATATAAATAGGTGTTGATGTGATGTTTTGAATGTAAAATTGATTTTTAGTATAATATAAAAAATGAAAAATAGGTGTTCGATTTGATGTTTTTTGGGGAAAAAAATGGGATGAATAGTGGAAATCTAATCCAAGAACTTGTTCAGCTTCAACAAGAGTTATCCACCTTAGAAAAGAGTGCTTCACTGCTGGAGTCCATTATGAAAGAAAGAAAGGAGCTGCAAGATTTGAGAAGATATCCTTTTGATTATGTCAGTTTGTTTTTGGTTGTTTGACCTCATCCAGTCCCCTAAATAATCAGCTAAACCTAACCTCAATTAAGTTAGAAGTCTTAACAGGTGAAAATGGATTATGAAGGGCTGTCTGGGTAAGCACAATCTAAATAGTCATTCATAACGGGTATCTTATCATAAAATTTTCAAACTATATTTCTTTCTTTTATTGCAAATGGACTTAACGATCTATCTGACCATACATAACCGAAAGGATCGCAATGCCTGTCTTCTACCAAAAACAAAAATAAGAATAGAAAGAAAAGGAGAAACAATCTTCAAATATTGACTTTCAGTCTGTAAACCACATGGTTCACATTATATTCTGACCGGGGTGAAATACTTCATTTCGTTCTTTTGGGGATTAGAAAACTTCGTTCAAGATTCATCAATGGTGCAAATATTATTAGTTCTTTTACTTTTCCTCTGTAACTTTGAACTGTCACGATAGAGTGTAGGTTCTTCTTCCATCTTATTCCTTGACTGGAAGTAAGCAGAGACAAGAAATGGGGGAAGAGTGTGCTGCACTTGGTGAAGAGCTGAAACAGAGATGTATTTGTCCCAACTGTCACAAGGATAATTCAGCAGAACTTGGTGATCTTCTTCAGATAAGCAGTGAAAGTTAACATCTTCCTTATAAGTAGTTTAATTGGCTTTTCACTCCGTTGCATGGAAAATAATTCAAAATATACTTCTACAGAATAATTTCCTAAGGCAATGCAGACTGCTATATCAGTTGGTTCTTCTGATGAATAATTTGATGCATATTGATGTATAGAGCTCATGTGACCTCATAACCAAAAAAGTTGTGCTACAACTTTCTGACAGCATGCATAAGCTTTCATTTCCTCTTTGTTAATAAAATATTATGTTCAATACAAGTCTCTATCTTTTTTCTAAATATTTTGTGTAGGATAGGGGAAATAACAAGCTGTCATATGCAATACCGTGGTACTTCATCTATGAAACACCCAAGCCTGCAAATTTGTTGATGACACTTACAAATGCTTCACAATCTATCAACACTGTTGAGTCATGTGCTTAGAATAGGAAGTTTTATATTATATGTTTTAACCTTTGTTCGAATGAAGTCAAGTACAAGCTGTCCTCGAAGACAGACTTGAAGTTCAGTTACAAGTCTGAGATCGAAATCTTTTCTTTTTGGAAAGCTAGAAGGTGTAAACACTTGAGTGCGTTTTTGTTGTGTCGTCCTAATTTTTGTACATATGACTATAACAACCAACAAAATACTATGTTAACGCCAACCAGAGGGATAGGTCATACACCAACAATGCTAGCAGAGCCTTTTCCCTACCCCTTTCATATATGCTTCTATTTACATCAGACTTTAGGACTGATTCTTGATCACAGAAGGAAACTTTTGTTGAGTATATATGTCTTTCTTGAATACTTTCAATTTAGTAATCCTTCGGAGAAGAGTAGAAGACTTTTTATACTCACTGTTTTTCTTGTTAGTTGAGTATGGTGGTTAGACCTGTAGGCTGTGGCTAACCTTGTTTAGGTATATTTAAGATAACTTGATCAGACAGAAGGGCTTTCTTATGCTGTTATTTCTAGAACAGAAAATATATTATACACACTTCTCCACGTTTACTGAAAGCTATCAGGTTTTCTGTAACTAATCCATCCTTCATAGTAACATATCTTTCCTCCGTGAAATCAAATGATCACAATAGCCTCTAATGCCATCTCATTTAGCATGAATGGATATTAAAACACACAATGAATGCATTCTTTTTTATTTCTCCAACTTAGTACATTGAAATTGAGTATTACAATCCTCTGCTGCAAAATACTGCAGCAATCGAGTTATTTATTTAAATGGAAGACATGGTAGGTCTTCCATTTAAATCTTCCCCTTGGAAACCTCTAGAGCATGTTCCGGGCTAGAATATCTTACCTGTATGAGCCACCGTGATGCCCAGAGCAAGAACTAGGAAGCTTCATCATTCTAACATTCCAGCCTGCATTAATCACAATATATTCTAGTGAAAATGTAAGAGACACAGTGGGGTCTATGCACTAATGCCAGGCTTTGCTTGGTAGTAAGTACTCTTTATAGTTTAGCATCAGTAACCAAATGTTGCCTAAACATAGCAATGAAGGCCTCTACTCTGTGGTTCAATTCTTCTTTGGATAGCAACAATTCCTCATCTTCTTTCTTTACTTCGTCTTTTGCATTCTTTGTTTCATGCATCACATCGTCACCACTACACTCTTGAACAGTAGTCAAAACCTGTGGACTACATTCTAGACTTTTTTTCTCCCCTGCAAACTCTCTAGTATCATCTTCCTGATCAATAGCCATTGACTGGTGTTGGTGTTGGTGTTTGGGTTTAGAAGTGAATAGGATAGCTAACAGCAAGAGGTTAAGCACGAGGAATACCCACACACGCCAGTGCATGAACACGGGCACCATCACTGCCCGTTCGATGCACGCCATGAATGCAGCCACTCCGGCTGCAAACCAGACGGCCTTCAATTGCTCCTCGCTCTTGTTGTCCCCTGCCATTAGAGCATAAAACCTCTCTAGCTTCCAGAATATGAAGACAAAGGGTTTTATCAGCAGTGGCAATGGCAATGGCAATGGCAATGGCAATGGTAATGGCAATGGCTTGGCTTTATATAGTGGAATAGCTCACACTGTTGTATCATAGTATAATTTTGATTACTCATAGTGCAGTGTGTCTGTGTGCAGGGGACATAAAGAATATGGGCAGCAGGAGAGTTGTAATCATCAGACAAGAAAACATTCTAGTAATGCAGCAGCAGCATCTGCGTACAACCTTATCATTGCTTCCAATTCAAGCCTTTGGATTTGAGGCGTGCGCCAGCTTTCAAATGCATGCAGCAGCAGGTACTCAATTAATACTATTATTAATATTGCCCTTTGCTTCTTTTACCGCATGCCTTATCATCCTATTATTAGTAATCTATCTGTCATTAGCAAATGAGATTCAAATTTTAGGAAGGTTACTAAGTTGACCATCACGGAAATTCTAGCTAGGGGTATAGCATGAGAGCCAAAAAGAGGAAATAAAAAGTAGTTTAAGGTGTGGTATTGGGGGTAGTCTGAATTCAGTAATAATCATGATGAATAGAATAGAATAGATGCTTTGTGGTGGAATTTAGAAGTTGACGCAACACGGAAAAAGGGTTCAGCTTTTTGTGGAGTCGGTGGACAATAATGCACGCCTATGTTGCTAAATATGCCCACATCTCTTTTCTTTTGTCATCTTCTCATCTTTGGCCCAAATGTCCCAAACCATTTTCGGGTATGTCTCTTTTGAGTTATTATATTGTTTCTTATTATTTGATGTTTTTTTTTTTTAAAAAATATCAAATTAAATATTATTTAAATTTTTAATTCAAATTTAAGTCATGCCAGAAAAAAAAAAAAAAAAAAGAACAACATATTTCATGAATTTTAAATTTTTTATAAATTTAGTATTAAATTAATAGGGGAGAAATAAAAATTAGTTTCATTGAAATTATAAACAATCAAAATTTGTCTCAATAAATTTGATGTTGCTATGTGTTGAATTGGAATTTTCAAAAACTAAAGTGACGAATTCGAACTTCATTTTTGGGCTTGTTAAGTTCGTAGATCACTCACTAGCGGTTCTGTAATTCATGGTTCTAATTCGGAGCGATAGTTACAACTGACGATGAGATTCCCGAAACTGTTTAAGGACGGTTCGGTGGAAATTTCAGGCAATTGGACCGTATCAACTTAGATTCGGTTCTTTGAGGCATTTGAATGGACTGATTTTAAATACAATCCACCGAACATTCCTAAGCGGCGGACTCCAGGTGGGCCAACTAGGAGTGAATAATTTCAAACTTCAAACTTGCAGGACAATTGCTCGAAACTTTTTAAAGCCCAAAGGCAATAACTGGTGTCTCTTGTATTTTTTTAAATTCTTATATGTTAATATCACATGATTTATAAATGCCTAAGAAATGCTTCTATGTAAGCCCAACATTATAAAAGGAGCAGCCGCAAACATGATTCTTCTGACCGCTCCGGGTTGCTAATAATAACAAAAGGAGCCCGTCCTCTAGTCTCTTCCACCTTCCTATTATAACTATCTCCCAACCTTCGCTGTCAAAACTTGTTTAGATAAGAAATTTTTTTAAATGTTTTTAGAGTATTATTATAAATAATAAAATAATATTTAATGTGATATTTAAAAAAGTTATATATATATATTTAATATAATATTTAAAAATTATTAAGAAAATATAGGGGAAAAAAGGTCTAAAACAAAGCTCATGTCTAAGGAAAATAAATAAATAAAAAACATCATTAGCGTTTTTTACGAAGACTGAAAGGGACATAACCCATAACACGACGCACAGCAAGTTGAGAAGAATATTTCGGACATTAAATGCTCATGTCTGGAGACTATAACACGACTGAAATCTAAACCCTCCTGAGTGAATAACAGTAATTTGGATTCCTTAATCCTAACAAGATTATGAGGGAATCCAAGTTGATTAGTACCTACTAATCAATCCATCACCGTCCCCAGATGAATCCACACCATGCATTCTTCACACCCACGATCTCAACCGTCCGATTTTCCGAGATCCTGGACCTCCGAAAATCAACCAATCGTCCCCTCCCAGTCAAAACGAAACCCCCCATTCTTGTCCCATGGTTGAAAATCAAGGTCCTCTCTCTCTCCTCTCTCACAAAACCCGAGAAGTCAATTCTCTGTCGCCAGTGAACCCTGAAAGCAATGCCCAGAAGTTGCTGATGATAGAGGAAAGATAAAGAATGGCTCCACACTGACCCAGCCACCCAACCACCATTTTCGATTCTTCAATACCAATACCAATCCATCTTCTTCTGCTTCCTCAGTCTTCACCACGGCAGCACCCAATAATGAATGATCAGTCCCCCCTTCTGATCCTCAGATCCTTCCTGCTGCTGCTCTTACTTCTTCCCTTCTCCCTTTCTGAAGACGATGTCAAGTGCCTGCGGGAGCTGAAGACCTCGGTGTCCGATCCGCAAGGCAGGCTCGACTCCTGGAACTTCTCCAACACCACCGAGGGTTTCATCTGCAAATTCACCGGCGTGTCGTGCTGGAACGATCAGGAGAACAGAGTCATCCGTCTCGAGCTCGGCGATCTCAGCCTGACAGGTGCGATTCCCAATTCCCTGCAATTCTGCCACGCCCTCCAAACCCTAAATCTCGCCGGAAACTCTCTCTCCGGTAATATTCCTCCCCAAATCTGCACTTGGCTCCCTTATTTAGTTACCCTAGATTTGTCGCGAAATGGTTTGACCGGCCCGATCCCGCCGGATCTCGCCAATTGCTCGTATTTGAACGAATTGATTTTGGACGACAATAAACTGTCCGGGACCATTCCCAACCAAATTTCCAACTTAGGGAGGCTCAGAAAATTCACTGCGTCAAGCAATGACTTGTCGGGAAGAATCCCGTCTTTCAGACGGGATTTGGAGCTCAATTTTGATGGGAACAGTGGCCTCTGCGGTAGGCCAGTGGGGAAATGTGGTGGATTGAGTAAGAAAAGTTTGGCCATTATTGTTGCAGCAGGGGTTTTTGGTGCTGCTGCATCATTGCTGCTGGTTTTCGGTTTGTGGTGGCTTTATTACACGAGGTCGTCTAAGAGGGGCAAGAAAGGGTATGGAAGGGATGATGGGAGCAGTTGGATTGAGGTTCTGAGAGGCCATAAGCTTACACAGGTTGTCCTGTTTCAGAAGCCTCTTGTCAAGGTTAAGGTCGCTGATTTGTTAGCTGCTACAGACAATTTCAGCAAGGAGAACTTAGTGGTGGCGAGCAGGACAGGGACGACGTACAAGGCTGTCTTGCCGGACGGATCTGCACTAGCGGTCAAGCGACTTAGCGCTTGTAAAATGGGGGAGAAGCAGTTCAGGATGGAGATGAATCGGCTGGGACAGCTGAGGCATCCGAATTTGGTGCCATTGTTAGGGTTTTGTTTAGTGGAGGATGAGAAGCTCTTGATTTACAAGCATTTGTCGAATGGGACTCTGCGTTCCATGCTGAGTGGTGATAGCGGCGCCGGGGTATTGGATTGGAGAGCGAGGTTTAGTATAGCGTTGGGAGCTGCAAGAGGGCTTGCATGGCTCCACCATGGTTTTCACCCTCCGAACTTGCACCAGAATATAAGCTCGAATGTCATACTTCTTGATGAGGATTTTGATGCGCGGATTATGGACTTTGGTTTGGCGAGATTCTTCACTTCATCAGAACCGGATGAGAGCAGCTTCCTGTATGCAGAGTTAGGGGAAACAGGATATATTGCTCCAGAGTATTCGAGCACTATGGTCCCTTCTCTCAAAGGGGATTGTTTCAGTTTTGGAGTGGTGCTTCTTGAATTGGCGACTGGACTGAAACCTCTTGATGTTAGCAAGGTTGATGAAGCATTCAAGGGAAATTTGGTCGAGTGGGTAAGCCAGCTTGACAGTGCTGGTCGGATAAAAGATGCTATAGATGGGAAGTTAGTCGGGAAGGGAGACGAGGAGGAGATAGTGAGATTCTTGAGAAGTGCCTGTAACTGTGTTGTGTCTCAGCCCAAGAATAGGTGGTCAATGTATCAGATTTATGACTCACTAAAGAGTATGGCTGAGGAAGGTGGCTTGGAAGGACACAATGATGGGTTTCCTCTGGTGTTTGGGAAGCCTCCTTTAACAGAAGGGGAACAAGAATCATGAGGTTCTTGTCTGAACACTATGGTATATATATACATATATTATGCAACTGTATGATAATACATTTTATCTGCATAGACACTACTACCCAAGGCATTCTTGTTGTTCCTAGTGTTTTTTGGCTATGTACTTTGTGGTAACATCTTGATCAATGTAATTGCTCTGTGGTTGAGCTCCTTTGACCCTTGATCCAGAAAATTTTATGACAACCTGGTATTTCTTTTTCCGGTCACTCATCTTCGCAATCCCTTGCAAAAAACACATCCCTCTACTATAATCTCTCTGTGTTTCTGTTACACTTAAACATAGATACAGATGGCTAAGTCTATCCCATTTGCTGCAGTGCTTAAAGTTAATAATGAAGAATAAATCTTACTTCTTGATCTTCAATTTAAGGCTGAGTCTGTTTTGAAATTAGAAGATACCCATATTGAAAGTGGACGGTAATATCAGGTGATATTTATTTATTTTTAAGATAGTCAAGATTATAGCGTATATCCGTATCTGATGCATTTGGAGCATTGTTCCTGCTGTAGAGTGGAGGAGACAATAAAGTAATGAATAAATAAACTCATGGCAGCTGAGGGAAAAAAAAGAGCCACCTTGAGTTTGAATGCCACTCACTTTTGGACTTCTTGAAACAATCAAAATCACACCTATAGAAAAACCAAAGCACACAAATAAAAGGTAATATGACTGGGGAAATAATCAGGAGAGAATATACAGTTTGCTTTTTTTGAACTTGAGATTTACCTTTTCATTTAGGACTGTAAGTCTGTAACAATGATTGGTTTGGTATTTTGCTCACTGATCCGTTAGTAAGAAACAATACTCAAATTGGAAGAACATATAGATACATATTTAATCAGAGGTAAGCAACCTCAATTTGGGGCACTAGGAAGCCAGAATGTCCCTTAAGCTAGAATTAAAGGTATAAACAATTTGAAAAGAAGTGCCCCTTTAATTTTAACCCATGCAAATTGGTTACATGCTTTAATAGGAACAAAAGACAACATCAAATCCTAAACAAAAGGTAAAGGACAGCAACCCTTTATTGCATGGACACGCCAACAACAAAAGCTGTGACAAATTTTACTCAAGTCTCAATGCTCACATATACAAAACCATTAACCAAAAAGAAAAGGAAAAGAAAATGTACAATCACCCTTTCAAATAACTAATTATTAGTTAGACTAACTGTTTGCTGCTTGTGTATATGCAAAGCAAACTTTCTTGAATAATTCTTTCTAGGCTCAAGGGGCAAATTCAAGACTAGTAGATGTCATGATAGGCTCTGGGGAAACTTCAAATGGTTCTGGTTTGCTCATGTACAGAAACAGGACCCATGGACTGATAATTTTCATACAATTCCTCCAGATTATAAACTATAGGTGTAGAATTTGAAGGTTTGAAGATAAATTTGCATTGGTTGTTTTCTTCTAGATTACCTTGTGTTCATCCTGAAGTGTAGGATTAAGCTTATGTGGGTGGCAGTTGCAAATCTCCTGCTCTCCTGTTATGAACAAAGTCACATTTTGAGCTGTAAATGATGACTTACAATAACCAGCAAGACTGGATATATGGTGTGTTTGTGTATATAATCAGTGCAGTTGGGGTGTATGCAGAAGGGCAAGGGGGTGGTACCTGTTGTGGATAGGATCAGGTCCATTGGGCACTCTTCTCTTGCTGACATAATTGATGTTGATATCCTGATGATGAATGCTGCTGCCCTGTTGTTTCCCTCTTCCACCTGTGATTGATGGAACTGCAGTGACTGCATTATCCCTTCTATTATTCCAGTCTGATGATAAGCTCACAACCACCAAAAACCAGACAACACTAACTGACAAAGCAGCAGCCCCCACAGCTTTCCTGCTCATGCCCATCACCTGAACACAAGAATAAATATGGTATTGCAGCTTAGCAAGGACTCATTTGAGGAGAAGAGGTTGAAGAAGAAGAAGAAGAAGAAACTGGCAGGTTTAGGGCAGGACAGGACAGGACAGGACAGGACAGCTTATATAGTCTCTCAACCAAGAATGGATGAACTTGTCAAAGAAGAATTCAGTTGGCCATTTTAAAGCAGCAAGTATGTTGAAGAAATACTTGTAGTAGAAGTAGTAGTAATAGTACAGGTAAAGTTGGGGCCTCCAATATTGCTTTTTCTCCCACTGATTGGTCCATCCCAACAACTCCCCCTTTATTTCGGCATGTTCCATTTTGTGGCAAATTTTTATGGGACCTCTCTAATTTTTCCTATTTCCTCATCCATGCCCTCAATTTAAAAGGGTGAGAGCTTTGGGTGCTGTGCCATCAATTTATTCCCTAGAGAAGGGAAAATAGCCAAAGCAGAAATATGCCCTGATGAAGATACAGAACATACAGAGGTGGGTTAGTGACAATTTGCATAATAACAAAAAATATTTTCCTTTGATGCATTCGTATTGCAGCAGATGCACACAAGTTGCTGTCAAAAAAGATGAGGTGGATTGAATCTAGTAAAGATAGACAATTATGATATTTACCATCATCCTACATGTCCAATCAGGGGAGGGGACAGCAACATCCTGTGTCTTGTCCTGACTGAATCTATTACATGCTCTTTTTAATGTCCAGGGAGAAACACATGTGACAGAAACAGCACATATAACAAAATCTGTCTCAGGAAATAACTTCAATCCTCTTTGTCTAAATCTACATGATCATCTTTAACTATGCAGGAGTTGTAATGGGATTGCAAACTGTACAAGCAACCTTATTGGGAAAACACCAAGTAAAAAGGAGTAAGTGTAAAATCTGCCATTATACAGACTACATAGAAGTTGCTGCTGCAATCGTACTGGAATCACTATCATTAAATGCCGATGGAGAAATCTCACAATTATGGGTCCATGGCAATGCTCAAACTTACATTTACCTGCCTTTCTGGCTCAACTGTGAAACAATTGGTCTCAAGGAAGAATAGTAAAGCATGACTGAGGGAGGGGTATCCAAGAAATAGTAAACAGTTAAAATCCGTCCCGAATTTTAAGTTGATCCATGACCTTAAAGGCAAGATTGTGGCTCCACTAAGGTATGATGGTCTCCTGCATAAGACAGCACTACCGTGCAAACAAACATGGATAAAAAGAACATATAGGGGTCATTTTGAATCTAGATTTTCGATTTTGTTTTGAACCTTGTTAGACTCAATTCAAATACTAACAGCACCACTTTATCTCACAGCATAAAGATATATATGTGTGTGTGTGTGGCCATTTTTAAGTTATCTCTTTTAATATATAATAGTAGCCTGACATACCGACCAAATTGGGACACTCTTCGTATCTGAAAAAATATACAGCTAGAGTGAGTTCAACCCAAATTGCAAAGACACCGAGCAGAACTAAGTAACTAACATAGTATTACATAATTGCATAATTGCAATCATTAGGAACTGATTTCTGACCACTGTGTTTAGAATGGAAACCATTTCTCTTGTCTACACACTACAAATCCCTCTTCTTTACCGCCCACTTTGGACCGTATATTGCCAGATGTGTCCTGCCAAATCGCCGATCAGCTACCTGCATAATTAACCCCCAAATTAATGCTGTTTTGCAGTGAGTCTCAGAAAAACATCAGCGAACACACAAAACTAATATCATCTTCGTGATGTCAACATTGGCAAAGTAATGAGTCAAATATTAATCAAATTACCTTCACAAGGGATGCATACACATCCGGCATTTCAGTCCTCAGTGGATACTCAACTACCTGGAGAAGTTAGCAAAAAAAGTTAAGCGGCTTGGTAATAAAATTCATGTCCAATCAAGACTTTAATATATTTGCCCTTACTATAAAGGTATTCTCCCCAACAACTGATGAACTGGAAATCTGATCCATCAGTTCAGCATAGTCTACCAGCATATATGGAGGAGTGACACTTATGTAGTCGAACACTCCATCATTACCTAAAGCAATTGATTCCAACATGTAAGAACATTGCACAGGGACAGTAAAGTTAAAATGGTGTAGCATGCAGATAGTACACGGAAAATCATTAACTCATTGTATTCATAAATCCCTTCATACCCAAAGTCAATAATTTAGGAATGATGTAAATGCATGAATATAATCACCTACAAAAGACTTCGCATTTTTCAAGAAGGTTTCAACACGGACAGTGTGGATCACTGAAGCATCAAGAAATTTGGTCGATACCAAGTTTGGGCGTAACACGTCTGAAACCACCCAAGGATCCATCTCCACAAAATGGACCTAAACATAATTACTTAATCTAGTAAATGTTTTGAGAAAGACAAGCAAGGACCATATCAAGTGATGGCAATGTTTGCTTCACTGTAATTTGTGATAATGATTATCAGGGAGAGTAATGTGTAAACTCCATTTTGAGCCTCAAAACAAAACTGATTAGTAAAAAGCACACCTCAGAGCATCCTCTACTGATAGCTTCAATGCCGACAGATCCTGTACCACTATACAAGTCTAACCAGCGCCCTGGTCTTAGAGACTGTGGACAGCCACCAGCTGCCTTTCAGATTAAAAATGCATTAGCCATTAGCTCCTTGCTCGATATTAGCTCAAGTTTTAATTAAATAATAGGTGAGATGCTTCTCACAAGTCACATGCCAAGTCGAGTTCATATATACATAATGTTAGATGGGATATACCTGCAAAATGGCAAAAGCTGCTCCCTTTACAACTTCCATCATAGGCCGCACATCCATACCTTTTGGGGAGAGTAACTTTTTCCTCCGAGCTGTTCCTCCCAGGACCTAAATGCCATTCTAAATTAATACTTCTGACTTTTTCTTAATTCTGGTGCTGATATATTGTAATTGACTTTGATACTTCTGAACCTATTGTAGTGTTTGCTACATACTTGAGCCAAAATAAACTTATCTGAAATCACGTGAAACTGCCAACTGGTGACAGTTTTAATAGTTTTCCAGTGTTTGAGCAAATATTGCATGTTCTATGAGCAGAAGTGAAACCGTAATAACTGCGGCCAGTTTTAACAAGAAGAAACAAAGCAGACGTGAGAAGTTGACATGAATAGTTATACATTTTGTGCAATTGTAAAAATCGAGTAGCATCAGCAATCAATAAAGCTAAAGACTCCTCCCATTCTTGCTGAGTGGAAACACTGGGAAATGGTTGCTGCAGAAACTAGGAAATGGAGAAAAACCAGCCATAATCTCATATCACGGCTGGTTAGAGCTCAACGAGAAGGCTCCTATGGCCATTAAATTAATGCTTTTTGAGGAAGTATTGGGGGAAGACATAAAAGAAAACTATTACATGTGGGTTAATACAGCAGGTTAGAAAAGGTGTCCATGGCCCTATAGTTGATGATCAAGCTTCACTTAAGGCAAAATAGACTGTGCACCCTTAGAATGGGAGAAGAGCCAGAATTTCCGGTTTTGGGTATTAAAAATCAACAAACATAATCCTAAATTATTGCCATCAGCCTGCAATGTCATTTTAGATGAGAGAAGATTATCCTTAAAGCCACAAGAAATGTTGAAATGAATAAAGAAACAAAGTATCTAAAAGCTCCATAACCAAAGAAACAATCCCACAAACCAACATAACATGCTAATAATCCTATTTGAACCCAGTGGAAGCAATAATGCCAGGATCATCTGGCTACTCAGCCCGGGCCCAAGATAAATCAAAATTGTTTACCAATTCAAATTAACTTAAAAAAAATATATACATGTGACAACCAATGTGTTCTGTGTTAATTAAGTTGTACAGAAACAAAGGTGGCCTAAAAGAGTGAAGAAAATCTTCAAACCTGGAGCAACTTGTGGGTCTCCCGAGGAGGCTTAGACTCCTCCAAAGGTGTATGGTTTTTCATTCCTGTATTCCCCTGTTCTTTTCTCCTCTTTACCTATAATTCAATAAAGTGGCATAAAGTCATAACTACCTACTGGAAGTACCTACACCTTTATCACTCTACCACACACGTAACGATAATGATAATGGAAAAAAAAAAAAAAAAAAAAAAAAAAAAGGATGACCTTTGGAGAGGCATCGGATAAGAACTCGTCAGGATTAAGACCATACTGCTCAAGAAGCTCTCTCTTCTTGGCATCATCAACAAATTTGCTCTTGGGTTCTGATGTATCAGACAAAATGTTGCCATGTTTATCGTCTTCTAAGAGACTACAAAGAGCTGAGAAAATCAGTGTAACTGAAATGACTTACTGTATGAGAGAGTGACGAGGAGTGGCCGGTATCGAACGCTGCAGCTGCAGCTGGGCTTTGAAAAACCAAGAAAATTGGTATTTGGGCAAAGGAAATCACTGCCTGTGATGTGCAGAGGCGTTTGGAGAATCGACATTTTTTCGCCTTCCCCACCGTTGTTGATCTTGTTCTTGCTGCTGAGTCATTTCCATTTAAGATATTTTAATTTTATGGCGTCTGCTATTAAATATTGGGCTTTTTCTTCGAACCTCATCTCAGTGAACCAAACCATCGGCCCAAAACAAACCAAAATATCAAAACATGGCTAAACAAATCCTAAATAAATAAAAACTCACCACAAATAGTTATAATAATTATGACCAGTCCGTAAGGGGTGTCCGGATCCTGGCCCACTAGCTGTTGGTTGTATAATCGAAGAAATAAAGCAATCAAAATGTTAGTGAGTGAGTGAATGAATGGGTTCTTTCAACAAATCCTGATCTTGTTGGGATGTAATGAAAAATTGATCATGCTTTCTTGGCCCTATTTATTGATACAGGGGCTGCAGGGGCACACCATTCCAGCTTTAATTAATTTGCCCAAAATATATATGTATCATGAAAAGGAGGATGTGTCAACTCGTGTGTATACATACATACCTCTTTCCAAATGGCAGCCTAGCCTACACTCTCAAATTGCCTTTGATTTGATTTGATGGTTGTGATCATGATTCTCGGAGTTGGATACTTAGAAATATATGGAGTAGCAAGGAATAGTTTTTGTGGGTAACGAATCAATATAGTTATTTATGAGAATTCGAAGCAGTAATGTCATGTCTTGTATATATGATTAAGCTTAGGATATTGAAAAGTTATTTCAAAGCAAGTGAAAAATAGATCATATAGGAGGAAGAAGAGGATCTGAGACAAGAAAGATAGAATCAATAATCTCAAGTAGTTTCGTCCAAGATCATGTCATCAGGAAACTCTAGGCGCATTTCATTGTCATGAGCAAAGATTGCCTCTACGAATGACTGTGCAGCCGCAGCAATGGAGGAGGAGCTCTCCTGATCGGTACTAGTAGTAGCAGTCAATCTGGATCTGGCTGTGGTGTCTGATCCATCCTGCTGTTGTTGTTCATCACATGAAGAACCTTCCAGATAATTATGAGGAATATTATTAATGGCGTCGTTGTTGAGCGGCATGATCTTCATCATCCCAATCCCAATCCCAATCCCAATCCCAATCCCGCCACCATACTCGCATTTCAGTGTAGTCGTTGTCATTTGGTCCACGTTATAATTGTCTGGTAGTGGAAGTGGAAGTGGTAGTGGTGGTAGTATTGAAGGATCTCCGAGAGTGTATTCGTTACTCGACATAAAGAAGGGGTCAGAAGAAGGCACCATTTGAACCAGCTGAGATCCCTCACACGACTGAGATGGTCCGCAGCCCAAATGCGTGACTCCTCCTCCTCCTCCTCCTCCATTGGAAGACAAGGATGTAGAAGAAGAAGAAGAAAATGCATCACAGGGGGAGAATACCTGATCGCCCAAAAAATGTGGCAAATGGACATTCTCCACCGGACGATTATTATTATTATTATTGTTGTTATTGATCTCAATGATCTTGTGCCTGTTGCTGTTTTCTGGCTTCCAAATTGATGGCGATGATGATAATCCATCGTCAGTGCCGCCTGCCGCTGGATTGTGGAGGAAAGGGTTTCTGTTCCTGCAGGAACCTGGAGGAGGAACACCACTGATCTTCCCATATTCGCTGAAAAGCTGGGAGAAAGGCTTGTGAGTCACGGGATCGATCCCCATTTTAGTCAGTTTCTTCTTCAGTTTTGTGTTCCAGTAGTTCTTCACGTCGTTGTCTGTTCGCCCCGGCAGCCGTTTCGCGATCAGAGACCATCTGCAACAACAATGTCGTTGTAAGGAATTCTGGATCCATAAATTGATGAAGTTTTGTGAGTACCTGCTGCCGATGGTTTTGTGAAGTTCAAGAATGCACTCTTCCTCCTCGGGAGTGAAGTTGTCGTGCTTGAGATCGGGGCGGAGGTAGTTGGTCCATCTCAGCCTGCAGCTCTTCCCGCACCTGTTGAGGCCTACACAAACACACACACATGTGCTACCATGCCATGCCAAATTATACATACATATATAATTAAGTTTAAAAAGGAAGATGAGATAGATACCTGCTTTCTGGGGGACTAAGGTCCAGTTGCCGATGCCATGGCTGGCAACGTAGGCAAGGATTTTGGCGTCTTCTTCAGGGGTCCAGGGTCCTCTTTTCACGTTGGCTTTATCGCAGCAGGGTGGTCTCCCCATTGGATTAGGATATTCAGATTGAGATTGTGCAAATTGATGCAGTAATGACGATGTGATTCTTGTTTCTTGTTTCTTCTTCTTCTTCTTCTTCTTGTCTTCTCAGTACACTTAATTTTGAAAGCATTAATAAATTGTATGGAGGTGGAGAGGCATTTAACAAGTGTGGGAACACGATATGCATGCAATTTTGGCTCCCCATTTAACAACAATTGCATGATATTCTTTAGCCAATAATCCAAAAAAAACCAAGAGAAAACTGTTTGACATGACATGAAAAATACACACATGCAATATCCCTCCTCTTTCTAAACACATCTCCCTTCTCTCTCTCTCTCTCTCTCTCTCTCTCTCTCACGGCCCCCCCCCACACACACATCAGATTCTCTAACATTCACAGATGATTCTTGGGTTCAATTCACTTGCTGTAATCATCCAAAGCTAAGATTAGCAGACGACTTTGAAGCTCTTCGACAAAGGGATCTTTCTCATCATTGGCTCCTCTCGTTAAGCTGCCCAAAATTAAGTGGGCCCAACCCAACAACTTAGGTTAGGCTGGTAATCACGTTTTCAATTCTGGCAGGAGGATGCTTACTGCCACATGACGACGGATCCATTTGATGTTGGATTTTACCTTTCAGAAATTATTACAAGAGGAAACTGAAATGTACAAGGAGGATATAATTTTGGCACGTGTAAAGAGGTGGGCCCAATTTTCGAAAGCAAATTTTTTATGTGCAAGGACTGCCCACTGTAAAGAGCATCTCTGGAATTATTCAGGCAACTGAACTGAGCATAACAGAACAGAATCTCAGAGGATTAAAGCAGCATAGTGCATTGCATTTGCATGCCATGGAACAAGCTAAGTCACGAGTTCCCATTTGATGCCACAATGCATTGTCTCTATCGTTTTTTTTTCCTTCTTTTCTTTTTCAGGAATCACCAGGTTAATTATAGAGCAACAATAAACAGGAACTTTGCCCGGATTTTGGGAAGAAAACAGAATTCCTCAAGCGGGCAATAAATTTCTTACTTCTTGATAGATCTTCAAGCAAGATTCAGGTATTACCCAAAACTAAACTCATGATGACCTGTGAGCTGTAGCAGAACGATTGAAATAAAATTAAAGAAAATGGTGTAACAGATAATACACAATCCATACAAGTTTGAGGAAAGTTTGTTAGAAGAATTTGAATTCCAAGTAGGAATCTGACGACTGTTTGGCGTTTGTAGCATTGTCCGGAGCTGCCATTTTTGGATTCAACGAAGGCAAAAGATCGACGGGGTTAGGGATTTGAGGCGGCGGCGTGCTGCGGATCAGAGCCCAATTCACGCTCTCGAAGAAGGGATGCTGTTTTATTTCTGTAGCTCCTCTTTTGAACCCCAATCTCTTTTGAGGATCCTTTGCCAGCAAGCCTTTGATCAAATCCTTGGCCGCGAAGCTGATCGCCGATCCGTCGGGGAATTTCAGGGGCTGCCCGACAACGTTGAACAACGTCTCTCTGTTGCCGGCGCCGCGAAACGGCGTCTTGCCGTGAAGCAATTCGTAGAGGAAGATGCCGAACGTCCACCAGTCGACTGCGCTGCCATGGCCTTCACCTCTGATAATTTCGGGGGCTAAGTACTCGTGCGTCCCCACAAACGACATCGATCGCGCCGCGGTCGGCTCCGCCACGAGGACCGGAAGCGAATCTAGTCCGGCGGGAGGTTTCTCGCCTCTGGTTCTGGTTCTGGAGTTGAAAAGTCGGAAGCAGGACGGCGGCAACTTGCAGGACGGGTGGATGCAATAGGAAGCTGAAGAAATGATGCCATGGCTGCCGCAGGGGACGAGAGTCGGATTCACAAAGCATCTTAATGATAGGTCGAAATCGGAGAGCATGATATGGCCGTCTTCCCTCACCATAACATTCTCCGGCTTCAAATCCCGGTAGATCACGCCCATCATATGTAGGTACTCCAACGCCAGCAGCACCTCTGATGCGTAGAATCTATGAAATATGTTTGTTAATTGTCAACAGCAACATAGACAGATCGATCATCGATGGATAGATAATCATAAATGTTGATAAGATAATTAGGTACCTGGCTGCTGCTTCGGAGAAATGGCGGTGGGGCTGACGCTGGCGGAGCAAATGGAGGTCGCCGCCGCTGCAGAACTCCATGAGAAGGCAAGAGAACTTGTCGGTTTGGATGTGGGAATAGAGAGTGGGGAGGAAGGGGTGATCTAGAGAAGACAGGATGTCCTTCTCAGTTTGAGCTCTCACCACTTTCTTTCTGCTAACCAACATTGCTCGATCCATCACTTTCATGGCGAAAAGGCAGCCGGTGGTCCTCAGCTCCGCGAGATGAACGCTTCCGATGTCTCCAAACCCTAATTTCTTCAGCAGCCTAAAATGGCGCAGTCCCAGCTCCCCTTCTCTGGCCTGCACTCGTCGGACTGCGTCCCACCGCTTATCGTTCCCTTTATGCGGCTTCACGCTTCTGAAAATAACTTGATTCGAATATGGGCCGCCATTGCAGCACCCCACGGAGCTGAGACTAGTCTCCTCATGATGATTCTGAACATCATCATCATCGTTGTCGTTGTCGTCAATTTGCTGGTGCTTGTCTAGGATCGCCCCGTCGCTCAACTTACTAGTATTACTGCTACTCATGTCAGAGCCAGTAACACTACTGGAGCAGAAATCAATGCTGCTATTCCTTGTATTCGTATTAACGTCATGAAAGCTCACCTGAACAGAAACTGGGTGGCTCTCCGAATCCGAGGCTTTCCTCATGAATGGGATGGGAGAAGATTCTTGGCTGAGATTATATATACCAACCAATCATCAACCAACGGTGCTTATAAATAAGGCAAGGCAAGTGAAGGGATGGGTCAATGGCGTTTTGGGAAATTGGAGACGCCGAGGCAGTCAATGCAGTCAAAGGGAAGAAGACGCGCCATGAGCGCGCACACACAGGACAAGACAGGAAGCTGGAAGAGTCGGGTCTCTCTATAGATAGATAAATAGAGCATTCAAATTTGAAATTGGGGGGTGGGGTGGGGTGGGGAGTGCAGCCAGATTTGAGAGGCCCAATGAATTCTTACTTGCGCTGCTGCTGTTCCCAGGAACAGCTTGGAGACAAAAATATTGGATATATTACTACACACACATGTGGAGACAAAAGCCCGTTCAGATCATGTAAGAAAGACTACTAAGATACACACACATATACATACTTTTAATATTTGATTTATTTATTTATTTTTATGAATAGTGCTTGCTTTCCTTTCCAGCAGATGAGGCTTTTGAGGGGGGCAGTGTACTTAGTTTCTGCCTTTTCCTGTAAAGTGAAGACAGGGGGTGATTTATTTATCCATCGTCAATCCTCAACAGATGGAATTTTGATTGAGCATGAGCAGTAGGACTGGACGGTGGAGTTTAAAGGCGACAGCACTAACTCAATGGATTGGCTTTGCTGCTCCCGATATAAGATGAATCATAATTTTAATTCATATAGTATGCGGATATAATAAAAATCTTCACAATAAATAAATGGAAGCAACTACTACCAAACAACGCACTGCGTTTGGTCTGGTTATCAATGTGAGAAACGCCATCGTTTCATAAAAGAGCTCAATCATGGCTGCGAAAATTAATACTATGATGTATCATGGATGTAAATATTGGGTGGTTATTCATTACACTTGAATGCTCAGCTGGTAGCTAGTTTTATTCATTTGGCAAACTGAAAAAGACAGACAGCTGGGATTGGACACAAAACATTTTTGATACAATGAACAAAGATGATGATCAACAGATTCTCTGGGCCATGGACATGGACCCCAAATACCACCAATTGATTGTCTCAACGGCCCAAATCCGTCCGCTCAACAATCTCTAACCTAATCCACTTACTCATATAGATATCGTGGTTTCTTGACGAAAAAAGAATGGGATTCTGCAGATTGAATGTCGTAATCCTCGAAACCATCGTATCCTTCGCTAACAGAAAAAAGACTCTCCTTGTAAGAAAATGGCCAGAGCAAATCATAACCACCCCCTTTCTTGGGAATTTCAAGATTCCTAATTGCAGCATGTGAATCCATATCGCACAGCACCAACTCCCACCCCAACGATGCAAAGAAACCACTCCCTTTCCAAAATCCAAGCACGTTCTGAAGCCTCGAATCCAGGCTGAGGCTGCTCATTTTTGTCCAAACCCCTTTCTCCTTCATAACCCATATCTCAACAAAACTGTCCTCCTCGTCTCCATTGCTGCAGCTCGACAATCCCAAGTATTCATCGTTCCACAAATGGAGATCAATCACTCCCATTCTTACACTCTCAGGAACCTCTATTTCCTCGAAATCCTCACTGTGCATATCCATTGCAAGAACGGCTCGCTTCCCTGTGTACAAATTGCTTTTGTACCAATAATAGGATCCTTTCAAGAAAGTGCTCCCGTGCCTCGCCTGCCTTATCCCGTCGTCGCGGCCCAGCGCCGTCTCGTCGCGGAAGCACCTCCAGGAATCGGCCCGCGACGTGTACACGGCGAACATCGGCAGATCGTAGGGGTCATGGCAGTGGATCAAGACAACCTTAAACTCGTCCGTGACGGGATCGGCTCCGAATCCGACCTCGATTCTTTGAAAGAACCTCGGATTTGTGTCCGGGAGCGGCCGTATCCGTCTGGTGGCTATGTTCCACAGCGCCACCTGGGAATTGACGCTGCGGACGCAGAACACGCCCTTGCAGGGACCGGTTAACGACCAGACAACGTGAGGGACGTGGCATTGTCCGGGAGTATCGTAGCTGTTCAATGAATCGTCCTGAAATATCGCGAAGGTGTTGTCGTCGTGATTCGCCGGTTTCTTCGTCGGCATGAAGTGGCACCGGTAGACGAGGAGGCGGTTCTCGTTGCTTTCATGGCGGAAATGGCTGTTCGTGAAGTAGGAGCTTTTTATGATCTCATACCATAGCTTGCACACCGCCGCAGACCGGAGTTGCGATCGGACCGGCAGCCGGATTAGGATCTCCGTAATAAGATCATCGGTCAGAGGGCAGAGGTCACTCATCGGAGCAATTAAGACGGACGTCGGAGAAGATGAAGCAGTAATGTATTTTGAAATTTTGTTACAAAATAAATACACGGACGCATTTCGCACCGCCACGTGGCGCGCCCTGAACCGCCTGTGTTGGACCGGTCGGCCCAAGTTCAATGCCGCGAACTGTACGGCATGCGGCTGGTTTGATTGTCAACGTCGAAAATATACTACATTTAGGTCCCACTTTGAACATTTTGTTGAGGATTACACAAAAAAAAAAAAAAAAAAAAAAGGGAACAACATTAACGAATTAACATACTCTACGGTACGATTGGACATATAATTTGAAGTATTAAAATAGCGTTTAATTAAATTCTCAAAACCATCAATGATGATTCCTTAAAATGTGTCCTTTTCGAGTGGCCCACAACACGGTCAAGTTTTTTTAATTTTTTCTTATGGGTATATCCAACAACTCCACTGAGATATACAGAATCGACATCTGGTACAATGAGAGGCAAAATAAAACGTGTATTTAAATTTTATTAAAAAATACCACCATAATTGGCGTTCTAGATTCTGCTCCGTTATTTTTATTTACAAATTAAAATTTTTTATATAGAGTTAAAATGAGTGCGTAATAATGGGTTTATGTGATTGAGTCGTATGGTGTGTGTATGTATGTATGGCGTCACTGTTATTCGGCGGAGTGACGGAGTGGGCCGCCTTAGCTCTTTTGCTTTTCTTCAGCTGTTTCTCGTGATTGGAAAAAGCGTTTGGCTTGCCTACACGAGTTGGTGGATTTCTCCATCTCTTTCCGAAATCGATGCATCTGAGGTAACGACCTCGTGCTTGTTTCTCGGTTTTACGATATTTGATGGCAATGTGATTGATTGTTAAGGCGTACGCATATGGTTTGTTGTTTTCTTTGATGTGGACAGCGTTGGAGGGATTGAGGAGTGGGGTGTCTGTGTTCAGATTCATTGTCTGCTTGAGTTTTTGAAAGGCGCGGAAGAGATTTGGGAAGTGGAGAGTGGTGTGTTCTGGCTTCCGTGGTTGTTGATTGATAATGGAGGGAGAGGGGAATGGTTTATGCCAGAAAATAACGATAGGAGTGTGTGTTTTGGAAAAGAAGGTGAAATGCGGCTCCGAGGTTCTGTTTCTTTTGTCTTGAAATTTTCACTCCACAAAAAAACATGCATCGTTTATTGGATTAGTGTAAATGACCACCGATTTTCGTTCGCTTGTGTGTTCTCTGTCTTTTTTTTTTCTTTCTCTTTTATGGTTTCTTGGAATCCTTATAGGCCTTTTCGGGACCCATGTTGCAAATTTTAGAGAGATTAGAGGCGTTCGGAGAATTTGAGGTAATGAATTCATGGCCATGATTAATCGATGCAGTATTGATAGATTTTTCATCTTGACTCTTTTTTATTTGTTTTGTTGTAGATTGTGCATTTTGGAGACAAGGTAATCCTCGAAGATCCCATCGAGAGGTAAATGTATTCTCTGCAATAGTGATGAGTTTTGTCATGTGCATGTGATTTGAGTTGTCTACTGTTTCTTGGCTTGTAACTGTATCAATCTTCTTTTGCAGCTGGCCAATATGTGACTGTTTGATAGCCTTTTATTCCACTGGGTATCCTCTGGAGAAGGCTGAGGCATATGCTGCACTAAGAAAGTAAAGATGCTCAATTTCTTTCTATGTCTATTTCCCTATGCACATTCTAGCCCTTGGCAAGTACTCATTGGCATTTCTGTTGCATTCTAGAATTATACATAGATTTCCTCTTGATTACTTATTTTTGCAGCATGCATGCAATAAAATGTCTTTGTTTATCTCTTCCATGTTTGCATGATTAGCTTTCTCAAATTTTTGTCACCTATAGCATAAGTCAAGACTTTTCTTGGTGCGGAGTGTCAATCTCTCACTATGCTCAGGTGTGTCAAATGTTTTGGCTTTCATGGTTGGCTCCTAAGCAAGTGTTGGCCTTTTTCGAATCTTTCTTGTTTTGCTCTCATATTGCGGCACGTGTCACCTTCTCTTAGACAGTTTTCTACTCTGTGAGTTCATTGTAGTTAGGTTATCATGTTGATTTTTCTTTAGCTCTGGTCAACTTGGCTGAGGAACCTGCTTTTTCACCCAAAATGCTACTATTTGGGTGGGGTGCATTTCTCCCATTGTTCACGAGAATGAAGAATTATAGCCAAAGGAATGCAGTAAAATTAACAAAATGGTGTGGAAAGTAATGAATAGCCAAAGAAGATAGTCATTTTCGTGCTATCAACTGTCATTTTCAAGTCTCGCATTTGCTTCTAGGGACTCTCAAATCGTGCATATATTGTGATGTCATTGGCACTTCCAGCATTATAATTGCAGGCATGTGGATGTATTTACATGCTGCATTAATACGAAAGCCTGTATTTAAATACTAAAGTTTCTTGTATTCTACTGGGCACATGATTTCATTTCTATAGTTCCCCAACTTAGACTTCGGATTTTTTCCCATTTCTTGTAGGCCTTTCCTTGTTAATGAATTGGAACAACAACATCTCCTTCACGATCGAAGGAAAGTTTATGAGGTTTGCATTTTTCAGACTTGTAAAATTTCATAAGAAACCATATATCGAAACTGGTCTTTCCTATTTAGTTTTATATGCTTAACTCTTGAGTCATATCAAGGGAGCATTAATACTTAAGCAATGTTAGATTCAATTAGGCATAAGAAGAGTGAAACAGAACTTTGTTACATAAAGAGATATATTTTCTGTTAACATGAATTTCCATGTTGGAACAATCAATAAAAAAACATGTACTGTAAATTAAAACTAATCATTTTTCTCTATGTAGAAAAGCACGTGTTCTAATATTATAGTTCTTGGGCATGACTTTGTGGATACTCAAATTAAAATAACAATATCTAAAAAAGAGGCCATTTATGATTTACCTGCATGTTAGTTAATCATGTGCAGGATTAGTATGTTTGGTGTTGATGAGGCATTTACTTGATGGCAGCGGCTTGAAATGTTTGGAATTCCTGTTCCAAGGTATGCCTTAGTTAACAGGGAAGTTTCTAATCAAGAGTTGGACTATTTTGTGGAAGAGGAAGATTTTGTTGAAGTCCATGGCAATAGATTCTGGAAGCCTTTTGTGGAGAAGCCTGTTCATGGTAAGGTGTCTGTAAATATTATTCGGCGCTACTTTGCAGGTTAAAACTTTACAGGCCATAGGGCAAGATAGTCTTGCCATTGACGTTCTAGTCTAGTCCATATGGTGTCGATGAGAGTGGATAATACATTATAATCTCCAATGCAATTATTCTAGAAATCTACTCTTGAAAAGCAGACAAATAAATGGAAGAATGACATGATCCTTGAACTTTTTGGTCCGGTGTGTTCTTGACGTCTAATTCTTGAAATCCTTGCTAACAACAATATTTTATTTTTATTGTTTTGTTTTACCAAAGGTGATGATCACAGTATAATGATATATTATCCCAGCTCTGCTGGTGGGGGAATGAAAGAATTATTTCGTAAGGTAATAGCTTCAACAATTGTTACTTTTTATAATTAAATAATTTTAGATTGCATCCTTATGCCTTGAAAGTTACTGCTTTTGCTTTGTGAGATGATAATTGTGAGTAAAGAAGAAGTATACCTCAAATACTTATTCGCATAACTTTTTTATCTTTTAGTCCATGTTTTACTTTGATATGAAAAGAATTTGTTTTAATCATTTTAAAACAGATCATCTCTTATTGTCAGAGAATCAGCACACTTCTTTCTAGTTCTTGGTTGTACTGCAAATTAATTTCTCAACTGTTAATTAGAACAATCATATACTGACAAAGTAATTTTAAACCAAAGATGTCTTTATATATTTTATGTCAGTTGCAAGAAATATTCATTGAATGAATGAGCACTATATTTGATAATCTGTTGTATCCTATCCTCCTTTATCAGGTTGGTAATCGCTCAAGTGAATTTCACCCAGATGTCAGAAGAGTGAGACGTTCGGGATCTTACATTTATGAGGAATTTATGCCCACGGGGGGAACAGATGTAAAGGTTGTATAACCTGTGCTTCAAGAATATGATGACTAAATACTTGTGACATTGTGACCTACAATGCACTAGTTCTTTTGATTTCTGATGTACAAATGTGATGGAACTAATTAGCAGTGAACTCTCTTTTAGTTTCCTCAGAAAATTTTTGAAATCTACAAGACTTTTGTATGTGTTCCATTGTGACTGACGTTATTGCTTTGTTCACTTTTTTTTGGGGGGGGTGGGGGGGGTGGAAGAATAAATTATTGTACATGTTATATATGAGCTTTTCAGAGATTTCTGTTGTGAGTTTGTTTCTGCAGCTCCTTTTAAGTGTTTGGAATCGGGTTGACCACATTGTTTCCATATCTATGCTTCCAATCATCTTTTGATTGCGAAGTTTTTATATGACAGTTGGGTAAATTATTTCCAGCATAATTGTTTGATAATGACCTGTTATTGAACCTTTGTATATGATTAGCAATCCAAATAGATTTATTGTTTCTTTATACTGCTTGGCGGTATCTTTATGTTTTTTTTTTCTCTTTTGGCTGTTCAAGCGATAATGTACCCTTTCTATTTCTCATTTATATGTGACAAAGAAATTAGTACAATGCAGAGAATGGTGGAAATATTATATCGTTTGATCTGTATATTTTATCTAAATGCCTTGGTACACTTAAGGATATGCATTGATAGCTGGTAGATATGAGTAGTAAAGGTCGTGTTTTATTGTATCATAGGTATACACAGTAGGCCCTGAGTATGCTCATGCTGAGGCAAGGAAGTCGCCTGTGGTTGATGGTGTTGTTATGAGAAACCTTGATGGTAAAGAAGTAAGTACTCCGATAATGTGTCGCAAAAACCTTCTTTGCCTATGCTTTCGACATATTATTTTCTGATTTTCACTGCTCAGAATGTGGAACAATAAATTGAACTTAGTAGTATTTTCTGATGATCAATCAATATTCTGCAACACTTTGTAACCTTATCACTGTCCTGTTGGTTATTTATTTAGTTTAATGGTAAATAAAAATTTTAAAATTTAACATCAAAGACCTAGACCCCCCCATTCCTGTGGTCTCTGTTGGAGAAGTATCTTTGTAAAGTTTTCATATGTTTTTCATCTCTGCCTTCTCAGGTTGTTAATGGAATAATATCCTGTTGCACTAAGCAATGAAGTGAAAATAAACATATTTTCCAAGCATACCATATATGAAGTTACTGATTCAGATCTTAGTGCATTTAATTTTCTTTATCCACTCTGCAATTTCTATATTTTTGTCATTGGCCTTCAAGAGTTATTCTGTTTTGCAGGTCAGGTATCCCGTACTACTTACTCCTATTGAGAAAGAAATGTCAAGGGAAGTTTGCATTGCATTTAGGCAAGCTGTGAGTAAATACTATAGTTTAAATCTGCACCACTTTTGAAAATTATTATATGTATCTATGCTTTTTGTTTATCAATAGTGATCGACAATTTAGGTAATTTAGGTTATTTCCTATAACCAGATGTTTGTAACTGAATCATATCTCTTTGCGCCAGACTTGCCTCCTTATAGTGTTATGAGTAAAAAATTTACTGTGTTGGTGCATTTTACATCATTGAAATTTTAGAGTTTCATGAGTTCAGCATATGATCACTATGTAAGTTTTATCTGGTTTTATTATTCTTAAAGATTGTTACTGGGTGCTTTTAACACTCTTTATTCAGTTGTTAAAATAAACTTTTTAATTTCCTTATTCTTTGGTTTCTATATGGTGGTATAATTACCTTCAGGATTAATGATCAAGTAGAATCTTGTAATAAGTTTAGCTTATTATTTACACATAAATCAAAATGCATCTCATAGTTTCTATATTTAATACATACAGTTTGCTTGGAGGGTATTTGTACATGTAATAGAATCGGGTAAACTTTCTAGAAAGGTCTCTGTGAGCACATCTTTTAAGTAATTGAGTGGTATTTTCTTGATGTTATTTCAGGTTTGTGGTTTTGATCTCTTGCGTAGTGAGGGTCGTTCATATGTTTGTGATGTCAATGGATGGAGCTTCGTGAAGAACTCTCACAAGTACTTTCTAACGATATATTTTCTCCAGCGGTTGTTAGCAATGAGAAAAGAAGTTATTCAAGTTTTCCGTTGATAAACCCAATGAATATGCAAATATTCTAGTAATTACTTCACAAAATAGTTTTGGCATATCACCAATATAGTATGTGCATGTGTCAATGGCAATCCAGAAGGATTGATCTTCTATCCATTACTTATATTTTGTGTCCCTTTTTTGTAGTTTCTTGGTTCTTAGTTTTCATCTTTTTCCTACTCAATACTGATTCTACACCTTTGTTCTCAGTTCTGAATGCTACTAATTTCTATTCAATGCAGATACTATGATGATGCTGCTTGTGTTTTGAGGAAAATGTTTCTTGATGCAAAAGCACCTTATCTTTCTTCAACAATTCCACCAATATTACCATGGAAGGTCAATGAGCCTGCTCAGCCATCTGAAGGACTAACACGTCAAGGGAGTGGGATAATTGGGACGTTTGGGCATTCAGAAGAGCTACGATGTTTGATTGCTGTCATTCGGCAGTAAGATTATGTGTTATTTGTGTGATTTCTGTATATAATTTTGACTTGGATTCTCCCTTGATAAATTATTCTTTACTTGGCAGTGGTGATAGAACTCCAAAACAGAAAGTGAAGCTGAAAGTGACAGAGGAAAAGCTTCTAAACTTGATGTTAAAATATAATGGTGGACGACCTAGAGCAGAGGTGCTCATTAGTTTCTTCACAATGGACAGCTAGACTCATAATCGATAGCTAGACCTCTTTACCTTCTAACCTTCATTTGTGCCCTTTCGCAGACCAAACTGAAGACTGCTGTTCAATTGCAAGATCTTTTGGATGCAACACGAACTTTAGTACCTCGTACTCGGTTTGTGAAGATGTTTCTAATTTAATTCACTTTGACTTTGTAATAATAATAAATAAATAAATGATGAATGAATCTTCTTACCTAGGTAGAGACCGAAGCATTTAATCTACTTTAGAAAGAGTAAATTTGCAACCTGGATCCAGCCTGTAAGCTTCAGAATGCAATCCTTTCCTATAGATCACCAACCCATCCACCTCTTTAATCAATGGCTAAGTTGTCTAGTATTGTGAATTGTATTAAGCCATGCACAACATAACTCTGTACTTCATCTTCAAACATATAATGCAGATACCTCTTGTTTACATTTTCATGTAGTTAGAATTAGAAGCTATCTGCCTGTTGATATTTAATGCTAGATAACTCTAAACTGATTATAAAATTTCTCCCAGATCTGATCGAGATAATGATAATGACGCTGAAGAAATCGAACATGCGGAAAAGCTTCGTCAAGTGAAAGCTGTGCTTGAGGAGGTATATTTTGATGATCGCTTGCATTTTATATGATAAGAACTATGAATTTTATGCTCTTTCATAACAAAAGTGAAGAATATGATATAGTTGTGAAAATTTTCTAGTTTGTTCAATTTAGTCTCACCCCATTTTCAGGTCGTTTAAGTAAGGTACATGTTGTAACTTCACAGGTAGATGTGGTATATCTAAACATGTAATAACAGTAAATGTTTGGAAGGAATAACATGTTCGATAGAAAACATTGTCAAGAATGTGTAGATATCTTATTCCTTCCAAACCATTGTCAAGAATGTTTTTCAAAGTGACTAGTCTCTTTTGTCTTTAAAAAAAAATCCGCCTCAATTCCCGAGGTTAGGATCTCAGCTTGGTTTTAGGGTTCATGTTGCCTTGTCTGTAATTTCGGTACCCACATTCAAACTATAACTCATTTCTTGGTTTGAGTTCATCTACATTGGACTTTTGTCTGCAGTAGTTATTCTATTTGGCTATCCTCTGGGATTTTTCTTGAGTATAATTGTAATGGTTGTTAATGCAATGGCATCCAGGGAGGACATTTCTCTGGCATTTATAGGAAGGTCCAACTTAAGCCATTAAAGTGGATCAGAGTTGCCAAAGACAATGGTGAAGGAGAAGAAGAAAAGCCAATTGAGGCTTTAATGGTTCTGAAATATGGTGGTGTTCTTACACATGCAGGCAGAAAGCAGGTAAATTCTTATATATGATCGATGCTTATTCTCATTATTTTCAGGTTCCAGATGATTGTCTATTGTTTTCTATTTCCTTGTTTTTATTAAGAATATAGTCCACCATGGATTTTACTCCCAATTTCTTGCAGGCTGAAGAACTGGGAAGATACTTTCGAAACAATATGTATCCAGGTTGGTAGTGAGGAATCAAAATCTTCATTTTTATAGTTTACTTCTTATGTTAGGTGCTTACTCCATTTGATATTTACTGCTCTTTATTCACACTTGGCACCATGTTACAAATGTTTTGATTTTTCCCCACTTAGGAGAAGGTACCGGCCTGCTTCGCCTCCATAGCACATATCGTCATGACTTAAAAATATATAGCTCTGATGAAGGCCGTGTACAGGTTAGTATTCAACAAGATTGGTGTGATCAATGGATCCGCTCTATTCTATAATATTAATCTGTTTATTCATTAAATATTGACAGGTGTCGGCAGCAGCTTTTGCCAAAGGTCTTCTAGACTTGGAAGGACAATTAACACCTATTTTGGTGGGTAATAACAATATCTTATTGTCATCTTGTAGTTTCTTTGAACTTCTTTTTATGAGTTGTCTCTCTTATATCTTTCTTTTATGGTTTAAGGTTTCACTGGTTAGCAAGGACTCCTCCATGTTGGATGGACTTGAAAATGCCAGTGCTGAAATTGAGAAAGCTAAGGTTGTCATATGGTCTGCACTTTGCTTATTATAGCTATATATGAAGTTGGAAAACATAAGCTCAATCATTTGACTTTCTTCGGGTTATGAATGGTCAGGCACGGGGCCTGGCATTGTGTGGAGGGTGTTTCTGTTGCATATCTGTACACATGCATGCTCACACATGCGTTTTTGTTTGTGTATGTGTATGATGTGCAACACAGAACGCCTTTTATTTAACCGGATGTTTATTACCAGCTTGCAAATATTTTAATAGCTTGAATTATTTCATCTTTAGTCGGATCAGATAATTCTGATCTTAGGTTATTTTGTTGCTATTTTATACTAATTGCTATTATTTCAATCAATAGCAGAATTTTAAATGGAGACTTTGCAAGTTCGTAATATATAAACTTCTAGAAATGTTTGAAAATTTTCTTGTCTTGAAAATTGTGTCTGTATCAGCTTAAGTTTTTGCTTTGCCTTTTTCCCAGGCTAGGCTAAATGAGATTATAACTTCTGGAACAAGATCTGTTGATAGTAATAGCCTGCCAGATCACCCTTGGATGGTAGATGGTGCAGGGGTTCCAGCAAATGCATCTGAACTGCTACCCAAATTGGTAAACTGCTAACATTTTATGAGGAGTGGCATCTTCCACTGTTGCTAGTTGCTACTTTTTCACTTTTGCTTATGTAATTGCCCTGTTTCCCCTAGCTTACACTCCCATGCTATTGATTTTTTTTACTCAATATTTTACGCACAAAATGGCTATTAGGTGGAGTTAACAAAGAGGGTTACTGAGCAAGTAAAACTTCTGGCCAAGGTTGAAGATGAGGAGCTAGCAGAAGCAAGTTCATCTGATGCAATTACTCCATATGATCAAGCCAAGGCACTTGGTAAGACAAACATAGATGTTGACCGCATTGCTGCAGGATTGCCTTGTGGTAGTGAGGGATTCCTTCTTATGCTTGCTCGGTGGAGAAAACTCGAGAGAGATCTTTATAATGAGCGCAAAGAGTAGGTCCTTTTCAACATTTTCATTTTGTTCTTTTACGGTTATTGATGGTAAACAAAATTTCTTTCATGCATCCTTTCTGATTAATGTGAATTTTTCTTACAATATTGCAGGAGGTTTGACATAAAACAAATTCCGGATGTCTATGACTCTTGCAAGTAAGGGGCATATGTATCTTTTTTCTTGTTGAATCTAATCCTAGAATTATGATTTGGATTTCTCATCTTTATATTGAGATAATGACCAAAAATGATTTGAAAGTGTTTGTGGTGTCTGCTAAACTTTTGATTGATCCCACTATTGTATTATTACTGCATGTTTTCTTATCTCTTTTGTATTGGTACTATCAAGATGAGATGCACGGCAGAGGGATTCAACTCTTTTGAAACCAAGAAAGCATATTGAGAGAACTTTCATAACTGTTTTTTGCTTCATCTGATTTGTGGCTTTAGGAAGACAATCTGTTTTCCACCTTTGATATATCTATTTTCATTATTTATGTAGAGGATTTTCAGGTTATATCCTTGACATTCTGATTTGTTTCTTCTCCCTTCTGAATTTACAGATATGATCTCTTGCACAATGCACATCTAAATATAAAGGGATTAAGTGAGCTTTTCAAAGTGGCTCAGGTACGATTGAACTGATTCTTTTAATAAAAATTATTTGATGGAGCACATAATCTTCTGCTTTGTGTTGCTCCTATTCCCACCACACCCAGAAAAGATTGATGGGAAAACACCTAGGTTGAAAACTTGCCTATGCAATGCAATCATGTCATCATGTGCCTCTGTTTCTTCAGGTGCTTGCAGATGGTGTTATACCTAATGAGTATGGAATCAATCCAAAGCAAAAACTGAAGATTGGATCAAAGGTAATACTAAATCCAACTGTGATGAATGGGATTTCTGGATCTTCCATTGGTGCTTAATTTACTTAACTTGATTGATGGTGGTGCATGGCCATAAAATTTGATCCATGCCATGAAAAAAGGATTGCCGTAATATAATATATATATATATAATTATATCTCTTGTGGAACCATATTCAATGTTTCAGATTGCTCGCCGCTTATTGGGGAAAATATTGATTGATCTGAGAAATACACGGGAAGAAGCAAGAGGTGTTGCAGAACTGAAGAGTAGCCAGGAGGCTAACTTAGCAAACCTTTATAATAGAAAAGATGATATTGATAGTCGTTCCAAGTCCCACAGTACACTTGACCACGCCAGAAAATGTAGTTATAACAGTGACAAGTCGAAGGATCAAGATGATGATGAAGACAAAGAAACAAAATACCGCTTGGATCCTAAGTAAATACTATAGTAGATTTCCTACTTCCAAGAACATATGTATTCCCTTGCAAAAATAGTCAGCTGAAAATTTCAATTCACTGAGAATGAAATTTGAAATTTTCTGAACAGGCATTTTGCTTTCAACTTATTTTTCTTATGATTTCCATCAGGTATGCAAATGTGAAAACTCCAGATCGGCATGTGCGGACACGGCTTTACTTCACTTCTGTAAGTAGAATTAATCATTTGATTGCTATAGCTACAGATTTATCATATTGTGCCTTAGTAAGGCTTGTCTTTATGGGAATTGATTAATATAATTACTAAATGACAGGAATCCCATATCCATTCCTTGATGAATGTTCTTCGTTATTGCAACCTGGATGAATCCCTTCAAGGTGAACCTAGCCTTGTCTGTGATAGTGCTTTGGAGCGATTGCATAACACAAATGAGCTGGATTACATGAGCTACATTGTGTTGAGGCTATTTGAGAACACTGAGGTTGGTACTTGGAATTAGTTTAACTGTATTCTTCAACAACGTTGTGACTCTATCCGCTCCTAGAAGAGCTTGGAATTGCTATCTCATGATATTGCTCATGAACAAATTACATTAGTAATTCCCTTGTATATATTGTGATGTTCATCAGGTGGCTTTGGAAGATCCTAAAAGGTTTCGTATAGAGTTGACCTTTAGCCGAGGTGCAGATTTATCACCTTTGGAGGTAACCTTGACCAAGACTGATTTTCTTCCTCTTCTTTGCAAACATAAGTTTATGAATTGCTTGATGATGCTCCAAAGCTGTGGCCAGTGCAAAAATATGTCACTGACATACAAAATAGGTAAAAATCTCCTGCTATTTATCACAGGCAAATGATAGCGAAGCAGTTTCACTGCATCAAGAGCACACATTGCCAATAATGGGTCCCGAGAGGCTCCAAGAAGTAGGTTCATGCCTTACTTTAGAGATGATGGAGAAGATGATTCGTCAATTTGCCATGCCAGCTGAAGATTTCCCCCCTCCCACCATTCCTCAGGGCTTCACTGGTTACTTCTCCAAAAGTGCTTCAGTCTTAGAGCGCCTGGTTAACTTGTGGCCATTCCACAAACACTCGAACAGCCATCGCTAAGTTGTAAGCCCACTTCCCATCATCCTTTCTAATGCATTTCTTCCGGAAAAATTCTTGATCAAGAATGATCTAGTGCTCGCCTTCATATCTGCGCTGAAATTTTCCTACATTCATTTGTTACCAGAAAAAATAAAGAAATAAATAAAACAAAAAATTTCTTCTTATTCATCCATTTGCTCATTTCAATCCTTCATAGTTACATTCCAAAATACTATGTTCTTTATCAGCTCTTGTCTTTGCCCCTTTTAGGCTTGCATTTAAAGTAATGCACAAACACACTGGGTGCAATAACACAACACAACACGAGCCGTGCCTAACGGCATTGGTTATCTGTTCTTGTTCCCACCTAACTTGTCTTGGTGCTCTATTTTCTGTTAGGCACACACTTTTTGTGACAAGATTATTCATTGAGGATGAGCATACCTATTTTTTGCATCTACAATTTCCATATTGTATAAGGTTGCGTGTACAATCTTCCCATATGAGCTCTGTTTTGTTTTATGCAAGAAATTGAATAAACTTGTGGGTGTGCTTTATTGGGTGAGTCTCCATCATTAGGAGGTTCCTTCTTATCATTTCCTAGCCACCGATTGATAAAGATATATGCACTATGTTTGAATATGCTTCAATTTCTGCTCTTACTTTCAAACATACTTCGACATCTTCATTGATTATTAATAATATTACAATATCACCTTATTCTGCTGTGATTCTATTCCAATCATTTCTTACATTTGTCACAAGACCCTTCACACAATTACAGTGCAGAAATCAATTTGATCTGTGGTCTCCACCACTGTAGAACAAATTCGAGACGATGACAAGTGGTCCATTTTCTTGCATTGTAACTTTTGGACAATACTTTTCAAATTTTAGTAGGGTCACTAAACCTTGGCCAATTCTAGCCTTTGGGGGTGGGGGGGGGGGTGCAAATTTGGTGTTATTGTAGTGAAAGTATATATGTCAGCATCTAAGTGAGGATGGAGAGTCATAGGTTGAAAATATTCTATACCCGTAACTGTAGGGCAAGTAATAGTTTATTTGCTTAGGTGTAATTGAAAGTTGAATTAAAGAAATGAGAGTTGAATTTGTTATTTGTATAATTATACGTCGTGGGTCACAGTACGAATTACTTTGTCATCAATATGACCAGTCTTAATTGAATTGCATAGCTTAATCAGTATCTCAAATTACTTTATTAACTAATATCTTTGGGGATTTTATTCCAATTATTTATGTGGCTTTATAAGTTGATCGGCAGCCATGTCCTTTTTCCAATTGGATTCACGTTATTGTTGCAATTGCTAGCTAGTTTCCCGTGTCCAAGTGGCATTCCTACAAGATTAAGAATAAGAATATAAAATATGTATAAAGCAAAAGTTGTAATAAAAGTGGAGCCATTATTCTAATGCCTTTGTTGGCTATTGTCTTGTTACATACACAATATGTGTATGTACATCCGAATATAGTATCCAATCAGCAGTTAACACCATTAGGCAATTTATTAGGTTGGGAATTTATAATTCATAATATTATTGTTGCAAAATGGTTTTATAGTGTCACTGATCCACTAGGCACTGTCTGCTACACAAAAACAATGCATGGTAAAAAGCGCACACCTTATTTAATGCTTTCTCGACGTGGAGTGAAGCGTACAGTTCCTAAAGTTACGCCAGAAAACGTGTCAACAAAAAATGCAAGCCAAAATTGAAAGCACGTTTTCATACAATTAATTGAAATAGCGGTGGATGGGAGTGGGGGAAGCGAGTATGCGTCACCCGGTATTGTATATCTGAAGAGGCCTTGATGGATCACCTAACGAACGGCCACGATTCGTCTAATCGAAACGACGCAGTTTAGTCGCTGAAAGGACATTTCCGTACGATTTCCTAAATATAAAGTAAAAAACAAAAATCGTAAAAGTCAAAGCACGACAACACCAATCGGTGGCTTGACTAATCTCCAACTGTTTATTTCCACATATGCCCTCCCTCCCTCGCCTACATTATCATCGAGTGGCAATATGGTCATTTCATGTTCCCATCGGCAAGGGAAAGAGAAAATTCCTTATTTGAAAAATAGCTTCATTTGTTGATAATCAATTAATAATCAATGCTGTGGTTGATCAATTAATTGGACTAAATAGAGTCTAACTTTCTTACCAAAACTAACACGTCATCTACCAAGACTAAGGCCACGTGCACCTATTGATGTCACTATTCACATAATCTTATATACCTATTCTATTATAAAATTCAACAATGTACTTTGTTTGGTATGACGTTACATTTCAGTAAAAACACCAATGTGACAATGGATAAACGATACTCTAAAAATAATATTTATCTTGTACATGTAATTTTCAAGTAATATTCCGAAAACTAATAAAATGTTGAACTTATTTGTTTGTACTACTTTCATTATATATGACTCAATTAAATTATGAAAATAATATTGATTCTATTTTTAAAAATGTATAACTAATAAATTAAAGATGTTTAATCAAACTGACATAACTTCCAACATTTTTTTATTACAGTAACAGAATATCTAATATATCTGAAAACAACTCTGACAACAATGAAAATAAATGAAGTCCAATTAAACACAAACATACTTCAAATAAATTTGAATTATCAACAAAAGTCATTATCCATTTTTATCTATATGTTTTTTTACTTATCTATTTACTTTAAGATAATATTATCCAAGCCTTTTGTTAAGTAATTATCCAAAATATAGAGTAGTAGGTAGGGAGGGCATAATTGTCAAAACACATTCCCTCAGATTCCGAATTCCTCCGCTGCCTTTTGTTTCCTAACCTTTTTAACCTTTACCTAATTCGATTATTTCAATGATAACAAAACTCTTAAAAAGAAACTCAAGCAATTTACGATATTTACAGTTAGAAAAAAGTAATATATATTTAAATTTATTTATTATTAATATAAAGAAACACAAAGACAACATAGGAAATATATTTTTTAAAAATATATAAATATGTAATTGTACTGGCAAGTACACGATCTTCCTGGGAAGGCTCACCTGCACCAGTTTCACTCAATAACTGCCGTACGCTATTCCTGTCTAGTCCATCTGTTATCCTTCAACTCACGCGCCTTCCGCTGCGCGTGGCGCGTGAGAGTTTATGGAATTTGTGTACAGGTAGGAGTCGCTGGTATATAGGAGAGAGGCAGATGCCTGCTTCGTTTTCATTTCCAATACTCTGCTGCGGGAGGCCATCTCAGTTCGTTTTCTAGGTGAGTTTTCTTTCGTTTCATTTCGTTATTTTACCTTCGTTTCGGTGCGGATTCTGCGCATATGTTGTGTAATCGTTCGTTTTGAGTAAGGAATTCATGCATATGTTTTTGTGAGTTTCAATGGGAACTTTTATTGAGGTTTTGTTTTTACGTGTATTCGCAGACATGGCGGGGAAAGATGAGGCGATGGAGGCTCTCAAGCGGGAAGCTGTTGATTTGGTATGTCTACTAGTTTTGTTTTTTCTGAAATTAAATTTTAACTGTTTTTCGACTACGTTATGTGTTTGGCTGGAAATTTGGTGGATGTAATTTTAACGGAATTTGATTTTGTATTTTTTGCAGGAGAACATACCGATCGAAGAAGTGCTTGAAAATCTCAGGTGCACGAGACAGGGGCTTTCGTCTGAGGATGCCAACAGAAGACTGGAAATTTTTGGTCCTAACAAGCTCGAGGAAAAAGAGGTGCGATGTTTTCTATTCTGTTTCTCGAGTTTTTTTCCCCCTAAACATGTTCATCCTTTGTTTGGCTGCTATCTTCTGCTTCGGTCTGTCTATTATAGTTCATCTTGGTGAAAATTTGATGGATATTTGCAGGAGAGTAAAGTTCTGAAGTTCTTAGGGTTTATGTGGAATCCGCTGTCGTGGGTGATGGAAGCTGCGGCTATAATGGCCATAGCTCTCGCCAATGGAGGAGTGAGCCCTTGTCACACTTTCGCTTATGTTATTTATTTTATTTCCTGGTTTTCTGCTATATGACCCCACCTTCAACAAAAATTAAAGGCTAGTAACTAATATATTTGCGTGTATATTTTTTAATTTGGAAAACTTGAGAGCGAATGGAATATTTATGTACATATGAAGTGGAAATGTTTGCATCCGAAGTCTGTATAATTCTGGAGATCCGACAACTCGATCGTTTTGAAGTCTCAATATATCGTTGAATTTTAAGTACTTAAATATATGGTGAAAATTTTGTAGGGGAAACCGCCAGATTGGCAGGATTTTGTTGGGATCATCACTCTTCTAGTAATAAACTCAACCATAAGTTTCATAGAGGAGAATAATGCTGGAAATGCTGCTGCTGCTCTCATGGCCCGCCTTGCACCCAAAGCCAAGGTGGATTCTCACTCTAGCTCTGAGCATATTTCTGCAGTATTTCACATGCATTTTTTAATGTAACCAAAACTCAGAGTTGGTAGCTGCTTCTTTAGGTTCTTCGAGATGGCCGCTGGCAGGAGGAGGATGCAGCTGTTCTTGTTCCTGGCGACATCATTAGTATAAAGTTGGGTGATATTATTCCAGCTGATGCTCGTCTGCTCGAGGGCGATCCATTAAAGATAGACCAGGTACTCTGTTACTGACAATTCTCCTAAATTGGACTACCATCAGTCATGTGTTTTTAGTCATGTGTTTTTATCATTTATGCCATCTTTCAACTGTTACTGCTATCATTTGCAGTCCGCTCTGACAGGGGAATCCCTTCCCGTTACGAAAGGCCCCGGTGATGGAGTGTACTCAGGCTCGACTGTCAAACAAGGGGAGATTGAAGCATTGGTCATTGCAACTGGTGTTCATACTTTCTTTGGCAAGGCTGCCCACTTAGTTGACTCCACTAATCAAGTGGGACATTTTCAAAAGGTGAGGTCTAAATGTAATAAATACACATATTTGTGTTATAAATTACAAAGTTATTATGTTTCTTTCTTGATCATTTTAATTCTGCAATTGGTTTTTGAAATACCATGTTGTTCTCTCATTAACTACTTTGGGATGGCTTTAAAGGTCTTGACTGCGATTGGGAATTTCTGCATATGCTCTATTGCTGTGGGAATGGTGGTTGAGATAATTGTGATGTACCCTATTCAGCACCGTGCTTATCGTCCAGGAATTGATAATTTGCTTGTGCTTCTCATTGGAGGAATTCCTATTGCAATGCCAACAGTATTGTCTGTTACAATGGCAATTGGTTCCCACCGTCTGGCTCAACAGGTAGAATTTTACCCATCAATGAGGAACACTTTCTTTAGTTATAATTTCTGAATCTACTATCTTTTTTTTTTTGTTAATATCTCAGGGGGCGATCACTAAAAGAATGACTGCCATAGAAGAAATGGCTGGCATGGATGTGCTGTGCAGTGATAAAACTGGAACTTTGACATTGAACAAACTAAGTGTTGACAAAAATATTATTGAGGTCAAATAAACTGTCAGAAGTGGATGTATCAACTGAAATCAATTCTTGCATCCTGTTTTGATCTTTGAAATATCAAACTGTAGGTCTTTGCCAAAGGAGTCGATCCAGATACTGTTGTTTTAATGGCTGCAAGGGCTTCTCGGTTGGAAAATCAAGATGCCATTGATGCAGCAATAGTGGGGATGCTTGCTGACCCCAAGGAGGTATTGTGCCCTTAGTCTTATCTTCTATATTTTGTGTCAAACGTTTATCTTTTGTATTTATATTATATTATATATCTCTGTATTTGATATTATGAACTCCATATGGGATGCACCTTATTCCTATATCAAAATTGCTGATATACAACATTTCCAAACAAAAGGCTAGGGCTGGAATTCAAGAAGTTCATTTCTTGCCATTCAATCCAACTGATAAGCGCACAGCTTTAACATACATAGACAATGATGGTAAAATGCACCGAGTCAGCAAGGGAGCCCCTGAACAGGTACACTGAACGTCTATTAATTGATTGGTGCAATGCCTGGAAGTTGTCTGATTAGTCACACTTTGGCTTCCAGATATTAAATCTTGCATACAACAGATCTGAAATAGAGCGTAGAGTTCATTCTATCATTGATAAATTTGCTGAACGTGGATTACGATCACTTGGAGTTGCATACCAGGTGAAGTGACAATATTGTTAGCTTGCTTAAAAATTTAATATTTAATTACGACATGTTGTAGAATCTATTATGACATGTAAGTTGTTAACATACAGGAGGTTCCAGACGGAAGGAAGGAGAGTGCAGGAGGTCCTTGGAAATTTATAGGACTCATGCCTCTATTTGATCCTCCAAGGCATGATAGTGCTGAGACCATTAGGAGGGCCCTGAATCTTGGTGTAAATGTTAAAATGATAACTGGTGAGCATGCTATTGAAAAGGTTTTTCGATTTTAATTTAGGCAAACTAGAAGATTTTAACCTCAAGATAAATGAACTTTACATATGAAACGTGCTTTGGTTTGTATCAGGTAAATCATTGCGCCATTTTTTGTTGTCATATATATTCTTTGGCATTCGCTTGGAATTTTTTTACTGAAGTTCTGCGATACTAGATACTGCTTCTTTTTCTCTTGGGACTTCCAGTTAGTCATAACTTGTTCTAATACATTTCAGGTGATCAGCTGGCAATAGGAAAGGAAACAGGTCGTCGCCTGGGAATGGGAACAAACATGTATCCATCATCTTCTCTATTAGGACATGACAAAGATGAGTCTATTGCTGCTTTGCCTGTTGATGAGTTGATTGAAAAGGCTGATGGATTTGCTGGCGTATTTCCTGGTACGAAAGTTACTTCTCCCCCCCCTCCCCATTTTTTTTTTCTTGTTCAATTCTATTTATTATTAACTATTTTTAATCGTTCGATTAAAAAAGATTTGCACTGCATCTCTAGTATTAAGCATCTTCACCCCTGCCCCTGCCCCTGCCCCTGTCAACTGCATCTGTCATCTATTTGCCATCATTCTTCCATGCTTCTATTTCCCCTTCTATATTTGAAATGCAAATGCAGTAATGCCTTTCATATTCAGAGCACAAGTATGAGATTGTCAAGCGTTTGCAAGCACGAAAACATATATGTGGGATGACTGGTGATGGTGTAAATGATGCCCCTGCACTCAAGAAGGCAGATATTGGTATAGCTGTTGCGGATGCAACTGATGCTGCTCGAAGTGCATCTGACATTGTACTCACTGAACCTGGTCTAAGTGTAATCATCAGTGCTGTTCTAACCAGTCGAGCAATATTTCAAAGGATGAAAAATTACACCGTAAGTCTCATGACATTTAAGCATATAAAGCACTTGGCAATGTGGCTGTAGGCCTACTGTACACTGTAATTGTTATATAGTTCAGGTACTTACTAATCTCTTCTGAACATGCAGATATATGCTGTTTCGATAACAATTCGTATAGTGGTAAGCCTCAAGGGTTGTTTTTACTCACTGAAGTGTGACTTGCTATGAAACATCTATTGTGACTTGCTTAAGGCTTTTGTAATTTTCACCGCTCATTTTGTATTTTCCAATTTTGACAGCTTGGGTTTTTGTTGCTTGCTCTCATATGGAAATTCGACTTTCCACCATTTATGGTTCTGATTATTGCTATCCTAAATGATGGTAAGTAGTTAGGCCGCCATTATATTTTCTACACTCAAATTGTTAGTGCCAGCCCAATTCGTATGCACCTGTATTTCAATTTTTAAGAATTTTGCCATCTGCTGTGGTCATTGAAGATAGTATGTTGTGGTTTGTAGGTACCATCATGACAATATCGAAGGATAGAGTGAAGCCATCTCCTTTACCGGATAGCTGGAAGTTAGCTGAGATTTTCGCAACAGGAATTATCCTTGGTGCCTACTTAGCAATGATGACGGTCATTTTCTTCTGGGCTGCATATGATACGGATTTCTTCACTGTAAGTGTTTTTGATATAATACTATTCACTCGACAACCAAAGTGGAAGTACATGTGCTTATTCCGTGGCAATGTGGCTGTATCTGTTCATCCCTTCTTGTTAGTAACATTTTGATCTGGCAACCAAACTGGAAGAACATTGCTAACTGCATTTGTTGTATTTGCCTCCTTGCAGAAGACATTTGGGGTTAAGTCTCTTGAGAGAGGAGTCAACCCCAACAACACCAAGATGCTTGCCTCTGCAATATACTTGCAAGTGAGTATTATAAGCCAGGCCTTAATTTTTGTGACGAGGTCTAGAAGTTGGTCATTTGTCGAGCGGCCCGGAATTCTGCTGGGAGTGGCGTTTCTTGTTGCTCAGCTCGTAAGTGAACTTTATTTTCTATGTCCCTTCTATCAGTACAACACGCTCACCCTCCTTCCAAGTACCTTGCTCTTTACCCATAACACTTCTTTATCCAACAGATCGCTACGCTGATAGCAGTCTATGCAAACTGGAATTTTGCGGCAATAGAGGGAATTGGTTGGGGTTGGGCAGGCATTATATGGCTCTACAACATCATATTCTATTTCCCACTCGATCTCATCAAATTCTTCATCAGATATGCACTGAGTGGAAGGGCTTGGGAACTTGTTTTCGAGCAAAGGGTATGAGAACAAATACAGTCAATCGCACCTACTAAATCCATGCTTATGAGGCTTTCTTTTAACAATTCTTGAGCCATTCCACCCTTTGCAGATTGCCTTTACAAGAAAGAAGGATTTTGGTAAGGAGGATCGTGAAATTAAGTGGGTACAAGCACAAAGGACTCTTCATGGGCTTCATCCCCCTCAGACGCAATACGGCGAGCGCACTACTCACAATGATCTCAACCAAATAGCCGAAGAGGCAAGGAGGCGTGCCGAGATGGCAAGGTAGGAATATGCACATTGTTACCGTCATTCTCGAAAAAACATGGATACATTACTCACCACATTGTCTTGTGAATGGATGCAATGCACAGGTTGAGAGAGCTGCACACACTGAAAGGCCACGTTGAATCTGTGATCAAGATGAAGAATCTGGACATAGACACGATCCAGCAATCATACACAGTCTAAGTTTGTATCCATCCAATGCTCTTATGTGTGACGATGATTGTGCTGCATCATATAAGCTCCGGCCTGTTGGCTGTTGATCATACGCCCCCTCAATGCCCCTTTGTAATATCAAAATTTTGGGATCATATATGTCTATTATGAATACCTGATACTCATACTTGTTGCTTGCAATATATACACCCTTTTTTTTTTTAATCCTCCATGTGCGCATGTATTGTATATTCCTTGTCTGTTCCTTATAATTATGAAGACAATAATAATATTATTATTTCGATACAAGAAAATAAAATTTTGACAATTTTTTGAGAAATGATAAAACAGCCAAGAGACATAAAAGTAAAACTTTGACAAGTGAGAAAAAAATTAAAAATAAAATAATTTGGAGATGCGGGGTATCGATCCCCGTACCTCTCGCATGCTAAGCGAGCGCTCTACCATCTGAGCTACATCCCCAGATGGTATGCAGTGTGGCTACTTTTTCTGAAATCGCAATAGTGTATGGGTAATCATTGTTTATTGTACGTTTTTCATTTGTTTCTGTAGAAAAATTCTCTGCTCGAGCCTTGAAGCCTTCACGAGCGGTGATGTATGTTTCTGGATTTCTCTGCGTTGATCATCTCTATTGTAGTTACGTCTTAACTTTGTTCCTCTTGGTGGTACGTGACAACAAAATTTCTATTTGAATTCTCTTCAGTTCGCATTTGATGAGTTTTGCTTCGTTTGAATCAAACCAATGCTTCTATTATTCATTTAGATTAATGAAATGTTGAAATTTAGGGTTGGGTTTCTTACCTTAAGCTTCATCAGACTGCGCTTGTAATCACATAGGTATACAACAGATCCACAATTATTTGTGTGTGTTTTTCTTTCTAATTTCTCATTTGCACTTCATATATCTTGGTAGTTGATCTAGGAGGAAGCCGGAGAAGAAGAGGATGAAGAAAACAAACAGTTTATACAGGTAATATAGGGATGTACTTCCTGAAAGAAGAAATACTTTCAACTTCTTTTCACCTCTCCCTCTCTCTCTCTCTTGAATATTGAGGTACAAATACAATGCGATGGTTGAGGGCACTCTCTCCCAATGGGTATTATGTTTGCTACTAGAGTGTGGTAACAAGGAAGAGGTTGGTTTGTATTTGTATGTAACCCTAATTTTATGTTGACTGTTTATTTCTTACACAGCATAGATGTCCCTAATCTATGTTTGATTTTCCCTAAACCTTGTACATGCATAGATGTTTTTGGTTGCTGCTTTGTCACATTTGAAAGCTGGTGGATATCAAGCAGCACCCCATTGAAAAATCAATCGAACCTCACAACAATTGTAGACAAACTGAATTTTCTCTAAATCATGAAAGCCTTTTAAGAGGTACAAATTGATGTTTTGTTCATTATACTAATTAGAAAATCACATTCAATCATTGCATGTTCTCTGAAGATGATGATTATCTACTACAACATTGCACATCATTTTTAACTTTTGATAGTATTTTCCTTTCATCTTGAACAATTTGAAGTCTATTAAAACAATGTGAAGTCCGATCAAAAAAAAGAAAGGAAGTGAAGTCAACTTCATCTGTTTGTAGCTACCATCCATTTTTCGTCTTTTGCTTCTCTATTTAACTTATCATAGGTATATTTCTATATTGTTGTTAATATATGAAATTTCTTATTTTGTCCACACTCTCTTTTGTTTGAGGATATGAAAAGTAAATATAATGCATTATTCTTTTACAAAATCTAAAGTTTCTTAAGAACTTCTTGTGGTGAAGTTTTGAGTTTGTTTATATTTGGTAGATGCATGAAAATATGTTTCTATTACGACACTTGTAATTAAGTACTTCATGCTTTCAACATTCTCAGTACTCTCATAGTCTCATTTGGATTTAAGTCTATTGACGACTACTTCATTCTCTGCTATGCGTCTATAGAAGTTTCATTTGCTGTATAGATGGTGTATGTTATAAATAGTGTAGTTTGTTTCCTGAAATTCTCCAATTTCTTTGTTAATATAATAATATTTTATTATTTGCATGAAACTACTGCATACTATATATTGTAAGATGGATAGATTATTAGATTGATTGTAGATATAAGGAGGGCAGGAATAAAACATTTTCTCCTTGCATGTGTTTCAGAATTCAGACGCTGGGAAACGCGTTCTACGGTTACAAGTATCTATCGATGTCAGTCGCTGGTTCCCTCACCCAGAGAGGGCGGGAGAGGAGAAAGGGAGAGAAGTTACAGCCATACGCCGATTCGATCTTGATTCCGGGTTAGAGGCGGCGTCGGCGTTCTGAGTCTATCTTCGGTCTCGTTGTTAAGAATTTTGATGACGAAGAGATAGAAATGCAGCGGGGACCGAATCCCAAACCCTAGCCCAAGATTTTTTCCTATAAATGATTTCCCTAGTCTCAATCCAATTGTGTTGATAGCCTAATTTCATCCACTCGTCTCGGACTCTCTTCCTCTTCACCTTGTCTCTGAAACCCTAGTCCGAGGGGAACGAAGGGAGGGGGGAAATGCGGATGGGGGCAAGCCAGGTCGGGTCCTGTTGATGATGAAGAAATGGAAATGCTGCGGTCATTCTTGCGTTGGTTTGCCTTGTCCGGGAAGGAGTACCTTGGGTTCTACCTCCGTTGACAATTCTCCTAAATTGAACTGCCTTGAGTCTTTTGTTTTACCATTTAGGCTATCTTTTAACCGTTGCTTGTTGTTAGTTGCAGTCCACACTGACAGGGGAATCCCTTTGCGTTACAGAAGACCCTGAAAATGAAGTGCGCCCGGGCTCAACCACCAAACAAGGGGAGATTGAAGCATTAGTCATTGCAACTGGTGTACATGCATGAATATACTAGTCAAGTGAAATTTTCAAAAGGTCAGACTCAATGTAATAAGTAAATATATTTATTTTCTGAATTACATCTTGCTATGTTTCTTTCTTGATCATTTCAATTCCACTATTGTTTTTTGAAATACCATGTTCTCTCACAAGCTGCTTTTGCATTGCTTCAAAGGTCTTGACTGCTATTGGGAATTTTGCTTGAGAATGGTGGTTGATATGTTGTCTATTTAGATCATTGTCCAAGAATTTAATTTACCTGTGCTTCTCATTGGAGGAATTCCTATTGAAATGCCAACATATTCTGGCATTGATATATATATATGATTGTGCTAATCGGAGGAGCAACAAAATAGCTAGATATGTATGCAGGAGTAGTAAATATTGGTTTAATATGACTGATGTGCCAAAAGACTTCAAATTTAATATGATTTTCCTCTTGCAATAATTGATATCTTAAGCTTATTAATTTACCTTCAGTTAAGTAGTTGTATAATTGAATGTCTAATTTGAAGTTATTTGTGCAATTTAACAGGTCCTCTGGGTTGTTTGCTCATCAATCAGTTATGGTGTCTGAACATCTTGCAGAGCAGAAAAACAATTGGTATCTTCACTATGAATGATAAATTTTTTAGTTGCTAGTATGATTTTTTCTCTTTCTTCTGCCTGATTTATGTGATTTATTTTCATGATTATGTCATTTTTCACTCAATATGTTATATATCCTCTTAGTTTTAATGATATTAGATAACTAAATTTAGATATATATATATATATATTACGAATGCATATATTAGTTATATACTATATAATATGTTAGTGTTCACTTCAATTTTAAAATATATTTCAATTATATGGATAGTTTTATTTAAACTATTTAAATATAATTTAATACCCTTACGGTCTTATAAACAATGCTCATTTTATCATTTTAGCATGTATACCAAAGTGTGATCATAACGTATTTAGTAAAAAAGTACAATTCTTTTTTAAATTTATATTCACTATTTTTTCTATTTATTTATAATGTCACTAATGGATTCCACATATTTCTCATACCCAGTCTATTTTATTCCAAAAATTATATTAATAACCCTATAAAATTTCAATTCTACTTTTACAAAAAAACACACAAATAATACTAAAGTATATATATTTTTTAAATTTTTGTGCCCGAAAGTTTGAGCATTATTTTATAAGACGGGGTGATTATAATCTAACTAACTCCATCTAAAGGATTACAGGAGAATTTGTGTTACATGAAGTGTTGTTCAAAGCAATGTTTTCCTAATCTTAAAATATTTGTTTTTATCATCGCACTTTTCTTTTTCTGTTACATGATATTAGTAAGAAATATTCTAGTAGTTAATATCCAAGTATTATACATACGGGCAAAAGTATATATACACGTTTAATATGAAAAAATATACTACCCAAGTGTATTCAATTATTGTTATATTCATTTAATCCTATTACATTTATTTTCTGTTGTTTGCAAAGGTGTGGACTTAAGGAGGGGATTCCATACTAAGGTTTAATGAGAATTTTTGTCATAATGTAAGCCATAGCATTCTCACTGATTGTGAGATTTGTTTCTTTGGGGCATCAATTCAAACTTTTCTTTTACCTAGTTTAAATTTTCTTGGCCAATGGAAAGATTCTAATATATTCTTTATTTGCAATGGAAATGTGCTTACATGTATTGTAAGATGTTGCTAACATGCAAATATGTTAACAATGGAGGGCCAATCATGAAATGTTTTATGAGGTTACATGTTGATGTATTAGTCTTTATCCCTGAAATTCTTGCTATGGCATCTCAAGATTTGGAAACTAATTGTGATATTACAGGTTTGAAAATCTTTGAGATGCAAAAACCTGGATTGCAATAGCTGTGAGGTATGTGGGTTTTTAAGTAATCACCTCAGCGTTTCATCCACATGAGTAGTGAGAAGTTGGAATCTTGCACTTAGTAAGTATATTGGCGGACAGGTTTGGTACCTCACCATTACAGATGGAGCTAACTTTGATTGGGTTTCTGCTCTGTCTCTGGGTTGATTTCTTCATAGCTGGGCACTGACAACTCGGGGAAGAAAATTTTATGGTTGTGGTGTATATTATGGCTGTCATTTTTATCGCTGATGTTATTGTGTAGGTTAATTTTCAGGACATTGACAACACGAGTGCAGAAAATTGTATGGAACTGGTATTTAACACGTTTCTTTGATGTCCTTCGTTTATAAGAGAACTCTGTTGAGCACAGGTGTAAAGAGGGAGTTTCATCTCATGGTAAAATTATTATTTATTTATTTTTAATCTTATTTTTAAGTAAGTACATGGATAATATGAACTTTAACATGTAAGAATTGAATTCAACATTTATAATTCAAGTTGATACATAAGTCCATAGCTGTATAAAAAGTTGTATTCAAGCACGACATAGCTAGCGAAAGATTGCTATCAATCAAAGCAGCCTGGAGGAAGGCGGCTGGGCATGTATTGGATTTGGGCTGAAAACTGATAAAATAAAATGGGCCGGACCGGCCTTTACATAAGAGCGTGACTTTGCCAGGTCAGCGGTGGCGACACGTCATATCCGACGTTAGCACTTGCACGTGGATTTGTCTGGGTCTGGGAGGACAGTCCCTTTGTCGCCGTTGTGTTACAATAGTTGGGCCTGTCAGAATTGCTATGCTGAAATACTAATGAGCCCTGGATCAGGATGGAAACAGCACTGGGCCTGGTGAATTCTAAACACCGCACGTGGGTCTGTCGAGTATGTGGGAGACTCGGCTTTTTGGTCACAACAATTGGGCCTGCAGTGATATTCCATTAGGCTAGTTAGGCTATGACATCTTCACGTGGGTATGTCTGAATCTGAGCAGACAGCATGTGATATTGTCGGCACTTGGCTGACAACAATTGGGCCTGTCCAATGGACCTACTGTGATATTATATTGGGCCGTAAGAGTATGAATGAAAACATAATTGGACTCTGGGCCAGCCATAAGACTATATTGGGTCAGTTGGGCCAGGACGGAAACAGCACCAGGGCCTGATGAGTTTAAAACATAGCAAGTGGGTTTGTTGAGTATACGGGAGACAGCATGTAATCCTGTCGGCTTTTGGGTGACAACAGTTGGGCCTGTATAATGGGCCAGCAGTGATATAACGTTGGGCCAAGTGGGTACAGCTGAACCGGACAGACAGCATTTGATCATGTCGGTTATTAGGTGACAATAATTGGGCCTGTCCAATGGGCCTGCGGTGATATCACATAAGGCCAGTTGAATCATAACAACTTCAAGGGGTTACGTCTAAATCTGGGCCGACAGCATTTGATCTTGTCGGCTCTGGGGTTACAGAAGTTGGGCCTGTCTAATGGGGCTACAGTGATGTAACATTGGGCCGTAAGACTATGAACAAAAATATAATTGGACTCTTTGGGCCTGCTCTGAAACGATATTCGGGCACTTGGGCCTCTTAACAGCACGTGCGTATGTTCGAATTGGGTAGACTGCATGTGATGCTGTCGGCTTTTGGGTGACACCAACTGGGCCTATCTAATGGGCCTATAGTGATATTACATCGGGTCACATTAGCATGAACCAAAAAAGGACTGGGCTCTTTGGGGTAGCTCTAAAACTAGATTGGGCCATTTGGGATTTGACACAGCACGAGTTTCTGTTTGCATCAGGGCAGACATGCTATCCGGTCGGCTTCTGGGGTACACATTGGGCATTTTTGATTAAAATATGGGTCATAAATCGTTGGGCACAATGGGCCTCTACAGCTGCAGCTGATCCTGTCGGGAGTTGGGCCTACATAAATTTGGCTTCGCTGAAATTTTATTCTGCAGTTTAACAAAGGTTAGAAACAATGCCCGAATAGGATAGACGCACATTTGCATTTTTCAGAAGGAAAATTTGGGCTTATCAAATAGGCCATTTGCGTTTTTATTATAATAGGCCGTTCAGTCATATAGCATTAGCAGAAATATTCCTCCCGAGAGGTTTCGCCACTGCACGTAGGTGGATTGGACTCCGGGAAAACTTCTCATGCCTCTGTAGGCCCTAGGGTTACAACCATTGAAACTCTCAAATGCCCCTTTGACAGCACATGACCTCAGTTGGGCATACATGGGCCTGTGGACTGGGCTTGTGCTGGGCCAATGGATATCAATACGCGGCCCCCTTGAGTCTTGGCTTAATAGTGGGCATATTACACGGATCTCAGCGAGCACAACATGGTTAAGTGGTTTACAAGGTATTTAAAAAAACATGAAGTATGAAAAATGAAAAAAAAGAATGTTCCAGAATTTATTGTAAAAATCGAACCATCCCCCCATGCATAGAAGCTTACTTATCAATTGCATATAAATCATAAAAGAAAAAATAGATAAATAATGGCTATGCATAGAAGCTTACTTATCAATTGCAGTTTAATGCTTGCACCCCACGAGCCATCGAAAAGAACATCTCACAATCTGTTCAATTGTTCGTATTCCATCCTGTCAAAAGGAAAACTTAGAAATATGAATAAATAGGCATTGTAAAGCACAAAGGCTTATGAAAGTTTCTGCCATGAAGAAAATGCACAAGTCTGCGCATTGGAGCTACAAATGATAAAAAGATTGAACCATATCCTACCCCATGCTCCAAAGACAGTTTTCTTAGTTGAAACAAATGAAACTAAAACCAAGCACATCAATTATTACGAAACCCCTCGTTTATGATCCCATTCAGCAATAGCCAATACTCCAGAATCCAGTAATCTTGCCTAGAAAGCACAACATCCATTGTTCATGCAATCATCATAACATGTCTCAATACTTATCAAGAAGGTGAAGATACAAAAGAAAAAACTAAATTATCATCGAGCATTTAATTAGAACTTCACCTGGCAGGAAGCAGACTTTCGCTGGCATCATTTACAGAATATCACACTGACCGCTTCCAGCTTTATTTGCCACATTTGTATCTGAGCTCTAGAGAGGTAGCCATCCCTCTACTTCAAAGCAATAACCTTATCACAATACATCAAGTAAATACAGCAAAACCAGTTGCAATATTTACAATACAGAATTTAAAACCAACAAAAAAACACAGATAATAAGCTACAACATCAACAGGATCTTGCACTAGCTGTAAGCGGGTAAATTACCACATAAATCTTTTTTCACAATCAATTGCAACACCTGATAGCTTTATCAACTCAATGGATCTTGCATTGGCGAGATAAGTGGGCAAATGACCACAGCAATCTTTTTCACAATTAATGGCAGCATCTGATAGCTTTATCAATTGAATTCTTCCTCACAAAAAGAATAATTGCTTTTAGCTATGGATTTAGGGGGCGATTGGTACAGAGAATGGAATTGCAAAAAAATGACAATAGAGAATAGAATTTGAGAGAAATGGAATTGAGTAGAGAATGAGAATTAATTCTCTTGTTTGATAAAACAGAGAATTGATTTGAGAAATCTAAAAAAAAAAATGCAGATATATGAATGAGCAAACAAAAATAAATGACTAACACAATAAAAAGAGAGTTTTAACGAATGAGAATTCATGAAAAATATTTTTGGTAAATTTTTTTTTAAAAAAAATTATAAATTATATACGATGTTTTTTAAGATTATATTTTAGTAAAATTTCTTAAAATGTCGTAAAAATTAAATACTTTAAAAATAAATTAAGTTTGGCTTTTGTAAAATTAAAATAATATAATTTTTAAAAAATTATAAAAATTAAATAGTACAAAAAATTTTAAAAATTAAAAAATATATATACTCCAACATCATTTCTCTCCATATGGGAGAGATGAAAGTAGAGAAATGGAAATGATTTATTTCTCAAGTTCCATTTCTCTTGACTCAAACAAACAAGAGAAATGATACCATTTCCATTTCTCTGGCCTCATTTCTCTGTACCAAACACAACCTTAGTGGATGAGTTATATAACTACAGAAAGATAGAAACAACAGAGACGTTAGAAATTACCACAAGAACTTTCCAGAGTCCATTGCCATAACCACCAAGACATCTTTTCCATGCAGAATGTTGTCACTAACACTTTCCTACATTAGTAATACATAATTACATAATCTTTTTTGGAAATAAAAGGTAACATACACATTTGGTATCCATGTTTTAGCATAAATACATAAAATATTTGGTGTAAAAGTTGAAAGCATAGCTTATCAAAGTTTTTTAGCAAAATATAATGTACAAAATCCCCTTTCTATCAGGATTTAAGGCAGGTATGGCTAACTTGATAATAAACTAGGCAATAAAATTCACATTGAACTCAAAAGTAAATTTATATAGACCTATCAAATGAAAAGCACAAGAACTAAAATCTTGACATTTCTTTATTTATGTAAACGTTAAACAATTTTCAGTTTTACCATACTTTAGGATTGGAATGCAAGGTTGATGTGGTTTTATCCATTCTTTTAAGGATAAGAAAATCCGTTGGTCGCTTTATGAATGTATATGATCAGCTATTTCACCTACAAAAATCAAATCCAAAACCTAAGCAAACGAAACACCACTACAACACACCCTTATAGCTCTCAATACCAATAGTGCAGAAGAACTATCAAGCTAAAAATGAGGCACAAACATGGTGTGCTTATACAAACACTAGCCCAAGACTGAACCAAGAGAATAATGCAGTGATTCATCATAATCCCGAATAATAGTAAAATCATCAATATCATTAGTGCACCTTGTCCTCATGGAAAAGAACTTTGGGCAGCCCGTACAGAGACTGTTCGTCAAAAAAGCTGTATTGTTTCTGGAGTTTCGACTTGGCATAAAGGCATAATAATCCACACGACCATAGTGCTTCATGAACTGCAATGACATTATCAGTATCATCAAAAGTCAACACACATGTCATTAAACTTGATTTGGATACAAACAATAGGGATTAACACATATTTGTTAAAATATACGGGGCATGTGGTATAACTAATGGATGTATGCTATGGTGGCCAAAATAGGAATCATACCAGCACTTTGGCCTAAATAGGAATCATGGTAAAGTAAATGAAGGGTACCTAGCTAAGATTATTTAGTATCCAGAATAAATTTTTTCATATCCTTGCCAAGTGAGATTTCTTCAAAGGTATAGATAGATATTTTGCATTGATGGCTTTACAAGGGGGCGATGTGAAATTGTTGCAGAGATCTTCACAGTTTAACCTTTGGGATACATTGTGATTGAAAATCAACAAAGATGTTGAAGAAAGATTCGAGTGAGAGATGAATAAAAATTTCCAATGCATCTAAATTGATATAGCATTACAACGAACAACCAACAGTAGACCAAATGAACAAAAAATAACTTAACAAACACTGATCGGTGTTGATATTGATAACAGAAAACAAATCAAAGTTAGTGCAAGGAACTTACAAAACGTCCGAAGAAGACGAAGCCAAAAAGGACGCCGAAGGTGAGGAATTAGAATAGGGAGAAGCCGGATAACAAAAAGTCGACGAAGGTGACGAAGAAGACTATGGCGGTGGGAGTGAAAAAAAAAAAAAGGTTAGTCGAGTGCGAGGTCGTGGGAGAAAGAGAGGCCTGGAATGAATCGAGTTTGGGGGCCTAGGGTTAAGAAAATTAACTACGAACTTGGCAGGGCCGCGGATGGGATTCCTACCACTTTTTGAAAGAAGGTCGCCCGCTCGTTTCATCTGGCACACTTTTAACCTTTCCTTTGTCAACTCCAAAACCATGCCATTGCCAAATCTCCAATCCAAGCGCAAACTACATCAAATACGCACAAAATTCGACAAATTACATACAACTCCAGTGCCAAATCAATTGGTGACTGTGAACTCGTCGTCTGCTAATCGTTATACAAAAGATCTAGTTCAGCACACAAACAAGCTTATAAACGCCCAAAAAATGGAAGCGAAAACAACGATGTCAAATGATGTGATTCAAAACAACAACTCAAATTAAAAGAAATATTAACACGCACCTTTGTGCCGATCTCGGTGTAGAGCCCCGGTCACATGACTATGTAAACTATAACTTAAGAACCCTAATTCTCGGCAGAGAATGCGACTGCAATGCGACGGAAGTTGTGCGCGGGAATGAGCGTCGAATGCCCTAGCCACGGCCAAGTGGATGAAACAAATAGTTTTATGGACTTCATATTGGGCCTAATATTATTCTGTAAGCCCAAACCAAATGAGCCCAACAAGCTTTATTTACGAAACGCGACTTTGTCTAAATCACAAAAACGTGTTGCTGCGTGCAATATATTGTCATGAATGGATTCCCATAGTTAATATCGCCACATTTTGTTTATCGATCGTGACAGCATATATAAAACGCTCAACTATTTGATTAATCCAAGAAAATGCTCAGTTCTGACCTCATTATGTCATGCCCTGTCAATTCACTCTCAAGTTTTTTTATGACCACTGATTCTTTGTATATTATATAAAAACAAACAGCAATCTCCAACGACTTGGATGATTCTTATCAGTTAAGCTTACAGATTATGCATTAAATATTTCCAGATAATTTACAGTTCAAATGTCAATGGAAGTTTCATCGAAGTTAAAAAATGAGCTATATTTTAGTAGGAATAAAATAAAGTAAAATAACAGGAATGGGATCCAAGCTGCATTTTGATTTGATGCTATGGGCTGTGGGTAGGCAGCAGGCAGTATGAAGACAAATGATGTTGTCCTAACTTCATCAAGATTCTTTGTTACAATCGCCATTGCTGTCTTTACCCAAAGCTAATGCAGCAGCTACAGACAAGAGGCACAAGGCAGAGTGAGCCCAAAAGAAGGACTGGATTAATTTTAATACTACATAAAAATTAGACCAGAGTCATTTACGTTCTATATATATATATACATAAGGAAGGCTAAAGAAAGATCGATGCATATAAATTGATTGGGAGTGAAAGAGAGGAGTTAGACTCTTAGAGGAGGAAAATATATATATATATACACATAGAAGAAAATTAAGTGCAGGTGGAGTTGGTAATGGCAATGGTAAAGAGTGAAGAAAATCTGAGGAGGCCTCATGGAGTGAGAATGGCAGACGGCGCGCCCGATCAGGCGAGGCGCATCAAGCGCAGGAGAAGAGAGACAGCTGCAGTTACTGATGCTCGAGCGAAGGAAGTTAATCAGGAAGTGGACGCAGCAGCAGCAGCAGCGCCAACGACTGTGAAAAGAAGTTCAAGGTTCCGTGGGGTGAGCCGCCATCGATGGACAGGAAGGTACGAGGCACACTTATGGGACAAACTGTCTTGGAATGTTACTCAGAAGAAGAAGGGAAAACAAGGTATTGTTTTTACATCGTTTATCTATATGTCTTTACATTATTTGTTTGATGACTAACATAAGCTTCGACACTTCTGGTGGATCAATCGCGGCATCTGCTCTGGATCACATCACATCCCATCCCCAGTTTATCTTGGTGAGTACAAATTCCGATCTCCTTCCTTACATACACTTCACGTTGCAAGAAAGTTGGATTTAGTCGAGAACTAAAGTGAGAGGCGCCGCGATATTCTGCAGGGGCTTATGACGATGAAGAAGCTGCGGCAAGAGCATATGACTTAGCAGCACTCAAGTATTGGGGAACATCAACATTCACAAACTTCCCTGTATGAATTTTTATTACCTACATATCATTATAATGTTCGCCTTCTATAGTAACAAAATTCATCGACATCTTCCATAGATCACTGATTACCAGATGGAAATCGAGATTATGAAGACTGTCACCAAAGAAGAGTACCTTGCCTCTCTTAGAAGGTACTTACCTCTAGCTCACAATTTCCGTCTTCATTACTCTATTATAAGTATTTAATGACTTAAATGTATGCTTTTGTAGAAGAAGCAGTGGCTTCTCTAGAGGCGTATCCAAGTACAGAGGTGTCGCAAGGTAGCATATACGCGCGCATATATAAATGCATATATGTATGTATATATGCGAGTAGTGTAACATATGGTTGTCGAAAACTGCAGACACCATCACAACGGAAGATGGGAAGCAAGGATAGGGCGGGTATTCGGAAACAAGTACCTCTACCTCGGCACTTACAGTAAGATTCATATATTGTACTAATGTAGTTATTGTTACAAGTTATGATAACTTTGTTTCATTACCAGGTACGCAAGAGGAGGCAGCACGCGCCTACGACATTGCAGCGATCGAATACCGCGGAATAAACGCCGTCACGAATTTCGACCTAAGCACATACATCAGATGGTTGAAGCCAGGAAGCAACTACATTCCAAGCCCTGCTCAAGAAGTTAAGACAAACATGGAGTTTCCGGCTCTGTCCTCTGTCCCATTCCTGACCGGAGATCCCGGCCCTGTCTCGCCCTTGCCCTCTCCGTGTCTGAAGAGAAAAGCCTTGAGCATGGACCATCTGCAAGAAACAATATTTGCTCCGGCTACGCCATCTCTATGCAGCAAATCCTCTCCAACGGCTCTCGGCATACTCTTCCGGTCTCCAGTGTTTCGGGAACTTGTGGAAAAGAACGCAATGTCCGAAGAAGAATTCCGAGGAAACTCCGAATCCGACAACATGGTTGCTCAGATCGCCGGCGACAATGGATCATGTGTTGGGATGTTCTGTGATGATCTACCATTTGTAGTATCTGACGACAATGGACACGTCCCTCTGGAATATGCAGCTTGTCCGGACACTATAGGGATGCCTCCAATCTACTAATCAACACGATTTTAACTACATGAATATATATTGTCATATATATATATATTTGATTTCAGGTCATATATATATTCAAGCAGCCACTGAATGAATGAATAATAATAACAATGCCTGTACTGTAAATTGATCGCGTGACATGATACATGAATCAATTTCATTACCATGTCTGAATTTTCTCACAGTATTATATGCAATGCAAAATTACATAACAATAATATGAAATTAAAAATGGAGATTATTACTATGCAATCCACTTTAAAAAATTTAATCTTATGGAAAAGAGAGAGAAATCTATCTCATCTCCTACATATAAGCTGGCTATACTCTTCATGTCTTTAAAGGAATTACAAATGTTGTGTAAGAATGTAAGCAAAATTAGAACTCCGTCTGCAGATTCATGAACCTTTGAGTAGCTCCCGGAAAGCCTCCTGGGGTATGTCAACAGAGCCAATGCGTTTCATACGCTTTTTGCCTTCCTTCTGTTTTTCTAACAATTTCTTCTTCCTAGTAACATCGCCTCCATAGCATTTAGCAAGGACATTTTTCCTCATCGCCGAGACCCTGAGAGAGGAAGTGAGGTAAGAACAGGTTAGGATTACGTGTTTTATGAGCTCGATGAGTAGCTGCATTATTATTAGCATTACTACCAAAAACAAAGAAACAGTTTAGACTGAATGTATTTAAGTTGTGGACAAACTTACGTTTCCCTGGCGATAACCTTTGAACCAATAGCAGCTTGTATGGTTATCTCAAACATTTGCCTGTTTGATAAGATATTATTAATATAGCGAACAGGCTGTAACAAAACTAGTGGAGTATTGGAATTGAATGAGCCAACAAACCTGTCAATGAACTTCTTCAGCTTGTCCACAAGTTCACGACCAACACGTTGTGCCTTCGATCTATGAACTATGGTTGCCATAGCATCAACAGGTTGCCCATTTAATAGAATATCGAGTTTCACCAAGTCAGAGATCTGATAGCTGTCAGGAACCAAATATATAATTCTCTCCACTATATCCAATGTAGACATGACATGTACTGATAGCCGGCACAAGCATTGTACTGAGTGTGAGAAATAAAAATAATCAACACTTACTCTGCCTCTTCATAATCAAACGATGCATATCCTGAAGTTATACTCTTCAGTTCATTGTAGAAGTCAACAACAATTTCCCTCAATGGTAAACGATACTTCATGAGAGCTCTTTGACTGTACATGATATGATTTGTACGAAAGATATTACATATAAAATCCCCTTTCACAAAATTTTAGATATATTCTTAGGGTAGACATGAAAGGAACAAGATATTTATATACTTGTTCTGACTTAGCTATATTTTACCTGTCAATGAATGAGTACTCCAACTGCTCACCTCGTCGTTCTGAACAAAGGGTGATGATCGAGCCTACGTACCTTCAAGTGGCACACTAAGAGGTGTAAGCATATTTAATGCATTCCATTTCTTGCAATTTGAAGTTCAAAATTTGTTTTCTAAATAGCCATGGAGAATTAGGTACCACCATGTAGAGCTTGAGAGCTTACTCACTAGGAATTATAATTGTTGCTATCACAGTAGGTTCCCAGCAGGTTGTTACTCGGTGTTTTGGATTTGAGGGCAACATAGCAGGATTCTGGATATGTATTTTGCTATTAGAAAGAGATCAAACCATCAGCGGGTATTAAGGCAAAACACATAAAAACAAATGAGAGTAGAGAAGTAATTAAATACCTCTCGTCTGAGAACTCAAAGATATAAGGCACAGTAGGAACAGTAGAAATCACATGTGCTTCATGTTCCTATTTTCAAGAACAGAGTTGGAAGAAAGTTAATGAAGGCTTTTCTATAGAAGGCGTGAGTTGTGGTGCATATCTACATTAATTATTGAATGATACAATGGCTAATTTTCTAGTTTTCTTCAGGAGCAGCAACAACCAATCACATGAAATGTAATTACAAAATCCTAAACAGCCATGACTTCACACATGCCATTCTTTGCCATAATACATGTAATTAAGCAGCCTTCACTACCCTTAAACTTAACATGCACAGTATAGAAGTAACCTTGGATAGCTTTGCAAGGAAGCCTTTGCAAAAACAGAATTTACCTGTTCAAGCCTTTGATGAAAGACATCCATGTGAAGTAAGCCCAAGAAACCACATCTGTTAGATAAGACAATATTTCAGAACCCAATTATTGATATTTAGTAAAAGCTCCAGTCTACCTTTACCTGTAACCCATGCCAAGTGCTGTACTACTCTCCTTTGTAACAGATACACTGGCATCATTACAAGTGAGCCGTTCAATGGCATGACTAAGTGATTCAAAATCAGATCCATCAGCGGGATAGAGACCAGAAAATACCATATGCTTTACGGGCTTGAAACCTTTCAACATTAAAAACCAAAAGAACTAATGTAAGTAGAGGAAAGATAGGGATAATAGCAAGTGAAGTAAAGGATTTATACTTAACCAATGCAATTTGAGGTCAGTATTCAATTAGCATAAGATGTTTTAGTATTATTAGAATGACGAGTAATTACCTGGAAGGGGTTCAATAATGCTTCGAGTATGGAAAAGTGTATCTCCAACACGTGCCTCTTTAGTGGATCGCATACCTGTGACCACATAGCCCACTTGCCCTGTTAAAAGGACTCCGGTCTGGGTAAGCTCTGGGTGCATAATCCCAACATCTAAAACTTCATAAGATTGGTTGGTTGCAGCAGAGGAGATCTTCTCACCCTTCCGTAGAGCTCCATCAGCAACTGCTACATGGCAGATAACTCCTTTATATTCATCATAGTAAGAATCTAGCAAAAGCATGCGCAAAGGAGAACTACTATTCCCAGGAGGAGGGGGAATTCGTTCAACCACAGCAGGAAGGACCTGATCGAGACCTTGACCTGTCTTGGCTGAGGTTAATAAAGCATCATTTGGATCAAGATCAAAAATAGATTTCAACTGTTCCTTTACACGGTCTGGATCAGCTGTTGGCTGATCAATTTTGTTAATGACAGGTATAATAGCAAGGTTTGCTTCAAAAGCAAGATAGAAATTTGCAACTGTCTGTGCCTGGACACCTTGAGCAGCATCTACAACAAGAAGGACTCCCTGGCAAGCTGCCAAGGATCTTGAAACTTCATAGCTAAAATCTACATGTCCTGGTGTGTCAATCAGGTTCAGTAAGAAGTTCGTGTTGCTGCCAAGGTAATTGTGCTGATGAAACATAGTTGCTGTCTGAGCCTTAACTGTTATTCCACGCTCCCTTTCTACCTAAGACAATCAAAATTGTCACAGTAAAGATAAGAAATCATGCATATAGACATTACCACTTCATTGTGTCGAAATTTACTCGCAAGTTTCTTCAATTATCTTGCAAAGACCGTAAAAACAGAAAAAAAAACCTCATTGAAATTATATAATTGACACCGGATCAGACTCACAGGCAACAAAACCTCTTCATAGTTCAAATATCACATATCAATTATTATGAACAAAAAAATGTAGTTCAGGGATTGTCCTTTCCCATTCAACGCCACTCTATGCATGCAAGGTAAAAGCAAAGAATAATCTTGCAAATCACAAACTAAACAAAAACCTGCAATTTATCCAAATATTGAGGCTGTCCATGTCCCTTCCTAATAGTTCCAGTGAGCTCCAAAAGCCGGTCGGCGAGAGTTGACTTTCCGTGATCAACATGAGCAATGATGGAAAAGTTGCGAATCCTGTCCGAAGGATACTGACTCAAGTCTATGCTAGGATCCTCCCTAAAATGCGATCCGTAGAACGCACGCTGAGTCCAACATAAAAATGAATTCAAATGAGAAGTTGAACCAAATCCGTCTATTTCACGATAGCTGGAGGAAAGATTGAAGGAAAATCTCTGCGACCGTCGCAATTTGGACAATCGATATAAAGAAACCATTTTGTGGAACGTTCACTCAGCCACAAGGGTTTAAAGTTAGGGTTTTTATGTCTCAATTAATCCCGGCCCGTGGACTGTAGTTAGACCAGAGTCGCTACTCAATATGCAAAATCGCATTCCAGAAAAAGTAGCACTTTTCAATGCGGATTTAGTAATACATCTTGTTCTTAATTTTAGGACACTAGTTAGGAAGCACAATGAATCTAGTCTAGTACACACAGAATGCATGGAGATAGCTTCCTGCAGTGAAGAATGGAATCATACGGTATCCATGTCCTACGTATGCACATCCTCTGCTCACAGAAAACCCCCCGTATACAGAAGCTCCTGTCTCATACGACCACAGTATCTGTCCAGTTGCAGCATCGATGGCATACACTGGCCCTGTTCCATACGTCGAGCCTGCAAAGACAACTCCATTGGCAACGGTCACTGGATTGGTTGTGGCATTATATGGAACAGCTGTTGACCACAAGATTCTGCCTGTTACAGGATCCAGGGCCACCCAACCTCCTCCGGTTGTCACTTTGTTGGATGGCAGAAGAGTGAAGTTCTTCTTGTCACTGTTGGCTATATTGGTGTAGATCCTCCGGGTGTCTGTGGCTGCTCCCCAGGTTCCTCCTCCCATAGTGCCTCCTGGACCAGCCTCCTGCATCAATGCAATTTTATTTTATGCATCTGGGGTTGTCGAGGACAGGTAAATGCAGGTACTTACAGTGGACCAGACTATGTCGCCGCTGCTCCGGTTAAGAGCCCAAGTGAATCCACTTTTCTGAACAGCAACAACAATATCTAGTTTAGTGTTATTGAGAATGATGGTCAGCATCATTGGTGCCTCACCGAAATCGGCATCAGGGTTCGGGCCAGGAGGACAATTTGGGGTCGAGAGATTATTGCAGGCAAAGAACCACACATCATATCCTCCAATCTGTTTATACCACCTGATCTTTCCAGATTTCATGTCTAGAGCTAGCATTGAGTTGAAATGAACATCAGGTGAAACACACTCTTCGGGGTGGGTTGGAACTGTCTGATTATTTTGTCTTTCCTGACATTCTTCGACATCCTCAGGAACTGAGTAAAGATTTCCTGTGGCAATATACACGTGGTTTCTACGTGCATCAATGGAAGGGCTGCTTCCCCACAATGCTGCTCCAGCATATCTTCCTCTCTCCCCATTATTGTCAGGTAACATATATGTTTGCCAGTAAATGGTGCCTGTATGTGTATCTAACTTTGCAAAGCTCCCTCGGAATGTGCAGCAGTCCTCGATGCTGTATGTTTCCTCTAGCGAAGAAACACCGATGTACAGAGCTCTGCAGGAGGTAAGGTCAGGACAGTAATGATCAAATTGATGTCGCTCTCATCCTCTATCAATATATATGTTAAAGAATGAAATCAAGTTAGCGACTGTTAAAAACTAACTTTCTGTAGTAGGTTCCAGACATGGTGATAATTGCAGCTGGATGCTTGTCAAGCTGTCTCTTCCAAATAAGCTGCCCGGTAGCACGTTTAACAGCAATAACATAAGCAGGGCCATATATTGGTATGATCAGCTTATCCTCAGCTATAATAGGAGTTGTTCTTGATCTAACAAAAGTATCATTTGTTAATGATATGGTTGCATTAAGGCCTGTTAATGCTTGCAAATTCTTTTTCCAAACTAGGGAGCCGTCTGCGGCTTTCACCGCATAGATATTTCCATTCCAGCTTGGGAAATAAACAATCTCATCAAGGATTGCAGGTGTTGCACTAATGTCGCCCCCAGAGTAGAACCTCCACTTGAGTCGTAGACGAAAAGCAGTTGAAGGACTAATCCTGGTTTCTTTTTCAGCATATCTGCGATTGTAAAGGTCACCTCCATGGTTTAACCAATTTCCAGAATGATTATTCTGCCCTTCAGTCCCCTGCAAAGGCATTCTTTGAATAGTTACAGAGGATTGATTATTACTTGAAGTGAAATTATAGCAGTTATATCTTAAGCTACATCAGAGAGATAAAGAGAGACTCATACATGTGTAGAAATAGCAAAATCGATGAGACAAAACAGTGATATGAAGTTGATAAAACTGCATCTGGAAGTACTTGATCTCGCCATTGATTAGGAGATGCTTAGCTGATACTGTAGTTAGGTGCATTAGTAGAAGTTTAGATGGATTTGTAGAATTTTTCTGTACTGGGAATTAGTTGACTATTACATCATTTAAAATGCGTATTATTGTTCCTTTGCTTACAAGCATTGTGTAGGAATTAGGATCTGTTGAATTTTTGCTATTATAATAACGCTATGAATCCTGTTCCTTTATTTGCTTAGAATATATAAATTCAACTTTTGTCGTTGTCTTTCTTCTTCTAGCATAGGGAATTGGCCAAATCTGGCAGATATTCAGGTGCAAGCATATATTACAAAGTTGAATTGAGCTTTGACCCTCCCTGGATTTTCACCATTACCTTGTCCGAAGACATTATTGTAGACTAACCACAATATATATATATGTATATATATAATTGGAGATCAGAAAGATGATAGTCAGTGTTTTAATCCAGGCAGAAGGTAAAAAGGGAAGTTCCTGCAGTCAGTAGAGGATTCAGAGTCCCAAAGTGAACCGCGTAGCCATTCCCAACGAAGATGCATCCTTGGCTACTCGACAAGTCGCCGAACACAGAGGCCTCAGTCTCATACGACCGGAGGATCTCTCCAGTCTTGCATCAGGAACCACGAAAACCCGACGGCCATGAAAACCAAGAAACCTGGTGCATCAGGAAGCTTACTTCTTGTAGTGCGTCCCAGACATGGTGATCACACCATCTGGATGCCTCTCGACCTGTCTCATCCAGACAAGCTCCCCTGTCTTGCATCTAAGCGCCACAACATAAGCAGTTCCGTAAATTGGAACAATCAGTTTCTCACCAGCTATAGTTGGAGTAGCCCTGGAAACCATCGATGTAACATTTTTAAGTGGCAAGGACGGGCCTAGACCCGTGAGCCGTCTCAAATATTTCTTCCACATAAGTGAGTCATCTGCTGCTTCCACGGCGTATATGTATCCATTCCAGCTCGGAAAATAAACAACTCCTTCAGATATTGCCGGAGTGGCCGTGATGTCTTTTCCGGTATAAAATTCCCACTTGAGACACATTTTGAAGCTGTTAACGGCGTAATCTTGGTCTCACTGGCAGCATATCTCCGGTTGTATACATCTCCGCCATGGTTCAACCACCCTTTCGACGAATGAGCAGCCGTGTGAACTTGCAGGCAATATATTGATGTCAAGAGGATAGTGATCATGTTGATTCGGCAGCCAGCCATGGCTTTGGAATCTATGCACCTGGAGGTCTACAAATTTATCCAAAACCATTACCAGGACTGCTGAAAACGACCATGAATATACTGCCAATGAAAGCAGACCACCTTCGAATTTTAAAAATCTTAATCCCTCTTTTATTTGGTCTATGTGATGTTGATTCTCAGTAGATCTGAATAGGGAAGTTTGAGCACGGTGCGATGCGCGCCGGTCTTTATGGACCAGTAATAATTGGACCTGTCGGACGTGAAATCCATATTTAATATACAGCCAATGATAGGGAGTGAGAGCAATACAATGAGATTGTACATTTTTATGTATACGTAAGTGTTTTCTCATGTGACCACGTGATCGCTTTTTGAACTGATCTCATAGTAACGGTCTTCATCCAAGCTGTGCGTTGCAAGCTGTAGACTTGGTGGTCCCGAGGACATCATTCAAGTCAAACCAGCCGGCCATTTCTTGAATCAATCAAGAAGCAGACAGCAGCCATAGGATAAAATATGTAAGAACTTGACTTGTCTTCATCCAAAGTCCTCCCAGCTCATTACACCCATTTTTCTAATCAACATCCTCTTGCCTTTTAAATCATAAGGTTCGTTTCAGGGTGAATGTTCTGTTCCTTCTGTTTGCATCTGGAGCTAGCTAGCTAGTGGCTTAGAAATGTCGTCCAAGATTTCTCTGGTGTCTTGTCTAATTGTCTTGGCATTTGGGGTGGTTTTGGCAAATGGCAGTCGGGAAAATGGTGGACTTGGGATATATGAGATCAAGAGTGGAGATTTCTCTGTCAAGGTCACTAACTATGGTGCCAGAATTGTTTCTGTAGTTCTTCCTGACAAGCATGGTAAGCCCTTCTTCGCTCATCCCTTCTTCTGATTGTTTTTTTTATGCTGTGTCTGAGTATACATTTCTTCGATTAATTTTCAGGAAAGTTAGCGGATATTGTTCTTGGTTATGACACGATCAAAGAATACATGGTAAGAAGTTAATTCATTGTTCTTGTTTTCAATCTTCCTTTTTTTCATACCAACCAGAAGACCCCCTGCAGAAAATACTAATTAATCTTAGAAGATCAGAGTGAACGAATTTGTGGTCACTAATTAATCTTCATTGTAAAGTTAACAAATCCATTTGCACAATTTTTCGAGCACAGTTTCAAGCACCATTTTCATTTATTATGAAGAAAATGACATGAATGGATAACTACTGTGTAGTTTTGTCTTTTCTTCATTCCAATTACTTACACCATAGTTTACTCACAGCATACTTGTTTACCTTATAGTCATAGAATCGTAAGGATGCAAGTAAAATCTCAACTAATTACTAATGACTGCAGAATGACTCATCTTACTTTGGAGCCATTGTGGGCAGAGTTGCAAACCGCATAGGTGGTGCTAAGTTCACTCTAAATGGCACTACATATAAGCTTGATGCCAATGAAGGCTCCAACATGCTCCATGGTAAGTGAACTTCTTCACTTATTTTTCCAGTCCAATTTACAAAAATCTAATCACATCTTCCACAATTCAACAATTTAAATGAATGACTTTTACCCTCCTTCAATTTCAGGTGGAAAGAAGGGGTTCAGCCAAGTGCCGTGGAAAGTCCTGAACCACCGGAAAACTGGTCGATCGCCAAGCATTACCTTAACATATCACAGCGTAAATGGCGAAGAAGGTATCTATCAAATGTGGGACTATAGTATGCCAATCTTATCTGTTCATTGCTTTGATTGCTGAAAACCGGTTTCCTCTATCGTACACAGGTTTTCCAGGTGATGTTGTGGCGTCAGTGACGTATGCGCTTCTTAAACCATACAAACTAAGTGTAAAAATGAAGGCAAAGGCTCTGAACAAAGCCACTCCTGTGAACTTAGCCCAGCACAGCTACTGGAATCTTGGTGGCCACAACTCCGGGGACATCCTTTCCGATGAGCTGCAGATATTTGCATCACACATCACAACCGTCGATGATCACCTCATCCCCACCGGCAAAATTGTCCCGGTCAAGAATACACCTTATGACTTTCGCAAACCGTTGGTGATCAAAGGTCCAATCAAGCAACTTCCGAATGGTTCCATAGGCTTTGACATCAATTATGCAGTGGATGGCCACGACGGGCTGAAGATGAAACCTGTGGCCGTGGTTTATAACAAGAAATCTGGAAGAGTGATGAAGTTATCAGCAAACGCCCCTGGTGTGCAGCTGTATACGGGCAACTTTGTCAACACGACGGGCAAAGGGGGATTTGCTTATAAGACTCATGCTGCCTTGTGTTTGGAGACTCAGGGGTTTCCTGACTCAGTAAATCATCCCAATTTTCCATCGGTGATCGTTGCGCCAGGGAAGGCATACGAGCACTGCATGATGTTCACATTTTCGACGAAAAAGTGACTCAATCTTTTGCAGATATGATGCAGCATAATGAATGGCAAACTAAATATTGTAGAGGATGCTGGTGCTGGCATGCAGTTCTGAGAATATGTTGTGAATTTGTTTGGGAGTTCTTTCCCCTTTGGCAGATTATGTTGTATGTATATGTCTGCAAGTTTTGCAATAATTGAATTGAATGGACGACAGGGCCAAAAAGAACTTAAAAACGCAATTTGCATTGATATATAAGCGACTGCTGTTGAAATATCACAATCATGAGCACCTACTATGCATAGAAAAGTTTCTTATCCAAAGGTTGGTTTTGTATTTAACCACCATTATTACAATGCCACAACCTCAATAGTTAAATATTGAAAGTGGTGGACATAATAGTACTGTTGTTATCTAAAGATTGAATTTTTGTATAACCATCTCATAAAATGATCAATTTTGATTGATTTTTGGATAGATTTCTTTATATATTTTTTGGAAATATTTAAAACAATAAATTCATTTACCGTAATTTTTATTTTGACCAGAGATACACAGGTCAGTTTCAAAAATGGCTGGACTCCTATCATCAGCTTCTGTGCAAATCTCCGCCAAAGGTCCAATCTTTTGCTCCTAGCATTTGTTTCGTCGTTGTTCTTTGTATGATTCGAGGTAGAAGTGAAACAAAATTGCCAATTTTCACCGGATTGCTCGTCAATGTGATAGTTGGGTAACCCTGTAGGCAGGTTTGGAAAGTTGCAGATTAAACAATCTTTCGCAGCACCGCAAGGGAAGAAGTCCGTACATTTCTTTGGTTGCAAAGTCAATGCGTGCGTAAGTGCTTCTATGAAACCAACGGAGAAGCAGGTCTGGGTATGGACGGAGAAGAAGGAGGTGATGACTGCCGCCGTCGAGCGGGGTTGGAATACTTTTATATTTCACCATCAGAACCGTGACCTCGCCCTTGAATGGTCTTGTAAGCATATTCTCTCCTTACAATTTGTTGTATTTCTCTGACTTTTGTGTAAGATGTCAATTGTGCTGATTCTTATATATATATTTTTTGTTTTTATTTATGATTGAGTGTGAAATTGCTTTTGAAAGACCTTCAGCAAATGCTTTATGTGAGAATGGAAGGGATTGGAATTTCATTATAAGATAAAGTGTTAAAAGTATCTGGGGATTGACATTGATGCTTACTTTATCCCCTATGAGTATATAACAAATTGGATAGTGTGGATGGTTTTCTTTATTCTTGTGAATGGGGATGTGAAGGGGTGGACTGGGTAAAGATATTATGACAGACCACTGTAATTATACTATGATTTGTGTTGCAGCTACTGCATTGTTGTTTCCTCTCTTCATTGAGGGAGAAGGGCTTTTTGACGGTGAGCATTCCAAAGTAGCTGCTTACTATGAGATTTCTTCCCCTGAGCAGCTACAGAAGCTCCAACCTTTCAATGAAGATGTGGAAAATGTTGTCGTTGATTTGTTAAACTGGAAGGTACTCTAAACATCCCAAACGCATAACATTCACAGCATTTTGTATCGAATGCATATAAGGGCACTTTTATTTGTTTTCATATTAAGCACTGAAGATAGGGCTACAATAGTTTAGCTATGATTCTTATCTGTGCAATCTTCGAAGCAGCATAATTGCTGTCTGTTTGTTCAATTTATTGTTAGCACAATTAGACAAAAAATGGGAACATATGCAAGTGGAAATAGGCAAATAAGTAGAAAAATAATACATATAGTAGACATGTGATATTGTTACCTAATTAGATTTGGCGGTACTTTTTGTTATCAGCTTTGTCGCAAGTAAAGTCCAATTATCAACACTACCATTATTCCTAACTGTGGTTGTCCTTGCCTGATGCTCCCCCAGTACTTCACTTTGTCTACACGTTTGTAACCAAGCTTCCCTTGCATCGACACCCATGTGGACTCTAATGTTCACTAAGTAAAATTAATATTTAGATTGGATCCAACCCTGGAGTGAATATGTAGCCAACACCATGTCCCAACGTGGAAACCCAGATGGATGAAAATGTAAAAGATCAGACTAACATTTTAGTTTTGGTCCTTGCTGTTTCCATGTTGGGTAGCTTTGACACCCATTGAGTTAAGTGTTCTAGTCAAACCGACAGAATTTGGTACTATACCAGACCCTATTTGAGTCTAGGGCTTCATCAATATAAAAATTATTTAGCTATTTGTTTTGCTTACTTGCAATGTCAGTTTTTTTCTTGAATTGCCTATTTTCATTTTACAATGGTGTGTGCTGGCATGATCAGTCTCACACCTTGACTTGTATGATTCTTGCAGGTGATACCTGCGGAAAATATAGTGGCAGCAATTCAAGGCATGAAGAAAACAGTATTGGCTCTCTCTAAAACACCATCTGAAGCTAAAATATTTTTTGAGGTTGTCTCTAATATTAAATCATATCTTATGAATGACAAAGCTGCTTGTTGTAATATTTGGGGTTCATTCTTGACTAAATATTGTATTAACTTGATACTCTAGTAGGCCTTGGAGCAGGGTTTGGGTGGTGTAGTTTTGAAAACTGAGGATGCTAATGCCATCCTTGAGCTAAAGGTAGAACATTAACCTTATAGTTTACATTTGTAAAATTGAACCTCTTATGGTAATATTTCTTTCTGTTTGTGTATATATATATCCACACACACAGGCTTATCTAGATAGAAAAAACAGTGAGGGGAGTCTTTTGGAATTGACAAAAGCTCGTGTAACTAATGTTCAAATGGTTGGAATGGGAGACCGTGTTTGCGTTGATCTCTGCAGCCTGATGAAACCCGGTGAAGGCCTCCTGGTTACCCTCAATGCTCTCTTGATGGTCCTTCCTAAATATTACTAGCATAGATCTCTTACAATCCAAAGTTACTAATTACTTTATGTGCTTCATTAAAAGGTTGGATCCTTTGCAAGAGGGCTCTTCCTTGTCCATTCAGAATGCTTAGAGTCAAATTACGTTGCTAGCAGGCCATTTCGGGTTAATGCAGTGAGTTTCTATGTACAAGAGTCAGTGTTACTATGAGAACTGCAGTATTTCACTTCAAGCAGTTTGGAATAATTTAATAATAGGAGCCAAGGTGATTATTGCTAGTTTCGCAATTGCAGGATTGTGCTGTTTTCATCCCTTCTTTTTTATGTTTACTTTCCAAACTGCAAACATACGAGGGCACATATGATTAACCAGTTTCATATCTTTTCCATGAAACAGGATCTTATTAGATCTTTGTAAGAGGCTATCTTCTGTTTTGTTTTTTACTTGTTTTCTTCCTGATTTTCTGCTTCTGAAACAGAGTCACATTTGATCATATCATGGTATATCTAGTTGATGAGCAGCACTGTAATGCTATTTCTCGGAAATATTCAGGGCCCAGTCCATGCCTATGTTGCTGTGCCAGGGGGAAAGACTAGCTACCTTTCAGAATTAAAAGCTGGGAAAGAGGTTGTTGTAGTTGACCAAGAAGGGATGCAGCGTACAGCCACTGTTGGTCGTCTCAAGATAGAGACTAGGCAACTGATCCTCATCGAGGCAAAGGTTCATTTACTATCCATTCACCATCTATATATGTTGCTATAATGGTCAATGTGTAGCGTGCTGCTTTCGATCATATTAGATGAAGTCGTCCATTCCATTTATCACCAAGCATGTGAATCTGTTGTGAACCTGTTTTATCACCAATGGCTGTAAGTTGATCTTGACTGATAGATAGCTTGCTGTTGTGCGCAGAGAGACGACGAAGATCAAGGGCATTGCAGCATTCTGTTACAAAATGCCGAAACTGTTGCTTTAGTATCGCCTCCAGGAGGTAATCCTCCACCAAAATTGATTGTGTTTGAAACACTTTATTATTTAGTATTTTTTTTCTACAAAAGATGGATCTACCCTAGAACCATACATGATATTTTTTCAGTCTTTCTAGGATCAGGTCTTATTCTAGGAAATTTGGCAGTAGAATTCTATCCAAAACCAATTTATTATTCTATATTTTTGTGCACATGCATTTTGTAGCTGCTGTGCAACCCTTACATGAAAATTCATTTCTGTGGCAGCTGGACGTCAAAGCAGAGCAATCCCAGTTACCTCACTGCAAATAGGCGACGAGGTTCTTCTGAGACAGCAGGGAGGCGCCCGGCACACCGGAATAGAAATAGAAGAATTCATAGTTGAGAAATGAAAATTCCAACTAACAGGTTAATACTACTGGTTTTGTATGAAGAAAAGAAAGAACAAAAACATGTTCTTTTCACTTTTCAGTAAATTATATAGTATTATATATATATATATATATATATATATACATAAGAAGGAATATCTGCATCTTCTCTAGAACTTCCAATAAATCAAGTTTTGCTAATTAAAAAATGAATCGGTAGCAGTTGTTCTTGTGTTGTGTTGTTAAACAATTGCAGCGATGTCTCGAGGAAATTGTTTGTCTATCCACAATATGGGCCATGACAGAGTGGGAGACCCACTTTCTGCCAGATATTAATACTATTATCTTTTTAATGTAACATGGATCGTTTCCAGTGTATTATATTATATTAATAATTGTATTATTAATTATTATATATTTTCATCGGATCATGAATAAGATTGATTCTAGATGCAATGATCAATCTTAATTCTTCAATAAATATTTCTCTGACAAATGGAGGAGAGCCCGAAACATGTCAAACGAGAATTAAAGAAAAGCAGCAAGTGTTGTAATTATATATGTATGGTGGCAGCTTTTTGGTACAAACGAAAGTAAGTAAAAGAAATGCAGAATGTTGTTGTATAATTAAGAGCCATATATGGTCCCTATCTGCTCTCAGCATTCATTTCGCCGTGTCTGGATCACACCCGGCCGTCGCCGCCGGACCGGAGGATTGTGATTGTTCGTCGATCTGAAAAACATGAATTTCGAAGAATCCGTTAATGGAAGCTCTGATGTTCGGACCACGGCCAAAAATGCTGGGTTTGGTCTTCTTCAATGGCGGTAAACATGTTGCAGAAGCCGTCGGCGGTGGAGCCGTGGAGGAGCTGGGTTAGACCGCCGGCGCAGGCGTTTGACCTGATGTCGGGTTGAAATTGATACAATACGTTGTCGTCTGTTGGTGCTGTCTTGTTCAGATTGACGACGTCGCGACTGTTGTCGTCGCTGCCATAACCCTCGTTCTCCGTGTTCAAGTTGATTGGACCCGATCCTGTCGACTCCCTTGTTTTCAGTGCCATTAACTGCCACACACCATTAATTACATATATATATATATATAGAGAGAGAGAGAAAGAGCATTAAAAGAAAACCTAACAAATTCATCGTCATTCGTCGTCTCGTATTTCATGAACAACCCTAATAATCCAAGAAATCGCGATTCAAACTAGAAATCGAATATTTATTATAAACCTGTGTCTGAAGATTCTTGTTCTGGGATTTGAGGGCGTCGTTGTCGGCCTTGAGAGCTTCAAACTGTCGCCTGAGAACATCGTAATCTCTCTCCAATTGCTTCGTCTTCCATCGGGCCCTCCTGTTCTGGAACCAAATAGCAATCTGACGTGGCTGCAGGCCCAAAGCCCGAGCCAGCTGCAACTTCCTCTCGGGCTCCAGTTTGTTGCCCAGCTCGAAGCTCTTCTCCAGTGCCCTAACCTGCTCCATGTTCAGCCTCCTCTTCTTCTCCCCAAGCATCATCTGTGACCCGTCGTCCGACATTTCGTCGTCTGGCTGCAGCAGTTCTTCGGCCCGATCCATTTCTGAAAACGACGTCGTTGTCGTCGTTGCGGATCTTCTCAGCCACAAGTCTGGAAGAGTTGCACATACATAAATGAATCCACAGCAACATATACATCATATAAAAATCAAATCACACTTTGAAATAGCATACGTACCATGAAAGTCTTGAGGGTGAGACTGAGATGGAAAATGGGTGTCTGTTGGAATGAAGGCCATGGGTGAAGAATTAATTCAATTCAATTCAGTCATATAAATATATGAGTGTGTGGATTAAATTGGAGATGGTGGGAATCAGGGAGAGTGTATGGGGGAGAGATTTGGGAGTGGGAACATGGGCGGCAAGACGCTGGAAGCCAGCGATAATCTCTGCTCAGACAGAAAGGGCAAGAGAGAGAAACAGAAAGAGAAAGAAAGACGTCCACTCTTATTTATTGCTTGAAGATTCTTGCTGTACTGTAATATCGCTTCTTCAGAGGTCCTCGGAGCTCAACTCCCTGCTCTCACGTGGATCCCATCCAGTGGGTTGAGTACAGATTCAATGGTACAGATACACGGGGAGGCGGATCCGGGACTTTTCACGATTCACTTGTTGCGTTAAGAATTATTGTCATTTTCTTCTAATCCCATTCACAGAGAAATTTTAGGGTGTGTTTGGAGTGTGGGTTTTAAAAAAAGTTTCTCCTTCAATTTTTTATTTTATTTTTTATACTAAAATAAAATGTTCAAAATTTCTTTTTATTTGTTACCATTTTATTTTCTACGTACGTAGTAGTTTCTTATTGCTGTATTTTTTATTTTTTTTTCAAAAGAAAAAATTATTGCATAAATATTGGACTACTTTTAGGTCGCATGCCTACAATTGAATTCTAACATCTTCAGCCTAAAAATGTCAATAATTTACAGTACCATGATTTCCATTATTTAAATATATACAAGACGATATTTCAATTTTCAATCCCAACCCCCATTTTGCAGAAAAGATTAAAATAAAATTGATGAACAATCAAATTGGATCTGTACGTACACATGGAGTTAACTTGGAATATATTCTACAAAATGGTGTATGCATAAAAATATAATGATGCAATATATAGTGGTGAAAAAAAATTAACAGCGATAGGAATATGATTGAACTTTAGTTCGATAAAAAGAAGTCATTCTGCCCATCAGTTTCCCTCACGGATATTATTATTATTATTATTATTATTATTATTATTATTATTATTATTATTATTATTATTATTATTATTATTTCACAATCGCAAAAGGGATATATATATATATATATATTAAGAAATGGGATAGTTAAGGGATATAGAGGATTAATCATTATTCAAGAATCCAGAAGCAACCAAACCCTAAGAAGAGTGGGTAAAACCGAATGCACCCAAACATGGAATAATAGATACAAGAATTCTGATACTGCTTCATTGACCATAAATGCCTCTGATGAATCGCTTTTTCCATTACATTCATCATCCTTGCATTGCATGCATCATGGATTAATTCTTGAATTATACATTAGCACACACAAGTATACATATGTCTCTATGTAAGTACAACCTGCAGATATGATTTGGAGACCCAATCCCCAAGTTGACCAACTGCATATATATATATATATATATATATAAGTTTGATCAGAAGCAAGCTTGTGGTAATGATATACTATTAATTATCTTAAAAAGTTAAGAATGTTTTTGTGTTAATTGTTTGGAGCTGTGAAATCTATGCTGTATCTTCTTCTTCTTCTATTGTCCTGCTTACTTGTTACTTGTTAGCACATGCAGCCATCTTCCAACCCCAACCCCATGTGCTTTTTACATTTATTTTATTTTATTACTATTATTTAATTTATGCATATTATATTGTTAGCAAAATATAAACCAGTTTGACTAGTTGGCCCATTTCAACATTGTATTGGGTCCTCACAATGGGCTATCAGATTGGACTCATCTTACTTCTGTAAGCCCGATTAATAAATTATGCCAGCATTTCATTATTGCACATATGTACGTATATATATATAAGAATAAATGGACCTTGCACTTTGAATTTGTATCATCATGTCAAACTATCAATGATTATTATTATGTGTATGTGTGTGTAATTGAGAATTTGTACCTTAGGTGTAAAGTACATGTCTTTTTTTATTGTGCTTGACATTCAATTGGATATTGATTGGCAATGGGCGAAATGTGAACTAAAATTTAAAATAAAATGAAAAAAGATTAGGGCATAGTGGCAGAAAAATGATGGAAAATAATCAACTTCAAATCTCCTCCAAGCAACCGTTGATGTGGACGACATTGTATGGTGATTTAACCTCAAAGATTAGCTAATCGTAGTAATAGGATGACATAAAAGCCCAGATCTAGAGATGTGGATATATATCTATAATATCTACAAATCAAAGTATCAAACTAACCACCCCTCAAAAATCCATTTAAATTCCCATAGATATATATATATATATATATTCAATCAGCAGTGGGGCTGTAGCTGTAATGATAGTAAGGAGCGCATCCATTCATTAATGGCGTTGATTAATAATTTAAATTTTAGGTTAACTGGATGGATTCTAGATGTTATTTCAGGACTGTGTTTTTTGATAGATTGATACTGCAGTCAAATTCCTACAAATTGCTGTTGACTGACCCCTGTCCCTGTCCCTGTCCCTGTTTGTTTGATTATTTCAATACCTGAAAGTATTGTATTAGTTGGGAAGTATTTGTATTTGTGCGTGCCACGCTCTCTACTAATTAATTTATCTGCAGAATTTGAAGATTACATTGACCCCCGCATTTTCTGCCTCCTACTAACTTTCCAACCCCTTTTGCTGCCTGCCTGCCACACTCATATTTCTTTTCATACATTAATACGTTTTCCAGTTCATGTTCAAATCAAACCCTCAAAAGACCACTATTTAATTAATGATGTAATTACATATTTTGATAAATAAACCCCTTTTGTCCACATGTTTTTCTCAGCTGCGTCTGCTATTGAGTCAGTCAATCCCTTACAATATAGTATACATGTATAAATTTGTAAGCAAGCGTTCGTCCATGCTCTGGTTTAAATAATTTTACCATAAGGAAGGAAGAAGAAAGTTGTTCTTGATTGCCTTTCTATGTGGGCTTCCAATCCATTCTGTCTTCTCTGCTCTGGTTTCTGTCTGTGGTAAGGAATAATTTCTGTTAGCAGTGCAGGGCAGGGAAGGGCTTTAAGCCGGCGCAGATAAATCCAGTTTCCTTATATAATAGTTTCAACAGTTTTTTTTATATATATATTCTGGGATATTGGAATCTCAGCAAATCCACAGAAGAGCCAGCTCATTCGTGTTAAGAATGTTCCGGATCGAAATCTATTCATCATCTCCAATCTCTCCCATCCCACAACTTTATTAAAGATCGGATTTTTATTTCATTCTACTGTTGCTCTGCTGATGATGGGCTGTGCGTCGTCCAAGGACAAGCTATGCCGGAACTGCAAGGCGCGTTGTTCTCCGGTGCGGCGGAGCTACTCGATGCACGGCCACAATCCTCCCTGGCAAAGCCATCACATGGTGTCTCTAACTTCCTCCACGCTGGGTTCTTTGCGCCTTGATCCACTGATTCACAGTCATGTCTTGAAGGAGAAAGAAGAAATCGAAGCTCCAAGCAATGGGAGTAGTGTTGCAGAAGTTAAGGGTTGTTCTGAAAATGGGGAAAGTAAAATCAGGGATAGGTCTGCTAAAGAGGAATTCGCAATGGGGATGATTGAGGTCAAGACCTGGTCCAAAATGATCGACGAAAAAATCCCTAAAATCGCCCCTAAAACGCCGATTAGAACTCCTCCAGGGGAGCCTGAGATGATAAACGCCTGGGAGATGATGGAGGGTCTTGAAGACGTCAGTCCTGTCCGACCCATCCACCATTTTCGCAGCTTTTCTTTCCAGGTACCTCCCAGCCATTCTAGTCTGTCTTCCTCGGAAGATCAACAGACTCCAAGAGTGAAAGAACACAGCGATGCTGCCATGGCCGACAGTGATTCCAACTCAAATTCAAATTCCAACGACACCTCTATAGCATCCGAATTCGATCCTGAGGTGATAGCCACATTCCGAAAAGCCCTGGACGATCTTCCCCCTGCCAATACAATTCACCTCAAGCCATTGGAAAGCGAAGATCATCAGCCATTGGTACCACGCACAGACAAGTTAACTGTGTACTTCACCAGCCTAAGAGGGGTGAGGAAGACATTCGAGGATTGCTGCCATGTACGGGTCTTGTTAAAGGGGTTGGGAGTTAAGGTAGATGAGAGGGACGTATCAATGCATTCTGGATTCAAGGAGGAGCTAAAGGAGCTGCTGGGAGACGGGTTCATCGGCAGAGGCTTGCCCATAGTTTTTATCGGGAAGAAATGTGTCGGCGGGGCCGATGAAATTCGAAGGCTGAACGAAGAGGGAGAGCTCGAGAGGACAGTAGAGAGTTGTGAATTAATGGATGACACCGGAGGAGGCGATGGAAATTGCAATGCTTGCGAAGCATGCGGCGATGTTCGATTCATGCCTTGTGAGACGTGTTCGGGGAGCTGTAAGATATACTACGAGGGGGAGGGGGATTACGAAGAAGATGACGAATACGACGAATGTGGCTTCCAGAGATGCCCTGATTGCAATGAAAATGGACTCATTAGGTGCCCGATATGTTGTGACTAAAATTATCATTAGAATTCACATAGTCTGCGTTCTTGTGTTGTTTGTTTTAGAGTGAACAGTTTTGATGGTTTGCCTGTGAGATTCCCTGCAAGAATCTCAGCTGCAAACGTTGCGCAATTGACAAGTTCTTCACTTGTTGTAATACTTCAAGTCATTTGATCTCTTCCTTGGTGAGAAGCATATACAAATGAATTCGTTTGAATAGTTTAGTATGCCAGAGTTGAAAAAGTGAGTGGAAAGCATGAAAACCTGGTTGTGGAAGAAAAGACTTCCCCTGTATTATTTATTATCTTTGTTTATTATTATTATTATTATTATATACACAAAATTTCCAGTTGTGGATCGGCGTATTCATTCCTGCTACGCTGTTTGTGGGCCGACTGCTTTTATCTTTATTTGGTCCCCCAAGAATTCATGATTCTGTTGTTGTTTATTGCTCAGCTGCTACTTTTTGTTTTCTTTAATGATTCTATTATTGATGTGTGCAGCCACAGGTTGCACTACCAGCTGAAAATTTTTAAGGGTTGGTTCAGATTAGGTGCAAACTTCAAGTAAACTCCATGGCCAAAAAACCATGATGTTCATAAACTCTAGGGGTTCTTTTTATTGTTAGGTAAAAGCTGAGGGACTATGAAACATGTTGTGCCAACTTGGTGGGCTTGTCTGAACTGTACTCATCCCCTCGTTTCTTGAAAATAATGTATTGAGTTGATACAAACCATGGCCATGTGGTCATGGAAAAAAATGCATGAGAAGACAAATAAATATGGCATGACTCTAAATATAACTTTGCCATTGATCAATCACAAGCATATAACAAGCCAACAATAAGCAGCTGTCAGTTATTATCACATTCATGAGACTATAAATTTTTTCAACTATGCAGCAGCTGGGATGAGAGCACACTTAATTTGGTAGTCCAACTGCTGCATCACTAACTACGTTGCTCCAAGTTGGATTAAATATGACCGCAGCAATTTTGTTTTATTTTAAAAGGCAGCCTAATTTCAACAACTAAAGTTTTTACCTTGAAGTAAATACTTCAGTCCAACAGACAGTGCTGTCTATGGCTCTCACTTTTGGACACCTCTGGTTCCTAAGTCAGCAGCAGCCTTGGCCGCACGATCCAAAACATCAGAAACCCAGAGCGCCCCTTGGGCAAAATAACTACTGTTAACCACAGCACTTGCAGCAGCTGCAGCAGTTTTACCGGTGTATGTTGCAACTGATTTAGTCACCTCCGTGACACGGTACCTCTCATCCACGGATTTTACAGCTTCCACTCCCGAATGGATCTTATCTGTGAGTCCGATTCTTTTACTGAACTCTGAAACCTTGGCAGCTGCAGTTGATGAAACTTGATGGGATTCATCAAAAGCTTTGGCTTTCGACAATGCATCTTTACTCAAAACATATCCCTGTGAGATCATGGTTTGCACAACCTTTTGCACTACTGTCACTGCTTCTCCAGGTGTTGAAATAAATTTGTCAGAGTGGGTAGCCTGCCATGAAGCATAGGAACCAGCAACCGTCACACAGACACCAAAACAATAGGGCACATGAAGAATGAAAATAAAATAAATAACCGGATCAACTTCCATAATATATATATAGACACATATAATGCTCACTGCAATATAATTAGCATCCATGCTTAAGGTTTTCATCAAAATCTTAACAGCTACTTCAATTATGATAATTCATACCGCTATGTTGCTTCCATTCTCTGCCTCCTCATGATCAGTGAGGTATGGAGATGGATCAACATAAACTGTTCCGCAACTAGATACTGCTACTGTCTGCCCAGCAATTTCAGATCCCTGAAATCAATACGATAGAGTAACATCGTAATAAAACAAGGTTATGCATAGCATTGATATAATGCCAAGTTGTCATTTACTGCAAACAGGGGGTGTGCAATGAAAGTCTGGTGATTGTTTGCAATAGGGGCACAGAGGCTGCTCTCCCCCCTGGCAGGATTAAAACTCATTAACATACTAAACGGAATCCATGTCTCAGATAGCTAATAGATATCAAATTATAGTGGAATCAAATTCTCTCAGTGATTCAAGAAATGTTAAGGTGGAAATTTCCGATATGCTGCATCGTCAACCATGATAATTTTATCATAAGCAAAAAAGTAGCCACTGTGTGAATGGGCAAGAAAAAGCCAAAAGAAAAGAACCCTATAGCCAGTTTTTAAGCACAAAACTTGACAGGCCATTAAAAGAAAGATAAAGAAGTGAGAAGGAAAACATTCACAATATTTGGTTCTAAATCAATCCGCAAGGACCAAACTAATACTTACACATTTGCATGAGTAACTAATGTAATCAAATGCTGACTACCTCCAACAAGTGCGAGAAATTAATGCTTAATCATGAAAAAGTCTAAGGAGACTTACACTGAGAAAGAGGGCAATTTTCACAGAATATGCTTCCTCAAACTCAACATAAGCAATAGAAATATCAGCACTCACTCTGTCACACAAAACAAAACATTGAACTTTGATATGTTGGGACAAAAAGTAATAAGCACCAAACAAAAGCAACAATTCAATACAATTGCATGGTAGCCAGTCTGAAAATTTTTCCTTCCAAAGAAATATGCATGTTCTAACACTATGTATAAGTTACTCTGTTTCAGATCAAACATTAGCCAGAGCATTCCACATAAGAATAAAAATGAAAAATTAAACTCTACACTCTCAAAACAAATAGTAAAAGATATCGCTACTATGGAATGAGATGGCCGTTATACTACCTTGTCACTTGTAAGTATTTAATGTTGCCACAGTTGAAGAAAAACCGGTAAACATCTTCCTCACTTGTTTCTGGTGAAAGCCCAATGACTTCAACCATATATCTACCCTGGTAAACCTCCATTCTATCTTAATCCTCACGAACTTTTGAGAATCAAGAAACTAAGCAGCAAATGCACAGTAATTCCAGTTGCCTGAGCAAATAACACTTTATCCATAACGAACTTTTCAAGCAAAGACAAAGCCATTATCATACAGAGAAAAATATCAGGAATGACAAGACGAGCGATTCCAAAAATGATTATTAGGGTTCACAAAGCGTATTCTTCAAACGGTAAAAATGATCGGCCACCACAAGTAAAATTATATGAAGAAAACAAAAAAGGTAAATCGTTAAGCAGCAAAGAGGAGTTCCTTGACATGAATCTAGCATAAGTTTCTCACTTGTATCTATATATGCACATCCACATACATTCAGAAGAAGAAACCAAACGTTCAAGGCTCACACAAGTCGACGCATTCCAATCCTTGCTCTCTTGTCAACACGGAGCTGATTTAGAACGATAACCCCCGCCTCGATCACTGTATTCCCGAGTGTCATTACTGTTGACAGTTGAGCCAATCCGATCAACTGTTCATCGTCTCGGTCGCATAACCAATCATATCCTGCCGACCAAATGTCAGAATTAATTGGGCCTTAAAATAATCTACACCGAACCCAATCACAGTACTGTTCAGCCCATAAAATAAAACGGCCCATTAAGGCATCAATTTTGACCTTACTGCCAGTGTGTTGACTGATAACTGACTTCCCCTATGGGTTTGGTCAACCATTGGTCATACTAAGAAGTGGGTGTTCGTATTTGGTGTCACGTGTTAAGGTGACCACGAGAATATACCAAACAGGCAAATTTTGATTGGTCCAAATCGGGGGCTAATACAACCTCAAATAGTGCTTGGTGTTTGGACCAGATTAGATCAAATTAATAATATTATTATTATGGGTAATTATGAAAACCTTTTGTGATTAGGACACCAGCTTTGAGAGAAGGCAATGTCCCTTTCTATCTCCTGTAAGGGTGCAGTTTTGTCTGTGGGGCTTAATTAATTAAATGGTTAAACAATTAAGTGCTTAATGACAAATTTACTTTATTTTAATTGGGAATTTAGTGTTGTGTGCATTTACGTACATATATAGTTGAGATTTAATGTTGTTTGGTGATTAAAGGCCGTAGGCATGTGTATCTTTAATTGCATGGCGTACCAGATGTCATGGTCGTGTCTGCTTTTGGTTGTGTGATGATCGCACATTTTATGACACTGAAAATGAAATAATATTTGTATATTATATTATTTTGATTTGATGTAAATGATTAGCGGTCATGAAATTAGATCTGTGACCGACGATTTCTTTAATTTTTATTTATTTATTTTCTAACAAATGAATGCATCGTCCATTATTTTATAAAAACCTTGAAATAATATATGTAGAAATGGTTTTCTTTAGAATATTGGACACTTTTTCTATTCCAAACAATATATTAGTAGTACTTTGTAAAATATATTGTAAGTACAAAAATTAAAACCTAGTCCTAACTTAATAAATATAGATACAAATAAGTGTTGGAATATAATAAATATATCATATCAAGGACCGGTATTGTAGAATTTGATTATTACACCAACGGAAAAGGGTCTTGTCGGATGGTCCCCATTCCTTGTTTGTCCCTCCAATTCCACAATCAAGAATCAAATCTAAAGCTAAACCAGCTGATCTGATGATCGAGTTAGTTAAATAAGTCTTTAATTTCTCAAGAAAAATAAATTAAATAAATGTAGACGGACCTCATTAATAATTAAAGACCTATATATATATATATATATTCCAATATATGCACGTAATAGCAGCAACATATTAACTTTATGTTTTTAATTAATCAAAGGTGTAGACAATCTTTCTTTCCTTTTCTCTTCTCTTTTTTAAGCAAATATTATCTTACATAAGTTTCAGTGAGGACATCTATATTGTAATCCAGTGAATATGAACGATTTATATACTATTTTGGTAAGTCATATATGTCTTCTACTACTAATACTAATACAGTACTAATAATATTGTGAAGTGAATATATATATATATATATATATTTATATAAATATAAACGGTAACGGTCACACACAAATGTATATATTTAAATTAAACCAAGACATATGGAAAGAGAAGCTTGGAACAAATAACTTTATAAATAATGATAATAATTTTAGTAATGGAAGCAAGGTACGTACAACAATGGCCTTTACTAATCAATCAAACATGCATAATATATATATATATGGACCCTTAAGATATTATGCATATTGATGAGTTGTTGATCCATACCAGAATTCCACATCCTACAATATAGATATATAGATGCATGGTAGCTTTAAATATAACATGATAATAGTTGCATGCAAATATATATATATATATAAAATTAATAATGAAGGCTTAATTAGATTAAGGTCCTAATAATGGCAGCTTCAGGGCTGTCAGCATCTATGGTGGATAGCAAGTTGGAGAGCCTGTCACTGAGATCATCCACTTCTTTGTGCAAATTTCTTATGTAGTTGCAAGTCTCCTGCAGCACCTTGCTTGCTGAAGTCTGCATTAATTAATTAACACATTGTCATTAATTACCAAATATAATACCAACAATGATCAACATCCATTCTATACATAATCCAAATATATATATGTATCTGCAGATTAATGTGCAATAGCTACATTCCAACTGTCAAAGACACGAGTATTGATCTCAATTATGAGACGACATCGACCTCTGTTTGGACAGAAACGCGTTTATATCAGACATAATTTGTGCCATTAAGACCTGCGGCTCCACCAACACACAAATACATACATACATACATATATGTGTATATTAATGAATTAATTTCTCTCGAATGATGGGATCGATTTCTGACATGGAGGAATTCATTCGTGTTGTGTACAAACATGACATTAATGGCCCTCACTGACTGCGACTTGCAGCTTCCACCAATTACTAATTCATTCATATTCATATTCATTTAGGGCTCATCTCATATATGATCAGCAGCTTCAATTTTTCATCTTCAGTTATATATTAATTGTTGACAGTACAATTGCAACCATTGTTTTTAATTTGCAATAAAATTTGACTCAACGCTACTACTGCTAGTACGTAGGATGTTATAATAACATAAATGCATTGATCGATCACTCCAATTAAAGGTACCTAACATGTAATGCAGGCCTTCTTTCTTGTTTAGGAACCCTAATTAGATTATTATTAAAAACCCTAATTACAGATTCCACTCTTAATAACCAATTACTGCGCGCATGCAAAAACACAAACATATATATATATATCTATATATGTGTGTATATAAAGCTTTAAGCAGGTACATGGATATATGTGTAGTGCTTATTTACTGTCTGCATCAAAGTGAATGAATTGTAATTGATAATTATAATGATACATATATATATATATAGACCTTGTTGGAACGTCTGTTGCTGCGAATTTCAGGGAGGAGTTGGTGCAGTTTGGAGACGAGATCGATGATCTGTTCGTCGGATATCCTGTTGGAAGCAGCAGCTGTTGTCTGCCTCGACCTTCTACTAGAAGAAGACATCCTAAATATACTACAAATAAAGTAAATTATAGTATTATATAAATATTTCCTTATTAAGCTTGTGCCTGAATTACAAATTAGAGTGATACTTGGAAACTTGAATTTAGGTATGATTGCAGTATTATTAGAAAGGGGAAACATATATATACAGATTGCTGATGAGTGTGTGTGTGTGTGTGTGTATAGTGAAGTGTTAAATATATATATATATATATATAGAGAGAGAGAGAGAGAGAGAGAGAGAGAGAGAGAGAGGAGGGGGTGGGGTGGGGATGGCAGAGAGTAAGAGTGGGGATAAGATAAGAAAGGGAAACGTATTAGAGAAGGGTTATAAAAGTGGGATGGACCAGCAGAAAGGGATGAGTGAAGAGAGAGACCACAATATCCAACAAGACAGTGATGTTTGGATGTGTGAACATGACCCTCCCCTCCCCCCACCCCACCCCATCAAATTACTCCTACCTCTCACATTATATTTCACTATATATATATATGTATATTCCTGGGTATTTCATTATATTGATAAATATACCTTTGAAATTCTCCAAAACACAACAATATTGTGCATGCCAATAACTAGCCCAAACTATGTATACACCTTCAAATGGAAATCATTAAGCAATATTATTATTCTTTCGGATCACTACATACATGCATGGAAAAGTCGATATACTCACTTGCAATTCTAGGTTTTAATTCATTCGTAAAATTCTAGAACTATGTATATATAGAGTGTCTTTACTATGGAATGGGATGGGATGGGATTATATACAATCTTTATAATTAATAGACTAATCAATATGATACATTGTTTACTATATGCAATTTTAGTACAAGTGTGATTTAGATATATAAATTAATCATACACTAGGTGGGATTAATTATTTTAATAAACTGATTAAAGGGAATCAATAATATCATCCAACTTAGTCATCATCATAAGTAATACACATATAGTCGTCATAGATAATAGTTGGTTTAAATAGGGTTAACTTGTTGGTTTCCAATAATAAAAATAAAAAGTAATTAATCCGTGACCAATGCTCGTGTGTTGTTTTATTTTAATCAGTCTCTACATGCATTTGAACATCGTAAATGGACAAATTGTCATGTCAAAACAATTATGCAATTAACACATGAGATGAGATGTCTTGTGCTGTAATTTGGAAATCAATCAAATTAAATTTTAATTTCAATTCCATACATAATAGTATTAGTTACCATATCAATCTTTTATACAAAATGCATTCCAATTTAGACTTTATAGGTTTGTTTTTATGTTGGGGGTTTAATCAGGAATTGTATGTGTGAGGTTCAGAAATAGTAAAATAAAATAAGATTTTAAATAACAAAATAAGTAATACTTACTTGGCTAATATGATATTGTCGGAGCTGCGCATACACGAATACATTGTCTAGAACCGGGGATTAATGGCATGTGTGTTTTTGTTTTGCCAACTTCAGCTCTTGATTCCATCGCTACTATATATGTAAAACTAAAATTGTAAATTCTTTTCTATAAATAAAAATAAAAATAAAAATAAAAATAAAAAATTTTCTATGTTGGAGGAATGGGGAGAGGCTAAACCAAGTTGGCTCGAAAGTTAATGCAGTGTGTTAGCAATTGTAGTAACAATGTGGGGCTTTGTGTGTTCGTCTCAACATACACCACCATGTGATCATCATTGGATATTAATTAATTATTTTATTTAATTTTTCCTATATCTTCATATATTTTTCCTGTTCATGCAATTTAGATATTCCTGTATCACACATTCTACAAAATCATAGGTTGATATTATATATATATATACCCAACACCTTTTTATATACCAATTTAATTGAATACTACACGCTGCCTTTTTATAGTATCTGACTCAATTAATAATTGTATATATACATAGTACTGTATGAACAGCAATAATCGTCTTATTTATTTTATTTTTTCTACAAAATAATAAAAATAATAACTCCTGAGGTATACTAGCTCGACCATATATATATATATATATTATTTCATCCGTCCCTCCAAATTATATAAAATTATGTTATTTGTTCGAGCATGAATTTTTAGAAAAATGAATAAAAATAATATTCTTTTTATGATTAAAAAAATATATATATAATTGTAGAATTTTTTTATTAAAAAGAAACAAGAATAAATTTTAAAAACAAATATAAAAGAAAAAAGAAAGAATCAATTTGCATAATCAAACAAATATTTATTAAGGTTGAAATATTAATAATAATGAATAATATATAAGAGGAAGTGATCACGTGATGGGCACATGAGTGAAAGAAAAATGGCTGAGCAATTATTAATAATAAATATGGTGGTGTTCCGACATAACCACGAGAGTGTGCCAAATATCATCCTCATTAATCATATGTCACATGCCTTTCCCTCCACCCACCGCTTGGCACGTGGCATCCTACTGTTTAACAGTATTATTATTCTTATATATTAATTTGTTGTACCATTACCACAAAAAGGTTATATTGTCACGTTGATATGCTGCCATCTTCCACAATGATACATCGGCCTGTTTCCTTATGTTTTATTTGGATTGTTTTAATGTTTTTTGTTGTTTTAGATTTCAAACTTTTAAAAATAAAAACTAAGTATTATAATATATATGGATTGTTTGTCATGGAAATATATATATATATAATTTTACTTATTTATTTTTCTTAGTTTTTGTAATGTGAAAATAAAAAAAAAGTACAAATGAACAAGCTGGGATGGGATTTTATTGTATATTTTCACCTTTACCACATACCACTCAATGCCTGGATGCCCAATTTTATACTTGACCAATGAGAAATCATAACGATATAATTATCTTTACCACAATATATATAATAAATAAATAAAATATAAAATTGTAAATATTAGGAATTTTTGTATGTGTCTTTCCAACTTTTTTTTCTTTTTCTATTCACTATTAATATTTTATTTTCTCTTAAATGTAGTAAACAGCTTTTATTACTTAATAAATATTGAAATAGAAATACAAAACAAAAATTAAAAATACAATATCAAACCCAGCTTGGAAATTAGGTGTGGTAAAGTAAATTAGTGAACTATGTTTGCCACATAAGATCCGAAGACTTGGGGTTTGAACCATGTGCTATTTACTTTTTTTTTTTTTTTTAAATAAAAATAATTACTTCAGTAATTATATGAAAAGTGAATAAATAGTATATATATACAAAATAATATACTCTAATATTTTAAATTACATATACATACTTTACTTTAATGCAAACGATTTTTCAATAAAGAAATCAATGTTAAGCTAGGCCCATTATCATGGGCCTAGTAAACTCTACATATAAGTATTTGGGCCTTTAAAATTGTAGTGTGTGGGCTACAAAACCAGTGGGCTTTAGCATTTATTCTTCATTAATCATAGCACGTGTTTCCTCATTTATTTCAATACCTAAAAATATTAATGATAACAATTAAAAAACAAAGGAATCATATTTTACAAAGTTAAAATTACTTACATAAAATGATAATAATTACTTGTGATAAGTTTTGTTGAGCTGAAAATGGAATGGAAGATGTAGATGGGGAACAAAATGTACAGGAGGATTTAGCAGCAGAGGCAAAATCTATGACCCCAGAACAGTCAAGATTCAGATCATCGTGGTGGGGTGTCACCATCTTCATCCTAGTGTGACAGTGACCTGACCACTGACCGTGACTGCCCAACTCAACTCTGAAATATATGGAAAAAGAAACCACCCTTTTTCATCCATCCATAGATATTTCAAAAGGGTCCACTCCAATCCAATCCACAAACAAGAATTGCCATTGGCATTGCCCTTTTACAACTACCCTTAAAACTTAAAACCCCAAAAAAAAAATTCATTTAAACCACGTGAACAATGGCCTGCAACTTGGTTTGTGTTTTAGCTCTACTGTAAACTTGGATGGAGTCAGGCCCCAAACCAAGTACGAGCATTAATTATTGGTATAATAATCAACTGCTCTAATCTTCTCTTCTCTGCTTCATCCACTGAAATTTTGGCATCCATTTTCATCCAGCTCATTTACTCGGCTTCACTTCACGCCCCTGTCCTGTGTGCTCCCTTTTTCGTGTATGTAAGAAGTCAAGAAAACTGTCTGCTGTCACTGCCACTGCCACTTCATTGGCTTGTTTCAATGCAAGTTCGTTCTCTCGCCCTCACATGGCAGTCGATGATCATCATCATTGTCCCTTTCTTTTGGAAATGGAATAATTAATGGCGGGTACTTTTTCCACTGTGTACAGGGAGCCGGGAGGGAGGGCACTGGCACTGGCACTCACTTTATAGCCATGGCAGATTCATCAATGCGTTGCAGACAGACACTACTACTTGTACTTAACAAACTTCATCACCACAGGGATCGTTTTCTCTCTGCAATCATTCATTAACTCAACTCGCCATGTTCCTTCCTGCTTTTCTTTCATTGGGACACCACATGATTAACAAAAGCATCTTTTTAGCACGCAACTCTCCACTCAGGTAGCAAGCAGTCTTTATATCCAAATTATCTACAACTATCATCATCACCACCAAGATCCATCATACACAGAAAACAAGACAACAGAATTAAAAAGAAATCAAAACAATGGTTAATTAATTACTCAAGTCCTTTTTAACTTTTTTTTTTCTCATATGCGATGGTGCTGCAGCTGCAGCAGCCGGAAATACGCGCCGTCGGGCCTGCCGATGAGGTCCCCGTGGCTGCCTTGCTCCACGATGCGCCCATCTTGAACCACGGCAATAGAGTTCACCCCACATATGGTGGACAGCCGGTGCGCGACGAGCACCGTGGTTCTGCCTTTCATAAGCCTATCGAGTGCTTCCTGCAGCACGCATTCAGACTCTGCGTCGAGAGCACTCGTGGCCTCATCGAGCAAGAGGATCGATGGGTCCTTGAGGACAGCTCGCGCAATGGCAATTCGTTGCTTTTGTCCTCCAGAGAGCTGGACGCCTCTCTCGCCTACAGGGGTTTTGTACCCCTCGGGCAAACCACTGACAAATGTGTGCACATTGGCTGCACGCGCTGCTTCGACGACCTCTGATTCAGTTGCGCCATCTTTGCCGTAAGCGATGTTGTCAAAAATGCTGGCTGCAAACAGCGCCGGTTCTTGCTGAACTAGACCAATCTTTAGGCGAAGGGACTTCAAGTGTAGTCTCCGAATGTCTTTGCCATCAATCATGACTTTCCCTCCGATAGGATCGTAAAACCTCTCGATCAGGGCTATGACCGAACTCTTTCCCGAACCACTTGCGCCAACTAAAGCTTGGCTCTGCCCTGCTCGAATTCTCAAGTTGAAATCCTTGAACACCATTACATCCGGGCGGGAAGGATATGCAAAGTCAACATGGCGTAGCTCAATGTCGCCTCGGATTGTTTCAAGAGGCTCGGCCTCAGGATCATCCGGATCAATCCTTGTAGTGCGGTCCAGAATCGAGAACACTGAGCCAACAGCTTCTCCACCCCTGATGATTTCTGGGGCAAGACTTACTGTTTCAGCCACAGAATTCGCGGTGATGACCAAGACAACAAACACTTTAATAACCTTCGAGAATGTGGATGCGCCATTGCTAACAAGGTGGGCGCCGTACCATAGGATAAGTGCTTCAGAGGCATAGAGAGCTAGCTGTGAAAGGCCAAACAGAAAGCCGGAGCATTGGCTGCGCCGAAGGCTTCTCTGCTGAGGGACGCGAAGCTGCTGGCTGAACAAAGACAGGACTTTTTCTTGAGCATTGAATGCAGCTACCGTTCTAATGTTGCTGACTCCTTCGCCCGCAATCATACTAGTTTTTGCATGCGCCTTAGCCGTGTCCCCGGCGAATCCTTTGAGAGAGAGTTGCTGTAATATTTAGACAGTAACAAATTTATATATCAAACTCTTTCATCCACAGGTAAAAATTAACAAAAGGAACAAACAACAAAGAAAAGGTAAAAACAGAGAAGGTAATTAGATATAAATTCACGGGAAGAGAATCTCTGGCAGCTCTGCCATAAAAAATGGAGTGGGACTGGATGACAGTTAAAATTTTGTATCTGTAAATTCAAACCCTGGCATGCTCAGATATTGAGTTGAATTCCAGCAAAAATCAGACATAAAACTGACTCACTGCACTGTAGTTGCAGAGCAAGGTGAACTTTTTAGATTAGCTTCTGTATGTGCAGTGCAGGTAAAAGTAAAAGATGGGCAACAAGAATGGACTGTGATATGATATAAAATATAATAGCACTCCTCAGAGATATTGAAATTGATGAACAATAATGGAACCCCCACAGGCCTGAACAACATGTATTATATACTGGCATGTATTATTGATTTCGAAGATATGATAATATTATTAATGCCTGGTATTTTAGCAAGACTGAAGATTGTTACCTGGGCAAAGTTTGCAAGGACGAGAAGGGGGAAGGTGCCGAGAATGAGCAGCGAAACCCGCCATTCAATTATGAAGGCAACTATGAAGGAAGTGAGAAGGGAAGTCATGTTTTGTAGGATCACAGAGATCCTCTCAGCTATGGCGGACTTTACGTCTGCAGCGTCGGTGGCGAGGCGTGCAGCAAGAAGGCTCGAATTATTCTCCTCCTCATCGAACCATCCAACCTCATTCCTTAAAATTGCTGAAATGAATGATCAAACAGTTAATAAAAGCAGCATTGCTTTGCAAAGTATAAATTTGACGAAATATCCTAACCTGCAAGCATCATCCTTCTAACTCTCGTTGTAAGATTCTCTCCCATGATGCTGAAGAAATAGTGCTGAATCAGATAGGCAACAACAGCATATAGCCCAGCTCCGATGTAAATGAAAACAAACTCCTTTGTTTTGTGTTCCATGGCAGCTGGATCTCGGTAGTAAAACACCTCAATCATATTACTCATCACTATGGCAAAGGTAGGACCGATGAAGCCGGAAAGAACAGATCCAACAGCTCCCATGATAGAATAGGGCCACTCCGGAGCATTTAATTTAAGAAGCCGGCAGAAGTAACCAGCAGGCGCTGGAGTTTTCTTCTCAGTTTCGGCATTGGATACCATTTCTATTCGACCATCAGCACCAGTGCTATAAGAATAGCTCAAGTTTCTTAAACTTCCGGATCGCAGGCTAAGAGATTTTGTGGACAGTGAATGACTCAGCCGTGAGGACCGTGTGCGACGCGTTGAAGGATTCGAAAAATCTCTGTTCCCCACCATTTCCTGGAATCTTATTAAGGACGCATATGCACCAGCTTTGGAGATTAGTTCTTCATGTGTGCCTGTTTCGACAACCTGCCCTTGCTGTATAACTGCAATGCAGTCAACGTTTCTTATCGTTGACAGGCGATGCGCTACAACTACTGTAGTACGCCCGACCATTAGACGATCCAGCGCCTCCTGCACAATGTTCTCCGAATCTGCATCCAATGCACTTGTCGCCTCATCGAGAAGAAGAATTTTTGGGTTCTTCAGCATTGCCCTTGCAATTGCTATTCTCTGCTTTTGGCCACCAGAGAGCTGGACACCTCTTTCTCCGACCTGAGTTAGAATTGAACAAGTTAATCAACTAAAGAATCGTCGACTTACATTCAGAGAAGATAATTGCAAACAAAACAGGCCTACCTGAGTGTTGTATCCATTTGGAAGCAAGGTGATGAAGCTATGAGCATTAGCAGCAGAGGCAGCTGCTTCCACATCTTCCATGGTCGCATCGGGCTTTCCGTACATAATGTTCTCAAGGATTGTGGTGGCAAAGAGGGCAGGTTCTTGGTTCACCAAGCCGATCTGATTGCGGAGCCATGTCAACTGAAGTGTCTTGATGTCCACATTGTCCAGCAATATTTCTCCTGTTTCATTGCAAGATCAACAAACCACATCAAGATTAAACTAAACCATATTCGATGGAATAGATCAGTCAGTGTTGGATGAAGCTTTTCAACCTACCGTCAATAGGGTCATAAAATCTCTCTATCAAGGAGACGACAGTGCTTTTCCCCGAACCACTGCCACCAACCACGGCAACAGTTTTCCCAGCAGGGAAAAAGATGGAGAAATCTCTGAATATGATGACGTCAGGTCGAGATGGATAACTAAAAGTTACATTCTTGAACTCAATGTTCCCGTTGACATCAGTCAGGCACTTTGAACCCGATGATTGGTGTTCGACTATTGTCGGCTTCTGCTTGATTATTTCCATTAATTTGTAACCAGCAGCTTTCCCTTTGCTGAATGCTCCAAGATTAGAAAATGACTGGCCCAAGCTCCTATAGAAATCAAACAATCAGAATCCTTTATATATATATATATATATACACACACCTCCAATCAATTGGTTCAAAACAATTTTAGAAGGAAAATAAATGCAATCGTCAAAATCTTACATGCCACCAACAATAGCCGAGAATATAGCAGTGAATGCCTTGCCACCATCTGTCTGTCCGTTTCGGATAAAAACACCGGCATACCAGAAAACAAGAGCCCACGACATGCAAGCTATGCCATAAGTGCATCCTAGTCCCAGCCCTTTTGCCATTCCAGCCTTGTATCCAAGCTTTAATGTATTCTGTATCAACTCAGAATAGGCACTGAGGGCTTTCGACTCGCCAACGTACGAGTAAACTGTCCTAACTTGTGCAATCGACTGCATCAGCATAAAAAGACTAATTAGCACGTGGCAATCCAAAATGTACCTTTTCAACATGACGACTACGCTTTAAAGCTGCAGAAATATTACGTGACCAAACAACATTCACTTTGTCCGTCCTAACCTGCTCTGCGATAATACCAGCATTAGCATAAGAATCGCGGCTCTTTGACGTGAGCCCCGTTAGAGTATACGCGTATAAACCACCAGCAAAGGCGATTCCAGGAATCACAGCAACGCTGAGCAGAGCCAGCCTCCATGCAGAGACAAAACCAACCACAAGCCCCGCCAAAAACGTCGAAAGATAGTGAATGAAATTGCCAACCTAAAACGCACATTCAAAAATCTTTAACAAACACAAAGCATCATCAGACATTAAAACCATTCATAGGCATTTTAGCTAAACAAGTCACCCACTCTCTAAGCATTAAATTGAAGCAAATTTGGAAAAATCAAACAAGAACCACATTCTCAAATTCCACTGACATGAGCTACAAACTAAGAAGCCAGAAACACATGGGGTCCACATCCACTAGATTGATGAACACCAAAACAGAACTCCTCTGACTGATAAATGCTCCCTCTTTACTAGTGAACTTAATTTGGCAGTCAATTTTCTCATTTTGGAAAGCAATATAATGGAAAAAGATCAAAAGAAACAGGTCAAAGGGAGAAATGCAAGAAGAAGAAAATACAAAACCAAACCAAACCTTCTCACTAATGGCATCTTGCACAAGAAGAGTATCTGTGGAGACACTAAAAACAATATCCCCAGTTCTTGCATCAGTATCAAAGAATCCGACGTCCTGCTTCAATACAGCCTCCAGGTACTTCTTTCTCAAAGCCCCAGCTTGCCTCTCCCCAGTGTACATCCAACATGCAATCTCTGTTTGTGTTTTTTCCACAGAAAACTGTTAGTGTAATTTGGTGAACCCAAGACTGATTGAGAAGTTGAAGAAAAGAACCAAGCTTTGTAAAAAGGGTAACATTAAATTCTCAAGTATCAGCATTGATGGAGATGTGAGATGGGATGATATAAAATTAAGAAAATAGTTTCAAGATGTTGACAGGTGAATAAGATCAGGACAAACAGACGGTCCATGGACCACGTGACTGATCCGTAGTGAACTGGCTCGAATAAACAAACTACTACTACATGAAATCAAAACCTCATTTTACAAAACCATTGTCTGTATTGTATTGTTCATACATTGCAATTATCAGAACAGAAAAAAAAAAAAAAAAAAAAAAAAAAAAAAAAAAGAAAAGAAAAAAGAGGTTGCTGGAAACAGTGATGAGTTAATTGAAGGAGAAATTGAATAGAATGAGGAATGAATCACAAATCTCACCTGCGTAAGATGAGAAGCAGACGATCAATCCAAGATAGACGAAATACAGAGCATACTGCATCCCATGGTAAAACAAGAAGCGTCAGATCTGATTAATGCTTCAAAACATGGATAATAAAACAAAAGCTCGAAATTATTCAAGAATGGAAACAAACCTTAGCAACTTCATGTGTCATCTTAGTCAAGTCCATTTGGTTCTTCCCGAAACCATTGACCATTTCACCAAACAGTAAGAAGAAAACAGGCATGGAAGAGCCGTGCACGATTGCCCCAAGACTGCCACACAGCATCAAAACAATGTCATATTTATCTGCAAACGAAAACAGCTGGTGAAACGGAAGGCTCTGCTCTTTCTTCTTCTCCGACTCTGGGATTGATTTCCCATCAGCTCCCTCCGCCATTTTCCCCACACAAAAAATAGTAGCTTCGAGCTCGGGACAGCACCGGAACAAAACCACACAACCAGCTAGCTTTCGATCACCCCCACCGAACTCACCTCAAAGCAAAAAGGATAAACAAAGATCAGATAGGAATTCTTCCGGTGGGCATTTCCATAAGAACGCTAAGATCTGGAAAACACTAAAATCCTACTATTATATATCAGTCGGCACTTATCACCGCATTAAGAGGAAGAAGAGAGAGCAGAAGAAACAAGTTCAGTTAGTGTAGGCGTGGGTGGGTGTGGAGTGAGGTTACATAGAGAGAGAGAGAGAGAGAGAGAGAGAGGGCAGTTCAGTAGTTTTGGATTTAACCGGGGGCCAGGGTTTGCAATGCAATAAAGGTGTTGTCCAGGTTAAAGGGAATCTCATCAACACTCAAATCTGCAGTGGACTCGACTGCCCATTTCTACAGAGTCTTCCTTTCCTTCGCTCTGTGGCTTCCATATGCGTGCGTAATTGTTTATTTTATCTGCTTCTGCTGCCATCAGTTTTTCCCGAGAGACCCTCCTCGGGCTTCTAACTTTTGGGGGTCGCAAGGATTCCACCAAGCTCCCGGGACTCCAACGCCAGATCCCTCCTCCGTTACGATCTATCTGAAGACTCTTGTCAATTATTGCCCATTTATTAATTTTTGAAGGCCAAACATCTTCTCCCATCTCCATCGACGATACCTTATTTTCAGAGACCTTTTTCCTTTAAAAACAGAAGCATGTGTGAGCATTTTCAACAAATGTTTCATTCATATTAAAAGTAGAAACTTTTAGCTACGAAATTGCCAAAAAAGACACTAAGAAAAATAATACTAATAATTAAGGAACATAACAAAATTAAAACTCAACTAACATAGATAGCATTGATTCTATTTTAAAAGAGTAGTTAATGTACACCATTTAATGCATGTGTATTTATGACTACATACGTACTTTCAAAATTTTAAAAATCGTGAACATATAAATAAATTTGAGTAGCAATAATAATAATAATATTCCTGGAAATAAAAATAAACTATATGTGGGTGTGCATGTCCAATCCACGTACAAGTCGTTATTGATTTATCACACGACCACTTTCATTTTAGAACAACTTTTTTGGACCATGCTACTCCCATTTTTCCAGGCTATAAATTTCTAGGGAATTTCTTGATCATCGAACCTAGCTCATTATATATGTATATTAGTTTCTTAATAAATGTGATTAGAGTAACAATAGCGCATAGTATAGCATGTATAGGCTTTAATTAATAATAATAATAATAATAATAATAATAAGAAGAATGAATACTTTAATTTAAAGTGGAAAGTTTGGGGGGTAAAAGTCAAAATAAGAGTCAGAGTTATGCAAACCCTAGCTAAGCACTAATAAAGAGATGGATCGATTTAATATTATATATAATAATAATTAGCATAATCCTTTGACAGCAGAGCAGAGTTTGTATTGCTACTAGACTGTCATATGCATCATGTTAATAAATAAGATTAATGGAATGAAGAATGGTTAAGTTGCAGCTGCTTTTGGGGACACCAGAACCAGATGGGCTGTGCCTGTACTTAAATAAATCTTAATTTCATTAATAATAATAATAATATAATTACGGAGCAGGTGGCCTAACATATATTTGATTTGCACTCATGTGAATGAAGTTATTACTCACCATTAATTGTTCATCCAATAGATATATATGAATGATGAATAATGAATAATATTCTAGCTAGCTAGCTAGCCCTAATTAATGTTGATTATATATATATATATATTATTAATTAATGAAATAATTGAAACCCTCTTCCCATGGGATCGATCAGCATGATTCATTCTCTCTATTCATTCGATTCGTTGATTACATATATACACTAGTACCCATGCTCGTAAAGTATAAAGTTAAGGTGGCAAGAAAAAAGAAGCATGCAAGTACACCAATCAATTAATATATAAGCATTTATTTAATTGGTTAAATTAAGATTAGAGAATATAAATGAGTGTGCAATATTGCATCCTAACCTGGCTGCCTATTCCCTAGCTAGCTAATTAATTAACTACTAATCCTACACATATTATTGATAGATATACAGCTTCATCAACAACGTTGTTTACCATTAAACATGCATAAATGCAATCTTGTCATCAATCTTAACTTTCCACCCAATTAATAATTAATTTATTCTTCAATTATTGTATATCAAGTAGTAATAGTTCAGTTTGCATGCTGCTGCACTCACTCTATTCCATTTTATTTCTTGAAGCTAATTAATTAGTTGGCTTAGCTTAGATTGTAGTATATCCTATTGTCACATCAAATCATATAGCCCGGCCCACAACTTGGCACTGCTTGGCTTATCATTTTTCTACCTGGGATTGATCATTTACACCTAGCTATATACACATATTGATTTATAATTTGCAAAGTTTGAATAAGAGAAATTGGGGATATGAATAGACTTCTCTTTGACACTTCACCAAACACTCTCATCAACACAACACTACCATCAACATCTCTTTTGCCTTTTCATCCCTCCCATGCCCACATTTATGTTTTTTATATATATTTATAATTATAATACATACATACATACATACATACATGCTAAAAGTAAGGTTGCCCCAAAAACCTTTTCTAAAAGTTTGCATTATTTGGGCAATCCCACGAGATATGTTTGTTTTTCATTATTGGATTGGTTTGGAAGCCATTCAGATTCAGATGATCACCAGGATTTATTATTGTTTATTACCATATGTTTATCATTATTAATTAATTTCCACTTGTTGTTTTTCACTAACAAACAGCACAATTCTTGTAATTGGGCCTGCCTAGATTAGCCCATTTATTTGCGCTTATTCGTAAAAGCCCAATTAGAGAAACCCGCCGGTCCTCGAAATTCAAATTTGGTTTCTCCGGACGGCGGTGATCGGGATTCATTTTGCAGTCGTGCTCGTATTCGTCTTCGCCGCATTTTGAGAGCTTTTTTCGGAGGAAAATTTCGTGGAGGTGAAGGAGAGAGGTATGTGGTGAAAGTGGATATTGCGAGTAAGATGGGCATGTCTCTGAACCGTAAGCTAAGAAGAGAGTCCGTTTCGACGGTTACAAAATGCAGTTTCACCACACACTTTTTCTGATTTTTAGATCTTGTTGGAAAGGTCTTTGTATACGCTCCTTCCCTGTGTTTGTTCTTGGATAAAAATCCATTCTTATTTTGTTAATCTTTTCAAGAAAGGGTCAGAATGAGGGAGTGCATCTCGATTCACATTGGCCAGGCCGGGATTCAGGTCGGAAATGCCTGTTGGGAGCTTTACTGCCTGGAACATGGCATTCAGGTATCTAGATTTGCATCCTTCGATTTTTAGGGTTATTCTTGTTTTGTTTCTAATACTTCTGCTAGGTTAATCGTTCCGGCTGTTTGATTGGTTCAAATTTGATCTGTTTTTCGTTGTTATGGATGAACATGGGTTATGAATCATTTTCGTAAAAAATCTGAATGGCGTTTGCTGCAGCCGGACGGGCAAATGCTGTCCGATCACACCGTCGGCGGCGGCGATGATGCATTCAACACATTCTTCAGCGAGACTGGTTCCGGCAAACATGTCCCTCGGGCAGTGTTTCTGGATTTGGAGCCTACTGTGATCGATGAGGTGCGCACCGGAGGGTACCGTCAGTTATTCCATCCAGAGCAACTCATCAGCGGCAAGGAAGACGCTGCCAACAATTTCGCCAGAGGCCATTACACCATTGGCAAAGAACTCGTGGACCTCTGCCTCGACAGGATCCGCAAACTGGCAGACAATTGCACTGGCCTGCAGGGATTCCTGGTGTTCCACGCCGTTGGTGGTGGCACCGGATCAGGGCTTGGATCTCTCCTGCTGGAGAGGCTCTCTGTCGATTATGGTAAAAAATCAAAGTTAGGCTTCACAATTTATCCCTCCCCACAGGTTTCAACTGCTGTTGTAGAGCCCTACAATTCTGTGCTTTCAACCCATTCTCTTCTGGAACACACTGATGTTGCTGTGCTTCTCGACAATGAGGCCATCTACGACATTTGCCGAAAATCTCTCGACATCGAGAGGCCTACTTACACCAATCTCAACAGGCTCATCTCTCAGGTAGTAAACTAACAATATATATATATATATATATATGTATGTGTGTGTTCTTTCTCTTTGTAATTAAGTTTGATTATCTCATTGTTCTTAAAAATGAATGTCCAGGTGATTTCATCTCTGACGGCTTCCCTTAGATTCGACGGAGCTCTAAACGTGGACGTGAACGAATTCCAAACCAATTTGGTCCCCTATCCAAGAATTCATTTCATGCTTTCATCATACGCCCCTGTTATCTCTTCCGAAAAGGCCTTCCACGAGCAACTCTCTGTCGCAGAAATCACCAACACTGCATTCGAGCCGTCGTCCATGATGGTGAAATGCGATCCACGGCACGGGAAGTACATGGCTTGCTGTTTGATGTACAGGGGTGACGTCGTCCCCAAGGATGTGAACGCGGCTGTCGCCACAATTAAGACCAAGAGGACGATCCAGTTTGTAGATTGGTGCCCAACAGGATTCAAATGTGGCATAAACTATCAGCCTCCCACTGTCGTCCCTGGCGGCGACCTGGCGAAAGTGGCGAGGGCTGTTTGCATGATCTCCAACTCCACCAGTGTAGCTGAGGTCTTCTCTAGGATTGATCACAAGTTCGATCTAATGTACGCGAAGCGGGCATTTGTGCATTGGTATGTTGGGGAGGGAATGGAGGAAGGTGAGTTCTCTGAAGCGAGAGAGGACTTGGCTGCTCTTGAGAAGGATTATGAAGAAGTTGGGGCAGAGGCTGCAGAAGGGGAGGACGACGAGAACGATGACTACGCATAATGAGTATTGAGGAAAAGATCTATTTAACCAATGGAGGGTATAAAGTTTCAGTTGTGGCTGTTAATGACTGAAAAGAGGGAAATCCACGCCTGTCGTCTTCCTGCACGCATTTCTTGGCCTTGATTATGTTGTGTGTTTTGTTATGGCGAGTGAGATGAGATTTATTGCTTGGTTTTATAGTTTGTAGTGAAGGGAGTAAGTAGATGCTTGGTAGAAAAATACTTATATAGGGTTGTTTTTTTATTATTTGTACAAGAAAAGGCGATTATGATCGATGATGGTAGTATGTATTATGTTTCCTCTAAAGTCTAGCTAGCCTAGCCTAGCCTAGCCTAGCCTGCAGTATATAATTCCACTCTACTGTACACATGGGGGAGCTGTTCCCAATTCTCCATCTGGGCCTCTTTGGAAACCGGTGTCGTCAACTCCTGTGTTTGATTGATCGAAATAAGTCATCATACAAGAAACTACAGCAAGAATGAATTTTTATAGCAGCAGCGGCTGAAGAAACTCGTTTGTTTTTCTGGGTATTGATTATCCATTAAAGAAGAAGAAGAAAAGAAAGGTTTGGTTGATTTGTAGTGGAGTATTTGTTTGGTGATGTAATGGAAAGATACCTTAGGCACTAACTACCTTTGTGGATGAGGGAATAATTGAGTTGATTGGGAGTTGTCATCGAGCAGTAGTTGTCCTGGCGCCGAGACTGAGAGGGGAAGCAGGCAAGAGGGGTCTGGAGAAAAGAAGGATATGGGTGATCCCTTCTTCTCCTTCACCTTCACCTTCACCTAATAATTTGTAGTAGTCATCTTTGAGGCTCAAACTGCTGCCTTCCCCAATATCCTGACCTAACTGGGAGTCCTCTGCCCTTATCCTCAGAATCTGGTTATGTGCTTGAATCCCTTTCCATTTAGCCGGAGGTCCATAGCTCTCCCGATCCATCTCCAACAACCCCATCACCCACAGACCTCTCTTAAAGTGCAAGAGAGAGAGTAATACAACGCCACAAATTTGAAGCTGGGCAGAGAGAGGAATGAAATGAATGTGTGTGATGACCGATCTATATATGGGGAATGGATTGATTAGGTCAGTTAGTTAGGTTGTTGGTTCGAAGGAAGAGGCGGTTGAGATGGCTGGGGAGGGACACGTGTGGTGATTTGGCGGACCGCGATGAAATGAGAGCAGGCGGGCCATCGCCATCATCATCATCATCACCATCACGATCGCGATCAGGATCAGTGCCGTCTGGTCTGGAGTTACAGCGAGCGCAAGGGTAGCCTAGCCGCCCCTGTGACTGACTATGGAGGTGGAGGATACTATATTGAAGAGATAAACGCCTGCCTGCCTGCCTGAGGTTAATTTGCAAGATTAGATTAGATTAGCTTCACGTCACATCTTATCGGCCATGGGAGCACCTTAGTTGGTGACCTCCACGTGGCGTGTGAACTCGATACGCACTTCTACCACCCCACCTCACCTCACCTCTGGCTGGCACTCGCAGGCTGTGACGCCACCGCTGCCTGTCATTCTCTCTCTCTTCCTGTTTGGAGCATGTATTTAAAAATAAAAAATAAAAACTCAGTAGCCCAGATGCCCAAATGGTCCAACAGCCTTGGGCCATTTGACATCACTTGGTTCAATAATCAATCTTAGTCCCTTTTTTTTTCTTCATATCTTATTCTCATTAATTCATTAACATAAAAAAAAAAATATTGCATGGGACAAATACGCTAGATAAATCATTTTCAATCAATTTCCTCATTTTGAGTCAAGTTTGGACATTTCTTCGGCGTACACGTGGTCTCAAGACTCGGCCAACACATATCCACACGACGTCGTTTCCTTCGATTCTATGAACTGACAACTTAATCCTACCCTCATGCACCCAGTTCGCCAGAAGGATGTAAGCTCCTGAGGATATTATTGTAACTTCATACTGCCGAGCTTGTTCCAGGCGGACTCTCGGCACACGCCCACTCGTGTCGTTCGATTTTATCCGCACACCTACCTTCCCTCCAATATATCGACCAATACACTTGGTATTTTTTCCGATTCTTGGTAGAATTGGAAGAATCACAAGGTATGGTCTTCGTTTTAGTTGAAACTGTGATGTGGATTCTACCGATCCTTTTTCTTTTTTCCTGAGAAGTTTATTTGAGAAGGAACTGGTTTTTTTCACCATTAGGCATTCCGAATGGATTCAGACTGTTCAGAAGGTGCTGATGATTCCGGTAATTCTGTCAAGGCGTCCGCAAGGTTGGCTTTTTTACTCTTCTAATTCCTAATCTTTGTTCTTCAGTGATTATTTGATTTCCGGCCGTGTGTATTTCATTTTGATTTCCCAATTTATCTTGCGCCGCTGTAATCGAAGTCATGCTACTTAGATTGATTATTGCTAAACATATTAACCAATAACTGCTTCATACCACACGGTAATGTATAGGATAATAATTTGGTTCAATTTATGGTTTCTGTTTCCCATTTGTCAACTCCTAAAAAGCTCCAAGCTTTCCAAGATTGAAAGATATATGCATATAGATACAGCCATGGCCTAGGCTCTTGGCTTTTTTATAAGCTACGATGAGATTGATGAGCTTACGCTGGTTTCCTGATGCCTCCTATCAAATGTATGCCTTCAAAATAACGGATATGTAATCTGGCTGCTGGGAGATTTGGGGATCTCAAATCATGCGTATTTCAGTGATATATCATGAAAGTTTATTAAACAAAGAGAACGGATAAATGTGTTTCACTAGAATGCTTTTGGAAACCAGCTTCCTACCCTTGTAGTTTTTGCCACAGGATTTCGATACTGTTTTTATTATCTAGTCGACAGTTGGTTTTGATCTGGTGTGCAAAATGTTGAATCTGATCTTGCAATGGTGCAATGTACTTGTGCTTGATTCCCACTTATCTTGAACTTTGTAGGCCGGATTCCAGCAAAAAATGTCGAGGTAAAGTTCCGAGGAAAATTCATAAAGCAGCAAGGGAGAAGCTGAAACGGGACCAACTGAATGAATTATTTTCAGAACTTGGCAAAGCACTAGGTATGATACACTCTGCCATAGCGTTTGAATCTGTTATTGTTTTTGCATCTTTTAGTTGCCCTTGCAATACCTGCCTGGTTCAAGCTGATGATGAGAGAGGGATATATCTAACTATGCAGATCTGGAGCATCCAAACAATGGAAAGGCTTCAATACTAAGAGAGACGACTCGGCTCCTTGGAGAATTGCTAGCTCAGGTGGACAATCTAAAGAAGGAGCAGACAACTCTTTTGTCTGAATCTAATTATGTAAGCTCTCCCTTAATCGCCACGTTTGGCTGTGAGCTCTCGCTGATCAATTGATCCCCTTTATATTTTTATATTTTGATTTGATTAACAGCATTGTTGATGTTTGTTTCTATTGACAGGTTATGGTTGAGAGGAATGAACTCCAAGAGGAAACGTGCGCGCTTAATGCTGAAATCAAGAGGCTGGAGAGGGAAATCGATGAGAGGGCTAATGGATCAAACCTTGATGCTTTTCAACCTCAATGCAACACTCCTTCCCAATTACCTGAAGGTCATGTTGCCTTCCCTGTTGCTTCAAATGTATCGGATCCAACCCCGGTCGTGGGTCCTGTGTTTGTCATGCCACTGCACCATGAATCTGAAGGCTTTTGCGGTGCTTTACATGAGATGAATATGACGAAGGGCCTGTCAAATGTGAGCCGGCCACAAGCACGGTACCCTTCCTCAGCTGATTCATGGCCATCTCATATTCTTACAAAACAGACAAATGTCGTGGAAGATGCTTGAGGAAGATGTATATATAGACAGATCTTGAGACATGACTTTATGCAGTTGTAATGTTGTGGTTCAGTAGAACACCATGTATTCCTATACTTGGAAATGATGATGATTAGTTAGTTTCTCTTGCAGGATTTAAGGTGGAATTGTGAAGACAAGACATCATAAAACCTCGTTTCATTCCAAATATAATGAAGCCCTGTTGCATAGCCACAGGGATTGGATAATTTATTACATCAATCAATTTCATAATCCCATTTCAGGAAATCTCTTAAAGCCTGCAAAACACACAAAAGATTCAAAAATTAGGAACTGTTATACATGATCATAAACATTACTGAAAACAGCAGTATTCCAAGAAACAGCATACTTGCTGCAGTCCATATTCGGGCCAAGAGTGTCTCCAATGGCAACCCCACATTTTCCAGGGAGGCTGGAGATAACCTCCAAATGGTACTTTCCGACGGCGGACTTGATGCATTCGCACGCCGCCTGCCTTTCTGCAGCTTGATAACCACCAGCAAGGTTTTTAATGCCTGAACAGCATGATCCACTGGGTTGGCTGTCAGCTCCGGTGGCGAATGAAATACACGGCAACAGAGCATTCCGAACGTCGGTGCAGGAAACAGCCTCAACCGGCAGCACCACCTCCAGGGAAACCACCGCCAGAACCACCAGGAAAACAGCAGCCCCCTTCATATTGATTTTATGTGTTTGTGCTGCTGAAAATGCTCAGCCAATTGCTTGTGTTCTATATGGTGAAAGACATGTGCATTGTGTTTGTGTGGTAATATTTATAGCAATTATGTGTAGGTGTGATTGTGGTCGTGGACAGAGGCATTGATCAGCCATGACTGAAGTTCTTGGCAGATATAATGTAGTTCATACGTCGTTTACCTACTTTAATTAGAAAGGTAACAATTGCAGACGCATGAAGAGGAGACAGATCAATGTAATTCGCGCTTTTTCACCGGAGAAGTATTTTGACTAAAGTCGCTATCTTGAAACCACGATTTTATCTTAAGCTCTACTGTGTTCGGTGTTCCGCCTCTGCCACATCTCCATTTCCAAATCATTGCTCGTCGTGAAATTTTTCTGTGTTCATTCGAGTAAAGCGTACCAAAATGCAAGCAATAACAGCTTGCAATAGTCCGGTGGTTTCGCCGTTCAAATCTTACGTAGATTCTATTAAACCAAGATTTATTTCCGTCAAGCGTCTCGCATTTCTCGGCCGACGAAAGCTCTGCTGCTTCGTCGTTTCGCGTCTTCCCATTCCGGCGTCTACTCCACGGTACTCTTCATTTCCGGTGGCTCGAATGGATGTAATACTTTATGGACTGTTACAAAAAATTGTTAAAAACCAAAACGGGTTTTTTTTTTTTTTTTTTGCAGTGGTGGCGATACAGATGATATGGGTTGCGTTGAGGAACAAGATCTTGCGCTGGAGAAATTCTCCTCGACTACTCGTCGACTGTTTTTCGCCCGCCTGTTAATGTGCACGTGTTATTGTTATTTTCTTCCTTCAAGGTATTTTCCAGGTTCGCAGTTTTTCGGCTTTCTTCTTCCGCTTCGATCTTTCGTCACTACGTTTTATGTCCTAAAAGCATAAAATGCTTATTGCAGCGTATGGGTTAGGAGATCCATCAGTGACAATTGAGCAAGTAACCCCTCCAGTATTCTCTACCGGAGCTCTTTTTCCATCTGAGGTCTGTTTTTCTGTGTAAACTGGCATCTGGTCTCTATGCTTCATGTTCGATTTTCTTGTCATTCTAATTAGCATTTGTAAATCTCCAAATTTTCGATGGCAGGTGAATTGATTTATGTCTGCTTGACAGGAAAGAATTGCGGATCTTTTCGAGAAGAATACTTACTCTGTTGTCAACATATTTGATGTAACATTGAGGCCGCAGCTTAATATTTCTGGTGCTGTTGAGGTAATGCATTTTCTTGCCAAAGCAGTTCCAATAAATGAATGTGTTAATACATAGCAAAGACATTGTTTATGTATTTATAGGTTCCTGAAGGAAATGGTTCTGGGGTCGTCTGGGATGAACAGGGTCACATTGTGACAAATTATCATGGTATGCATACTTCTCATAGTGAAAACAAATGATTGCTTTATTTATAGATGTCTTCTGAATTTTGATAGTTTCCATATTCTTAGCTGATGGATAAGTGGCCCTTTAGTTAGTTGTGCGTGTATTATTTTGAGCTAACCACCATCTTACATATTGATCAGTTATTGGTAATTCTCTTTCTAAAAATGCAATGACCGGCCAAGTAGTTGCCCGCATCAACATTCTAGCTTCTGAAGGGTATGCCTTGGAATTTGTTTCTTTCTAGTTGATATGTGTTTAGAAGTCTTATTCTACATTTGCATCCTCCTGTGGCATTTTTTGAAGGGTACAAAAGAGCTTTGAGGGTAAATTGGTTGGTGCAGATAGGACAAAGGATCTTGCTGTCTTAAAGGTTAATATACTATCTGATGTCAATTCATCATTAAAGAAGTTTTACATCTGCTTTGTTTTGTTTAGATATTGATCTGAATTGCATAAGACAGGTTGTTTAATTATTATTGCTATTTGTACAAGGTCGAAGCCTCCAAGGAGCTGTTGAGACCAATGAAGATTGGCTCATCTTCATCCCTAAAAGTGGGCCAGCAGTGCTTGGCCATTGGAAATCCATTCGGTTTTGATCATACCCTCACTGTTGGGGTCATTAGTGGTCTCAACAGAGATATAAATAGTCAAACCGGAGTTACAATAGGTGGAGGAATTCAAACTGATGCTGCCATCAACCCCGGAAACAGGTCTAACTTAAAGAAGCAATATCCAATCTTGATCATGGAATTCAGTAAGGCTTTTCCCTGTAGCCATGAATTTTGTTGTGTTGTTACAGCGGAGGCCCTTTATTAGATTCCAAGGGGAACTTGATTGGGATTAACACCGCGATCTTCACTCAGACGGGTTAGTTTCTCCCCATTATCTATACAACTAGTTGAATGTTTGAATCATAAGGAATAGAAAAATTACAGCAATCGTGTTTGTTAATACGTTCTTTCATGATAAAAACAGGGACTTCGGCTGGTGTAGGATTTGCCATCCCTTCGTCAACTGTGGTAAAGATAGTGCCTCAGCTAATCCAATTTGGCAAAGTATGGTTTATGTTGTGCTGCTTAATTTTACTTATCTTGATTGAGACTTTAATGAACACACATATGCATTGCATTCTATGTTTGTCAGGTTGTTAGAGCTGGTTTAAACGTTGATATTGCGCCAGATCTCATAGCAAATCAACTAAATGTTCGAAATGGCGTGCTAATATTACAGGTGCTTAGTGCTCCTCCATCGGCAATCATTGCAATGTCGATACTAAGTTAACTTTAATCTTCGCTAATGGTACCCACCCACCATCTTTGTATGGCTGTAGGTTCCTGGCGGTACCAATGCAGCTAAGGCTGGCCTCCTACCAACTACAAGGGGCTTTGCAGGTAAGATCGTGCTCGGGGATATCATTTTGGCAGTCAACGGCAAGCCTGTGAGCTCACTTGTTCATACTTTTTACTCACCTGTTCTCATAACAGAGTTTAGACCTCAACACAACAACCTTGGATTTGATTGCAGGTACGTAACAGAGCAGATTTATTCAAAATCCTGGATGATTATAATGTTGGGGAAAAATTACTTCTGCAAATACAGAGGAGCAGTGAAATTTTGGAGGTACCCATTGTTTTAGAAGAAAAGAAGTGATGATTAATTCAAAAATTGATTCAAAGTTATTTGTCGGTATAATTGAAATTTGAATGTTTATAGTTTTAAATAAATGATCATTGGTTTTGCAGCAACAATAGCCATTCCAGATATTATATCATAGACAAAAAGATTTTTTCAGCAGCAGAGCTAGGAGGGCTTAACATCTATTCGAAATTCTATATTTACACAATTTTCCCCATTGGACGGATGGGATCTAAATACAAGAAAAATATTTACAATTTAGTCCAGAAGTTGAGCTGCTCCTGCTTCAATCATCATGGCATCAATGAGGGCATCCTCAGTTTTAATGTCATATTCATCTTCTTCAAATTCCTCTTCGTCTTCTTCCCAGCTACAGCTGCTGCTATTCATCTTTACAGCTGCTCGTCTGCATCGACTGCAGAAAAACTCAGCGGGCACAGCATCCGAATCTGGGATTCCGTAACATCTGGAGTGTTGCCATATCTCGCAAATGTCGCACGCCAACATTCTCTCCCCATCATCATCCTTTGCCCCGCAAACACAGTCCACTATCCATCGCTCCAGCCCCCTCTCCATTCTGAACCTTCCATGGGCATTCTTTCCCAGGAAACGCCCTCGGATACCAACGTATTCTGCTGTCGACCCCAGTAAGAGCTTTATTTGGGTGGATTCAGCAACCCCACTGTAGCCAATTAGCTCATCAGCTTGGAACCTTCTGAACATCAAGTACACCTCTTGGAAGGTTCTTGTAGCTTCAAGCTTTAGGTCAGCAATGGTAGCACCGGGAGGGAGGATGATAAACTCTGGTGGAGGATTACAGGTGCCACTGCATTCTCCATTTTGTTCCTTAAGGTCGACCTCACATAGAAGATGTACCATATTTTCCTTTGAAATAAATAGATGCTGCTCCGGGCAGTAGTCTTTCACAAACTGTTTGCAATCAAGAATTGTCATCGCCGAGCTGGCCGCAGGATTCCTTCTACCTGGAGTAACACTCAATGCCATTGACTTGGGATGAAGCATGCACTCGTAAAAATATCTTAGATCGTGCAAAAGCCTCTCTTCTGAAAGGCAGCTCGCCATCGGGAAGCAGCTTGTAGGGGTGTTGGCTGGTATGGATGCACTTCCTGGCTCAAGTCTGCAAGAAAACAAGAAAATTGAAGAGATGCAACAAATCGATAAAAATCAGTCACAGAAGCCCCTTAATGAAGAGAAGGTACTAACCTGTACTCCATGGCACCAGAAGATTCAGAGACGCATCGGGCAGCAACAATCAAGCCTGGAGCTGCCTGTTTGCCCTTGAGTTCTTTAAGGCAGTAATCCAGAAGCTCCGGCGTGCCTGCCTTGCAAACAGCGCCTCTAAGTGCCCTCCAACTAACCCAGGTGGACCCAGTAACAGCACGCAACACCTTGAACATTGCATCTTCAACTCGCTTTATATCGTCAAAGGTCCATGAACATAATGTCCTCGACTCATCACAAGTTTTGCGTTTCTTGCAAGAAGAATCACCAAAGGTCCTGAATTGCAGGGGTTTGGGATGGTGTTTCTCTTGGATCATACTCATCAAGAAACGGAAAAGGTCACAAACAGTGACAAGCTTGCATTCTGATATGGACTGATAAAATGAAATCAAATCCTGCAGCCGAGTTCTAGGCTTTCTTCCTTGGGATTGAAACATGGACAAGGGCAACGATGAAAGGCTCTCCACTGCTTTATTGTAGTCATCTACAGTCAGAGAAAAACTACCAGCACCAAAACTAAAGCCCCACTCTCCATACCAAGGATGGCCTTTCGTCACAGCGTGGAGCAAGCGAAATTCCATTCCATTCTTCTTCGAGACATCCATCACACTTACTTTCCTGCAGATCAGTTCCCAGAAGAGAGATGGAGGAGATTAAGTTAGTAATACATATGCAACACAGGTAGAACAAAGTGAATGTTCACATAAAACCGATATAAAGTACACGTTCACAGATTCTGACCTGACCCCCAACATTGTGCAGAGGCGATCCCAAAAGTTCATGATTTGACGTCCAGTGAGAAGCCTTGATCCACCTTCCCTACCATTAACTCTGAGAAGATGCCCATATCCATTACAGTGTATCACACCGTGCAACAAATGAGTTGTACTCTCCAACTGCTGGTACATCCAATCTTCAACGTCTTCTGTGGTCATCACATGATTGCATGCTTTGCACCTGGTGCAGTAGTAGTAACAGTGTCTTTATATGATGAATTAACACTTACAGGTTTGCTTTCGTCACAATTTACAGTCACCGACCATTAACACAACTAATTAACACAATCGTCGCTACAAAACCACCTATTGGTGGAACTAGAACGATCCTATAATAGTCATTATTACAACATACGTTTCTTACTCTAAACCCTACACATTGTGAGCCAGAAATTTGAAACCCTATATCTAAAAGCAAGACGAGAAAGAAATCAAGAAAGAAAAGTGCTTGGTTTCTTTATAACTCTCCCTCCCTGACTAACCTCGAATCGGTCATGTGGAGAGGATCGCCACATCCCGCACACGTTTTGTTGTATCCAGCGATCGAGTTGCCATCCGACTTAACTATAAAATGATAGCGCTTCGCGCTCACCGGATTACCACTCCAACCTGAAGCAAGCAAAGATTAGATAGATACAAAACCAGATCCAAAGTTTGACGTAACGGGACAAGAGAATACAGAAAATTTAAGTAGGATCAAATTCAGAATACTAATGATTATTATCATAATCACACAGAATCAAGAGTTAAAAACAAGCCATTGCCATTGGCATTGTTCGTTGACAAGTATATCCACGCATTGTAACCCTTTATTCTTAAAAACAAAAAATAATAATAACAAGTAAAATATGTGATGGGGTCAAGCTCAAACTCATATTCAGAAACCCACACGCAGGCAAGCGCGTGTGTAGCAGAATACTATATTGTTGTGTTGCTCAAGCATCACTCCCCCACCATTGATTAATAATAATAATAATAATAGTAATAATAATATTCTAGGACACCTGTACGTTACTATCAATTTTATTCCTTATAATAAAGGGTAGCGTAGGGAGGGGGAAGGAACTGATTGCGGTCCCAAGTGCAATACAGTGTGGGCTGATGACTTGTGACCGGTCAGGTCGGTCAGTCAATTGTATAGCCATCTCACAGCATTTTACTCACGCGGCCAGACTAGAATATATTTCTACTTTTAATAAATTAAATAATTTTAAGAGAAAATATTACTATTATTATTTTAAAACGAATAATAATAATAAATAATAATAATAATAATAATAATAATAATAGTGACAGATAAGTAAATCAAAGACCTTGCACACATCCTACAAGTGTATGGTATGGGTCCTCAGCCAACAATTTGTCGTTAAATGTTTTTTGTGATACCGTAAAATACAAAATTAATAATAATAATAATAATAAATAATGTATAAAAAATATATATTTATATCAGATTTATATTTTCAATGAATTTAATTATTATTATTATTAAAATCTTATTCGATGAAAATATCTAAGACCGAACCGAGTTAGAACGTCCAACCCGATACGGAAAACTCACCAACGACGCGACACTGATCGCAATAAACGGATCTAGATCTGGCCACATCCTCCTCCACGACGTCGAGGCAGACAACCGACGGTCCACCGTCGTCTGCGGTTAGGTCGCCGACGCGGAAGAGGATCTGCCAAGTCAGTAGATGGGGGAAAAGTGAGGAAGGGGGCGGTAAGAGCGCGTGCGTCGTCAGGAACTCCCTAACGGCTGTTCTGAAAGGCTTTGCAGCAACCGGCGAGGCTAGATCGCCGGCGGTCGGAAAAGTCAGAAAATCACTAAGTTCCGCGGTCACGCGCCTCTTAACCAACCTCTTTGTGGGTCGCCCGTTAACCACCATGGTAAGGCTAAGGCCCGCCGTTAGATCTGTGAGTGTATGAATATGTCGGTGATATTCTCGTTTCAGATCTGGATCTAGAACATACGGGACAGCCGATATCAAGCAATATTTCGATTTAAAAAAGAATAATAATAATAATAATAAAAAAGATAAGAAAGGTACAGGAGGAGAGACGAAGGTTGCGTAGGTGAAGAAGGTAGGGGGAGGATAAAGAAAACGGCGAACTGGAAGAAAAAGCGGCACGTTTGTTTGGAGGGGCGGGCGGCCCGCGACGCAATTAGGGTTTTTTTTGGTAGGGATGAATAGATGGATGAGATGGATTTCTATCCGAGGGCTTTTATGTACTTTAATAATAATAGTCTTAAAAAAATATCAATTATCAATAATAGTAACACTATTAAAGTAGCAGAAGCCCGCGCTCGCTCTTTCTTTCTCTCGAATCTCGTGAAGACCTAGACAGAGATATATACTGTATATATTTTTATATATAAGTAAATAAATAAATAAGGCGGTTTGTTATATATATTCATTTAATTATTTATTATTATTACCCTTATTACTCTATCGGGGTCTAGAAGCGTTTGGAAAGTTGCCAGTTTTTTTTTGAGATTGTTTGCTTTGCTTTGCAATGCTTGGTGGAATTCTTGGATTAAAATATTTTTGCCGCTCAAGATCATCAAATCTAATAAATCCAACTTTAACCTCCATATGGGATTCGAAATCTATAATATATAGTCTAAAGAGGGTTTTTTTTTTTTTTCATTCTAAATATCCATAAAGTTGGGATGGTAAAATATCATAAATTCAAACTTTTCGACTCTAAGATTAGGAATTTATAATATTTCAAAAGATTTATTTATTTATTTATTTTTTAATTAAACTGTTGAATATTGTCCCATATTGCTAAATGTGTGGATCTTCCTAGTTTATAATGGTGAATGATTATTTCATTTATCACCAGATTTTAAGTTAGATACAGATCTTTTCTTAACATATACATATACTAATATCAAACTTAAGCTTCAAAACAAGGATTTGGAATATATATTATTTAAGTTTTTTTTTTTTTTTTCAGTTAAGATATCAAATAAATTAGGACAATCAAAATATTTAAGGTCAGTGTTGATTTCAAATATATATATTATTAAATAACTTATTCATTCGAGACATCTAATAAATTGGGACAATCAAATGTAATAAATTCAAGGTTAAACACAATTCTAGGATTGAGAATTTATAGCATTCTAAGTTTTTTTTTTTTTTTTTTTTTCACTTCAAAGTATTGAACAAGTGGATTGATTAGATATAACAAATTCAAGCTTAAGCTTAATAATCTCAAGGTACATAATATAGATCTTTTAAACAAAATCACTCAAGATTTTGAACAAACTTGATCGATCAAATATATAAGTGTAGGACTTAAACTTGATCTATCGAATCGGAATATTCATTAATTGAGTTTTTTGTTGGTTAAAAAATCAATAAGTTAGATCGATTAAATAATCGGAATTGGTCTATAATAAGTTTGATCAACCAAATATAATAAACTCACTTAAGCATGATTTCAAGTATTTGTGTAATTTTTTTAAATTTTATATCTTGAAATTGAGTCATAATAAGTTAGATCCAAATACCATGAATGTAGAAATTTATTTTTGTACAATATTATAACTTTATATCATTATATTATTTTTCTTAAATCTTTGATACTATTTTTAAATAAAAATTTTATTGTATATTTCTCAACAACCTCTATATAGACTAGTTTAGAATAAGCTGTTCTACTAGTTTAAAATTTTCACAATAATAATAATAAATTCAATACAGTATTGGCCCACTAGTCTATTCAGGACCTAATCAAAGTAGGCCTGCCACAATAACTAACTATGGTAAATCCTGATCGCATGTGCGTTAAATGAACCTGGGCCATTACGTCCCATTTCACAGCTCAAAAAAATAATCAATTGAGTTCTGAATTTATTTATAAAAAAAATGAATGATACACATACAGTCAAGATGGCCGAGCGGTCTAAGGCGCCAGTTTCAGGTACTGGTCCGAAAGGGCGTGGGTTCAAATCCCACTCTTGACATAAATTTTTCCTATATTTTTTTTTTCTAATTAGAGTACATAGGAAAATGTAAGAGTGCAAGTTGTATGTGGTTAAGATGGGAAGAGCAAGAAAGCAGGTTCTACATATATTTTCCTATCTACAAAACCAATCCTCTGGAGCTTCCTGTGGCACCAAGCCAGCTGATCTCTTGTTACCTTGGCCATGTTCAAAACTCTGCACACTAATTTCATATCCACCTGTGAGAAGAAGTAAAGGACTTGATCGGACTCATCGTCTCCTTCTCGGCACCGCCGGATTTTCCGAAACACACAGTTTTCGCTCCTCAGGAGATCCTTCAGCTTCCTATCCTTCTGCGCCTCAGTGAAAAATTAAATTTCAGTTAATTAAGAAGAAACAGACAGAATAATGTTTTGCATGATTGTGGAAAATCTTAGACCTTTAGAAGAGTCTTTTTGGTTTCGGCGAGCAGCTCGAGATCTTCGGGATTGGAGAGCTCGGGGGATTTCTTGTGCACAGCGATGGCGGAGGAGGTCGCACAGTCCTTGTCGGCACGAACGAATCGCCAGAATATTCTAATCGATTCTTCGACAATCTCCACTAACATGTCGCTCGTGATCGCGTAGTCGAGGTCTTGTCGATCCTTTTTCTTGCCCCGGTTCTTGTCCTCTGCCATGGATTGATATTATATCAGTTGCATTGTTGATTAGCTTGAACAATGAAATCGACACGAAGAAATGCGGTATTCGAACCTCTTACGACAGGAACTTGGAGAAGACTGCGGAGAACGCTTCTTGTTCGGACATAGTTTTGCATTCTTGGCTGCTCCTGAAACGGCTCGTCCTCGACGAATCTCTGTAAGAGGACTTGGAACTGCTGGAACTCTCCAGCAACCTCGTTGTAGCGACGAACTCCACGTGGATCAGAGTCCCATAGGTCGAGGACTTTCTCGTACTGCCAGTTCAAGAATTCCCAGGAAAGGCACATCTGTGCGACGTAAACGGTCTCCAGATCGCTATGCAGCTCCTGGATGAACCTCTTCATCGGATCGCTGCCGTGTATTCTGTTCCGTAATATTGGAAACCTCTGCAGTAGGACAGACTTCAGTGCTGTCGGAGCTGAGGGTTTCTGCTCGGACATGAACTGCAGAGGATCCCTCACCTGCAGAACACCTGCAGTAAAATATAAAAGCGTAATCAATATCTCAAGAAATGAAAATGGCAGCCATGGCATTGAATTTTCGTTAGGTTTGTTATGCTCTAGCTTAAGTCTATAGCATTTAACAGAGACGACGAATAGTGAATGCTTCATTAATTGCCCTTCAATGGCAATTCAGTGTGGTGGGCACAACAGCTACAGACAGCTGTGTCATCCACAAATGCTAAGGTTAGACATGGCCAGGTCTCATATTGTTTCTGTTTCAGGACAACACAACACAACACAGCAAAATACAATCTCTCGTGGGTCCTTCCGACATGCCAAATGATAGAACGTTGTTTTTCTTTGGATTGAAAATATTATCATGAAAAATTAAGTGAGAAGAGTTATGGAGTAGACTAACCCATGGCATACATCTTCTGGTAGTTGATGATGTCGAATTTGCGCATTTTTTCGCGGTAACTTTTGTAGAATTTGTGAAGCTCCCCGATGGAATCTTGGGGGTGGAATTCATCCATCTTCCATGGTCTCAAATCTTCGATGATCTTCGGAGGCTCGGACTCTTCTAATATGGTGGGGAGCCCTGTTGCCTTCACCTTCTTCAGCTCCATTTTAAGCTGTTCAACCAGTTCTTGATGCTCCCACAGCGACTCTAATTCATTCTCATCCATGTCTGAATCTGTTTTGTCCGAAGGACAACCATCTGCTGGAATTGAATCCACTTCACTCCCATTGTCTTTCGCAGTGGTGTCTGAGCAGGAGTTAAATCCATCCATGTTTTGGGAATGATTGTGTTCGAGCTCAGCTATTTCAAAACTGATCACTTCATCTTCGTCTCCATCCAGATTGGAAAAACCAACCCTGTAAGAATCCACTAAATGGTTCATCAAGTTCATATGCTCAATGCTTGAGGAGGAATCAGAATCAGAATCAGAATCAGAACCAGAATCAGAACACAAATCCAAATCCAAATCGGTAGCCATGGATTCAAGAAATTGACGATCATTTCCTTCCTCATTCTGCAGTAGTTCTGTTTTAGCCTTCTCTGCCACAAACTCCATTGCCCTGATTCCATCATTATCATCTTTTCCGACATCAGCAGCAAACCCCTTTTCTTTCAACGAAAAATAAACGTCTTTTCCAACGGTCTCATTGATTTTATTCACGGGAAACCTCTGCTCACCATAGCCGGATTCCTTGTTGGTTTCTCGAAACTCTTGGTATGTCGGAAACTTGAACTTCAAACACACTTCCGGTTCTTCCTCCTCAAGACTGCACACCTCAGTTCCAATAACACATATTTCCTTTTCTCCATTTTTCAAGCAATGGCTGCCAACAATCAAATAAATAAATAAACCCCAGTCAACAAAAAATCCCAAACTGCAAATCTCCATTCGTACAAAAAAATAAAAAATTTAAAAACCAGTAGAGATTTCTGTTCAGACCTGAAAATGGTGGCGGAGACGAATCTGAAGAAAGCGAGCAGAAACCGAGAGGCAGTGCGAAGAGAAGAAATCAGTAATTGGCAGAGAGAAGGAGCAGTAACATGAGCCATATGGAGAAAACAAGCCAAGGTAAGAAAGCGCGTCTATGGCGAAACATGAAGGCGACGATGAACGGGAAAGGAGAAGGGGGAAAATGATTCCTCCTTTTGACTAGCTCAACTGGAATCGACACTTGACTCAGCACCTGCAGCACAAAACCTTAACCATCACGAGATTTGAATATGAAATCCGAACTAACTGCAAAATGTGGGAAGGAAACAATCGGAGCTCGAGGACGAGGGATAGTTACCTGCCACCACCCAAACTCCAGATAATGAGCAATCCTCCATAATATACACTGAGGAAGAAATCAAAATATGGGACCAAATCCCATCACACCTGTTACTTAGGAGAAAAATACAAAACCAATATACTAGTATATAATTTTATTTTTTATTTTTGGAAGAAATAAAAAGTCAAATCGATTTTAAGGAAGGAGGCCGAGTGTTGACTGCTCTGTTCTGCGGCGGTGGAATAATGGTGGCAGCAGCACCTACCTCAGTCCCCTACACCACCTATATATAGTAGCTAAGGTTGTCTAGGTGGCATTATTTAAAATAATTATGCAACTTAAATAATTCACCTCCCATTTTATATTCGTGCTTCAACTTACCCGAAAATTTACAGGTAGGGTAGGGGCAGGGGTAGGGGTAGGGGTAGGGGCAGGGGCATTCAATGCCCACTTAATTAGGCGCGTCAATCGATACTTTTTAGATAATAATCTGATTATTACACTATGATTATTTGGAAAATATAAACTAGTTAAATTCCATTACAGTAATTACTACTATTAAATTTGAAATTAATCAATTAATATATGAATTTAATTGGAAAATAATGGACATCGGTTTTTTATTTTTTAAAAAAACGGTATATATCTTGTGCATTAATATTGGAATTTTAGGTGGGAAATGAAAGGCCGAGTAGACAAATATTGTTGTTATATTCGTATTCTCATAATGGGCTTTGGAATTCTATTCTTCCTTCCACTCAAAAAATATCCTCTAAATTTTATTTACATATCTTCATTTAATAAAAATACAGATAGTCAGTATAAATAAACTAATATTAATATATTAAATATTATTTAAATTTGATAATAATAACGTGTTACACAGACACGCGCGGACACGATTGCTGCTTATTATATTTGTATATAGTCAACGGGGTCTTGATCGCGTGTGAATCTTGAAATTATTATTGCTTTTAGATTGCGAATGTCGTGTGAAAATACAAGTGCGCCTACTCCTATATTTTCTTCTTATTATTAAATTAAATAATGAGCCCACACGTTTTCACTTAATTCTTATTTTAACAAAAATATATATACTTATTATATTTAAAATTCGTCACCTTATCTATTTTTTAAAAAAAATAATATTGTACAACTTGTATATAAATTTTGAATTTTTAAAAAGAATAAATATGGGAAAAATTATATGTATTATATCAATAAAAAAATAAAAAAAATTGTATCAATACAATTAATTAAAATTATTGGACAGATACGGTGTTATTAAACTATTGGTGGGCTGTAAATTTGTGTGTTAGTAGGTCGCTTATTGGCGGGCTTATCTGAAAATTAATATGAGCTTCATTTATTGGGTGGAGTTAAAAATAGGCCTTTTCTTTATAGGGCCCAATTAAGTGGCTCTTGCAAAAAGTTTGTTTCATTTGTTTTAAATAATTTGTTACTCCTATTATTTCTAATTTAATATGTTTTAAAAAATTTCAGTTATATATTTTAATTTAAATAAATCCAATTGAATAGCTTATAAGCGAGTTAGTAACAAAAATTATACAATAAAAACACTTTGTTTAATTTGTTATGAAATTTTTGAAGCTCACTTGGTTGAATAATTTGATAGGTACATGTTTTGATTATAATTATGCTCTTAATTAGGTCCAACAACACATACGTATAACTCATTTTTTCAAACTAAAAAATAAAATAAATAAAAGAGTGTCTGCGTCCAGGATGATGATGGGCCCAAGAAGCCCAATCACTTGGAAGTCCAATAATCACGAAAATATTATTTAATTAATGATACGATATATAAAAGGCAAATATGGGTTAATTAATAAGTAGATATCCCCAAAAAGTATCATTATTCATTACCATGTGATGTTACAGCAGTCTTCACGTTGCATCAATCAGAACCAAATTTCCTGATTAATGTAAGCATTAGGACAACAAGTATAGCATCGTAAGTATTGTCCAGTTTCAGTGCAATGGTAATCACAATTTATTATTCACACATGGAGTATATAACTGATTAAATTAAATTAAATTAATTATTACCAATTAGCTAGCCTAAGATGCTCGCAGTTGAAGTTGATGGTCCCCAGTTGATAAAAGGTTGGGTTGGTGAGAAGCAGAGTGAGTCATCATCTGTCACTTTGGTTGTCCAAAGCACAGAACAGCACAGCATAGCCGTGCGATTAAGATTAAGATTATTATTATTATTATTATCATTATCATTTTTCCCTTTAAGTCCGATCGATCCATGTCATGAATCGGTAACAGATACCTAGCTATGCTCATTAAGTACAAACTACAAACTAACTATTTCTTGATTGCAATTTCATATGCCACCATGCACATACTAATTAAATTAAATCCCTATATATGTATTCTCATCTATTCGTTAATGGCGTTTTATAAAAACATGTGGTAAGAGCCACTAATGTCAATAATAATAATAATAATAATAATAATAATAATAATAATAATAATAATAATAATAATCTAAACCCCCAATTACTTCATGACAACGATGTGTTTTCATTGATTTGCATTTTGCACGGCCCCACTTCTTTCACTAATTACTTTTAACTAAATTAAGAACAGTACCAATTATCATTACAAACGTTGGGTTGAATTAATCCGAAATTAGATGAGTTACTTTTTAGTTGATTTTTAATTACTTATATATATATAAGTATTGTACTAGTATAGCTAAAAAAATTTATATTGATGTTTAATTTTAGTTAATTAAAAATTAACAATTTTCTTAAATGTTTCATATATATATATATAGATAATAAGAAATCAACTCAACGTATAGTATAGAATTTGATCCCATACCCTTTTAATTACTAATCAACCCCTAAATTACAAATTCATCACATAACACTTTGTATACTACATCAAATAAATCCTATATATATATATATATATATATATATGTAAGGAATATAATGAACTCTATTTGTATTGAATCTTGAATTGGCATTCCTCTCATTGGGATCCAAGGCCAGCCCTGCGAGGGAGGGTGGGTGGACTCGCCTACATACAATGCCCCATCATTTACTACATGAATCCAGTGATGCTACATCTCATTGACACCCATTGGATTCATATAAGCACAAGTACTTACTTTGCATTGGCATACAATATAACGGTAAAATGCATATATATATATATATTATTGAAAAAAACAAACTTAAGTCGAAAACTATAAAAAAGAAAGAAAGAAAAAAATCATATAGTATATGATTTAATTCTACTTATTATGAGGTATTTTAGAGAAGTCGAAAAATAAATTTTTAGCCAAAAGATGATTGATTATAATCCACACATCACTTAACTATTTTTATTTTTATGTACTTTCCTCAAAACGTTAGGTTTTCGATTAAATAAGTAAATTGATCTGATTAGTGTAATATGGAAAGAAGATAAGATATGACAGCAATGCCACAGTAAATTTTGCTTTCTCTATGCCAAAAAAATTGTTCCTAGAGATTAAAGCATTAATTAGCGGAAGATCTCTCTCTCTCTCTCTCTCTCTCTCTCTCTCTCTCTCTATATATATATATATATATTTGTATTTGCATGCATGATTGTGGAAGTAATTTGTTGTTGAGATGCAAAACTTGTATAAAACATACAACTCCACTCTATAAAATATTTTGAAGAAAGATCAAAAACGAATTTACCGGGACTCGGTCTAAAGCGTACAATATCTTACTAATATTGATTTTGTCTTTACATTGTATTGATCATCATGAGGTGTATAACGCATAGAATTTTAATTTTTTGTGACTCATTAACACTACAAAAGAATAATAATGTGATTGTATGGGTATATTTTCTTCAGAAGTAATGGAGAATATTTATATAAGTAGTATATATTGAAATAATTGGCGTGTTTTGTGTAACTAAAATATTTATCATTTCATTAGTTGGAGAGGGGATGGACTCCAGAGTGAGTTAAATATATAAACTCAAAAGGGGAAAGGTTACGGTGCTCGCACACATAAGATAAAAAAAACAACAATGATATGTGCCGTTTGTTTATAATTACATGTGTATTGTACAAATGTATGTCATGTGCTGAAATGAACTGCGACATGTGTTGTATGAGACTGTATCATGGTGATGTTAGTTTATGCTCTGAGTTTGTATTATATTAATATAAATAATATGATGTAACTAACATTACCGTGTGCTATTTGCTAATTATCTATGTGGTGCAACCTCTCAAAAGTCATTTCAAGGTTCTTGGCTGATCAATTTTGAATCCATCTTCAATATTCAACTCATCCCTTTTCTTTGGGTTGACTATTGACATGAACGAGTTAGGTTGACGAAGAGACCAAGAATATAATCTAAAGTCCACAGGCAAAAAATTTAATATATATAGATCACACAACACACATGTATATATATTGCCAAACACACACTGCCATATCTATCTATTTCTATTATCCTCCATGGTTTTAAAAGCTGGCATTTAAATTTTGTTAAGGTTGTGTTTATTTGGGAGATTTGTTTTTCAATTTTATTATATCAATTTCTTTTTTTTTTTCAAAAAAAATCAAATCAAAGATCTATTTTTTTATTTATTATATTATACTAAAAATTAAATTTCATATTAAAAACATCTTATCATTACATATTTATATCACATCAAACAATTATTTCAATTTAAATTTTTACTATTCAAAAGCAAAAAACAGATGAATATTGATGATGACACAATAATAAATTAACTAATCAATTATTCCAGAAGCATATATATAAATCATTTAAGACTAAAACCCTAGACAGTTTGTTGCAACAGGAAACATAATTAATCATTAATTAATTATCTTGTGGGCAATCAATCATAGGGTTAGCCGCCATTGTAGTCTACAAATGTACGAATGGCTGCTGTATATTTAATTAAGACGTGTGTAATTAATTAGTGTGCTAATCAATCCTCAGCTCTACTAAACCACTTGTTGATTAACTTTATTAATCACTTTGGAAACTCAGATCAAGGAAGAACTTAATTAATTATTACGTGTATGCATTACATATATGGAGGGGCTCAAAAATCATGAAAAACAAGCGTGTACGAAACTCAGCCTGTCTGAAGAGGTCATTCCATATATTTTTTTTTATTTGCCCTAATTAGCGACACATATATACATAGAGAGAGAGATGATATTATTAAAAATTAGTAACCATGTGAAAGGTAATATAATGTTATTAATTAATATTATTTGAAAAATTGGGAGTGTGTTAGTGAATTTATCTGGGTTGGATACATATGAAAAAACAAAAAAGAGAAGATAGAAAAGCATGGAAATTTTTACAGATTTAGGAGATAATGTAAATATGTAATGAGAATAAAGTATAGATGCAATATGATCCACAATAATTAAACAAGATATATATATATATATATAATTAATTATATATGTAGGTGTTTAGTGTGGGTGTGGGTGTGAGAATAGGGGCCACATTAGCAGGTGATGGTTTGTAAAATTAAACTGATTATAATCATTATTATTACTATTGTTTATAATGATATATATATATATATATACATACATATAGATATGGGACCTAATGGGCAACAAGAAGATTAAAGCAAATTATAATGATGCATAATGTACAAGGAAGGAAGTGAGGAAGGAAAGGGTTTTGGACTTAGACAAGAGATTAATCAGTGTTATGTTGTTAAGACGTTGCCCCGTCAATTCACAACAACCATTCCACAAATTCAAGATACAAGATAGATATATTACCCTCTTCACTTCTTTTCCCAAAAAGTAGTGCACCTTGATCATTACATTTCTCTCTAATTAACCTTCATTATAAACAACCCTCTACCTCTCTCTCTCTCTCTCTCTCTCTCTCTCTCTCTCTCTCTATATATATATATATATATACACACACTACACACACTCTCTCTCTCTCTCTCTCTCTCTCTCTCTCTCAAACACACACATGTCAGCCATACATCAATTGGAATAAAGAGGATGCACTGATGCTAATTGAGGGAATAATGGAATACATACATCTATAGACAATAATTTTTCTGTCATCATAAATCTCTTTCATATTGATTGTTTTGGGATCAAATTTTGAGACAGACATTTTACAAAGAAATGAAAAAATATTCTAGTTTGTAACAATATTATTTTTAATTTCTCAGATATTGTAAAATCTAGAATCAACTAACCATTTTTCTTGACTACAATTGAGATATGATTAATGTCATGAAGCAGTAGTACATGTATATTTATTAATTAATTCCAGTACTTCTTGCTTAGTCTCCAGCAATATAAAATAGTAATAATATATATATATATATATAAATCGGGAATACTAAACTTATTGCTTTTAATTTTATACATGTTGGTTAATTAAAAGATACATTGGGTAGGTGTATAAATAGAGGCGCTAGGGTTAGGGTTTGGGTCTGCGCCAGGAATGACCTAAGATATTGCTCTTCCACACTATTCACCTTCTTCAATTCCTTCTCGATCGCTCCTTTATTGCTTCCCAAAATTTCCCCATTTCTCCAAATTCTCGATTTAAATCGCATCGCGGAGTTGAGATGAAGAAGCGCCAAGTCGTACTGAGGAGATCAGACGACAATATCTCCAGGAACTGCACGAATTCATCGTTCGCGGTGAGGACGGTGAGATACATGGAGTGCCAGAGGAATCACGCGGCGAACGTCGGAGGCTACGCTGTGGACGGTTGCAGGGAGTTCATGCCGTGCGGGGAGGAAGGCACCAGCGGTGCTCTCACTTGCGCGGCGTGTGGCTGCCACCGGAACTTCCACAGGAGGGAGGTGGAGGTGGAGGCGGATGTAGCCTGCGCGGGCGGGGGCGGAGGTTCCTCACCATGTTCGGACTACACGTAGGTTGCGTGGAGAAGGAACTGGTAATGTGTATTTAAGTGTGTTTGTGTGTGTACGTTTGGTGGATGTTTGCTTCGGCTGATGTGACGGAGAGTTAGGCCTTCTGATTTTCAATTATTGGTTTGGTTGTGTGTTCTAAGATGTGCAGACCTTCGAATTAACCCTACATATGATATGATGGAGGTGAGAGTACCCGAAGATGAACTGTAAATCCTATGGTAATTTATATATGGTCTGGGTTTGGAGTTTTTACTCTTATACATATATATATACATATGTGTGTGTGCTGTATCTGTCTTGTCTGTCTGTGTGTTTGTATGTATATTTGTATGTAGAAGTAAAAATTAACTTGTGTTGTTCTTCATTCCTTGCTTTTCATGATCTGGTATGGTTTTTCCTTTAATGGAATTGAGGAAATTACACCTCTATCTATGCGTTTGAATCATTGGAACTACACAGTAAATTAGAAGAAGTGACTCAACTTTTGGTTTTAAGGCTTTGTAAATTCATCTGTCCTTGTGTAATTTCATCATCATATTATCGTAAGTATTTTCTCAAATACTGAGTGAAGATATGAAACAGAATTAAATTGTGTGTGATTGTTTGGTAATTTGTATAGAATTATTAGAATTATATTTTTGCAACTTGTGTACATTTATTTTGTGAAATTTTTTCACCCCAGTTTGTTAGATGTAGCTCTTGCTGAGCTAACATTGCCTGATATTGTGAATCCAACCATGTTTTCAAGATGATATGAAAATGTGCATATTTGCCTAACATATTGAAAAGAACACCAAAAAATGGAAAAAAATGGAGACCTAATTAATTACTGGTCTTCATATATGGAATGAAGTGCACAGATTTTTTTAGATAGATAAAAAAAAAAAAAAATCTTCTGTTACATTAAAATCGAATGTATTATTACAGGTACAAATACAATTAATATTGCTATTATTCTGTGGATGTGGTTCACAAAAAATTAAAACAAAATGGATTTAATTAATTAATCATCATTAAAGCAGGGAACATGCTACTCATAGGCTTTCTGCAAAACAGTTAGTAGGTAATAATTATGCAGTTAGTTGTTAATCTGAGCAGCTGCTAAAGCAACAGGATTAACTTAACTTGGGATAATGACACAAGTCAGCAGCCATTCATTGACTCCATAAACTAAATATATTTTCAAGAATCGACAGCTTCTGTTAACTGTTTTATCATCTGTTCAAGTTAAGGGTAGTTTAGTTTGTTGAGTGTGTGTTATTATTACATGCGGAGGTAGGGTGATTACTGATGATTAGCATTAATGAAATAAGAGTGTAATGAGAGATGTGGAAATAAGTGATGATGCAATGCAGAAAGAGGAAGGAGAGGCAGAAGGCAGAAAGTTGATGTGCCCCTCCAAAATGGTGATCTGATCTGATCTGATCAATTAAATTACTAGTCTACTACTGATCTAGTCTTGATCATGTCATGTGGTATGGATCCAACAAAAGTGCAGAGAGGTTAGGTAGTGAGAATGGAAGGAACCAAACCTTTAGGTATATGTTAATTGTATTCAGGTACTTGTCAAATCAGTTCCACTGCAAAATTCACAGTTTCAGACCACACTCCATCAACTCCACCAGAGAGAGAGAAAGAAAGAAATAAAGAAAAAGAAGATGGCAAGAGAAGATATATAAGAGAGAGGGTCTTTTGGGCCTGATTGGCCCAACTAAATATAGAGCTTATTACATAGGATGAAGCCCAGCCCAGCCCACTCTTGTTGTTGTTACCAATCAATTCCACAAATTTGAATTAATATATGCAAGAAAATATTGGATTTTGCATTCAACAAAAGTGAAGTGAAGTGATGCGAAGATAGTGAAATTCTTATACCTCTGTTTTTTGTTTAAATTCTAAAAGGTACGATGGAAGGCCCAATTAGTTTGAAAAGGATGAGATGACTAAAAATGGGTAAGGGGCGGTGTGCTTCCAATTTAAGTTAGACACTGAAAATGAAAAGCCTGATTGGAAAGCGCGTTAGTTAATCTCAAGCTATCAATAATTATGAGTATATATATATATATATATGTATGTCTCTATGTTATGCGGGAATGGAATCGTACAATCCCATTTCCATTTCCATTTCCATTTCATCATATTGTTAAAAGCGCCACCAAATTCAATTGATTAAATTATATATTACTTTAATTAAGAAACAAAACTGCTATTATTATTATTATTATTATTATTATTATTATTATTATTATTATTATTATTATTATTATTATTATTATTATTGTTGTTGTTGTTGTTGTTATTTAAACATGGGCTATAGGTAATATATATATATATATGTGTTAAAAATTGGATGTGATTGCCAATCAAGGAATGGAGAGAAAATAAAGAAAAATTCCTCGACATATTCCATACGATTACAAATGGTCATTTGGAATATCCTTCCTTATCTGTAAATTTTATTAAATAGCCCTAAATTCTCCGTATCTATTAGATATAGAAATAGTGGAACTGGGGACCGTCGACTAATTGACAGAATATAAATAAATAAATAAAACTCGAGAGTGCAGAGCAGAGCAGAGCAGAACCATTTATTTGATAAGGACGATGTGGTCCTGTCCTGTGTTGAGCTAAATTGAGTGCTTAGGTCAATGATTTTTAATCTTCCTTTCTCTCCCATTCCCTCATAAATCCCAATTAACACATTTTCAAATAATGCGGTCCGATCCCATAATGTTTGACCTATTTATTTAATTAATTAACAACACATTATAAATTTCATTTCATTGCACCATGCTTTATCTATTATATACTAAATGGTTTGGTATTTTCTAGACGATTAATTGAATTCAAGTGAAAATAAAACAACAAAATGCAATGGCCCTTTCCCCTTTACCTACCAAATTAAATTGCACATGTAATTACAGAGGATATTAATACTCCAATACCATGCTGATTCATATATACACTTGAATTCTTTAATTAATGATCTGGTCAAGATGCTTTAAATTAGGGTTCTATAATTATTAAAACTTCATACTTGGAAGAAATTGTGATGTTACACGTAGCATCTGAGAAAACAATAAAACCCATTAATTGCTATTAAAAAAAGTGTGTATATAATATAATCAAAGGTAGCGAATGTAATTATTCATCACGTTACATAATTAATTAAACTTGATCTATAATATATATAAATATATTTTTTAATTTATAGTAATTCATTATAGTTTATTTTGAAAAAATCATTAAAATGAAGCTATTATTCATTGTTTAAATTTTGCTGACGTTGCACTAACAGTACTCGATGTAACAGATGGACAAAATTTCGGCCCATCCCGATCGTATCAACAAAATCGACCCATAGATAATGATTGATTAATTCTAATAAATTTAGGTTATCATAAGTTTATACTAACAATTAAACAAATTATTATTATTATTATTATTATTATTATATATACCCATATTTGGTCAGAATTCATGATGATGGTTTCCATCGGGAGACGATATAATGATACGTGTTATGACCTCAGACAATTTAAGAAATTGGAACAGTGATGTGTTTGTCTACCACTCAATCAACACTCCCTGCCAAATACTCCAATTTACAATTATAATAATAATTATTATTAGAGCTAACTAAAAAATCTTCAATATATCCCACGTAATTTATTTTTATTTTTATCTCATATAATTTATTTTTATTTTTTATTTTCGTTTGTCCCACAATATAATTATCTATTTTAATTATATTTTAAGTCTTAATTAAATTATATTTATTTCAATTTTAATCTATAATTATTTCTACTAATACATTTTTTTAATTATCTAATTATATTTACTTAAATTTATGTATCCACAGTATCGCATCCAAAATATATGGGAGGAGGGAGGGAGTAAATAAACAAGTACCCGCCCACTATCAGCCACTCCCCTCAATTAATGATATGACTTGACGACTGACCCATACTTTTTGGTTGTTGGATAACACACAAAATTACTCACTTCACCACTCACAAATACCCTTTTTTTAATTAATTAATTACACTAACCTTCCATCCCTTAAAAGCAAGGTGAAAAAACAAAAAGAAAAAGAAAGGTGAAGATGCATCTGTTGCATTCTTTATATTACAACGGGACTTGAAGTGAGATAATAATATCTATATCAGCAAAGTTAAACTTAAGTAATGGATAACTTAAAAGTTACTAAATCAAGATCACATGATATTATTATATTGGGCACCAAACTTACCATAATTAGCTAGAATGCAAACATTAACAGCACACCGCATAGATATATAATAAGTAATCAGATCCCTCAACAGTAAAGGTGTATTATTACCTTTACTACTATTATTACAATAATGAAGGCAGACCATATCGAAGTGATCTACTCACCACCCTGCCGGAATACAGACACACGGATTGTGTGAAATAAACCTACCCGTTAAAATTAATTAATTAATAATGCATTTGCAATCAATTGCAAGCTTAATTGGTGCAAATGTTTTTCTTGGACAAGCAATGGAAATGGTCGATATTTTGAACAAATTAATTGTGCGAATTAGGGATCGTATTAAAGATACCTATAATTCAAACAAGATTAGGCCAAGGGAAAATCACACTAGCTAAGTAGGAAGATCAGACAAGTAATCAATCAATTAGAAACCAACGATATTTATGTAATGTAATAACCTCCCCGCATATTAATTAATACGTCTCTATTTTATGTAATTAACAGTAATATATAGTAGTAATAGTTATTGAATTAATTAATCCACCTGCTGCAATCAAGTAGAGGAAGGCCCATTTGTAGCAACTGCGCGATGGCTGATTTCTTGACCATCGCCGATTTGATCGCCGGAGCCCATTTCCCGGCAATTGATGCCGTTCCGATTAGCGGCGGATGGCGGCGGCGGAGGATCCCTTTTGGCGGCGGTCGTCTTGTTGTTGTGCATCCAGACTTTGAATACACTTCTCTCCACTCCGATTTCGTTGCACCCTTCGTTAATGGCGTTCTCGTCTTTTTTCTGCATTTTCCAGCTGACCCTCTCGGCGAGTTCCAGCATTTTATCCTTTTGATTTTGGGTGAATTTCGTGCGGAAGCGCTTCCGGTTGCCCGAGGTCATCGCCGGCGTAGACGCCGGGGAAATTGGCGGGGCATTGCCGTCCGGCGGCGGGGCCGATATCCCGTGGCTGAGCGCCAGCAACATGTGCGGCGCGTACGACGACGAAATCGGCGGCGGGGAGGAGGAATTATTCGGGCTGCCCGCCCGCGGCGGCGGGGGCTGGTGGCGGTGGTGGGGTTGGTACTCGAGCGCCGGCGCCGAATTCGACAGAGGAAGCGGTCGCGGGTCGTCGGGCTCCCGGCGGTGGAAATTCCGGTGGCATCCGCACGCCGCGCATTTGAGAGTGGTCGGCTCCGCCGGATTGGAGTTGGGGGAGGGCATGAATTCGCCGCAGCCGTCGACGGCGTGGCCGCCGATGGTCGCCGCGTGGTTCTTGAGACATTCTTTGTAGGTGACGACGACCGGGTGGCGGTTGCGGTGGTGCAGCAGCGGCGCGTGGCGCTTCAACACGCCGTTGGTAAAAGGGGCCTGCTTGGCGGGTTGGATCCGGGTCGGAGTTTCCGATTCAGCTTCCGGCGTCTTGACGATGGAATTGCCCAACTCCATGGCCGCCACTGTAACAACATCTATCGCCAAATTTAAACCTCGGATTCGGTTTTTTTCCTGACCAAAATCCAGCGGTTTAATTAGCTGCACACAAGATTAGGATTGAAGTTAAGGTTTCCTAACAGGGTAAAGAAAGGATTCCCCTTTTTTTTTTTTTTTTTTTCTTTCTTCACTCGATTTTAAGTCATGGGAAAATGAGAAAAAGGTAAGAATGGGAGAGAATGGGTTTATGTGCTGTTATGCTATGTCTTCCTTCGAACCATGAATGATGATGATTGTGATGGCACTGTAGATAATAAAAATCTATGTGTAGTTTGTGGACGTCCTTAACCACTTAAATAAAAAATAAAAATATTAATTTCGAAATCCTTAAGTTGTAATGGCAGTTAACGGCGTCGTTTCTCTTTGACGACGTCGTTTTCGCGTTTTCATTTGACTTGAAATCGCTACTGCTACTATATATGAATGACTTGGAGGTAAATGTCTTTTCCAAGATTTTTCAGACCGTATTTGACTTTCTTATCTTTCTTCTTTCAATTTACCATCATTTACATGCACTTCATATCCCTTTATTTTGGGGATTTGTCCGAAGAATAAAATTGCCCCCCTTTCTAAAAAGCAACCTCACGAAATGCAAATTTAGAAAGACATTTCTATTTTATTTTTACAATACAAAAAATAAATAAAAGCAAAGAAGTCTGGAGTACAGGTCAAGGTTGCGTGAGACGTGAATAAAGACAAAGGGACAGTCAGACCGGTTACATTTACCATTTTCTCTTCCGTAGATTTACCCACAGGGGTTAAATAAGTCTTTTCACTTCGCTCGTGCTGCCACGTCTACCCAAAATGTCCCTCTTGCTGCGACACGTGTTTCATTTTATAATATTGTTGTGTCTTCCATGTTGAATTGAAAATACTAATTAAATTATTAATTCCAAATTAATGTGACTAGACTTCGGTATAAAAAAAATTGTATGGTTTGGATTGGAACCAATACCAATGATGGATATGGACCAGACCTCCTGCAGGTAAACTTGTTTGGAATTCACACTACACTACACATATTTAATTATTTAGATTAATAATTTAATTATTCTCAACATTGTCAATTAATTATTTTTCATCATGATACACTTCAAATTTATATTTCCAACTTCAATAACGCAGTTGATATTTGTTTTCACGGAAAATATAAATTTTATGTAAGTCAAACTGCACGCAAAGAGTTATACTGAATTTGGTAGGACATATAGATATGTCGTATTTATTGGTTTGTGTTGCAAATTTATGAAATTATATAATCACACGTTGTCTATGTAGCTTTACAAAACTTTTTAACGAGCGGTAAATGTTCTGTCAATCACGCAGTAATAATAATATTAATTAATAAATGAAATTCAGAGTAATTTCCAGAAAGAATGATCAGCAATTGGTCGCGACAGCTAAGTCTACTGGCGATGATATGGATGCATTACTATTAATAGATTATTTGTGAACAATGAAGTACAGAATAAAGTTTATAATTTAATAGGAAATGAATTGATATATGAATCCCATCTTGTCTGAATTAGGAACGCTTTCATTATTACTTCTTCCCACCGATTTGACACCAGACATTATATTAACACTTTCTTTGATTATTAGTCTGCCCGCAGCCCATCCTAATCAATTCTATGTCGCGCTTTCAAATGAATAAATCGCGTTTTCTAACTCCAACGTTTTTGGATTATTTTGATAATGTCCCACACTATGCTTTGTTGGACTTTAATTTTACAGCCCTCTGTACATATCCAAACAAATCATTTATTGACATCGACATCCCATCTTATCCAGACACCTTAAAATGGGATTAATTGATTATCACTTAATTTTAATAATTAGCTTCTTTTTTTTATTATTATTATTTTTTTAAGTCATCATTCTAGAATTAATTCGAAAGGGCTATGTTAAACAATATCAGCAATTCAATATGTTATACATAAACGGAATAATACAATACTGCTTTAATAAACTATACCGACCAGGCCACCCCATTTTTTTGTATTAATATTTATTATATTTTGGATAATTATTATTTAAAAAAATTATATTAATTTAAATAAATATAATTATGATAAAATAACAGTTCTATTGATAATTAATAATTTAAACATTGAACATATAAATAAAATTTTATTTAGATATTTATAAAATATCTACACTTTAATTATTTTGATAACTCGGACCTTTCTTTGCTCCACATGGTTTGTATAGGTTCAAACTCTGTCTAGTTTTTCAACAGTGATGGGCCAGCTTGGCATGAAAATATTTTATATTTAATTTTTAGGCCTAAATTTGTATTTTTAAAATTTTGGATTGTATTTATTTTTGTCTAAAGTAGTAATATATATTGAAAAAAAAAAAAAAAACTTTAACAGAAAAGAATTGTTTACGATAAATAAATTTTGATAACAAGTTCATATATTCTTTGTTTGATTAATTATTCAATACATTTATTTTTTAAATGTTACCGTTATTAAAAAACAAAATAAATATTACTATTATACATAGCTCAATAGACTACTACTGAATGATAGTGCAAATAATATATATAATATTCATTTATTGACGCATTTCATGCTATTACAGAAACATATAAAATAAAATGGATTTATATGTGATTGTATAAAGCGAGAAATGGTACTAAAGCAAGAACATTATATTTTTATATCAATAATTTTCGGCTTGGCTTAATTCTATATTGGGCTTTAGCCCAAACATATGAAACCCAATTAGCGGTAGCTTAATTGTGGTCTCAGCCCATTTTGTTTGGAGGAAATTTTGATTAGTAATAGTAGCCCAATATGTATGGTTTTGAGTGTGTAAGTGTTTAAAGCTGTGAATAGTAATGGGGTTGGTTAACTATAACAAAATAAGATGTGATGGAGATGGAGATGGAGATGGAGGAGGTTAGAAGATTAGAAATGAAGTAATTAATGTATGTATGTATGCGGATAGTATTACAAGAGTACTGGTCGCAGGTAGGGTAGCAGATAAAAGAGATTAATAAAGAAATAGAAAACAAAAAAATGATGGATTTACAGCGAAGAGGAACGAGAGGTTTGTCGGAAAGTATGATCGATTCGATGTTGTGGCGCATGTGCATGTGCTCAGCACATGCACATCTGCTCTGCTCCATTCAACTTTATGACTGCTAAACAATAATAATAATAATAATAATAATAAGATTTTTCTTTTGAGAAAGCATTAATAATACTCCTATTTAATTAGATCGCATTTGAATTTTGATGGGATTGGGGCTCTCTCCACAACTTGTAATTGATCTACCCACATGGCCTGCCCTACCGTAGCTACCTGCACCTTTTCTTTTTCCTATATATTTTGATTCAATTCCAACTTATTCTAATTTTTTTATAAATAATATCGACTAAGAGTTTCAAATAATATCAATTCAATTTATTTGGATTCAAATATACTTACAACAGCAAGCATGCTGTATATAGGAACTACCATTTTTTTTGTCCCCACAGTTTATCCATTCATAAATGTGTCGGGAAATTGCATAGGGTGATTGGTTGGAAAGTTTTAGGTTAATTTAGAATAGACATATTATTATTTATATGAAAATGAATTAAGTAGCATGTGATTTCTGATCTGATCGTATTGGCACTGCACTGCGGGTTCTGCAATGCATGCATGTTTAATTTATTATATTATATGCAATCAAGTGAAGAGAGGATTGGATGGGTTGGGTGGACCCGACCAATATCAATCAATACCTTTACCTAATTACCATTGTAATTCAATCAATTACTATATTGGATCCACCGCCAGTTTAATTTAATTTAATTTAATTTAATCTAATCTAATCTCTATGTATATGTATGAATTTGTGTAATGAGTTGGGGGGTGGTCTCTGTCTATTTATAGTCTTTCAGACCAAGTCCGTTGTAGAGAGAGGGAGGGGCAAACAGAAGTGAAAGGTAATTAAATTAGCGAAATGGGGAAGTTGATGTTCATTGCCTTTCTACTTTTGGGTCTAACTCTGCTAAGTAGTTCCATGCTCCAAGTACCCGTCAGTACTCACTACTCTCTTCTCTATCTTCAGATTTATATTTATATTTCCATTTCCTCAGTGACCATGTATATTGTTGTAACTTTTTTTTAGGTGATGGCATCGCATGGACGTGGACGTGGATCCTCCACCTACAATGTATATATGCACATATTAGGTCTTTTTAATTATAGTCCTACATGCATCTTTTACCACCTCGATCGATCCGATGTATGTATGTGTGTGTTTGCAGGGCGGGCATCGCAGCGGATACGGTCCCGGCAGCCTCAAGAGCTTCCGTGAGTCCAATTGCATAGACATTGATGAATGAATGAATGAATGAATGAATATTTGTTTGTTTTTGGATTGCAGAATGCCCATCGCAATGTACGAGGAGGTGCAGCAAGACACAGTACCACAAACCCTGCATGTTCTTCTGCCAGAAGTGTTGCAGAACCTGCCTCTGCGTCCCACCAGGCTTCTATGGCAACAAGGGAGTCTGCCCCTGCTACAATAACTGGAAGACCAAGGAAGGAGGCCCTAAGTGCCCTTAGCCTAATTATCCATCTTTCTTCTTCCTGGAATTACCACATACCCAACAATTTTATTATTATTATTATTATTATTATTAATTATTTGGGCAGAATATTAGTATTTATTAAGCCCAAAGAAACAATATATATACATATATATATTAATGACATTATTGTTGTTTTCTAGTATTTCAATGCCTGGCATTATTCTGTCCCCAGTTACTTCTTATTTCCTCTAAAATAATTGTATATAATATATACATATCATACTTAACAATTTCATTCAAGATATCTTATACAACAACAACAAATCATTTTTAATTGCCTCAAAGTTTTCAATCTCGAAAACAAAAGCAGCATGTAATTAAGTAAAAATACCTTAATTTGTGCAATATCCAGAAGCATTACATCAAGATTTGATTTAACGAAGACAAATTCAAGATAAAATATATATATATATATATTGAATGACTTCATCTAATATATATATATGTATATATTTTATATATACAATTCTCAATGAATATTACATAAATTACAATATATACACACTCACACACGCATTATATATTTATTCATATAAAAATATCAACGATTCAACTATGTATATTTTTATATTATTGATACAATTCAATATATTCAGCATAAAATACGCATATTCAAAAACACAAATTGAACACACACAGAAAACCCTCAAAGCACCACATTATTCCTAGCCTTCATTTCAAGAAGCATAACACGTGATGGGCCGTTAATGGGCGAGGCAATGCATTCGTTTTGGGCCCAAATTAGAACGGAGTTAACAGGCCTGTTGGCCCATTTATGAAATTTCTAGCTAATCTATTTGAACTCTTTAATTTGCTAGCTAGGTTTGTTTATGTTCAGGTTTCATGGTGGGGACAGACTCAGGACAGGACAGGACAGGATTAATTCATCTACTTTAAGGACAACATACGACGTCCCGTCTGCACACTAGTAACCCATTCCTTTCTTGGCTATAGCAATTAGCAGCAGCTAATGTATTACGCTATCTTTTGTAATCAATTTAGGCTTCAATCATCCATAAATCTTTTCCCTCGTGGGGAACTAAATATAATTAATTAAATCAAATTAGTTTTTTATTACTTTAAAGGGCTTTTTGTCATTTCACTTGTGAAATACATTATTTATTTTTTTGGTTAAGAAAATATTAAAGCGTGCCCCTTTTTCTAAAGTAGAACAATCATGATCTTATCCTACACACGTTGATATTTAATTTCTTGCCAAAGACAAAATCATAAGCGTCCAAAAGTAATTCCCCAATCCTTAAATGATTTGATTGAATTAGGTTGTGAATTTAATAAATAATGGAATTCGTTAAGTATACTTAGTTTTATTTATTTTTTTAATGATAACAGAAAAATTTGCAACTACTACTCGCATGAGTAAACTCGGATGATTGTTATAGCTTGCAAAGTAGTTTTAATTAAACAAGTTACTCATAACTTCACAATCACATGTTCACCCACATCACCGGGTTATCTATTACCGAAAGTATACTAAATGTTTGGATTTCGAACGTGTTGTTTTCTTTACATATATCCGAAATGATTTTAAAAGTATGTTTGTTTATGATTTCAAATTCCAATATATAATATGAAGTTCGATATATTTTTAATAAAAATATATTATTTTTTCTGTCATTCAAATTTTATTTTTATTTATTATTTTTTTTATTATCATCTAAATTTATTCTAGTTTTTTTTTTAATAAAAAATGTAGTACTACTTTTTTATTTTTTATTTTTTTTATCCTAAAAGGTGAACGTTTCTATTTTTCTATATATATATATATATAATATATACTCGATTAAATGAGCATTTAATTGAATGGAGAAAGTAATAAATGATTGACCCATTTGTGGGAATTAACCTTTACACCTTTAAGCTGCTAGTCTTTTTTTATTCCTCTACTTCTTGCACCAGAGCCATTAATCAATGATCATTTTTGGGGGGGACCTTTTTGTAGCTAGTTTCATCCCCTTGATTGGAATTTAAGCGAAAACAGTAGTCTTTAATTCGGATAAATCCGTATTAATTTATTTTTTTGATGGTTAATAATTATTTAAAAGAAAAAAGGACGGCTTTGTTTAGAGAAGAGAATTTTGAAATTTTAAAAATTACAAGTTCAACAATTACAAAAATTATTAAAAAAACAATTTTTTGAAATATTTTGGTTGCAACCAAAGCAGTCGCGTCTTTGGGAATGTTATACAAGAAGTGTAACGATTATAAAAATGATTAAAAAAATTCCTGACACTGAAAACCGTACGGGTCAAATTTATGAGATTACGTTAACACGAGGCACAAATGTAATATACAAATATATTTATAAATGGTTCCACTACCCCAACCCCCCACCGCCCCAGACCTAGCTACAATCTCTTCCTTACCTGTAAATACGCCGCCAGAGATATTGCCTGAGATCCAAACATATAACTGCAAATTACAATATTCTTTCTCTTGATTATATATATATATATATATATATGTATATGGGCGACCGGAGCTCGGAAGTGGCAGTGCCTCTGTTGGACGGCGGCGCCGGCGGAGGCGATGCCCATCGGGACGACCCGTTGAAGCAACGCTTGCCCGTTTCGGGCTCAACGTCGTTCTTCAAAACGTGCTTTAACGGCGTCAATGCATTATCAGGTTTGGATTTATTATTTTTTACATTTTGAAAAAAGTGCTTTTGTTTTTATATTCTGGTTCTTTTACCCTTTTCTAGAAATTACACTATCACATATGATATATGGGGGTGCTGATGATTATATCTGAGTTGATGGCGATGTGTGCCTTGTGTGAATAATAAAAATAAAAATAATTTTATAAATAGTTGAGTGATTCTTAGTTTTACTTGAATATGGGCATATATGGCCTCACATTATTGATTATTCATATGATTTGTGGGGTTGGAGTTGTAGTGTCTATGCGCAAACACACATACCCTGTTTTTTGTTTTATTGTTTTTACATTGCATACTCTCCTGATTCTTGACGAGCGTAAGAAAACACTAGTGAATTGGTAGCCAGAATTTACGGAACACATAATACAAACTCTCATGAAACTGCAAGTGATCAGTTAGTTGCTCACATCACATGATTCTTGCGTGATTCACCTTACACAGTCTCAAATGGTATGCGTCGATCGATGATGCAATGTATTCTCTGCAGTGTCTGACTAAGTCACAACCACGTTTCCTCTACAATTTACTACTTATCATCGATCATTACTCTTTCCTAATCTGATTGATGAATTAGTCAGCATTCAAATCCAATTTTGCTTCCCTAAGTGTTCCGTTCCGATCAGATCATAAATGGCGTCATTGTCCGAGAATCACCATCACCATCACCATCAATTTATTAAGTCTTAAAATTATCATTATTACAAATACGTTTGTTTGTATGTCCAGGTGTAGGAATACTGTCAATACCGTATGCCCTGGCTTCAGGAGGATGGCTCAGCCTCCTCCTCTTCTTCCTCGTTGCTGCTTCCACATACTACACTGCATTGCTAATCCAAAAATGTATGGAAATGGACCGTACAATACGAACCTACCCGGACATCGGCCACCGCTCGTTCGGACACTTGGGCAGAGCACTTCTCTCTGTATCAATGAATGTCGAACTCTATCTTGTCTCAACAGGTTTCTTGATCGTAGAAGGGGACAACTTACACGGCCTATTCCCCAACATGGAATTCCAAATCGCCGGAATCACAATCGGGGCGAAAAATGGATTTATCCTCCTCGTCACTTGTCTCTTGATGGTGCTCACATTTTGTCCCGACAACATGAGCTTTGTCTCCTACTTCTCCGCCGGCGGCGTCATCGCATCCTCCGTTCTTGTCTGCACTGTTCTCTGGGCTGCCGCCGTCGACGGCGTCGGCTTCCATCATAATAACGGCACCCTCATTAATGTCGAAGGCCTCCCCACTGCCGTCAGCCTTTATGCCTTCTGCTATTGTGCGCACCCTGTTTTCCCCACGTTGTACAATTCCATGAGCAACCAACGCCAATTCTCCAAGGTACGACATTAACTAAATCGAATTCTAGTGATGTTTGTCTGATTGGATTTATTTTTTTCAGGTAATGCTGGTTTGCTTTGTGTTCTGCACATTGGGATATTCTGTCACGGCAATCATGGGATACCTAATGTTCGGACCAAATCTACAGTCTCAGATAACCTTAAATCTTCCCAAGGATAAGATTAGCTCGAAAGTGGCAATCTACACCACCATTATCAATCCACTGGCTAAATACACATTGATGGTGACTCCGATTGTGCATGCTATTGAAAACAGGATTGTCGTTTACAATCCAAGCAAAGGTTGTCGGGTTCTGATCCGAATGGGATTGTTGCTGAGCTCGATGGCCGTCGCGGTCGCCATTCCTTTCTTCGAGATTCTAATGTCCCTCGTCGGCGCCTTCTTGAGCATCACCGCCTCCGTCATTTTTCCTTGCTTATGCTACTTGAAGATGTCCGGCGATTATCGGAGATTCCGGCGGAAATCGGCGGCCATTTGGGGGATCGTTTTGGTGGGTGTTGTTGTTCTTGTTGTTGGCACGTACGTTGCCATGCGCGATATCTATCTCCAGTTGCTTAGATGATGTGTATGTATATTCGATTTTGGAAGTAGAGAATGGATAGGGCAGGGCGTTTATTGACGGGACATGGGTCGTTGCATAGTTGTTATATTCCCTTTTTCTACTATTAAATTTACTTGTCATTAATGAGTGGAATTAATTAATTAATTAATTAATTAATTTACGAAACAACTTGGCTACCACCTCTATCCTACTTGGCAGAATTTTTCCAAAAAATTGATTCCTCCCATTTCTTATCTCAATCACTACAAAATATATTTTCCATCGCTTCGATTAGAATCCCCGTTGAGAATTTATTAGCATCCTTTCCAATCAATACATTAAAATACAATATATATGTATCATATAAAATATTAGGATTTGCAATTAGTTTTATTTGATATGTGTATTGTAAATTTATATTTAACACATTATTTACTATATATTATTATGTTATTAATTTAATACTGTAAATGGCCATTTTGAGTATTATATTATTATGTAAGTAATGTATTTTTAGACAACAATTAAATTTTGTATTGTTGATGAGTTTTCTAAGCTATGTGCAAGATTCATATGAAAATGTTATTGTATTCATTATTTTTATTTTTTATTTTTTCTTTCTTTTGTTACTAATGTTGGACTTTGCAAGTGGTAAGTGATGTGGAAAATGGCTAACTTTACAAAAAGATGATGAAAACGGGACTTTGAAAAAAATGATAATCTACACTCAAATATTGTAAGCAATCTTGGAAGATCCCTCATATATTCTTTTGGTTTTATGATATATTCAAATTGATTGAATTATGAAATGTGTATTTTTATTTATATTTTGAATACAACACACAATTAATGATGGGAAGTAAAAGGCTATTATAAGTCGCATATATTGGTTTTACAATTTGTTGTAATATTTCAGAACCAAAAAGAATATAATCATTTTAAGGCCCCTTATTTATCCATTAATTACAAAAAAAAAAAAAAAAAAAAAAAAAAAAGAATTCTGTACGTACAATTAGTTGAGTGCATCATAATGGCATGCTGAGTAAATAAAAGAACATGTAGTAGAAGCAATGTGATGTAGGGCACGTAACTCCGATCACATCGATATCATTGCTATTATGCTATATTGTATACAATAAAATAATTAAATATTAAAATTAATAAAATATTTGTGTACTTATATTATTATTATTATTATTATTATTATTATTATTATTATTTTATAATATTTTTTAGCTAATTTTGATACTATGGTGCAAATTAAGTACAAAGCAAATTACGCTAAGGGGGTGTTTGGAAAATAGTTTTTTGAACAGTTTAGTTTGTTGGATAGCTTTTAATTATTTGACCATTCAAAAAACTAATTTACATGTTTGGTAAATTAGTTTTTTGGAATAGCTGATTAGATCCAAAACACTAATTTTCAAAAAGCTGTAAACCCCAGCGTTTTGTATTAGCGTTTTGATTTTAATTATCTTTTTTCCAATTTTACCCTTGCACCGTAACTTTATTCCTTTTCTCTTATTCTTTATAACACTCATCCATTTTCTTTTTTTTTTTTTGCGATTTACTATTTGTTTTTCTCATTGATCTCGTCCATTCCATCATTCTTCTCTCTTGTTTCTATTCTCTGTGCCGCCGTTCGCTCTTCTCTATTGAGGTATGTTATTATTATTATTAATTTATTATTGTATTTTTGTTCATGATCTGTGGAAGGCGTATGCCTGGTGTGGGTTTAAGTTTCTCTCTCGTCGTTTTCGCAGCCGTTTTGTTGGCATTTGCAATCTGCTCTGCTATCCTAATTAGCCACATATATAGCTAATTAGATACTTCTATTTCTGATTAGAGAAAAAAATAGATAAGGAGTGGTAACGATGATGATAGAAGATTTAAAATTAATTTGTTGGGTTTTAGATAACGAGAATTTAATTTGATGTTTAAACATGTCAAGCATTATAGAACTCTATCACATATACAATTATATTGAATAGCTTGAGACCTTGGAAAGATCTTAAGATTAGCTAGTATCTATATTTTTTTAGAAAATTGCTTAGAATAGGAATACATATCATAACTTCAGGCAAATTAGGTTATCGAGAGACACATCATTTCATCATTTCATCATTTCAGGCACTAGTAACACAAATTATATTTCAGTTCCAATCAATTCAGTTTACATTAATGGATGTAATCCTAATTCTACTCAACGTGTAGTTTCCATTTAAATAGAATGAATGTTAACAGAAGAGGAAAAAATTGAACTAAACTGGATTTGGTGCATTATATCAAGTAACAGCAGTAACCATACACTACTTATGGGTTGGGCATGCAATGCAATATATGAAAGTTGTGTGAAGGAATTGATTATTTCAAATCTGCAAGAACAGAGAATGGGTAGCCAATATACAAAATTATAGATACGACGTTATACAAAACAACTCAATTAGAATTAAGGGAGTTGTAGTACTATAGTATATCATTATAGATATCTATATATTTTTTTATTGAGGATGATTGATTCATTGATTGATGCAACTAGGTGGGGTGGATTGGGGTGAGATTGATGTGATGATATATATATATATATTGTGAGGGAAAAAAGAGAAAAAATAATTTTGAGTTAGTGAATCCATATATGTATGTGTATGCATGTATTGATTGGTATCCATTGCATACGGAGTGATGGAATGAGATGGATTTCTAGTTTTATTTACTGTATTGTACTGCAGACAAGATCAATAACATCTATCATATCCTATCCTGTAAGTATGGATATAAAAAAGTACTGGTCATTGCCAATAAACATCAATAATTTAAGAATTCTTTCTATGTTTAATAAGGAAGAACATGCAGTTTAGAGCATATGCAAAAACAATTATTGTAAGGTATTTTACTTACAATGCTAAACACCATCTTGAAAATTGTTTAAGTAGTAAATATCTTGTTTAATCCAACTTCATTGTGGTAGACAATTTTAGTTGCACATATATGTTTTAAATTATATTTTTATACGTTAGTTTTTTTTTTAGATGATGTTGACAAAAAATAGTGATGGAGGAGATTTTGATAAAGGAAAAGACTCAGGAAGAGTAATTTGGACAACATCGAATCTTCATATATTTATTGATTTATGCATCGAATGTCTTAGCAAAAATAAAAAAAAATCAGGTGCAACAATCTCACAAAGGATGCCATGGAAAAAATTACAAGAAAAGTTTCAAAAAATAACAGAAAAAACTTGAGAAACAAATAAGTTGAAAAATAAGTATGATTGGATGAGAACTAGATGGGAAAAGAATCTGGATTAGGATGGGACCATGAAAAAAAAACAGTGTGCGCAAATGATGAGTGGTGGGATGCTAAAATTCATGTTAGAATCTTATTTTGACATCTTTTTATTTTATTATATTTTCTAAAGTCGTATATACCTTATATATATATTATTTTAGGAAAATGACAATTCTAAAAGTTTTCGAGAAGAAGGGATAGAGCCCGAGCTAGAGTCTAAAATGGATTCACTTTTTGCTCATTCATTGGCGACGAGAGAACATAAATACACCCCTGGGTATTATTGCTCACAAGATAAAGAAGAAAGAACTCATATCTCTTCTTCACCACGTATTATTAATGTTGATGACTCAATATTTGGTGATACACCACATGTAGATTTGTCATATGACCATCATGATGATTCTATATATGATGGTACTAGTTACAACAATCCTATTGATTGTGCGTGGGATGATATTTGGAAAGAACATACCTCTACTTTCAATGGTTTTACAAGTACTGACCGTGTGAAAATCAAAGGAAAGTAGAGCCTTGAAAACAGTGTCATTGGAAGTGAAAAGATTGCAAAAACTAATTCAACTAAGAAAACAGGAGGAAAAGAGTTCATCAATGAAAAGTTTGACCAAATTCTTCAGTCAATTGCAACTAGAAATGACTCGATGACTTCTTTTATTCAATCATTGAGCGCTATGAATGTCCCTGCATCCTCATCTTCTAAGGATAAAGAAGCTATCAGTGTTACAGATGCTTTAGCAAAGTTGTGTACTTTAGAAGAATTACTACATGGCAGTCCGGAATTTAGCTTTGCTGTGACAATGATTGAAGACCCACAGAAGTGGCTAATTTTAGCTAATTTGCCAAATAACACGGCAATTTTTGGATGGATTAAGTTCATGTATAATGAGCGAAAGAACGAATAGTAATATCTTTGCATTTTAATTTTTTTTTGGAATTGTTGAGATTTTCTATTTGAGGTGTGATTCACTAGGTTTTTTTTTTTTTTTTTTTTGTGTTGCTGAATTTTGATTGTTTATGTTTGATAATTATTTTTTTTTAAGTTCATTTATTTATTATAAATTGTTTATATCCTATAGTATTCTCTGTATTTTTTTTTTTTAGTTATACTATTACACATTGTTGTTCATTTATGCTTGCAGATATGAGCCACAGTGATTTGATAGAATTATATGGACGACTCTTGCAAGACAAAGAGTTTTGTCTACAACTTTTTCAAATAATAGAAGTTGAGAATAATTATTGGGATTCTATTGCATGTGCAATTGGTTGTCTTATGAATTACTATATTACTTATTTATGTAAAGAGCCATGTTTCACTTCGTACTTCACCGGTGAAAGATGGGTGAACGAATTGCTTAGTGGACATGAAAAAGATGTTTTAATACTTTTAGAATGAATCAAAATACTTTTCGAAAATTATGCTTTGATTTAGAAAATAAGTATGAATTAAGAGCTTCATACAAAATGTCAATTTTGGAAAAAGTTGGAATATTTGTTTTTGTACTTAGTAAAGGTGCTTCGAATAGAGATGTGCAAGAGCGATTTCAACATTCTGGAGAAACTGTGAGTCGAATCTTTAAAGAAGTTTTGAATGCTATTGGTGGTCTTTCAAGAGATATATTGAAGCCAAGAGATTTTGAATTCCGGAAAATACCATCATATATCATTAACAATCCTCGATACATGCCACATTTCAAGGTATTTGTAATATATATTTTTTTTAAATTTCTCTTTCAAAATTATATATTTATATATATATTTCAATTTCATTTGCAAATTTTGCATATATCATTAGGATTGTATCGGAGATATTGACGGCACACATATCACTGTAGTTGTTCCTGAAGAAATACAACTACGATATAGGGGGCGAAAAGGATCACCAACTATGAATGTTCTTGCCGTATGTGATTTTGACTTACTGTTTACTTACGTTTTGACTGGATGGAAGGGGCCCGCACATGATGCACGGATATTTCTAGACACAATCAGTGATCCTAAATTAAATTTTCCAAAACCTCCGTCAGTCATTTTTTTATTCTTTTTAATTTCACATTATTTCTGCTTGTTTATTTAGAAACATTTGTTTTAATACACAATAATTTTATTGCATTTCTAGGAAAATTTTATTTAGCAGACAAAGGTTATCCAGAGAGAGATGGTTTTTTGACACCATATTCGAAGATAAGGTACCATCAATCGGATTTTCGTGGCAATGGTCCAAGGGGATATCGAGAAACCTTCAATTATTATCATTCATCGTTAAGGAGTTCTGTTGAAAGGGCTTTTGGAGTTCACAAGGCTCGATGGAAAATACTCAAAGCAATGCCGAAATATTCGGTGGAAGTGCAAAATTTAATCATTTGTGCAGCTTTTACTTTGCATAACTACATCAGGTTGACCAAGATTGTTGATCCTGCATTTAAATTTATGGATGATGATCCTAATTTTGTCCCGTTGGATATTCGCAATGAGTTTGATCTTGAAGCTATTTTCGAACATGAAAATGTTGGAAGTTCTACCTCTAAACAAATGTCTAGAATTCGAGACAATATCGCTTATGGTTTTATATCAACTCAACCAAATAAACGACGCAGACGATTTAAGGTTGTGTTATAGTTTGGATGACTTTTACTACATTATGCATATTTTAAATATATGTATATATTATGTGACTCTCATTTTATTATGTTTCGGTGTTCTTTTTTTTTTTTGAAGTATTTAGTAATTATTTTTGTTAAATTATAATTTTAAGTTTTGGAATTTAACGAAATTAAAGTTATTTAATTTTATGCATAAAATCATTTTATTGTAAAATATATAAATTTAGTTTTATATATTTTTAGCACGTAATGTTGAAACAAATAAAATAAAATAAAATAATTTGGAATTATAAGTTTAGTAAAATCATAATTAAGCAATATGTAACAACACAATACATATAAATAATAATTATAAAATAAAATATAAAAATACCCTTAATTGTCATTTCACATGTAAACAGCTAATATTAATAAGTTAATTTACCAAACACTTCGTCACACACAGCTAATCGAATCAGCTAACAGCTAATTACCAAATACACCCTAAGTATACTTGATTGTTAAATACAATGTTAATACTACTTCTATTATTTAATTATGTTCTCATTTTATATGTCAAATACCAAAAAAATAGAACAAATTTCAATGATAAGTATAGTAGTATAATATTTTAAGTACGAAGCAAAAATTTTCGTACACCAGGAAGCCATATGCTATGAGAAAATGAGAAAGAAAACAAATAAAGAACACAGAGGTTTTACGTGGTTCGGTGACGGTGTGTCAATCTACGTCCACGGACAGGAACCAGAGAGATTTTATTATACTGATTCAGAGATTTACAATATGTCATCCGACTAAGAATCATAATTGTCTATTTATAAGTACCCAAAACACCCTAAACCCTAAGCCTATTTGTTATTAATTAGGATAAGTCCAAAAGAAACCTGTCAATTAAAACAACCATTTCACTTTGATTTAGAGTCGGATAGACCGCTAAATCCAAGTGATGTTTCAACACCATCCCTTTACGGAACTAAAAGCTCTTATCCTATTGATGCATTTAAAATTGCCAAAAAAACATTCTAAACGTGCAAGAGACAAAACTCCTAGATTGTTGTCCTTTGACCTAAATTGAAAACATGGGACGAACGTCGAGCGAGGTTCATCCGCGCTAACGACAAAATAACTCGGTAATGAATGAAACACGTGCCTTTCCACCTTCGAACCTCTTCATCTATAAAAAGAAGGCCATGAACACAAACCTAACCTTCAATCCAAAAATGGCAGCTTCAGACCATCACCAAACTCCAACCCTTCCTCTCCTCATCAAATTCCACGACGTCGAAAAAGGCAGCAGCACAGTCGAACCCCACACTCTTAACTCCACTAAGACAACCTCGTTTCTCACCACCACTTTCAACGGCCTCAACGCCCTCTCAGGTGTCGGAATCCTCTCAGTCCCCTACGCATTATCCTCCGGCGGATGGCTAAGCCTTATCCTTCTCTTCGCCATCGCCGGCACCACTTTCTACACAGGTCTCCTCATCAAAAAATGCATGGAAGTCGATCCCGACATAAGATCCTATCCCGACATCGGCCACAAGGCGTTCGGGCCCAAAGGCCGACTGCTGGTCTCCATCTTCATGAACCTCGAACTCTACCTCGTCGCCACCGGCTTCCTTATCCTCGCCGGCGACAATTTGCACAACCTCCTGCCGGACGTAAGAATCGACGTCTTCGGCATTGTAATTAACGGACGCCAAAGCTTCGTCCTCCTCGTTGCCCTAATTTTGACCCCAACCGTTTTGATCGACAATATGACAACTCTTTCTTACATATCCGCCACTGGAGTTTTCGCTTCTGTAATCATACTGGCGTCGATTCTGTGGTCGGGAATGTCGGAAGGGATCGGATTCCGACACAAAGGTGTTCTTCTGAACTGGAGTGGACTTCCCACCGCTTTCAGCTTATACGCCTTCTGTTACTGCGCTCATCCAGTTTTTCCGACGCTCTACACCTCCATGACCAATCGACGACATTTCTCAGGGGTAAGCCGTACGTTAATTAGTTAGTTATTATGACATCTCGACAAGTGACATGGATCCTTAAAATTACCAAACCCTAATTTTTAATTTTTTTTGGGTAATTACTTTATTGCAGGTTCTGTTTGTATGTTTCACTTTCTGTACCTTCGCATACGTAACAACGGCGGTTCTGGGATACCTGATGTTCGGCGGGGAGTTACAGTCGCAGATCACGCTGAATCTTCCGACAGACAGGTTGAGCTCGAAGGTGGCTGTCTACACGGCTCTGATCACACCCATATCTAAATACGGGCTGATGCTGAAGCCGATCGTGGAGACGATAGAAAGCCATTTTCGAAGCTGCTGCGAGAAGAGGTTCTACGGTTTGTTCGTGAAGACTGGTTTGGTCGGAAGCAGTGTTGTCGTGGCCTTAACACTGCCTTTCTTCGGGTCCCTCATGTCTCTTGTCGGAGCATCTTTGAGTGTCACTGCTTCGATACTCCTCCCCTGTTTCTGCTACTTGAAGATTTCTTACAGGAAGATTGGGATTGAATCGGCATTCATCGTTTTTGCATTATTGATGGGGCTTGTAATTCTTGTCGTTGGTACTTACACATCATTTTTGGAAATCGTACATAGCCTGTAGAGTCAGGTTTTCATTATAGAATACAGGAGCACAGATGAGTTTGTACATTTGACTAAAAGTTAAAGTCAAAGAGGGATTGCTCCGGCTCTTCTCTTAAAATCTCCGATTAGGTCAAAGGCGTCAATTATCTCTTATATTTATTTGGTTATGTACAATATATATATATATATATTGTTTTATGTTTTGATTATTTGTATCATATATATATATATATATATATATGCTTTTTTGGACCCCATTTGTTGTTACCCACGCAATTATTGTGAAGCTAATTGGAATTTTCTTGCCCATTCTTGGAATAATTAGTTTGAAATTAATGATGCGACATCAGCAGTATAAGCAATTTCTTCCAAGGAATCGTAAATAAAAGAATTTGGTCTATCTTTTGATTTGAAAGAAATCGTGATGTTGTATTAAATACTTCCCCATCTCCCTATATTAGTCAGATGTGATGAAGCAACTACTTGCATCATTTTAGCATTTTAAAATTCTGTGAAGACACAGCAATCAATACAAAAAGAATTTGAAATCAATCATGGAATAAACATAGGCCTAAATTTTTTCATTTCCCACGTTTAGGCGAAAAATTTACTTCTTTTGGTTGTCCTATCATAAAAGAAGTAAAACCATATATATATAAAATGAAGAAATTCTTAGCAGATGAACTAACAAAGTGCAAAATGCAAGATAGCCAACATGCAACCGTACCTCTCCTCCCTGAGCTAAACAGACACAATTCCGCCGGGACAACCTCATTTCTAAAGACAATTTTCAATGGTCTCAACGCCCTCTCAGGTCTCTTCTACCTCTTAAACATATCTCCATCTGCATTCAGCCATGAATGTGAGATCGATCACTTTCAATGATAATTGTTTACAGGGCTCGGGATTCTCTCGGTCCCCTACGCGCTCTCGTCGGGAGGATGGTTGAGCTTGATACTAATGATCATCATCGCCGCCACCACTTTCTACACCGGACTGCTGATCAAACGATGCATGGAAGACGACCCCTGCATAAGAAGCTATCCCGACATCGGCTACAAGGCATTTGGCAGCACAGGAAGACTGATCATCTCAATTTTAATGAATCTAGAGCTCTACTTGGTTGCCACAGGTTCCCTAATACTGTTAGGCGACAATCTGCATCGACTGTTGCCCAATGTCGAGATCCATGTCTACGGCGATATTGTAATAGGCGGCAGGCAAAGCCTCGTTCTTCTCGTGGCCATAGTTATGATGCCCACAGTTTGGATAGACAATATGTCTACTCTTTCATATGTATCCGCAACCGGAGTTTTCACTTCCCTAGTCATACTCGGGTCGATCCTTTGGTTAGGCGTTTCCGTCGATGGAATCGGGCTGCAGCACAAGGGAGTTCTTTTCGATTGGAACGGGCTCCCGACTGCTTTCAGCTTATACACTTTCTGTTTCTGTTCCCACGCAGTTTTTCCGACGTTGTATAGCTCGATGTGGAATCCGAGACAGTTCTCATTCGTGAGTTTCGATCATGATCATCGCTAACTCGGCTAAATACTCGACCTTAACGTCGACTTTCTTGCTTTCCTGCAGGCTCTGCTTCTATGTTTTATGCTCTGTACCGTTGTCATCGCATCAATGGCGATTCTCGGCTACCTGATGTTTGGTTCGGACTTGCAGTCGCAGATAACATTGAATCTTCCGACAGATAGGATGAGCGCGAAAGTGGCTGTATACACGGCTCTTCTAAATCCTATAGCTAAATACGGGTTGACGCTGAAACCAACTGTGGACTCAATCGAGAACCATTTTAAATGGCTGCGCGAGAATAGATCCCGCTCGTTATTCATGAGAACTGCCTTGGTTGGAAGCAGCGTTGTTTTGGCGCTAATGCTCCCATTCTTCGGTCACCTCATGTCGCTCGCTGGATCATTGTTTGGCGTCCCGACATCTATACTGCTTCCCTGCTTCTGCTATTTGAAGATTTCGGGAGCTTACAAGAGGATTGGCGTCGAATCCGCAGTCATTGTTTTCGCCGTGTCGATGGGAATTGTTATTCTCGTCTTCGGCACTTACACTTCTGTCCTACAAATTGTATATAACCTTTAGAAATTCAATCCAAAACATTCTTCTATGTTGCAAGTATAATAAAACTGTTTACTTACCCAAAATTGAGATTATCAGTTTCTTTCACTCCAATTTGATCATCTTTGCGTGCAAGCTTAAAGTCTCAAGCAGCAAGAAAATGTCCGCAGAAGAGTCTCCGGAGAAGAATCTGAAGACCAAACCCCCGAGCTCGAGACAGCTCTCTCCAGCTGTCTTCTTCATCCCTTTGTCTCTCATTCTTCTCCTCAAATGCTCGGCTTTGTTCCGTAGTCCGACTTCAGCATAACTGTTTGCAAGCATCACAAGGCGCTGTAGTCATTGACATCGTGAATATTGCAGGCGCTGAGCAGCGCCCTCCACACCACGGCATCTGCTACAACAGGCATGCTCATTATGTAATCGTAAGCTTCCTTTAGACGGCCGGCGCGACCCAAGATATCAACCATAGCACCAAAATGTGGCATCCCAGGCTTGATTCCATGCACTTGTTCCATCTCATGGAAATACTTTCGACCTTCCTCCACCAATCCAGAATGGCTACAAGCGCAGAGAATGCCGAGATAAGTCACCTGATTAGGCTTGATCGAATACCTCTTAATCTCTTTGAATAAATCAAAGGCGCGCCCGGGGAATCCATGCTGCGCGAATCCAAGAATCATAGCGCTCCATGTCCACATATTCCGGTGAGCCATGCGATCAAAAACTAAGCGCGCGTAGTTAACGCCTCCACATTTTCCATACATGTCGACTAGAACAGTTCCCAGCTGACAACTCACAGCCATGCCTTTAGCTATCACTTGGGAATGAACCCATTCGCCGAGGCTCAAGTTGCCGAGCTCGGCGCAGGCTGACAGCACGACAACCATTGTAGTCTGATCGGGCTCGAATCCACTCCTCCTCAGCTCCACAAAAAGCTCAATCGAATCGTTTAACCACGAACACGTGACAGCGGCCGAGATCATTTTGTTCCAGGAAACGAGAGTTCTACGAGGCATTTCGTCGAACACTTTGTAGGCATCTCTTATCCTTTTGCAGGATCCGTAAACATGAATAAGAGTATTCTGAACATAAACATTGAACTGCAAGCCATGCTTAATTACATCCCCGTGAACCTGTCGCCCCTCGATCAATCCAGAAAATGAAGCGCACGCCTTCACTACGTAAGGGAAAGTATACTCATTGGGTTCGATTCCCAGGCGCCGCATGTCAAGGAAGACATGCATCGCTTCCCCCTGCGAATTGCAATCGGAGGTGGAATAAGCCCTAATCACATTGTTCCAGCATTCGTGATCCAATTTTTCGTAGACATGAACAACACAGCAGCCGTGATTTGCCCATTCAATCGTAGTTTTTACCCCGAGTGGATTAGAAGTGCAAATTTGGATTATTTTGTAGGTAGTTCGAGAATTGCGATGAAGTCCAGACGCTATGATCTGAGCATGAATCTGGAAGAGCTGCTTGTTAGAACAGCAAGAGTCTAACAGGGACCAATATCGTTGCAGCAATGGAAAGTTTGAATTTTGGGGAACAATCTCGGAGACCGCTGAGAGCGGAAACCGAACCATAATGAAACGACTATGCGTTGATTCTCGAATGAATGTGCATGTGGTTATAAATTAAAAGTTTTATTGTAGTGGACAAAGTGGTTCCAATGAAAATCGAACTCACCTACAATTCTGTTTGAGCTATTTCTAGAAACTTCCATGACTAGCTAATGCTATATATATTTAATATTTGTCGATCATTTCGGTAGGGATTTCTTTTAGGTTTCCGATCAAATCATTTAGGGAAAAAGGTATGGCTGCACCGGAATCGCGATTATCGCCGCCGTCGTTGGAGGAACTGAGCACGAGAGGCGCCTACGCGCTCCTCCTCCCATGGATCCTCGGAATTGCGACCGCTTCCAACTCCTCGCCGCACGACGTAGCGGTGTACGTACACCAACCCAGCCGGTCAGTTCTGCTCTTCGATGGCTCCATGGACGTGGAATCTCTCCTCCGAGAAAATCAATCGATGGAAGGCCCCTCGCCGGCGTCCAAAGCGTCTATTGAGTCATTGCCGGCGGTGCGAATAACGGATCCAAATTGGGAGTGCGCGATTTGCTTGACGGAGTACGAAGTCAAAGGCGAAGAGTGCGTGAAGGAGATGCCTTGCCGGCATAAATTTCACGCGAATTGCATCAACAAGTGGTTGGGGATTCGCGGATCGTGCCCTGTGTGTCGGTTAGTTATGCCGGCGGCGGAGAGCAAGGAAAGCGTGGAGAGGGGCGGCTGGACGATCCGCGTGTACTTCAGTCGGGTACGAAGGAATTCGGATCCAAATACGGATATGGATACGGGCACGGGCCATGGTGAAGGGGATTTGGGGAGGTGGCGCTATGACGGCAGCGATGACGGTACGGAGATGGATAATATTAATTGAAATTATTTATTTTATGTTCTTGGAAGATTCCTTGGATTAACGTGGAGTTTCATTTTTATGTGCGTATAGATACAAGTCTGTGTGAATATTGAAACGAATTGCATTGTAGGTCACTAATGTAGAAATAACAGAAATAGACCCCAAAAGAATTATGTGACCAAAAAGAAGCCCTTCATTTTTGGGCTTATTGGATTCTGACCAGTCACAATTATGATATAAATTTATTAATAGGATTATGGGGCTTCAATAAATGGCCCGTAAGGCTGCTTTTCTATATGAAACACTATTGCTCATTTGTGGGCCTTTCATGATCGATTAGCCATTCCTATCGATGGGCTTCAACTCTTTTTAGAGTTGAGCAAAATATTCGATCTATTAAGCTTTATGAAATAAAAATTTAAATAAATTCGAATTCTGAAAGATAATGTATATTAATATATTTTATTACTTTATATATTTGATAGTTTCATAAAAATATAAAATTTCTAATTTTATATTAATGTTTTAATAAAAAGTATAATAAGAAATATAATTATCAAAAAATTGGGAATTCTAACCATATTATGCAATTTCGGTTTTTTAGGTATGATTCGGATTTTGAATTTCCATATTTCTGATTTTTTGTTAGGTTCCGATTTTATAATTTATATTTGGTATTTTTGAATTTCGGATATCAAATAGACTGTTTTTTTAGTGGTTATAATATTTTTTGTTCAATGTTCATTTTCTAAGATCCGAATACTCGTATAGATTATTAATACAACTCTTAAGTTACTTCTGATGTTAACTTTTGTAATCTTTATTTTTTTTGAGAAAAGAAAAAGAAAAAGAAAAAAGAAACTAACTTTTATAAAATATAAATGATATATATATATGTATATATTTATATATAAGAAATAAGCACTGAACAATAAGATAATGGTGATCTAAAATTAAGTGTAGTGAATTGACTCGACACAATTCCAATATAATACACTAATTGCGATTGCTAATTTCAATGAGATTAATGGCCATAATCCCAATAATACAAGTTCGCACACACACGTAAAACATTCATGGCCCAAAACATTCCACGTGTGATTTGCATATATCTAGCAGTATAATTAATTAATTAATTATTTATTTAAGGAAGTCATTAGAATAATCACACAAGCATTAGAGAAAGATTTTGGAGCGCCCACTATATATGTGAAAGTTGGACAAAAATCTAGGACAAAATATTACCAGCAAATGAATGAAGACATGTAAACAAGAAAACACATAAATACATTCTTGTGATTATCGTTATCAGTAAAAAAGTAAGCAATATCGTATCTTCATAAATTTTAATACCCCAAACTGCTGGGACAAAATCAGTAAAAAAAAACCTGTACGGTGCTGCAGCCACTTGTTTCGATCTGCACGTGTTCTTATCCTGTAAAGACAAACCAGAAGTTGAACATATGTAGATATATAGTGCCATTTGTAATAGCCTGCCTATAAATGGATTGAATAATTAATGAACACAAACACCCCCCAACCCCAAGAGAATTTAATGGCTGACTCGAGACCCATAGAAAACTTGTGGCTCCTGCTTAATCAAAAGAAGACAGACCACTTAGGAGTTAGGACTTAGAATATAAAGTTACGATCTTTAATAGAATAAGAAAGAATCATGAGTTGTGGAGTGATAATGCAATTTCAGACCACAAGGATGGATGACCCCACCCACCTATTTTGGATGGTTCTTTTACTTGTTCTTATTACCGATGGAGTTTCTGTTAGTATTTCAATTAGCAGTAGTAGTAGTAGTATAGTATTGACGTTGAAATGGAAAGTGGGAAAGGTGCAGCAGCCTTTCTGTCACTAAAATCAAAAGTGAGGGGACTTTTGGGAAAGGAAAGTTGATCGGGACCAGGGAACAAAAGGGTGGGAGGGTTAAGTTAAAAGAAAAAGGTTGTGGCTGAGTTGGCTAAAAGAGAGGGACTGAGACTCCACTTTTGCCACAAAGAATCGAAATTAATAAACAAGTGGGGAGAGGAGATCTCAAGGCCACAAAAACCTTGTGGCTCAGAATTCATTTCAGCTTCTGACGTGTCCTCTTGATTCCACACTTTGTTATATTTTATGCGTATGCTGTGTTTATGTTTATGCTTTTCTCTGATCCCAAACCTCAAACGGTGGAAGGCATCATTCACAACCCCCCAAAAAGCCCAATCTGAGCAAAAACGGCGCACTCGCTGGCCGTGTCTCTTGGATCTCATCTCATCTCGTTTCGTCTCCATTGATTTTGCTTTTTGGCAGTTTGTCTGTTTCCATTTCGTGGTCTTTCATTTGCGGGCGCGATGTTTTGAACCCGACTCACTCACTCACTCTGGGGTAGAAGCAGGAAAGAAAGATGATGCAGCAGAAGAAGATGATGATGATGATGTCGGAATTGAAGGACCCCACGATTAAGCTTTTCGGGACAACTATTGAACTGCCGGATACTGCCGCCGCTGGAACTTTCGCGTCGCAATCTTGCGGCACTCCCTCCGCGCTCGATTGCGAGAATAAAGACCCCTTCTTGTGTTCTTCGTCTGCTTCCATGGTTGAAGATGGCGGAGAAGCTTACGGACAAGAATCGCCTTTGGCTAAGGTATTTCTGGATTAAATTGAGTGGCTTTTTTCTGCTTCATGCGATGAAAAAGAATTCTCATATGTTTGTCGTTGTTTTTTTCGATCGACTTTGGGACTAGTTTTGTCATGGCTGTTTGTTTGATTTAGGGTTTTCAAGACTCGATTTTTCTTAATACAGACAGATTTTGCATAGGCCGTTTCTGCATAATTGGAACACTTGCTCTGTTTCTTGAGTTGGTTGCTCTTATTCTTGGCTGAACATGGTTGATTTTTGGAATTAAATCCACAATCATTTGCTCTTATGGATCAATGATTTTTTGATATACCTGTTGTGATTTGGTGGTTTCATCTCTGCTGATTTTCGCCATATTTGTGCAGAGCCCTTCTGACCCAAAACAAGACCGTTCAGACGAGGAAGATGGATCAAAACATTGTAATGAAGCTCCCCCAACAGATGAGGATTTAAACGCCCCTAATTCAGCTGGTAGTGATCTCGAATCGGCCAAAGCTTCAACAAGGCCCGAAGAAGAGAATTCACAGGAGAAGAACCTCAAGAAGCCGGACAAGATACTTCCATGTCCGCGCTGCAACAGCATGGAGACAAAGTTCTGTTATTTCAACAACTACAACGTTAACCAGCCCCGGCATTTCTGCAAGAACTGCCAGAGATACTGGACTGCCGGAGGGACCATGAGGAACGTCCCTGTCGGCGCCGGTCGCCGTAAGAACAAGAGCTCAATTTCCCAATTCCGCCATCTAATCATCCCAGACGCCGCCCGAATGGATCTTACAAATGGAGTTCACCACACTGGCGCCGTCCTCACATTCGCCTCCGACTCGCCCCTTTGTGAATCCATGGCATCCGTCTTGCGCATTGCCGAGAAAACTATTCGAGACACCACAAGAAACGGATTCCACGCCCCTGGCGAAGCCCCTGTTTCAGTTTCTCATGGAAATAAAGACAACAACGACAATGGATTCACCAGATCGTCGACAACCCCTGCTACCTCAAGGGATGAGTTAAGCCAAACTGGCGGTGGTAATCCCTTTCCCTCACAGGTACCCTGCAATTTTCCGGGAGCGCCATGGCCTTACTCATGGAGCTCTGTTCGATGGAGCTCCCCTGTTTCTCTAACAGGTTTAGGCCCGACTACTTTCCCTGTGCCGTTCATTAACCCTGCACAACCTTACTGGGGCTGCACCCTACCCGGCTCTTGGAACATTCCGGTGGTTATCCCACCGGGAACAACTGATCAGCATCCTCATACGCCCCCGAGCTCCGGGCCAAACTCCCCGACTCTTGGGAAGCATTCGAGGGACGACAACAGTATGGAGCTTCCCAAAGAGAAAGAGGAGGAGGTACTAAAGGAAAGTATGGGTTCGGACAAATGTCTGTGGGCGCCAAAGACATTGAGAATCGATGATCCAGGAGAAGCTGCAAAGAGTTCGATATGGGCAACCTTGGGTGTCAAGAATGACAAAGCTGATTCCGTGGTGGTCGGGGGAGGTCTTTTCAAGGCGTTCCATTCTTCTTCCCAATTGAAGGGCGATGAAAGGAACGGTGTTCCTGAAACATCGACGGTATTACAAGCGAATCCGGCCGCGCTTTCCAGATCATTGAGCTTCCGTGAGAGCACCTAGTCGGGATGATCAATTAGGAACAAACACTCCACAAGGGGCATAGTGAAACGTGGATTTTGTCCGGTAACGTTCTTGTTTTGAAGATCTTGTAAGTAAAATATATCGAATACTTTTGAGAGTTGCAAGATAGCTAGCTAGAAACACTACTGATGATCGAGGTATTTGTTGGATAGATAGTCCAGACGCTGTAAATTATATATAAGTGATGAATGCTTTTGAGTTTTATCAGCCTGTTTTTCATTTTTTTGATGATTTCGATCCAAGAATTTATCATTGGACAATAAATTTGGGGGCTTTAATTTGAAAGAAGGATGAACACATATTCATCTGGCAACCTGATATATGATGTATTGATTATTGAAGACCACCTGTTATCAGTTTTTGGGGTCCCTCGGACTTGAAGCCTTTCTAGAACACTGCCTATCACTTCTTTCATTTCAGAGGATGTAGAAAACATTTTAATGACAAACCAGGTGGGCCTTTTTGTGGGCATCATCGACCCCTTTTTTCCCTAGCCTCCTTAAATTTGTGCCCCACCAAAAAATTAATATTTAAATCAGAGTAGTGTGCATCGATCAAGAAATCCACTTAAATGTGGGTTTTTTTGTGATTTTATCTGCTGAACATAGAATAGGCTCTCTACCTTTCTGTTCTTGATCAGTGGCATTTGATGTCGAAAGTCGATGGAAAAGACAAACTGAGAAAATATATAACAGCCTACATCACCCCTTGTCTCAGTAAATCCGGCAGACTAACTGTAGTCGTGGACATTATATTGGATTGTATGACTTGTCTGTGTGTATGTATATGTGCGTGTGGCTGGGTTTCAAAAACAGTCAAAACCCTCCCCCCTCACGTGACAAGACATAGATACATGTCTGAACTGGAAATCAATCAGCTAGCTAGCTATAGCTATTCTTTGCACAGAAAAATGGACTGTAAAATCAAAGATTTCAAGGCACCACAGTGAACCGCAATGCTGTTGAATGAATATTAATTAATGAACCTGGCCACACGAGTAATATAATCACTGTTCTCAATCATTACACGACCGAATTATGTGAAATTGATATAAGCCATACTGTCTACTTTTTGCACCAGATTTTGCGGACCCTTGGAAGCAAGAAACAGTGTAGAGCAGATGGAAATTGATTAGAGGGAGCGTGGGAATATGGGAGTGAAATTAATTAAAGTGATCCAAGGAATATTTAATTCAACAGTTTATTTGAGGTACTGCTATCTAATTAAGCTAGCTACTAGTACTAGTTATTATTCGACTCACATGGAATGCAGATATCAGCTTCATCATATTACATGATCATATATCTCATCATCCGTGAAACCTTAATTAATGTCGAATTTTTCTGGTGGGGTTAGTGTACATCAGATGGCTCCAACTCCAAGAAAATCTATGAACGTTGGTGGTGGTGGTGGTGGTGGTGGTGGTGCAGTGCTGATCTGCATAAAATCAGGTAACTGATCATCTGCAGCTGATGATGATGGAAATGACGACACTGGTGCAGCAGCAAAGGAGCACTGCCATGGCGATCCCACGCTGGTTCTTGAATCCTCTTCTGTAATTTGTCTGTTAACGTTCCAGGAACCATTTTCGTTCTCAAAAGTCCCTGACCACATATATTTAATTATTAGTGCAAATTTAAGAACCCTAATTTCATGGAATTACGTGATAGCAATTTTGGGAAATGATCATATCGATTTGCAGTGATTAATAAAGGAATGCAACTAACCAGAGTATAGATTGACTCCCGAAATGCCTCCGACAACGTTGTCGTAAGTAAACCCTAAAATCTGCCCCTCATCGTGGTTCTTTGCAAAAAAATCGCAGTTGCTTGCCTGACCATTACAGATCAATTTCTTCCTATTGTAGGGCTTCGATTGCTCCCGCAATCTCCTCGCCATTAGAACGTGCCAATGGTTCTTCACAGCGTTGTCTGTCCGCCCTGGAAAAAGCCTGGAAATCAACGCCCATTTGTTGCCATAAACCCCGTGAGCCTCCAACAGTTTTTCTTCCTCTTCTTCTGTGAATGCCCTTTTGTTGATCTTCGGGTCTAGCTGATTGTACCACCTCAATCTGCAGCTTTTACCTTCGAAGATGGATTAATCAAAACAAAGATTAATAATATTCACAGCTTTCCAGGAATTAAAGAAATTGAAGGAATATGCATATATATGTATATATATATAATTATTTATCGAAACCTGATCTTCCATCAAGTTTCTCAGCAATCAAATTCCAGTTCTGCGGGCCGTACAATGCAACAAGCTCCTTGAGCATTGCATCCTCTGAAGGCTTCCAGTGCCCCCTGGCGCAAGATTTCGACTGCTTGTAATAATCCATGTTTGCCCTGATGAAACTTCCACTAGGTTGTTTTTCTCCATGATGTTTCTTCAAGCTGATCTTGCTGCTGCAGCCTCCTCCTGTTGCGGCATTATCACAAAGTAGTAGTCCTCCTTCAATGCAGCAGCCATCACCCACAAATAAATTACCCATACTTCTTCCACCGTCATGATCATCTTCATCACCAGCTTTGATCATCATCTTTGAATCTTCAAACCCTAAAGACAACATGGGATTTGCAGCAATGGAATTGGAGTTAGAGGAGTTATAATTACTGCTTCGGGCAGTGATACCACGAAGTCGTTTAATAAAATCCTGCTGCTGCTGGTGCATGGAGATCAGTCGCCAAGAAAAAGAGGGGGGGCAAGAAAAACGAGGAGTTGACAGAGAATAAAAAGGGCAAAAGTTACAAGAGTGGATTAGAGAAGACAGACAGTGTTCTTTCCTGAAGCGTTATATATTAGCAGACAAAGAAATTGTGTTTTGTTCTTTTACAGAAATCCACATGATTTAATTAATTAATTTACTCTCTCTTTGATCGATCTTCCTCTCTCTCTCTCTCTCTCTCTCTCTTAATCAGTACTGATCAGTCTATCTATCTGCTTGCAGTAGGTTGGGAGGGCCTGCCTGCCCAGTCCCTAGGGTCAGTGGCCATGACCCCTAATTTGACTTATTATCATCCTCCATAAATGCTGCTTAAAAGAAACACCTCTTTCATCAACCAGACATAATACATCTCTTGATTTGCACCAAAATTGGGTGCTCCTCTATATGCATTTTTGGCTTTGTCTCTCTTCAATTACTCTAATCTTTTGCTTCACATTACTTGATTTAAATCACATTCTCACTCATCACTTCTTTCACTCATCAATTCAATTACCACTTCCAGCGTAACTTTAGGTGAGGGCCTCCACAAAATTGGGAGTAAAAATAAATAAATAAATAAACAAAACCGAAATGGGATAAACCCTAAGTAATTTTTTGTATCATAAAAATCAAGTCTTGAAACCATCTTTTCTTGCATGATATGGAAATTAAAAGAAGTGACCTAATTACACAGATTAGATTACAGGTTAGTTAAGGGGTGTAGGTGTATTTTTTTGTTTTGTTTTATTTATCTAAGCAATTATTGAGTATCTAATTTATTGTTTATGTGTTTATTATAGTGAGAGAATTCATTAGCTATTTAAGGTATTTCATGATGACATAATTAGCTGATGTTAGACTGTAGAGTTGTACATGCACATCAGCATAATAAATAATTAACCACAATTCTTAGCTTAGTTATGCAACTGAATGTAAATTGTTGTTATCTTTCTAAATTTGATCTAAATCATATAAAAAAACTGTCAGTACTTGCCTACACCACAGGTATAAATAAATACTATATTTTGTTGTCTGTGTATCAATATATATATATAATTATTTAAAATGTTAATTGATCTTGGGACAGGGCTATGGTGGCTAGGTAACACTGCTCATTGAAAAAATTGGTGCATAAGAGGACAATAAAAATAAATAAAATAAATTATAAGGGGTGCTGAGGACACAGGAGGTTGCTTTTCTTGCACGAACAATTTTTATTTACGTGGGACTTGAAATTAGGGTCTTTGCTGACACTTTGACCTAATGTTGAATAATAGAGACTAGTGTAATAACAACTGAAATTATTATTATGAGATATATATGTATGTAATAAAAACTGATCCATGCCAGTCTTTTTTTTTATTATTTTATTTTATTTTTATTTTTTTTATCAGCATTGACTTTTCTCTGCATCATCTTATTAATCACAGCCTCCATATTTAATTATTGGTCAATGTTTCATCACTTCTCAGAATGGAAAAGTTCTTGCTTCTACTTTTGCTTCACTCATATGGTTTACATTTTATTTATAAATTTATATCATTGCACTGAAAATGATGCCTGACCACATGTTTTTACACAATCTTAATAAATTTGGAATCGTTTACTTATACTTATCTTGTTGTTGATCATGATTTCATCCAACGTAGTTATGAATAGGTATTGTTCAATTAAATTTGGGATGGAGTTGAGTGTTGAAATTTTCATTTTGTACTTATTACTTTTTTAAGTATTCGAAAAAATCAGATTATAAAAATATTAGTTTCATATTTAGAAAAATTGAAAATTACTCTAATTCGAATTAGTTAACTATAATATCGCAAAATTTAATTGGGAAGAAATATATATCCAATCCGTGGAAGGCCCATAAAATTGGGCTTTAAATCAGCTTTCATGATTCGACGTATAATGGGCTTTTGGGCCCAAATATATTGGGCTTTAACCAAACAAAACCTAATTACGAAGAAGAAGACAAATGCCTGCAGACTGCAGCTACATTTCCCAAGGCCAATGTAGAGACAAATGTATTGTTGTATTTACACAAGTTTGGGAAAGTGTCCTATCGATGAGATGGATAAACTTCGATCCCCCAGTCACGTTTTTAGTAAAGATTGCGAGGACTCACTGAATTTGTCACACTGCACTGCAAAAGATACGATCTGACGACTGACTGAGATGATATATGAGTACAGAGAGAATAATGTTGCCAGGGGAACAGTATTGTCTGTAAAATTAATTACTACTCCTTTTCGAAGATGTGTCTGTTTATGACAGTGTCTGAAACCAGACTTACCCTTTTCTTCTTTGGCTTTAGATTATTGCTTCTTTGGGTTTTGTTTGTCATTTTGATATATAAATAGGGATATGAATTGCCTGTCTGAAACTGCAAATCTGCAATTACTTGCCAATATATGAAAAAGCCAACAAATATGATCATGTACATTGATTCAATACAGCTTTGATCGTGTAATAAAAACACACATTGTTTCTGTCTGCTCATCATAAATTCCATGCCTCTTAAATCTTTGATGCTTGCTGTCAAACTTTATTTCGTCAATAAATTATATGGCCAATGGAAATAAACTCGTGCAGTGCAATTATATTTATTGTCTTTAATTCGTTGTCCTTTGTTTAATCAAGATTATTGGTGTGTGAATTAATAAAGATTAATAAAAAAAAAAGAAGAAAGAACTGATTGAAGAATAGAATACAAACCCATTTGAATAATATATATTAATAGTTTATTAGTCAATGCTCTTCCGTGTGGGATTACGATATATATTTTGATATATACATAGATGCATATATTTTGTGAAAATTAATTAATGTCGTCCCTGAAAATGGACATTGAGAAATCATACTGTAGCTGTGTAGCAGTAGTAGCATCACTGAGATGTGAAGCGTATAATTTATAATAATAATAATAATTAATTAATTAATGAAATCACAATTGGGATATGTGTATATATAGTTTGGTGGGGCCATGATTAATCTAGCGGAATTGGCGGCCGGAATATGTCTGACCGAAAGACCACCCCGGCGGCGCTACGTTGTAGGAGACCAAACTCCGGCCGTCGCTGGTGACGACCCTGAAGGACAAGCTCTGCCCATTCAGGTAAGAATTACTCTGCCAATTCTGCCCCCAGTTTCTCGACATTGGCTGCCACGCTGTCCTCGACCCTTTAATGTACACGGAGTGCACGTCGCCGGCGCCGCCGACGTTTGTCACCAGGACCAGGTTGAAGTACGAGTGTCCGTTGATCGTGAACCTGATTCCTCCCCTTTTCCGGCACGGCACTCTGTCCGTACATACACATATACATATATATATATATATGGTGAATAAATTAATTAATTTACAGATCATAAATATTTAATTGTAATGGTAATTGCAAATTGACCTCCGGTAGAGGACGGGGACGATGCCGGCGCGGTATTGGGCGATGCGTAGGAAGGCCGGCTGAGAGAGGTCGAAGTGGTGGTGGGGAGGGTCGCACCACCCCCCCGGCGGGCAGAAATTGGTGGCGGTGACGGTGATGGCGCCGCGCAGGCACCACTGGGGATCGTGCGCGCAGATCAGCTGGAAGCACGCGCCGCAGCTCAGCCCGTTGTTGAAGAGAGCCGTGCTCAGCGCCGCCGTCGCCGTCCCGTAACCCTGACTGTACAAGTTTCCATACCCGCAAGCTCCACCTACGTACCAAATATCATCGATTCTTCTTACATACGTACATAATATATACATATATAGATAGATACATTGTATGTATGTATAAAGTGTATAGTGTATGTACGTACCCATTGTTCCAGAGGCATCACCGCCGCCGTAGAATGTGGCGTGGGCATTAATCCATCTTCCATAATACCCATACCCATACCCATAAGCAGATGCAGATCTCATCATGATCAGTGACCAAAATCCAATTACCAAGATCTGGCTCAGCCATACAAACCTACTCATTTCCCTCATTCAGAAATTTAAAATGAAGAATACCTGCAGGGTGGGTTCTTATTGATTCAAATGAGACACCACCATATGATATAAACATATATACCATACGATCGATCGATTGGTGGTTGATGGGAATAAATAGAGGCAGGCAGGCAGGCTTGCTAGCTAGCTCAAAAGAGGGTAGAAACCCTAGGGCACATATACATACTATACATATGCATATTGATGGCGACATGCATCTGACAGTGACAGATAAGTTCCACTCCTTCATGGGATATGGGACCCTGCATACTTGCAACGTAATTTATATAATTAATAATTAATTCCAGGTTAATTTTAACTTAATTAAACCTCCATTTCTATAGTCTCATGAAAATCTTCTATCACTTCAAAATATGTGAGAGTAATACTCTACCTACAGTGGACTGGTTTTACATTCAAAACTAATGCCAAACGTACAGGTATAGGAAATTAATTAAATTAAATTAAATACAATGATCAGTTAATAAATTATCGGTTATTTATACTGCATTCCTAATTCATTTATTCTATAGGTATAGGAAACACAATAAATGAAAATTAAATATGGGGTATGCATTTCAAATTAATCTGGTTAGCTTGTGAAGATAATGAAAATGAGACCCTAACCAAACATGAAGAATAGCCTTTTAAATGCAGTCGACTAAGATTCCATCTAACTCTGATGTTTTATTAGTTCCAAAAAATTGTTTCGAGAAAGGCTTAAATGTAATTAATTAACACTACTTTTTAGCTAGTGGTGCCAACATTAAGCAAATCTCCCACATGATTAGGTTTATCATTTTATTGTTATTTATTTATTTTGCATTTCTCCTAATATCAACGTGACAGGTCATATATTATTTGGACTTTATCTTCCCCACTTTCACACTTTGCTAATTTCTTGAAAATTCTTTTGTTTGTTTATTTATTTGCTTCCTGTTTAGTGTATGCCTGCTTGATCCCTTTATATGCCACTGAACTGCACTTTAAGAGAGTCAAATGAACTGGCAAATATTGTCTTTTTTTACTTTTTCTTTTTCCCCCCAAATTTTTCTAGTGATTTTGTATAAATTCAACCAAAATTGTAGATCGAGGCCCATAAGAACCGGGTCCATATAGGTTAGGTTTGGAAACCAACCAGCATTCAGACGTGCAGCACATTGATGGAGCTATAAAGTGTGATATTAAAAAACACCAAACTTCAAAACCAAATTAATAAATAAATCTTTGATATGCAGTGAAGTTGGTTATTGAAAAAATTACAACCACCAAAAGAGAGAAATCAAGATCCCTTTATTGTGCCAAGATGGGTTTTTGTTGTTAATAATAATGCAAAATATTTAACGAGAGATTCAAATATTTGAAAAACATGACCATTATTTTGTGGAACATGAAGGTTGAGCTTAATGTATACGTAGCCTTGGCAAATCATATAGCATTAACGAGTGCTGTCCATCCAATAAGGGAAAGAATAAATGAATCCAGCTATGTATATTTGTGGTGCACAAAGTGCTAAAAGCAAATGTGTAATATTTGACTTGTAAAAATTCGACCCAATAAATCTCCCACAGTTTCACCAATAATTTGCGGAGAAAATTATGCAAGAAATACATATATATACCATCATATAAAATTTGACAAACAGTGGGTCCATACATGTGTTGAGAGTCATGTAAAATGAATGCACAAGCTAAAAGGTAGTTGCTACAGTCTAGTTTGATAAGCATTTATTGCATTTCAACAATGGTTCATCAAGCAAAATAATGTACAGAATAAGAAAAATTACCTAAGGCTTTGTGTTATGAAAGGAAGTGAATCACGTGTTAATCAGCATCCCCTGCTTATTTACCAATTGAAATATATCGAATTGCTAACAAAATATATCCGGCACTGCACATTCATGAGTGAAAATTTTACCCAACTTAACAAATATATGTATCATCAATCATTTTTCCATTTTGTATTCCATGGAACCGATGAAGACTCAACAGACCAGAAAACCATATGTGATTGTCCAGGGCGGACAGAGCGAAATTCATGAACCATGGTAAGGGGGTTGAGTCGGAATAGGAACCCCACCAGGAAGCGCACTAGGGAGCTGGCATAGTGTAGGGGAGTTGATCAAAGGATTGCGGAATGTAGGTTTGACCTGGGAATGTGCCAGTGGAAGACACAATGGTTGGTCCACTGGTTGCCAGGGATGAGTCCCACGAGGACGCTGGCATTCCTGGAACTTGAGGATGGGCAACACCACCCGAAGTATACGACACCCCAGGAGGAGTTGAGGCACCAGCAGTGACCTGAGGACTTTGCCATCCAGAAGCAGTAGCAACAGTTCCGGGAGATTGTGGAACAGGAAGGGATGCAGGGTAAATAGTATAATCTCGGCTTTTTTCACCATAAGCCTGCATCAAACATGCATTATCAATTAGTTTTGTGAATAAGCGATGAGATTCAGCCTTTGTCAGCTTCGATTCATCCATTAAATATATATATATAGTTTTGTCAATAAGAAACATCGGGTGTAAAGTCATGCAGTGTCAAGAATAATATACCAAGGGTGAAAGTGCAGATTTAGTAACAAGGTTTTGTGGTTGCAAAAGTTCCCTTTAAATGTCCTCTAACTATAGAGGTCACATATCTATTTCAGTAGCACATTTTTATACCTTCACAATGAGATCAGTATGACGAGAGTATGATAGATGAAGCTTACAATAGCCACCATCATATATGCAATGACCTTCTAAAGCACTTTTGGCAGCAACTGCTGTTGGAACATCTGTAAACAAAATGATAACAGGGGTTCACTTCATATATACACGAAATGGCAAAAAGTAATCATGCATAAGAAATTTAAAATGAGAAAAACTCAAAACTCCAATTGTAAAAAGAAACATCTTAGTCAAAATTTATAATTAGAATTTATACAGCTTTTAAGAACAAAACTTTTCTCATCTCCCAACTAAATGCTAAAACTGAGAGCACAAAAGCAAAACATGAGTGCACCATCACAAAGAATTGGTGATACCAACTGGGAAGATCACATGAACTGCCATTCTATAATTTAGCCCATTTAACAAACTATCCCTTCCACACTAATAGAAATCACAATGATAGTTACAATTGCAGACCAGATTAACTTTTGAGAGAAGGCTGCCCAAACCAAATACAACGTGCTGCAGTCAATAACTTCCAAATAATGTTCTGCCATTCTATAATTTAGCCTATTTAACAAACTATCCCTTCCACACTAATAGAAATCACAATGATAGTTACAATTGCAGACCAGATTAACTTTTGAGAGAAGGCTGCCCAAACCAAATACAACGTGCTGCAGTCAATAACTTCCAAATAATGTTTAAGCTAAACCATCCAAAGTCTATATCGCCCATTAGGGGAAGGTTGAGACTTGGAAAGTTTGCAAGAATCATACCAGGATATTGAATTAATGCCTGAGTTCCACCATTTTTCTCAAATATTAAGATCTTTTGAACAGTTCCAAATGTTGAGAACACCTGACCAAAGGCAAATATCAATTGCATTAACACATTTCAACTGGCATGTAGGTGCGAGAAGAAAAAATGATGTGAACATAAATTACTGTGTGAAGAACATCCAATGTGATGGCAAACTGCATATTTTCAATAGAAGCAAGCAGCACGTTACTCTCAAATTCCATCTTCTTTCCATCAGGACCTACAGATGGCTGGATAAAACAAATAATTAATACTCATCCAAAACTAGCAGCTAGCAGAAGGTTCCAACTTCCAACTCAGAAACGCACCTGAAGAAAACCATCCATGGCAGTCGGATTGACAGGAAGATAAGGGTTGGTGTAATCCCTGAATAAGCAAGATAAAGATTATCTACCATTAATTACAAATTTATAATAGATTATAATTAAAAGAGACCAGATTTATTTATAATGATGCACACTATTTAGTTAAAGGGCTGACAAGAGTGAAACAATCACTGCAGTGTGTGCATGGGCTCCATGTGGTAGGCATTTCAACTTTGAAACACCAAGAGGCAACCCGATCTAGAGTGTGACATCAAATTGTATCCAACCCAACAACAAATTATAACAATGAGCCTAAGTATACCTGTACCAATGCTCTAAGGGTGTGTTTTTTGGGAGGTTTGGATTTTGATTTGGGATTTGAATAGTAAAAATTTTGAATTTGAATAGTTGTACGATGTGATATAAATAGGTGTTGATGTGATGTTTTGAATGTAAAATTGATTTTTAGTATAATATAAAAAATGAAAAATAAACGTTTGATTTGATGTTTTTGGGGAGAAAAAATTGGATGAATAGTGTATTTAAAATCCAATCCTCCAAACAAACACACCCTAAAAAAAACTTCAAATTAGACAACTAGTTTAATTACAAACTTCAGGATTTTAAGCGGGTTTCCCCAGAAAATATAACACATACCTTGACTGTGTTCACATCTGAGACAAGTGACTAAATATTGTCACTTCAAAGTTCAATACAGCAATAAGGTGATAAACAAATTACAAATCTAACATCAACCAATGTGTTAAAACATTTGGCTTTTTATCTTTGAGGAAGCTATATAAATACATGTATCGTATTTTCTATTTGAATCTGAAAGAATATGCTTTGCACATTCTTCTTAATCATCAATTTGAGAATACAATATCATGATGCCTTAATAATAATGCATTCAAATACAGTATTGAGAAAGAAACAAAAATTATAAGATGAAGAATATTACTACGTGGTCATGCAAAAACACATCTGTGTTATAGCTGCCGAGCTTCACTAAACCCTAAATGACAAAAACCGTCAATTAGAAAGATCCAATTTGCGGAGAAAATTAACTTTCAAGAAAAGGATAAGACAAAACAGTTGATTGAGACAGATAATGAGATACACTAATTCGAATGTCTAGAACATCAAGGTATTAATTGACACACAATGAGTACCTGCTACGATGAGACTGAAACTTAATATTCAAGTCTGTGTGAGCAGAGTAGGAGAGGCGCAAACGACACTCTTCTACATGGCTGGGGAGAAGGTATCTGAAATTCAAAATTAGACAGGAATTTACCTGACTGAGACATCCAGTTAACTATGAAGTGGGGATGGATTGCAGATGAAGTATCATAGATAGAAAGCTGGAGTGATAATAAATGTAAGGCTACTCGTACTACAAATAAACATAACGAATGCATACCTTGGAATACTTCTCCCATCTAATGAATCCCTTGCTGTTGATGCAGTCTGAACATCACCATACTGAATTAATGCCTGTCAAGAATTCATCATCAACAAATGCAAGCTAGAAAAAATAATAGTTATGAAAAATCTCATGATTTCATCGAATTTGACCTGAAACCCAGCAGCCTTCTCAAATGTAGCAATCTTGTGAACAAAACCAAAAGCTGAAAATACCTGAAATATGTAAACTACAGCTTAACCACCGGAAACAATAATAAGAATAGAGAATCAATTGATACGTCTTCATAAGTATGACAATAGCCAAGGATTGGTGAGATATAAGTGCAGAAAGCCAACTTTTACAAATGCTAGAAGACTATATCATATTGCAGCCACAAGACAGTTCAACAAAACTATCATCAACAAAACACATAAAAAGATCATCATGATTTAATTTGTCTTCTCAAGATTGATAGCATATGATATAAACAAACTACCGTCAGCATTATAGTTTATTAGATACACTGATACAGACCATGAATAACCTGCCAGATAAAGTATCAATTGCCAAAATACGTGGCTGGCCTAAAGTATTCAAAATTTAACTTGGCCACACAAAATAGAAATCATGTCGTGATTCCACGGCTCCTATAATGCTAAAGAAAGGAAACCATACCAGGTGAATTACGTCAATGCTAACATCACCAGCATCAACACCCTCAATGGTAGCAAGCAAGACATTTCCAGGAACATCCCCTGGACTTCTGTTCTTAACTATTTCATGTCTGTTTGAGTACTGAATATACACAGTTTTTCCACGTATCTTTGCAGGTTCGGTTGATGAAGCATAATAAGAAACCATATTAATAGCCTGGTTAAGATCTGCCTGCGAATTAATTTGAAATCTCAATCAATAGAGAAAGGCCACTGTACAACAAGCTCAACTCAAGTTCAAAAAGAAATACACATACACATACACAAACCAATACAATTTACAGCTAATAAAAACCTTCAAAACTATATCCATTTACTTCCACATCAATTAGCATAACTATATCCTATAGATATTCTAAGATCACTGGCCAGATCTAACTACTGGATGTGCAAGAAGGTGCAAGAAGGCGTTGATTCTTCAAGTACTAAGATCATCTCACACTGTCAAGCACAATGTACTGCTCGTACCTTATCAATATATCCTTAAGAGAACGAGATCATTTTTAGTTTTATTCTGAATGAAGCAACAGAACGAACATTCCGCATTATTTTCCAGTTGTGGATTTATCCTTTATCCCGTTTAACTATTTATTCCTTGGTCTATGGTAAACTGAAGTACGTTTCCCATTAGCAACTTCTCAACTTGTAGCTTCTAGAATCTCTAATCTCATTCCTTGTGGTCTAATAAAATAAGATAGTACTTGTAGTGATTCATCAGAAGCAATCAATATTTAAGCTTCGAACTTTCAACAAAACCCAATGCCCAGCATATTGTTTGTTTTCTTTGACAGGCATAAACAATTAGGCTGTTCTTGTTAATCGTCGAGTGTAAATGTGCTTCTTGAGTATTCCCAGCCGTTCCTGCTGGGTTAGCCATCGGCATATCCGGTAAAAATTCAAAGGGAAACCAAAAGCATGTAAGGGAAAGGGCGTACAAATTCCACAAAAGCTTGATTACGATTAGCCCCAACGCCGCACATGGTGTTGACGATCATGCCAAATGGTCTGCAGAGCTCAATAAGCTCCTCTTCACCGCACTCCCACGGGAGATTCCGCAGGTGCAGAACCTTGGACGGCGTCTGCGTATAGCGAAACTGAGTCTGGCCGGACATTGTCGAAATTCTAGGGTTCCGTCGAGTAAACGGTTGTGCGCTTCCAATATTCAACAATCTAGAAGAAAGGCGAAGGGTCTTCCAAACCTTTGACTCTACCAGAATTTGCCAAAGCTATATATATACATCGACAAATACTCTCTCTCTTTATTATTTACTCATTCCGTTGAAATTAACTTATTTAGACTGATAATTAAAAATAAATAAATATTTTATTGAAAAAATAATAGTTAATTGAAGAGATTTTTAAAAATTTAATTAAAAATAAAATAAATAAAGAGAAAAAAGAAAATGTAATAAAGTTGGTAATATTTATGGTAAATAAATAATGAATAAAATATAATAATTAAATGTTAATTTGTTAAATTTGTCAAAATTAGTAACTGAATAAATACAGTTGATGACTAAAAAATTGAGAATAAATTTGACCAACGGATGCAGTATTATTTTTACTACTATTATTTTATTAATAATTATTTTTAATCTTAACGCATCAATAATCAAAATTTTGTTTATTTTATATAATAGAAGTATTATTAATTATTTATGAAATCTGTTTATTAAATTATATATTAAATATTAGTCTTTAAAATGGGTATTTAAAACATGTATTTCAATAAAATAGAGTAGTATTTAATATAAATTTAAATTTAATTTTTGAATTGCAAAAAATTTAAATTCAAATAATTTTTTTATATAAAATAAGATATTAATATTCTTCTCATCCAATCGATCATTCTCTCCCTTCTATTGGAATGGGATTATCAGTTCCAAAAATCTTTCTATGCCTCTATCCCTTCTAGAAATTATGTTATACATATGCATTGTAATAATAATATGAATAAACCACTCCATCTATTCCATAAATTTATGCTTTTTGTGCATATGTTTAGAAATAGTGGTGTTATATTCTCTCCGTCCACATACAAATATATATTTACTTACTTTTAGTGCGGTATTTAAGAAATAGTAGTATTTTAATTATAATAGATAGTTAGTAATGATATTTTTGCCTTTGTTTTTTTTTTTGTTGTAAAAGTAATGATGTGATGTAAAGTAAGAGTATCTGTGAAAAAAATAAAATATTTAATGAAATCTTTATCTTATAATTGGACGTCACAAAATAGAAATATGTATACTTTCTTGATGGAGCGAGAGAGTATTATGTTACAATAGAAATTAAGTATATTAAATACTATCTCCGTCCGCTCAAAAGATACTGTTACGAAAATTTCCAAAAAATCATGATGAAATAACAAAGACAAAAGAACACAATATTTGGTATGATCTACACGTAACCTAGTTCAATCACAATGATGTAGTCGAACTGGATTACCAAATCTTGTGTTCTTTTGTGTTTGTTATCTCATCTTTATTTCCTGAGAATTTCCGTAATATATACCATTTTTTTTTTTTGACGTTCTTTAATATTAATTATTATATATAAATTAAAGTAAAATGACAAAAATTCTTATATTAGTGTATTATAATGACATTTGTAAGAAAAAATATTTAAATCTAATAATACTTTTGTAAGGAGTAAATAATATACTTATATGTTTCGGAATAATATGTATCAGATATGTTATTCAAAAAATATAGATGAGCAAAATCTTTATAAGTATACAGTGAGGTCATGAGTTTAAAATTAATCATGAGTTTAAATCTGATTCCTCTGGATCCACCTGTCATAACGATTCATCTACTGTAATTTGTTTGTTGCACTTAATTTGTAGAGTATGATTGCAGATACACGTTATAAAAATAATAATAATATTTGATATGCAGCTTGGATTAGTCTAGCGATATATATATATATATATATATTTTTTTTTTTGTGTTCGGAAGTTAGTAATATATTAACGAAGCAAATTGGTCGGGTCAAAACCCTAGGAGGTATCGGATTCGCATCATTGGTCGCGAATGCAGAGCAGACTCTGCTGTCGCTTATCTGGAAGCTCTCTCCGAATCTGATTCAACTACCTTGAAATTCGAGTTGCGAGGTGAGATATTCATCGGTAGACTTGATCACGCGCTCGATTGTTCTTCAATTTCAAGTGCGGATGTAATCTATCTGTCGATTTCCGGATCTGTGTTTACTTTACTCTCTTCGATTTTTTCTCCGATATATTTGATCTAACAATCGTTTCTGCTAGGGCTCTTGTGTTGCGTTTGTTGAATCGTGCCGTTTCGTTTTTCTTCTTGTTGTTCCTCTTATTGTGATTGAGTCGTTATTTCCTGTCAAGAGAGGAGCAGCGAGTTGATTTTTTGGTTCAAGTAGCTTTGAAAATCTCAGGCTTAATAACGTGTTTGATTTGGATTATATGTATTTACGATGATTTGATGCTGGTCCGTTCTGGAATATGCGTGTTTAATTTGAGCTTGGGTTGAAGCTAAGATGTTCTTGTTGTCAGATAACCAGTTCACTTAATCTTGTTTTTATCTACTAGATATGTATGTTCGGTATGCCAATGCGCCTTCCAGGTGATATTATCACTCTGGGAGAGGCACATAGCTTCCTTCAGTTCCTTCTAGGTTTCATTGATATCAATATATATTATGTTTCATTTGATTTTTAAGTTGTGGAAGTTTGTAATAACATTCTGTTAGTTTGTTTTTTTCAATTCGACATTAATGAGATCTTAAGTGAGAGTGTAAATTCTCTTCAATCTTTGGTGACTGGATGTTTTTTAAATGATAACTATATTTCAAAATGTGAATGTTATTAAGGTTCTTGGATAAATGTGGGCTACTATTGCGTGCAGTCTATATTCTGTTTCAGATGCAGTAAGCTGTTATGGTGATATTAAATAGTCAAAAGTGACTTTCTCATCAGCTAGCCGCTCATGTGCCCCTTCTCTCCCCCCATCTCCAATCCATCCCCACTCGCCCATATTATACCTTCTTGTTTCTTGTTATTTTTGCTAACCATCAATTTTTATATCAGAATGGCTGGTCAGAGAAGTAACTATGGTAAACGATCCCACTCCCAGTCTGACTACTCTGAAAGTGGGGGTGGGGGAAACAAAAGAAGAAATTCTGGAGGTGATAAAGAGTCATTCTCGATTGGGCCCGATGATACTGTTTACCGTTATCTCTGCCCTGGAAAGAAAATTGGAAGCATCATTGGGAGAGGAGGGGAGATTGTCAAACAGCTAAGATCTGATACAAGATCAAGGATAAGAATTGGTGAATCTGTGCCAGGATGTGAAGAACGTGTTGTCACTATTTACAGTAACAGTGAAGAAACCAATGATCTTGACGATGTGGACGACCGTGTCTGTCCTGCTCAAGATGCCCTTTTCAAGATTCATGATAGAATTGTTGCTGATGATACTGCACTAGAGGAGGACTCCGAAGACATCCCACAAGTTACTGTTCGTCTGCTCGTGCCTTCAGATCAGATTGGGTGTATCATTGGAAAGGGTGGACAGATTGTTCAGAATATTCGTAGTGAATCTGGGGCTCAAATTCGCATAGTAAAGGATGACCACCTTCCAACCTGTGCATTGAGTTCAGACGAACTTGTACAGGTAACGTAGATCCATTGATTGGGATGGACAATGTATTCTTGCATAGTTTTTCATTTTCTACTGAAACTATGATCATATGGAAATGTCCCTATCTTTGAGGATAATTATATACTTGATACTAACTGCTGTATTCCATGTCTTTTAGCACATGATTGATGCATCAGATATTTGGAATGTGGTTGTTTTTGAATAACATGTAAATACAGTTAAAGATTTCCCAACTAATATTTTTAATATATATTTATTTACCTTGTGTGCAGATATCTGGTAATTCTTCTCTAGTGAAGAAGGCTCTTTATCAGATTTCTTCTCGACTTCATGATAATCCCTCTCGTTCTCAACACCTAATCACTTCATCCGCACCTAATGTCTACCCTTCTGGTAGTTCACTCCTTGGTTCAACTGCTGGAGCACCAATCATGGGATTAACTCCACTTGTAGGGCCCTATGGGGCATATAAGGGTGAGGCTGCAGATTGGCCGCGGTCTATTTACTCTGCTCCGAGAAATGATGCATCTTCAAAGGAATTCTCACTGCGTTTGGTTTGCCCAACTGCTAATATTGGAGGTGTCATTGGGAAGGGCGGCATGATAATCAACCAAATAAGGCAAGAATCTGGAGCTGTTATTAAAGTTGATAGTTCAGCTGCCGAGGGAGATGATTGTGTGATTTCTATCTCTGCAAAAGAGGTAAGATTTTGGTAGTTAATAGATTATTGATCTGGATGGATGCACTAAATCTGTTTCCTTTTCCCCTTTGTTATTGGGGCTTCAGATCTTTGAAGATACCTTTTCTCCGGCAGTCGATGCAGCTCTGCGCTTGCAGCCTAGGTGTAGTGAGAAAGTTGAAAGAGATTCTGGTCTTGTTTCATTTACCACCAGGTTACTTGTTCCTACTTCTCGAATTGGCTGCCTTATTGGCAAAGGAGGTTCCATCATTTCGGAGATGAGAAAGGTCACCAAGGCCAATATCCGTATATTATCAAAAGAAAATCTGCCTAAGGTTGCCTCTGATGATGATGAGATGGTGCAGGTGAATTATCTAATCATCTTATGTCTATATTGATATTTTGGATTATTGTGATTCAAGTGATATCTACTTAAGTCCATCTGATAAGTGGCTACAGCTTATAATAAGGAATATGATTTTTTTCCCCATTTATTTGTACCTTAGTTATCATTTATGAGTGTTTTGAGATCTTCCAATCTTCACAAGCTTATTGTTGCAGTCGAGAATTTCAAATTTTTTGTATGATATTTTTCCTTCTTATCATGCAAGAGATGGAAATTTGAGCCATGTCTCACCATGAAAGGGATGGGAGCTATACCCTTTTGATGGAGAGAAAACAACTCTTATGACATTAGGGCCTTAAAAATTATTTTTATTTTACAGATCTCAGGAGACCTTGATGTTGCCAAGGATGCTCTTATTCAAGTAACTTCCCGACTGAGGGCTAATCTTTTTGAAAAGGAGGGTGCAATGCCTGCATTCCTACCTGTTCTTCCATATCTTCCGATGTCAAGTGATAATTCGGAGAGCCTGAAATATGAAAGTAGAGATTCAAAGAACCGTGGGCGTGGTGGGTATTCATATTCTGGTGGATATGGTGGTTCTTCCGATTTGCCTCCTTTAGATGCCTATGGTAGTTATGGTAATGTTCAGGTAAAATATATGTTATCTTAATGTGTTCTGTTGATTGAAATAACAACCAAAGTACATCTTGATCATCCAATATTGTTCAGCCATGCAGTGTGATCTGATTTACTCTCTTGCAGAGTGGCAGTGGTAGTTCTGCATATGGTGCTTACGGAAGCCATTCATCTGGGCGCTCTTCTGGTTCTGGGTAACATTTCTAAGCTACTTGTGTGATATGCGTGTTCCATTGAGTATAGCATCTAGTACAATAATTCACAAGTGATTCTGCGTAGTATATGTGCAATGTTACAGGAGACCAATAACAGGATAAGGGTGTTGTCTCTGTAGTCAAGGATGGTCTTGTTGTGTCATCAAGTCCTAGTGTTTATTTCTAGGTTGTCCTCTGAACCTCTGCTTCACCTAACATCCAGGACTCCCTTAATCGTGTCATTTTCTCTGTTAGCGTTTTCTATAGGATATCTTCTTACAAGTGAGAAAGATTTAACCAGTTCATCTTAGACCATAGTAATACTTACTTGAGCCATTATAAATTCATGATAGCCTTAATGGTCAGCTGCCTTTACCAGGTTATCTGGACGTAATCCTCCTTCACGTGGAAGAAATTATGACTACTAGCGGCGTTTATTAATTACAGGTAGTGCATCACCATGACATCACTTGATGCATGATTTCCATAATTCCAACAAGTGCATGGCTGCTTATCTCTACTAGCAAATGCCACCTTTGCTAGTTTTGAAATTTTGCTGTGATACCACACCTTGTCCCAATATGACTGATACTATTCTTTTACCTATGTTTCCTTTCCCTTCCCAACATAGCAGCTGAGATATCTGAAGCCCGAAGTCATCCTCTCGCCTATTTTGATGAAGCCACCAGCCTAAACCAGAAGACCAGATGACCAGGGTTTGGAAAAACTGATGGCCCCACCTTGATGCTTCCTTAGGAGGAAAACTATCCGAAGAATTTACCAAATTGCCATGTCCCCATACCTTATGTCACCAAGCTTAATATGCCAGCTCCCATGAACCTGCTTCCTTTATCCTTTTGCTTCCAGCAGTTGTATCGGTCAACTTAATTATTCTCAGCTGTGTACTTAAAAGAGATTGCGCATTTTTCATTTGTATGGAGTCACTATCACACATTATGGTTTTTAAGTTCCGTATTGCACCTTTATCATATGTCTTTGCAGCAACAATTTTTCTGTGCTAAAATAAGTCTTGAGATTTATATATATATATATGGTTTTTGAGTCGTTATATTGACAGCTAGTTTATGTTGACTTTTAAGATCTAGAAGATTGTTTTTTATTTCTTGTGGATGCACATAAGCAGCAAGTCTTTATGATGATGCTTGTTTGATCAGTATGATTCTCAAGATGTTAATCCCAGAAGTGGTAAAGTGTGCTGTTGGCTGAGCATCCTGCTTATAAAATGCAGATTTTGGGCAGATCAGGATCAGGTTTGTTGGCTCTTGTCAGCAGTGAATAAATTTTCTGGAATCTTTATGATGGTTCTAAATATAAAATAAATAATGTAGTAATTATTTTGACTTGGGATATTGTAGGAGTAAAATATCTATGGTGTGGATGACGGGCAACGGTAGTTCAAAACTGTGTATTGGGTATGTTGGTAGGCTTTTCCATGCAGTATATGTTTTTATATATGCGGTTTCAGTTAATCTGGTTCCTGAATAGTAATATCTACGGAATGATTTTGTTGAACAGATTGTGGCTGGATGTGATGGCAATAGGTAATTGTGTAGATTTATATCACTTGTCTTTCACAATTTTTTATTTTAGCAATTTACTAACCCTGTCTGCTCTAGCTTTTATGCATGCAAATCCATAGTATTCATGGTGTAAGTGTGCCATTCTTTCTGGGTGTGCTGACCAGTTGATGTTTCATGCTTCTAAATTATATGCATGCATCATTTTGTTGAAATAGGAGTTAAGAATCTGGGTTCTACCTTGATGTTCAGAGCTAGTGTATTACATAGATGAATTCTGAAGGAATAGTGCTTAAACCGAACTTAGTATCTCTGTTCACTGAAGATGAGTTTGCTTATTCTGTGATGTACAAGTCTTTTTGAAATTATTTGGCATGTTAAAGCTCCTCAAGGCACAAAATTTTTATAAATGACCGTCGGTCTGCTGCACTGGATTTTTAGCTCATAGACTTGATTAGCTTAGGATCAGATTTTTCTTTCTATTGTTCTAGCAGTCTGATTAGGATCTAATCCTCCTTGAGCATGATTGCTATGGTGATTAAATAAGATTATTTTTGTAATTTACACCATAAAAATAATTTAATCAGATATTGTAAACATACTCTTTGCTTACTATATAGTCTGTAAGTGATTTCTTGCATGCATGTTATATATACTATGCTCATATGCTTGCTGTTTATTTGATATGTTACTGGTTCATAATTTTAGTTTTTACTAAATGTAAGTGGACATGTAGTGTGTCCTTTTGGTTTTGTATCTAGTTATATTGACAGGAAATATAAGACGAGTTGGTCTATAAAACGAGATGCTACATCGGTTGGAGTACAGTACACATCCGAGGACATGCTCTTTCCGATGACATGATGTGTGCTGGGATTATTTTTGTCTTCATTTTTTTCTTATGCTGGTATATGTGCACAGAAGTTACATCTGATTATCAGACATTAGATTTGCTCATGTATAAAATAGGGATCAACTGTGTGTAAATATATGTGTTTATATATATTATTCATGTACAGTATTATTGTCTTTGGATGACCCCATGGAAATATGTTATTTTTGGTAAGAAACAACAGGATGGGAATTGTCGTTGCTCAATTTTTATTTTTTTCCTTAGCTATGGTACTTGATTATTAAGATTTTTATTTATCTTTTTAATTTTTTATATTGTGGGAATCGTACGGTTTTGGATAAATTTTTAGTTGAATTTAATAGTCTGCAAATTAAGTCTAATAAGGCAAGTATGACTACATGAACAATGTGTGATAGACAAAACTAGGAGGGTCGGTCTTTGATTACAAGAATATCTTAGTAATTGTTTGTGTAGGAAAGGCAAAGTTGGTTTGTTTTCTCACAAAAATATTATTGTGGTACAATTGAAAAGGCTGCCTTGTTGTGTTCCAATAGTAAATATATTCTCTATGGAATTATTTAATATTCAAAATTCGTAGAGGCTTGATGTTTTTAAAATCATGTTTTGGTTGCTATCGCCATGAAAGACCGTCCCAAACCGTACACTTGAAAATAACTGTTAAGATGTTTAGGTATCATTTGGTGCGTTAAAGGTGTGCCGTCTTTGTTATGATGATATATTACAAATGGTGGAAAGATTTGCAGCTAATATTTAGCTGCATATACAACAACAAACACTTTATGCATATTTCGTATCGATCAATAAATATATCTATCAGTAATAATTAGAAATTTGCAGCTTGCCTGTGCTCTACAAACCTGGGCATTCCAAATACAACTAATTAATGTAATCTTGAAAACAAATCCAATAAATCCAGCACAAACAACATTAAAAACACATTCCAAATCAAACAAACATAAAACGTAGAGGTTGTTCTTGACTACCGACATACAATTATTAAAACAACAGCAATGAAGAAGAGAGAGCAACAGCGTTGAAAATGAAAATGATATTCGTATAGCAAGCATCACAGTCTATATATTAATAAGGCCTTCCCTGACAAGAAGACCAAAAACTAGGACAAGCAGGCCGACTGCGATGCACTGCGTCGGCGATATCAAAGTCTGAGAATAAGCCGAAAGCGTTATCGCCGCTCCCACGATTCCAAGCACGAACGCACTTCTGTTCTGATCCATTTTTGAGTTACTTCACTTGTTCCAAAATCTGGAATTTACCTTACCAAGTCAACTCTTTCAAGATAAGGACTTCATGCCTAATCCCTCCTCTGAAAATACTGTTTTCTCCTTGCTAGTTTGTTAGTTGACTTCAATTAATCTACCAACGTGCTGCCAACGCCTGCCTACCTGCTTGCGTTTATTGCCACCTCTCTTTTCCTCTTGCTTGCTTGTAAGTTTTTAACACGTAAATTTGTTTCTTTTCTTCCTGTTTATGTTTATACGCAAGTTTTAGACCCAATTCTTGCCATGCCATGGCCTTTTTAGGGCCCAACTTTGGAACCCAATCTACTAAAAATTTCGAAGCCTGATTACGTAATGTGATGGTGGTCCGGTCTTAAAAGTTGTGATGATATAACAGAACAGATTGACAAGAATCACAAGAAAGTCAAAATTGATTCCATGTTTTTCTTGAATTAGGGGCACAGCCACAGGGATTTGTAGGTGATGCACCACTGCTAAGGATATCACCAAATTTATTCACTGCTCTCATGTGCCAAAATATTAGCCTAACATTTGACTGGTTTGAATAGTGGAAACCTGCTCGGACATGTTTACCATGTATATATATATATAACTTCATAGGCATTCCCTGTCTGCACAACACAAGCAAAATCTTAGGAAAAACATTGCTTGTAAGAAGATGAAGATGAAGATGAAGAAGAAAACGGCAGAGGAAGGCAGTGAGGCAGCTCAGGCGTCGGAATCGGATAACGATGCGCCGGATGCTCCTCCAAACAGAGGGATATCGAAGCTCGATTTTGTCATGAGGATCGTCGCGGCTATAGCCACTCTCGGAAGTGCTATTGCTGTTGGGACTTCTTCTCAGATGCTCCATTTTATCCGCCGGTTTAGGGTACAGCAGCATCACGACCTCCCGGCATTCTCGTAAGTTTGTTTGTTTGATGATGATCTCTAACATCATGTCAAGAAATTCTTGTGGTGATGCTAATTGTGTTAGAATGTGACGTCGGCAGGTTTTACGTTGTTTCTAATGCTGTGACGTGCGGTTACCTCGTTCTTTCGCTGGCGCTGTCAATTTTCCATATCTTGAAGAGTGGAGCTAAGGTGACGAGGACTGTGTTGATCGTACTCGACATGATCATTCTGTCTCTGTTGACGGCTGGGGCCTCGGCTGCAGCTGCTGTCGTGCACTTAGCCCACAAGGGCGACGTCCAGGCCAACTGGTTTGCTATCTGTCAGCATTCTAACACCTTCTGTGAGAGAGTTTCGGGCTCTTTAGTCGGATCCTTCATCGGAATTCTTGTCCTGATGCTGCTTATATTGCTGTCTGCTGTTGCAATGTCCAGAGTTTAAGAGCTTACCATTCATCCCCTGTCTTGATCAATATTAAGTTATTTAAGACCATGATGTGTGTGATGTACTCCCATGGAGAAATAAATTGATTCTTTGTAATTCATCGAATTCGGTTTCCATCGTTGTTGTCGGGAACTTAATGTTGTGCTAACCGAGCAAAAACCCAAGGAGTTCATCATTTTCTTTATCAATCGAACTGAATCCACGCTCCTTTTTCACGCCGCTCCCGTCCATCAAATTCCTCACATTTTCAGCGCTGCGCCATTCGCCGCTTTCAGCATATATATTCGACAGCAGAACATAGTCGCCGCTTTCGCCTTGCCTCAATTTGAGAAGTTCCTTATTGGCATGCCTTCCCAGCTCAATGTTGCCATGGATTCGACAAGCTCCGAGCAGCGTTCTCCAAACAATGGCATTTGGCTCCAGCTTCATCGACTTGATGAACTCAAACGCTTCGTTTAACAGCCCTGCCCGAGCGTATAAATCCACCATGCATCCGTAGTGCTTAAGATTCGGTTGGATTTTGTATCTACTCTTCATCAGTTCAAAATATGCCCGGCCTTCATCTACTCTCCCAGAATGGCTGCAAGCGATCAATACCCCCACAAAAGTAATCTCATTCGGCCTAAACTTAGTTCTCCTCATTTCTTCAAATAGACATAAAGAATTCTCCATACAGCCGCCAAAAGCTAATCCTACTATTATAGAGTTCCACGATGCTTCGTCCCTCTCTCTCATCCGATGAAACACATCAAGCGCCTTCCGAATGCTCCCACATTTGGAATACATATCGATGAGAGCATTTCCTAGAAAAATGCTAACCACTCCTGCATCGTCGATCCCCAAAATGGAGCGATGTATTGTCTCACCCATATCTATATTCCCAGAATCTGCACACGCAGACAAAAGACTCAACATTGTCACATTATCGGGGCGCTCTCCTATGCTCGTCATCTCCTCGTACATTTCAAAGGCCTTTGCGTGCTCTCCCTTGAGAACGTAGCCTGATATCATTGCATTCCATGTCACCACATCCCTTTCCGGAACCGAATAAAACAACTCCCTTGCACACTCCATGTTGCCTTGCTTCACGTATCCTGTGATCATCACATTCCAAGAAACCAAATCCTTCATCGGCATTTCGTCGAACAGTTCCCTGGCAGCTACCAAATTGTGTCTCTTTGCATATCCTGCAATCAAAGCTGAACAAGCCACGACATCCCCTCTCCCTGATTCATCAAACAGGCAGTTTGCAATCGCTATATCCCCACAATTTGCGTGGAAATATATGAGCGCATTCCTCGAATGTACATTCCAATGGAATCCATGCTTTGTTATCTTCCCATGTATCACAGTCCCTGTGTTAATCCACGAAAGCCTCGTGCAGGCCTTGAGCACGAAAGGGAAAGTGTAGTGATCAGGCTTGACGAAATGCCTCTCCATTTTGGAATAGATCGACACGGCCGACCAAGGCTTCGGGCTCTGAGCTGACCCCCGAATCATGGTGTTCCACATGAACAGGTCCGGTTCAGAAATTTGGTCGAACAGTTGGTGTGCATATTCAATTGAGGTCTGCAATTCAACCGCCGCAGCGTAAACGAGTTCTTTGAGAGCACCGCGATCGCAATTGAAGCCATCGACGATCATACGAGCGTGGATTTGCTTCAGAGATCGGAAATTCTTGCAGCTCCGCCACAACGAGGAGCGCTGGTGGAAGATCCAACTCTGCGATGCAGAGCTTTTTCTGATCATAACCTCACAGTCAAACGCGTTGACTGCTGACTCACACTCACTAGAACTAGTAGTATTTTAATGGAAGGGGCAAATTTGGTAATTCAAAATTCCGACCCTAATTATTGAACTTATCTAGATAGTGTCTCGTTACTTGGGCACTTTGCAATTAAATAAACTGCTTTGGATAAAACAACTAAAAGATGATTGCGAAATTGGTTTGAATTTGCAGTAACAATCAATAATTTGACGCTGTCTTTTATTTGAAATACATGCAATAAATAATCTACTAATGTCTAAATATTGAAATTCAATATTAACACAAGTTATAATTGACACTTGAAACTTGTCAAAATTCAACTACTTAAATGTGTGCGTGGTCCGTAAATGTTTATTTATTTATTTTGATTTACAACATCTATATCATTTTAGAATACTGATATAAATTAATATAATTATTTTTTAGTTATTCAACACCCTATCCATGCTGTATATAAAATACACATAATAGTATGAGAGTGTTGTTTAATAACGTTCATCATATTAACAATGAAAAATCAATATTCAACCACATATAGAAATAAATAAGTGATAAAAATAATTATACTTTTAATTAATTAATTAATTAATTAATGCACAAATGCTGCCTCGTGGCTGCTGGGTTCATTCCTATAATTAAGGTAGATAGTCGTATTTATTTAATTAGTCATAAATAATTAATCTTGGGCAAATAGGTCGGTTTTACTTGGCCAGTAATTATCCACAAATCAAATAATTAATTAAACATACTTACTAATGACAGTTCAAACTATTATTGGTTTGTGTGTGTGTGTGTGCGCGTTTCCAAACACAATTTTTTGTTATTCATTATAGTATTATTTTTTTACTCTACTCTAATATATCATATATGTTCTTTATACAAGATATTGTATTAAACAAAATAATATTGAAACTATTTATATTTGACAATAGCAAGCAACAATAATTGCTCAACTATTTTGTAAGGGGTGTTTAGGGTATTGGCATTGATTGAATTTGTGATGAGTTCAAACTTTTAATATTTTAAAATCTCTTTTGTCATAGATGTTACGATGTTACTAAAAACGAGTAGCGGCTTAACTAAAATAATAATAATAATAAGGATTTATTATTACACTATGTAAACAAGGTCGGGTACAACTAAAACTGTTGAATGGACTTTGCCCTAACTTTATTAATATTATATAAACTCATAACATAAAATTATTTGTGTATTCACATAAACTAATTAAAAATATGCTTCTTTATTTTTTTATTGCTATATAGTTTTACCTTAACTAAGTTTACCGGATTCATTGAATTCAGACAGAAAGAAATTAAAGGTGATTGATGAGGATAATATATATATATATATATATAAAAAGTTACAAATTACAATTAAATTATCATTATTATAATTTGTAAAAATTGCTATTTGGATATATATGAGTTATTTTTGGAATTACATGCAGAGTATTAATCAAAATTTTTTTTTTTTAAAAAAAGAAAGAAATAATACGTCAGACAGGCCTAAATCACGAGAATATTGATGGGCATAACAGAAATGGGTGTTGTGGTCCTTGTAAGTTGGAAAAGCAATCTGTATACTAAATTACATATACACATACCTTGTCCTATTATTACATACGAATTAATGATGATAACAAACAACATATGTATGAATGTATTATGGGACTATACAACAAATCTGGGACAATATTTATTTCGTCATTTCTTGGGCTGTCGTTGTTACATTTCCTTTTCTATTCCAAGACAAGATGGATTTTATTATTGTTATTTAATTATTTTCAGGGCTCTGTTCTCTAGTGTCAGCCGGGTCATCGACTCCCGGATGATCCAAGCCGTTCGTAGGGTCTCTGGAGTGGGACTCCCGGGAGCTGCCCTCAGTTTGGCTGGCTGCTTTTCCATTGCAAGTAGATATCTTCTGTTAAACAGATGCAACCAACCGGACTTTTAATGTTTTTCTGAATTCCTCCCTATTTTCACTCCCATCTCTCATAAAGAATAATATAATATTGTTTTTGTTTACAAGTGTTTGGGGCAAGGGTTGTGAATAAAAAAAATAATTTAATATATAGTTTGAATCATTGTAATTAATTAATTAATTAAACTGAAGTGAGGTGAATGATATATGAAGTGGTTTTTGTATGTGAATGAACGTATGTAATGCGGTGTGAAAATGAAATTACAAGGAATTAGATTAAGACAGTTTAAAAGGGCGAAAGAAAGCAGAAAGTAGAAGTGGGTGAGGGTGAGGGATATTGATGATATTGATATGGCTAGCCAGTTGGTTTCCTTACATTCCACGTTTATATCTCCTGAGAAAAACAACAATTCAGGGATTTCTGTTCCGAGGAACACCTGTCTGTCTTCATAACTAATCTCAATCTTTCTGTTAAGAGATCCCTCCCCTCGCCCTTTCTATCTAATCACCAACAAATTAAACCTAGCCACTCTTACATATATATATATATATATAATATATATATATCTCTGAATTGCTCCAGATCAGTGCAGGATTCTCATCAGTTTCCCTCTAATTCGGATTCTTGTCTCAGCCTGTCGGGATCATATCATATATATAAAAATTATAATTTCAGACAGCAGCAGCAGCAGCAGCAGCAGGAGGGTGGGGTTTTAATTGATTGATGGAAGAATTACTAGTACAGATGGAGGGTTTTGATGAGGCGGCAAGTGCAATAGAATTGCCGCCAGGGTTTCGGTTCCACCCGACCGACGAGGAGCTCATAACTCATTACTTGTGTCCGAAAGTGGCTGACAGGGCCTTCACCTGCACCGCCATTGGAGAGGTCGACCTCAACAGGGTTGAGCCCTGGGATTTACCATGTGAGCGATCACCATCACCATCACTCTATTTGATGTTGTTAATCTTCAAGTAGTTGCTGCTAATTAATTAATTACTTTAATTAATTGATGGATGATTGTATGTATACTCAGGGAAGGCGAAGATGGGCGAAAAGGAATGGTATTTTTTCTGCGTTCGGGACCGGAAGTACCCGACGGGGTCCCGGACGAACAGGGCGACGGTGGCCGGATACTGGAAGGCCACTGGAAAGGATAAAGAGATTTTCCAGGGAAAGGCCCTGGTGGGGATGAAGAAGACCCTGGTTTTCTACAGGGGTCGGGCCCCCACTGGGATCAAGACTAATTGGGTCATGCACGAGTACAGATCCCTCCCCAATACCAAACTTGTCCCCGATTCTGCCAAGGTACTTTATTACCTTCCTTAATTGATCATTCATTAATTTCCTCGTCTCGTCTGAACATCTGATGTCCTGCAGAAAGAATGGGTTATTTGCCGAGTGTTCAACAAGAGCTCGGCAGGGAAGAAGGTCCATATCTCGGGGCTACAGGCCAGCACGACAACAATCGATGATTCGTCAGCTGCCTTGCCTTCACTGATGGAATCATCGCCTGTCGCTAATGGATCACTGTCCAGGGCCCTGGATGACCACACTGATGTCCCGGCTTCGATCCAGGGCTCGGTTCATATGTCGGATCAATCATTCTTACACCGTCTTCTCGCGAATGATCGCGGGGCCATGGAGTTCTTACAGGACATCCCCTCTACCTGTAATGAAGTTGGATTCAAGCATTTCCACCAAGATATTGATGTTGAGTTCCCTGTGGTTTCTGCAGCTCCCATCGACCTCGATTGTCTCTGGAATTACTGAACGATTTTAGGAGGATGGATTCATGTTTATTGTCTTCTGTAACATGTAGAAAGAAGCAGAAAGTAATTACATGCGTAAAGGTAAAATTGAATGAATTAATGGATGATACACACATTCCATGTTTAGGTAAAATTAGCTTCTGATAATGTCTTAGTTGTTACAATTATTGTTACCATGAAAATTTGTAGTTTAATTTGAGGTGTCGGTCTTTCTTGATGTATTTGTACAATGTAGGTTTGTGTGCTATTTAATTTGTTACAAGGTTTAATTGTACTGGTTATGGAGTGAAATGAAATTCATACAACCGATTCAAATTTTTTTACAATTGAGCTGGAAACTGTCACACCTTCAATGGTCCCAGCCCAACTTGACTAGGCATCCACGTGCCCCAAACAATGTCTAGAAATATGAGAGGCTATTTTTGTAATAGAAAATCAGTTAAGGATGTCTTTATTTTATTTTATTTAGTTTTTTTTTTTTTTTTTTTTTGGATCGGCTATTTTATTTAGTTTTTAATATTGGGTAAAGTGTAGTTGAGGCCTGGTATCGTGACAAGTGGTCCAATTGAAAAGGATCACTAAATCACCACGTGTGTAGTGCATTTTCCTTCGTTTTCAACAAATAAACTTTTTTAATTTTTATGAATATCATTATCCGTTCTATAAATTATTTAAAATCGGCCTTTACTGTTTTGCTGATTTATGTAAATAATCAGGTCTCTTTCATTCGAACATATAGCATATTTATGGGCCGGATGGATCTGGGTCGGGTTATGAGCCTGCTGTAGTGGCTAGGCCCAATTAGGGCTATGGAGCAGCCCGAATAGGTGACGTGGAGCAATATTTTCCTGACAAGGTGGCATTTAATAAGGAGAGTTAAGGCAGTGTTTGGACCATACGAATGGCTGGAACGGCCAAATTCTTAAATATGGGCGGGCCCATTTGTACTGGGCTTTAAGGCCTCTGTCCATAAATATATGATATAATTTTACACGGTGGGCCCAATTTGTCTTTTCTACAGGCCCAATGGCCCACGCAGAGAGAATTCCAATACTGCCCCTCGTACATTTACTTTTGAAACAACAAAATAAAATAGAAACATACATTATTTGGTGATTAATGTGCATAGGTGAATTATTGACTTGTGCCTTTTATTTTTGTGTTAAAAAAAAAAAATTACCGAGGGGACAGTTAAATGAAGCCGGTCTAATAAATGAGACGAGGCCACCCACTGGTTGAAAAGGGTTTCATAATTTTTTCCTTAAATTGATTTGTAACTAAGGGCAGTTATGTCACACGGAAATATGATGTATTGCTTTGGCTAGTACTGCTACTTCCATCGCTATTGCTAGTGCTACTGCTACTGATTATCATCATCATCCTCATCATCATCAAGAAAATGGGCATTTATTACCTCCATTCCATATGATATCCCCTTTTGATTCTTTCCCAGCCCCAAGCCCACCTCTCTTCCCTTATTTACTGCTTGGCCATTCAGTCTGTCTGCATTTCTCTGATTTTGCTTCACCCGTTGGCTAACCTACTCACAGTTTCTTCTTACACGCACAGGGAGAGAGAGAGAGAGAGAGAGAGAGAGAGAGAGAGAGATTCCTACATACATATATACATATTTATATCTGCATAAATTGGTGTTGTTAGCAGAATAGAATCCAATTAGTCTAGTGTAGTGTGTACTGGTAGTAGTTCCATCTTCCACGAATGGGGAGGTCTCCATGCTGTGACAAAATAGGGCTGAAGAAAGGGCCATGGACGCCTGAAGAAGACAACAAACTGTTGGCCTACATAGAAGAGCACGGCCATGGAAGCTGGCGAGCCTTGCCTGCCAAAGCTGGTGGGTAACTGATCCATCATCCTCCTCCTCTGTGTCTTTAATTTGTTTGACTTTCAGATATTTGGATATTAATTAATAAGTAGTGTCTGTGTGTGTATGTGTATTGGTTCGTGGATTTCAGGGCTCCAGAGATGTGGCAAGAGCTGCAGATTAAGGTGGACAAACTACCTGAGGCCGGACATTAAAAGAGGCAAGTTCAGCTTACAGGAAGAGCAGACAATCATTCAGCTCCACGCCCTTTTAGGGAACAGGTTCGACTTTTCTTCACATTTTCACCTTGCCTTACTTACTCTGACGAACACTGGACTGAACTTTCTCATGGAATTAATTAATTAATTAAATCCCAATTCCAATTCATCACCCTCGTGTCAGTTCCACTTCCTTACAAGAGAGTTGAGTACTTGAGTTGATCAGTTTAGTTTTGTTTTGTTTATGTTGGGGCGAATGGCATGGTATGACGGCGTGTCGGTTGTTCTTGGCAGGTGGTCGGCCATAGCGACGCATTTGCCCAAAAGAACAGACAATGAAATCAAGAATTACTGGAACACCCACCTCAAGAAAAGATTGGCCAAAATGGGGATCGACCCCGTGACCCACAAGCCCAAGAATGATGCCCTCTTGTCCAGCGACGGCCACTCCAACTCCAAGAATGCTGCCAATCTCAGCCATATGGCTCAGTGGGAAAGCGCTCGCCTCGAAGCTGAAGCCAGGCTCGTCAGGCAGTCCAAGCTCCGATCCTGCACCTCCACTTCCCCTTCTTTTCAGCCTCACAGCGCTGAAGCCGGCGGCTCCACGTCAAGCCTGCAGCTCCTTAAGCCGGTCGGCGCGCCGAGGTGTCTGGACGTTCTCAAGGCATGGGCCAAGACAAATGAAACGGCCGCCGTCGGCGATATGGAATCGCCGACGTCCACGCTGAGCTCCGCGGCGGGAGTGGCGGAGAGCTCCGCCGCGTTCGTTGAGTTTCCGGCGAGCGACGGCGGCATCGGAAAAGAAGACGGCGACGAGGAGTGGAAGAATCTGCCTGAGTATAGAGACGGGATAGGGAATTCGATCCATTTCCCGTCCGGTCTGCAGGACACGTGTCTCTCGTCGGAATGGGCTTCGGAATCTTCCACGCGAAACTCCGTTGAACACGTGCCCTGCGGGAATTTCGTCGAAAAGTTCACGGACCTCCTCCTCAGCACCTCTTCAACCGACCGCCGCTTCTCCGACGACGGCGCCGACTCAGACAACGGCAGCGGGAGCGCCAGTGACGGCGGCCACGATTGCAGCACTGAAGATAACAAGAATTACTGGAACAGCATTCTCAATCTCGTTAATTCTTCGCCGTCCGATTCACCGATTTTTTGAACAACGCCGCCGCCGCCGCCGACGAGTTGCGTCTTTTATTCTGAAATCCTCAAGCTCATCATGTACATCATCAATGGCTACCATTCCCGTTAATTAGTTTCAGTGTAATCAATTTTTAGTAATATCATTTTAATTCAATTTCCAATCGTGCATTAAATCAAATCAATACTTAATTAATCTCATCCACTAATTAAGAGAATATATATATATATATATATATAAAACAATGTGTGAATTAATTACACGGGACAAAATTTATTGCATGTAGTTCCACGTCACAATCTTGAAAACACTAGAAAGATACATGGCATGTTTTTGAATATTATGCTTTCTGACACCCGTAAATAATTTCCTCAACTTTACTAACAATATTATATTAATTAAATATAATGTCCAAACAATAAATATCCCAAACTAAAGACAGGTTTTTTAAACTTTTCAACGATCCCATAAACATTTCTCAACAATAATCTAATTCTCTCACATCATGCAGATTTGTCTCTAAATCATTAATTACACCTAAGAGTGTCCTAATCACCATTAATAATTATCTTCTCTTAAATAATGCGAGAATTTAAGAAGATTGAATTTAATTTCCTTTAGTTGCCGGCAATAGTCGAATAGGGCATGTGATGTATCAATGTCAAACATTAAATTGGGTACACACAATCATCATTGGCACAATTGGATAAGTGGCTAAAATTATGATATTTACCAATGCACAATAATATAAACCAATTACACATGTGTGCTCCAAATATTGAATTCTTGATTTATGTAATATCATATCTATTGCAAACAATAATATCTTCATCCAATAATTTCCAACTTCTACATGCATACGTGTTTACGTTACTTATTACTTCTCAGCCAAAGTTGGCAGGGTGAATTCTGGAAACAAATTACCCTAACGTTCAGGGAAGTGGAAATTACAAAAACGCCCATCACATGTCTCGAGAGTTGCATCTCCAACCTCATCAATAATTGGGAATGAAAAAAGTAAATAAACGAACGCTGTTACAAAAATAGTTTACCTTAATTTACCATATTACCCTCCATCCATGAATGTCAGTTATTAGTTCATTTAATTTTGCGTAGGCCATTTATGGTTTTCCCATTAGTTCTTTGGATTAAAAAGCACACAATTGAATAGTAGTTGTATTGTTTGATTGGTAGTAATCCGCGTTATTATTCCTTTTTAGTTAGTAGTAATTATTATTATTAATTATTATTATTTAAATAACGAGATGCTTTTGTGAACAAATTAAAAAAAAAAAAAAGAATAATTCAATACCTATTTAAAATATTTAGTCAACTTTTATTTAAAAAAGTATATTCAAAATAACATTAAACACAAATACATTCAAAAATTATTTGAAAGTTCATGAAATTGCCCATCAAAATATTGAATTTGGTTACACACTCGAGAAAAGTATATATATATATATATATATACATATATGAAATTTTAATATGTCTTGGCCAAATAAATTTAACTCATTCATTTAATGAACCATCCATCATTTATGAAGAAGCCAGGCTGTATTTGAAGCTGTGGTCTAACATCCACCACATTTGTACCTATATCCAGTTACCCTTTTCAAATTTTTTTTTATCATAAAAAAATGTGTATATATTTATGTGCGTGTTATAGTAACATTAATGTTTACGATGTATAAGTAATGGGTTGACACACACATGCGTGTATATGCGCAGTAAATATTTATATATAATGAAAAATATAATTCAGTACAGTACAATTCATTACATGTATTTATATCATTCGATTGAGTTTAACAAATATTGCTTATATTTTGTTAAATGAAATATAATGTGATCTTAATTCGACAATGACCGAATTACGTATATAAAGACTTATTAAAAGTATATGCATGACAACTAATCTTCACATTAGTTCAATATAATATATTTAATTTATTTCATGTATTGTCTATCCATATTTGAAGTGTTATCAATATTATATAGTTAAGAAGATGCATGATATATATGTTTCATTGCGTTTTGCTATGATTTTGAATTTTTGATTTTCTAAATTTGATTTTTTTTTTTAAGTTTAAAAATAATGATGCTTTTGAAACAATATTTTTTTACGTTAAACAATATATAATATAAAAAATCAAGCTGCACAGAAATTAGCCAAGTCCAAATGGTCGGAATCCATTCCATGCTGCTATAGTCACAACTCACAAAGCAGACGCGGTGCTGGAGTCCCGGGAGCTTCCAAGATTAAAGATGCATTTACTATGGGAACTAATTGGATCACATGGCTGTCAATTCTGCGTAGACTTATCCAATTCATTGGCTAGGTTGGAGGGACACTTGCTGCTATTTTCCCACATGCCCTTCAATTCTCTTCAATTTTTATTGCATAATCTATCCATTCAAATAATTTCCCATAAACACACACATTACAACCCTATTTGTCATAATCTAACATCTTCATCTTGCTTTTCCCATTCAATGAAAATGTTTAAATTACCTAATGCCCCCCATGTGAAATGCTTCTGTGGCTGCACAAACAAACACGTGCCTCCCCACACATTACTCATTGCAAAAAATGACAACACAAGTCAACACACTTCTCTTCCTTTCATTGCCTAACCTTCTGTCCCAAAATTTTATTATAGATCCTTCCTTAATTTATTAACTATGTCCAAAAACTACTCTATTTAATTTGCCTATATATGTTGTTATTTATTTAAATGGCCACATTAAGTAGGCCCTAGATTTAATTATGATTTTGGTTAGGGAAAATCGATGTGTTAGTAAAACACGACTTTAGTTGACATGTGTTGGGTGCGCCTTCGTGTAGTTCTCTTGTATTGAAAGGAAAAGCGCTGATTAATTATTTTGCATATTTTTAGAATTGCGTGGTGAATGGGGATTATGTTTGATGAACAGATCGTACGTCCATTTTTGGATATTATTCGAGAGTTGTATGTATTATTTTGATGGAATAATTTGAAGTAACATTAACACAAATTTCTCTAATCAATAGTTTTGATATTCGATCCTTTTTTATATTTTGAAAAGAAAAAGATACTATTTTTTTTTTATTAAATATGACAAGCTCTTATAACTACCATGTGTGTGTGTGTCTTTTTTATTTTTTAAAAAAATATGATTAAAATGATTGAATCATGGTTTAATTAAAAAAATCAGATTAATAACGTGTCAAAATTAATTGGTGATAGTAGCCGTAGTTCTGGGTTATAATGGGCCAGGCTTTGTAGCCCAATTTTAAATCTTTTGGTAAATTGGGCTATATAGAGCCCACCTCTCTCCTTCCCCCGCCCTCCTCCCCTCGCTAGATGTATGTATGTATGCATATAATATATTTGTCATGGTTTACAGATAATATATAATATGTGTATATATATTTCTCATGGTTATCTTTCAAAGTATATTCCTGTGCAAATGGAGCAGTCCTCTTGGAAGCTCAGCGTAATCGACTCACGACGAAATCAGATAACCAGATATCCCCACGACAACAAATTTGTGTTTCTTCGTCAATAAGAACAGTGAAAGTAGAGCCAAAATGTATAACTAAGTTATATAATTTGGATTTACTCGGGAATATTCCGTGTATTCCATTAGCCCTCAAGAATATGCTTCGTCATTTCTATGTTTTTGTACCTTCTTTTGACGGTTGATACCTTCGCTTCTTGTGCAGTTTGTATAAAATGGTGGTGATTACGGCTTTCACAGCAACGGATTAGGTTAATTCTCCAGATAATTAACTTTTTCCCACCAAGGAATTGTTGGAAATGAAGTTTGGGAAAGAATTTAGTCTTCACTTGGAGAAAACCCTACCGGAGTGGAGGGAATATTATTTGAGCTACAAGCTCTTGAAGAAGTTGCTTAAGAATATCCCGGCCGCCGCGGCTGCTCCGCTGCTGCCCTTGCCGGAGCTTCAGGTTTGGTTTGTGGCTATTCTTTGCGTGGAACTCGAGAAGTTCAACGATTTCTACGTCGAGAAGGAGGAGGTTTTCGTCATCCGCTTCCAGGTTCTTAGCTTCTCTGTCATCAACTTCTATGAATTGCTAGCTAGTCCTGTATATTATTCCTGCATCTTGTTCTGTATTGGTTTTTTCGTTGAGGTTAATTCGTCCTTTGATTGAAGTTGGATTCGCCAAAGGATTTATGCATTGAATTCGTTGTTTGTATCGAAAACTTGGCTGTTCCTAAAGAACAACATATAAGCATACAACACGCCAAAAAGTGGTAGATGGAATTTATGATTCTGAAACTAGTAGCGGTATTCATCCTCGTCCTTAACGTAGAATTGTCTAACTTTTCAGAACTTGCAAGGTGAGTTTTGTTGCAAGTTTTATGCCGTGTAATCTTACAATGATGCCGTAGCTCGATTTCTGTTACTAATTACTATATCGAGGACATTTTAGGAGTCTATGAGGTGATGTAACAGAGAACTGGGGATGAGACAAACACGTGGTATAAGCATATGAGTTTGATGAAGCGATATGGTTTAAGGAATCTCTCTAGAAGCATATACCAATTTCCAGTAGATTTGTTTCTTTGAACTAACTGAAATGGAACAACACACAGGTCTGCCAATGGGCTTAAGGAACATTGTTGAAATATTGATTCCTTGCAAGAATAATTGTGCTATCTCCTGTTTCAGTTTATGATCAGCATCATCTTCTGTTGTCTCAGGCTCTAAAGGAAAGGATCGAGGGACTCTTGGATGCCGAATTTACCGAAGAAATAATGGAAATACGCAGGGAATGCGTCGCCCTTCATGGAGAGATGGTCCTCCTTAAAAGCTACAGCACCCTTAACTTCGTAGGTAATGAAACTATTGCGAAAGGTTCTTACATCCTTCACTTGTTTCTTGGGGCTGAATACTTGTTAAGCTATTGCACACATTAGGCCTCGTCAAGATTTTGAAGAAATTCGACAAGAGAACTGGGACATGGCTAGGTCTTCCATTCATTCACTTTGCCTTTCACCAGCCCTTCTTCTCAACTGAACTACTCACAACTTTAATTGGCGAATGCGAGGAGATTCTGGAGATCCTGTTCCCTGTGGTGGCAGAGGTCGTTGGGGATGAGCAAACAGGCATGGTTTCTTCTGATGCATCATCATTGTGGCTTGGGGAAGAAACCATAAGGATTTATAATAGCACTCTTGGTGCATTAAGTGCCATAGAAGGACTAAGAAGGGAGAGCTCCACTTACAATCCTTTATCCATGTCAAATGTTTTTGGCAGTCCGGATAATGGCAGTACTGGAGGTGTCACGGCAGAAAACTCTCCACGCCACAATTAATCAGCCTCCAAAATAAGCAAAGCATAAGCTTTAAAATTACCCATGCTAATAAGCTTACTTCTGCTGCTGCAGAGTGTGAATTTGCTGCTTTTGCTTCAATTCCAGAATTATGTAATAAACCAAGCACACACTTACCGCTACTTTTGAAATAAAACACATGTATGTCACAATACCACACACATCACCTGGATTACATTACGTTACATATATAACTTACAATACATACACACAGGGACACAGATATACTGGAGCGAGCTTACATGGGGGAGCCATGTACAGTTTCTCCTTTTATTTCAGCAAAGCACAAAATTCACCACACACTGAAACGTGCACACCAAGAACCTTAATTTAATGAATGTGTCTGAATACTACAGCGCCATCATTGACATTGTTCCTTTCACTCGTCGTAGTGCCTGTGGTGTAAGCGGTGGTGACGGTCCTTGGATGGTTCCCTATTCCCATAATCCTCCTGCCACCAAATTACATAATAACTCATTTATTTTTTATTATTAAAAGGTTTAAAAATAATAATAAATTTGAAATACACAACATCCGTAAATAATCAAGAAAAAAAACTCACGTATTGGTGGCGGACGTCCTCATTTGGATTCATATAGCGGGTCGTATCGATATCAGATCTCTGCCTCTCGAATTTGGGCCTGCTACTATACCCGGGAGGAGGATTCGGGTGCTCGTATTCGAAGTTGGGCCTACTACCATACCCGGGAGGAGGATGGGGGTGCTCGTATTCGGGCTTCCTCTCGTACTCCGACCCGAATTCAGGCTGGGGCCTACGCCCATATCCCGATTCGTACCCGGACCCGTACTCGGAGATGTGATGATCCGGCTTCCGGCCGTACGCAGATCCATACGGAGGCTCCGGCTTCCTGCCGAATTCGTGCCCACCGCCGGGGCGATCCATACCCGGCTGATAGCCATAGTTGGGGCGGTGCTCGCCGGAGACATATTTAGCGTGGGGCGGCGGCGGGCCGCCGGGAGGAGACGGGGCGGGTCGGGGCCCCGGGCGGGCGTAGCTACGGTACTCTTGCTCCAAGGCTTTGTCGGCGTAGGCGCAGGGCTCGGCGAAGGAAGCGTAGAGTGGGCGACCGTAGTCGAAGTCGAGGGAGCCGGAGCGGTTGGGGTAGCAGGTCTCGTCGGAAGGGGGGAGGGGACGGCCGTACGCCACTGAGATGTCGTATCCGCCGCCGTAAGGGGTGGGATCGTACTCGTTGAAGTCGTCGGAGTCTTCCCCGGTGCGGTGGTGGCCTTTGGGGTAGTACGACATGACTGCTGATTGGTTCCCGCGAAATCCCTAGACCTTACTCAATTCGTTGATGGTGAGTGCCTTTAAAGGAGTTGAGCTGGTGATTGCTTCTTGTAAAGACTATTCATTCTATCAACGGTTGGGATTTATTTGGCAAATATTCGAGGGTAGGTGCTGCTGCTATACATTGCCCTTAGATCTTACTTTTTTTTACTGCATTGCCCTTTGTTTAGTATTCTCCAGTAGCGTATATTGTATAGGCCAGGTGGCAGTGATCGGTCCCAGTCTTGGGACCCACCCTAGCTCCACGCTATTAATGTTGTGCGGGTTGGGTTGGGTGCTGGGCCAATGGACTTGCCATGTATCAATTTATCATTTGGCTTTACAAGAGATTTTTTTGTAATGAAAATAAGATCAATCCATAATTACTAATTTTATTAAATGTTGAATTATTAATGAAATATGACTTCGAGTCTATTGCTGCCCTTATCTAATTCGTGAATTTAATTTTAAATTTGAATCTAATGCTGCTGGAATTAGTATGGATGGCCCAGATCTCATCTGATTAAAGTGCTAAATCTTAGCCGTCCACGTCACTCATTTCTTGTGGACCACGACAGATATTTTTAATTGTGATGGACACGCAGACTACCATCTGCTTCCTGACTATAGTCTCTCTCGCTTCCCTCTCGAGTTTCGAAGAGTTTCGAATCCAACTGCATTACTCTATGGAGATTGAAGGGATTTTTCATTTGTCTTCGTCTCCGAGTCCATTTTTCTGCTGCAGGATAGGATCTCCGGAGAATTATCGGCGCAATTTGTCGATCTGAATTGATGTTTGTCCGATAGTCGGAGTTTGTGCGTTTCTTCCGCTTTTCTTCTTCTTCTTCTTCTTCTTCTTCTTCTAAATTGTATTTTGATTTCAATTTGCATTTACAGCAATTTTCGCAATCTCTAATATTGCAATGGAACTCTGATTGTGAGCTTTGCGGAGATGATTCTTCGCGGCGCGGTCGGTCGCCTGGGATTGGCATTGTCTCCTATAACTGCAAGGTTGTAAGTTAGTCTCTCATCCTTTCAATATTTAGCAATTTTCAGTGATTTTGTGACATTTCAATTCGGTCTCATTCGATTACGGTTATTTCTCCGTAGCATCTTTATTTTAGGTTGTATCTTCTTTAATTTGAAGTGATCTCTATATCAGATTGTTATCTCAGGTTGACTTTATTCAGAAACAAAGGTTTCCGAAGTTATATTTGCATTGTCTTAGACTCTTACAGTATTACTAGACCTGTGACAGGCTCTAAAATCTTCTTCAAATGCAGAACCTGGCTGCAGATTTTCTGTCAAATTACGAGTTTCTGGCTATTGGAAGTGTTGATTCAAGTGCGCATTCCGTTGTGATTGAATATGTTCTGTAGACCCATAAAAGTTCATCGACCTCATTTATGCCCAGAGAGTGAATGGTGTTTAGGCGAGGGTAAGAGTTTGATTCACGCATTGATCATAATTTCCAGAAGTAGGTGGGTTTTGTGTTCACGCCACCCGTTGATCATTATTTCCATAACATATCCCTTTTTAGTATGTGCATCGAATTGATTTCATGAATATCTGGAGCTTAATTAAATTTTCCAACAGTAAAAATTTGGTTTAAAGGCGAAATTAAAATTGTGTGTTTGATTTCTTAGAAAATATTGCATTTACTATTCTTCAATATCTACCCTGTAGCTACACGGGCTGGTGTTTTTTCAGTTTGCCTGATTCATTTCAGTCAGTTGTTCATGCTTATTGTGTTATATATCTGCCTCTCTAAAGTTTGGATTCCTAGCTAGACTTAAGCAATTTGGAAAGAATCAGTTACTGGATCATGGAGCATAGGAAACACGACAGTTGAAATCATCAGTTTTCTTTGATGACATGTTTCTCTATGATTTGATTGATCGGATACAATTTGCTTTTGTGACACCTGCATCAAAGCAAAAAATAGAAGTTCCCAGTTTAGCATCATTTTGTCCTGCTGTTGGCAAGTAAGATAAGATAATTTTGATCTTCAAGCTTGAATAAAGTGAGTGCACTATCCACAAACGCTATTATCCTACTAGGTTTCAGCACTTATGGTTGATTTTAATTTTCTGTATTGAAGCTATCATTAACCCACAATGTTATGTTAAGTGATGATGCTTCTTCTATCATCCAAAGTGTTATATTTCAGAGTGCTTCTAACTAATCTCATGTGTTTTCATTTTTAAACTTAAATAATTACATGGATGATGCTAAGATAAGTTTCACTTTTAAAATTAATCCCTTACTCAACTGCACGACAGTCATGGTAAATAGATCTCTTTTCCATACAGTATGATCTCTGTATGTGACGTCAGTAACAAATAATAAATGTAAGAATACCTTATGCTTCTGGTGGGATGAAGGGAAAGCAACCAGTAGCTTCTTAATTATTTTATCAATTTCCTTTCCTTTTTCCTTGTATTCTTGAGAGGTGAAGATTGATTAAGTATGACATTTGTGTTCCGAATTTACTCGGTGTCCTGCTTGTCTTATGTTGATTTTGTTGGTGTTCCTAGGCATATTTGGGTTGCTAATATGTTGACCTCTTTTCTGGAATTTGCAAAGGTGTGGACTTAAGGAGGGGATTTCATATTTGGCTTAATCAGCATTAGTCATGGTGTCAACCATAGAAAGCTTGGACTCAAAAATTGTGAGATTTGTGAATTAATATTTTTATTTGCTAAGGAACTGTGCTTAAATACATTGTTAAATATTGCTAAAATATACAATATGTTAAAGAGTCATTGTGATCTGAGTCAACAAGTTGCTACTAAAGTGTCACAGAACAAAGGTTTGCCGGTTTCTTTCTTTTTGCGACAAGATTGCTTTCAGTTGTCTTTCGGCTACGTATGTGTCTGGGTATGTTCGGTTTATAACTTCCGGACTTAAGCGAACCGTGGAGTGCCCAGCACCAAAGCTTAAGGATGTGTATACTGCATCTGGTGAAAGGAAAACAAACATGATGCGTCATTTAGCTGTCTTGTCATAAAATTTTTTATGAGCTTGCATGTTGATGTGATAGTCATTTTTCTTGTTGCTTCTCTGGGTCAAAATTTGGTAACTAAATAATTATTATTACTGCTTTGTAGATCTTTGAGATGTGATAATTTGAGTTGCAACAGCTGCACCGTTTCAAGCAAGGTATGTGGTTTCAATTACTGCTTCCATGCTGTATTGGGGCCATATGATGAGAAATTGGAACTCCACTTATTAGAACAAGGTATGTATCCATAATCAATGTCTAGTTGTAGAAAAGGACAATCTTATAATTGAAAATCCTTTTTTTATAAGGTAACTTAAATTTGATCTTTCACGACTGAAGAGGCCAGCCCTTGATTTGCTTAGTTATCTCAGGTGTGTGTGTGTGTATAGTTCTTGCCAATGGCTCAGTTCAGAATATAGTTAAGCTGATTTTTTGGAAAGTGTTTTGGTGGTCAGTTAAGTATTTTATTTAATCTTTTATGGCTTGTGACCACAAAGAGATCACTGTGGTTGGAACCAGATTAGAGGGTTTTTTTTTTCTTGGAAGTTTTCTTCGTATTTGGTCATTGATCCTCCAGGGAGAAAAGTGTGGAGGTGTTGTTCGTTGTTTATGGCCTGCCATTTTTTATCTCTGATGTGCCAATATTAAACATTTCACGTGGTCCCTATAGGGTGATGAATACGGAATGATTTTGAAATTAACTGCAGTCAACTCAAATTACGTTTTGTATATAAAAAATATTTTAAAATTTATTACCTGATTAAATGTAAAAGATTCAATCAAATATACTACTCTTAATTTATAATCAAGCTGCGGCGAGCACATGGGGCCAGATTGACTGAACCAACAACGCCAGGGCATGTAGAATGTGCCTCGAAGAGCAAACCATTGGGCCAGTTTGACCTGGACCACACAAAACGCGTCTTAGTCAAGTGGGCCGCCAGCACTTGAGAATATGGACGGGCCATATTGGGCCTGCAGAGAAAACAATTTGGAACGATTTATTATGGGCCTAAAGAAAGTGGGTCTTGAAGAGCAAAAAGAACTGGACAGAATGTGTATGACCATACATCTGTTGGCCCTGTTGCATATGGGCCGACAGTAAATGGACATGTCGGCTTTCTAGGCGAATGGCTGAGCTCAATGTATATTTCCTGTCTGTTCTGCACCGACATCACCTGGCGATGTTTGGCACGTTGGGCCTTGAAAAAAACACACGTTGGGCCTTCAAATAATTTATTTAGGCCGAATTCGTACGAGCCCAAATACAAATGCTGTCTGTTTTGCACCGACATCACCTGGCGCACTGTCGGGAGATGGCACACAGCAGTGGCCATGTCGGATGACGTTTGAAAATCCATACGTTTGAATCTAACGGCTATGTTGGCTATGGGCCCACAGAGCATAGGCATGCCCGACTGCTATTATGGGCTACTGTCTTGGGCCTTGAATGACTTGATAATGGGCTGAGATTGGGCCTTGAAAAACACACGTTGGGCCTTCAAAAAATTTATGTGGGCTGAATTCGTATGAGCCCAAATATAAATCCTGTCTGTTCTGCACCGACATCACCTGGCACTGTCGGGAGGTGGCACACAGCACGTGACCATGTCGGTTGCGAATGAAAATCCATACGTTTGAATCTAACAGCTATGTTGGCTATGGGCCGACAGAACATACGCATGCCCGACTGCTATTATGGGCTACTGTCTTGGGCGTTGAATGACTTGATAATGGGCTGAGATTGGGCCTTAAAAAACACACGTTGGGCCTTCAAAGAATTTATTTGGGCTGAATTCGTATGAGCCCAAATATAAATCCTGTCTGTTCTGCACCGACATCACGTTTGAATCTAACGTCTATGTTGGCTATGGGCCGAACAGAGCGTAGGCATGTCTGACTGCTATTATGGGCTACTGTCTTGGGCCTTGAATAACTTGATAACGGGCTTCTATTGGGCCTTATAAACATGTTGGGTTTTCAAAGAATTTATTTGGGCTGAATTTGTATGAGCCCAAATATTAATCCTGTCTGTTCTGCACCGACATCACGTGGCACTGTCGGAAGATTGCACACAGCACGTGGCCATGTCGGATGGGAATGAAGATACAGACGTTTGAATGTAACGGCTATGTTGGCTATGGGCCGACAGAAGTATGCATGTCTGACTGCTATTATGGGCTGCTGTTGGGCCTTGAATGAATTGATTGGGGCCCAATATATAAGACGAGAATATATGTCTTCTGCCGGTTTTTGTAGTGCAGCACGTGACTGTGTCTGGAACCGGTAGGCAGCACGTGGTCGTGTCGGATGACAAGTTTGGGCCTAACGGATAAACAAGACAGCTTATATATATCTTGTCGGTTGGTGGCCGGCAGCCCGTGATTGCTGCTGTTATGAACTTGCCTCGAAGGATTTATTTGGGCCGAATGGGTTCGAATGAGCAAGCAGCTTCCAGACAGCACGTTGCCCTGTCTGCTCCGCACCGACATCCTTGTTAAATGGGCCTGGCAGGAAAACGTATTAGGCTGACTGGGCCTTTAACGAAAATAATATGGGCCGAAATGGAACGAAGAGCACGTAACCTTGTCGTGTCTGGTGATACTGTCGGACACAAGCTGGCCGCGTGGCTCTCTTATTTTCTGGGCTAACACCTGTGAGATATTCCAGCCTTTGCCATCATAATACTGGGCTCCATGCTGTTTGTCCTTTCGTAAATTAAACAGGCCAGCTAATGGCTATGCATACCTGCTTACCTATCCGCTGCAGTTGCAGTTTATGCTACAAAGGGAGCTTCTAAATAACACATCGCACTGTGTGCAATTGTTTATATACATACCTGTGCATTAGAAATACAAGTGATAAAAAGATTAGAAAACTCCACATGACGTATCCTTGCCCTTTCCGTCAGCCAAGCATGTTATATTATATTGTATCATAAACTAACTCAATAGCTTAACATAAGTCATTCCTAGGCATACACACATGAATCCACACAATGTTCGTGCTTTGTGTACAGAAATGGCATTGCCAGCATTTTCACAAAGTCACCAAACTTGTGCTAATAAGGGATTAATTTTAAAAGTTAAGCTTAACATCATTTAAATCTCATTAAGTTCATAAATGAAAACAGGGGTTAGTTTGAAGCTCTCTGAAACATAACACTTTGGATGCGAACATAAGGATCAATACTCAAGCAATCACAATGGCCTCATGGTAAGAAAGCCTCTATAGTTAGCTTTTCGAAGTGCACAATAGCTTTCCTATCCATTAATAAAATATACTCCCTCCTTCGTAAAAAAAAAAAAAAAAAAAAAAAAAAAATTAACCCCGAGCACGAATTTTTAAAGAATTGGTAAAAAAATTAAAAAAATAGAGTAAAAAAATAGTAAAATGAATAGTACTTTTTTTAATAAAAAATAAAACAAGAATAAATTTAAATGACAATAATAAAAGAAAGTGAAAATAAACTTGGTTCAGGAGTATTTATCTGTTAAAAGAGTAAAGAAAGTAACCATTTTTCATCCCCGTTCTTCATTCCCAATTTTTACCACCCAAAGGTCCCAAACTCCTCACATCCATCCCTCTTCACAAAACCTTTTTTCCTTTTTTGTCTACTTATTTTTTTTAATAAAAATAATAATAATTAAACAGATTCTTTACCATATTTATCCAGCCAAGGACACGAAGCTTCTCCAAATATTTCAAGACCACGCCAAACAAACACCAACCGTTGGTATCTCCCAAAACAAACAACGAAAAAACCGCTCAATCCATCCCGATGAGTCGAGATCACCCATCCGCCACCGCTCCACAAAAAACCATCACCTGAAATCGATCAGGCTACAAACCTCCCAGCACAATCAATAAAAAAACTGAAAAACAATAGAAGAGAAACCAGACCTCCCTGAAACACCCACAAGAGAGCTCCTCTCGACTCCAACCGCCAATTCAATAATTCAAAAAATCCTCAAACCCCCCAACCGATTCATTGAAGCAGCCAAACAGAGCTTCCTAAACTCCATAGATAACAAAAATTCAACGAACAGAGGCAATGAACTAATTTTACCACAATCAATCCTCAGCACCAGCAAAAAACACCACAACCACACACCAACAAACATCCGCAAAGGCAACTGACCTGAAAATTTTGAATATCAGACACCCGACGCCATCCAAATCAGACCAAACCAGCCACAATCAATCCTCCAGCCTTGCCTTCGACCAACCATCCAACGTCTCCAAACCGGCTTCAGATCCAGCTGATAAAGCTGCTCCATCTGCAACCTGGCTGATCAAAGATTGAGCTAAAGCTTATGGTTGCAAGGAGAAACAGTCGCCACAACAAATTCCAGAATTAAGGAAGATCAGATGGATCAAAGATTGTCTGCTTAAAGCTTCTAAATACACACCACAGCCTAGCATGCAAACCTCATTATAAATTTAAATTATTCTTTATCCTCATGATATAAGGACCAATAGTGGTACTATAATACAAATTAATAAATAGCAGAAAATTCCAAGCGATACACAATATCAAAAAGTACTTGACTCTCTATTCAAACCAAGAACGAAAACAAAGGCTACCGAATTTGAGAGCAACCACAAATGAATTAATGTCAACCCGAAATCCTCTAGAGTTTAGTAGGTGTGTGAGTAAATCCCCATATCCATCTTGAATCAACTTCAGCGTGATGAAACTATCAATCTTCACAAGCACATAGTAGGAAAAATTGTAAACAGAAAGCATCAATCCAAACGATAGGACTACCTTGAATTCTAGTCTAAGCAGGCAGTGGCTGACCGCAATGCAAACGTCAAGACAACAATATAAACACCCTCAGTTAACAATAATAGCATCTTTGTCAGATCAAATTAGAGGCGCTAGGGAGAAATAACCGTAATCAAATTGAACCGAATTGAAATGTCACAAAATTGAAAATTATTGAAAAGGATGAGGGTCTAACTTACAACCTTGCAGCTATAGGAGACAATGTCAATGCCAGGCGACCGACCGCACCGCGAAGAATCATCTCCGCAAAGCTCACATCAGAGATCCAGTGCGAAATTAGAGACTGCGAAAATTGCTGTAAATGCGAATTGAAATCAAAATGCAATTTAGAAAACTGAAGTAGAACAAAAGAGGAAGAAACGCACGAACTCCGACTATCAGTCAACATCAATTCAGATCGAAAACTCACGCCGATGGTTCGCCGGAGATCCATTCCTGCAGCAGCAAAACGGACTCGGAGACGAAGACAAAACAAAATCCCTTCGATCTCCATAGAGGACTTTGGATTCGGAACTCGAGAGGAGAGCGAGAGTGAGTCAGATTCAGAATGGTAATCTGCGTGTGCAGCACAATAAAAATATCTGTCGTGGTCCATAAGAAATGCGTGGACGTGGACGGCTGAGATTTATCACTTTTAATCAGATTAGATGCGGACTATATATATATATATATATATATAGATATGATGTGATATAAATAGGGGTCAATATGACGTTTTGAATGTAAGATTAATTTTTAGTATAATATAAAAAATAAAAAATAAGTATTTTGATATTTTTGAAAAAAAAAGATGAATAATGTATTTTAAATCCAATCCCCGAACAAACACACTCTAATGGTCGGCTTTGAGTCTGGATCCGGGTCGGGTTAAAAATTTAGAGAATCGTTAGGCTATCTCGGGTTTGTCAGGTATGTTGTCCGGGTACGAGTACAGGAACGGGTATGGGTATGGGTAATGGGTATTCTAATGTATTCGGTGTCGTTGACATCCCTATCATTAGCTGAAGAAAGGTAGGTTATATATACTTCCTTCCAATCGGTTTCTTGATTCTGAATTAGGTATTGTTGTCTTCAGTGAATTTCATCTCTACATATTCAAGATTTCGCTGGTACAACTCGCATGATATTATCAATTTGTGAGGTTTAAGCTTCTTTTGACGTGTGAGTAATCGAGCTACCTTCAATTAGTACACCTTCGAGCTAGTAATCGCGGCATCAAACCATGTGGTACGGTTCGAGCTAAGGGAAAACGTGTGGAAGAGTAAAGATTCTTGTTTGATTGAGCTAATCTATCACAGTTTTTCTTGATTTATATTTGATAAACACTTCTTTCTAAATATGATGGCTACCCGTATTTGCAGCATCTCTGTTTCGTTACCTGCTGATACAAGCAACTGAATTTTCAATCGAATGACCTTCTGAACTAGCAGTGGCAGTGGAGCAAGTGAAAAGGCTGCAGTTGAATTTTCAGAGATGATTCTTTCTGCGCTGTTAACTTCAGTGGCAATAAACGTAGCCCTTTGCTTATTTTTCTTTATCCTTTACTCTATATTGAGAAACAAACCAAACCATGCCTACCTCTATGTACCGCGCCTGGTTGCGGAAGGGGAATTGGAGGGGGGAGATGAAACCAGCCGGAGAGGTTGTCTGTCTTCTTTCAAATGGGTGAAAAGGGCATGGAAGCCATCAGAGGATGAACTTTTGGCTAATTCTGGATTGGATGCTGTAGTGTTCATGCGCATAATTACCTTTGGGTTAGTAAAAAACTAAGCGTGTGTTTCTTTTGATGGGTATGGAAAAATTTTGTTTTAGGTTTGGTATAAAAATAATGTATGAAGTGATGTTTTGTGATAGAAAAAAATGTTTTTTTTTTTTTTTTTTTTTTTTTTTTTTAAAAAACGTAAAATTCAAATAGTAAAATCAGGAATCTTTGGTAAAAGAATTGTAGTTATTCACGGTCATTTCTACTTCTTGCTGATTTTCTTGCCATCTTTATAGGTTGTTTGTCTATGCAGGTTGAAAGTGTTTAGATTTGGGGGCATTGTCGGAATCTTCATTCTTCTCCCATTCAATTATATGGGGAATCAATTAAATATTGATGTCACTGACTTGCCAAACAAATCACTGGAAACATTCAGCATTTCCAATGTTGACGATGGGTCAAACAGGTTGCTGCTTCATATTAATGACTTGAATTTTGCTTTGCATGAGTGAGCTAAGTTATTTCACAAGTCCCAATATGTTTTGTATCTGTTAAGAGGAAATCAATGGTTTTATTCATTTTTCAAGTATGACCATGCTTTGGAAAGGCGGCAGATCTAAAACTGATAGAAAAAAAAAGACCCGTCAAAACCTTAGGCCCTACATACGCTTTACATGCCAGCAACCACACATGCATAGCATCAAGGAAGAGCTTCCCCCTCTATCCATCCTTCCTTAAGTTTTGGTGCTTTGGAGTTTTCTTTTTCATATTCTTTTTGACTTTTCATTCATTCATCGCTTTCGATTGGTGAAACTATGCATGGATTGTGTGCTTATAAACTTAGGTGACAGATATAGGCTGCCAAGCATGAGTTGTACAGCTTTATGTATTCATTTTGGCATGTTTAAACTCAAGTGCATTTGGACTGTAGTTTTATAGTTATTAACTGTCAACATATTCATTTCTGATCCTCAAAGCTTTTCTTTTTTCTTAATTTCTGATCCTCAAAAGTTTTTCTTTTTCTTAATTTCTGATCCTCAAAAGGTTATGGATACATTTCTCCGCGATTTATATTTTCACGGCTGTTGTCTGCTATCTTCTTTACTATGTAAGTCTTTTGTTTTCCTGTACATCCTATCAGCTATTTCATCATAGTCAGCAGAAAAGTTAACAGCTCCTAAGATTGTTTTTATTTTGCAGGAGTATGACTATATTTCGTGCAAACGGATTGCTTACTTCTATTCTTCTAAACCTCAGCCAAGCCACTTTACTGTTTTAGTTCGGAGCATCCCTGCTTCTCCCAGGAAGAGCTTCAGTGATAGTGTTGAGCGCTTTTTCAATGAATATTATCCTTCTACCTATCTTTCCCATTCTATGGTTCGTCGGACTGGCAAACTCAAAAGCTTAATTGTAAGTTAACAAACAAATGCTTGAATCAACTTTGCTCTTGATGATTTCACGCTGCCCTATCTTTTGTTCTTGCTGTTGTGGATTTTTTTCTTGATTTAACATTTTTGGATACTTTGAAATCTCATTATATGTCAATTGCAATGAAGATAGCCTATTAGAAGATAGGATGGTTGCTAATTTAAACTTATGACTAAAAAGGAACGCGTTTTTCTTATAATACTGTCATCTACCTTCAAGAATTCATATTTGATTGCAGATCACTTGCTTGGAAATGCTATATAAAGTCTACTATTTAGCTTTTTTATTTTCTAAAACATCCTCGATATTCTTTTCTAGAATGAAGCTGACGGTGTATATAAGCGGCTTGCTCATGTGAAATCGAAAAAACATCCTGAACAAAGATTCAAGCGGGATGGCTTCTTGGGCATTTTTGGAAAGAAAGTTGACATTGTGGATCATTATGAAAAAAAGCTCGAAGATGTGGAAGGAAATTTGATGACAGAGCGAGCTTCTGCTGCTGGAAAGGTAACAATCTTTTGAAGAGGCAAACAGAAAATAATTTTGCTTTGTAATGTTTATATAGTTACTTATGCATTTGGAACACACAAACAATGTCAGTCACACCAAGTAATTTAAGCTCACAAATTAAAAATTTTATGGCAAGTTCACTTGCTAAATGTGGTGTGTATGCTACTAGAAGGATTCAAATATGGTTGAGGTTGATTGATTTACGGTGAAGTAGCTTGGAATTATTATTGCTTGAATTCTATGAAATGGATTTTTGTAATGAGAGATGTTGATAGGATCTTGATGCATAAATAGAAACTGCATATGTCAATAGCTAATGAAATGAATTGCAAGAGAGAAAACACTAGCAGCAAAAAAAAAAAAAACCCGTCAAGTTTTGGGAATTTGAAAATAAGAAACCCGCACCTTATATGGAGTCAACTTCGGGCTTTAATGTGGTTTGTATTTTATATTGAACACATCTATCATTCATGATGAGGTCTTAATTCATATAGACTTATTTTTTCTCTTGCTTATTATACATTTTACAAAATGATTATGGGCACCTTTTGATGCTCTATCATATGGCTATTCTCTCATTAGGAAGTTGCAGCTGCATTTGTATCTTTCAAGTCTCGTTTTAGTGCTGCAATAGTTGCACATCTTCAACAAGGGATTAAACCTACAGAATGGGTTGCGGAGCCAGCTCCTGATCCCCGAGATGTATACTGGCCATTCTTTTCTTCTTCATTTCTCAAAAGGTGGATGTGCACTATTGCTGTTGTTTTTGCCTGTATTTGTATCACCATCTTGTTCCTTGTACCTGTTCTCTTCGTCCAAGGCCTGACTCATCTGGATCAGTTGGAGACCTGGTTTCCCTTTTTGAAAGGCTTGTTAACATTGTAAGCTTCTTTTTCACTCATCACAAAGTTGTCTCTCTGTTTGAATAAAGAATGTGATAGTACACTACTTGCAAGTGAGTTCTTTGTAACAATGACACGTTAAGCTAGATTAAGAATACTTTCTTTTTCACGCTTGCAGGAAAATTGTCAGCCAAGTAATTACAGGATATCTTCCAAGTCTCATTTTGGAGATGTTTTTGTCATTAGTACCTCCTGTTATGGTTGTGCTCTCCTCTATACAAGGCTATATTGCCCTTAGTCAGATTGAGAAAAGTGCTTGCATTAAAATGTTGTGGTTTACCATTTGGAACATCTTCTTCGCTAATGTGCTATCAGGTTCAGCACTGTACAAGGTTGATATTTTACTTCAGCCCAAAAGAATTCCCGAGCTATTAGGTGTGGCTGTTCCTGGACAAGTATGTTCCTTTTTATTTTTCCTCTAACTTCTTCTCCTTTATATTTGAAGTTCTCTTCTTTTGATGTATGAAGTTCTTAAAATCTGGATTTTAATGGTGATTTGATGGGTTTTCCGACTACTATAACATAATTTTGAGGAGGATACATAAAAAAAAAAAAGAAAAAGAAAAAAGAAAATCTGATAGATGCATTTTATTGTATGCATGCCTTTTGTATAATTCCATGTGATAAAATTAACCACAGGCAGTTTTAACTATATTATTTCAGTTAGTTATCATGTGTATACCAAGTGTTAAATGATATGGAAGAATTTTTTTCCAGTTTTGTGTTCATAAAAAACATTATGATTTCAAAAGCTGTCTGACTTAAAGCCAGGTCTCTTCTAATAGTTCAGTGTTCCAATAACATGGTATATTGACCAATAAATTTCCTTTTGTAGTTTTGTCAATGAACTAATCATGGATAGTTAGCTTAAATTCCTGGACTTAAATCATGGATACAGGCTGAAGAAATGAAAATGACTTGTCTCTTTGTTTCTGAATGTTTTGTTTGTTCATCCATTCATAAAATAAACATAGAGTGGCTAAGAAAACTCTGACGCAGGCTGCCATTTTTTATGGCATAGGATGACTTGCTTGCACATTGCTAGAATTCATAGGCTCATGCAATACATTTTTTCCCCTTCTTTTTCAGGCTTCATTCTTCATTGCATATGTTGTAACATCTGGATGGACCAAGACGTTTTCTAAAGAACTTCTCATGATAAAACGCCTGTTTTGGAGGTTTCTGAAAGGAAGTTTGTGTTGTAAATCTGATGAGGAACTTGAGGTCCCATCAAATCCTTATCACCGGGAAATTCCTCAAATTCTTTTCTTCACCCTTCTTGGTATAACATATTTCTTCCTTGCACCTCTAATCTTGCCATTTCTCTTGGCTTACTACTGCTTTGCGTACATCATCTACCGCAACCAGGTCAGTTGATTATCCTCATGTTCTTTTAACATATTCTCATTGAGTATTGAACTTGACTTCACTCATTTTTATTTCTGGAGCAGCTATTAAATGTTTATGAGCCCAAATTTGAAACTGGCGGGAAATTTTGGCCAGTTGCACACGATGCAACAATATTTTCCTTAGTATTGATGCATGTGATTGCGATTGGGATATTTGGTCTAAAGGATGTTACATTAGCTTCAAGCCTGACAATCCCTCTTCCAATTCTCACTCTAATATTTAATAGTTATTGCCGGAGACGATTCTTACCTAATTTCAGAGGTTATCCTGCGGAGGTACACTTATATCCTTGCTTACATATTAGTTAAGCTCCCATTCTTATTATGCGCCACAGTATGGATGTCTCTCATTTGTCATTTGGCTGTGCTTAATAGCTTGCTTCTGCTGTTGGGTACTTATCCATGGTTTAAAATTACTTTGCTCTTGAAGAAATACTAGTTTTCCCAAGCAAATATAATATTTTAATCATAGCTAATAAACCTGTTAAAGTCTAGTTTGAACTAAACAAACTCTACGTCTGACTATAATCTAATGGTCCCAACCTCAGGTGACCACACTTTGAGATCCTATTAAATAATACATGCATGAACATTGTGAATAAAAACAATTTGGCATGTAATTTCTTACTGAATAAAGCCAGTCCCATGGACCTAAGAACTAACTCACTCCCTAAAACGAAATATCTACTTTTAACTAGGAGGGATTCTTTCTGATTTGCTTATAGCAACTTCCCATTAATTAAAATGCGTATGTGCGATGATTTGTCCATCCCTATTCCACCACCTTCCATGGGAAAGGATCCTTCTTTCTGTTATTAATTTTTGTTCATGTAAACTTGCTGCTGACATCAAAGATCTATTTTAAATTTCCTTCTACACCTGTGAATTTCTTTACATCCATTGCTGTTTGTTGTTATGATGCAGTGCTTGATAAACAAGGACAGAATTGATCAAAATGATCCCACCATATCTTCTTTCTATGACAAACTGTCCACAGCATATCGAGATCCTGAATTAAAATCACTAAGAAATTCTGGAAGCAGTCACAGTGGCAGCTCGTCGCTTAACACTCCTCTTCTAGGTAGTTCCCATCGCAAATAGCAAGAAAGGTGCAGATTCAATGGTTTCAGTAGTCAGGTAGACATGTTTCAGTAGTAATAGCATCTTTACTAGTCATCACATAACTATCTCAGCATCTTGAAGAAACTGACATATTTACCGCACGGTCAGACCAGAGAGAAAGCAGCATGAAAAAGCTATTTTAGCAAGCTGGGAGAATGTTATGCTTATCGGTTGCTTTGAGGACTGGACACTTCTATTAGTTGGCTGTTAGGACTTACAACTGACTTTGAGTTTTCTTTTGCTTTTAGCTTGATTATTTTATTTTATTTTTTTTTTTTTTTTTGGTTTTGTGATTTATGTGTGTAAATGTCTGATTAAGTCTGAATGTTTGTATGAAGTGATGTTTGAGTGTCACATAGCCCATACTGCTGGCAATAGTTGTATGAATAAAAAAAAGTTTTTAGTTTTTCTTCATCATTATGTGAATCAGGTGCTGAGTATCTTGTTTGTTTTATCTGCAGTTCTATGAAATTATGACCTTTTCTCATCTCTGTTTAAACTTTTCTTCTTGGCCCCTGTTTCCTGAAACTGTTTGAGGTTTCCTTAGAATCCCACAAATCTGTTGGTGGTTGAATTCTCACAAAGAAGTCAGTTTCTGAAATGAAATGGCAGGTTTTCTTGAGTCAAAATTTTTGATATGTTAAGGTGTTAAATACATTAATTTGTATTTGCTTATGTCAAGGTTTCTAGAGGGAAGATGATGATCACAGCTTCTCTGTTAAACCTCCACCTGGAATGATAAGAAGACACTGTTGACATCTTCCTCCCTCTCTCTCTCTCTCTCTCTCTCTCTCTATATATATATATATATATATGTGTGTGTGTGTATAAGTATATATATTAAATGGGATTTGGTTGTAATTACAAGGAAATTAAAGAAAAATGAAAAGGCAACGAAAAAAAAAACACTGCTTTGGCAACAATGGAACTCTAGTGTCTTTTCTGTTGTTTATCCAAACCTCCCCACAAAATCTCCAGTGTCTCTACCTCTGTCTGTATCCCAAACTATTATAAGTTTATTCTCCAAAGATGCCTATTGCAGATGAGCAATAAACTATTACATGATTTTATCACAAATGGCAACATACATGAAAATCTATAAATATATAACTCTACTGCGTGGGAGACTGGAAATGTCAACATCCACTCTTAACTTTTGGCTGACATCAGATCTATAAATTATAGTAGAAAATTTGCAGCAATGAAATGCAGACATTTGCCACCCTGTAATTCGCCTGCTTGTCAACATCATCCTACATCTGCTTGTTAAAATCGATCCTCCTGACCTTAATCAGTAATGACAAAATTGTCTTAACACACCGTTTTCCCTACTAATAATGATGATATAATATATTTACACATAATTTTTTATATCAATTTCAAGCAGCAAAAGTAATTCTTGCCCCACTGAAGCATATATTTGGGCACTGCAACAAGTCCCTTTCCATTATTTGATGGTTTCGATGCTTTCTTGGATTTAAATAAAAATGTATGTAATCATTGTGATTATACTCAGGGAAACAAGACCCTGATTTCAGTTTCGATATTTTAAGATTGATGAAGGAAACAAGACAGAAATGAACAGTGAGCATCTCCATCAATCAGTGCATTTATTTTAGTTAAGATTGATTGAATTCAATCCAATCAGTGCCCTCATAGAGGCATGCTTTGGCCAGGTCAAATCCCCACATTATTTTATTACCATCACAACAATGAAAATGTTTCCACTTGTCTTTAAAATACACAGAAAATTTTCGCAAGCAACAAAAGAGTCTGAACAAACAAAGAGGACTAATTCTTCATTGAAATGATCTTCTCATTATGCATATATAAAGTCATTAATCATTAATTCCCTCACTCACGAACTAACTTAACCATCAAACACTTCTCCACTCAGAATCAAGAATGGCTAGAAAAAGAAAAGCTACTGAGGTAATCAAGAATGATCAAGAAAAGCTCAGCCCTGATGAAAAAAATCCAGCTGCCTGGGATGAGATGATGAAGGAGGCGGCCGCTGCCGTCGCCCTTGGCGGAGTCAGGCCGGCGAGGAAGAGATTTGTAGGGGTTCGGCAACGCCCGTCAGGGCGATGGGTGGCGGAGATAAAGGACACTATACAGAAGATTAGAGTGTGGCTCGGGACATTCGACACAGCCGAGGAAGCTGCCAGGGCATACGACGAGGCAGCCTGTTTGCTCCGTGGGGCAAATACAAGAACTAATTTCTGGCCCTGTTTGTCGAACTCGCCCTCCACACCTGCCCTACCGTCCAAGATCACGAATCTTCTTCTCGACAGGATTAAGGCAAGGAATAATGCTTTGATCGTCGCTAGTTCGAATTCCAGGTGGGATTCTTCATCATCTTCCTCTGCATCTTCCATGGCGGCGGCGCCTGTTGATCAGAAACAGGTGGCGGATGAGGTCCCTGATTTATCAGAATCACAATTCACTGATTTCTTGAGGGATCCTGATGAGGATTGTTACCTGGAAAACAACAGCCTGATTGAGACTAATGAGTACAGCCCAAGTTGGGACTCATCCATGTCAGGGATGGATAGTGATTTCCAGGCCTGGGGACAAAATCCAACTGATTTAATCCAGGTTTCGACCGAAGAACAGGAAGTGGAAAATGATCATATTGAGGAGGAAAATACCATCACATTAGAAGCTGTGGACTTCCATTTCCTGGACGAACTCGGGTCGTCGCCCATTGAGTACTCGCCGTTCGACATTGCTGAGGAGATCTCGAAGCCAATGGTGCAGGAAGACGAGCCGTTGATGATGACAGAGGCGATGAAGAGGATGAACTACGAGAGGAAGTTTTCTGCTTCATTATACGCCTTCAATGGGATCAACGAATGCCTGAAGCTGAAGCTTGGGAAGATGGCGCAGAGCGACGCGTCTGACCACCTGTCAAGGCTCAGAAATGCCTGTCAATTGAACCAAGAAGAAGCTGCAATGATGAGTGAGAATGAAGAGCAGGAAAAGGGCAACAATGGAGAAGATGAGAATGAAGAAACATCCCTCTGGAGCTCCATTGATCTTCCGCCGCTATGTTTCGTCAATTAATCGCATCGCATCTCTAATGTTCCTTAGTCTTGACAGTTTAGATTCTAATCCTGATTGAAACTATACAATTGTGTCATCTTTCTTAGGTCTTAAGGACAGCCACAATGTTCGTCGACTATACAAAGATATCATTGATTAATGAAGAACTACATATTTATTGCATCCAGCAGACTGCATCTGCTTCATAATGTCTATGATTCAGTAGTAATCCACACTTAAAAAATCTTACACATCATGAGACGAATTCAAAGCTGTAAAAACCATAAGTGTGGATTTTCGTCGTCGCATAAGCCGCCAGCTCCAAATGAGCTATTAAAACTAATGGCTTGGCCTCTAGAAATTCAGCTCTTGCAAAACTATGTACAGCATCAGCTTCTAACTTACGAAGTAGGATCGATCAGATTTCAGAGAACTCGAAGCTGAGCAAGGAAGGCGGAGCAAAGGTCGAGGAAGAGCAGCTGAGGCCCCTGAACTCTCTGCAGATCCAGCAAGTACTTGTCTTCACGGGTTTTGTAAAGCTGAAAGAAAAAAGCCACGAGCGCGATTTTTGGGGCGTTGATTACACATGTAATAATCTGCTTATGAATAAGATTAGAAAATAAAAGACAATATTACCTGCAATTCGAACTTGACCGCATTGTGTGGATTAACGCTGCAGCCGTTCACAACTATAGGAGATTCATTTCCGAATCCATTGGTATCATCCATAACATTGTTAAGCATCCCCTCATGGTGACCAGGGTTGCCGGGATTCCATCGACATTTCATGTTGTAAGGACCAATCTTTTTCCACTGAACATTCAGCTCTTGGAGAGCATTGAGAACTTCTGTCAGTATCTCACGAGGATGGGCTCGAGACTGCGACAGAAGAGCCAAATAGAAGAGAAAAATATTACAGTCCATAGAAGAAGGTGAAAAAGAACAAAAGAAAAACGAACATCTTTTCATCAAAAGTTCACAAAGAAGCCAACCAACCTGAAGTCCAAGTGCCCATTTCCTGTCTGATGGCAACTGCCTCCCCCCAAATTGTTGATAATCGCTAATCCCTGAAAGGCGTAGCCCGCCAGGAGATGTAACGGTTTCACTAGGACTCGAGCGATTGTATGCATATTCCTGTAGAGTTAAGGTTCCCGCAAATATTTAAGGTTGTCATAAAGATGGAATGGGTTTGGATAACAGCATACAATGTATGAATACAGACTATCTTGATTATTGACAGGAACCGGAAACTGTACCATGGTCTCTTGAAATTCAGATCCAAGGTATCCATTGGCGATCCGGAACCGATTGTCCAGAAGCAGATAGTACGTGACAGTACCCTGAACAGCAGGGTAAAATAACATGAGAGAACTTCCAGAACAACAATAGCATCACAGATAACAACATTTACCTCGTTCTGAGCCCGGTTTCGAAGGGAATCAACTAGAGCAGCCCTTTCAAATCCCATCTTAACCACTTCTTGAAGAATATCTTCATCAATCTGCATTTATTTTTTAAGGCAAAAAAATTATTTCCAGAATGAGAACCATAAGGATTAATATAACCTAACATGAAGAGAGAAGTCCTGTCAACTTAAAAGCCAAAGAGCTGAAATTAGACCTCAGTTCCATCGATTCCACATACCTTTTTAGCTTGCTGTGACGTGTCTGGGGGTGGTACGGCTAGATATCGTGGAAGATGAGCTTGGAACCAGGGATGTGCGCGGATCTCAGGAATGGTCATTCGTTTCATAGGATCAACTACGAGCATTCTGGGAATCAGATCTCTTGCGCTGGCAGATAAATGACTAGGCAGCATATAAATTCCACCCTATGGACAAATAGAAACCGAATAAAAATGGAGTCATTCTGACTCAACATTGTTACATGAATTTGCAAGCTCAACAGGAGTAAACAGAGATATTGAAATATGGTGAGTGTACCTTAATCTTTTTGAACAGGTTGGGTATGTTCTCGTCATCGAATGGAAGGGTACCGCAAAGAAGTGCATAGAGGATAACGCCGCAGCTCCATACATCCACTTCAGGGCCCGCGTATAATTTACCAGAAATAACCTATCAATATAACATAATCAAACCACAGTCCACAATTATTGTGACATTTTTAAGTGCATGAAATATTACCTCAGGAGCAGCATAGTTGGGGCTCCCACAACTTGTTTTCAGAAAATGACCATCGCGCATGATATTGCTCAAACCAAAATCAGCAATTTTCACATTTTTTTTTGAATCCAAAAGCAAGTTCTCTGGCTTCAGATCCCTATGAACCACCATGTTTCTATGGCAGTACTCAACTCCAGATATTATCTGAAAGTATCAATCTTCACAAGGTCAGCCTCAACAAAACCAAAGGTTTTCTAGTGTTGTGGCAACAAAGGAATCTGACCTGTTGGAAAAAAGTACGTGCTTCATCCTCATGCAACCTACCTTTCTCCACTATGTAATCAAATAACTCACCAGCCTTTACATATTCCATTACAACATGTATGTCGGCCGGTGTCTCCACAACCTCATAAAGACGTATGATATGGGGATGCATAAACAATCTCAAGATTTTGATTTCTCTCCTCACTGAAAAAAACAACCAATTCCTAAGAAGATTCAGAAAGGACAATAGCTAAAGAAATGAAAATTTTCGCAATTGCATTGATGAATTTGCAGATTAATTCACCGTAAGAAAATAAGACACAACAAAGTCCACTTAAAGCTACCATGACTTCTGGTAATTTCTTTCTTTTTTATGATAAAAATGATGTCGATATTTTGAAGCAACAAGCAGCTATATATGGCCTCATCGTAGAACGAAACACAGCTTCAAGGAAACCGAACAAATCTTTCAGAGATACTTAAACCAAGGAAACAGATTTGTTATGAATCATATTCATGGATAGATATGACAGACCTTTTTCTTCCATATCCATATTCTTTATTTTCCTGCGGTTAAGGATCTTCACAGCAACTTTGTGCCCCGTCAATGCATGTTCAGCGATTTTAACTTTACCAAATGAACCAATCCCAAGAGTCTTCCCAAGCTTGTAGTTCCGCAGAAATGAGTCCATGCTACTACTTTCTTGGATTGACCCATCCATAGTCCTAAATACAGCATAATCATTGCAGATCACTAAAAAAAAGCCTATTTATAGAAACACATAAGATTACAAATAACATCTCAAGTCTTCACATTAATGTTTATGTTAACATAGATAGAAGTTAGCAATAAATTAGAAAAGATTTACATAACTTGGTAAGTCATCAGATAACTAGCAGCTAGCCAGTTAAAGAAACTCTCATTATAAATTAGTAGTAATATTCAGTTCACAGATGCATCTACTTAATTAATGCATGCAAATTCTCAGAAGGAAAAGGCACGGGTCTCGTTGGGCACAATCCAAAAGAACCGAAAAGCATTCTAATAATAAAATCACTTGTTGGAAAGGCAAGTGTAAGTTACACACTAAGTTCTTCTATGTTATACTGAATGTATTGTGCCTGATGATATAGTGAAATTCATTTGTCACATAAAATTTCTTCAAAGAAATTAGCATCTGCAGTGCAACTCAAACTCGAAGTGAAAATCTGGCAATGATTCCTGAAACTAGAACTTGAAATCATGAAAGAACTAACCATCAAATATCCTGACAAGATACCGACCGAAGAAGAAACAATCAGCACGACGCCCAAATTTCAAATCCTTTCAATCAAACAATTATACGTTCACAATTACAGATCTTGATAATCGAGGAACGCTAAGATTACATTAAATCTAACTCTTAATTCAATTACGTAAGATTCAATCCCAAATCAATGAATTCCCCAAGCACGAAAAAAATTAGGATACTGAAATTCACGGAGAAATCGCTGCAAGAAATACCTGACTGAGCTAACTCTGCAAACAAGAAGAGATTGAATCAACAGTGTGTGGGTGAAGTTCTCCAATGCAGATTGCAGAGAAAACGACGCCCGAACTCAAAACTTCAGCACGCCTAAATCGATTTTAACATCCGCTGCAACAATAAAGTAAATATCTGAATTCAACAGTGATGCTGAACAGTTACAGGAAAGGAAGGATGTAAAGGTGGGGGAGGAGGAATTAAGGTAGGTGGTTGCAATTATTGAGGCGAACAAAATTCGTGGGGCTCAGGGTATTTTCTGCTTTCCGTTTTTTACTGGTTTTGGTGGAAGCAAAACTTGATTCCTTGCCATTGTTGCTCGCCTGAAACAGGCGTCCAAACACACGACACCAAGCACTGGAAAAGGAAAAGCAGCAGCATCTGATATGGTGGAGAAATTTACCTGCCCGTCTTCCATTATTACACTTGAAAGAAAAACATAAACCAAGAAATTATGATTGAACTGATGTGACTTCTCCCACCACTCCAATATTCTGAAAGATATTTTAGCCCATCTGTTATTCTTATTATTACTGTTTTTCGAAATACCCATGGAGCATTTTCACGGCGCTTGTCTCGTACGGCATTAAGTAACAATGTACTACTGCTATTACTGTTTTGGTATTTTCCCTGTGAATCTTTTTCATCAGATTCTGTGTACATCTAAGTGATTCTTGTTTCTTTTATTACAGTTGGAAACACTGTTGATCTCTTCTCACTGTTGTATAAGTTGCAGTGAAAATTAACTTTCAGATTAACCTTGACTAATTTTCAAGAATCACATATACTCAAACATTGAGCAGTCAAATTCTGCAATTATTAAGTACAAGATTATGCAACCAAATTCCTCACAGAAATGAAGCAGCTTTTTCATTATGCCCACGACCAAAATACAATGAAACCAGCCGAAATCTCAGCAGTCAGGAGTCAAGACAGTGTGATTGATACATCATACATGTGTGTTTACAGATATTATATACTAATATATTTGTATATATTCTTGGCATCTTCTTCAATTCCCAGGAATAAATTATACAGACAAGCCTGCACTGCACTGCACACAAGTGTCAGATCAGTAATGAAAAACTGGTGCTTTGTTGTACTTGAGGGCATGAAAAGAAAATAGGGATTCCGGTGACTCCCACCCCACTAAAATTAAATATTATAATGCTTTAAAGCATACAAAGTGCTATGATGGGAATGTGACATTAGGGAATTAATGCACGCCGTCCAAGTGAAGAATTTGAATCCAATTTCCCAGTGAATATGTGCTGAGTTAGAAATTAAATGGAAAATCCACTTCACAAGAATTCTTGTCGACTTTGCAATGGCTGCAACTGCAAACATCAGAACAATGTTAAAGAGAAAAAACCAGTCTTGATAATCAATTCTGATGCAAAATTGCCCACCAGTATTGGGTTTTTCTTTTTTCGTCATGTTTAGAGCAGATAAATTATGAGCACACTTCCCAAGCAATTCCATGAGCTTCATAACAAATCAAGTAAAAGCCAAGAAGATGCACGGTGACAGTGAATATTGACGTTGATGTTACAGTACTGGGTACCAAAACCTACGATAGCTTTAAATTGTACAAATACCTGACAGCTATTAATATTATAAGATTGATGTATGTACTGTGTACAGTGTATGAAATTTGAACTAATCATTTTTCATCCACAATTGAAGTCGTTAGATAAGTCAGTGATCATTATAATCATCTAACGCTCATGTCAAGAAAATATGCAAACCATCGTCTTCAAACCGAATTTTTGAAATAATCGACGGCCGTGAAAATAGAAAACCCACAGCACATGGAGGCAGCTGCACTCGGCGGGCCTCAGGGCTTCCCTGGCATGTCGTCTTCTTTATTGGTCAAAACCTAAATCTCCAATTATTATGTCGAGAAATCTCCCCCCTTTTTCTTATCCAATTGCTTTCTATCCACTCGAAAAATTACGGTTTAGTAAATCTTTCTGAAGTATTGTTAATGAAAACCCACGAAAGACAAGCAAACAGGCCAATTAATTCAGAAGCAAGCTCGGAAGAGAATGCAGGTGGGCAACACACACAGGCACATTAATTGAACAATTATTGAAGTAACTTGATCATCCATCACATGGTATCATTATTGCACTGTTGATGAACTGGAATCACATTATGCAAGAGCATTGAAATTGTTGTTCGCCTGCCCATCACATGAAAATTCCCAGAAAGTCCAAAGTTCGAATTTTTCGGAAACGTGAAAGTCTGTAAAAAGAAAAGCTTAGGTACAGAAATCCATGGAGCCCATTAAACCAAGGCGTTGACCCAGGGTTCGTGTATTAAATTAGTTGATTAAACCTAAGTAGATATTAAGTTTACTTTAAACAAAGACTACCAGATAATTGGTAGGCAAGATGGAAGAGAAATCAAGCCCTCCATCTGTGTGGTTCCCACACGATAAAGGGTGTAGAGTTCGAAGAGAAATCAGTTTTATTTATTGCCCATTTGGAAGCGTGCAAGATTTCATGGCAAGTTCAATTCACTTGTCATTATTTCAGATTTAGATTGAATCGGACGTAATATATTCTGATCTCTACCTTCCAAAGCTCCCATCTTTTGATTAAAGGCCAATTCTTTAACAGCAATTTCCGCTGCCTCATAAAAATCTGAAGCTACTTGCTATTTAAATGCGAATTCACCTAACAAAATGAGAGGAAAGGAAAAAGAGATAATTTCTTTGATTTTTTCCCCATAGATTTATGGTATTTATGCAGAGTTTTAAATATATATTTTTATCCCCACCAGCCATGATGGCGAGGAAAAAGTGGAGAAGCACAATGATTAAACATGGCAAAGTACCCTGCCTTTTGTCCAGCAACCCCTTCTCTCTTATCGCATTCGGGCATCGATAATCAGGGGTAAGAAAAATCCAAATAGCTTGAGGAAGAAGTGGCGTTGGGGCAAAATAAAAAGAAGAAGAAACGGGTGTTGAAATCGGTAATTGGATGCGACACCGTCGGACCCATTTCTTCTTCCCCATATTCAAAAGCCCTTTCTCTCAGGTCCTTCCTTTCTCTGTACCTGCACAGATACCTACTCGGAAGAACATTTGTATGTTTCTGTATGTACCGATGTGCAATGTATTTGTTCTGATGAATGCAATTTCTGTTGAGATCGTCGGTGGTGGTAGTTTTAATCCGATCGGGTCTTGTTCTTGTTCGTTATATGTTTTTTTTTTCCTTTCCTTTTTTTTTTTTGGGAGAATACAGCCCTGTTGACATGACTGTTTCCAGCTTTTTTCGAATTGGTTTTGTGCTTTCAGTGTTTTGGATGATATTGGATGACATCTGGCTTATCCTGAAATGAACTGTAGATTTGTCTTCACGTTTCACATTATTGTTCTTAGGTCTATCTATCTATCAATGTGGTATTTATATATACATGGTTGATAATGACCATTGCTTTTGTTTCTGTTGGTGGGCGTGGCCGTGTGTCTTGCATCAAACCCACACATTTCTTCTTGAACATTTCCTCTGATTTGTCTTGTATTGGTCGAATTGCTGGGGGCCAATATCTATCATCTTCTTCTTCATTTAAATCATCCCAAATCATTTTCTCTCAATGGGTATATGAAAGTGAACAACTCAAGCCCATCCTTCCCTTTCAAACCCTTATTCAAAAGAAGGCCAGCCTGGATCATGACCCCTGCAAGTGTTGTATTCCATATGCCTTTTTGAAGTCTTGATTTTAGTGAGATCACATGGAGTTGGTTAAATGTTCCTCATATTGTTTAGTTTTCTGTACCTGTCTTTCTGATTCTGCTCAATATTGTATTTTCTCGATGTCTCTCAGGTTATTCTTCTAAGGAGAAGTGGAACAAATATTTGAGCTGAAAAGATTCTGCGCAATTCCTGTGTTTTTTTTGTAGCCATAGCAACAGCTGATACTAGCTGCACCATTTTCTATAATCATGGCAAGTAGTGCCTATTATATGTTGTTCTGAATTCTCAGCTTTCAGATTCTGAGCCTTAGTCTTCAATATTGGTGCAGAGATTTTGACATTAGTTGATCACAATGGGTGGTTGTGTATCATCACAAGCTAAGCCAAACAAACAGTTAAAACTAGGGAAGGTCAAGAGGAAGCACCAAGGTCGGTCCAAAAAACATCATCCAGCCGTCGTTGCAGATGGAACCAGAAAAAGGAATAGCAATGCCGGGGCTCGAGTGTCAGATTCTTCCAGTGAGTAATGTTGTGTGCATATTCGGGGAATCAATGATGAGCCTAGGCAAAGATGTTTAAACTTAACTAAATAGGTACTTTGTGCTTGCAGGAAATTGCCTAGAAGAAGCATGGTTCGACACAAACAGCATACTCGATGATTCTGACTCTGACTCGGATGACGACTTTAGCAGTGTCCATGGAGGTTCAAAACATTGTTTCTTTGCTCATTTGATTTTTGCTGTGGCAATTAGTTTCCGTTCTTGAACTTATCTAGATGGCTCCAGCTTGATATATAGTTCTTACGACAATTAACCTTATTATCTGCAGATTTTGTCCCCAACATTTCAAATGGACAAGCAACTCCAAATGAAAAAATAGAGACTTTAATGAGCAAAGACGCGTCAAAGGAGCCAAACGCATATGCAGTAGCACCTGCCCAAGGAAAAAATCTTCCGAATATAGTTAGAAAAGGCTTGGATCGAGCGTATTTCAGTTTTAACAACAGAGGGAGAGACACCAAAAATGACGTGGAGGAGAAAGCTCCCGACAACTTATTTAAGTCTGTCCTACCCCGGCTGGTTCCTTCAGTAAGTTTCAACAATGCAATAAGCCCAGGTCGGCAATCTCAAAGAAGGAAATCTTCAGTTATCCGGCTCTCTTTTAAGAGGAAATCTGTCGATGGAGAAGAATCAAATGAAATTTGTTAGTGTCTATTAATCATCACTTCTGTACTAATACAAATTCTGTGTTACTAAAATCTTTGAACTTACCTTCTATTTCGAAACTTCATGATTCAATTCAGGTACGTCGACAAAGGTCCTTTTTCATCCCAGAGCTGGGCTAATGATTCCCCTTTGCACTGACTTGAAGCCGGTTTCTGGAAGTTGGTCTGAGATTGAGCCCTCAACCTTTAAGCTGCGTGGAAATAACTACTTCAAGTATGCCATTCTCTGTCGTTGATCATGTAAATGTTTCAATATATTCCAGTAACAATTTACTGTTGCAGAGATAAGAAGAAATCCCCTGCACTGAACGATGCTCCATATACTCCAATCGGTGTGGATTTGTTTGCGACCCAAAAAAAGATTAACCATATTGCGCAACACCTCAAGCTGCCTTCCCTGAAAGCAGACGGGAAAGTACCACAACTGCTAATCATTAACATTCAGGTAAACAAATACCCCAAATAGATGTCTTAAAATTAGTTAGAAATGCAGAACGCTGCGCAGCATTGCCATTACATTTATGCGTCGTCTGACTCTTGCATTTTCGATTTATTCATCTTGCTGCAGCTGCCAACTTACCCTGCACCCATGTTTCTTGGCGATAGCGATGGGGAGGGCTTGAGCCTCGTGCTATACTTCAAACTTTCTGAGAGCTTTGAGAACGACACATCGCCCCAATTTCAGGATATGTTCAAGGTATCCATACTATGATTCTATGACGAGCATAGCTTTCTGTTGAATGCTGAATACCAACCTTTTCACACTGCAGAGATTTGTCGATGACGACATGGAGAAAGTTAAAGGATTTGCGAAGGATTCAACAGTTCCTTTCAGAGAAAGGTTAAAGATCATGGTCGGTGTGGTGAACCCCGACGACCTTGTCTCAAGTTCTACCGAAAGAAAACTTCTCCATGCATACAACGAAAAGCCAGTTCTATCTCGCCCTCAGCACGAGTTTTATCAGGTGCATTTCAACCCCTGACAACCTAAAATCTGCTAGTTGTAATAAATATCATGACACCAGATTGTGATCATAATTGGTGACAGGGCCCGAATTACTTCGAAATTGACCTCGACATCCACCGCTTCAGCTACATAGCAAGAAAGGGATTCGAAGCGTTCCGCGAGCGCCTTATGACCGGAATACTCAATCTCGGATTAACCATTCAGGTGCACAAAGCTCCCATTTTTTCCTACCTACATTACACATTAGGACATAGCAGCTCATGATCATCCTTATGTGTGAACAACAGGCGCAGAAACCCGAAGAACTCCCGGAAAGAGTCCTCTGCTGTGTGAGACTGAACAAGATTGATTTTGTCAACCACGGGCAAATACCGGCGCTGGTAATCAGGTCTGACGACGGCTGATAGCCCAAACCCGACGCCTCCCCGCTACCCGACAGACCAGTGGCAGCCAAACAGGCCTCTGCCCGCCCCAATGTAGCTGCAGATAGGGACAGTGTGTGTAACTGCAAAATTGATGTGATACTGATTCTTGAATAACATGTTATGCATCAGAATGTGGTTTTCAGACACTGTAATGCTTATGGAGCGTATATATGCTCGCTAGTTAGCTGTAGAATGTGTAAAGATCGAACCCTATGTTGCTTGATCAGCTGATTGTCTTGTCTCAGATGGGAATAAAAATTGAATGGTTTAAATCTATTACGCGATGTTTCAATATCGTATTCTCGGATGAGAATAATGATAAAAAGTGGGGTTGGGTTTGTTATTATGTTAAATAATAAGCCCTTTTGTGCAATATGCGGGGAAGCGTGTAGCCCTAACCCTAACCCTAACCTGCACGTATAAATTGGCGGGGAGCAGCGGAGGCGAGAAGCAACGCCGTAGGCCGAGCGCTTCCCCCGTGAGGTAAGGGGTGGCGTGGTATTCCACGGGAGAGGTTATTATATCGTGGCGCACTTATGTGCGATTGGCGTATATTGAATTGGGGACTCCATGGCCGCTTCGCTGCCTTAGTTTTGCAGTCGCAAGCGAGGGGATGGCCCTACATTTCTTTTTGTATCTCCATCGTTTTGCTTTTGATTTTGATTTCGTTTTCAATTTCTGCCATTTTTTGGTTTTTGAGGAATGTGCAAGCTACCATTTCTTGATTTCTGGCACATGATTCATGGTTGAAGGTTCCGTGGCGTTTATGATTAGGGTTTTGAATCCAAAAAAAGAAAATCCAAGATGAGAAATTGTAATCTCTTAGATGAACCTGCTTATTTGTTGATTTTGTTTTACAAAATCGTTTTGAGGGTATTTTCACTTCTTAAGATTTAGTTCGTAATCGAATTATGTCTTCTCTGCTGAAATAAATGTTCTTGATATAATCACAATCCAGCAAATAAAATACATAATTTAATCATAGTTCGATTATTAAGGGACAAAAGAGGCTTTAATTCACAATACAGTGTCTTTCATACATACGTACATACATACATACACAATATGTATACACAATATCGCCATTTTCATCAAATTATGCAGCAATTTGTTCTTGTTTGAGATGCAGGGTTAAGGGCATCTGCTGATCTGAGCTTCCAATGTTCATCTCCTTCTGGGTTTTCTTCATCTGCTGGCTGTATCTTCCTGCTGGGATTTCATGATTGTGTTTGCCCTCGTATGTGGTGATCACAGCCTTTGGGTCTGCCGAAGACCTCTCGACGTGCTTGCGCACATTGCACCCGCTGGACGTGCATCTGTAGTAACTCCTGCAGCATATTCCACATCAGATATTGCTATAAAGAACAGTGAAAGAATCAATAAAGATGGAGCTTGAGGAAAATTAATAGCAGCAGCCAGCCATTTGTGCATACCTCGGGTGTGGATTCCCCTTCACAACCTTCTGCCCGTATTTCCGCCATTTATATCCATCATCCAAAAGATCCACTTCACTTCTTGTCTGCACGACAATCTTCGATTCTGTAATAGTATGGCGTGCGGGTGCACATTGCCCTGGATCCACAGTCTTCCGTTTAGCAGGGGGTTCGTCATCTTCCCCATCCCCGATTACTATCACATCGTCCACTGTTTCGCTGTTGCTCTCCAAGGCGTGTTGAGAGGTTCCCAGAACAGATTTCGACTGGGAGCTATCTCTACCCCGTCGACTATTTTGAGGTGGATCATGATTGTGGTGCCCTTTATACACAATCTCAGATATTTGGCCATCAGCCGATTGTTCAACTTTCTTCTTAACCGGGCAGTTCAGATGCGTACATTTGTAATAGCTTCGAGGACATTCGCTAGCCTTGACATGCTTCTGCCCATACTTCCTCCAGTTGTAACCATCACCACCCGGTTTTTCGCCGCCAACCCTCTTGTCCGACTGAGAAACCTCGGACAATTCTATCTTTGAACTCTCCAATTCGGTGCGCCCTGAGCTTGTCTGCTGTGTTGAAACCTCAATGTCTGCAGCAGCATTTTTAACCTCTGCCTGCATTTGCATATAAGATTGAGATATGGTCGCCTGCGCCGTTACATGCGCCAGCGCCTGCTGGTGCGACATTCTGAAAGGACTCTGTATAAATATAGATTCAAAATTTTACTATTTAAAATTTAAACCATCCAACAAACATGCACACTTAACTTGGCTTCAAGCATTCAGTAAGCTTCCATGGCAATAGCAGACAACAAATACTGTATGAAAGATACGTCCAGCTCAGGTGCGTATGTATTATGTATGTATATTTGCCCTAATTTGAATCCCTAACTGACCAAATTACAGGAATCCAATCCAATTAATTGCAGGATATAATTGAAATCGGCAATGGAGAGCTGACCTGAAGTGGGGATAGAAATCCCGGCGAGTTAAGCAGGCCGGAAGGGCTGAGGCCCGGCGGAACCATGAACAGCGGGCTTAGACTCTCCACCGGCTGAGCCACCGCCAAATTCACCGGCCGATTCCGCTTGTATCCGCCGTCGTTCCCGGTATTCCTCCCTTCATCGGAAGAACTGGCGGCATTTCCTGACCCACTGTTCAACACCAAACCCTGCTTCGCCGCCATCGGCGAAACCATGGCGCCGGCTAAGAGCTGAGAGAAGGAAAACGACCCCTGCTCCGAGAACATCCCCGACACCAGCGTTATCGGGCCCGGGCTGAACCCTAGACTGCTTAACCCATTCGTGAAAAACGACTCCATGGACCCCCGCTGCGGCACCACGATTGTCGGCTTCTTCGCCGCATCTTCAACGGTCGTTTCCCCCATCAAATCGCCGGTAGCTTCTTCTCCACGTTCCTCTCGCTTCTAAGCTAGGCTTCCTTTTCTCCTCCTCCCTACTCATATATTATATACTAATGTGCAGAGATAGAGATAGGTAGAAGAAGAAGCAAAGCAGCGTCGAGCAAGTTGCGCAGCGACTGCTAACTGCAATTACAATCAGACTGGATTGGGGCCCAATCCAATTGAATTGCACCATTATTAATGATCGATTGGCGCAACTTGATGGCCCCGCCCCTTTTCTCCATCTTTCCTCGTCAGACGTCTCCATCGATGATTGCTTTTCGTCTCATCCGGTAGCAAATTTCAACGCCAAAGACCCAACTGAACAGCAGTGGAGAGTTTTTTATGCTTCAAAATCTAACTGATATGGGGATGACGCTAATTCACTCGTCATTCCGTTTTGACGATAAGTTCAACAACCCAACCAAGAATTCTTGCACACATTTAAAAAGAAATTGGACAAAACTGACGTGCAGATTGTCGACTACGTAGTCTGATCTGAAACTGATAGGACAACTACCCAACATTAAATTCCAATCCACAACTTCGAAGGAATTAGGCTCTGATGCCCTATCCGGTTTCAAGTAGAACTTACCCACTTGTTTCTTCATATTTATTACTGTATGAGCAGCTCCGAGTTATAAACCAAAAGCCCGTTGGGCCTCCATGTGTAGGCCCATAGTGGGAGCATTCACGTGACCGTCGAATATGTACAGCGAAGGCACGTGACCGCCAATCCATACTATACAAGGAGCGTACTTTTGGACAGGGAAACAGAGAGGGAGTACAGACCACATGCAAAGATTTTCTGGCCACATGGCTTACAACGAAAGAAGCACGAAATCAGTTTTAGAAAATAATGCACTTTTTGATTCCCCAACACAACAAACAGATCGACTTTTCTGCCAAAGTTGTTGAACAAACTAATAGCTTTCAACATTTGCCACACCCCACCACCTGAATGAATGCACAAATTTGTGAACTCAGGTCGGACAAAGGATGCAGTGTACGATGACAAAAGTCAATAACAATACAATACAATAAATTAAGAATACAATAATGAAACATAGCACAATCAAATTCTTTCTTCACAATTGGAGGGGGGTTAAACAAGATCGAAACTATGTGCTACTAACTCATGTAAGAAGAACACAGATCGCCGGCTATATGCGCAGGAGGATCGAATCCCACAGGGCTCCCACGGCAAGAATCACAGGCACGAATATCTGACCTCTAAATGCCGAGACCAAAGTCGGGGAGGAGTTCTTGGCCGGCGAAGCTTGGGGCGGAGGCGGTGCCTTTTCAACATTAACAGCAATTTTCAGACCACCATAGCAGTAGCCTTTGGAGCTGATGAAATAGTAGGTTTTTGTCACATTGAGCTCGACCACGTCCCTCCCGACACCCGTTGTGAAGTTGTGGAGTGGATGGTCGGCATTGCAGGTATCGTAACTTGTCTTGTTAACCTCAAGAACATCCACTTGGTTCCGGTCATAGACGAAATCTGAATCAATGTAAGAACGGAGTGTTGATTATACATTCCCAAGAATTACGGCCTTAGAGACACAATCCAAACAAGCATTGTTGATAGAACAAACCCTTTCTAAGCAAATTTACCTCCATGTTTCTTGCCCTAGAGAAATCATCAGCGTTTAAGAGTTAAAATGATCACATTAAATCAAAGAGTGTTCATAAATATGAATCCGCTAATTACCAATGAAAAGAAACCAAGTTTGTTACGAACAGTGGCATTTTAAAGCAACAGACATCTTCCAAAACAGGAAATGAAAACCATAGGAATCTAAACAAGTATTATCTTGTAATTCAGGAAAGCAATCTAGCTACTCAAGCAAAGATATCTAAGTCAACAGATCCAGCAACAAACAAGCCGAAAATAGAAAAGCCGGTCGTCATTGAAGACTAACAAATCGACATTCGAAAATGCGTCGGTGAAAAAGACACGCACAGCAATTACCAACAGTTTCATCCACTTGAAGAAGAAAACCGCAGATCTAAGAGCAGAAGAGACGAAAACTTACAGAGCCAATCCCCTTTATAGAAATGCTTGTCCTTCACCCAATCTGTGTAGTTCACGTTGGGCGCCCAGCCACCCAGCCCCGAACCAACGATAACACGCACCGCCGCCACCTCCGGTAGCATCACCGCCGCAAACATAAGTAGCACCGCCGCGAGCACAATGCGCCCCTCCATATCTTCCCCCGAAAACGATGCTCCTCGAACTCTAGAAGTGAGTAGAAGCAACCAAATTGCAGGAGGCAGTTATAATAGACAGAGGGGACAGCGTGCAGATCTGTACGACGGAAAATGAAAGGGAAGCCGCGTCTATTATTTCTACATATTTAATTCCCTCTAACATTAATAAATTGTTTATATTTCTAAAATTAATTATTGAGAATAAATCTGAACATTACTTCCGGAAGCGAAAACCCAACTGGCTGTTTAATTCTTCAAAATGTGTATATATATAGTAACAATAATCAACGGCTGCAGTTGTGTACAGCTCACTTTCTGACGATGGTTGATGGTTGATGGTTGCTTCTCTTCTCGAATCAATTTATTTAATTTAATTGCTATATCTGAAGATGCCAACGCCAAACCCAAATCTCAGATAATTTGAGGGCTTATATCATCAAATTAGTATTAATTAACAATTTGTTTTTAAAATAGTCAGGGACAAAGTCATCAGCGCCAACAACCAGTCCTTGGAAACTTTTATCATTATCCTTGCTTTAAGCCCTGATTTCGGGCAAGTCCTAGGCTAGGCTATTCTTACTTCAATTATTTTTCTTTTTTAAAACCCTTTTCTTACCAAAAAAATTAAAAAAAAGGGCTGTGTTTATTTAATTATATAACCATTCATTCAAACACAGTCACTTAGAGCACATGCAACGCCTTCACTTCGATGCCTTTCCCCCTCTTAGATCATATAGATCACCAAATAATTCGTTGAATGTACTATGAACACCATTCATATCAACCTAGAATTCTTCGACAGAATGTTGTGGGAGTCCATTGTGTAAATCTATAGACAGCAGAATGAAAAAAATACTACAAATGAATAGAACAGAGGCTGCATACGGTATATATGACAGGACGACTACAGATACCTTGTGATGTTCTCTTATTCTTTGTTTCCATCAATCCAGCCTCTTTAACAGATACTCGACCTGGACTTGCTTCGTCAGTGGCATGATCCAGTCGCCGTATAAACTGGCTACCAGGGTTGGATTAATTTTGTAGACAGGATCAGTATTGCCATCAACTTCATTGGCAGTGACATCTTGCCCACATCGACGGGTCTTCATCTCCACTCTATTCTTGATCGCCTCTTCCACCTCAGGATACGTCAGTAGATCCATCAGCCGAGCTCTATCCTGCATTGTTAGCACGCATATTTCGTTAATAGCAGAATCAAATATATGCTATTAAAGCATAGCTTCATATATAAATTATCAAGGCGTAGTTTTATCAAGCTTACTTGTGCTTTTATGGCAGCTTTGTAGACATCAGGAGAAGCACGGAATTTGGCTTCGGCTACAAATTTTCCGTAATGGATTCTCTTTGACAGAACCTATAAATGCAAGTGCAAAATTGTTCACAACAAATTCAAGAAAGCCACAAAAGTTTATAATTGAAACTTCGATTGCAGATTCTGCTAATATGGTGCCTGGGAGATGCATACCTGCAGGCATATCGTGTCGGAAGTGGCAGCAGAACCATAATTGCCATCATCACCTTCTTTAACTAATCTAGGGAGGAGATTTTTGAAGTACATATCCCACACTTGGACATTAATATTGATAGAATCAGCTGCAGGATGCAGAACCTATAAAAAAATTGCAGTGGCATGAGTATGGAACAACAATTTGGTCGACTTATTAGAAGACGGGCAAAACCTTCTAGGTGCAAACAAGTAAGGAGATATCTAGCATTCTAGCTTACCTGTGGGTACTCCATTGGAGGAAGCAATGGCTCAGGTAAGTCATTTGTGAAGAAAGGATGCTCGTCTGGACTTCGGTATCTTCCCATCTATATACTACAAATAGTTAGATGAGGAATTTCATGAATAGCTGGAAAGGGTTCTAGCAATGTCCAAAGAATACCTTTGCATGAAGCTTTTCGGTTTCTCTGACCATATATTCAACCAAAGAACCATGAAATCTATCAATGGAGAAAGCAGATGGATCATATGTTTCTTCATTGTAACAATACTGTGCTCTCTCAACGAGACTGAATATAATACTATCCTCTTGTCGAATCAAGGAGCTTCTGATCCCCTCAAGAGTGTAAAACTCTGTCTCGTCAACCCTCTGTTTTGGGGCAAGCCTGAAAACCAACTGGATTACACATTAACAAAAGGCTGGATTTGTTTGGTTGTACAAATTACACCAGCAGCAAACAGGCAAGATATTCAAGAGTAATCTACAACGAATAATGTATCTTACATTTACCCAACATTGTATGAACAAACGGAAAAAGTTCAGTCATGAGTATGTTGGCATTGAATCCAATCATATCCATGCGTGCAAATAAATAAATCAATCAAAACAGGGTAGCTGGTGAATAATCGTAACCACTTCACAACATACAATCTTGAATCCTTAGGAAATCACAATGTAATGCCAAGACATTGTTTGATAATCAAGGTTGAATAACACACATAGGTACTGGAGCCACAGAAGTCGATAATCCTACAGTATGGCTACAATGAAATCCAACTACACGGACGTAAACGTTCATATGTTAAAAAAAGCTTCAATTCAATCAGCAAATCTTCACCCCATAAAGTGATGAGATCCGTAAACCCCGTTCCCAACACTGGAACAAAGAAACACAAAATGAAAAACACAAAGTTCATACCCAACGGTACCCACAGCAGATGGAATTGCAGCAATGCCCTCCGACGAGAACCCTAATTTCTCAAATCGCAATCGACGCCGCTTATCCGATAACTGGCCAGAAAGTAAGCAACAGCGCCTCGAAATTTCAGAACCACGAGGGCTAAGAAGAGACGCCGTGGCCGCACCCAACAGCTTCGCCTCCATTCCCCAATCTAATTAAAAACAAACTGCGACCAAACAATGAGAGCGCTATAACAGAAAAGGCAGAAAGCGAAAAGGAAGTAGCTTCCTATTACGCAACGGGAAAGATATGAGGCTGGCGTGGCGTGGCGTTGCGTTGGGCTGGCGTGTTTGGTGGTGCGGTGGTGAGTGCGAGGTAGTAGTTGAAAAGTTGGTAGGTAGATTTTGTGAATTTCCCTAATTCCCGTAATCTCCCAAACCATTTTACAACTTTCTAGGTTTGGTCAAGGCGTAATTCGTAAAAGCCTACCACATGCTCTCATCGAAACCAAACATCCATCGATCTGATAGTGATACTTACTGATTTCGATACTGCAACTGCGACGAATATACCAAAATTTAATCCTCCATTACAGGCCTGAAGAACCATCAGCATCACTAGCGTTTATTGAGGAACGAACATTTATTTGTTGGGCAGAAGGCTTGACTGACAATTTAGTAAAATTTGTCGTCACACAGCTCGTAAATAACTGTTAAAGCAATCTGGAATCCGATATTTGAATTGAAAATTTCATAGATCAAACCAGGTACCCTTTTTTCAACAACAAACTTTGTTATTATTATCACATAATGCTTACTGTGGTTGGTTTAATAAAATTAATTTAAAATAAAATATTAATTTAAATTTGTATTTAATCAATATTTTATAATAAAAAATAATATATTTTTATTAAACATCGTATCAACTAAATAGAGTAAATTTATATTTAAAACAAAAAAAAAATACAAACTCTAAATCAAATTTAGTATAAAATAATGTGTAATATATTAATATAAAAATTCTTTTGAAAACATAAATGACCGAGCTTATATATAAAAATAGAAAATAAATGTACGTGTGTATGATCAATTTTAGATATGTTTCTTATAAAAACATAAAATATTAGAATAATTTTTTTTTTTTATCATCCCAATATGTGTTCAAATGTTTGAATATGAATTTAAATATTTTTTGTATCTTATAACAAAAAAATTAAACAAAATTAATATAAAAAAATAACTATAAACTTGAATACGGGATGCAGAGTTATACATTTTTCCGATTAACCAAACAAACCCTAAACTTATGTATTGAATGACGCTCGGTGAGTCTGACGTGTTATAAATAAATAAAAGCCACAATAAAAATGTTTTCTTGAATGCATACTAATATCACTGCGACTTTTTTGGCGGAATATTTATTAATTAAATAAATAATATATCTGAAAGTCGCTTTCGAACTCTGTTGTGCTTTACAATTAAACAAAGTCGTGTTAAGCAAAAATGCGAGTTGAATTCGTTAACCACGACTTTGCCACAATATGTACTGTATTACGTTTTAATTTCATCATATCTGACGTTTGCTTTATCTCATTCTCTTCCAAGCTGAAACTATTCCAATTTTATTATTTCAACTTGTAGTTAGAAAAAAAAAATAAAAAAAAATAGTAATTGTAGTAACAATGGTTCAAAACGGTTTGGTAGTAAAAAAAATCACTATTGACAATTAAATCAAATTGGTATTGAAAATCATTTTAGGACGGACAAAATGAATTCAATGTAATCATTAAATTATAAATTAAAAGAAAAACAATGCAATATATCTTCTATATTTTAAAATAAAGAATAATGGTTGTTGAATGATGTTTTTAAATTTCATTGATTGGAAGTGTTAGGTATAATGTGTACTAATACTTTTCTAGGCAAATAAAATAATAAGAATAGTAATTAAAACACAAAGGCTTTTTTGTCGGTATGTTTTGCAATATGACAAAGGGCGTGACGATGTAATCTGGCATCAGATTACATGTTAATGTACGTTCCACGAAAGTCTTTGATTACAATTACACTTTAGAAAAATTTGGCAAACTTTCAAATCATAATAAATAAAATAAATAAATATTAAGTTAAAGCACCATTCAAGAGTGGATATAAAAAATAAAAATAAAAATAAAAAATAAATAAAAAATAAAAATCATCAACTGCCTCTAAAACCATCGAATGGAAACTACAGAAAACGAATTTAACATTGATTAAAGTGCCACTTAAAGAGTAGACGTGAAAGTAATAATAATTATCATAAATAATTAAGTAGCAAACAAACCATTCCAGAGAGAAAAAAATTAAACTGCAACTTGAAATGTCGACATCAAAATAATTAAATTGATTACAATATTTTATATAACAAATATTGTTTGATTAGACAAATTAATTTTAAAAAACTTGCATCAGCAACATGTGCTTTATAATTAAAAATCCAAATAATAAAAACAAATTAGTGTCAGATAATTATAGTTAGTTTCGATTAGGATCCACCGTAATGACTAATGACAGGAGATGGTATGATTCCAAGTATGAACGCAAAGACAGCTAACAAACTGTAACGAATAATCTAGTGAATGTTCAAAACGTCGTCGTCTGGAAACTTGTACAATCTTCTCTTCTTGTATAAATTATCCAAAGGCCAGATTAAAAGGGCGAGGTCGCTTTAGAAACTTCATGGAACAGATGGAATGGAAATAAATAAATATATAGTATAAATAAACAAAGAAAAGAAAAATAAAATTTAGAAAAATTAATGTATTGGATTTAGTTCTATAACTAGAAATGTCAAAAACAAAGCTGGAAGGCCACAGATAATTTCCACACTCTGGTGGGGTGGGGCCGATTGATTCGAGGGACAATGATCTAGACTAGAGCCAAGCAATAGTTAAGGATTTGATTTGATTTGATTCCACTGGTCTGGTATACGTACACGCACATTTACGTATTTGTATTTGTATTTTGTTTTTTTTTTTTTTTTTTCTCTCTTTTAATGCATTTCAAACCACCTAATTGCATGCAAATTAATTTTGAAAATTTATTTTGACTTTTTGTCTGATTGTTCAAAGCCAGGTTTATCATTCATTACTTCTCCTCTAGAAGGCGGGGATCCGGACCAATTGCGTTTCGCTACGTGGCCTGCAGTTAACTTTTTTAATCGCAGGTTTTCGGTGCTTCCGATAGATAACGGACAGATCTGTCTGCAGTGTCACGTCACCCGCTTGGAACTGTACACGTGTCCCAATCAAAACAGACCACGTAGTTATCTTAACTAACCTCCTCTAATTTTTATGTTTTAATTTTCGATTTATTAATTTTTGGCCACTTGGGAAGGAAAAACCGGAGTGAGAGAGACGAGGAGGAGTCGTGATCCAGGTTTTCTTGAAACGCCGCCCATCGTGATCCAGGATTCCCATGTAGTACATACATACTCACCGGGATTTGACTTGGGAGTTGAGGTCCCGGGAGCTCCACTGATGCTGACACACTTTCGATCAGGACGGGGGTGTTGCATTATTGGATTCGGCTAGTGGGGGGTGTGTATTTAATCCCACAGATATTAATTAGGCACAATTATTACACGGTCTACTTTGCTAAAAACAGACATTGGTGTTACCAATTTGAGACCGCCATGGATGCTTGTTTCATCTCTTCGAGTTCTACCATGAATGCCCCCCTTGTCCGAGCAAGGCTGGTTCCGACATACCCGAGCAACAACATCGTCAAATATCCTATCGGGAAATCCAAGAATCCATTTTCTGTAACATGTAATCTTTTTTCTCGCTATTATTGTCGTAGCTAAAAGCTAAGATTAATGGTCGGACCGGTACCTGATGTTAGAATTTGTGTATTGGATTTCAGGCTCCCAATCAGGTCCGGCGCCGATATCGCCGTCGCCGAGAGACGAGGCGGCGAGCCCTGTCCTCACGGCGGACTGGCGAGCCTTCCGAGCCAGACTGGTCGCCCGGGAGCAGGCCGTGCCGGCGCAAGACGGCCTATCTCTATCTTCCTTAATGAATCCCGCCGCCGCCGGAAACTCGCCGGCCGATAAATGGGCGCACCCTATCCACGAGCCGGAGAAAGGCTGCTTACTGATCGCGACGGAGAAGCTGGACGGAGTCGACGTCTTCGAGCGTACCGTCATCCTCCTGCTCTCGACCGGGCCGGTTGGACCGACCGGTCTAGTTCTAAACCGGCAGTCCGTGATGTCCATTAAGGAGATGCGGTCGTCGCCCCTGGACGTGTCGGGTGCCATATCCGACCGGCCGCTGTTCTCCGGCGGTCCGATGGAGAACAGCCTCTTCCTGGTGAGTCCCGACGAGGAAGGGAAGGCCTACGTGGAGAGGAGCGGGATGTTCCAGGAGGTTATGACGGGGCTGTACTCCGGCACGGCGGAGAGCGCCCGGTGCGCGGCGGAGATGGTGGAGAGGGACCAAATTAGGGTTAGTGATTTGAGATTCTTCGAGGGGTTCTGCGCCTGGGAAGGGGCTCAGCTCATGGAAGATATTCGGGCCGGGTATTGGGCCTTAGCCGCTTGCAGCCCATCTGTTGTTGGGCTCACTAGCGAAGGCCGTATTGGGCTTTGGGAAGAAATTACTGCCCTTCTTAGCCCAAACAAAGTTTGCTAGTTTTGGGCCTCAACAAGGGCCCAAAACCACCTGTAAATACAGCCATTCTCTGTTTAAATAGAAAGGGAAAAAAAAAAAAAAAGGTTTTTTGGTCAACTAATTTTTATTTATGATTAGCAAGAAATTTCGGGATCAGATGAAAATGAATGAATTAAGTAAACATAATATGTATGTAGGAATAAGATGGAATAATTAACAGTAGTTTGTGTTGTGTGAGTTTGACGTGCTAAAAAATAAGCGACAAAGGCTGTTTTGGTAGGCAAGAATATCTAAGAAGAGTTGTACAATCAAATGATTAGATTTGATTTAATCTTTAATATTAGTTTTTTTTTTCAATAAATAATTGATGAGATATAGATATGGATTGAGAATTTGATAACAACAAGATACTCCATCTTATAATAACAAATAACAATAATAATAATAAATACTCTACAACCGTTGCAATGCAGTCTCACAGAGAGGACAAAACAACCATGTGGCCTCATACTACAACCAATTACCAATTCACCATTCACATTCATGAAATGATACAATTGCAAGAAAGAGCCGAAACAAATTTATAATTGATGGGCTTATAAGAATTTATTTCTATACATGTTGAGAAAGCAGTTATTGAATGTCAGCCAAATAAATGGTTTTGATTATTCATACATCACATATATAGAGAGAGATAGAAAGATGGATGGATACCTGTCAAATCTGGAAGCAATAATAATCTGGCCAAGAAAATCTAAAAGGAATGAGGGACCAATAAAAATAGGACAATTATAAAACCCATCAATTTCTTGCCATTTATGAATCTCATCTAACTCTCTTCACTTTATGGAACTTAATTAACCACAAACACTACTGGACATGTGTGTGCATAAATATAAATATATAAATAATATCAATGCTCATGCTATGCTATGCTATGGTGTATCATTATTGTTATTTATAGTTTATTTATGGGGTTCCATAAATGAAGTTGAAAATTATTTATCTGGGTAGGTAGGTACAAAGAAAGAAAGAAAAAGCAGCTGGATTATGACAGGAAATTAATTAAACTAATCAAGAATCAATCTTAGAATAATGGGAGATTAATATTGTTTGTTATATCTCTTAAGAATGGATTGAACAGTGAATGGAAGCATCGTTTTGATTTGTCAATTAAATTAAGATTTAATGCCACCAATGATATTTTTTTAAAATTTATTTTAAAGAAAGGGAAAACAATATGAGGTCAATATATACTCGAAGCAAAATATTTGAATATAAATATCCAATTTCTCAGCCACTTAGGTCGTTGTAATTTAATGTAAGAGCCAATTCCATTATGCGACTCCATCTAAGAAACAAATATCCATTTCACGCGCCGGCTCAGCACGTGCATTGCCTTCGCCGTCGCCGCGCGTGCAGATTCTATTTCAGACGCCGCCGGTCGATTGTTTCTGAAATTCAGGTCATATTTATTCTTCACACGAGGAAAATAATTTTATTTTATTTAAAAAAAAAAACAACTGCTTGCAATATTCTTTCAAGAAAAAGGAAAAAAGATAGGTGTTTTTAAGGAGAAGACAGGAAATTAAAGTAGCCCAAAAAGCATGGAATTGGTGAGAGAGAGAATCTGAGGAGAGAGAGAGAGAGAGAGAAATAGGCATTAAATGTCCCAACAGATACCCATTTTCTTCGGCTTCCTGCAGACCCAAGAATATCTATCTATCTATCCATATCTGTCTATCTCCATGAATGCATTTGCAGTTTGGTTTAAGATTTCTTTATGAGAATGAGGCCATCCAAATGGGAAAGAAATGATTGATTCCAAAACCAGAGAAGAAGAAGAAGAAGAAGAAGAAGAAGAAGAAAAAGGTGAGTCCACATGTTATACGAATTTCAAGTCATTGTTCTTCCCAAAAACTTTAAGCACTGATGGGAGAGATGATCTTCTCTCTAATCTCTCCCTCTCTCTCTCTAAGTACATACATATCCTTCTAGCCTAATCAGTGATCGATGGATCGATCGATGGGATTTCCTTTGCTATTAAATTAAATTGATAATTATACATACTCTCTGCTACTATAATAATGATATTATTTAGGGTTCTTGAATGGCAATGAAAAGATTCCAACTATGGTTTCTGGGGCCCTTCTCTGCCCTTCGATTTTTCTTGTCCCTTGTGGTGTGAAAGTGAATTATCTTTGTAGCTTTCTGCTTTGTGCTCTGTTGTGGATAATTTCTACACCTTAGATTTGATTTGTTCTTTAGGACCTTCCTTCCCTCAAAGGCCTCCACTAAACTGACTCACTCACAACTGCAGCTCATCTGCCTTTGCCAGGTATCCTTTCTTTTCTCTTTTTTCCTTTCCTTTTCTTTACTTTATCTCTCTTTAATCTTTATCTATGGGATCTTCTTTCTTCTTTATTTCTGTGGCTTCCGAGTATAATTTCTTGCAATAATTTCTTCATCAAAAGTGATTTTTACAAAAATTCTAAATCTGTTATGGGAGCTGATGTGAATTGGTAAATTTGCAGCAAATTACTGCTGTCTGTGTATTGCAACTGCATTTCCAGTTTTGTAATTCGAATCTTTACGAGATCAGAATGACAGGGACGTTTTATTCCCTTCTATGATTGATTGTGCTAAACACAACCTATTATTGCATCAAACCTTAGCCGTTAGGTTGTTGAACTTGATGTTCAATTGGTTCTTGAATTCTTACATTGCTGCTAAGACCTTTGTTATCTTCTCATAGTCCGATATTCGTTAGTCGTAGTTGTCGCGATGGCGACGAAGATACAAGCCATTGGATTCTTGAGGGAGCACCATTCTGCGATCAATCTTGATGTAAGCCTGCCGTGCCGTGGAAAGCAGGCGATGGAAAATGGCGACAGTAAGCGCTGTCTGCAAGCTGACATAGAGAAGGCGAGGCAGATGATTCTCGAGCACGAATGCATATTTAGAAGCCAGGTTCGCGATGATTCTTGTTCTGATGCCGCAGCTTATTTACAACTTGTCTTTCGATCCTGAATTCATTTTTCTTACGCTTCAGCTGAAAGAATTGCACCGTCTTTACGCCCGGCAGAAAGAGCTGATGAATGAGCTCAAAAGAAGAGAAGCAAACAGAGTCAATCATCTTTCGAGCTTTCCCTTCTCTTCGGCGAATCATTTCCAAGGTTCGAAAGGACAGTGGAATGGCCATTATTCGATGATGCCGGGATGCTCTTCAGTTTCAGGCAGCTGTAGCAAGCCACTTCCCACATTTTTGGAGGGAAAAGTCGTACCATATTTCCCTTCGATGCTGGACACGAGGAGCTTTAGTAGTCGCGAACCTTGGACGCCAGCTAAGGGCAGCATTTGCCCGAATGCGATGTTCAGGATGCCTGATTCTTACGGAGATACTAAGTTATCTCTCGGTGCTGGTCAGACATCTCAGTGTAATGTCGATACAATTGCATTTGATCTGCATTCGAAGAGACAAAACAATGCAGGCAATGTCTTTTGTATGAACGGCGCAAGAGGCACGCCTGCGAAGCCAAGTCCAGCCATTAATCTTGCGACGAAAGATTTCTTTAAAAGCAGCAGAAACCATTGCCGGTCTGATGACTGTGCCGGTAAGCCTATGATGCAGCTCTGTTCAGTGTTTCTGGGTTCATTTACTTCTTTTGTGCTCAATTTGTGCGCTTTGCAGATCAAACGAGGTTTGACAAGCATCCTTCAGCTGGGGACTTTTGTTCCGAGTATTCACAGGTTTTACCTCAGAGGAAAAGGAAGCTTTTCGGGGTTGAAATCGATGAGTACAACAACAATCCATCGGAGATGGCTTCTAAAACTGTCTCGTCCTCTTGGATCGACAAAAGTTTTGCCAAAAATCTTAAGCTTGGTGCAAATGATGGGAAAGAATGTTCTGCTATTGGATCGAACATCAACCAAGTATCGAATCAACCTTCAGAGAACGATCACGGACAACATTTACCTGCAGAAGTTCCGATGAAAGATCCCGAGCTAACAAAGGCTGCACTGCCATGGTTTCTTAGGAACTCACCGGAGAGTTGTCATCCGAGCAAAGAGGCGAAGAAGAGTCCATATTTCATGAATCTAGACTCTTTGCAGAACTGTTCTCAGAAATTCTTCAGGAAAACCGAAACGGCTGATACCACATCGATGCAGAAGAAAGAAACCGTGAGTGAGAGAAGCTCCAACGCTGCAAAAATTCTTGGCTTCCCGATCTCTGAAATGCTCCCGCAAGTTGAGAATAGAAGCTCCGGCGATGATCCTGCCGAGGTTAACACCTCCGGCGATGCAAATAAAGATGACATGAAGAAAGGAATCAATAGCATCATAGACTTGAACTTGTCTTTAGACGAGGAGGCTCTGCCATCGGCTCCGTTTCTTCCTACAGCTATAGTGAAAATCGTTACGACTGAAATAGACTTGGAGGCGCCGGCTGTTATTGAATCGGAAACAGATGCTTTTCTTGTAAAAACAGGCTCAAGTGAGACGTATTTATCACCGGATGAAGAATACGATCGATCTGCTGCTGAGTCATTGTTCGCGATTTCATTGCACCGGAATTCAGCAGACAATGAGCCTCCTCCTGTGGCCTCAACCATCGGCGCTCTTGAATGGTTTGTGGAAATAGTTTACTCTCAGCAGCGGCGTTGCGGCACAGCTGCAAGACAAGAATTCATACCCGACGGTATGGATCACTTCGAATATGAGACATTGAAATTAGAAGAAACCAAGGAAGAACCGTGCCAATACGAGGTGGTTGTTATGAGCCATCCAACGGACGAGGAGATGGGGAACACGGCATTCCTGAAACGCTCACGGAGGAGAGGGAGGCCATGGAAGAACTTCCAAAAGGACATACTTCCTGGGATGATCATGCTGTCACGTCTTGAAGTGGCCGAGGATCTACAGACATTCGATGAGCTAATGAAAGCCGGAGGCGGCAGCAGCAGCAGCCGAAGCTCCACGAGACACAGTCGGGGGAGGAAGCGCGCCGGTCCAGCTCCTGCTGCGGTGCCGGCGCAGCAGCCTAACTGTCAGATGGAGGACAGAAGCTTAACAGGGTGGGGAAAGAGGACGAGAAGACTGCCGAGGCAAAGATGCCATAATGCTTCTTACGTTCCCTGTAAAATGATAAGCCATCATCATCATCATATTGGGAGTGGTTTTGAGGACATTCTAGTTGGTGCTGAAGTTCATCGTGTTAATTGATGTAAATATGATCAACAGGTGATTCGGTTAAGATTATAACTTGCCTGCAGGATTCAGATGTTGAATGTATACAGCTCTGAGTTCGGATTATTTCTCGCCGCCATTGATGTTTTTTTGAAGGTTGTATGTTGTGTAAGATTCGAACCTCTGACCTTCCATTCAAATACATTTTGACAAAATAATTTAAATACAGCCAAACAGGGTTACCTCTTCACCTGGTCCGCAACCACAAATGGGTGCTTGCAAAACCCTAATCCGTACTTCCTTATCATGTCTGGAATTCCGAACTCGAGTTCCTTATTCAGTCTGCTCACGCCGTTTCGCTTTTTCGCTTCAGCATCATTCACGTTCGCACCGATAATTTCAAACTCATTCGTTTTCATGATTTTGCCTCCCTCGTGTCTAACCAAACTTTGTTTGCAGAAACAAGTCTGAGGATCAATTCTCCGCCGCCATTTCCAACTTCGAGAAGCTTCGGTCGTGTTGCAGTAGAGATTTCGAATTGCAGCGAGGTCGGTGCAGCTGCCATAGAAACGCCTCCAGATTCGTGCAAGGACGAAGACACGGTGGAAGCACTGCTTCTGAAAGACAAGGATGACATTTCGAGGTTAATGAAGATGGAGCGTCGATCGGAAAGCAGCGATGAATTCAAGCATGGCGATAAGAGGAAGCGTTGGTTTCCGTATTTAGATAGGTATAGAGTTGGGGATACCTCTTTGAGCAGTGGTGAAGTTGTGGAAGCCATGGATCCCTATATAATGGAGGCGAGGAAGGAAAGGTTTAGGAATGTAATAAACAGCAGGAGCTATTCTGTGTGCTTGGTGGTTGAAGGATTGAGTGATTTTGGGAATGTTTCTGCAGCTTTCAGGTCTGCTGATGCGCTCGGAGTTCAGTCCGTCCACGTCGTGTCCTGCGACGCCTCGAGAAGGTATACATTCGCCTCCCTAAGCATATTAATATTGATCTTGTTTAAATCGAATACGAACTTACATCTGGTTAGAAGCTCAATCTTGAAGTCCATTGAATAGCCATCGTGTTGAAGTAGCATTGAACTAGCAAACATTGAGGAATTTGGCATATACATGAGTTGTTCTCTGAAAATCAGTGATGAATCTAATCTTACGCCATTCTTGCCTGTTGAAGAAGCATTGATTTTTTACTCTCTATTAGTAAGGTAGTTTTCTTTGGCTGTTAATTGGCAGCTTCCAATGCTTCATCTTGAAAATGCAGGTATAGAGATAATCGTCATGTCAGCATGGGAGCAGAGAAGTGGCTGGATATTGAACTCTGGAGCTCTGTCAAAGAGTGCTTTGGAGTGCTGAAAGAACGCGGCTATAGAATTGCTACGGCTCATTTGGGGATGGATGCGGTATTCGCCAACTTCTCGCCAACTTATCTTTATAGATCTTCATTTCCTCATTGCATCCTATGCATATTTATCTTGTCCTTACTACCGAATGGTTGGATCTTTGTACAGGTCTCTGTCTATGATGTCGATTGGTCGTGCCCGACTGCAATTGTTGTTGGGAATGAACTTAGGTACTCACTTTCCAGCATTCACCTTTGGTTTTTAGTTCTAGTTTGAAGTGGACTAATCTTTTCATGCGGGAAAGTTGCAACTTTTAGGGGTATAAGTGAAGAAGCTCTCGAGCTATCCGATTTATGCTGCAGTATCCCAATGAGGGGCATGGTTGATTCATTTAATGTTTCAGTAGCTGCCGGCCTTCTTATGCACCAAGCTGTTTGTGACCGGACCTCACGCCTGGTAATACCCTGCCGATAAGTCATTTCCATGTCTATAAATGTTCTGACAAGCTCAAGTATATAACGTCAAGTACCAGTGCTACTTATGGATGCATCTTTGCGATCATATCTTCACTGTTGATCCTACACTGATCTCATGCTAGAAATGAATTACTTGTCGCAGGGCTGCCATGGGGATCTAACAAAGGATGAGCGCCAAATTCTCCTTGCAGAGTTTTATCTACGGCACAACAAGAACACCTTTAGTATAGCCAATGAATTTTCCAAGAGGAAGTTAGCCAGCCATGCATCAAAACTATGAAAAGGAGATGTAGATGGACCTCGTAGCTTGCCATAAAAGATAAATGCCTCAGGCCGAGCTAATGCTTCCATCACTGCTCCAATCTTTGCTGTTTTGTGCATTTGATTCTGGAAAGGTTATATTGCATTACCTACTGGTGTCTCTGGAAGAAGAAAATGTGCACACATCCATTTTCCAGCAGCTGCACAGTGGGATCAAGCTAAGTTAGGACATTTTTGGGGGATTATAATATGTACTATTCCATTGGGTATTTAAATGAACAGATGTGAGAATAATGAATTTCCAATTTAAACCCATATGCATTACAGAGGCCTTTGTACCTGTTGCTTCGATCATTCAGCTGCAACATTCAAATTTGTTAGAAATGGCAAAGAAGAGCTGAGCTGCAAATGAAGAAAGGATGGAAGTATTTGATTCTACGTTCAACTTTAGAAGATGAAATATTCGATGTCATGAGTAGATACTGACAGGAATGGATATTCCCAGCTGTATGACCATGCATGAATGCAATAGCATTTGTAACAGAACGAATCCATAGCTTAATGTGCCAGTGTGCAATCTAGGGTTTTGTTTCAATTTACAAAGATTGGGGTATTGTTTTGACATGTTTTCTACTCGATCAAGGTCGTAGTGTCAGTAGTCTGTATTGTGTCTTTGGTGCTTTGCATGCTCAAGCAATCCCCACTCTTTTTCAACTGCTGGGACTTGACGAACTCATCGATTTTAGCCTTCAAATCCACGGCAGGTATTAACATGTCCGTGGTGAGGTGAGACCGATTAAATGGATCCGTCTGTAGTTGCAAAACAAGAAAGAAATAGATAATAAGGTTATCCTCATTGGCCACACAATATTTTGAAGTGAAACGGAGTGAAGGTCAGTGTCATACACTATCACTTAAAAGATGCCTTTGGATGACGGGTCTGTCCACGATGACCTTTGACGAAGGTAGGAGGACTGGATCCTTCATTATAGTGTACTGAACACCAAGAAACAAAAGTGTCTTTAGAAATTGACAAACTTGTAAGGGCAGTGCGGAATCAAATTAATATTAGCGGTATATAGAGATAGGCATATGCTATTAAGGAGTGACGAGAATGATTTACTTGGATTGGGTCTAGGAATTCCTCTGGAATGTCTCCAAGAGTGGCCTCTGCATCCATTGCCTCAGTTGCAGCAATTTTGGCTTTTGCTCCAAGTTCTACAAACTCTTGTATGATCCTGCCATCTTCACCAATTCTCCTCAATACATCAGCAGCAGCACCAAATAGCTGGCAGCGCCCAACCGACCAAACAAAGAAGCAATTATAATTAGTATCATTTAGATAATCTCCATGCGACTAGTAGGGTGCTTAGAAAAAGTATATAATTTAAAGTAAAGGATTCTGGAAATATACCATACCTGCTCATTGTAAGATCGACCATCCTTTGTGATGGCTGCTGGGAATACATTATCCTTGTCTCCTCTGGCTAGGTTGACATAAATATTAACGATCTTGAAATACAGAGAAACATTGTATCAGTATCTGATATGAGTAATTAAACGTCAAAATTGTAGCAAAAGTAGATAAAAACTAACTTCCGGAGAGAGAGAGAGAAAGAGCAACCCAAATTACTAAAGATCCTTGTAAACAAAATTGTGAATGGGTAAATAGGAACAGTCAAATTCACAAGCACAAATCAACTACTAGCATACCTGCTTTAGTAACATTTTTGGTCTGAATTCATACTTTTCAGGGTCTTTCAAGGTAAGGGACTTCCTTTGGGGTCCGACAAGTTGCAACAAAAAATAGTTCAGCATGCTCGCAACTCTTTCAACCTTGAATAAAGCAGCTATATCAGAAAACTCAATACAATACAACAACAGATTGAATTGCAGCAAAAATATTTGAAGATACCATCTCTGGAAGTAGAAAGGGGGCGGTGATCTGCTCTGTAGTAAATGACAGCATGCTTATATCTTCACTGGCCAATTTCATATCAATTCTAATAATCTGCATACACCAAAAAGTATAGGTTTCCAATAATAATTCAAACTAACAACTAGTCAAAGAATGTGAATGAAATACTTACATTCTCCTGAGAGTGGAACAACCGAGTTCTCTCCTGCCTTTCTTGTGCAGGTCTTCTTTCCCATTCCACAGTATTAGACATCTCCGCTTCCAGTTCTTTTAGTTCAAGAATTTTGTTAAGACTTTCATCCAACAGATAGATGCTATCATTAATTAAAAAGTTCAAGAAGTTCAGATAGACGCCCTTTTCCTCCTCCTTTGCTATCTGGTAATGCAGATAGCATATACATGTCAGACTGCAATAAGAGAATGGGTATCTGGCAGAATTAAGCAAAGCTTACGGACAGGCTTACCTTCCTCCAGACATTACGATGACTAGGAACCTGCCATAAATACTCAAGGAGTTCCGCAATGTTGTGACGGATGTTAAACTTGTCATAAAACTGGACGAGGTGTAAGAGAACGCATATCAGATGAAAACACATTACAACAATGTATAATGAAGCTCTTAACAGTTCTTTTTCAGCTCCTTCCTTTTAAATCACTAATACAACCAAGATTATGTAAGATCTATTGGAGTTCAAAAAATAAGAAATTAACAAGTTCAGAAGAAGTTTTTACTTTATTAATTTTAACATACTCAAATTCTTCTGCAACAGGTACTTCCTGTTATATTGTTCCTTTATGCTCATTGACTATTTTTTCTTTTTTTGCATAAAACTAACAGCTAACAGTAAGAGGCTCCACAAAGTCCATAAGTACTCTAAGCAACAATCACCTGTGTATGGGAACCAGTAAATTCAATATCCACATAAAGCTTCAGAAGATTCCTCACTAAATACTCAAGGGATAGTTGATGCCCTTCAAATAATGTTTCTGTCGCTTTTGAACCACTACAGACAAATTGTAAGAAACGTGTTAGACATCTGGAGAACTTTATGCAATAAATTTTCTCAATATGTACCTCCTCCGTGGCATCCAACAATTGAGGACTTCAACCATTTTGGCTCTCAGATACGGATTTCTAACATATTCAGGACTTGCCATGAACATGATGATGAAGTTCATAAAATCATCCTGTCAAGGTGAACATAAAACAAATAGTTTTTCAAGCAGATAGGATGAAACTATGAAAAAAAGACACAGGAAAAGAAAAACTCCCATATACCAGTATAACCCCATCTAAAGCTCTAGGAATCCGTGAAGCAAAAATTAGCAACTCCATTGCATCTTCCACAAAATGTTCTGGCATAGAAGCAAATTCCTTTGGGCATGATGGCGGCAGCGGCATTGTAAACCCCCCTACAAGCCCCACTAGCCAAACTATCATTAAGCGATAGTAAGATAATGCCCGCTGAAGAATCCCCTCATCCTACATGATTAAAGAACAAATGACTGACATGATTTAGCAAGAGGGAAACAAGAAAGTAGATGAGATTCATATTACTAAACCATAAAAAAATTGATTCATATGGAAAAGCACGCAGGAGCCATGTAGCCCTTATTCTTTTATATATATTTATGTAAATGAAAGTATAGAACAGATTGATCATTGCTTTCCTGAAATAATTGTACATTAAATCTTTGAAAATTCATATTAATCAAGCTTTTTTCACTGTTAATATAGAGACCATGACAATTTAATTATAAGAGATCAAAGACAAGGTAGATAAGATTCATATTACCAAACCATGGAAAATTTTATTCGTATTACCAAGCCATGTAGCTCTTAGTGTTTAATTAATAAGTGAAAGGATAGGGTAGGTTGATCATTGCCTTTCTGAAATGATTTTACTTTGAATTCATAATTGAAAATCTATCTAGCTTCCATTGTTAATATAGAGACCACGGAAATTTATTATAAGAGATCAAAATCTCAAATTAGGGAGACAAACGTATGGGGTAAACTTTATACCCGCAGAATTTGCGCTTCATAGCATAATTTATCCTGTGTGTAAAGATCGATTTCTTTTTCAAGGCGGGATATATCTTGCTGCAATTGTGGAGTAGGAGTTTGATCTTGCATGGCTTTGAATGAAGATAAAGCATCTTCACATCTAGAAATATCCTGAAAATTATAGCATCAGATACAATTGCAATTTTTACCAAACAAAGATATTGATGCTTTTCTTAAAGTAAATGGATAGGAAAGTCTGGCTTGTAGAATTAATAGTTAAACCTGAACAAGCTGTTTGAAGTCTGAAAATGCTTTTAGCAAGCCCAAGTTAAGAACCCTGGCTGTCATAAAAAAGCATTCGCATATGAATGGATATTTGGCTTTTTCATTCCTTTTGGTAACTGGATTACTAGTTTGCAGGGGAGATGATTCACTAGCATTACTGCTAGAACTTGTCGCACTCTGTGATTGTAGCAGTCGGTTTTGTACATCACTATTATTTGATAAGGTATCAGCATTTGTAGTGTTAATGTTAAACCATTCAGATACTTCTTCTGATGAAGCATGTAGAGCAGTGAGTCCTCTGGTACAAATTTATCACAGGTATAAGAGCTACGGTGAAAAAATGGTCAGCAAAAACACATGATAATTATTTACCTCAGCTCCAGGCGATTTGAATAAAATACATAGTTAGGATCAATTTTGTCCCTTTTTGTCAAATTAGCATCCAAGAACGGCTCACAGAGATGTAGCATCACGGCACTGAGATTTATGAACATGCCAGAACTAGCACAAGACAATGGGTCAACCTGTCATCAAATTCCATATAATGTAATATCAAATATGGAGCAGAGTATCAAGAACATTCTACCGATGCTTTTAAGACCATCAGAGTAAAATTTGGTGCCAAACCTGTCTCTTTTATCATTACTTACATGCAAATGTGCCCTTGAAGAATTCCTGTTGATGACTTCTGCAAGGTACTCGAGCACATTCTCTCGAGTACTTGTGTTTTTTAGGAGACACATAAGAACTTCAGACAACCCATCATACAAATTGTTCAGAACTGTTTTGATAGTTGTAAAGGATGACAAAAGATCAGCTGGCCGTCGGGTAGATGCTTCTGAGAAGCACTGTTGTCTGGAATTGAAGGCAATAATTGTAGATTAGGCAACAATACCAAGACAAGATACTGCTAGATTAAATATCCTCAAGTTCAATGAAAAACTTCAATTGCACTGCATCACATCCAATCATTAAAAGCCTTATTCCCACATTCTAAGTAAGAGATACAATTTTGAATGCCACATTAAATATGTGAGCTTTCACATGTGGTATGTCTATTATTGAAAAGAATACTTCTCTACTTACAAACATTAGTAAAATGACCACCATCAATGCATATACATCCAAAACTGGAAGCACATAGGCAGAATAATTAACGCAGGAAGAAAGATTTCCACTCACCCAATGTCCGGTTCACTCTTGAATATAACATGATCAGGCAATGCGCTGACATGAAAAAAGGGCCCCAATATACTAGTCATCTCAATCACTCTACCATTCAAATATACACCCTTTGGAATCCACCACGGATGATTCACCAATGCCTGGGCTCCCACAGGATACTTCACCATCAGCAACAATGCCCTTAATGGTTGCTGAAAATTCCCCAATGCGGACACCTTCAACACACTGCCTCTTAAGTCCTCGTACAGCTGTTTCGAAATTGGTTCCAATGTATCGTAATCGGCATCCGTAAAGAATTCGTCGAGAAAACCCGGGGGGCATGAAACTCCACTACTGCTACCTCCAAAGGCATCAAGGCTAGTTCCAACCTCAGAAAATATTAGCGGCTGCAATGGAGAAACATTTGATTTGTTCGCGTCTCCATTAGGAAACATATCAGGATTCCCCAAATGAATCCTACAGTACGAAACTGCCAATTTCTTGGCTTGTTTCACTACAGTCTCCATCTCTGACCTCACGTTCTTATCCTTCATTGAAGTGATTTTCCTCCCTTCATCGTACGCGCGGCGATAGCAATTGATTAAGTACTGAAATGGTGGCTCCGCAGCCGGGAAGTTCCCGGACAGACGATCAATTATGATCCTCTCTAAATTCTCTCGTGACACCTTGAGCTCCTTCCCCTCGCTCAAAATCTCGGCTGCGGTCATCTCCAGATACACGACTCGGGAGTCGCTCTCCATAGAATCGACCAGCGACACAAGGAATATCTTCCGGAGGATGATATCCTCGATTTCCGCAGGCGTTCTCGTAGGCTTTTGCGTCGACATACCTGCAGAAACACCACGAGTCCAATGCCCAGACGAAACCCCAATCGACCCGATTTAGGGTTTTATAGAAGCTTGGATCAGAAGAAAGAAATCTGTAGCAAGACAGACGACTCGACTTGAACGTATCGGATGAAATTTCACTCTCCTCTTTTACAGCACAAGCAAACCTGACTCACCTTATATTATAAAAAGTAAATTCATTAAGACCAAACAACCAAACCATATTGGTTTCATAGTAATACATTACAAACATAGTACATTTTTTTTTATTTTTTTTCTTTTAACAAACATATCATTTATACTACTCCCTCAGTCAGGGTCAATTGTAATTATTTATTTATTTTATATAAATTTTAATATATTTTAAACATGACATTATTTGTAAAGTGTCAAATAATTTTACTAAAACATCGAATACATTAGAATTAAACACATTAAAATGACTGGACGAAGTGAATATTATCCTTGCTATGATTGTATATTTTTTGTTATCAATCTTGTTCAAAAAAAATTATATGTATTGTTGAGATATACATGTATATGTCTTATTTTTTGACCTAAACAAATCCATCATCCCCAACTCTAGCTCCGTCGGGAATTTGTTTCCATAAAATGCCAAAGGGAGTGAATTATGTGGTTCATCTTCCCCGCTACAACAAGTGCAACTCTTGTTTTGTTTTTTAATTGACAGCGTGAAATAACTGTACTATACAAGGGAGATGAAATTTGGAGTCAGTTCCTGCAACTCTACACCTGTTGTTGGTTGGTTCATCCATGATTATGATCCACTGGTATTTTATTATTGTCAGCAGCCTGGTTAGAATGCGAGGGACCGAAGAACAGCTCCAGGCAGAAGGACGGGCCGCAGATTGATCTGCCCTTTTTCCCAACTTTGTCCAAGTCACGGATCGAAAACTGTGAATGTGAAACATTTTGTTCAACAGGGAAGGGTAATTGGAAGAGAGATTCCTAAACTAATGAGAATAGAATAGAATAGAATAGGAAATGGTACCTGAAGTAGGCTGCTGTTGATGAATGCTGTGTTGAAGCAGACATAGAAGAGTCGTCCCCCAATTAGCCTTTCGTAGAATATTATTCGCACGTCTCCTTGTATCTGCATGCATTCGGGAGTTTATTACTTTATTTTTGTGGTTGGGAAAGTAGGAGGATATGTTGATGGATGTTCTTACTCTCACTGGTTCGTCATACTGGCAACCTAGGCAAGTTTTCTGGTAGATCATGGAGCTTTCTGTGTCCATTTGGACTACTAGTCTGGGCTCTGAGACTTCTTTCTTGCCCTCTTCACCTTCTTCGCCCTCAACAAAGGAGTAGTAATATCGTGGCTTATTGCATTGGTCGTGATTTTTTATTCTTCTGCAACAGCTCTTGATAACTTCTGCTGGAGGGCGGTACCTCTGACCCGGAACCTGTGTAGGAAGACGTGTAGAAGGAATTACAAACTTCAAATAAGTAGACTACCATCTCCATTATCAGATTAAGTTGAGGTGAAAATTACTAACTTCTTGCAGCTCAGATACCACGACAAAGATCTGATTGATGTTGACGGCGTCATATAGCCGAATGCGCTGAAGCTCTCGTGTACATTTCATGGGCAAGTTGATGATTGGGGGAGCGATATCATTTCTTTTGGAGAAAGAAAGTGTTTTCCCCCAGTACTTGACATAGCGACGCTGGCTTGGTATGGAAACCTGCAGGGCAGAAACCGACTAGATTATCCTGGAAGTTAAGAGAATCTTGATCCAGTTTTATACATGGATGGTTGAAATGGGAAGTGGACTCAACGGAAAAAAGTCTAGTGCTATTGTAGAACATACAGTGCTTCCACAATTCCCAACTACACCTAAAAAAGAGACTACTTACTCCTTCATTGTTGGTGGTTCTTTTCTCTGCATACACTTGTAAAGCCTTCTCCGCTGACATTCCGGAGTACACTAGATATGAGCATACCATTAATCCGGTTCGCCCTTTTCCAGCCTGCAGATTTAGACAATCAAAGTTGCCAAAGATGAAAGAAACTGTCACGAGTTAGTTGATGCCAAAATGTATAGCAAAAATTTAATTTAACTAGTACAGAAGATGAACTTGCAGTTCATATAAAAGTACTTGGCATCATTCACAGAATGAGAAATTGGAGACCAGCAGCAAAGAGAAAAACAATTGGGCAACAAATGACAAAGAATGAACGAGAAAACCAATGATCATATTGAACAATGATTAAATAGAGAGCTTTTTGCAGACCATGCAGTGAACAACAGCAATATTCTTTGGATGACTTGATAACCAAGAGTTGATATCTTCACAAAATTCCTTGATCATTGATAATGTTGGGACATGATTGTCATCAAACGGGTATCTCTCCACATTTCCACCGAAATGGGATGCATCGTAAGCTTCTTCTATGCATAAGTTATAAACCTGTTAGCCATAAAGATTGCAGAATGATGAGGTTCCAAATGTAGCAGCTATGCAAATGCCTGAGAAACTATGGAGACAAAATAATTTGAACACACAATGCCTTCCGCAAATCAATTTTGATAGAGAGACTGAATGAAACTCAAATTGTAACTCAAGTTTAAGTACCACATCACAGGAAAACACATTGAACCAATTCATCTATTTTAGTCCAGTGACAATTTCCTCATGCTCTGAATCAATTTAATTTTTAGACCAAGAAAGAGGAAAACTTGTCAAAAGTTTACAGAGTTAATGTTAACATGAATATGGTTGTGCAAGATTTAAGGTTGAGCTAGTTCCTGTGATAGCCATTTTGTAAGAATCGACTTGGTGAAGTCCACTATGAAACTATTTCATATATCGGAAAAGGGAATGATCCATTGGGCTCAGGGTTGCTCTCTGCAAATGGATCAGATTGCACCAAGATGTTCAAAATAAAAGAACTACTGCTACACATGCAGCCAGAATTCTATGAACTGAAGGCAATTAATGTTCAAAAATAGGGGGTATTGATACTTAACTGGCACCATACATGCAAGCTTGGTGAGCCAGAGTATTAGCTCACCTTATAGTGACCATGATGATTCATTTCCAAGACACTCTTGACCTCCCAAATAGGATTTCGATACATAGCTTTCATGCGTTCTGCAGGAAATGACATCGCCAAGAGCCGATCTGTTATATAAGTCATATCAAGGTCATAGCCACCAACTAACATCCGCCTTCGTTTCTTCGACACCAAACTTCTTAGATAGTTTTTCAAGAGGCACTTCAGGACAGGAGTCCTGATAAATTCCAGATCCAAATTTAGAAGATTTGTCTGCTTCTTCGACAACTGTGAACCCATCTATAACCACCTCAATAAACCCGCAGGAGAAATGGACCATACCTGCATACAACAATTATGCAATGGTGGGAGGGAATACATGGACATTTATCACTAGAAGCTTACCACAGTTGAGAAAACAAAGTTCAACATAGTGCATAATACGATTGTGTGAAGAGCAACATTAATCACTCAAGAATTCCATTTGCCCCTCTACGATTGCTCTTCATTTTAAGCAGTAAATTAAAGCAAGTTATACTCTACCCTGTTATCATCACCTACATCCTAGAGCACATTCTTGAGAACATTGCTTTGCTAAAAACATATAAGAAATTAGCTCCTAAGTAATTCTTCAATTACAGTATATGAAGAATGCCTCTATCCTAGCAAAGACCAAAAATCAATGCAGAAAACATGCTCTATAATCTAAATTGTACCATAAGCAAAGTAAACAATCACAGCATGAATTTAGCAGGTCTAAGTTTATGGAACAGATACACGAAGCATTAAATTGTCAAATTCTCTGGATCGCCCGATATTCAAAACAGCATTGTTCATAAAGGAGGATCGAGAAACCCTAAAACAGACCCCACCGAGAAACACAATAGCATTTTCACCGGATGTTTTTTTGTTTTTTGTCACGTACGTGTAAATTCCTGTCCCTTGATATCTCTATGAATCAGAGTGGATCCGGAAGCAATACAAAAGAATCAAGAAATTGCGCAAATACAGTTCCCCCTGCAAACCGCGCGCTATTTGTTAAGGCGGCCAAAAGGAGGAAAGAAATACGCCCATGTCCTGTCCTGATTGTGCGAGAGGAATATGCAGTTAACCCTTTCAAAGATTCTCTGCCGAATCGAGCGTTTGATATGTTTTTTTCTTGGCAATTCACACAACCTTTTGTTTGGCGAATATGATGCCGATTATGCAGGGCCATGCAACACCTTCCGCTCTCTCTTCTCTCTCCCCTGCGTGCACTTGCAGCTCTACGTGTGTCCATATACATGCAATATATATATATATATATACCAAAAATAGGCCGACGATCACTGGATCGAGATGGAGCCATTGCCAATTACAGTAGTTATGAAACATCATAGATAGTTCAAGGAAATGCAGCTTGATATATTCCTGCCGGAGTCCTAGGGTTAGATCTTTGATCAGTTCCATCTCGCCATAACCGTCCACACCACAGCAGCACATCTCTTTGCGACCGTTGCCGCTGCCCATGCTTCATCCACCTTGACCTGGACATTAAAATTTCGTCAAAACACTCTCAACGACATCATAACACTGCTTCCAACTGAATCCTGCACCAAAATTAACTCAATTTGTTATTATTGTTACTATTTTCTTACTATTATTATTAGTATTATTGATTATAACTGATGATTTTAATGTTATATATTAAGTACTGTTAATAGTGGGCTTTGCTACAAAGAGCCCAGAATCAAAAGGGCTATTCAGGAACAGGACTTAGAAAAATCAAATGCATTTCGTTTTCTTCTGGCCCATATTGAAAATATTGGTAGCAATCAAATAACGAAATTGCTGTGAATATGCACATGTTGTAACGAATTCTGTGTAGCTGTGTTGCAAAAAAATATCATATTTTGTCAGCGTAACCTTCGTGTGGTGAGAAACTGTTATCGGCCCATATATTATGGGCCATTATGCAATTTACAAATTAGACCAATTTTGTCAAGCCCAACATAGCTGGATTATAAAGATGCATATTTTAAAAAGAAACGGAAAAAAAATAAAAAAAAAAAAAAAAGAAAAAGAAAAAGGGAAAGGGGTTTGATTGAAGATCGGTGTCATGCGCGAAGTCCCGACGTACTGTGCGAGTGGGAAGATGCGATCGTAGGACCGATTTCACGACCTATTATCATTTTTTTTGCATCCGGTTGTTTAGATCAGTAGGTAAATCGATTATTTTATCGGCTTGATGTGATTTTTTTTTTTTTTTTTTTTATTTTTGGAATTCGACCGTCTCGTGTAATCGATATTGACTGCGACTGTATCGCTTACTTATTCTGATTCTGAATCTCTGTTTTTTAATTCTTTGTATTTTGAGCCACTTATTGGTTTTGGGCAAAAACGGTTTACTGCGTTTAGTTCGTATGTCCTTGTATGGGTGAATTTGTTTAAAAGTTGTGAGAATAATCTGTATGTGTCAATCCATTCAGTTGAGCTATTGCAAATTAATTAGTTTAATCGTAGCTATCTTTGAATGATGATGATGTAGTGCGGGAGAATGTCGATAATGTATATGTTAGAAAGTAATGTGAATTAAAAGACCGTGGTTAGTGTAACATTGTATCTACTTCAAATTGATTTGATCCTTGAATTTTATAATTATATGGATTGCATATGGGCTCTTGTGATTGTTTTAATTGAATTTTAGCTTTAAAAAAATGATGGATCCCCAATATCAAGAATAATTAGATTGTCAACCTGTCTGCCCCTTTTCAACTTTATTGCTGCTTTCTACTATCACAGATTTAATCTCAAGAATTATGAACGGAATATTATTCGAACATAACGGATGTTGCATACAGGGATCTTTGAAGATATAATCACGAACTTTGGTAATATATGTGAATCTAAATTAAAGTATTACTTTCTAATCTAATCACCTGTACTAGTGTATTTTGTATGCATCTCAAAGTGCTGTGTATCCTTTTAGCCAGCTGATAACCTAGGCTATTGGAATGGATTCTGTTTGTTTCTCCCTTTCTCAATGGCACGCCTGATACCTTTTCTTTCTTTTAACCATCCAGGAACTCTATAGTCTTGGTGAAATGCTTGATGTATAGTTGCAACATGTGGAACTTTGCATCAAGATGTATAGCTGGAAATGTAGGATCAAAGAGTGATCTGTTGAAGCGAACGCGAGATTCATTGGATTGCTCAGATGATGAAGGCTCTTCCATCACCAGCAGAGAGGAGGGCTTGGAGTGCCCAATATGCTGGGAATCCTTCAACCTCGTTGAGAACATCCCCTATGTGTTATGGTGTGGACATACGCTGTGCAAAAACTGTATCCTCGGGCTTCAATGGGCTGTTGTGAAATTCCCGACTCTACCTCTCCAGCTCCCGCTCTTTATATCCTGCCCTTGGTGCAATCTCTTGTCATTTCGCTTGGTCTATCGAGGGAACCTGAGATTTCCTTGCAAAAATTTCTTCCTTCTCTGGATGCTCGAGAGCATGAATGGTGATAGACTGAAATCTCATTCCTCAAACTGCACAGATCATGAAACTTCTTGGCCGTCAAGTGTGAAAGCTTCCAGAAGCTACACTAGAAATGAACAGAGGAGGGGGCATAGCATTCATCATCTTGAATCATCAGAATCTGCTCATGATACCAATCAGTTCCACGGTTCTGATGCAATCGAGAGGCTACAGTTATCTCTGAAAAAGTCCCTCATCTTCTTCGTTCACCTGACTGCCAAGTTCCCACTTGTGATCATGTTTCTTCTCATCATACTCTATGCAGTACCCGCAAGTGCAGCCATCTTGGCCCTGTACATACTCATCACTGTCCTCTTTGCAGTCCCGTCTTTCCTCATTCTGTACTTTGCATATCCGAGCCTGGACTGGTTAGTGAGGGAGATCATCACATAATATCCTCTCTCATTTTTATCAGTGCCTATGAAATCTACCTTAGCGCAGAACACTACGTATCTACCGTGGATTTTAGACCTTTGCAGGGTGTGGCATTCCTTAGTGTCGAGCTTTCTACACTTGCACAAACTCTTTTACTTGTGTGCTAAAGTTAGTGTTCTAAGCACATCGAATCTTGATTGCTACCCTGGATTACCCTAAATTCTGTATTTATGATTACTGCTTTACGGTATCTCAGAAACGAGAAACTTTTGTGTGTATTACATTTTCATTGTCAACTAATCTTAAGCACTATTAAGAATACACAATTCTTCTTACCTTTGTCATGTTAAATTTATTCTCTAGTTTTGAATGTCCATAAAGCAGGATGGATGCTTCTTCTTCTATGGCTAGTGGACATCAGTAAGTTAGCTTTTGAATCATCAGTTGTAGCTGTAAAGATCATCAATATTTATCTTGGATAATTATGATATATATATATATATTGTATATATATTGTTGTGGTGCAGGATCAGCAACATTTTGACAATATCCTCTACCAACCTGTCGACCACTCTTGACCATGCATGTCATGTCTGTGAGGAAGAAAAGACTCTCTTGTCTCGTGGCCCTGGCAACCAACAAGATTTCTAACCCCTTCTTTATGGGAGTTTGATCAGATCCTATTCATATGGTCACCCAAATCATAGCTATATACCTAAGCTTTCTTTAATTAATTAATTAATTAAATCTGCATCAACCAAGGCAAGCAGCAGTTGGCCAATGTGGTAAGTGAATCTAATGCTTGATTGCTTCATAAATAAATAAATAGCCATCTGGTTTGGTGGCCAAATTTTTTTGTGCACTTAATTTTGTGATTTATACCATTCATTTATTCTCTTGAAAACTTGGCATTGGTTTCCCAATTTTTGTGTAACTAGCGATGTGAGGTACATTTTTTTCGCATTACTTTTTATTATCTTTATAATAATAATAATAATGAAAAAAAAATTAAAAAATTGAACGTATTAACATCATTCATTATATTTTACATTTTAATTTACCCTATTAAGTAATATAATTATCTAAATTAATTTTGCAAGTATAAATTCATCCATGCTGTTTGTTATGTGATAATAATCATATTTAAATTATTATTTTAATAAAAAAAAGTAAATTAAAAAAATTGAAAAATACACAATCGTTTTGTAATTAAAAATGTGCAAATAACTTGGAATAAATTACTACATATTATTCCTTCTAAATTAATTGTCTTGAAGGACGTAACATCAACTCATTTATATCATTTTGAATTTACGAAAATTTTAGCCATTAAAATAAAATTTTGCCCATAAAAATTAATTGGGAGTAATTAGATTATTATTATTATTATATCTTCGAAAAAAAGGAAGTTGAATATGAACATGGAAAATATTAAACAAGAAAAACTGGCGCCGACCTTACCACCTCTCCACCTTTGATCGCTTTCCTCTTCCTTCTCCCTCTCAGATTTCTTACCAAATCTCATAGGCGTCGCTTGCACGATCACCATTTCATATATGCTGATGATTCTCATGAAGATTTGAAATATTTATTGGATCTACTGAGAAGGTATGATATTCATATGTTAAGCTCCCTTTCGATGTTAATCAAATCTATTTCTTGTATATTGTTGCATCAGTTGTTTTGTAAAGCTTTTCCCTTTGCTCTGCTTTAAAGGGGTTTGAGAAAGAAGGGAAGGAAAAAAGGTACGCAGGCGGATTCGTGAGGTTTTTTCAACGCCTTTCCTCATTAAATACATCCTTCGGTATGAATTGTGGGTGATTTGATTCTGTTATCACGTTTGAGGTTTTTTGAAGGCTTGGATTGTGATCCAGCATTAAAGGAGGTCGTACTTTGTTGCGTATATGTCCATTTTTGGTGCTGTTTTTCCTTCGCATTCGATTAGGGTTTTGTTCTTTTCTATTTTGAAACGGCGATTCTGTTATTTTATATCTGAACGATCCCTTTGATCAAGATTGGGAATTTGGTTAGCTATGGATTGTCTTATTGAATTGACATTGAATATCGTGGGAGAAAGGATTCACTTTTTTTCAATATTTTCCATCCCTACTTCTATCCGTTCAATTTCTTCGTGTTTATACTATTGTTGTGATTGTTTTTGTCTGTCTGTTCATGCATTTAAAGAAGTTTCTGTGTTTTATGATGGATGAGTTATTATGCAAAATGTTTGTGTATCTAAATTGAACTTGTGGAGCTTCCTATTCATAACGTAGTTGTCATAAATGTCTGAAATTTACTTGTCAACATAGTATCCCTTTTCACTTTTTATGTAATTGTAATGAATCACTTCTTCCCTTCTCTGGAACAATTCTTGGAGGAATGAATACATTAATCATATTCATTTTTTATGCAAGCATAGTCATAAATTTACCCTCGGATGGTGTTTTATCTTCTGTAAGATTTATTCAATTTATCTCTATGGTTACTGTTAAATATTAAGTTGGATCACTGTCTGAGTAATCATATACATGTGCTGGAAATGGTTCAAGAGTTCGTCTTGCATCCGAAACACCCCAAAATGCATCCTTTCCCTCGATTCATACCTAAAGTTATTGATTCTTGTAGGGTAATATCTTTTAAATATTAACTATCTCCATTTATCTTTGACAGGAATTAGATTTTCACTTTCTTTCAGTCAATTTTCATGGTTGAAGAACGCACTGATTCACTGAAAGCTCCTGAGGGAAATGATGAGGAAAGCAGTATCATCATGAGCAGTATTACTGCTGAGAATTCAGCTCCTCCAATTGATGGCCAGAGTGCTAATGTTGTACATCCCAGAGCATCCATTGGTAGCAGTTTAGTGAGAAATTCTACCGAAAAATCACATTCCACCAAGAGTCAGGATGATGTGGTTCCTCATTATATGAGGAGGTCTGCTGGTTCATGCCATGATCTCTGTAAATATGGAAGAAATCATGCCTCTGAAGAAGAGGCAAAAGCAAGGGCAAGGCTGCTTCGGAAAAGAAATGGTAGAGTGTTACCCAATGAGCTGATTCCTGTGCAGATACTGGTTGCGGATGATAAAAAGAAGGAAAAGGTTGTTAATGACAAGCCACCAATACAGAACCGAAGGCATTCACTTCCCCTGGAGCCTTCTTCTAATACCAGATCCAATTCTACAAAGCATAAGAAATCTTTGGAGAAGGCAGAGGTTGTTACCAAGAACACATATTCAGCAGATGCCAAAAAGCTTTCACTTGATTTGCAATCTCGTGATGCCAAATCATTTCAGCGAGCAGCCAGAACGTCCTCAGATGTGAAAACTTCTTTGCCTAGACAAAGTGCAACAGGTCTGGCTAAGCACAAGCCAATGCCTAAGAAACTTCCCTCACCAGAGCCCCCTGAAATTATCAAGAGCGTTTGCTTCCCAACTGAAAAGGTTGAAGTTCCTGGAAAGAAAGTGTCATCCGCTGATATTAAAGCCCAAAAATTAGAGAAAAAGACAGCTGTTCCAGCGAAGCATCACTATTCTTCTTTGAAGGTCAAGGTTAAACCATCATTGTCTTCAGAAAAGCCGGATGCAAGTGGAAAAGAGAAAAGAAACAATATTTCTGGGACAGGGAAAAATTTAGCTGCGTTAAAGGCATCCACAAAGAAAGTATTGTCCCCTAAACTCTCTACTGTCAAGATAGCACCTATCAAATTGAGAAAAGATGGAACTCCAAAATTGGTCTCTCCTCTGAAAGACAAAAATAAGCTGCCCCGTGCCAAGACTAGAGCATCCATTGATGGGAAGGTTTCTGAGAAAACCTTGCATGTCATCAAGACAGAAACTGAAAACAATATCCCCGAGTCAATCCCCGATGATCATGCCATTTCCATATTACCATCTCTACCAACTGAAGCATTGGTTGATACAAATTCTTCGTCATTGGCTTCTAATGAAGTGGATGTGGGAGTAATTAAGCACATTAATGTTGAAGCTGCCAAATTCGCCTCTGGCAGTCATGAGTCTCCAAAACATGTGGAGGAAAATCATAACAAGACTCCTAGAAAGGGCAGAGTGGCTGTATCTGATGTCAGGCATGGATCTCCTGTAAAATTGAAGTTCAAAACTGGGAAGGTCGTCGACTTGAAGTCAGATAATTACAGTCCAAGGAAACTGAGATTTAGGAGGGCAAGAGTCCTCGCCACCGAAGATAGCAAGGGGTCGATGGGGAGAACCTTGCGAAAGGGAGGAGCCAATGATAAAACAGGAACTACTGCTAGCAGTTCCTCTGTAAAGGTTGTCTTAAAACATCAAGACGTGCAGGACAAGAAGGATGCTCAGTGTTTATTCAACAATGTGATTGAAGAAACAGCAAGCAAACTTGTCGAAAGCAGGAAAAGCAAAGTAAAGGCCCTGGTGGGAGCTTTTGAAACAGTCATTTCTCTCCAGGAGAGCTAACCGTCTGAACATCTCATCCCATTCATGACAAAATTTAGGCGAAAACAGTACATTTACTTAAAAATTCCTAAAACTGCTAATCTTTTTTTCTGTGGTGGTTAGTGTTGGAAGGTGTGGAATGTTGTGCTGAGTGGTTTTGGTGTGCGTTCTAAATCAATTGCTAGGGATGCTTGTTCTTTCTTTTCTCTTTGATTTTATAGAGAGAGAGAGAGAGAGAGAGGGGAAATGTTGGTTCTTTTCTATAATGTTTACAGGGCTTGTACTGATTTTCTTGATGGTTGGTTTGGTTTAAAAAGCTCTATAATGATGTTTGGTGTGTATATATTCTTGATTGTTTCTTGTCTATGAATACAAGAGCATCCTTTTTTAAGTCTTTTTCTGCCATGGAATTCCTTAGTTAGATTTGATCCAATTTATCCTGAAAGTACATACGATTATCACTACATCAGCATTTAACATTTTTACAAACTATCAAAAATGTAGATGGATATGCAAAAAGCTCAAAAAGCTGTTGAAAACATAGGATAGTGTTGTGTCATCTACTAGACAAATTCATCAAAATCCGGTGTTCAGTTCATTATTTCTCAGTTTCTGCATCGAACTCCAATCCGGTGATGGTCATCGCGCCAATGTTAACTGCAAGTTGAGGCTTCTTGTCAACAAGAATTTTGATCAAATCTGGAAACTTATCATTTAACTTGCTAGTGATCATCATCAAATTGAATGAACTCAAAACCATTGCTGTTCAGCCTGAAATCAAACTGAACAAATTCCTTCAATTGTGATCTAAAGAAACCAAACTTACCAATGGCACCCATCCCAACCAACTTAGGCATGAACTTTCTGAGATGATCCTCGGCGACTTCATCAGCTTTCAGCGTCTCGCATTCAAACGAAACCAAGACTTTGGGTTTCCCATGCTTCTCTTCAACCATTCCCACAACATCCTTCTGCCATCTGTTACCGTATCAAATCTCGAATCAAACTAACAAACATGAAATCACATCATTTTCACCATTACCCATGAGCATGATCAATGGTACAAATCTTGGCAGCATCATGTCCTCTGCACTCCACAATCACATCTTTTTCTCTCTTACTCTGTTATTTAGAAGTCATCGTTATTGCTTGAATTCCAATTTCAGTTAAACTCCAAATCATCAAAATATCCATCAAGAAAACCTAAAGAAAATAACAATGGCACTCACAGCATAGTCAATTACAGTGAGCTTCACCAATCTATAATCTTCACCTCTGCTGCACTCCCTTTCACACCCCAACTCTTTTTATGCAAACAGAACAATGATAATGCCCAAACCAGAAATCATAAGTTTTAAAAAAAAAATCATAGGTGCTCACATTGCAATACCCAAACTAGAATTCACCACATAAATACAGCATCATTCTTTAAGAAAGTTTAATGGTGGAATTGTTTACCAAACAAGAAATCATAAATCCTCGCATTGCAACACCCAAACTAGAATTCACCAAATAAACAAAAAATTCTTTAAGAAAGTTTAGTAGTGGAATTTTTTACCAGTTCCATGGAGGCCATAGCACACTGAGTGGGGAAGATGAATAAAATGCCCCGAAATAGAGCCATTGGGCAAAAGGGCTATTGAAGCCATGCCCTCCATTACTTTACTTGTCTCTTCGTGTTCCTCTCCTACTCCTTCTGCACCATTGAACATTAATTACAGACTTACCTAGAAAAGATCACAATTTTCCGATTAAGGTTAATCCCAATTTTCCTTCAGGCTTACCCATTGTGGTCGCAGACAAATCTCCCCTGCGTTGTTTGTGATTGGGGATCAGAATGCGAAAGGGTCTTTATTTACCGGAAAAAGGTTCTAAAACGACGTCGTTTCGTGGATAATTATCAGATTCAGAGCGTGTCAACTCCCTCGTTTATTTATTTATTTACTGTTCTGGACAAAGCAAACATCCTTATATAAATGGAAAGAATATTAAAAAATCTCTGCACATACTTACAAACGACAACAAAAAGAAGGAATGAATACAACAAGACATACACAACAACCTACACAAAAAATTGTCAAAATGGGTACACAGAAATGTAATAGGAACTCGATGCTAAACAAAAACAGAGGAATGAAAAGAAAGAATCAATCTCCATGGCCACAAGAAACTCTTATAACAACAGCAGGATCTTCAATTGTGTGTAATGTAAACCTGATTCTTGGCCTTCCTTCCATCCTTTGATGCTATGTTGCTCATATCATATGCATTTGTCACCATTATTCCCTTGCCAAGCACCAAGACAGCATAGGGAAGGAAAGAGACCTCATCGGCAACTTCGAAACATAGTACTGTTCTTGGTCCAACCAAAAATAGACAACGATGACGAATTGAATGCTACTTTACAAACTCAAGGAATTAACGAACTAATATCAGCGCATCTCAGTTATCGATCCAGCAGAAAAATTTCAGATACCTTAGTTGCCCCTTGATTTGTATGTGATGTAATGATATGGATTCTTCCTCAGCATATTATCAACAATGCTTCTCAAATTTCAGCTCAACGGCAGCTATTGATATTGTACACGTTCGCTAGAACTCCAAGATGTGGCAATTTCTTATGAAGTCGTTCGAGTAGTTCACGTACTTTGTCCAAAAGGGCCGCAGATGCTCAAACCCGATCTCCAGCCAAGGCTTCGACTGCCCATTGTAGTGAATCACCGCAGATTTCTTTACATTCTCGACGCTGGTCTTTTTCTGATACCCCAATCCAAGCATGTGCCAGGAGGGATCGATCGGGTGGATATGACCCTTGAATCCAATCAAAGCCGGTGGCAGTGTTCCGAGTTTCCACAATGTCAGGTTCGACTTTATATTCTGCAAAGAAGTATGCAATAAGAAATGTAGCATCAGACATTCGGCAGTGCAGGTCAGGCTGATGTAATAGATGTTCTTTGATGAAAATTTCAATTTACCTCCTTTAGCCAGGAGTGGTAAGTATCTCTTATATCCGTCTTTCGCCATGCCGCCAGGTCAAATATGTTCATCCCGTACGCCCACGCACATTCGTCGGGGTTCAAGGTTTTCGCTATGAGTGGATGGGAGAAGTTGAAGTAGTTCCTAAATCGCTTGGACATGACCCACTCGTCTTCACCTCGACACGTTTCGACAGCTCCATTGACTTTCCCGTCAAGGTCAATTTCCCAAAGAGGAGAAAGATCTCGTTGGACTACAACATCATCGTCTAGGAAAACCACCTTATCAAGGTTCGGGAATAGCTAAAATTTGAAAAACACAAACAAAAATTGTTAACTATGCTAAATCAAGAACAAGAAATTCAAGACCACAAAACAGTAGGACAGTGAAGATAGAGGTAACAAATACCTCTGGAAGATATATACGAAGATGGTTGAGCAACGATATATACTTGGGACTTCTCGCCTGTAATTTGGAAGCAAACGTCCTAGGTGTTGTATCGCTAAGGTTTGTGCCAGCAATGTGATTACCATGGTAATAATTCCGGATCCCATAGTGGCTCTCCACAGCTTCAAGAACCGGGACATTTTCTCTCGTCAGCCAATCAAACTGGTGCACACCTTTTACCTCGATTATGGCAGGAGGCAATGGATTGAGAGCAAACCATGAATGCATGCCGGCATATGTTTTCTTGTCAGTTATTACATGAAAGACGACCTTTGCAGGGTCTGAGGATGACTGGACAGTAGAAGCAACGACAACGGCAGCAGCAAGAATGTTGTCCGTCGACACCACAAAGTGATGGTAGGAATTGTCCGACAGCAGAGGCAGCAGTTCTGGCGATGGTAACTGCTTCCGAGCATGAGCATTGGAAGAATATTCGTCGGTTAGCCTCAATGAAAGGCAATGGATCCCTTTAGGGATGGCACTAGCTGCAAAATGTTTGTTCATTAATTCAGAAAACTTGGATTCCCGGATTTCACGTTCGGATCTCTCCATCTGTCAGAGTAAAGACAAGATTCAGTCAAAAGGAATCTCGAATCGAAAAACTTAAAAGAATCTGAAATCAAACAAATAGCTTTAAAAACACCCACCATTCCTTTCAAAATCAAGGCAAAATCTTTTGAACTATATTTGTTGTTTTTCATATCGGAAACAAGCTGGCTAAAAGATTCCGGGAGCTTCAGACCGGTGGGGACTTTCTCCACATTCACTTGATTCAGGATCTTAACAAAGTCCTTCACCAGCTTCTGCCATTACAACAAATTTCAAGGTTTACATGTGTTGTCCAGAATGAAAATGCAATAACATAAGCAATTATCTCATCAAATTGCAAGATAACATAACAAGTCAACATATAAAATAATGACATTATAAACTTTACCCCAGAATCACTGTTTCTACCAAGAAGCTTTGGCCCCAATCTTCGTCCTAAACAATCTGAAAGCATTAAAAAGGAAAATTGTTTCCATAGATAACTTGTAAAAGAAAAAATGTAAGTATACAGCTCTATGTTTAGATGTATAATGAACCAAAGAACTCAAAAGAACACTCAAGAAGAGGAAAAGCAAGAAGTTCGATTTGCTGTCTTGATGATTAGCAAGATTGATCACAAACACCAAAACAAGAAACTACCAAACAGATTAGGATGAGAAATTAATGAGATAAACGATTCCAAGTTTCCAACCAGCCTTTGATCTCAACAAGCCCAAGATCAAAACCTTGAATCAAGAACAAGGAAATCCAAGAACTTGAAACAAAGACTATGCAGCAAATAAGACGATCACAACAACGAAATATCTATTATCAACAAAGCATCAGCCAGAAGATGTAGAGCACAAATCAGAACAACTTAAGAAATCAATAAGAAGCCAATCAAACAACCAACAAAACAAACCCAATCAAGATATAGGAATACATAAATAAGTGGGGAAATTAAAGAAAAAGGAAGATCTGTAGAAGTACCAATGGAAGAACACTTGTTGACGCCTTCAAGGGTGATAAGCGCAGTGAGAATGAAAACAAATGGCAAAAGAAAGGCGAGAATGAGAATGGTGTGGAACAGCGTGCGGTACGAAATGTGGCGAGCTGCGACCTTGATCTTCATCAAATCAGTGCCTCCATTGCCGCTTACTCCATTGCCGCTCGATATCGTTATACTTCTCATGCTAGGTGAGAAGTGCAGCTGCATCTTCTTCCTCCGCCGCCTTCTTCTCCACCGCTATCCTCTCCTCCTCCTTCTTCCCTCCCTCTACCCTCCTAAAATTCCCCCAATCAACCCTCCCACCATTAACGCCTATCCACCGATCTCGATTCAACCCTCCCACGGCATTGGGGTTTCCCCAAGAATCTTGGCCCCGAAATCAATCCACCCTAGGGTTTCCAATTGCGAAATCGCTCACTTTGCCGGAATCAGAACGAATTAATAAATTCGATGAATGCGCACGACGGGGGATCAATGCATCGATAGAAAAAAAGAAAAGGAAAATCAAAAGAAGAAAATCGCTCGGAAGATTTGACTTTCTCTATTCTCCAAATCAAATTCCTAATCTATCTCCTCGGTGCTCTTCTCTTCTGCGTGTATTAATGACGCCTGGGGCTGGGGGTTGAATTTCTCTCTCTGTCGGGAAAAGCGATTGTAGAGAGAGAACCCATTTTGCTAATTACTGCCACTCTTGAATCCCATTCGGTCCTCCCCCCAAATCCATAACTTTTCTTCCATAAATGTCTGAATATTTTAGCCTGAGAGGTAATAAATCAGCAATCATTACCCATTCCCATCTTCCCCCCTCTCTCTCTCTCTCTGCCGCGGTTACAATACATACACATACATTATACATACATTCCGTCATACATATCTGTCTATCTTGTTCGGTCAATGGCTAAAACCGCGTTGTTAGCTTACACGCAGGGACTCCGGGACTTCAGATCCCAGACCGTTGGGCTCCGTCAATCCAGTCCAGTCCAATTTAATTTGGGCCACACCTAATGATTTGAATTAAAAAAACACTATCCAATTAAAAACAAACACGTGGCTAGTCAAGACTCTCGGCCCTAAGATCCAAAACTATTGAGCTCCATCAATCGAGTCCAGCCCAATTTTATTTTGGGCCAGACCTAATCATTGTAATTGGAAAAAAAATACTGTCCAATAAAGAAACAAACACGTGGCGAGTGCAAGACTCGGAGGACCTCAGATCCCAAACCATTGGGCTTAATCAATCAAGCCCAGCCAATTTAATTTGGGCCTTATGATTGTAATTATGAAAAAACACTGTCCAATAAAGAACAACTACGTGGCGAGTGCAAACCAAGATTGGAGGAATCGACCGCAGAGGATCCGACTCCCACATTCATTATTACGCTAACGTAAACAGCCGTCACGCCACGTGAAGTATCGGGAAATGATCAGTGCAATGGCGACGGGGGATGTTTACCTATTGCGGCTACAAGACACCAGAAGCCATTGCCCGCTGTTCCCTGCCTTTATTTCCTTTTTCACGGACGGGATAGGTTGCGCGCTTCTCTCGGTCCGTGTTGGGCAGGAAAAAGTAGCTGTGGCGGTGCATTTGTGGTTGTGGAGTGAAAATGGCGAGTGGAGGAGCGGCGGTGGCATTTTCGGGTTGCTCTTCCAACGCTAGGTTGATTGATTTCGCCTCCAGGAATCGGAGCTCGAAGTCGAAGGCAGCTGTGTTGCTGAGGGTTAAACCGTTGTTTGGCGTTAGGTGTGTCTCCAGTGAGCCGAAGCAGAGCATTCGCGACTCGGTGACCGACCAAGGTACTGCTTTTGTTACTGTACCTTATAGAGCTGTGGTTGATCTTGTTCATCGTATGTTAATGTAGCAGGTTTACTGATTGTGAATTTGTGATGGAGTTGGCGCGGCAATTTTTGCTGATGTTTTGACTACAAAATGAATCATTTTAAAATAGTTTTTATATTTGAACCTCATTGATTTGTGAGTACCATCTAACATCTTTTAGTTTATGATCGAAATTGATGAACTTGGTGAAGTTGAGTTGTGTATGCTTCTGGCATTTCACTGTTTTCAGGAATAATCTAAAATTTGAGTTCTTTTTGATGTGGTCAGGATTTCCAGATGATCCGAGTTCATTTCCTCCCAGTCCTCAATCTATTGCTTCAAGAATTCAATTCCATGCACAGTTCACTCCATTATTTTCTTCTGAGAATTTTACAGCGCCCAAAGCCTTCTTTGCCACTGCACAAAGTGTCCGGGATGCACTTATTGTCAATTGGGATGCAACATATGATCTTTACGAAAAGATGAATGTAAAGCAAGCCTACTATCTGTCCATGGAATTTTTGCAGGTTTGTCTAAGTTCTCTCTTGGTTTTTTAGTATCGAATATTGTGAGTACGGTATGATTAATATACATGTCAGGCATATCTTTATATATATATATATATATATTTAAAAAAAAAAAAAAACCCACCATACCTTGATAACTAATATTTCATCTCTGTCACTATGAGTCCATTTGTAGGGTAGAGCATTACTGAATGCAGTTGGTAATTTGGAGCTCACTGGTGAATATGCGAAGGCTCTAGAAAAGCTGGGTCATAATCTGGAAACTGTATCCACTCAGGTCATACTCTATTTTGTTGTGATATCTTGAAGTTGAAATAGTTCCACTTCTTTTGTAGCATTTCTATGAGCTATACATGTCTAGACTTCTGTTTGATCATACCAGCACCGCATTTCTATATTATTCATAAGTTACTTTGCTGGCCCTTTAACAGGAGCCAGATGCAGCACTTGGAAATGGTGGTTTAGGCCGGCTTGCATCGTGTTTTCTGGACTCATTGGCCACTTTAAATTATCCAGCATGGGGTTATGGCCTTCGGTACAAATATGGCTTATTTAAGCAACAACTTACAAAGGATGGCCAAGTGGAGGTCGCTGAAAATTGGCTTGATGTATGATTCGTACAAATCCACAAAAACTTTATTTTTCATGCAGATTATTTTCAACCTTCATTGTTTGAGCAAAGCTTTTCTTTCATGTTCAACCCATTACTTTCGCCATTATCTATGTTCTTCAGTTGGTTATACCCTGTTGAACACTCATATGTTCCTGTCAGATTGGCAATCCCTGGGAAATTGTCAGAAATGATGTATCTTATCCTGTGAAATTTTATGGCAAAGTTGTGGTGGGGTCAGATGGGAAAAGCCGCTGGATTGGTGGTGAAGATATTGTTGCTGTTGCATATGATGTTCCAATACCTGGATATAAGACTAAGACTACAATTAATCTTAGGCTGTGGTCCACTAAAGTACCTTCTGATCAGTTTGATTTATATGCCTTCAATGCTGGAGAACACACTGAAGCATGTGAAGCTCAAGCAAATGCAGAGAAAGTAAGTTTTGTATTAGTATCCATGGTTGTTACGATTATGTTGTCCTTTCTCCAACTTATTAATTTCTTAATTAACCTTTGAATTCTTTGTGTGTGTCCTGATGTGTGATGATCATACTCTTTTTGTGCCTTAACCCTTGAGGGATAGATCTCCCGGGATGCTTTAGTTATTAAATTACTTTTTTTTAAACAATTTACTATATTACTGATATTATGCCTGTATTGAAATACTAACTTGTGGATTATGTTTCAGGTTTCATATTATAAAGAAATAAGTAGAAATATCTGATTTAGGTTTATTCACATTTGTTTGGATGACATTTTTCTGAGTTCTGGTAGCAGTAACAAGCGAAAGTGTTACATGCATAAGGCTACAGGGTGAAGTTTACGTTTAATTTATTTGAGTTTGTGACATAGGCCATTTATTCAAATGATCGATGATGCATTCATATGTAGAATGTCTTTGACAACAGATCTGTTATATACTTTATCCTGGGGATGAATCAGAGGCAGGAAAGATACTTCGACTGAAACAACAATACACGTTATGTTCTGCTTCTCTCCAAGATATCATTTCAAGGTTTGAGAGGAGATCTGGTGGAAATGTCAGATGGGAGCAATTTCCTGATAAAGTAGCTGTTCAGATGAATGACACACACCCAACTTTATGTATCCCAGAGCTTGTGAGGATTTTGATGGATTTGAAGGGTCTTAGTTGGGAAGAAGCTTGGCAGATTACACAGAGGTATGCTGTATTAGCTTGGTAAATTTTCTCCGCTAAAGGATGCTTCATCTCCAAAGTAGCATTTCAATTTGCATTGTTTTCCATTGCCTGCTATTTTTAAATTTGAAGTCAGTGCAACTGCATCCTCTCCAGTTTAAACCCGTAAAACTATACCTTTGTAATTTTCCTTTTTCTGCAACTGAACTATTGAGTTGTCCACCTTTCAGAACAGATCATACAAATTTGGTTCACAGCTGTGAGTTTTATGATTTTACCTGAACTATCTTTAATTTTCTAGAGCTGTGAAATATTTCAAGAAGCCTCACAAAGAATTCAAGTTGTGGCCTTCAAACTCTTCTCATGTAATTTCTTTATCAACTAGTGCCTTTTCAAGAACTAAGCAAATATATATATGTATATATTTTTTTTATTTAACACAGTTGACTACTCTTTGTACCCAGATTCTTGCCTTCAATTGTGCTTGAACCAGATAAATCACTCTTTCTGCATTACATATCATATTAATAAATGGATTCACATATTTGTTGAAGAAATTATATGTTTGTGTGGTGGGGTTATGAATAAGAAAGCTTGTTAAAATTGGTAAGTAAACAATGGAACTGTTATTTCTTGCCGTGACTGGGTAAATTAACCACACCCATGGCATATGTCTTGCAGAACTGTGGCATACACTAACCACACAGTTTTACCTGAGGCCTTGGAGAAATGGAACTATGACCTGATGCAGAGACTACTTCCAAGACATGTTGAGATCATTGAAAGGATTGATGAACAGGTAGGAACATATAAATTTAATCAGAAGGGGTGAAAAACCCATGCCTTGTAATTTTCTTGACTGCTGTCCGCCTTCATTGTATTTTTTCAGTTAATTGAAGATCTTATAAAAGAATATGGGACATCAAATCCTGAAATGCTGGAAAATAAATTGGCCACGATGAGAATTTTAGAAAATGTTGATCTCCCTGGTTCTGTTAAAGATTTATTTCCCAAGCCCGCCGATGAACTCTCTATCGAGAAAGACGAGGGCATTGAATCTAATGATTTAGAGTCGGTTACGGAAGAGTCTGAACAAGGGGGAGAAGACACAAAAAAGAATGAGACTCTAGATGAAATAGTTGATCAAGAACCAGTTCCTGCTCCGCCAAAAATGGTCCGAATGGCTAACCTTTGTGTTGTTGGTGGTCATGCTGTAAATGGGGTTGCTGAGATCCACAGTGAAATAGTTAAGAAAGAAGTCTTTAGTGATTTTTATGAGGTAACCTCCTCTTCTTCCTTTATGCCAGCAATAGGTTTCATCTTATAGTTAAAGAGCGTGTATTGTCCAGCTTTGGCCGGAAAAGTTCCAAAACAAAACAAATGGGGTAACACCTAGAAGATGGATCCATTTCTGCAATCCTGATCTCAGTAGGGTGATAACTAAGTGGATAGATACGGAAGACTGGGTCCTGAAAACAGAGAAACTGGCAGAACTGCGGAAGGTACTCCATGTTATATCCATACATTGTCTTGCTGATTGAGATGTGATTACGAACTTTTGTCAACTCACTCCATTCATTTATTGTTATCTTCTTCTTAATTTCTCAATGTTAACTTTGTTTTAACATTCTGATTGTGGAGTATAATTATTGGCAGTTTGCTGATAACAAGGATCTCCAAGCTGAGTGGAGGGCTGCAAAGAGAAGGAACAAAATTAAGGTTGCTTCATTCGTTAAAGAGAAGACTGGGTATTCTGTCAATCCTGATGCAATGTTTGACATCCAGGTTTCTCTCTATCCTGCTTCACATCATCTTAAAATTTAACTTGGTAATTAAGAGATTGATGAGCCCTAAGCTTGTATTTTGGTTGCGCATTATGTTCACCGAGATTTCTCTAGTTCCTTCATTTCAAATTAGGCATGATACTCCAAACATTTGTCCCCTTAATGAGTAATTTCCTTTTCCAGGTAAAGCGTATCCATGAATACAAACGACAGCTGTTAAACATCTTGGGCATTGTTTTTCGCTATAAGAAAATGAAAGAAATGACTGCGGCTGAAAGGATAGCAAACTTTGTTCCTCGAGTTTGTATCTTTGGAGGGAAAGCATTTGCTACATATGTACAAGCCAAGAGAATTGTAAAATTTATTACTGATGTCGGGGCTACCATAAATCATGATCCGGATATTGGTGATTTGTTGAAGGTACACTATTTGGTCTCAAATGTAATTCTTATGGAACAAATGAGATTTTGATATCCATGCTCCATATATGTGCTTCTGACCTATTTTGTTTTGTTGACCAACACTCACCGTGCAAATTTATTCCTATTATCTCTGTAGGTTGTCTTTGTTCCAGATTATAATGTCAGTGCTGCTGAATTATTAATTCCTGCTAGTGAGCTTTCGCAGCATATCAGGTAATCAAGTTCATGTTTTGAAGTATCACAGACAATACCTGCACCTTGGTTCCTTGTTCTGTTCTAGTCTTGTTGCTCTTGCTTTGACTAGTAAAGTCCTCAGTAAACAATTTAAATTGCTACTACTTGGAATATAAAGTTAGTTTTTATTCAAATTCTCATAAAAATAGTAGATAAACTATCAACAATGCTTTTGATTTGGTTCAAGTGTATTTTGATGATTAATAGCAAACAAAGATGAGTTTTATTCACAGTGAATTCCTGCCGAATTCTGAAAGAGCACTGCACTTATTAGAAATTCTCCCTTAAACCCAAATTGGATGTTTGTTAGTAGTAGTATTCTTAACAATGCACGATTAACTTACCGTCCCCACCTGTCTACATATTCCTCAGTACTGCTGGGATGGAGGCTAGTGGAACCAGCAACATGAAGTTTGCAATGAATGGTTGCATTCTGATTGGAACCTTGGATGGTGCTAATGTGGAGATCAGGCAAGAAGTGGGACATGACAATTTTTTCCTTTTTGGTGCCCAAGCTCACGAGATAGCAGCACTCCGCAGAGAGAGGGCGGAAGGCAAGGTAGAGTTTGATTTTAACCACATTCCTCATCCTGCATTCAAAGATACTAGTTATTGTGTTTAAAGCTATGATTTTGTGCAATTTGCACCAAATTTATTCATAGAAACCTTCCCTTGAAAAATAACCACAAAACATTCTGCTTGGGCATTGTGCATTTGCAGTTTGTACCAGATGAACGTTTCGAAGAAGTTAAAGAATTTGTAAGAAGCGGTACTTTTGGGTCTTACAGCTATGATGAACTGATGGGATCTTTGGAAGGGAACGAAGGATTTGGGCGCGCAGACTATTTTCTTGTGGGCAAGGATTTCCCGAGTTACATTGAATGCCAACAGGAGGTTGATGAGGCCTATCGCGATCAACAGGTGAGATTGGTGGTTATGCAAGAATTATATATTTCAGCTGTGCATCCTTATTAAGAAACTATTCGACTCGCTCACATTCTTATTCATTCGGCAGAGATGGACAAAGATGTCGATTCTAAATACAGCCGGATCCTTTAAGTTCAGCAGCGACAGAACGATCCATGAATACGCAAAGGACATATGGAACATCCAACCTCTTCAAGTGATTTAGTGTTCTGTTCAACGAGAGAGGCAAGTATAATAATCCCAAATTGCCACCAGTGTGGAAGTTCATCAATAAATCATCTTTATAATTATGTTCTAATATACATTGGTACAATTATGTAATAAATAAACCAACCATACTGGATCACTGTTGGTGTTACTCCTCTCTTTGCAATCATAAATCCCTCCATAATAACATAGCTACACACCCCTCTCCCTAAAAATCAAATTTTAATTCTTTTTCAAAGTAGATCAGGGTTATATATAATTATTTGCATATATATGTCATATTGTTAGTGATTTTGGAACCGAAACTCTGAATCCAAAGATACATGTACACATCAGAAGTTTAGTTCATAGTATTCAAACATGATCTACAATTCGGTTTCAGCAAGTGTGTACCAGGAGGCCATGTTAAGTCGTTCACGAGGAGGCCGAAGCAACTCCACCGGATGATGCGATCTTCTTCACCATCAGCGCGTGTTTTTGGCCTGCAATGTGATAGTTATATACGGTGTCGCTGTTGCACACCACATTACAAATGCTGCACAAGCGAACACAATCAGCTGCAGCTCCTCCCTCCAAAACTTTTCTTCTCTTTGTCTCCAAGTCATCGCTTCGTGCAGCAGCCTTCTTCCGTGCTTTTTTAGACTTACTAGCTTTTGCCTTCTTTGGATTCTCTTCTGGTCCAATGATGACAGGGTTATTTGTTGGAGCTGAAGCAGAGTTGGGTAAAGCTGCTGAAGCAGATCCTGTGGCAAGAATGGCTGTTCCAGCAACAGGTGAAGCAGCTGCGACGGTCGGGGGTGCAGGCTCGGTGGCATTGGAAGCCAAAGTATCAGAATTCAGAGTAGAGACGGGTAAAGCTGCCGAAGAAGAATCCATGGCAAAAACCGTAGCTACAGAAACAGGCAAAGTAGCAGCATTCAGGGCAGAGACGGGTAAAGCTTCCGCAGAAGCCTCAATGGTAGGAACCATAGCTACAGAAACAGGCAAAGTAGCACGATTCAGAGCAGAGACGGGTAAAGCTGCCGGAGAAGCCTCCATGGCAGGAACCATAGCTCCAGAAACAGGCAAAGTAGCAGCATTCAGGGCAGAGACGGGTAAAGCTGCCGGAGAAGCCTCCATGGCAGGAACCATAGCTCCAGAAACAGGCAAAGTGGCTGTGACAGATACAGGAGCAGAATTACGAGTGGGCAAAGTAGTTGTGGCAGCAGCATTCAGGGTAGATGGTTCAATGGGTTGGGAAGTAACTGTAGTTTGGGAAGATAATGAGACAGTAGCAGGTGTGGAAGCCAGGCTGCCTGCAATGGCTGTTCGGGAAGTTACTTTGAAAGCAGGTGCAGATGCTACAACGCCAGCTCGTCTCAATTTTTCAAGATTCTTCTTGTGTTTCTTTCCCAATTTATGTTGATCAAGAACATCCTTGCTGTTACAATCAACCTTGCAGACTTCACATGTGGCAGACTCCACAGCCTTCACTTTCTTGTGTCCTTTTTTCTTGGTATTACTTCTTCCTTGAGGAGTCTGAACTGTGGGAGTGGGCGCCGCAACACCCTAGGGCCAAAATGAAACCAATTAACTTCTCCATCATATTTGTGAGGCTAATAATAACAATATACAGTGAGTATACTTCAAAAGTTAATGACAGTGATGACATATAACAGTGCAATGAAAGTAAGCAATATGGACATGTGATGACCATGTAATGTTTTGACATTCAAGAACTATACACTCATACTAAAACACAAAGGAGGTGGCACGTACAAACTAGATATCCCATTACAAAGAACAAGGAAATTGGAGCTCCTCAACATTTGGGGATGCCATAAGTGTAAAAACAATGGTGATCCCATTTTGATTTTCAATGGGATTCTTCTTCAGACAAAGAAGAATATGCAAACATTCAGTAGTCCCAGCCATTAAAATTCTTGGAAATTAACTCAGAATAGCTACAATTGGTTTTATTACTAGATCACAGCCTCAAGATCCATATGGCAGAATCCATATCAAGCACACCCAAATACCGACATTAACATCATAACAAATGCAAGTGTACTAAGAAACAAGGATCATACTGATATTAGAAAATGAAATCAGTGATCCATATAGTTTCTAGCAACAATTAATCCATTAAGTTGACCACTTGTCAAAATCATGTTCAATAACCACATCCAAACTTCTCCCAATTCATTTTGACCTAAAAATTTAAGGTAAAAATAAAGCTAACGTGACTCCATCTATCATCACCACTTAAGAACAAGAATCCAAATTACTCGCATTTCCAATCACTAACAAAAATTTCCAATAAAAAGAATCCTTACAGCGACAGGAGGTGCGGAGCCATACATTCTGACAGAAGCCGCCCACCTCGCCGCGTTTACGTCTGCTTCGGGATAGGTAGCCACCGCCGGTGCAATAGCACTCGGCTGAGGCACATAAGTGACGGTTGGCTCAACGTACGTCGCGTTTACCACCGGTGGCACAAACGGCGGCGGATCAACCCCCGGCGGCTGCGGCTGCGGAAGTGGCGGCGGCTGAGGCTGAAAATATCCGGCAGGAGGGGGATACATGTTAGGCAATTGGTAGGGATCGACAGCATTGAGATTGTGAAAAGTTCCGGCGGAGTATCCTGGGGCGTACGAATAATTGTAATTGGTATGAACAGTAGGGTTAGGGTTTTGAGGCGGCTGGGGCCATCCGGTGTGATCCATCGTCGAACGGAAATTTTGCCGTTACAACTCCATAGCCGAAACCAAAATGAAAATGAAATGAATCAATAATGTTCTAAAACTAAAATGTTCTGCAGACAGCAATCAGATTCAGATCAGATTGACGAACATAAACATAATGAACAATATTGGGCCATTTCGACCGTTTGCTTTTGGGCTTCTTCATTTCAACAAAAATAATACAAACCCAATTACATAAATTTAATTTATCATTAATATAAAATTCAATTCTACAACATAATAAAATCATAATCACTTTATATTATTTATTTTTTGTATTGTAGAACTTTGCTATTCTTAAAATGTACCATTAGATAAGTTTTTTAGTCGAAAGCAAATTATTAGTTGTAAAAAATGTGCTACGATCAAAAAATATGTCTATCAGTGCATGTAATGTAAAATTAGAAACACCAACCAAAGAATCCATTTTTAAACACTATGTATGTACGAATGTACCTAAGTATTTATCCCAAATGGCAAAATGAGGCAAGAATTTGCCCGTGATATACCCAATCTATGCATAAAATCACGAAAAATGATACAAATTTTCGAGCCAATATGTCTGAAAAAGTATCAAGAAACATCAAATATCTCATATTCAAGCTCTCCAATGGATTCAAGTTGTAAGTACCACCGCGGCCTCACGTTTGCCGTTCGCCCACCACAGACCATTGAGTCCCGCCTCCCTTTTCACATTGGCGCCTTCCTCGGCAGCCATTGCCGGATGGTTGAGATCAAGAAGATTACATACATCAGCAGAAACTTCTGATTCTTTATTCATTTTGCTTTCATTAAGTCCATTGTAGTGAGCCCTCTTGTGCCCGCCTAGCGCCTGACCCGATGTAAAAAGCTTGAAGCATACGGGGCACTCGTGCTCCTTGCTTTTGCTCGTTCCAGCTTTCTCCTGCTCGACCAGATTGCCCGTCAAGTCGAGCTTCGGATCATATCTAGCAGCAGAAAATCTCTTTCTTTTCGAATCATTGCAAGAGTCTAATAAGGCTTCGTCGCAGTTTCTTCCACGCTTCCTCGCGAAAACCTTCGACATTTTGTGATCACTACCTTCATTTCCTGAGCACATTCTTGAATCACTACCAAGATGATCAAATTGTGACACTTCCTTATTATCGAATGCATTTTCTGAATCCTTGCCTTTGTAGGATGAGTTTGCGCCGTAGTATTCAGAACCATCATCATCAGAAAACTCTTCACACTCCCCTCTCGACAGCATCATCAAGCACTTGGCAACCTCCTCCACATCCTCAAACGATGAACCAGCAGACGCAGAGGCATTGAAACCAGAGATTGAAAGATTTGGTGCATTGCTATATCTTATTCTAGATCTCTTACCTCGGACTGGGCATAGACCATCCAAGCCCAACGATAAGCTCTCCTCATTGCCATTGCCATCATCGTGAGGTTTCGATTTTGTCGAGTGGCTCTTCATGTGGCCATACATAGCTCTCACTGAATTGAAAGCCTTACCACATTTAGTACACTTGTGCACTTTCTTGTTCTTGATCGAATGGCTCCTCATGTGGCCGGAAAGAGCCCTCAATGAAGGGAAATCCTTGCTGCATTCTTTGCAAGAAGCTTTGATCTTCGAAACGGTGCCGTTTTGGGGATCAGAAATCCTCCAAGATTTCTTCGGATTCTCCCGCAAGCCATAGCTGCTGCTCTGATCTTCATCCCCAATTTCTTCTTCTTCTTCTTCATCACTGTTGGATTGATTCTTGATGCAGCTTTCTTGATCATCGTTCCCTTCTTCAAATTGAATCTCGCTCTCGGATTTCTCCTTTGAAATTAGGGCTGAATGAACCCTCATATGCCCTCCAAGTGACTTCCCACTGACGCAAATTTTGCTACATATCTTGCATACGTACCTCTGTTCTTGAACTTGCCCCATTTCTACAAAATCGAGAAAACAAAACAACAGAGGAAAATCAACAAACCTGAAGAGCAGTTCATCGCATTGAAAGCAGAAAGAGGAAGAACAATTGATTAATTTATTGAATGATTACTCCGGAAATCGGATCAACAAAACCCGAGCTTTGTAACTGCTGAAACGAAGAGGGTAGCAACAATCTCACCGCGGAGAAAAGCAAATTGTTGGGAGGATTAAAGGGAAGGACATCGCATCAGCAAGACACACACAAGATCTGGCAACGGAACTGAATTAAAAAAAGCTTGTGCTCTCACTTTTTCGACTCGTCGTTGTTACTCACTCACTCACTTGCCCAAATCAAATCTATCTATCTATATGTCTATTTGAATCTTTCTAATCTGATATTGGATCATCGGAAAGAAGGGAGGAACTAAGGAAGGAGGCCTTGCGTTTGCATTTGTATTTGCATGGAATGGAAGCAAAGGCATGATGATATGATATGATTGATGGTCAGGATCAGAGAAGATGAGTGAGTGTGTGTTCACTGGTGGGGACTCAACCGATTTTACTGATTTACAGAGATTTTTTGGAATTAATAATGAATTTGATTGGGTTGTGAAGTGGGTAAAGATCGATTTTTTAGTGATTCTGGTCTGCTGCTTAATTTTGGTGATTATTGCTAATATTTGCATTTTCTACAGTGTGATTGAAGGATGGACGTTTATTGAGGACTCCCGGGCTTGGTTCTCCGTGGGAAGTTAGTTACTCCGGGAGTTGAGATCCCGGGAGTAGATGAAAGTCGATTGTAAATTTCATTTTTATTTTATTAAATTATGGAGTTAGATGTAATTTTCATTTATTTTTGGATTTGCAAAATGGGCATCAAATCAGGACAATTAAAAAGTGTGCTATTGTGAGGGAGTAATGTTTTGTTACTATTTTATTTTAATATCACTGTAAAATGATTTTTTGGGAGGGTACGGTGTTGGTGCTGGTGTTTTTTTAATTAGCATAATATATATTGTATTAATTAAAATTGTGAACCTATAATTTTTTATAAAAAAAATATATAGATGTTGTATAAATACTACGAATTTTATTTTTCTAAAAAAAATCAATTATAATATATATTATTATTATTATATATTATCAGTTATGTATTATATTCACATTAATTGTTATTTGTTCTACCCTTAATCATTACCAGCCTAGACTTGCTGCTAATTTAAATTCCAATTCAACCAACTTCCAAAGTTGGGAAATCTAAAAATGGGATAGCCTACCTTCGCAAGAAATGTTTCCAAGTAGTGAAGGAATTAAATTCAAGACCAATATTTTATATACACAAAACAAAAAGAAATTCAAGCTTAACAGAAAAATTATAATCCAATAGCAATGTTTAATTAGATAAATTCTTGCAGTGTACATAATAACGTTTCACTCTCAAGCAAATCTTAGCAGCAGCCAAGAATAATAATAAAACCCTTAATATAAAAATTAGCAAAAGTAATGCCATCAATAATATAAAGGGAAATGTCAAAAGCTTATAGATAGACAGATAGATAGATAGATAGATAGGAAGCAACATGTGATGATTGATGATCCTTCAACTACCTACTACCAAGCTGCATTGCAATGTATAAAAAATAATGATGAATTGAAAACTATGGATAAGAAGAATATAACCCTGACTGCCTGTTTTATAGCTATGAAGGCAGGCGCTGTTTTGGGAGGGATCGATAGGTGCTTGATCAAAACTCAACTGTTGCGCAGTCATGCAACAACAGCGGGCATGTCCTTGAGCCAGGCATCGAGTGGCTTGCCAATTGAGAAGACAACGAAGCCGATTTCCCTGAGCTTATTTGCATCCAGGATGTTTCTGCCATCGAATATAAAGGCTGGTTTCTGCATGTTGTCGTATATCCTCTGGAAGTCGAGCTTCTTGAATTCCTCCCACTCAGTGAGGACGCAGACAGCATGTGCATCTTTTGTTGCCTCATAAGCATCCCATACTGTGTGGACTTTCTTCACTGTGTTAGGGCTCATTGGTTGGAGATGAAGGGGATGATCCCAATCGAATTGGTTCATAGATAAATCTCTTTGGATCTGCTCTTCCGAGACTTGAGGATCGTAAATGCTCAACTGTGCTTTGTCCCCTAGAAGCCCCTTGCAGACATCAATCGCAGGAGTCTCCCTGGTGTCACCGGTGTCTTTCTTGAAGGCGAAACCAAGGATGGCAACTTTCTTGTTGGCAACTGTGTTGAACATGGATGAAACAATCCGGTTGACGAAACGACTCTTCTGATAGTCATTAATCTTGATGACTTGCTTCCAGTACTCTGCAACTTCAGGAAGACCATTGCACTCACAAATGTAAATCAAGTTCAGAATATCCTTCTGGAAGCACGAACCTCCAAAGCCGACACTAGCATTGAGGAACTTGGGACCAATTCTTGAGTCCTTTCCAACAGCATATGACACTTGGGTAATATCTGCTCCAGTGGCCTCACAGAGAGCAGACATGGCATTGACCGATGAGATTCTTTGAGCTAAGAATGCATTAGCAGCAAGCTTTGAGAGCTCTGCAGACCATAAATTAGTGGTAATGATGCGATCTTCAGGAACCCATTGGGCATAAACTTTTTTCAATGCTTCAATTGCCTTGAGGCCATCAGGGGTTTCCCTCCCACCAATGAGAACTCTGTCTGGTTGTAGAAGATCCTGAATTGCAGTACCCTCGGCTAGGAATTCAGGGTTTGAGAGGATCTGGTACTTTATTCCCTTGCTGTTATGGGATAAAATTTTTTCAATGGCCTCAGCTGTTTTGACGGGAACTGTAGACTTCTCAACTACAATCTTATCTGACTTTGATACATCAGCAATCATTCGGGCTGCACTCTCCCAATATGTCAAATCTGCAGCTTTGCCTGCTCCGAGACCCCGAGTCTTAGTAGGAGTATTGACTGACACAAACACTATATCAGCCTCAGAGACATGCTTCTCCACATCTGTGCTAAAGAAGAGGTTTTTGCCTCGGCACTGCTTCACCACCTCATCAAGCCCTGGCTCATAGATGGGAAGCTGATCACTGTTCCAGGCAGTGATTCGAGGAACGGAGATATCAACAACGGCCACTTCAATCGAGGGGCACTTGAGTGCTATCATGGCCATGGTAGGGCCACCCACATACCCCGCTCCAATACAGCAAATCTTCACCATGTTTCCCTTCTGTCAGTACCCTGAAGAATAAATTTTTAAAAAAAAAACCAAAGAAGTGCAGGTGCAATTCTCAGATTAAATCATGTATATAACACAGGGATCACCTATTAACTTTATGCATAAAAAACAGCATATAGAAAACCACATGATAAATACTCAGAACATGCTTGCAATTATTCACGCAGAAATAGCTCATCAGATATTTGGATGTACCTGTCTTCTCTCAACATTCATTATCGTTGATTCTGTTTAAATTAACTAGAATTCAAGGAGCAAAAGGATATTGAAGATCATGCCTACCTACCTACAACGGCAATTACCTAGCTAACTTGCATCATAACAAACAAACAAAACCTAATAATCAAAATGGATGAGGAAGAAGAAGAACTCTAACAATCAGATCTAATGCGGGGTGACCCACCTGAGGAGTACTGCACGACTTATTTTCAAGTATATATGCATGTAATTAATTCCAGATAAAAAGACATAAGTTGAAGAGCCTCATAAAATACAACATCATCAGATCCATAGAATAACCGAGCCGACTTGCATGCTGTAGCTCTAAAAACCATCGGCGATTTAGAGCCAAAGAATAAACTGTTTGGAATTCAAATCAACTCATGGAATCCAAGAAAATCATTAATATAATTTAACCCGCGGTAACTAAATCACTAACACGAGAGCAAATTACTCACCAAAACTAAAAAGGCTTAACACAGAAATCGCATAACTTACCGATAACTCCATCTTGGATTGAAAACAAGGCACACATTTTGAAAACAAAAAAATAAATCACATAAAAATTCACATATACCCTCCGAAGAATTACATCACACAATTACGAGCTCACACAGCGAATGCATAAATCCACATCTCCAAACGCACATAGGCTGCTCGTATGCTTGCAAGTTGCAACAAAAACTAAAACGATTCCAAATAAGAAAGAAGACGAAATGTTCAAGCGAATAACAATCAATTTACCTCCGATCACGCGGTTGGCTTCTTCCGGTAGGAGAGAAACCCGTGAAACGAAAACCTCCTGAAAGTCCATAGAGCGGGCAGAAATTTATATGCCCACTTTCAACGCATATTCAGTGAAAAGACGGTAATGCCCTCGGACGCGCTCGCTGGTTTTCGACTTCTCATAGAGCGACAAGTGTTGAAGTGGGCGGTACAGCGTGTTTGAACTGTAAAGTACCTATTTTGCCCACGAACGGACTCGAGGGTTGTACACACTGCTTATATGATGGTACGCAAACGCGCCTGTCGGTTGCTTTGCAATATCTTTGTGGTTGATTATTCCTCGTCGTGGTCGTGGTTGTTTGTGCAGGACACGTAGTACCTAACATTCTAAATAATTTGTGAAAATTTTATGATAATAATAACAATAATAATTTGAGGATTTAATGATAAGGAAAGTGATGCCTGGAAAACAAATAAAGTGATTGGTGGCTTTAAGAATGAAAAAGGTGAAGGTTGTTTTTTTGAGTGCAACTGAAGACACGGACATAGGCTGACAGACAACAATGGCGTTACAGTTAAGGGTTCAACAAACAAATACATGCATTTTTTCCATTTAAAATTGTTGACGCCTCACGTCAATCAGCAAACTGATTCTAATTAATAAAATATTTTATTTCCATCATTTTGCCCAAATATAATTAGCCTTTAGTTATACACACATCATTGAAACATGAAAACTGAACCACTTGGTGAAGGTAAACCAATCTCTTGTTTGGTATTTTGGTTTGTAATAATGAAAATAGATTCCTGCAATGCAGTATTATTGTGATGACAGTAATATTCTCATAGTTAAATCGGTCAACAAAGACCAATTTAGAAGCTTTCAAACTTATTTTTACCTGTAATGAATCCCAGATAAAACTAGAACAATATCTTTGTACTAAAGACACCACACATTCATCACGGTCATACATTTGAGTGTAATTATCATAGTGTTCAAAATATAGAGGGAAAGGAGAATCACTTGTCACAAGGATACATCTAATTTAAAACCCAACATAAATGCCAAACAGCTAGAGTCAAAACATCAAACATTTTCATCCAAAACTTGTTCAATGATTTCTGAATTTCAATGTGGACATGGGAAAAAGCTAAAATATATCAATCTATGGTGTGACAACGACAATCCTTCCAGCAACTTGGTCCAGATCACGCTGGCCGCTGGATGTGATTCTCCGTCCACTGCAAGAAAACAATACATAGTTGTAATTGCCAATGAATCAAAAAAGAAATTTCAAATGGGGCTAGGTTCATAATAATTGCTTCAGTAATTAGGTCAATAACGGACAGATAAAGAACCCATCCTCCGACATGTAAAGGTAAATTCAACCTACTTTTACCAGCCTGTTTCTTGATCAGAGTACGATGGATGGCGCAAGCCTTGAAAAAGCAAGCATTCATGGTAATACAATATATATAGGTGAAATATTGTGAACTCACCCCCTTGGATCTATCTCAACAATGTTCATCTCCTGCAACTGTTGCAAAATGTGACGAGCAACAGCCCCACTGCTTTTTCCAAAGTGAGGTGGGCGGCTTCCATTCCTCTTGCTTCCACCATAAATCCTCCTGAAACCACCAACTCCAAGACCGCCCCTCAAATATATCTTCCTAGCCATGGAAGCTGCAGACACAGAAAAATATACACAGGCTTAAGTGAGAAAACACAAATATGAGAAGGCCCAAAATGAATCAATACAGAAAAGTAAATTAGTCCAAGCATGATATGACAACAGAAGATTGGTCATGCCAGATAATGAACAATACAAAGGAGAATTAGATTATTACCAGCCCTGATGTAGTACCAATCAGGGTCATATGGAGCTAATTCTTTCAACACGCCTGTTTTCACAATATCAGTCCACTCTGGAAGCTCCATCTGTATCGAAAATTCAAAAGAAAGCATTAATGATGGTCAAGACACATGGATTTCTGAATCAACATTCCATGTTCTGGCTAAAAGCATATTACAAAGTGGAAATAAAGCGTAGTTATTTGATTAACCTGGAAATTTGTCAGCATAAATGATGAATATACACATGAATATATCAAGAGGACCTCTTGGTCAGATTGAATAAACTAGGACAATTTTCTAGAAAGAACAAAGATATATTTACACGAACTAACTTACCCATTATCTCATAACCAAATAATGAAGTGTCAAACCCCTACACCACCATATTCGATTTGCTGGTCTATGTTGATTTAAGAAACTACATTATATAACAACCATAACAATTCAGTAAAAACAAAACAAAGCTACCTACTTTTAACATCCCGTGACCTCAATACACCAAAAAAATAGGAACGACAATGGAAAAACCAAAAACAAATAAATCATTCCTAAGAACTTCCAATGCACCTTAACACTTTAGTACGCAATATTCTACAAGCAAACATACATGATTGGCAGAGAAAACTAGTAAAAGCCAGCAGCATATTTATTTTTACCTTTCCCGAGCGCTTGAGGTGAGCGGCGTAGGATTTGACGAACTCGTGAGGAGAGACGTCCTTGACGTTCTTCGCAGTCGCCATCGTCTTGAATCACGCACAGGCTGCGCAGTAAACCACCTGCCCGAAGGATGGAAGTCGCGAATCAGCAGCGTCCGGCGCTAGGGTTTTCACAGTTCGGCTTATTGGGAATATTATATATAGCAATAGTAGGCCCGTGTTTCTGCGGGCCGTGTTTTATGACCCATATATCATAGGCTGCCTCAATCACTCAAACGGGTCAGACCGACGCAAACCGTACAATCCCATCTAAGAACAAACTCAAATACCCAACCCGGATCCAAATAATATATGTATTCAAAGATACCATAAAATTTATTCAAAAATTAATAAATAAAAAAAAAAGAGTAATAGAATAAATAACAAATATAATATTAATTTTGTAAATAATTATTAAATAAAATTAATAAATTATTGTTTGATAAAACTATTTATTATAAATATATTATTTAGTATTTTATTAGTTAGTGAAAATTGTAAGAGTTTTTGATATTTTTGTCTTTTAAATTTATATATAAAAGAATTATATATATAGTGGTATATTTATAATTTAAATAAAAAATAAGAATATTTTAACATTAATGTAAAAATTCTTTAAAACGAGATGGACAATAATTCTAAAAAATAATATTTCCAATTAAAAACAAAAAATATAATATCATAATTTATTACATATAGATAGAATATCATTAAGCAATTTACAAAATTAAGATTCATAATGGAGGCTCACCTAAATAAATAAATATTTCTTTTTTACTGTTATAAGTTAATCGGTGATGTTATTATAACAAATTTATTTATTTTATATCATATTAAATAATTAATTTAATTTTAAAATAAAAAAATAATGTATATGTTTTTAAAATAAAATAAACGACACTTTTTTTACAATTATTCTTATTTTGTTACTTTACACTAAAAAGTAAGATATAATATTTTAATTTATTAATTATAATTAAAATATTACTTCATCCGTCGCAATTAATTTGTCTACTATTTATATTTTCGTTAGTGCACATAATTTTTTTAAAATACAATTATAAACTTTAATCTCATTTTAAAATTTAAAATTTAATTTTCTTTAATTAAATTATTTAGTCATTTTAATCTTTATCAAAAATTAATTTTATTTAATTATAATTTTTTTTAGGATAAACTGTTTTTTAGTCTCGTAAGTGGAGCCTGTCGCAAATTAGTCTCATAAGTGAAATTTTTTTGCTGTTTTAGTCATCCGACGCCGGAGACGTCCGCATGGCTCCCGCGACGTGTCCTCCAAGTGTCCCGCCAGGTCAGCGACACCTGGCGGACACGTGGATTTATTTATTTTTTTTCAATTTTTTTTATTTTTTAAAAATTAAATCAAATTAAAAAATTAAAAATATATAAATAAAATTAAAAATAATTTTTTTAAAAAAATTAAAAAATAAAAAAATAATAATAAAAATCCATGTGTCCGCTAGGTTAGTATGAAGTATCGCTGATCTGGCGGACACGTCACCTCCGGCGAGTCACGCGGGCGTCTCCGGCGTCGGAGGATTAAAATAGCAAAATTTTTTCACTTATAGGACTAGTTTCCAACATGCTCCACTTACAAGACTAAAATAACAACGAGTCCAGTTACGATACTAAAAAACAATTTATTTTATTTTTATTAATATAATTTTTAATTATTTACTAATTACAATATACCTAAAAATATATACTTAATCGAGGTGGACAAATTAGCCTGACGGGAGTAGGGAGATTATAATCTTATATAGTATGAGTTATTTTCCAATCTCCATACCCGATAACAAATATGATACTAAAATGAATTTTGTTCAACAACTTAATTACAGTTACCAAATATAAAAAAATATTTCTTTATTATTTTTTCGTAACAAAATTATTATTATATATATTTTTAATTCGAAAAATCTATATATTGACTATACATATATATTATGTCATAATACATAAATCTGTGGTACAGTTGAGCATCAGCAATCCAAGAACACAACCGTGTACCTGGGTCTAGGGTTTTCAATTCTGCTTCATTCCCCGTTTCGTGTTTGTCCGGTAACCATTTTCGCTTTGTTCTGCTTCAATCTGTGGAATTTCGAACATTCGTGCTGAATGTACGGTCTATCTCAAGTTAACAATGGACAAGGTTTAGTTCTGAAGAACAATTACCATAGGATAAATGTTGTGAACACATACTCTGTAAGATTAAGGATTGCTCAAAATCCAAAACAAGAGAGGATTGATAGGTGTTTCTAATTTCCTGCTCTTCAAATATTAGTGCCCACGCTTTGTTTTGAGTTGTACTTATTTGAGTTTTCTGCATTTGTGCCTGTTCTCCCAAAATTGGAGATGGTTTGGTTCTTTGGTTTCAAGTTTCCATCTTTCATTTTATGTTGGAGAGGCTTATTTGATTTGATTTGATATTTTAATGCTCATTAAACGACTAAATGTTTTGTTTAATTGTTGCCGCAGATGGCGAGCTTAACAGGAGAGCTACACTCTACTGAGAGTAGGCTTTCTACTTCAAGATTCGTGATATAGTAGATCGATGTGTGGAATCATTTTGTTGTTTTATTTTATTTATTTTTTTTCTAATCATTGAATCTGATGATTCTTCAGTGCAAAAGGGGACTGCAGCCAGAGGTTTTGAAGTTTTTGTTGGTGGATTACCTCGAAGCATCACCGAAGGAAAGATTCACGAGGTCTGAGTATATTTATTTCAAAAGATATTTTGATCATGCACGTGCTAGGCTGATTAGTGAATAGTGAAGCATACTTGAATGTGATTGTTAAAAGCAATAAAGAATATCTTAAACTTTTCACTGAATATTTATGCTACTTATCTATTGTAATAAACTTCAGCATTTGAACTATATTTTAATGAGTTTCCTCTGGAAAACCTGTGTATTTTCAGGTGTTCTTCCCATGTGGTGATATATTGGAAATACGAATGATAAAGGATCCGAAGGGCAATCTGAAGGTCTGCTCATATGTTAACTCATTTTATAATTGGTTGATGGTGCTTTCTAGTGCTTCCCTTTTAATCAGCCAAATAAAGGACAAGTAGGCATGAGGACAGAGCATGGTTCCATATTCTTACTGTACCTCTTTTTATATTCTATGATAGGGATTTTGCTTTGTCCGGTTTGCAACGAAAGAAGCTGCAGTCAAAGCTGTGACAGAAAAATCTGGTGTTATGGTGAGAAACATAACTGGAGCTCCATTTTTATGGTTAAATAATTACTTTTTTCACTAGAATGATCCTTGACTAATTAGTTAAGCTGGATTTGTTCAACTTGATCTGCAACATTTTAGGTTGCATTAACTTCTAACTTAACTTAACTTAACTTGTAAGTTTCCATAAACCTTTTGTTTTACTAACTTAACTTAAACCAAGCTTTTTAGACAAGTCAATACCTTCGTAACCATGCTCTACCTTCAGCTCAATGTTTCACGTGGCGGAAATGTAATTAATACTACGTACTGTATCTTCTAGATCTTTCAAGTTCATCATCATGACATTTGTCTATTACTAGATATGGGATACCAGAACTCTTAACATTACATTATTGTTTGATGTTTTTTTACTCTTCTGTAAATTACCATTAAACCATCAAAGCTCTTAGCCTCAGCCCTTCTTGACACGTAGCATGTTTTTATTTTTATTTTATGGGTATTTATACTCAGAGTCTAATTTTTCATTAATTAAGTTCCTTATTGGACTTTTAAGTTTTATGCATCAATGGCCTTGTACCCATAAGAAACTAGTTTCTTCTTTTTTCACACTAATCCTATGCATTTTCCTCTCTTAAGATTTTTGTTTGTTGGCCTTTAATATGAGCATTTTCACCACTTCATGCTCATCAAACTTATTTCTACCCAGGTTTTTGGAATGGTTAGTTTTGAACTTTTAGGTTCTTTCATTTTGATTAAAGGTATTAATATATTCCTGATCTTAATTATGCAAGATTTATTATTGTATTGTTCATTATTCTTGATTGATTAATAATATCTCACACAAGCAAGGAAGACGATTTGGGTCAAAAGAGATCCATTTAATACTGGCATACTGGAATTATTATCCATCTTTAATATACATTCCAAATTCCAGCCTGATCTTTGGCCACCCGGTGTTTTAGGGGACATCAATGATTTTGCTATAGCTGAGAGATATAGTTATTTCTATTTAGAGATTTGAATTGTCTTTGTTATCAATTAGTGATTTGATTGCGATATGTAAAATAACCTACTCAGGATAATATTTATATGGAATGCCTTGTTACCTACCCTACACCCATGCTATTGTAATCATAATTAACATCTTATAAATTTATGGGGTTTTTTATATATTCACTCTCATGTTTTGGGTTTCTATATCTAGATGCACAGTTCTGTGCATCTTTCCGCCCAAGATTGTGTTACACTTTGTTTATTAATATAAATCTTCTTTTTTGTCATGTCTATTGTGAAATTGTAATTCTTGTAATTTTTTTGTATCACCAACTTTCCATTTTTCAGATTGATGGAAAGAAAATTGGTGTTCTTCCATCAAGCGAACAGGATACTCTGTACTTTGGAAATCTTAACAAAGGTTCGTTTTCATTGTTCTAATCATTTTGCAACCAGTCTAATCATGTGTCTTTGAACTTTAACTTTTATGCTAATCTTTCACAAGTTGGATTTTAAATATGTAACTAAGCATGTTATTTGATGGCTCACTTATTCTGAAATATATCACAGATATAATGTCTCCCAAAGTCATGTAAGTCTGGCATACCCTTTTCTTTATTATAATCTGAAAAATTATCTTTGTCAGCAATAGTATCTCCTAAAAGTCTCACATCGGTGGTCCCTTGTTAACTTATACGTATATCAAACAAACCTTTTCTTGAGACTAGTTTTCTCTGGGAAGATCTCACCTTTCAATTGCAGTACAAATTATTCTGTTCTGGAAGTTGTGCATATGCAGCAACATATATAATTCTATGAGATGCATGCTAATGAACTCCACTAGTCTCACTGTTTTTTGCTAATTCTATCTACTTGCAATGGTGCATTGCATTTTTTATTTTTACCAAAAATATGATTATACTGCATAGTTTGATGCCAATGAGATTGAGTATTGGAATATATCACTGTCAAAATTTGTATCTCTATAATCTTGTATTTAGGCTTGGATTTGCAGTTTTTCTTCCTCCTCTCTCACATTTTACCCATGTATCGTGAGTAATTTGCTCAAATTATTATATGCAATGTGCATGGCTGATTTCTATAATCCTATGTCCCAGCTTGGACTGTTGATGATTTTGAGAGAATGGTGCTCCAGGTATTTTCGTTATCCTGAAACTGTTCCTCAACATATTCTGATAAGGTTCAATTGCTAAAATGCCTCCTCTCTGTTGCCTCCACCCCTCCTGCTTTAGGTTTTCCCCGATGTTGAATCTGTTGATCTCGCAATGCTTAAAGATATATCATCAAATCAAAAGCATCGGAATCGCGGTTTTGCTTTTGTGAAATTCTCATCTCATGCTGTAAGTTCTGTTTGCATTGTCTATTTATTCTTATAGTTAAAACCTTTTAGCATTTTCCTTCAGTCTGTAGTGTAAATTTAAGTTGACTTTCTCGTTGCATCTGAAATCGTACAGGATAAAAGATCAGGTCCGTGGTTTTGATTCTCAGTCCAGGATCACTTATGAATCCCTTTGTTACTAGTAATCATAACTGATAGAAAATAATCTTAAGAATATATTTAAAAATTAGGGTCCCAACACCAACTTTACACCAACAAAAAATTTAAAAGCTCATATAGATTGTGAAACTAGAAATCTAGAGTCTAGACTGCCAGTAAAAGATGTTTTTTTAATATATCCCCCCACAAATTGTGCCTACTGAATCTTAAAAGTTAAAAACTGGTTTGGGCTCAAAATACCTGAATTTCCATCTTAAACTTATTGTGCAACTATCTGATCTCAACAATTTTTAATATGCTAGAATTATGATCAATGATTAAATTAACACCTTGAGCTCAAGTTTTTAATTGGTGAAGAATTGCAAAATGAAATATCTGTTTCTAGTTTCCCTCTCACTGTTCCCATGAACTGTTATGATGCATTCACTATGAATGAGTTTCTAAGCAGGTCAATTTAATATTTATTGGTTTATCTTCTTATACCAGTAATAAGTAATTACCCCTGTTTTCCTATCCTCTATATCATCTTATCTTGTCTCAAAGTAAACTTTATTACCACTGTGCTTATCTTTTTGGCCTCCTCCATGAATCACTGGAAGGACTTAAGACAGCATGCCCTGAACTTACCGATAAGATCAATATGTAGCCCATGTGTCATTACTTTCATTGTTGTAAATGGTGCAAGGCCTCTGCCATGCAATTGTGCATGGCACGTTGTGCACTATTAGGTTAATATATATAATTAATATACACATATAGACATGTGTTATAACACATTTCAACATATTAAAATAATCATTTAAGAATCTCTGTTGAGTGTTGAAAATAACTTGAATATTCAAAACTCTCAATGGTCTTGACTTTAAACTTAAGAAATAGGCACATTTCAAAACATAAAAACTATAATCATCAAAGTTTATATAATCATCGTTCTCATCATCTAGTCAGTAACATAACAGTAAATGAAACAAAGCATATGTTACTGTTTACAAATATCTAACAACCTAAAAGATTAATTTTAACAGAAGGCTTCCCTGCCTTACCTGTGAGAGAGGAGAGAGTGTAAGAGCCAGAGGCAGAGGCAATGAGAGAGTTAGAAAGTAAAACAGAAGAAGTACAAGATTAGAAAATCAGCCCATCCTTTTTTATTTTAATAAAACAAAACAGTCTTAATTCCCTAATAAATATCAATAAAATAGTGGTGCACTATTAGGCACGTGTGCCATAGGAAATGGCTATGACCTGGTGCACCATTTACAACTGGGATGTCATTGATATACTTCAATTTTTGCCTCCATTGAACATTTTTTCCCCCTTTTGGGAACAACTAGTTGATGACTTCTTTGTGCAAAAAGATCTATATGCATTTGAAACAACCTTTCTCTGTAAATGAAATATAGCCACAAATTTCTGGTTGGTTTTATTTGAAGATAATGGAGCTAAATAGCACCATAAAATAATTTATCTTCTCACAAATTGCTGTGTGTGTCTGGACAGATGATACAAATTACCGCCTGCAACTACTTGAAAATTTTCTTCATTGAATATGGTCATCATACCTGTCTCAATCATTTTACGGAATTTTAGAGTTTCTTATTCAGTATATTATCAAGAAACTCCCAATCATTATGCTTAGCTTTTTTCGATAACTCAAAGATTTGATACAACAAAACGTGTTTTTTTTCTCCTCTAGAACATTAATCACATTCCTCATCAGTTTCACAAGACAGCCCTTTTCAATTCAAACGTAAAGCAACAAGTATGGACGTTTTAGCCAAACAAAGTTCGAAATTATGAAAATTACACAACCATATATACCCCAATAATATTTGAATTTTTTAATTGTTAAAGGCTGTGGTAAAGTTTGTTAAACTTGCACATTCTTGTAATGCCGATGTCTGGATCCTTGTTCCCATCCAGCATCTATAGTGAATTTGGCATCCTTGTTAGTTTCATTCTCCCACTATGGTTCCATTGGAGGATTTAGCAATTGAGTTTCAGATACCTGCAAACATAATATCTTAACATATCGATTTTTTACTTAATGAAAAATAATTGCCTCTGCAAAATAATAACTATAAACAAATTGGCCTGCATCTCTGGCTATCTCCTGCAAAACTTTAAATAAGAAATCTTTCACCAGATCTATAATTTCTACTTCTGATGCAGAGGCTAATAAAAATACAAAACTGAACCCTTTGTAATAGAAAATTGAACCTGCCTACAAAATTCTCAATCACAGGCTGCCGCACGTGCTCTACGGGTGGGGTCTCAACCAGAATTTCGTCTAGGGAATTTGCACCCATCTGTTCAGTGGGCAGAACATGATCCTGAGACTGATCCACGGGAACATGCTAAGGTCCATATTATTAACAGCTTTCAAATCATATTCATAATATATGTTGAGGAATATGACTCTCTTTACTTGTTCTATTTACTCTCAGGTTAAAATAGCATTTGTGAGAAACCTGCCCGTTGATGCAGATGAGAATTACTTGAAGCAATTTTTTGAGCCTTTTGGCAAGGTCGTCTATATATTGTGTCTGATTTGACCTTTCTTTTTTGTGATATATACTATGTGAGTTTTTTATGCTATTGTCCTATTCCAGGTGGAGAAAGTTGTTGTGTCTAAGAAAAGTGCCCATCCTGTTGGGTTTGTTCACTTCTCTGAGAGATCAGTAAGTTAATGCTGTATGCATATTCAGAATCAATTTTTCTGTAATCTATATATGACCAAAATCTATTATATGCAATGCGCATCAGACAGTATGAGTTTTAATTATTCCTTTTACTGTTGTTTGACTGAAGCCATAGTCAAAGCATCAAGCTTATTGCTTTATATATTGTTTTTGTGTGGTGCATTTATATTTTAATCTCTATCTGAACTTGAGTTAGATCTTTTATTAGGTTTTGCTGATTATTGTTTTTATCTTTATCATTTTGTGTTGACACGTTCACTACTTTCTTCCTTCTGTGCTTTTGATCTTGCATAGGATCTTGAAAAAGCTGTCAGGGAATTGAATGAAAAAAAAGTTCGAGGGCCTAACGGTGGTCAAATGCTTAAATTAGAGGTAGTCAATGCTGCAACAGAAGTTTTAGTTGCATCTTGATAAGTGAAAGTTTCTTCTGTTCCATGGTGTAGTTCGTCTGTGGTGAATATAGTGGGACACAATTTATTTTGACAAGAAGCTCTGAGATAACTTATTATCTTGTACGATCTCTTGTATATAGGTTGAAATTGCCAAACCTATGGACAAAAACAAGAAGCGAGGTCGTGATAATTCAGAAAGTAAATCTTCTGTTCAGAGTCATTCCAAGCATTTAAAGGAGGGATCTGGTGTTGCTTTGTCCAGAAATGAAGATTCTCATCTCCCAAGGGTAAACACTTCTCTTTTTCACTTCTTTTGTAAATCAGATTAATTTGTTTCACTGAATCGGTGAGTGTGTTTCAATTTTACCAATAAATGTTAGATTACTGGACTCCATATGAGCATTATACCATATCCTTGTTCTTAATTGGTTTGAAAGGAGCGAAGGTTGTTTAACTAGAGCAACTACAATAGGAAATGAAACAGTAAGGTTGGAAGCCAAATTGACAAGCCTTGGCTATTATGTAAAAGTTTGTATTAATTCGAAATTTTAAAATTTCTACCAGTTTCAATTTCAAGATATAAGGAATGCTTTCATTGAATTTAGGTATGGAAGGTTGCGTTAGCATTCAAATTAATTTTTTTTTTACATATGCTGATATTATGATTCTGTAAGTATAATGCACCCATAGCTAGAATGTTATTGCACAAGTAGATTTAAGATGGAAGTATTTTAAGAGGGATCTGTGATGACCAATGATTTTGAAAGTCAAAAGGGGAGTTGGTTATTTTTAATGATATTAGGTATGGCAATTTAGTATCGTACTTCTTTGAGTAATTTTTATTAATCTTACATGTGTTTGTTGTCTTGTAGGAACTGGAACCAGCTGATCCTTATGAGGATGTTGTTATGTCATTGCCATTAGGCGTTAAAGAGCGCTTACTTCATATTCTACGGCTTGGGATTGCTAATCGATATGATGTACTTCCTGACTTTGAAGTTGTCTTATTCCTTCTATTAAGCTTCAACAATATAAATTTTTAACTGATGACCCGATACTGCCTGTAAATGTGAATTTTCAGTTATTGCAGTCACCTTTGGCCTTCTTTTCTCCTATGAGTATATACTCAGATTAGCACTCCATGCTATTTTGCCTTTTATTTGCATAGCATCTTATTGTGTTTAAAAAGGCTTAAACTCCTCTATTTAGTTATATACTTAATAACTTGCACATTGCACAGTTTTCACCATCTCGGTTCATTTGTAAGTATCAAAATCTGGTTTGGCGGATAAAGCCTATTTGTGACATTGGATAGGCATTTTAGAAACTGCACTCTCAATGTGACACCTTCATGGTTGTATAAATCTGCCAATTTAACAATCGTTATGTTTACGAAACCATCAAGTTTGATAACTCTGTTCTGGTTTACTCACAGCTTGACGTAAGAAACCTGCAGAGTTTGAAGGAATTGCCGGAGCATATTTCTATTTCAATCCTGGAGCAGGTCTGTTAGTATTAGCATATGCATTAGCTTGAAAGAAAATAATAGTCCCTTTTCATCCAAATTTGTTCATGTTCACTTCGTAAAATACAAAGGAATGAGAACAGAATTTAGCGACGGAGGTAGTACTAAATTGTGATAGCTTAGTTGCGATTTTTTCATTAGTCTAATACTTGCCATGATTTTGCTCTGTAGTTCATGGAATCTGGAGCTGCTTTACCTGACAAAGGAACATATCTGTCTGGACTGATTGCAAGAGTACGTATCTTATGATCTTTGTATCTATTCTGCTGTGCAACTTTTATTGAGTTTCACAACTGCCATTTTCCGTTAAAACAAATTTCACTCGACGTTGCAGCAAGTTGATAGATTGAGATTGGATCGGAATTTGGGTGGTGGTTTGCCGGTACCTGTGGATACTACTCATAGTGAAGCTAGGCACTACAGCTTCTCGCGCCAAGTATCTCCCCCTCCCATCAGTTCTTTTAGTTCTCGCACGCATTCGACCATGCCTAGGTTTGTTTGTTTTTTCTCATTTATGATGTGAAATTGCAGAAGCTTATTTGTTATCTATCGAATGGTTATGGTGTCACAACCATATCTTGATCTTAGAATCATAAACCTATGTCTTAAGAATTGATAATATATGCATCTGAGGTTTCAATGATGTGATATCAATCTTGCAGGCCTGACAATTACATGCCGAGCTATTCGCCACCACCTCTTCCTCTCCCAGATTATCCAGTGCCCGGTCGATCCCTTCCTGCAAGAATTGATGACAAAGGTTCTGATTATCTTTTACCACATCGGCCCGTCCATGGATCCCAAAGCGTCTCAATTCCAAGAATGGGGATGCTGGATGAAAGAAGCCGGTCTCCCTACGAGCCGCCACTAGGCGCATCTGTATCTTACGGAAGAACTGGTTTAAGAACTGAAGAACGGCGTCTATCACCAGTTCTAAAAGCGCCTGCTGCACCAGCATCTTATGATAGGGCTGTGGCCAGCCATCAAACCCGGCGTTCTCAATTAAGGTTCGATCCTTTCACCGGTGAGCCCTACAAATTCGATCCTTTCACTGGGGAGCCAATTCTCCCCGAGCATACACTCCGCCGGTACTGATCATCTGAACAGATTTTGTTGTGAATCCGAATAGCAACTTCTCTCATTCCCAAACTGATTTATTCACTGATTTAGTTACTTCTGGTCTTTCCAGCAAACAAAAGCTTTTGACAGCTTAGAGTTATTAGTGCACTGTTGTGCTTTGAAGACATTTTTCTTCATAAAGATAATCTTATGATACATGTTGAAAGCATTGATAGTATTTGATTATATTATTTTTAGACTACAATGTGAAATTTTATATGTGTAGGATTCTAATATACGTGACAAAATATACCATAGAGGCATTGAAAATTTGAAATCCAACAAATATAGTATATATTATTACACAGAAGTTGCACAATTTATTTAGAGGAGAACGATGAGAGCATGCCCAGTTATTCTAGGTGAAAGAACAGAATATACATCTAACTCTAAAACAGGTGAAGTTTTTGGTCTCAAGGATTACAAAAGTTAACCTGAATTTGTGTTATGCCAATGTTTGGTTCATTTCCAATCAAGCATGTCGAGGAGCCACAAAACTTGATCCCTTGAGGTTGCAGCATCACAGAAATCTAGTTCGATCCCAAACACATCGATGACCCCTTCGTTGCCATGGTCCATGAAAAGCAATGAGATCCAAGCTCTTATGCCGGACACAAAAGGATGTGCGGGAGAGAAGTCGAGGTAGTCAAATGCCAGTGCACGGTACGTGGATCGATCTATGTAATCGAAGACAGATTTGTTGATGATGCGAGCTACTTTATTGGAATCCTTTCGACCCACAAGCACAGAAACGCTGACTGTCTGACCCACTGGAATATTAAACCTCGATTCCACAGGCAGCGTCATTTTGTAATCGGGACTGTCCAAGTGGAACCTAAGAGCGTCGCAGATTCCAGCTGGCAATGTCCACGTTCCGTTCTGGAGAATGGGTCCCGGCACAACTTCAGAAAATGCCAGCTTGTCTTCAGTCCAGATGTCGATGTAGAATTCCAAGTCATTGAAGGATAGCCTCGGAGGAAGAATGGTCCTGCTGGGGCGGCGTAAATAGAAGTCTTTGAATAATTTGCGATAAGACGATGTAGGAGTTGATGACTGCTTGCAGATTGAGGGCCATCTCTTCGCGCACAGACATTTCCAGAAGTAATCATCCGCAGCAATCTGTTGCCACTGCTTACAAACCAACGTACATGTCGCAAGATCTCTGCCTTCTAGTAGAGGGAACACTACCTTTAAAATTTCCTCGTTCAGCATCTCTAGAGAAAAACATGAAAAAAGATTACAAAGTTTGTGGCATAAAAATGAACAAATTCGCCCCACACTTCTAAGAAAAGGAAAAACAAGCAATTTCAGAAGTATTGCAACAAGCAGAATTTCACAAGCATCAACTTCCCACACTTCTAAGAAGCTCAAGGAAAAACAAGCACATTCAGAAATATTGCAACAAGCACAATTTCACAAGCATCAACTTCCTAACAACAAACGCAACCCTACTCCAAATAATTACCATCAGAATTTGGATACCAAGCTACAGGACAAAAACGATTGACGTTACACAAAAACCACGAATCTCTCGGCAACTAATAAACAAATACTATAATAATAATAAAACCATCTCAATCCGATAAATTAGATTTCACATTAACCACGCAGCAAACGAGAAAGTGAAACTCAAAGAAATCCACTGAGTCGATGATCAAACCAAAACCGTCACAAATGAAAAAGCAGAATCAATCGCTCAGAACGAAAAAGAAAAAGCCCTAACCACAAAACAAAATGCGAATAAAATATTCAAAACAGTAAAACGGATGACTTTACCATTCACGAATTCGTCACTCTGAATCCAAAGCAATTCGGTAAGGCAACGGAACACAGCGGGGACGAGAATTTACAAAAAGGAGATGGAATCGAAGACCGGATCACGTAGACTAGTCTTCAGGAATTAATCTAGAAGAACACGAAACAAATCGAAAGAAAAATAAACAGAGAAAAAGAGCTGCTAAATGAACCGGCTAGAGCCAAGCTCGACCCGCTCGGCTAACTGTTAGAAAATTATTATTTCTATTAATATAATTGTTATGTAATTAATGAAATTTGATAGATTTCCTTCATTGTGGATCCCAATCAGTAATATAAATAGCAGATACGACAGAGGCATTTATTTCCTTATTTCCAATTGGGCCAACTATATTAACCAGGCCCAATATGCCCAGCAAATGAAGACTAATGAGACCCAATAGGCCCAGGAAATGAAACCAAACGTATGAAGATAGTTAGATACATATTTTTTTAATATTCTATTCAGTAGTCGGTAATAATAATAATAATAATAATAAAAGAGAGAAAAAATGTGCTGATTTGAAATAGGGGTGTATTGTTTTTTATTTTTTATTTTATTTTTTATGTAGAGGTTAAAAAAGAGAAAAGGAAAGAGGAAATAATTAACCAAAAATGGAGCACATGTAAAGGTAGAAAGCGGCAGTGCTCACTCAATGTCGCAGCCAGACCATGACATGGCATGTGGTCTCATTTACACATGCCCCCCACTCTTGTCTCTCTGTTTCTGTTTCATTCAGATATACATACACACTTATATATACACATATACATATACACACTGTCTCTCTAGCTCTCTCTCTCTCTCTCATCATTCAAATCAATTTTAGGAGTATTATATTTATATAGACAAATAGGAGGGGTTTCCCCCTTCTTCCTTTTTCTTCTTTCAGCCATTCATTCTCTTCTATGCAAGAAAATAGGGTTATATTGAAGGGTAGGGCTGGAGGAGGAGGAAAGACCATTCTTTAATACAATATTGTAATACACATAATAAGAATAATAATAATAAGCCTGCAGATATGTGCGTATATAATATATATATATATATAGAGAGAGAGAGAGAGAGGGAGAGATTTGGGTGCAAAAATGTAGTATCAAAGTAAGTATTTATGTCCACCCTGGTGGAAGCTGCAGCAAAATAGTGTGCTGCAGCAGGGCTGAGAAAGTGATGGTTTTGTCATGGGAATTGGGGACACAGTTTTAAGCTCTTCATGTGACGAATTCGCAGAAATTATGACACATTTGCTGCTACAAGAAATTGAATGAGTGAAACAAGAACAGGTCTGAATCCAAATCGAATGAAATCAATCAGATAGATGTGTGTGTATGAACGAATGGGACCATCACATGGTTAGTGTATTTGTATTGTGTAGCAATTATGGAAAATCAGCAAACTATATATCCAATCCAGATGTTGGAAGGATTTCGGGGATTCATCTGTGAGGAAAATATGAAAGCAACGGCAATGATGTGTGAGGAGAAACTGAATTGAGGGTGAGGAAGAGGAAAGAAGAATAAGATGAACTTTATATTGAATCTAGTTAGGGTTTATAACAGGATATGAGCATACATTTACGGCACCAAAACTAATTAACTAATTGTACTGAGCCAGGAGAAAAATCAAATGAAAGCACAGCGATATTTTGCATCTTCTTCTTCTTCTTCATTCGAGCGAAGATTTCGATTTCGATTGCGATTTCTTCCCCTATGGCTTCACCAATGGCGACAACAGCAAATATGCAAACTACTTCCTATACAGCGTCTGGATTCTGTCGCGGTTGAGTTCCGTGAATATCAACCAATTTCTGCAGAACAAGTACCTGAGTTTTCAAAAGCACGATGTAGTCGGCGGTTTGCTGAAACAACTGGTCTGGATTTATCTCGTCGTTAATTTGTGAAGGAATGAGATTCCGAAGAGCCTCCAGCTTGTCGGAAACCGACTCGGCGTCGTCAGTGTGGGTGGACCTACGCCGGCACGAAGGCCTGCCGATCCTTCTCTTTGACGTTGATGATTTTCTTCTCAGCCTTCCGATGGCGGTGGACATGTGCGCCGCTGGCTTCAATCCCATCACGGCGGAGACGGCGGTGGAGGCGGAGAGAATACGGGAACGGTGTAACGGGCGAAGACGAATGGCGTTCTGTGAGGGGTATAAGTAAGGTAGGTGTTGATTAATGCCACTCGTTCTCGTTGTAATTACCAAAATGCCATCCCATGCCCATCGTGATTACTCATTGCCGTTTATTTTTTATTTCCATTATCTAAATGTGAAGCAATTGATTTATTTGCTTTCTATTATCTAAATACGAATCATTTTATTTAAATTTACACACTCGCCGCTATTTACCGCTAAACATTCAATATCCGGTTTGACTTACATTCACTAATGTTTTTTCAACTTGTTCCAGTCTAACTTTACAGCATCAAATTAAAAATTTATTTACTATGGGAAGAATATACACTGCAACGATACTTTATTTAATATTCTCCCGTATGTTAGTTGATAAATTAAATATATTGCACTGCCAAAATGGTTACGAACTAAAGTGTGATTAGAAAGGTAAATTAGGGTTTCAATAATTGTACCATAAACGTATGCCAAATCATACTAATGTAATTTCATTTTCACAATAATAATAATTTTAACTAAAGCAACAACCCTTTAAGACAACCTGCGACCTATTTTGCAGCTTAACACTATTACTAATCACATCAGCCATCTTAGGAATCTATTCATCATCAATTTAATTTCCATTTTTATTACCCCCCAAAAATGTTAAGTCAACATTTTGGTAGATATCTCAGGTTATGTCTAATCCCAGTTTCAATTTTCCAATTTAAATATTCAAATAGTAATTCAACAAGCCCTATAGTTAAAAATGGTGCGGCTTCTGAAGTCCACATACCCGCCAACGGTGGGTCCAAGTGTCGGTCCCTGATTGGCAGGGAGCATTGCGCCGGCCGTAGTGCGTAGAAAACAAATAACGCGGGAAGCCAAAATAAAAATAAAAAATAAAAAAGACAAGTTGGTCGTAGTAGCGAGAAGAAGGCAGAGTAAGGCGGGGAGGGTAAAGCCGTAAAGGCTGCCCCTCTGCAACTCGGCATGTGATGTGAGGCTCCGGGACCCCATAAACCCCGGTATTCCCCAAAATACCCCCCGCCGGAGGGGCATTACCGTCCTTTCACAGAACAAAAGGAAGATAGCATGTATCAGTAATTCAGTATGTGTGTAGAGAGTATAGTATAGTGGCACCCCAAAAGGGCACATGTGAATGTGGGCAATGGGCCACCAATCAAAGGCCCTCCTCCAATGGCACACTGTGTGTGTGTGAGAGAGAGAGAGAGAGAGAGGGAGAAAGTGCACATGGAGAGCACATGCAAGGGTGGGAAAGATAACACTGTACCTTTTATCAAGAGAGAGAGAGAGAGGAAGAAATGCATGTGACAAAGGTGAGACAGTAGAGCAGCATGAATTGTACACCATGTTCTGCACATTCCCTGCATCCATCCTTACTGCCCCAACTGCCCTTTCTTTCTTTCTTTTCTTCGTCCACACATACACTACATTACATATATCTCTATTTTATTTTAAATAAACAACAATTAAATAAATAAACTTTTTGTGTGCATGCATGGATTGGAGAATTAATTAATTATTAATTTCAATAATCTTATCCCAACATTAATCACTCTCCCTCTATCTCTCTGCTGCATAGTCGTTGCTTAATTGTGTCACATGTTGGCATGTGGCTTTTTCAATTAACCCGACATGAGAGCCACGTGTGCCTTCTTCTGCACGTGCTTCCACTAATAATTAAATCCTCTTTAATCCTAAATTAGTCTTCATTAATTTGTTAATTAGTCTCTCTTTTCCCTCCTAGTTCGTTTGATTATTATACCTTTTTTTTTTTTTTTTCTTTTTCTTTTTCTGCAGTGTCAATTTGTTTTGGCAAAAAGGCGTGGCGACCTTTTTATATTTTTTAAATTTTGATTACTTAAGCATAACGCTTTGGTAAGCACTTTGTATGGACTTAATAAAATAAAAATTAAAAAATTCAGAATTTAGATAATATAATTTAACGCTACTTTGTACTTGAGAATTATATAGACCATTAGTAGTAATTATTAAATGTGCGTGTTTAATTGAATTGTATTTAATTTATTCACGTGTCTTGGCGCTGACTGTGGTGGCGCATCCAAGGTTCTTTAATGGCGGTAGGCCGTTGGCTGTGTTGGATGCGCATATCGTCGGTTTTGGATTGAATTTAAGATTTTCACATGCATGTTATAGAGTTTCGATCCCGGAATTGCTCGTCGGTGAGTATGCTTTTGTTCGGAGAATGATTTTTCTTTTTTGGATCGGATAATGATTTTTGATCGGATAATGATTTTTGATCGATGGTGTTGTAGTGTGGTGCTGAGCTAGAAACCCAAGCATCCATAAATATTGAAACGTGAACGAAAGACCTGAATTGAGTGAGATTGCGAGGCGTCTGGAAGTGAGATTCATCGATTGGTGTATGAATCCTCGGTCTCCGATCGAAGGAAGGCTCGGTTTGTAGATTTTAGCATTCATCGGAAGGTTGCTCCACTTATCTCCGATTTCTTCTTTCCTTGGTACGTTTACTCTTTTGTCTTTTGTTCAATCCCAATCAAACTTCACAGCAATTAGGAATTCAAGTCAAATTGACTCACAATCCACAGGAATAGCCTGTTGCTTCGTTCTCGTGGAAGAGCTGCATGGTTGAATTGGAAGCTTTTAATCAAGCCTGGCCATGGCGCCAGAATCTCCTCAGTTCATATGATGGATGAATCATCTACAGCTTCAACGAAGCTCCTGCAGAAATGAAATCATCATGTTTCTCGATGATCCATTGCTCAAATTTATTGGCATTGATTCAAAAGGCCACAGGGTAACTGCTGTGGTAACAAGGTCTGCTTTCTTGATTCCCTGTACCAGTTTTATTGCACATGATTTTATCACTCTCTGCTGTTCATCGCTGGCATGGGGCAATCATTTTCCAGTTTTTGTGCAGGTATAGTTGAGCTTCCATGGACGGCATCCAAGGTTATCAGAGGCATGCTTTAACTTATAGAGAAGAACAAAACAGCTGTAGAACTTTGCGAATAACAGTTACATCCCAAACATGGATTGAATCCAAAAGCATATTATAATGAGTAATTCTCTTACGAGAATTGGAAACTGTTTCAGTTATTTTTTATCCACTCAATGAAGCTATTGAAATTCTTGTAAGAGCATCCTTCCCTGACGCTAGCCATGGCCTTTACCTGAAGATTCAGGGCTCTCTCCTTGTAGCCTCTATCCTTCAAAATGTGTTCTACTTTGTCCTGTATTTCTCCTTTTCTAATGATACTGCTTTCGCCTTCTCTGCTTAATCCCAATCCAGTTTTCCACACATCGCAAATGTAGGTCTTGTTTATGAACTGATCACCGAAATACGGCCAGCACAGGAAAGGGACTCCATTGGCAACACCCTCTATGGTGGAATTCCATCCGCAATGGCTTATAAAGATCGCCACGGATGGATGAGACAAGACCTGTTGCTGCGGCGCCCATCCTACAATTAGTCCCCGGTCGTGTACCCTCTCTTTGAAGCCTGCCGGATATGCATTGCCGGAGTTTGGTGTTATGTCTTGCCTTACAACCCAGAGAAACGACATGTTGGTGAGTTCAAGCCCCAATGCTAGCTCTTCAAACTGCGACTGATCAAAGACAGTGTAGCTACCGAATGCAACATATATGACTGAATCCGGCGGCTGCTGATCCAACCATGGTATGCAATCCAAGTCCTGTGGCCAGAAGTGGCCTACTTCATTCGCTAGCCGGTTGCTCGCCAGAAGAGGGCCGACAGGGATGATATTTGGAAACTGCGAAAAGACGGCGGCCTCCAATTCAGGAGATGAATTGCAAAGGAGGCGTTCTGCTGATCTGCATAAAATGCTATCTTTCCGAAGGATATCGAAGATAATCTCTTTTGTGGCCTCATCATCGTAACACCGCCATAGGGAGAGGATTGCAGAGCTCATTTCTGGCATGGCTGGGAAGAACCGCTCGATTGTCTGGCCATTCAGGATCCTTCCTGCAGGGAAAATTGTTGGTAGGAATGAGTATGAATTGATTGAATGAGGTTGAATTGTGGATACTCAGTTGCTCACCATCATCGCTGTCTATGACTCCATCAGTGATCAGCTTAGGAATGGTGGAGGACACAGCCACCGCTGCAGCGGTGGCCGGCCAGAAGGCGGCGGATCTGAGCCGTAGCTTTTCAGCGACCTGAAACGCCCATCCGACGCTCCAATCAGCAACAAGGCAGTTGATCTTATCATTATCTCCCTGATTTAGATTTAGTCTGTTAATTAGGGCTTCCAGCTCCACAGGCATGACTCTCCAGGTGATCTCGGTGACCTTTCCGAGCTGGATCCGGTCCTCCCCTGGCTCCAGCCCGTCCGCGATGGAAACCATGTCCACCTGGTGGTGAAGCCCGTCCGATTGGGGCAGCGACTGGAGGACGCGGTGGTGGTTGTGTTCGGAGTTGACGAAGGTGACCTTGATGCCATTGCTGACCAGCAGCTGTGAGAGCTCCATCATAGGTATTACATGGCCCTGCGCTGGATAAGGTATCACTATTACGTGTCTCTTCTCCTTATTCATATTGTTTCCAGATTTGATCTCATCTTCTCCTTCTTTTATCTATCTATGGGAGGTGGGTGCAGTGCAGTGCTGCTGGTCAAACAAGCTCATCTATAAGCCAATAATAGGTGGTGTTCTTTTTCTGATGAACGACAAATATTTTACTATTTAGGATAACTTCTTGATTATGTCTGTCTTATCCCTCTCACTCACTTATTTTTTGCCTAAGTCATGGATTAGTCGATCTTTTTTATTACTATATTCGAGCATTTATAATATTAGAAGTCATGTGCGTGTATTACTACTGAAACTGATGGAACTAATGATAATATAATAATATCAAACTTAGAACTTTATGGACAGTAAACCTGTCAAATATGCCCTTTCAGTTGTCCTTTGATCCATTCTACGAAGCTGATGAAATTCTTGGTTGTCTTCTCTGACAAAGGCCATGGTCTTGGCCTGGAGGGAGATTCATGGCTCTTTTCTTGTAGCTGTAATCCCTCTACTTAGAACAAAAAAAGAAAACACACACACACTGACACAAACACAGAAACCAAGTCTGTTAAATAAAGTGTGAAAAATCATAGGAAGAATTGCTGTGAATTCAATGCATGTTCTAGTTGAGGCCACTTGTTTTTGGTTACTCTAACTGAGGTCACACAAACCACAATACAATAAATTACAGCAGCATGGCTCAAGAAGCTATAAAGCCAAGACTTGCAAGAAAAATCATGGTACCATTAATAGAATAGACAGGAGCAAAACAATACTGGTCAGAAATGTTTTGCACCAACCACAACTAAGAAATTCGAATGCTAGCACAACAGGTGATTATTTCTTCTTGCCTGCCTTCCCTTCTTTTCTTCTAACTACTTCGTCCGCATATTTTACTCCTTTTCCTTTGTAGGGCTCCGGAGGTCGCCACTTCCTGATGGAAGCAGCAAACTGACCGACATTGGATTTATCGTATCCGCTCACTGTAATTCTTGTGTTCTCTTCCACTTTCACCTGCAGGTCACTGGGGATTGGCATTCTTACTGGATGCGAAAAACCAAGATTCAGGACTACGTCTTTCCCTTCAACCGTGGCTCGATATCCGGTGCCTATCAATTGAAGTTTTTTCTCAAATCCTTTAGACACCCCCACCACCATGTTGCTAGTTAGGGTCCTGAAAAGTTTTTCGAGTATTTTCATAAACAAACAGTTGATATACAGAAGATCATGCTGTAATCACATTCACTCAAATCGATAAATTGCTTTTCATGGCCATAATCGTTTGGCAGGTTCGTGGTGCTAGAGGACATCCTTATCATGACAACAAGATTAAAGGATTGAGTAACAAAGAGAAAAGAATATGAAATACAGTCTTCAAGTACTCTTTAGTATCTTTTCAATAATTTTCAACCAGCAGAGAGTATCCTAGATACATTAGCAAGTAAAGCATACAGATACACCTTTTTACGAACATTCAAGAAATGACCATGAAAGCACATAGCCTGCTTTCTTCAAGCACGATCGTAGTCTGTCTACCTACTACATACATATTTCTATCTGTATCCACGACATTTAGAATTTTTCTAGACCATTTTAACTGACAGGATTGCAAATGTCCTAATCCATACCAGTATTAGCGTAAGCACTCAAATAATCTTGCTCTTTAAGTTAAAGCTAACTCATCATACAAAATTTAATCAAAATGGAGAAGTATACACACAAAGATAAGTAAGTACCTGAATAAACCGTGCATTTCATTGGCTCTTCTTGTTTCCACCGTCTTACACACACGTAGAAATCCTGAGTCCTGCTTCTCAACCTTGATTTCACTTGGGTAACTAAGTGCAAGCTCCCCTAAAGGACCCTTTACACTCACATTCTGGCCGTTCATCGTTAGAGTAACATTCGATGGAACTGGAATCGGTTGCTTCCCAATTCTAGACTCCTTGCATTCCACAGTCTTTCTCACTACTGTAACTCGAGGTGTAGAAACCACTGCCACACGAATTCCATTTGCCTCGCCGAGAAAGGGGCACCTCAGGTAACTGATTTAAAATCACAATCAGAGAACAAATTCAGGATCAGGAGCAACATTGACTACTGCAAAATAACAATGTGAATAATGCTGCCTTAATTTCAATTAAACCTTGATTGTACTGAAGCACCTACATGAGATGCCATTGAACCGTTAACTCAATTTCAAAACCACCCTGTAATCACAAAGTTGATGATTTAGTCCAAAGGCCTCGCTACAAAATCTAACTAGAAACAAGTCAAATATAGTTGAACATTAGTGAAAACGAAATCCAACATTTCATTGAATTCACAAAAAAATTGAGCCTTTTGCGCACACAATAATAGCACATTACATTTTACAGAAATTTCAACTTCAAAACATCCTGCAGCGAGGCGGATTCCCCAATACGTTCCGTAGAAAAAACAAAAAATAAAAAAATTACATCGACTTCCAGTTTTGGGAAATCACTGAAATGCAATTTCCGAATTTAAAATATTCCTTCGGCAAAACCATAAATAGATAGAGGATAAACGAGAAGGTGAAGTACCGGAGCGAGAAGAGAAGCAAAGTCCGCTTGAAGGAGAAGATGCTCCTGTGTTAGCTGGTTACAGATTCGGCAGAGTTGGGGATAAGATAAAATTCACCATTGCTGGCACTGCTTCAGTTTCATTCTGATATAATTAATTAATTAATTTTTAAAAATAAAATAATATGTTCTTACAGCGGGCCCAAAATTGTAGTTGTAAAGAAGCCCAATATATTGCGGCCCACTTTGGCCCATGAAGTGCGAATGCGCACGTGCAATTCACATGCCCGTTCTGTGTTGCCTCCGCCAAAATATGTATGCGAATTTGCAGTCGGAAGAGCTCTGAATCTATCGCCGTAAATTAACCCGCGAATTCTGAGGTTTTCGCCGATCGGAGAATCAAATATAGTTAAGTCTGAATCTGGAGAACAAAGTGTGTCAGTAATTGAGGATATAGAGGATTAAATAGGGGGTAAACGAGAAATCGATGGCGGACGATAGTTGCCCTAGGGTTATTTCATCCGAATCTGATTCGTTATCAACGACGAAACAAAGGTGCAGTTCTTTTGGTTTGCGCATATTTTGTTAATGTTGTTTTGCCCATTTGAGTTTTGGTTAATGTGCGAGTGTCGAAACCCTTTTTATGGATCTTACAAATGAACCTCAAACATTTCTACAGTTAATGTCTGAGTCTCGAATTTTATTTTATTTTTTAAAGAATCAAGGGAAACCGTTCTTTGTATGGTGATGCTTTAGAGTTGGCATCAAAGAATGAAGTTTCCACTGTTTATGTTGTGGTAGGATATGATTGATCGAAAAGTTCACGGTGTCATTCTCAAATTTTCTGTTTGGTAATGGCATACATCAACCAACCCACCAGCACAAATAAATTTCACCCTACAATAAGTGAAAAAATGATAATAATAAGAGCACATGTGCTATAACAAATTTATGGCTTTTATTACAGAAAAAGAAGAAAGTGGGATCAACCAGATGAGTCGTTGGTTTCTTCTGGAATATCACCAGCGCAGAATATTTTTCCACTGGCAAACGTGGGTTGCTTCGCCCAGATTACATTGCCGTCAGTCCCCTTTGTGGCTGGTGCACCTCGGACAACCCCTTTATCCACTTCTACTGCCACCCCCATTCAAGTGGCTCAGGTGCCATTACAGCAACATGCTACTCCCATTGTCCAGTAAAAAAAATTATCAATTTTTAGGTTTATCTTCCAAAAAATATACAGGGTGCTTTTGTTTGTAGATTTAGATTTTGAGTTTTGATTTTTAAATAGTAAATATTTGAATGTGAATAGTTGTTTGATGTGATATAAATAAATAGTAATGTTATTTTTGTAATGAAGATTTTTAGAGTAGTATAAAAAAATGAAAAATAGTTGTTGGATTTGATATTTTTGGAAAAAAAAAAGAAGTAAATAATAAAAATATTGTGAGAAATCCACACCACACTTCATTCTCTCATCCCGTCTTCTGTAATTTTGATACTAATTGAACGCCCCCCATGCTTGATGCAATGGCTTGGCAATGGATTTGCATTTGAATAAAAGGGGAAAAAATTGTGGTCTTGAAATGCTAAAGTTGTGATTTGGCTTGTGGGAGTTTCATGATACCCATGGAAGTGTTCAAGTAGTTTGTGAGATGTAGATGATGTATGGTGCATGGTGATACCATATAAGTGTTATGTTGATGTCTTCCGATATAATCAGATGGCTCAAAACCATAGTTATACAGTTTCTGAGAGCTGCTTTCTGTCACCTGATTTAATTCTGATGGAATATGTGTGCTCTTAACTTTGTAACTACTTATACACTACTATTCTGGACTTTTGACACGCCTTCAATACTTTAATCCACAAATTTTCTTTAGCCTAATTATTTTCTCTTCACTTCAAATTTACAGCCAAAGATCCAAGATGAAGTAATAGCAAGAGAAATTGTCATAAATGATGCTGACTCTACGATTCGTTATAAGTTAACAAAACGACAAACACAGGAAGAGGTAAATTTGCTAGTGGAGTTATGCTACTTAACCTTGCTAATGTCTTGGTTGAAATTGACACATTTTTCGAGATTCGCAGATTCAGAGAAGCACGGGCGCTGTGGTAATAACCCGGTATGTAGTTGTGCTAATGATACTTACTTGGACGCCAGATTCCCCATGTTTTGTTTGATCACTTTCCGAAATCATACAGGGGTAAATATCGGCCTCCTGAAGCCCCATCTGATAGTGAGAGACCCCTTTATCTTCATATATCTGCAGGAGCACATGTAAGTGATTCAATCCTGTGCATAATCTTGAAACTAGAGTGGATGATCAATATGATCTCTCCTTTAACTTTATCTCAATGTGTCAACTCATGTTTTTATCATTTCTCATCTGTTCTGTACTGGGATATAATTTTTTATGTCCTGCGTATTTTGAATTCAGTTGGAAACAACAGCTGAACGAATCAAAGCAGTTGATCATGCTTTCGCTATTGTGGAAGACATGTTAAAGCAGACTTCAGTCAACAGTGGAATGAAGGTAATTCTGACTCATGAAGGATATTAATAGCTGAATAACAGAAAATTTTTAACTAAGATATTGAGCACTGTGTCCTAGATTGACCATTTGCTGCACACTTGTGTATATTTGGGATTTGAGGCAGACCCATCCTTGAATATAAATTCTCGCATCCGAGGTCCAAATGTGAGCATTTCTTTTAATCATCTCCTTTTTTTCCTTTTTAATTGTCATTTTGTTTGTTTTGCTTGATTGACTTTTTTTCAGCATTTTATGCGTATACTTGTTTAATGATCCATGAGTTAATCTTGTTTCCAATATTAAAGATAGAGATTCTAATGTTTGAAGCTTTCCCTGACATCTCCACCCCATCTGGAGAATTCTTTTTTGTGTTGCTGCTGGTTGGGTTTTGTAAATGCAGGATCAATATGTAAACCACATTATGAATGAAACAGGAGTAACTGTCTTATTAAGAGGACGAGGTTCTGGATATTTTGAAAACGGACAGACGGAAGGTTGTTATTGTTGTGTAATTGTCCCTTTCACTATTACTATTCTCTGATCAGTGATCTTTGTTTATTAATACAATTTTCTTTTGACTTGCATCTAGAAACTCAGCAGCCGTTACATCTGTTGTTGTCTAGCAATGATCCAAAATGCCTTGAACGTGCAAAGCTATTGGCCGAAAATCTATTGGACACAATTAGTGCTGAGTGTGGTGCCTCTAGGTAATTAAGTTATTTCTTTGATGTTTACATGGATTGTATACCATGAAGAGCAATATTCAACTGTCAAGCTTTCATCAAGTATACATGTGTACCCTAAATTAGTTATCATGTCTTTTGTTCTAAGTAGTTTTGTTGTCATTGATTTTTGAGAATTTGTTTTGCGTATTATATGGTGTGATATGGCTTGTTTAGTATGCTATTTATAAATTATAAACAAAATAGCTAAGCTATGAATTATGGCTATGAACCATGCAACATCATACTAGATTATCTTGCTGCTACTAATAGAATCATTCTTAACTGGTTGGTTTGCATAATCCTTGCTGAAATTAATTCTATATGATGATTCCATGTGGGTTACTCATTTCCTTGTTATGGCATATACTATGAAGGGTATCTTCGGGTAAGGTGTATGGTGCTGTTCCACCTCCACCTCAGTTGCAGGCAGGAGTCCTGAGTCCTGTGTATCCATCAAAAGTGGATCATGCAGTTTCTCTGAGTTCACCAGCTTTGGTTGGTGTCGGTAGTACTCTCTCTCTGCCTGATGTTTCATTATCTCAATCCATTGGATTGTCAAATCCTGGGTTATCTCATACAAACACTACTGGCTATCATCATGGGTTGATTAATGGAACAAGTTATATTGGCTATGGTGGAATATACCCGCAAGCCACACCTTTGCAACAAGTTGCTTTGGCCCTTAGGCAGTCAACATCTCCAGTCAACTCTACCATTGCTCCCACAGCCACAGCCTCTTCGAAAGATCCACCAGCAGATAAACAATCACATTCCCAAAAGCGAAAGTTTCAGGAATTACCTGCTGCTGCAAAAGTGTCAGCCATTCCAAACCAGGTTAGCATTTCTGTTGGCAATGGTAACATAGGGTGTTATGAGTGGTGGTTGTGCCAAACAAAGCTTTTGATAGTTGATTCAATTTTATCATGATGGAAACTTTCTCCTGTAGATCTTCATTAAATTTTATGCAATTGAATATTATTATTGCAAATGACACTGACACTGTTTACCTTCACACTTTTGGAAGTTTTGGTACTATTTATCATTGTTAATTTTTCAAAAAAATCTCATCAAATACTTATTTATTCTCACAAAAACCATCACACCGAATACAATTTTTTAATATGTCCAAATTTTTCCATAATTCCATTACTTTTGAAACCCTTATCTAAACTAAGTCTCACGAGGCCACGGAAATATGTGTATTCTGTCTAAATCTTATCCATATATATAGACTCCCATCTATAGCTTTCAGATTCATCAGAATGCATGTTCCCCTCTTTATGAATGAAGAATGCCTTAAACTTTTCTTCCTGATGTTTATTACTTATTATTCCAGGTATTTTCACTGACCTCCTTGTGTGAAGCTAACATGCTGATACTGGGACATCTATGTTGGACATTTGCATGTTTTACAGGGTTTCTTCTACGGAGGTGGCATGAGATAGCTGCTTGCTGTTTCAACCGTTTTTTAAATTTAAAATTACAGTGCTGCATTAATTGTGCTTGTTTGATCTCTCCTGTTTGTCTGAACAAAGTGCACACACAAGAACCATAGTTGGCTACAGATCTCCTCATCAGTTGAATTGAAAGAAACGTTGTCTAGTAATCTGTCTAAAGATGTGTTAACATAATAGTTAGATAAAAATTCATCTAAACTTAAGTTAAAATCATGATAGATTGAATGCTGATGCTGGTGACCTTTCTCACTTCTATAAGAGCTTGTGTTTCTTTCATTCTTCTGTTTGTTTTTTCTGATGAGGAATAATGACTTGTTCTTTCATGCTTTTGTGCTAATTTTCATATAAGCTGAGGCAAAATTTTGGCTTAGACATGCATGATTACGTGATGCATTTGCAAATTTCATGAATTATAGACATCATATTACTCCTAACACAGCGGGGTTTGGTATTATGCTCTCCAGAAGAATATACAGGGCTCAGAATTTCCAATGCCCCGTGAACTAACGTCAAATGTAGGTGCAAGAGATGTTTCAGTTATGCAAGATGTAAAGAAGCCTTTGTTCAATGGAATGCTGCCCCCGCCTCCTCCCAAGAAGCCATCATTTGATGTGTTGCCCCCGCCGCCTCCCAAGAAGCCATCATCTGGCGGAATTTCTCCTCCTAAGAAGCCATTAGTTGATGTAATGAGATCTCCTCCTCCGACAAGTCCCCTGACTCCCCCCTCAAGGTCTATTTCAACTCAAAAAGTGCAGATAAACAATAATGGGATGCATAATGGACCTGAAGCTGTCCCAGGTATTTTTGCTTTTCATTCTCTGTATGTCAAGCCATGAAAGTTGTTTTTATGTCAGCCGCATGCTATTTGTTAAACCCCAACTTTTTTTAGTTTTAATCAGCGCCCATCCATTTTCTAACCGAAAGTGCCTATGCTTGTTTGGAATTTAGATCCTTTAATTAAACTAATGGAATACGGAGATGATGACGATGAAGATGATGACCCTGAAGAAGCAGCACAAGAGCCTTTGGAAATCCATCCAAGTACTAAGGTGTTACCCTAAACCTTTCTGGGCTGTCTAAATTTTGTATTCTGAATTCAACCTTGCAATGTGGCTTTTAGGTTAACATGCACTTTCCCTATAAAAAAACTGTACCATAAGTTTTAGTTTATGCAGTTTGTTGATTTGCAAGGTGCTCTTCCTTTCACCAATTTATTTTGATTTTGGTCCTTGGGAAGGCACTTTGACTTGTGCACATCTAACTCTAGAATTTATGATAAAGGAACTATTAAATCAAAGAGTTGTTTATACAAAATGTGTCTTATATATATCAACTACATGCAATGTTAGAACATAGGAATAGATCCAAGGGTCTTAAAAAAACCCCTTTGCAATAACTTGTAGGGTCCAGGGCAAGTATGAATTACTATGTGTTCACATAACCAAGAAGACTGCTGCTGGAGTGAGCTTTGAGAGTTTGAAACTAACTTAGCTCCTCTTAGTGTCAGCATAGTCATTTGGTTCATCATCATTATCGTCATCCTGTGACTTGTCCCCTGCATTTTCATCTGATGAGCCAGCTTCAATCTCGTCATTTCCAGCATCGCTACTAGCTTGATGACTCGCCAGAATGTCCTGGCTTTCATCATGTGTCCCAGAAAAGCCAGCTTGAGCCTCAGCAGAGTAGTTGCTGCTACTGCCACCACCTTGTACAGAATCACCACCAGTGTAACTACTACCTCCACCACTCGGGTAGTTGTTAACATCACCAAAGCCACCACCTCCACTGGGATACTGGTTGCTACCACCAAACCCACCATCTCCACCAAAGTTGCTACTTTCCCTGGGGTAACCACCACCCTGATATCCCCCTCCTTGATATCCTCCTCCCCCTCCTTGATATCCTCCTCCCCCTCCTTGATATCCTCCTCCTTGATATCCCCCTCCTTGATGACCATAGTTTCCACTCTGACCATAGTTAAAACCACCACCACCATATCCTCCAGTCCGAGGTCTCTCATTAGCATAATCTACCGCAATCCTCCTTCCGTGGAGATCCTGAAAGATTTATTAATGCATTTCTAGTTTCCATCAGAAATGTGATATCTAATTTCTTTATTAAGAAATCTTGAAATGTGATTCTTAGCAGTGTATTGACTTCGAACAGAAATTGGGGGATATCTTTGCTGTTATCGTTATCAAATATCAGGACTGACAAGAAGTTTGCAATGAACTTCAGAAAAATAATACCTGACCATCAAATGCCTGGATGGCACTGGAAGCAGCCTCGGTGGATGAGAATGTAACAAAACCGAATCCCCGTGACCTACCAGTCCCACGATCCAAAATGACTCTGGCTGTGTGCATATTTGAATAAGAAAAGAAATCAGTGTGGAGAGTGTAGGATGTGTGAAAAAGGAAGATAGCATATGATCATGTCCACAATATCAGGGCACTCCAATAGGCTGCTAACTTTATGATATTTAAAAGTTCATGCTTATCACTTTTACAATAACTTGGTAACCTCACCAGACAATACCTTCTTCAGTGTCTCTCTATAACCGCTCTATTCTAAAACACAACCATTTTCGAAACACAACAAAAAAAAAAAAAAGCAGACACATCAATTACACTCAAAAGATTGTACCTTCAACCACTTCTCCATGCTGGGAGAAAGCTTCCCTCAAACTTGTCTCATCTGTGCTATAAGAGAGACCTGCAGTGATAGAGAAAGAATACACACAATGTCTCATTGAGGAAAAAATAAGCTAATTCACCACCAAAGAGAGAATCACCTGACCTCCAACAAAGATCTTTGAAGATGATGACATGCATCTTATTGCCTGAAATAGTGAAGCATTTGATGCAGAATACTCGGAACTAACACCCTTGCTGACAGTTTGTTTTAGCAAGTTCCCAACTCTGTTTAGGAAGGCCATTTTTGCACCTAAACACAAGCACCCACACCCTGTACACAAGAAGTTATCGTGAAATAAATGGCATGCTTAAAAATGAGCCCTTGAGGCTATGCAGACTTGCATATTGCCCAAACAGACTGGCTAGAGTCGAATAGTTCTGTGGTTTATGGACGAAAATTCTAATCAAGCTCACATGTGCGATTGAGCTAGACATAATGATTCAACCTAATGCAACATGAGGATTTAAAATACAACATCATCATCACAAACTTTTTAGAAGGAATTTGAGCTCATTTGAAAATATTGAGGCTCGACGTTGGTGTCTAAAACAAGTGAACTCTGAATGAGATGCTATTAAGCTATCTCTTGCTGCATATCAAGATCTACTGATGTTAAGCTAATCCACACATAAGGCGTTGGAAAGAAGGTGCTAATAAATTATCATTCACATTTCCAATTTAATCCTTTACATTTCAGTTCTTCCAAAAAAAAATAAAAATACTCAAAATCTAGTCTTCTTGATGCTCTCTTTCAGAACTACACATACCAACACACTGCCCAAAGAATACAGAAATAGCAGACAAAGAAATTCAGTGAACCAGACGAGCCTTTGACATTAAGTTCACAGAACATAGATACTTCAAGCGACAATTTCGAATTTAAACAAACCGCGAAAGAAATCTATAAACCCTAAAACTACTTTACATTTACACCGAACGTCGATAGATAGCATCCATACCCAATCAAGTAAAATATTGCAAAAAAGAAAAAATAAAAAATAAAAAAAAAGATCAGAAACCTAGCCGAATAATGCTTGCGGCTTCGAATTAACAAGTGCAGAATACCTCCGACTCCAGTATATATCCCAATCAGCGTTCATCCACTTCCATCCCAGCGCCTGGCCATATACGAAGCAAGGGTATTGACCATGGGAACTCGTATAGCTTGTGCAGAATAAATCTCGACCGTTCCTTACTGAAACTAAAATATACATAAAATATTGGGCCTACCCGTTTGAAATTAAAGCCCAATATTGAGTCGAAATGGATTTTCATTAATTCATACCTTAATTCAAAGCCCATCTTTATTACACAATTGGGTCAAATAGGTAATTACATTACTTAATTATTATAGAGACAACCCTTAATAATTTAAATAAAACAATCTATTTGCAAATTTGTCCACCACAGGAGTTTCAACTTTAATGAAGAAATTCAATGCTTTAGAATCCACTTAAGTTTATAGAATATTATTTATTTAGTACAATCATTTTGTTTGCTGATAAGGATTACAAAAAACTCATGTCCGTTGGTTTTGTCACCATCTTCTTTCCTTCTTAAAAAGTCTTCCCTTTGACCTGAGAAAAATCCGAACGTTGGATACCGCCACAACGGTCATCTATGGCTGGCTACGCTATAATTATAAGCCTATGTAACTCCACACTCTTCTTTATATCTACCTTAATTTCTTCACAAAATTTTATCAATAGACAGAATGATTGAATCATCAACATCATCATCTCCTTCAGAGATCCCCAAATCTGTGGCAGAATTAGACCAAAATACACCACCCCCAAACCATGAGGAAGAAACCAATATGAAACCTAAAAGCCCCATTCCAAACAAATCCGGCGCGCCCGACCGGATTATCGTTCCAAAGGCATTCAAGTATCCGGAAAGGTGCATTCGATTCTGAAGCTGGAGATGTATATATATGGATATATGTTTGTTGTTTAGTAAGTTTTGAGTGAAGTTTTTAACTTGGTAGGTGTTTATATGAGTTCTTGCAGGTACACTAGTCCAACTGATAAAATGATGTCGCCGGTTAGTCGAGGAATTCTTGCGAGGAATCGGAAGGGCCGGAGGCCCCTCCCGCCCTCGGCGGCTGCTAATCAGTTAAGGTAGAAGACAGCACTTCAATCATTAATGAAAATCTTGTTTGGATGTCCTGATCTGATCTAAACTTCGATTGAATTTTGCTTGTGTTGTTTATTGTTTATTGCAGCTTCAGCTTGAAGAGTTGAATCTGATTTTTACCCGAATTGAGAAACTACATCGAAAGTTTAGAATTTTGTAGCGTGCGTGTATTTGTTTCATGTTTGTATTGGGGTATTTGATGGATGATCTTATTCTGCTGTATTCAAGAAAGAGATGATGATGAATTTTGTCGATTATTATTCCAATCGGACTTGATACCATTGAATTGAACCAACATCGCCATCAATTTCGAGTTCACAGACAGATTTTACCAGAAACTCCACAGCTTCATCAATGGAGTCGAATCTTGCCAGATCAGGCGGGAGGGAGCTTCCAGGCCATTTCTCTAACCACCCTTTTAACCTCTCACGCAATTCATCCTCCGACACAAATTCTTCCTCGTTCTTGCCAGGCTCCATTAAGACATACGTGTCGCTCTGCACATTAGCTCTTCTCCTCCTCGTCGCGCAACCCTAATTTATAAAATTAATAAACAAAAATTTGGGTGAATCGAAAATCAATCACACCACCATACCTTAAGTAGATGAAGATTGCGTCGAAATTGGAAATTGGAGTGAAGTGAGGCCATTGATTGGGATAAACTCGCAGGGAAGAACTGGAAAGAAGAAGCTGTTCTTGTGGCCAATAATGGAATAAAAATGTCATCTTTGCTGCTTGAAATCTGCAGCTTCATCATCGTTGCCATCGTCCCTGTAATCATTTGGCAATGTTTAATTGTGGAATTTGGTGCAGTTCTTGAAGATAAGATAAAGCCCAGATGGATATGAATAAATCAGAAATTTAACCTCATCCTTATTTTGCCCCTCACCTGCCAATATATTTACGAAAATACTTTTAGTTATATATGGATATGAACAAACCAGAGGTAATCATCAGATGGTCCGAAATGGACGTTTAATCCTCCATTGAAGAAGCCCAAATTGGGGGGAAGTGTAAACCCAGAAATCTGCCCTCATTTGGGATCTTTCTTCTTTTCTTTTTTTTTTTTTTTGTTCCCACGCTTTCTGGAAATGCTTTTCTTTGGTTTTTGTCCGAGGTTTTTCGTCTTGTCTTGTACGATGATCTCATAATTCGGCTTACAGACAAAAGAAAAACCAGGGGGAAAAACCTTACCATTGCCATGGAAAACTGGCTTCCGATTCGTTGAGGTTCTTTAATTTAGGTATGTATGTATAATATGTATGTGTGTCCTGATCGATCAAGCTGATACTTTTCTTTCTACTTTTGTCACTTTCCTACGATGCCATAAAAGAAAACATATCACTTCATAACATCCTCGTTGTCAGGAAAATGAACCCCTTGTGTGCTTTTAAATTACATTGCATCAAGAATCTTTGCAGGGCCTCGTCCGAAGTTGATGTTCTTAGGTGAGATTGATTCTTCGTTGAGGTTTTTAAGGTTCTGATCCATTTTCCCAATCACCTGCAGAGCTATTTCCAATCTTACAACCTTAGACAAATCTGACCAGCAATGGACCCTGAAAAGCCTGACCATAAACAGGAAGGGAAGAATCCCAAATCTTCCAATCCGTCGTTGGATTTGGACATAGCTGAAAAAGATCATTCTTTCGATAAATCCAAATCCAATGATGACCTGATATCTTCTCCAAATACTTCTGCTCCAATGAGCACTTCATCTTCGACACCATCGCCAAATTCTGCTCAAGAATCGAAGCCTGATGGCTATGATCCAAATCGGTTGCCGGAATCCATATTTTCGACGGATCCTAATCGTGCTTCCGAATGGAGCATTGCGTCGACTGAATCATTGTTCAGCATTCACAGCAGCTTCTCGGGAAATAAATCTTTTCTCAAGAAAGATAAACCTGATGATTCAAAAAAGAAAGATTCTGCAGAGACCATAGACAATCAAGAATTGGTTCATTCTATAGAACCTCCTGTTTCCGAGATCACAACCCCTTCGGCAACCATTCCTCCGACTTCTGCCAGCAACGCGCGCCAGTCCGTTGAGAGTGAGACCAGCACAAGCTCCTTCTCATTCCCAGTGTAAGTTTCTCTTAGAGCTATACTATGTTATTATTGTCAGAACATTACAAGCAAAATGTTTTCTTGTCCTAAGTGTGATGTTACAAAACAAAATGCATACTAACAAGAACGCAAATGATCATTTGCACCACTCTTTCATTATGTTGCTATGATCTCAGATTGGTGAATGATTGTGGCAAGAATGGGTTGATAGATTGGGCCCCCGGGAAGCCGGAGCCGATGCACAAACAAGTTCCCGATCATGCTGAAGCTCCTAAAGCTTCTAAAAGACGACGGCTTTGTTGTTTCCCCTGTTGGCGCTGCTGCTACTGCTGCTGCTAATATGAACGATATATAATCTCAGCTTGTCTTTTGCGTGGCGCGTGCCGGTGCTATTGGTTCCATCTTAGGACATATTATCCTACAATTTAGCTCTCAAAACATACATTTTTTGAACTTATTTTTTCTGGCAAATAACAGTATGCATGTTCTTGGTTATTGTCTGGAGCTATACCTGTTATGCTAATGTTAATGTTAATGTTACTGGTCTGTTGTGTTGTGTTATGTTATTACAAGATACTGTGGTTCTTACAGAAGTGAATTACCCTTTGGACGTGAAACTTGGTCTAATTCTGTAAGTGGGCTTCTAAGAAACTTCTTCAATTCCTAATTTTCTTTTGCTGCTGTTTTCACATTGCACCCATCCTCTGGGTTTTCATTCTATAAGAAAAAACAAAAAGAAGGGACCTTTTTTTCTCTAATGGTGAAACTCCCACATCAAAGAAAGATGGACGATGTGTTGTTATTTAGTGAATTGTCAAATTTGTTGTGCTTTGAATGGATTTTTCACTTTGAGGGTGTATTAAAATGACAAAAGATTAATAAACAAAGGCTTAGAGTATTAATTAGAAAAAGAAAAAGGAAAGAGAAAATAAACAAGAAGAATTACAAGAAAATAGCAGATATTCTCATTCTACCATCAAGACTTCCTACCAAACGCAACCCTACTGGGTCCCACGGAAATGGCTTCAAAAGGAGTGGGGAGGGACGGAGGTAGTAATCTTCAGCCATAACCAGGACCTCGACTTTGAGCAAGGTCCACAACGTTACAAACACGTCGCTGGAAGGTGGAGATTTTTTCTGGCGTTGGAAGTCCCGGGAGTTGGTAACATCCGCAGATTAAAGCTAATAATTAAGCCCTTAAGTGGAACTGGAAGGAACCTGAAGTGGTGGAGGGGGGCTAGGGTTTGGGCCGTGGCTCCACCGAGTCTCCCCGTTGACGGGGAGAGGATGCATTAATTGACCGGCGGTGGCGCCCCCACACTTATGAGGGCCCCACCATCACACACCCCCACCAAAATTCTGAAATGCCAAAAGGAGAAGGTAATAATTTGGGTCTGTGAGAGGAAAAATGGCAGTAAAGAAGGGTTAAAGAAATAGCAGATCGATCGATTAATATTAATAATAGTAATAATAATTAGGAGAGCCTTCTTTCTTTCTTTCTTGTCGATCCAAAGTTTCTTCTACCTTTGAAGATCTCCCTGTTCTTGATAAAAGGTTCGAACTTTTCCTTTTATTATTAATGATCTCTCTCTCTACAGGGAAGACTGAGGAAGGTCTCCTGTCTTGTTTTGGTAGTCATCCCAGTCCAGCTTGAGCACAAAAATTCCTGCAGATTGCTGTTATTTTATTGTAGCAAAAAGAAAAGAGGGCCAAGACAAAGAAAAACACGAAACGCGAGCAGCAGCGACGCGTTTTTTTTTGGGGGGTTCAAAGGAAAACAGCCTACTGTATTTTCTTCATCCTCTTCCTCCTCCCTCTCTCTCTCTCTCTCTTCTTTCCCCCTTTCTAAACTTTTGGGTTTGCTTTTCATCCACGATTGCAGCAAAAAGAAAACTGAAAGGAATCAAGAATTAGGGTTTGGGAATTTATGCGTGTTCAAGAGAGCCAATTCCAGGGGCTATCAGCAATGGGTCGATTTTTCCTTATTATCAAGTGGAAGCTCCTCCACAAGCCATTGAAGCTCTTGATTTTCCTCTATGTATTCTTCTTAGCCCTGAACGGCGTCGTTTCGGCCGCCGATTCGGACAAATCGACTCTGTTGGAGCTGAAGGCGTCGCTGTTGGACCCTAATGGAGTGCTGAAAAGCTGGGACTCGACAGCCTCGGATCACTGCTCGTGGGCTTGGGTTTCCTGCGATTCGAATTCTCGTGTCGTCGCCTTGAACATCACCGGCCAAGGTAATTCCGAATCCTGTGCTAGAATTGCTCGATTTCCTCTTTACGGATTTGGTATTCGACGGCCATGTTCAGACGGCAGTAATAGCAGTTTTAAGCTTTTTGGTAAACTGTCTGCTTCTGTTGCTAAGCTTTCTGAACTCAGAATTTTATCCCTTCCCTTCAATGATATTAGTGGTGAAATTCCTGTGGATATTTGGGGTATGGAAAAGCTCGAGGTTCTTGATCTGGAAGGGAATTTGTTGTCTGGTTTTCTGCCTGCTAAGTTCAGTGGGTTGAGGAGCTTGAAAGCTCTTAACCTCGGATTCAATTCGATTTCCGGCGGAATCCCGAGCTCCTTATCCGATTGTGTCGGGATTCAGCTCTTGAATTTTGCTGGGAATCACTTCAATGGATCGATTCCAGGGTTCATTGGTCGATTCAAAGATTTGAGGGGGCTTCACTTGTCGTTCAATCAGCTTACTGGTTCGATTCCGGTCGAGATAGGGGATGGTTGTGGGAAGATTGAGCATTTGGATCTCGCCGGAAACTACCTTTCCGATGGAATTCCGGCCACAATTGCAAACTGCAGAGGACTGAGAACTCTTCTTCTGTACTCGAATATGATGGAGAATCCTCTTCCCCGGGAACTCGGTCAGTTGAGTGAGCTGGAGGTGATGGATGTGTCCCGGAACAGTTTTGCCGGTCCGATACCGTTGGAGCTTGCAAATTGTACAAAGTTATCGGTTCTTGTACTATCAAACCTATGGAATCCTCTTCCGACGGGTTCGAGTTTAGCTGGATATCCTACGGAAGATTATAATTTCTACGAGGGATCGGTCCCTGCAGGAGTCACAAGGCTCCCGACATTGAGGATGCTGTGGGCTCCGAGAGCGATGCTGCAAGGGAACTTTCCCTCGAGTTGGGGATCTTGCGACAAATTGGAAATACTGAACTTGGCGGAGAATTATTACGTTGGGGGAATCTCCGAGGGGATTGGAAATTGCCGTAATCTGCATTTTCTTAATTTGAGCTCGAATAGATTGAGTGAGGGGATCTTGGACAGAATCCCGGTTCCTTGTATGACTCTCTTTGACGTCAGCGGTAATTATTTGTCGGGTTCGATTCCGCAATTTAATTACAATGCTTGCGCGCCTGTCCAGCCTGTGCGGGGGGATGTCGTATATCCTTATGATCCGTCATCTGTGTATTTATCGTATTTTGAATACAGAACAAAGATGGAAAGCCCTTTCCAGTTGTATGCAGATGGAGATGCTTTGTCGGTTTCACATAATTTTGGTTCTAACAGCCTTAATGGCACGCTTCCGACATTGCCAATCGCAGCTGAAAGATTTGGAAAGCGGACTGTGTATGCATTTATTGCTAGCGGGAACAACCTAACTGGGGCCTTTCCGGTAGCTTTCTTTGAAATGTGTAATCATGTTGGAGGCGTTATCATTAATGTCTCGAGCAATGGATTATCCGGTTCGGTCCCTACTGATGTTGCGATATTGTGCAAATCTTTGATGCTTCTAGATGCTTCCAGTAATCAAATTACTGGGAGTGTTCCTCCTGGCATCGGCAGTTTGGCTTCGCTCTTTGCTCTCAATTTGAGCTGGAATCGTATCCAAGGTTCGCTTCCTAACAGCCTTGGACAGATTAAGGATCTCAAATTTCTCTCTTTTGCCGGTAATAATCTGATGGATTCGATCCCTGTGAGCTTGGGGCAGCTACACACACTGGAATATCTTGATCTGTCTTGGAATTCACTGTCTGGTGTGATTCCGAAAGAGCTTGTGAATTTGAAGAGCTTGAAGACTCTACTCTTGAACCATAATAAGCTCTCGGGGATGTTCCCGGCAGGATTGGCGAACATTTCGACTTTGTCGGCGTTGAATGTCTCCGACAACAATTTGTCGGGGCTGTTGACTCTTGGCAACAGTGCGATAAAATGCAACAGCTTCGATGGGAATCCTTTCTTAAATTGCTCGAAAGCATATTCGACGCCGAGTCAACAAGGAAGAACAAGCGACGAGCAATCCGCCTCTTCGCCTCCATCGCCAACTCCGAGCCCGAAAGGAGGGAAAGGCAGGTTTAATGCGATCGAGATTGCGTCCGTCACTTCTGCAGCCGCTATTGTGTCAGTTCTTGTAGCGCTTATCGTCCTTTTCTTCTACACCCGGAAGTGGAAACCGCGGTCGAGAGTGAGCGGCACCGTGCGGAAGGAAGTGGTCACTTTTATGGACATCGGCGTTCCGTTGACGTACGAGTCGGTCGTGCAAGCCACCGGAAATTTCAACGCAAGCAACTGTATTGGCAGCGGTGGCTTCGGGGCAACGTACAAGGCGGAGATTGCGCCGGGGGTTCTAGTCGCCATCAAGCGCCTTGCGATTGGACGGTTCCAAGGCTTTCAACAATTCGACGCCGAGATCAAAACTTTGGCTCGTCTCCGTCACCTGAATCTCGTGACGTTGATAGGATACCATGCCAGTGAAGCCGAGATGTTTCTTATATACAATTATTTACCCGGCGGAAACCTCGAGAAGTTCATCCAGGAAAGGTCGACTAGAGCCGTCGATTGGAGAGTACTCCACAAGATCGCATTAGACATCGCCCGCGCCCTCGCGTACCTACACGACGACTGCGTTCCGCGTGTTCTCCATCGCGACGTGAAGCCCAGCAACATCTTACTCGACGAGGACTACAGCGCGTACCTCTCCGATTTCGGACTAGCCCGGCTTCTGGGGACGTCGGAAACTCACGCGACGACGGGTGTTGCGGGAACCTTCGGATATGTCGCCCCCGAGTACGCGATGACGTGCCGGGTCTCTGACAAGGCTGATGTCTACAGCTACGGGGTTGTACTCCTTGAGTTGCTTTCGGACAAGAAAGCGCTCGACCCGTCGTTTTCTTCGTTCGGGAACGGATTCAACATCGTAGCGTGGGCGTGTATGCTCCTGCGGCAGGGTCGGGCGAAGGAGTTCTTCACAGAGGGGCTGTGGGATGCGGGGCCTCACGACGACCTGGTGGAGGTGCTGCACCTGGCGGTGGTGTGCACGGTGGACACGCTGTCGACGCGGCCGACAATGAAGCAGGTGGTAAAGCGGCTGAAACAGCTTCAACCGCCGTCGTTGTAGCAGCGAATTGAAGGTAGATTGATAGATAGTTAGGTAGGTGCGTGGGGTTCGTTGTTGTTGTTGAGAATGTTGAAGCTTAGGTACCTGTAAATTTGTAGTGCAGTTTTGCCCCCATTTTATTGCATCTGGTTTGGGGTCTGGTTGGTTGGTTGGTAATGAATGGTATATAGGACGGTGTATACTTAACTTGTACTGCTGATCACCACTACGACTTGTATTATTATTACCTGTTGCAAATTAATAACAATGAACAGGAATTTTTATTTTATTTGGAAAAAAAGGAAAACTAGTTTTCATTATTTTCCGAATAACAGTTACAGATACTGGGCCGGGAAGAAATGGCCTTGGGATGGGCTGAATGACGCGTAAAAGCGTGATTTTGAAAAACATGGACAAACACGCAAAAGCGTTTGTTTATAAAATAATTATTAATAAAAGCTCCCGGCGAGGATCGAACTCGCGACCTTTCGCTTACGAAGCGAACGCACTACCACTATGCTACGGAAGCTCACATGCTTAGCAGTTAAATTATATAAAGTTTGACCTATTTTTAAAGTTCAAATGCTTGGGTTGGGTGAGTACAAATTACATTTAAATCATGACTGCACGCCTATTCATTAGACAACTGGATAGGGTCCCTCCACTGCAACTCTGGATTATTGTTATTGTTATTATTATTTTAGTTTATTAGTAGTAGTACACTATCGCTATATATATGACTGCCTGAGGCTGAGGGACATTTATCTATTCATCACATTTAATTTAATTTCTCCCACACTCAGGAACTAATCACACAATATTACTTATGTAAGTATTTGATTTCCTGATATATTTATTGGTATAATAATTAATTTGATAATTATGCAACGTACGCACACTTGTAGGTGTAATAGAAAAGACAGATTTGAATAGTGAATTGAAGTTAGAGAGAATAACAAGAATAAAAACTCAAGTCATGATCCACAATTCCCTTAAAAGGAAGCAACAAGAAAATTCTCTACAGTTTGTTTTCCGTTTAAATAAATAAAATCTAGTCCTAGCTCCTGTGCTGTGCTGTGCAGTGTGTGTGAATTCATCTCCACGCCAGTGAAAACGACAAGCAAACCCTAATGGGAATAAATAACAAATTAATAAATTAGAAAAAGGATGGCAAAGAGATTTCAATGAATGCACTCTGTGGATAATTCAAAATATGGCAGCAGAGATAGTGAACTGTACTAACCTTTTCTCTCTAGTCTTTGACCATATATATATATCATTTATTTATTTTCTTTAAGGCTGGATTCAAGTAATTAATACTACAGTATCTATGGTCATACATGTCTTGATCTTCTGATCCCGCTTGAGCAAACTCCATTCTTGTTTAGTTCGTTCTTAGGACTGAATTTTGAGTTTCACAACGTATGCCATTCATAATATCATCATCCCCGACATCCATTAAAAACCTTCACATGCTAACATTTATATGTGCGTCTATATAAATATACATACAGCAGCAGTCGTCATATCACGCATCTTTACATCTCACTCAGATTCAGATTGCATTGTCAACTACGATGAAGAGAAAATATATATATGTAGTACATCACCAGTGGACCCTTTATGTTCAGATAACTGATCCAATTCTTAACCAAGATTCCTCGGAGATATATAGATAGCTAGATAGATAGGCCATCTTGTTTGCTCAGAATAATAATTACTCATGAAATTAAAGAAACTTGGCCAATTATTAATTAATTACAATCTGCAAGAAAATGATCGATTGGATATATCGAACCCTTAATTAATTAATGATTTGTGGGGTGGGGTTTGTAATTGATTAATTTTTGTATTAAAAGAGATGTGTCACTGAGAACTCTCTGAACAAAAGTCACCTGTCTGAGAATTGAGATAGATAGATATGGTTTGGCCCCGGGACCGTTTTAATTTGTTTGGGCGTTAATGCATGTGAGCAGAACCCCAACAAAACCAAAAAGAAAAAAACAACTTTTTAATAAATTACTTTGTCTCGAGATTCGTTCGGATCGATCACTGCCTGTTTAGTCATCATTTGTCCAGAGACAGCCTTCTTCCCATTTCCTCTTCTCTGCCTGGAAATATGTCTCACCAAAGCTTGACAGACGTATGAGTTTCAATGAGTTTTCATACTCATCTGTTAATTAACTTATAAGTTCTTAGCTATCCCCCAATCATTGTGTATAGATATATATATATATATATATATGCATTGTGACCTAATTAAGATTAATTGGTGATTTATCATTGACTAAGTTGTCTGCCTCATCGATGTTAGTTAGAGAGGAAGACGACTGGAACTGATCTTAATTAGGATTGAAATTATTGGTGCTGCTGTTGGAAGACTATTATTATAGATTTATTATTATTATTTTTTTCAAGCAAGAAAGATCAAATTAAGTTGTTGATAGAGTGAGAAAAATTCAGTGACCTAATGATTGATCAGGCAATGGTTTCAACAGCTCCGATCCATCTATATTCAATTATTATTTCTAGGGTTGATTTAATCTGTCTTCTTCTGAATAGGTCGCCATATATATGATGATGCTAAAAAAAGAAGCACATTTTAAATGCTTATGGTCACAAAGACAATCTCGGTTTGGCTAATTAAGATATATTTATATATATGTATCAATACAAATCATTTTCCTCATCAAGAAAGGATCTTGGCATTATGTCTTAACTATTCATCATGGATTTCAACAATTCATCAGTGCTGTCCTTGAATATTAATCCCCTCTGATGTGATCAGAATATATATATTATAATAATAGAGATCAGAGTGGTCCTCCTTCTGCAGTAGTTGATGAGGGTTTTTATGGACAATCAAGGTTGGTACCTCACCATCAAGGTGAGGTTACTTTCACTCTAAAGTCCGAAAGAATTCAAGAAAAAACACACACACACACATATATATATATATATATAATATTTGTCTTAAGTGAAGTTGTCATGGATCCCAAATCAATAATTTTGATAGTTACTTGTGTTGCTAGACGACTATGTTGAAGACCATATATATAAAAATCTATTATCTAAATTTCAAACTCGAATGATCACAAGATTAGCTAGTCCTCATCATGTGTCAAAAACATTAATCTTATGTTAGTAACTTAGTATAGTTTTGTGACATACTTATTAAGTTATGACATTGTAATGAATTGTCAATTAGCCTTCGGATGAAGCCGAAGAGAAGGGAAGGGAAGAAAAGAGAACGCGTGCATAAATGTGTCAAGCCATGTGACAAGTACGTAAGCTACCTTAATGGCTTGGATCCGTTGTTGTCGACAAAGCATCAAAGTATTATTTAAGTCTATACTAGAAGCGTGCAGGAAGAAAAAATGGTCCCGGTGGATAAAGCGCGAAAGTCACACTTGCGCTCTCGCTAGCTCGTGCTAGACTAGCAAGAAAAGTAAACATCAAGCGATAAGCGATTCATTTAACACGCGCGAGCGATTTCAACTTGTTTTACTTCCACAACTAATTAATTAGGCCTATCGATTATATATGTAGTGGTAGCAAGATAGGGTGCAGTGTTTAATTTGATTTGATAAGATATATATCGGAAATTGGCATATATTGGATGCCCGCGTACACGTGGCTCCATTCGAACCTTTCCTTGCCTTTCGATGGGAGATGGCGTGGCCGGTGAATGGCCAGCATCTTCTTTAGTTCCTCCCCCTTTCACACATACATTTCTTACAAGCTTAATTTGCTTGTGAATTAATATATTTGTCTTTCTATGTGCAACTCTCTTTACTTTTCGAAGAAGTGTTTTGTATATCTATCATCATATTTGGCTTTCTCAAGGTCAAGGTTGAGAAATCACATCCAGTTTTTGCATCTCTTGATTAATTCTGAAGATGAACTCTCCAAGAATTTAGCATATGCTTAGATTCTAACAAGGTAATAAGAGTTTTAAGTATTTCTTATGATTCCTTCAATCGGTATATGATGTCTGAATCTCAGTTTGTTAAAAAAAACCCATAAAGATCCAGAATCAATTAGGTTAATTAGCTGCATCTGGTTGTAATCTGTTCCACTTTATGTTCAGAGATCGAAGAACTAAAGAGAGGGTTTCCATAAAGAATTGAAACAAATGATCTTTATCATGATTGGGATATGATGATTCCAAAAGAAACAGATCTCAACAAACTGGAAATCAGCAGCTCATCAGATCGTGCCAAGAACTTCAAGCTCCCATCCACCACAACTTCGTCATCAACTCCATCCTCATCTGCATCTGCATCATCTTGGTCGAGGCTAAAGGATCCTCGAGTGGTCCGCGTGTCGAAGGCCTTCGGCGGCAAAGACAGGCACAGCAAAGTATGCACCGTGAGAGGCCTAAGAGACCGGCGCGTGCGCCTCTCCGTCCCCACCGCCATTCAGCTCTACGATCTCCAGGACCGGCTAGGCCTCAACCAGCCAAGCAAGGTTGTCGATTGGCTCCTCAATGCTGCCAAGCATGAAATCGACGAACTCCCCCCCCTCGAAATTCCTCCGGGGAGCTTCCAGGCAATGGCGGAAAGAGAAGGCTGCAGAATCAAGGCCAGCGCCGGCGCCGGCGCCGCCGTTAATTGGAGCAGTGAACCTAATTTGAAACAGGCGAAGCTGTTCAAGGAAGCTTCGGGAGAGGCCTGCAATGGCGATAGAGAAGAAAGCAATTGGGGAAGAAATGATCATCTGGAAAACTCCTCCTTGTCAGGTCTTTTGAATTCTTCCATCTCTTACAGCTCTTGTCTCCGGTGGGACCCTTCCAACCTGACGCTTTCCCACCCGCCGAGAAGCAACGGATTGACGGCGCCGGAGGATTGGCAGCACAATTTTGGATTAATTCCGGCCTCCGCGACGCCGTCAGCTTCTCATCATCAGGTGCTGGTTTATCAGCCTGGATTGACGACGCAGCAGTATTTCCACCCACAAATCTCAGGCGGGAGTTCGGATTTTGATTTCAAGGAATTGAATTTTCAGAGTTCACAATTGTCGTCTTCTTCCCCACCTAAATCCTCCTCGGCCCAGCCTGGCAGGTCCATCCATTACAGCACCACTGTGAATCTCCTCCCTTTGCAGAACAACGATGGCGACCAGCAAAACAAAGGCAATATGTGATTGATCATTAATTCAAATTCACGACTCTCTTTGATTTCATGTTTTGATTGATCATCCGCCGCGAAAATGCTTGTAAAGAAGCTGATACAAGTGATTGATTATTCAATGAGTTACTCAGGTAAGCCGAATTTGCCTCTCTCTATCTCTCTCTTGATGAGAGTACAAGCTAAGGATGAACATTCTGAACATTACATTACATCCTAATCCCATAATTTGGTAGTTTTTCTGAAAAATATATGAGAGTTTCACAACTGGTGCCCAAATTTTCTAAGTTCTTGATTAATCTATGATGTGCAATTTAGGGCACAAACTCTACATTTTAATCAAATATATGTGGCATGATCATCATTTCATGTAAAATCAATTAACTATAATTACACACCTAATGATAATCTCATTATTTTTTTGATGATTAATGATGATCTTATTATTGTTTTTCTATATTGTGGCAAGAGCTATCCCACTATAAATACCTTCCATTTTTTTTCCAAAAATATCATTTTGATGATTTGAACTATTCCATCGGACCACAATGAAGCTCAAGGGGCTCCATGTATGACTACTTTGGTGTCATCCCTCCGTGTTTTATTTTCTAACTTACAATGATTATCAATCTTTGCTGATCAAGATATGCTCCAAATTTGCAATCCATTGATGAATAAGACAATTGAATCCATGTAAGTAATACTGTCAACTTTATGCAAAAAAATCCAACCATCTCACTTGACAATTAATTAGTTCACACTAATTTGCCAATATAGGATTGTGGTCCAAAATAATTAAAATGGAAATAGGGTTAAAATATTCATGAAACTTACCGTATTACGTATAATAATAATTATAGGTTAAAAAAAATAAATAAGGAAAAGCGCGATTCACCAAATGCGACTTTAGCATAATAAACATGGGAAATGAAAAACTCAGCTCCCGGCGAGGATCGAACTCGCGACCTTTCGCTTACGAAGCGAACGCACTACCACTATGCTACGGAAGCACATTTTATCTCTGTGCGCAAAATTAAAATATTCTCTAAATCAAAAAGAAAAGATCCTTTCTGTCATTCGTATGCAATGCGTTATTGCTTATGCAAGCGAGGGCTTAATCGTGGATGAATCTCGTCTGGTTATTTGCCACAATTCAACTCCGTAATAGATTTACCGCATCATCGATAAACCAAGGTAGGTTTGGGAATTAATTGATTGGATTATGTGTTTGATTACAGATATCGTGCATGTTTGTTAAATCTGGAAAAAGCTGTAACCGGGAATGGCGGAAATATGCACTATATATTCCACTTGTAGTAGTAATTCTGCATCATGCATCTCCTGGACGCAGGTTGCAGTCCAGGCTGAAGATTGCAGTGCCTTTCAGGCTGGAAATTGTTCGGAGTTTCGTCTGATTTGAGGTACGTCTTCTTTGAGTTTACTTTCCCCCATTTTTGGTGTGGTTTAAATTCGATCGATTTAGTGATGTGCGCTTGATAGTTGATTATTGTTTCAGTTGTGGCAGTGGTTAATTTGATCGATGCGTCGCCGGTGGCAATGTGGAATTGGGGAATGAGATAATGCTTTGAACGTTTTGAATTAGGGTTGACCTGCTGCTTTAGATCATTTTTTTGCCCTTGGAGTTTTTGGCTCGAGGAATGAATTGGTTGATTTTTACCACAAAGCTATGTAAGGAAATGTTTTTTGGCGTACTCTTGTTAGTTTGCATATTTTGTTGGGGAATTTATGTTTGATAATGTGGAATCAATTGAGTGGAAGTTTATTGTTGTTTTGCTAGACGGCTAATATCCAGCATTTGTGTGACCGCAGATCTGCATGATTTTGTGCCGTGGGTTTAAATAATGTACTCTGTTCTGTGGTATACATGTGATTTTGTATCTACGTGTTTATTTGATGCCTTGTTCGGCATGTATTAATTAATTTCCAAAACAGTGGTAGCAAACAGTGGACTTGAAGATTCCATTTACAGCCTTATTATTCCGTTGGCGAAGTTGAGTATCTAATGAATCACAACTGGGACATTTCGACAGACTTGGTGGTTTTTTTTTATTTTGGGGTTCACTTTTTCCATTTTTCTATGCATCTTTGTATATCTTCTGCATGTATGGGTTATCTGTTGTGGTTTACAATATTCATTAGTGATCATATATATGATACTACAAATTAATGCATTATTGTGAAGACTTGAATTTATGCAATCTAGGGATTCCATTGACAGAAAACTGGATTCAGAGCTGGGTATTTACAATGGGGTTTTTTCCCTTTTCTTGTATGTTATTAAAACAGAATACATCTATACCTGCTCATTTCTGCCTTACCCATAATTTTTCTACAATTTCATTTATCATGTGGTTTGCAACAGCATACTGGTGGCCATCTTGATCTGCACCATGGCATAACCATCTGCATTGTTAAATCTTGGTTCTCAAAACATGAATGCTGCATTATTTCCATGGGAATGGCTAAGGAGTGTGCAGTAAATGAACTGCAGAAAGTGAATGGTTTGGAAGCGTGCCTAACATAACAGCGGTTGCGATCAAAATTTTGCTCATGTCGTGTGTTCTTGATATTTATGAACAAGGTGTAAGACCTTTTGTTGATAAAGTGCATTTGTACATGATTGTGAATGAAACAATATTCGTGGTATGCCATCATTCAACTCCTCCTATGATAGACCACAATGTTGGCACCTCTTTTGTGATTCCATGGGTAGGACTGAATAGTTGTGGCAGATCCGAGAGGTGGATAGTTAATTTTTATTAGCTATGTTTAATTGTTTTTCCTTGCAGTTTGATAGAAATACATTTAGTGAACAGATAGACAAGAACAGAGTGCTTCCATTAAGCAGGTTTGGACTTCTGTACTCTTAATTTTAAGAACAAATTTACTTTATGCTCAGTAAGGGGGGACAAGCATACATACTAACAGGCAGGAAAATGGAAGTACTACTAGCTAAATAGTTGTCTGCAATGCTTCTTTGGTCGATCACAGACCCTAATAGCTTCACCTGCTATTACTTCATTGATCAGATCCTTAAAGATTTGGCGTTCAATATCCAACACCAAAGCTGGAAACTCACTACTGCAGTCTGCCCAATCATCAAACTGATAAAGGATATCACCATTTAAGAGTCTTGCCACGGCCTTTTTTGCACTGTCAGGATTGCAAACTGGTATGCTGCACAGATGGTCTATCTCCAAATATACTTCTTTCAACAGCATCTCTGGACTTTTACTATGTTCTCCCATAGTATATTTACCTGAATGGATTTTTCTCACCAGTACTTCATCTACTATATCAGAAATGATCCTTGTTTGCACTTTCTTATTTAGCTGCATGTTATCATTCATCAAACCCATCTGTTCAAGAGCATGGAAGATATCAGGATTTATCAAATGGCATGAGGGAAGGAGATGATCAGTGGTTGAGAAGAATGCTGATTCTTTAAGAAGTCCTGGTGTCAGTAGTATCTTAGTGATATATCTGTGTTCTGGATTGCATTTTCCACATGTTAATCCATTGTCATTTGTCGCAATAATATCAGGTTCCATGTGCAAGAAACTAAGCTCACGATCTGCAGGTTTCATCTTCTCTATCTTCTGATTGTACTTGCAATTGTGATAAGATCTTCTGCATGCTGCTGAAAGTTTGGAGTTCTTCAGGGTCCATTCTGCTTCACCAGGACTTGAACTCTCATCTTTATGCAATAAAAGATGCCAGTAAGTTTATGCATTGCCAGTTCAAACATGAATATGACAAAACTGTGAAATGTGTGGCTTATTTGGTTTCTAACTTTCTTATATTTAGTTGTTTGTTATTGCCTTCTTGATTTTATTTCAAGCATGAATATGACAAATCTGTCACGTATGCAGCGTATTAAGTTTCTAACTTTCATATACTTAGTTATTATATATGTTGATTTATGTAGTCTTGTCTTTTGACTTTGGTTCCTTGATTCTATTTTACAACATCTTAAATCGTTCTATGTGGAAACTGCAAACTAAATAGAAATTTTGTCATGTCGTGCTGCTCAAATAGTTTCATATTAGTTAGAAAAAAAAGAAAAAGAAAAGGAAAAAAAAGCATATCATAAATCTGAAATTAGAAGTTCAAAAAATGATGCAAGTAGTATAACAATACCTTGAGAACCTATTGATATCCTTTTTGCTGGAGATGGTAAATCTTCATTATAAAATGTATCATCAAGAACTGAGCTGGGACTTGGTTGTTCCAACAAGGTTGCCCCATTTTCAACTGCACATATGTTATTTCTTCTTATGGATGCGGATTTCTGTAGATATACAAGCTGATCGGTCAGCTAATGGGGTAAAGGAGTGAAACAATTGTCTAATATAGCAATCTACTTTGTTTTTACATACCTCTTTTAGTTTAACATGTGAAAAGCTCGAGGTGACCAGGCCAGTGACTGCCGCTTCTGCCTGTGAGAGTTGGCTGCTGTTGCCTTTTAATTTCACGGAAGCTATGTCTCCTTGGTCACTTGAGCCTCTGGTAAAGCTGCTAAGTTCACTCAAATGGTCAGCATTTGACTGCAAAGCCTTTGCTTTCCCTCTGTGGTTTCTGTTTTTGGCACCTTCCACAGCGAGTTTTTTACTGGATGGCCTTCTGACCCTATGTGAATCCAACAACAGAATGGTTGGATAGTTTTCTTCTTCTATCCCAGATGGATTATGCTGTAATATTGCACTTGCCAGCCCAAAACTCCTTCCAGAATTGATGGTAGTTTCCAGGGTCACGCAATGGGGTCCTGCCAAGGTCTTTTTTGCTTCTAAAGTTCTCCAATCAGTCTTCTTATGAGGCAAAGGGAGATGCCCACTGGGGTCTTTCACATTATTGCTCTTTGCTGAGCAATATTTTGCTTCTGGTTTGTGAGCTGAAATTTTCCTGCGATATATTGGTTCCGGAGTTCGGCGTCTTTGCGGTTCCATCATTGGGGTCTGTGTAGCAAGATTGTCTTTATACTTCATGGTCAGATTTGAAGAATCTGATTGCCTTGGCATACAAGGGCTGTTGATGGTAGATACTTTATGACAACTCTGTACATTTTCCTCCATCAAAAAATTTGAGTTCTGACCAGAGTGATTGTCCTCCAAACTACATTTAAATCCTGTGTATTCTCCTCTTTGGTTATCCAACTTTTCTCCTTTTTTATCTATTGCTTCAAGTATCTGTTGTAGAGCCCGGAGATCTGTACCTGGCTGTTTGAATTGAAGCTCTTTTATGCACTTCTCAATTTCACCATAAACTGAAGAAGATAGATGTGAGGCACTTGTTGCTTTTGTAATTGGTGTACTCATTGGCTGGGATCCTTTCCTGACATTTTGTAGCTTCCGTACTTGTTCCACTGGTAACTTTGAAGATGCAGTCAATTTCCTCTCATTATTGGCATTAGGCAATCTTGTTGAAGATGTGCCAGAATGGCCACAAGGGGAGTAAGTATCTTGACTTTGTCTGCTCTGCCATCGCCCTTCTGAGGGAATTGTTTGTTGGAGTGTCTCTAAACCCATAAGCCTTGCTACAATGCTGGAAGATCGATGCTGACTCACAGATTCTTGGTTGGATAGGAGAGGTTGGATGAGGCTCTTGATTTCCATATGCTGATCCTGACCAGGAAAATTTAATTTTGATTCGCAGGCTGAACTCTTCAGTGAACTTGATTTACTATCCACTGATAATCTTGTCAACTCTTTGTGCTTCATGTCCTGCTTAAGCTTTTCTCGTGATTCTTTTCCATCATAAGAGAAACAAGGAAGAGCCAGTTTCTCTTGCATAGACTTCTCCCGGTCCTTAACAAGAGCTTGAGTTGATCTCTCATAACCTTTGGCTTTAGGATTTCCTGTTTTGAACTTCTGCAAGGGCCGCGGAGAATCAATGTGCTTCATTGCAGTGCCTCTTATTTCATCAGTATCCAGGTGTTTTATGGACATGCCACGAGCTTCTCTGTACATTGAATCCTTCACTATATCTCGAAGATCAAGTGACTGCATGGTCTTTGTCAATGGAGGCTGTCGCTCTTTTTTAGCAATGGTCTGCAATATGTTTTCAGGTATGTTGATTTGTCCCTGAGAAAGTGTTTCGGAATGAGCTATCCTATTGCAGTCAACTGATGAGAATGTAGATGTTGAACATGTAGATGATGAACAGGATGGTCGGGATGACTCAGTGGACATTCTTGGTTTCTCCTTCAGAGGCTCTGAACTTTTTCCCTACGAGAGGTAAGAAATTTAATTGCCTATGAGAAAATCAATTCATGGTAGACAACACCGCGAAATGGGTGCCTTAATATTTTGTAATCCAAGAGAAATAGTTATGCTTAGTCTTACCATATTATTGTATCCCTGCTGGTGACCTGCATGTTTGTCACATAATTAAAACTGAAGCTTTCTTTGAAAAATGGTGAATAAAATCTGAGTATTCATGCAATATGTCATCTTACATGATTTGTTATAACAACTAATCACATATGAATTTGAAGAATTCTAAGCTCTCCATAGTGTCACGGGCTAGATTTTCAGTCCTTAACAGTAACAAACCATGTCATTCTGGCCTTTGTAGTGTTTGATATCATTCCACCTCAAGTAGAAGCAAGCATGACTGCTTACACCTTTGTTAGAAAGATACATACACATGATTTTATAAAATTATGGTCTTAGTATTCTCTAATGCATTTCTGCCTTTAACAGGATATTTTTTATCCTGGTTTCCAGTCTCACTATAAGACCCCATATCCAATATATGATCAAATACTATAGTGAGCCTCAGAGAAACAATTTTTGTATTATTATTCCTAATCTTCAATTCTTGGCTGTGTGAGTTGAAGATTAAGTACATAAAATTACCTTGATGTAGCCTTCTGCTGTTGTGGATGCTAGCACGCTGGCCAGTGATAAAGTGGTGACGATCAAAGAGTTGAATAATTCCATTAATGCATCCCATCTGCTTCTTCAGGTTTTGATTGCCATCTGTTGCAGACGACAATGCTATTGCAGGTATCCTTTCATCTTCCATTAATGTCCAAACTAAGGACTTTTGTATTTGCCTCCAATTCCTTGTGGGAGCATTACACAAAAACTCCTAGAAGGTCTCCTGATTAAAGACAATCATGATGCATGCGCTGTTAGTACTGAGATACAGTTTTTCTGCAGCTTGACAGATGCATAAGGCTTGTTTTAAAAACAGGAGACAGAGCACTTACTAGGAAATGGGAATCATTTGGTATATGACTGACCCAAAATGGATTACTTTCCTGGATTCCAGCTATGAAGTCAGATAGCGATAACTGTTGAATGAAACCAAGGTATTGTTAGAAAAAGAAACTGGAGAATAGATACATCCCAATTCTGATTACCCAGGTGTCAAACAACTGTCGATGCTGCAGGCATAGGGTAAGATCAAGAGGTGATATTTTTGGGTTCTCACTCGGAATAATATGAAATGAAGCCTACCTAAACGGATGTTTCTTATTTGAATATGAAAGTGCAATTTGCAAATTGAATTATTTTAGACAAGCTTATATCTTCTTAAAAATAGCTAGCCATTGTACCGTCACCAAATTTCTTGTTTAACTGTTAGCTCTCTACAAGGAAAGGCAGCTCCTGGATGGCGGATGGTTGAGCTCTTAAAGGGAATGCATATACTAGATTTGATAAAGGTTAGTACTCCAAATTTATATGAGAGAGTGTGAGTAAGATCTAGTGTGAATATGTGGGACATATTTTCACTATTCATTTTCTGTCATTTCCACGTGAACATAACAATAAGGGTGGAGCCTGGACCTCTTCTGGGCATGTGGACTCTGTCAGGTAATGGTAAGAAAGTGGCTTGATGCCACTGGCAATCTCTTTCAACTGTTTCTATTTCCGCCTCAATACCCAAAAGCAACATTATTATTTGTCAGGAAAAAAAATAAAGGCAGGTGACATCATAATTCCTCCTAGATTATTCACCTATTTGGATTGGTATGTAGCCATTGAGCTTTCCATTCATGTTCTTGGTAATGACATTCACATACAGTTAAAGTTTTGGGACATAGCAATTTGATGGGATTATGAACTGTGGATGGCAACTATTAACGCATGAGAGTAGTGTGGGTATAGACTTATAGTATTATCAGCTGGCAAGTAATAACTTTTGTGCAAAAAGTTGTCAACTACTTTTTTATTGGGTGGTTGAAATTTGATCTGAGTGTCATGCATTATTTCTGTTGCCATAATAAAGATTAGCAGCTTCTGTACAATGTTGTTGAAAGTATTCAATGCTTGTTTTTCTCAGGCAAGTTCATTTAGTTGGAGAAGGACTTCTCTTTGGTATCATTTACTTTTGGACTTTACTAGAAGCTCCGGATCCCATTAATGTTTCTGTACCTGTGATTCATTACCTCGCTCATTTGCTTTTAATCTATATGCTAAATCATTCTCCTCACAGTTTGGCACCTCTTTTCTGTAGGATCTGTGTCGCATTCAGCCTTTTTTGGTATAAGATGAGCACATATGGTCAACAACTAATCAGGTACCACAGCTGAACTTATGAAAGTAATTATATAGAGACTTATAGATTTCTGTGGGGATTTAAAAAAATAAATAAATAAAAAGAACTTTATTTGATTAGGCAAGGACAGTGTGTACAGATTTATAGTTTTCACTGCATCAAATGTTGCCAAGAATTTGCCTGCTTATTGCCCTTCTCCAATCAATGCCCCTTGTCTCCATTTCTCTTTTGTTTCTTTCAATAACAATCATGGTACTACTCACCAGATGTCACTCATTATCATATAAAAAAAACCTAGGTTGAAATTGAGTATTATTTGCTTTTTATAATTACACTCCCATCTGACTTGTTTGCAAAAACAATTCCCATTTTGAAATTTGAATAGGTATTTTGAATTGAGTATTCCCATAGATGAAAATGTGAGTGTGTGGGGTTGGGGGGAGGAGGGGGGGACGTGGGGTTGGGGGTGTGATGGAGTCATGGTCATGAAAACATGATGTGTGGTGCAAAGTGAGGGGAGGCCATGAGGGTTGCCTCAATTTGATGAGGCAAGACCAAATATGAATGGATATGTAATATGTGTGTGTATATATATTTATATAGATATAGATATAAAAGCTGTCTTAATCAAGCCACTAGCTAAGACTATGTTCCAAGAAACCCTGTCCCACTAAAACAACATTATTGCTACACAACCCTTCTCCCCACTCGACCCCTTCCCCACCCAATCAATCATGTGGCTGCTTGGATAATTACTGGAGGGATCTTGGCTGGTCAAAATGCACGACTCCTTTGAAGATAATACTAGTGTCTTTTAAAATTGTGTTGTTTTGATTTATTAAAATGATGGGGTCTGATTTTATTAGATCTAATTTGAGGTTGTTAAGGAATCTAATTTTCTTGGTGGTGGAAATCCTCTCAAATCTTGTGGATCCATCCTCCTTGGATTGTATCTTTAATTATTTTCAAATTGATAGTAAAGGTGATGTGTGGATATGCATCTAAACCTACTTTCTCAAGTATGGTAAAAAGCGAAGTGGCAATCATGGTATTGCCGGCCCCACAAATAATAGGAAATGTTCACTACCCATCATGTACTTGACCATGGTATGTTTTGTCTGCGTTTTGCAGTGATTTATGCTTGAATCTCTTTAATGTAGCTTTGCTTGGATTTATATAGATATCCAAAATGCAACATGGATATTTTTCCAAAAGTAGCTGCTACTGTAACATAAATAGTGCATGCCTATTAATTCATGAAAATATCATTTATAATATGAACTTATAACATAACTTTGATTATAATTTGTTTAAAATTAATAAATTTGATGAGGCAAGGGACAAACATATTAGTATTTTAAAGTTTGATGGAGCGCCATTAGCCACGGCTAGATGGAGATAAAATATATGGGCATTTATTTTATGTAAACATTTATTGGGCCTGGAAGGAAAATAATTTGGGACTTGACGAGAGAGATTTAAGCCAACAGAACAGACATACGGCTCTGTTGGTATGGGCCGACAGAACGTGGCCATGTTAGATGGGCTAGTGTGTACAAAATTTTGGGCCGAATAACATGTGGTTCGGTCATTTATGGCCCGACAGCATGCGGCCATGTTAATGGGCTAATGTGGACAAACTTATGAGCCGAATGAGCTAGACACGTGGCTGTTGGTTATGGGCCGACAGCATGTGGCCATGTTACATAGGCTAGCGTAAACAGAACTTTGGGCCGAATGGGCATGACACATGGCTGTCGGTTATGGGCCGACAGCATGTGGCTATGTTAGATGTTCTACTGTGGACAGAAATTTGGGCCGGGTGGGCCTGACACGCAGCTGTCGGTTATGGGCCGAAAGCATGTGGCCATATTTGATGGGCTAGCGAGGACAAGTTTATGCCGAATGGGCCTGACACTTGGCTGTCGGTTATGGGCCGACAGCATGTACCATGTTCAATGAGCTAGTGTGGACAGAATTTTGAGCCTGGGCCCCTGTCGGTTATAGGCCGACAGCACATGGCCATGTTAGATGAGCTAGTGTGCACAGATGTTTGGGCCGAATGGGCCTGGCTCTTGCTGTCGGTTATGGGCCGACAGCATGTGAATATGTTAGATGGGCTAGTGTGGACATAATTTTGGGCCGAATGGACCATTAGGAATCTTGCATTGGGCCCAACTGGGTAAGATCTGACAATACATGGCCCAATTAATTATGGGCTGACAGCATGTGGCCATATCACGTGGGCTTGACAACACATTGGGCCTTGAAAAAATTTATTTGGGCCGAATGAGTGTGAGCCAAGATATAAATCATGTCTGCTTTGCACGGACGGCACGTGGCACTGTCTGAAACTGGCAGACAACATGTTGCCACGTCGGATGGGATTAATGACAGACGTATAACGAATACGACCAGCACATTATTCTGTCGGTTATGGGCCGACAGAACTTAGAAATGTTGGACTGCTATTATGGCTGTTGTTTGGGCCACGGATTAATTAATTTGGGCCGAATGTTTATTAGACTGAGTTTATACCACCTTTCTGTTTTTTTGTGACAGCACGTGGCCATGTCGCTTATGGGCCGACAGAACTTAGATATCTCGGTATGCTATCATGGGCTAATTTCGAATGACAAGTTTCGACCTAATGGGTATAACCAGACAACATATATCCTGTCGGCTGGTGGGCGGCAGCATGTGTTTTGCTGTTTAGATAATTGGGCTGAATATATCTTCATATTGGATTATTGGGCCTAGAGGGGATAATGGATACTTTGCTGTTTCAACATACTGGGCCAACACTTTGTATGTTATGTAATGCACAACTCAATTACTCATTATTACGTTCGTAATATAACCCGCCGATTGCAATATTGGCCATGGAAACATGTTTATCAGATAAATAAAATAAAATAAACTAGGGGAAAATCTGAGAATGAATACTTCACAAACAAGGCTGTTCGAGCTGAATCAAGATGAATATTTTGTTTTCAAATTAGACTATATATACTTGGTTTACTAAACCAGTATGGTTAGGGCTGGCAGGATATTTGTGAATCATATTTGAATCAAAATTTTTTGATTGATAAAAGTATTTGCAATATTTAAATAATTCTAATCAAATCGAAATTTATAAAATACATTAAAAAAAAAAAGTAAAATTCCAATTAAATAAAAATATCAAATATATTGTATTTGAATTTGCTCAATCAATAGAAAATTCAATTCGGTTCACCAGTTTGATTCAGTTTTTTTTCACCCATACATTTAATCTTTCACAAACATTTCATTATATATTATTTTAATACAAACGCCAAATTAAATTTTCTCAAACCAAAGTCAAAGAAAATTTCTCAAATTTGAACTTAACTATTTACTATGGATTACGGGCATGGGTTCCATATTGATCCAATCAAATCAATTTGACCGGATAGCATAAATCATACAAATAAACAACATATATTGTATTATCACAACATATTTATAATACAATATATGTGTTATAATATAACACGTATTGTACTATATAAAAATACATATTGTTTACTTTTATAACATATGTTAATCCAGTGAAATCAGCACCGATTTGACTTGATTAGCATGGGATCTGCATTATGGTTGACGGATGGAACTCAAGCATACAACAAGAGAAATGTTTCCTTTTAAGACAGACCCAATTTCTTGTTCCAGTGTTGAGAGAATATAAACAAACAACCCCTTATATTTATTTCCCACAATGTCCGAATTTAGTGTGTTGTTTATTATGCCCAAATTTGTTTGCTATCACATCACTCAGTGATTAAGAATCTCAATCAATTGCATGTGTTTAAACATTAGCCTAATGGGATCAGTAAAAAATGATAGGAAAAAATTAATAATAAAAGACTCGTTGTATTTCCCATGATCAATTAATAGAAAGACTTACTTTGAAATCGAATTAGGAATCACGCCATCACTGTATTCTTGCACTGCATTCGACATAGCCGTTAGAACCTCCAAGTAGAACTCCCAAGACAAGCTAGTCTCATCAATCGCACGTTGTCCATATGGATGTTGCTCGACATAGTTCTGCACATTTTCGGATGCCAACAGCCCTTCTAAGTAGACTGTAAGACCGCCTCCAGGTCCTGCAACGGCAGAGGTTAGATTTTCGAAACAAATGCACATATGTAAGATAATAGAACCTGAAAAACTAGCTTTACCTAATGAATTGTCAAAATCTTTGTCATAGTAATGGTAAGAATTGGGAAATATTGCAGTATGCTTCTGAAAAATAGTAGGAAAAACTATCAGGGAAGCAAGAGAACAATTGGATACAGTGTCTCTAAATAGAGTTCGAAGAAAATCCTACTGGATTCAGCAAGGCCTTGTAAGGAGAGTCATCTAGCAATAGTGTGTTCGACTCATCATAATCTCCCTTCTTCCACAGCGAATTGGGATCCTCATTTTCCCAAATTTTTTTGAGCTCTTTGCAGACCAAAGGTTTATGAATGTTTTCGAGAGTTTTGAATCCTGTTTGAGTGCTGTGAGCCATGTCCTGAATGAAAAAACAAAACTGATAGATCAGCACTAACTGCTTAAATTAGGTCTAATATTGGTAAAGAATGTTTGGTACCCAACAAAATAGCAACTTGTGTTGTAGATCTCCTAGCAAGTAATTAACAACTTTATCAATTAATTTTCTGCATATAAAAAGCATGTTAGAGCATATGAGAAACAGTAACAGAAGAAAGAAAATAAATATTGATTTGAACAAGTACTTGGATCGTGACGACCATATTGCCACATCGAAGTTCTCGAAGCAGAACTTCAGAAAGTGATCACAGAATGGCCTCTTGAAAACTGAAAAGGAAAGATGACTCAGTAAAATGACCGACAATAACAAATTACTTCAAGAAGAGAGTCGACACGATGAAATCTCACTTGCTCGTCCGAATATATGGATGTCTCCTCTACAGCCTTTAGGTGGTGGCATTATGATGTCTGCAAGTAGACCGTTTACATCGAGAACGAGAAGTTTTCTCTTGATGGTAGTAATCGAAGCTTTTCTTAGGTTTTGTCCTAAATCCATTGCTAAACATTCTTCTGCCCTCAGATCAGAAGCACAAACTTTCGAGTTCAGGGGATTCAGTGAAGATGCAGATCCAACCTCCCCAAAATCCAAAGAAACTTCACTAAAAGAAGCATCAAACATATGCACTGATTCAACAGCCTTTTCATCTTTAGTTGAGCTCAAAAACCTTTCACAAGTAGGCGGAGTATCTAGAGCTGCATCCCCAACTTTAATGAACTCACCGCCAGTTGCTTGGCAATCTTTTAAGTGAATCTGTGACATGTCCAAGCTTTGGATTTCATATTTATCTTTCATCTCCTTGTCGAAATTTTCTTCATTAGATTTTCTTGTGTTTTCTGCATTCTCTTCAAGAACATGCCTTTTGTCCATAAGGCATAGCCCCATATTTTCTGGCTTATCCACATTTTCATGTCTTTTTGCCAGTTTTTCGTCCTCGTTAACTTGGGGAATGTCTCTGACTTCAGAGTATTCGACGAGTTGCTGCACTTGTGTATCTTTGTTGTGAGGATTCGTTTCCAAATCATTCCAAGCAGATTCCAAATTACCATCCTTCATTTTTTCCATGACTAGTCTGATTTTCTTAACACTGTTTTCAACTGGATTGTAGGGTGGTTCAATACATCATCAGCATCTGCAGGGTACATTCAAACATGTTTAATTGTGTATTTTGGAGTTTATTTCGCTTTCCTACTTTTCCCTCTCATTGAACTCGAAACATGCATAGAAAGGCAGACATCCATGAAATTAGAATCGTTTTCTTTTAAGCAATGCACTTACCAATGAAAATTTGCACAAAATGCATACCAAGAACATTGCAATAATTAATTACAGTTTAATAATCAGTCATCAGTCAATTGCATCGCCTAAACTCAGGTCTTGTCGTTAACACGAACTATAAACAATATACGAACTCTTCACTGGAAATCAACCAATCGTTAACATTGACAGAGTTAATGATTTAATTCATGCACTCAGTTTCTCGGCATAAATAAAACCAATCCCTCCCCGAAGCGGTTAGCTAATAACGAAAAACTAAAAAGAGCCAATCGCTTCTGCGATCAACACGAAGCTTCAGATTATTACATAGAAAGAGGGAAAAAAAAATCAGATTCAACACAAGCAAAAACCAAAAATAACAATCGGTACCTGCCGGTTTAAGACTCGATCAAAAACAAAAAGAGACTATAATCTCAAATTGGCAATTGATGCATGGCGTGTAGAGCAGTGCAAGGACGTGTACCGACAACCACGCATCCAGAAACGTGTAGAGACCAACATACCTGAGAAGGAAGACAGGACCGAGGCGCTGGAGTGAGATAGAGCAGAACAGCTCACGCTTCCTAGTAGAGGAACTTTCGCGGAAAAGCAGAGTACCGTGAAGAACGGCTTTGAAGCATATTCACCCCGTCTCCACTGCCCATATATATATAATTTTAAAATAATAATAATAAAAAAAAAAAAAAGATTCTAGTAAATAGTACTATATATTTCAAGAGTAGCCTTGACTTGGCAGCGTCTTTTTAAAGCTCAAACGTCGCACTTGAAAATCGAGAATTTATCAGAATGGCAATTAACAAGTTAGTTCATACGCTACGCATGCAAATTATAGTCATCATTTTGTTTTTACTTTTCAGTACATAACCTAACCATTCATTAATGCTCAGCTCAACTCAGCTCCTGCCCCCAAATATATTAACCAACTCTTCAATGCATACATAAATAAGGCGGCGTTTGTTTTCTTTTGGAAAGTTACCTCGTAATATTCCATCATTATTCTTCAAATAACATTGTTATTATCATCATATAATTTATTTCTTTATTTCTAATATAGTTTTCCAAGCATATGTCATGGACAGTTTTAATTCAATCAACATACATCAATAGATAATCAAAAAAGAAATTCAAACTAGAAAAACCTTTCAACGACAAAAGCCAAACTAGCTCGGAGTATTGTCGTATCCGTGCACACGAAGACAAATTAAGGTTGTTAGTTCTTGCCTTGACATTTCTCCAAGAACTAAGGACAAAGATTGGGTGACGATCCCCAACTTCCGGAGCTGATCTTACTATAAAAGGCAGCATCGAAATCTGTCAAGATTCTCCTTAGTTGGAAACTTCCAATCTCGTAAAATGGCGAATGGGTGCGAGGCAGAGATTGGCTACCACAAGCAGCAAAACTTGCTCCGGCGCATCTGAGATATGGGCATGAGTTAGATGTCTTGACAATCATTTTCAGAGATGTCTAGAATGTTTTGGAAAAGACACTATCTTAGGTTGCCGGCATACACTGCTGGCGGGCTAGATGCTCGAAAAACCACATTCATGAAAACCTGCTCCCCTCGACAATTACTCAATTAGGGAGGAAATCCACAAATTAATGTGTACACTTACGTTTAAAATGAATTTTACTTTGGGATCAAACAACAATAGGAAAGCCTATTGTTGCAGCAGTTTGTGATGTCAAAAATCAAGGGCACAAAACAGAAATATCTATGAGGCACTGCAAAATTTTGTATATTGTTACTCTACACTCTGACCAAGTCATTTGAAATGAAAGTAATAGAAATCGAGATGAAGACATACAATAGAAGAGAGTTTGGTGGCCAATTTGGAAAAACTTTGTCTGGAAATGGCCAAACTAGGTATTTCATTAGCATGTATCAATCTAAATCTTGGAAGAGTAAAACAAGTTTTATTTATAGGTGTTCAAACAAAACCCTAACGAGCATGCGACCCGAAATTCATATGGACGAGCCCAAATTTATTTCTTCCTCGGGGACTCCCGCCCCACTTAGACCCTGGCGTACTAGGCTTGGATGTTCAATAATTTATGGATGCAACATCATTACATTATTCTTCTGAGCTATACATTCTAAGAAATTAGAGCAAGGAAAGGGCAATTTTTAACAAGAACTGCAAATTCACAATTGATATGCCTCTCAAGTATCAGCAGAGATTCAATATACTATTTATGAATGTAATCAAGCAGCTAATTAATGTCCCGTCTCAAAAGTCATCGAAAATAAAGTCTGAAGTAAACTACAAACTATAAACTATGTATAATGCTTTGGGAATTAGGTCTTGTGGATTAGGGCAAACGAGGAGACCCCAAACTCGTATCAACAATTAATTTTACCATCATTAATTATATTGGATTGATTGCTTTTATCAATAATCGCACAAAAACACGACACATCTGCCATAGCAAAGTAGATCAATAAGCAATCTCTTCATTCGAATACAACAGACATGATTTAGGCACGCAATTACAAAGTAAAATGCGTTTACCTTCGTATGTGAGATGTGTTAGAAGCTCTCTCAGCACCAAATTGCAGCAGAACGATCGAAAATAAGCCCATGGCAAGGGACTCGATGTGCTTGATCCATTCCATCAAGCAGCCGTGGAGAAATCATCATTTGGATCATCTCCTCCATCCCCACCGGAGCCATAGACGAGTTCTTTTGCCAAAAAAATACGTCGTCGTTTGCGAGATTATTGTAGGCTTGTAGCAGTTGTGTAGATGGGCCTACTGTTTGTCGGTGCATTCACTTGTTTTCGTCCAATCATAATATATATATATATATATATATATATTTTAATAGAAACAATTTAAAATATCTAACAAAATAACAACAATAATATTAATAATAACAAACACACCCCTAAACTCTTCACAAATTCCCGTTGTTGTAATAATATCAATACGCATTTGTATATGTCCAATCCCCTCTCAGTTATTGCAATTGAACCACCAAATTTAAAACCATTTATTTATGATCCCACGGTACTAATCGCTACTAATTAGTAGCTAAGGGCGTCTTTCACAATTAATTAGCTGATTCAATTAGCTGGTTTCACTAGCTGATTCGATTAGTTTTTTTGTATTAAAATATTTGGTAAAATAACTGTTTGATATTAGCTGTTTATACGTAAAATGACAATTGAGAACATTTCTATTTTATTCTTGTTTCTAATATATTCAATTATATTTTTTTGAGTTTAGAATGTTTAAAATTTTTTGTTATTAGTTATTGAAAATTGTAAAAGTGTTATAAAAGTATTTATTTTTATTACAGTTAGATTTAAAAAATAATATATTTTTATTAAAATATATAAATAGTTTTTTTTATTGAAAATGATGTAAAATATAAAATAATAAATTTTTCGTGTATATATTTATTATGTTAGTTATCGATTAGTTCATTATATTTATAATTTTCAAAAAACTTAATTTATTTTTAATATAAATTTATATAATGTAATTTTAATAAAAAAAATAAATTATTAATATTTATATTTTTTATTTTATGTTTATTTTAATAAATTTATATATTTTACAATTAAAATAATTTTTATATAAAAATTAATTATTTTAAATTTATAAAAGTAAAACTATAATATAATAAAATATTCTAATATAATTAATAAATAATCAAAATATATTTATTTGTGTAAAATTTATAATAAATTTTTAAGGGCATATAAGGAATAAAATTTTTTTTACACAAAACGCTGGGTAAGTTAGTTTTTCAAAAATTAGCTTTTTGGGTCCAAAAAGTTATTCTAAAAAGCTAATTTACCAAACACTTAAATTAGCTTTTTGACTGATCAAACAAGTAAAAGCTATTCAACAAGTAAAAGCTCTTTAAAAAGCTATTTGCCAAACACTCCCTAAACCCCTAACTTTACTTAAAAATTAAAAATACAAAACTTTTATAAATTAAATATGCAGTGTAATATTTCGAATGTATTCTATGTGATACATTTTTTAAAAATCATTATTGATAATATCAAAAGTTCAAAATATATTATAAGATAGAGGTTTTGCCAAAATTTAAAAGTAAAAGATAAAATAAAATTACTATTTAATTTGATGTATTATAATAACATATATTTAATGTAGAAAATAAATACTAATGAAATTGTACTCCCTTCGTCCCGTACTATAGTGTTCGCGACGACACTGTAGACGAGGGGTATAATTAATAAATAATTAAAAATATAACAATAAAAATAATTATTTTATAATATAAATAATTATAAATTAAAATTAAGATAATTAATTAGTTTAATTAAAATTAAAATTATTTTTAAAAAAGAAAAATAACAGTGGAGATGGGACATACGACGGACGGAGGGAGTATTATCTAAACATAGCCTCGACTCTCAATAACATCAACAATTCATAGCAACCCTAATCCTATCCAGGCTCCAGCTATGCCGATGCTCTCCCGCCATCTGTCCCTGTTTTTATCCCTGTCTCTTTTCCTCCTCTTTTCCGGCGCTCCGGCCGCCGTCGACCTGATCCTCCTCAACTGCGGCGCCGCCTCCAATATAACCGACATCAGCAGCCGCAGCTGGGAAACCGACGCTGAGACAGCGTACACGCCGGGAAACTCCGCCGCCAAATCAGCGCCGGCGTTCACAGCGTTCCATATGCACCCGTCGGTTCCCGATCCGGTTCCTTACGAGACCGCTAGAATTTTCCGGTCACCGTTCACGTACTCCTTCCCCATCTCGCCGGGGCACAAGTTTATACGCCTTTATTTCTACTCCGACGTCTACGCCGGCTTCAATTCGTCTCATTCCTTCTTCTCTGTCGTCGTTAATGGCGTAACTCTGTTGCAAAATTTTAACCCTTTTCTCGATTCCCCCAAATCAGTTCCTGCTTTCGTTAAAGAATTCATTTTTAATGTCGATGGAGATCGGAGAATTGACCTAACATTTTCCCCCAATTCGGATTCCTTTGCTTTCATCAACGGAATCGAAATCGTTCCCCTGCCGGTCGACGGTCTCTACTTCAAGAACCGGCCAATCAAATTTGTGCCGAGCCATCTGTACTACCTCCAAGACGACACCGTTTTAGAGACCCTCTACCGGCTGAACGTCGGCGGCGCCGACGTTCAGATCCGGGACGATTCCGGCATGTTCCGGTACTGGTCCCAAGACGATGAATACATATACGGCGAGGATGTTAGCTTCACGCCTCACGACGAGGGGCGGAACGTACAGTACACCGCCGGAACGCCGCCGTGCAGCGCGCCGGAGACTGTGTACAAAACTTCTCGGACGATGGGGAATTGGAGCAGGAGCCTGGAGTGGGCATTTCCGGTGGATTCTGGATTTTATTATCTGCTCAGACTCCATTTCTGCGAGATTCAGCTGGAAGTGACCCACCAAAACGAGAGGGTTTTCACCATTAGCGTAGATAACGAGACTGCGGAATACGAGGCCGACGTGATCTTCTGGACCGGTGGCGCCGGAATTCCCATTTTCAGAGACTACATAGCAGGTGTCCCCGGCGACGGCCGCCATGGGAAGAAAGACTTGCGGCTGTCTCTGTTTCCCAACAACGAAGGACAGCCAAAGTATTCGAATGCGCTGTTGAACGGTTTGGAGATTTTCAAGCTCATCGATTCGAAAGAGAGTCTTGCGACGGAGAACACTGATTCTCCGGCGGTCAATTCGTCTCCGGCGTTGGTAGCAGAGAAGAAGAAAATTCGCCGGTCTCCGGTGACTTGTGTGGTGGTTGGGAGCGTAATTGGGGCCGCTGCATTGGTGGTGGCAATGAGTTTCGTAGTGTCGCTTTGGCGAAGGAAATGTGCGAAGAAGCAGATTTGCTACCAAGTGATTAAGAATGATAGTTCGGACAGCATCACCGCTTAATTAATTAAGCTGGTGCAGATTCTGGAATCTGAGATTGCAATTACTATATAGTGTGTTTTATAAGTAGAGAGATTCTGCAGATTGATGATGATGATTATAATTCTTGTGAGCGATTGTATATAATTTATTTATTGAAATTTTGGTGGGCAGACCATGAATGGTGTGGTTCAGTTTATATATGCACTGCCCTTCGTTTGGACCTATAATTTGTTAGAAAAGAGAGAAAGCACACTACAAACTAGTACTAATAGTTTAGATATCCGATTTATTACGGGGGTCAAGACTAAATTCGACTCGAAAAATCGAACTTCGTTCGACCTGAAAATTTTCAGGTTCGAATTTGGATATTTCGGGTTTGAAAAAAATCGGATCAACCTGAACCTGAAATAAAAAAAATTCGTATTGTGTTCGGATCGTGTTTCGGGTTGATCTGATAACCTGAAATATAAAGATCAGGTTAGGTTTTGGATTTATGGTTTCCGGTTGACCTGAAATTTTTATTATTAATTTAATTTATAATATTTTAAATATAAAATAATATAAAAATTAAAATAAAAATGACATTTTTTAAGTCAATTTAATTTTTTTTAAAAAATTTTCAAGTCTGTTTCGTGTCGGGTTCGTATTGGGTTTGTTCGGGTTTCGAGTGACCTAAAACTAATTCAGGTCAACCTGAACCCGACTTGAAAGAATTAGTGTCGTATTCGGGTCTAGGGTTTCACGTCAAATTTCGATTTCAGGTCGGGTTCAGATTGACAGTTTTTTTTATTATCCCCATGGCTAAACTCAACGCGAACACGATCCAAAAACACGAATCGACACGCATTTATGCATCTATGTCAACCCTTACCCTTACCCTTTTATTTTCACTGCTTTCGAAATAAACCAATTTGTTCATTCTTATTCGGGTATTTTACATAAGACGGTCTAACACCATGGCGATAGCAAACAAATAATATACTTATAATTTAGTGGTCCCTTATAAAATTTAGTGGTCCGGGTAAGGGACTGTATTTGGGGGTGGATAGACGATTCCATTTCAAATTAAAATATTAAATAAATAAATTTTACTATCTTTTACAGAAAAAATAGGATATTATTAATAAATAGTAACATAAGCAATATGTACGTAAAGATAGTCGAATTTCCAGATTATGACAATTAAATATGTAAAAATGTGTATATACCACTTTTTTGTCTCCTAGTTCGCTTACTGAGTCAACATAGTGCATCTATTTTTATTTTTTCTACACGCGGGCCCTAAGTTTATTGCCTGTATTGAATTGAAAGAAAATTTCACACGTTATGGCATTATCAATTCATGGGCCACTATAATTACACGACAATAGACAGCTTCAATTAAATCCATACAACAATTTAGGTCCCGCTCGCCGTGTGGAAAGAAAACAGGCATGGGTTGCCATTGGCTCAGTCGGTAAATTTAAAAATAAAATATCTTTTACATTAAATCGATATTTTAATCTAAGCTTTTTAAAATTTTAAAATTACACATAACTAAACATATAGACAAACTTGCACTATTATTTTTATAATCCCGTAAGGGATGATGACCATTAAAAATAATCACATCAAATTATTTAGTTTTAATTTCAAATAAAAAAGTCAAAATATTTATAATTTCTGTAACAAAATTATACAGAATCTCAAATCAAATGATCAGATCCAAATTAAAACCAAGCCTGTATAGTATAGTTTATCGGTAGCATTTTTCACCAAAGCCTCAACGGCTAGTGGGGTTCTTGATTTCCGAAAAAACATCGTTAGAGTTCATTTTTTCACTGCTGTCACCCGACGGTAAACCGCTGCTCTTCGACCACGTCATTGCGCTGCTGCTGGTGCCGGAAAATAGTTCTTCGTCGTCGGTAGTATTGTTCGGGTCTTTCTGTTTCTGCTGCCTGATCAACGGGCAATCCGAAGATGGCGAGACGAAGCCATGGCCGCCGCCGGCGCCATCCTCCGCCTCCTCTTGCAGTTGCAATGTGAACTCGAGGCTCCAGACAACATCGCTCATAGTCGGCCGCTCGAACCCTCTGTCCTTAAGACACGCGATCGCCGTTTCCACGAAATTGTTCAGGCACTCCGGCGCGATCTGCCCTTCCAGATTGGGATCAACGATCTGATCGACGGTCCCTCGCCGGTGATTCGATTTCGCCCATTCCGCTAGGTTCATTTTATCCCGCGGCATGTTCTGGAGCAGCGCCGGCCGACCGCATAGGACTTCGAATAATACGACGCCGAAGGAGTAGACGTCGGACTTGTCCGTTAGCTGCTGGGTTTTGTAGTACTCCGGGTCGACGTAGCCGATGCTGCCTTTCACGGCGGTGCTGACGTGTGTGTTGGCAGCGTCGGTCGGGCCGACTTTGGACAGGCCGAAGTCTGACATTTTAGCCACCCATTTTTCGTCGAGCAGGATGTTGGTGGTCTTGACGTCGCGGTGGATGATGGCGTGCTTGACGCCGGTGTGGAGGTAATGGAGGCCTTTGGCGGCGCCGAGGCAGATCTGGAGGCGGTCGCTCCATTTTAATGGCGGATTTTGGGGATTGCAGAGGTGGTCGCGGAGAGTGCCGTGAGCCATGTAGTCGTAGACGAGGATCATCTCGCCGCCGTCGTAGCAGTAGCCGATGAGGGAGACTAAGTGGAGGTGTCGGAGTTTGGACAACATTTCGATCTCCGTGAAGAACTCGCGAGCGCCTTGGTTGGAGGAGACGTTGAGGCGTTTGACGGCGACGGTGGGGGCGCCGCCGTCGTTGATGAAGCCTTTGTACACGTTGCCGAAGCCTCCTTTTCCGATCATTAAACTGTCGTCGAAATTGTCGGTGGCGGCGATGATCTCGTTGAGTGTGAAATGTCGGCATAAATCTGACGGCAGAGATACGCCGGATCCGCTAGTGCGTGTGGTGGTCCTCGACGCCGTCCCGAGGGGCATCCACGACGACTTATCACTGCCTGCAACTTTCACTTTTTTCCGGCGACGGAAAATTAGAAAACTCACCGCTGCGACTACTACCAAAACGCCAATCCCGCTTCCTAGCACTGCGTAAATTACAGAAGATTTGTCCTTTCCCTTCTTCCCTGTAGGAAAATCGGTAGTCATAGGTGGCGGCGGCGGAGGATCGGGATTTGGTGCAGCAAGGCTCCGATTGTCGTTGCTAAGTTTAAAGATCTCCAAGCCATTCAACAGAACACTGGAATACACTGGTGATCCCTGATTATTAGGAAAGAGATTGAGCGGCAAGTCTATCTTTCCACGACGGCCATTGTCGGCAACCCAGGTCACGTAGTCTTTGTAAATCGGATTTCCAACGCCGCCGGTCCAAAAGATAATGTCAGCCTCGTATTCCGCCGTCAGATTATTTATCTGAACAGTGAAAACTCTCTGGTTCTGATTGGTGACTTCCAGCTGAATCTCGCAGAAATGAAGCCTGAGGAGGTAATAAAACCCAGAATCAACAGGAAATGTCCACATCAGATTCTTGGTATGATTTGCCATCACTCTCGAAGTCCTGTACACAATTTTCGGGGCTGTGTACGGCGGCGTTTGGTCGGAATAGTTTATAGCATGGCTCTCGTCGGCAGGCCAGTAACCAAAATTTCCTCCATAAAGGTAATCATTGTCCGGTACCCATCGGCGGAACATCCCTTTGACAGGCCCGCTATCATCTCCGATCGGAACATCTTGGCCGCCGACATTTAACCTGTAAAGTGTCTCCAGAGCAGTGTCGTTTGAGAGCTCATACGGTTGGTTGTTAATGGCAACAAGTCTAATCGGCCTTTGTCGAAAGTAGAGATCATCGGGAAGTGAAACAATCTCAATTCCGTTGACGAACGCAGACGAGCCTGGGCTGGGAGTAAAGGTGAGCTCAATTTTCTGGTTTCCTTGGACATTAATGATGAATTCTTTCCGAACGGAAACTTCATTGGAGCTTGGTTCACGAGACAGATAAGCGAGAAAAGCGCTGAAATTGCTCAACAAGGTGAAGTTGTTGGCGGTGACGGAGAAGAAGGAGAGGGAGGTGTTTTGGCCGGCGTAGGTGCTCGGGTTAAAGTGAAGCCGGATAAATTTGTGGCCGGTCGAGACCGGGAAGGAATAGGTAAAAGAAGACCGGAAAACCCTAGCGGTTCCGTACGGGACCGGATCAAAATCCTCCGACGGCGGACTGACAGCTTTGCCGTCTTCGCTGGCGGAGGTGGGTGGCGCGTACCTCGAACCAACGTCGGCGTCCCAGGGGCGGTTGCTGAGGTCCTTCAGGTTAGATGACTCGCCGCAGTTGAGGAGGATGAAATCGACGGCGGTGTAAGTAGTAGAATTGTCGGCCACGGTCGGAGTTGCGGGGAGGATGAGGAAGAGGGGAATGGTGAGGAGAAGAGCTTGGGAGAGCATGGCTATTTGCCAGTCAAAGTTGTTAGATTGGATGGATTTGGTTTGCGGAGGGGTATGTGGATTGGATATGGATGTTAATAGGAGCGATGGAGGGACTACGAAGACGAAGACGAAGACGAGGCGATGGATGAGGTTGGAAAAGTCTTCCTCCAGTCAGCTCAAGTCAACTATATAGTTCAATCAACAATTGGCATCTCTGTTTGTTGGAATTTTCGTACATATATTTAGTAACGCTAGTAGTTGTTTATTTATTAAGGTCTATCTCCATCCCGAACAACTTCATTTACGAGTTATAATTTTAAAAATAAAATACAATTGTTACAGTAATTTAACTTTAATCTATAACTCTATTTTTAATTTCAAAAAAATATTCTCTAAATATTATATTTTATATATTAATTTAAACAACTTTTTATATTAAAAAAATACAAATATACACAATTAAAATATAAAAAATTAGAGATTAATCCTTATATGGATTAATTTACAATTTGTAAAAATTAAAAAAAAAAGTTACAAAAGCATTATAATTAGCATTGCTTACCGTTCAATACAAAAAAAAATAGTATTTCACTATAGCAAACACAAAAAATAGTGATAAGAATAGAGTTGCGTTGAAGAAGCATATCACTAAATATAAAGCTGCAATGCCTTGAAAAAAGTCTAAATATTTATCTTTTTTTCATACGTGAGATTTTAAGATATTTTCGAAATTTTGGAGTTATAAGGTATCAAATTAGTATTTAATATAGTAATATTTTAAAAATATATATATTTGATAGAATATATTTTTTAAAATTAAATGGTATAAAATTTCTAAAAATATTATGTAATCATAGAATATGTTTTTAATCTTTGAAGAAAATACAAATAGATATTATTAAATAAAATAATTTAAAAATTAAATAATGTCATATGAGAAAACCAATAATTTTCTAACATGGTTGGTTCCGTGGCAATAAAATTGGTCTCGAATCCGCCCGTTGGATCATTTATCCATCCAGTGAGTGAGCTTAAAAATCCACTACATAACAAGTGTCAGTTTTGAACACTGCAAATTTTCATTGAAAAAAAAAATGAATAAATAAAAGGAAAGCCTTTTTATTGCGTGTCGCTTGAGAGTGGTTGATATGATGTTTTAGTAAAAGTTAAAGCAAGTTTAATCAATCATGTGAGTGGGGGAAATGAAGAAATGATTAAGGACAATCCCTGCACACAAAGACAATTATGAACATCACTAAACCACATTACGTTCACCGCAAGCTCAACCTGGGCATTTCCATAAAAACCAGTGACTGCTGTAAGCCTTTTTAGACTTTTAATTATTTTTAGATACTAGATTATACACAAAGCAAGTTTGTCCCGATAATGAGTACAGATGCACAACAGTATGAATAAAAGGTGAAGAAAACAGTGTCAAGAATCTCACAGGAGACCCCTTCTACTGCTTCCAGAGCGATAGATTGTGGAGTTTCTTTCTTCTTCAGTATCTCGGAGAAATGGAGGGTTTGGCGTTTGGATCTTGGCGGAGAGTTGCTGCTGCTGCTGCGTTTGGGGTATTTTTGGGATTCTCTTGTTTCACTTTCACTTCAACAGGTTATCTTCTCTTATTTTTTTAAAGTTATTTCGGGGTTTGTCGTTAACGAATTTGGGCCCTTCAATACTTGGTTGGATTATTATTGAGTGGGTGTGATTTCGTTGTCAATATCCTTTGGGATCTTTTTAGCTGTCCAATTATTTTACCGGATAGAATTAGCAGTGTGTAATTCTGGCCTTCACGTTTGAAATAGGGCTTTGATTCCTTTTGTGAAATTCGAGTTATCTGAACTTGGAATATTTCCCAGTAATTTTGGCCTTTCCTTTCAAGAATTAGTATGGAATTGCTCATCTTGAGTATCCAAGAATTCAGACAAGGATCAAAATCAGGGATGATGATTGTATGCATATACATAAGTTGGCGTTTTAAATGCATTTTTTTCTGTCTTTAGAAGCTTACGACGCTCTCGACCCTAACGGGAACATCACAGTAAAATGGGATATCATTAGTTGGACACCTGATGGCTACATTGTAAGTCTAGTCTCTATCCATCTGCTTTTGTAATTTGTAGCTCTCCGGATTCCTCCCCGACAAGATCGAATCCTGCTGTCAGAATTCTTATAGCTGTTGTTCTTTATCATTGATTCTTGTATGTGCATTGAAAATGCGACAGGCGGTTGTTACAATGTTCAATTTCCAGCATTATCGGCACATCCAGTTGCCGGGATGGACTCTGGGCTGGACGTGGGCGAAGAAGGAAGTGATCTGGAGCATGATGGGCGGGCAGACGACCGAGCAGGGAGATTGCTCGAAATATAAAGGAAACATACCACATTGTTGTAAGAAGGATCCAACAGTCGTGGACTTGCTGCCCGGAACTCCTTACAACCAGCAGATCGCGAATTGTTGCAAAGGAGGCGTAATAAGTTCGTGGACGCAAGATCCCGCTAATGCAGCCAGCGCTTTCCAGATCAGTGTCGGCGCTGCTGGAACCACCAATAAGACCGTTAGGGTGCCTAAGAATTTCACCCTTAAAGCGCCGGGCCCTGGCTACACATGCGGGCCTGTAAAAGTCGGGAAGCCCACCAAGTTCATAAGCCCGGACGGCAGACGAGTTACGCAGGCGATGAGTGAGTTACATGATTATATTTATATCCTCTCTGTTTCAACGATTAATTCTTATGCCTTTTCGTTCTTGCAGTGACGTGGAATGTTACTTGCACGTACTCGCAGTTTCTTGCGCAAAAAACTCCGACTTGCTGTGTTTCACTGTCGTCTTTCTACAACGACACGATCGTTCCCTGCCCGACCTGCACTTGTGGATGCCAAAACAACCGAACTCAGCCAGGAAGTTGCGTAAAGTTAGTTTCTTCGCTTAGATACAGTATTATCGATTTCGATTCTCGTTTGGTTTCTTTCTTGACTTTCTATCGGTTATGTTCATTGATCCGATCCCTTCAGCCCCGATTCGCCGTACCTCGCCTCAGTCGTTTCGGAGCACAAGAAGAGTAACAGCTTGGCGCCTTTAATCCAATGCACGAAGCACATGTGCCCGATTCGTGTCCATTGGCACGTAAAAGTTAGCTACAAGGAATACTGGCGCGTCAAGGTGTCGATAACAAACTTCAATTACCGAATGAACTACACTCAATGGAACTTAGTCGTCCAGCACCCCAACTTCAACAATTTAACACAAATATTCAGCTTCAACTACAAGCCGCTGACTCCCTACCAAACTATAAGTAAGTAATTCTTTTTCTATATACATACATAAAATAGTTTAATTTTTCGACATGATCATGCCAATCCGATCCGATCCGATCGTTTTCCCTTGTTTTCAGACGATACAGCGATCTTGTGGGGCGTGAAATTCTACAACGACTTGCTGATGCATGCGGGGCCTCAAGGAAACGTGCAGTCCGAGCTTCTGTTTCGAAAGGAGAAATCGAGTTTCACTTTAGACAAAGGGTGGGCTTTCCCGCGGAGAATCTACTTCAACGGCGACAACTGCGTCATGCCGCCTCCCGACTCTTACCCGTATCTGCCTAGTTCCGGTACGCGGCGGCGAAACCTTTTCCTTGTGGCTCTGTTGTTGTCTTTGGCATTAATGCCACTGTGAATGCGATCGAGAATTAACGGTCCTGTCGTCGTGAAGCAGCAGTAGATGAGCTTTGGTATGTAAAATGTAGGAATTTAATGGTGCAAGAAGAGAAGCAGAGAATCCATATTTCCGACAGCATTCGTATAGTTCACCTAACCGCATGCATGTAATGTTGGTGAATTAATGGTCTTCCTAATCCTATTGGATTTACCACGTATAAAACACTATTATTATTATTGTTAAATTTATGTCAGATTATTTGTTTATTTATCTGCCCACTAAATTTATATATGTGTAGATTTTTATGTGTATCTTAAAAGATAGTAGTTTCTCCATTCCAAGACAAATGTTCCATTTTGCTGTTTTCTTTTCGTTTCAAAATAATTATTTCGTTTTTATTTTTGGTAACAAAGTTCACTATTATTTTATAAAATTATCCTATTTTTTTATAATAATTAAATAGAGTAGAGATATTTTAGTCTTTTAGAAACACTTTTAAAAATATCAATATAATACTATTATTCTTTATAATATAAAAAATATATCTATTATTTTGAACCAGATGAAATATTAAAATTATTAAAAAATTTCTATCTGAAGCGTAGATTTTATAGGTGAGGGAGTACTACTTCAAAGAATTATGTATATAAAATATTTTAAAAGACAAGCAGAGGACTGTCATGTACTTTATCCAGGCTAGGAATCAAATATAGTATCTCCAGGTATAAGTAGTCGATAAATCCGAGAATGTCCATGTAATGATTAGGGCATACTGTAACTATTTTAGGTAATGGAATTGCCAGAAAATAATTATTAATACTAACAAAACATTGGTAGCACCGCCAGGCGCCAGGCTGTCGAACGGCCAGCGAGTCGACTGCCGTCAAACCGATAAATAAATATTTTTAGTTGACTGCAATTAATGAATGAATATGTCAAATTGCGTTCAAACCTTCCAAACCTAACAATGGCCCCTCGGATTATCAAAAACCACAAATCGGGACATTTATACATTTTTCTCCCAACGGCCAATTTAGAGAATTTCCATCACATCCTCCGTGATTAAAAATGCCCAATTACAGGCGGCAAATAATCTAATCCACAAAACAGATCAGTAAATATATATATATATACATATACATATAATACATACAGCTCTCTTCCCTACGGCGGCGATGGCGGCGGCGGCGAGAGGAGTTGGTGCAGTTATGACAGTGTTGCTTTTGTCGTCGCTTGTTGTCTCCGCGGTATAGAATGAGTAGATTTTTAATTTTGTGGTGGATCGATGCATCAATCTGACTACGAATTGAATTGCGAAATGATATAATTGTGTTGTCTGTGTGCAGAAGGTTGGGGATGAGTGCTCTAACAATGGCGGTTGTGGGGAGGGGTTGTCGTGTTTGGCTTGCGCAGCAGCTTTTGAGGGCTCCCAATGTGTCCGAACAACCGCCACCAATCAGTTCTCCCTCACCGTATCGATCCTCTCTCTTAATCTGCGGATTGGAAATGGATATTCCAAAATTGTTTCTCTTATTACAATCCATTTGTTTGATTGATTGTAGAACAACTCTCTACCACTGAACAAATACGCGTTCCTGACGACGCACAACGCCTTCGCCATAGACGATGGCACCGCCAGGCTGGCTCCGACCAATCAGGAAGACACCGTCGCTCAGCAGCTTCAGGCAACGCCTTTCAACAAACATGTCTTAATTCTCCAATCTCACCTTCTTACATCAATCCTTGTTTGCACTGCAGAATGGCGTCCGTGCCCTAATGTTAGATACCTACGACTTCGAAGAGGATATATGGCTCTGCCATTCCTTCCAAGGCAAATGCTTCGACTTCACTAAATTCGTATGTATCTCTAATCTCCATATCCATTCCCATTCTCCACCTTCCTTACACAATTTCAAACAGACAGATTAATGAATTATCCGCAGGCTCGAGCAGTAGACACGTTGAAGGAAGTGGAAGCGTTCCTGTCAAGCAATCCATCAGAGATTGTGACAATTATCCTCGAGGACTATGTCAAGACACCAAAAGGACTCACCAAGGTTTTCACCAACGCTGGCCTGATGAAGTACTGGTTTCCATTATCCAAAATGCCTTTGAACGGACAGGATTGGCCACTGGTTAAGGACATGGTCGCCGCTAACCAGAGGCTGCTCGTGTTTACTTCAGACAAGTCTAAGGAGAGCTCCGAGGGAATAGCCTACCAGTGGAACTACATGGTCGAGAATCAGTGTAATAATAGAACCCAAACATCCTTACAATTCAATGATGCTCAATTCGATTAACTCACCTGTTGTTCAAATTTGATTTTTGGATTGGATTGGATTGGATTGGATGGATGATCGATCAGATGGCGATGGAGGGATGGAGGAAGGGGAATGTCCCAACAGGGCAGAGTCTTCGCCCCTAAATGACAAGACCAAGTCTCTGGTTCTGGTCAACTATTTCCGGTCGGTGCCGGTGAAGGCGTTGGCCTGCGTGCAGAACTCCGGCGGCCTCGCCGACATGGTTCAAACTTGCCATGGCGCCGCCGGGAACCGGTGGGCTAATTTTTTGGCAGTCGATTTTTACAAGGTGTGTTTCTGTAGTTTATTCTGTAATTGGTTTTATATGATTCTTTAATTCCGCATATATATATATATATATATTTGTGCAGAGGAGTGAGGGAGGAGGAGCATTTGAAGCCATGGATACTCTGAACGGGGAGCTTCTTTGTGGATGTAAAGATGTCCATTCTTGTGCAGTAAGTGAAAATTCCATGTTTGGGCCGGTACGGAGGCCCATATTTGAGTATGGGCTTTAAAACTGGGCCTAATGTAATTAGGCTAATTTCTAAAGCCCAATAGATATGATGTGTGTTTTAGTATTTTTTTAATTTGTGTTTTAAGGTATGAAAAGTATAATTGTAACAGTAATTTACTTACGTTTGCAGGGTGGTACCCAGTGTACGTCCTGATGGGACAGGTGGCCATCTCTTCCCCAACGACAGATAGATTCCTTCCATCGGCTTCAATTACTGTGTACTCTGAAAATTATTTGAGCAAATGGGAAAAAAGGGATTATATATGCATATATTATTATATTTTATTTATTTATATGTGGTGAGGACAGAATGCATCCATTCCAAATAAATGCAAATAAAATAAACCCTACAAAGTTGACTTACTATTAAGGGCAAAAGGCAAGAGATTGACATCAAATATATGTATAATTATGTGTGTATCTCTGTGTACCCATTACACATTAATAACTTCATCAGGTTATATTGGGAAATATATATATTAAAATTGTGGATTGCCCTGCTGGTATTTGGTGACCAGTGCTCACTTTGAAATTACAGATCACAAAATTTTAAAAACAATTGAAAAGACAAAAGGGCTTTGTTTAAAATTTAATAAGCACATGTAAATATATAGGGAGAGCAAAGAATGATGCTTAATAATTAAGGCCCCGGCCAGACAACTATCTCAATGATGCACCTAGTTTAATTAGTATGGTGGGTGTGGGCCACTGGTTTGTTAAAATAATAAATTTATTCAATTTATTTCTCAGCAAAATTAAAATAAAAATATAAAAGAAACTGCCCAATCATTGAAGATTATATTACTCTTATTAAGGTTTTTTCTGATTAAGCAGAATTAGGATGGGAAGCTTGTTATTGTTATTGGTGGGAAGCATGTGATTAGGTATATTTTGTGGCATCCAACACATGCTAACGATCCCAACATCTGCATAAAGAAAATCATTCAAATAATTATCAAACAGCACAGAGTTAATATAAAGTTGAAAAGCAATAAATATAATAAATTTACAGAAGAATTTCTTTTGTTTTGTTTAATCAAGGATTATCCCTGTCAAGAATCATTTTAAAAGATTTCCTAAACTCATCCAATTGGAACTGATGAAAACAGCTTATAAAACAATGAATCTTCTTCGAACTTGATGCACGAATAGTTAAATAAAAACTGATTTATTATTAAGTTATGTTTAATAGTAAACAATTATTTGATATATTACTATTTTTTGGAAAAATACGGATTAATAAATGCTAAAAATTATTAAAAAAATTATATATGTAAACAGAGTTGTAGTAACTGAACTCCATAATTGACCACTTTCAGATAGAGCTTCAAAGACAGACAAATGAACAAATAAAATTCAACAAGCATTGATTTAGGGATAATATCATCACAACATACTTTCATTGCTAAATGTTCATTCAAATCCTTGAATCCAAATTAAATAACCATCATTTCCAAAATTTGTAGAACAATATTACACATTGTAAATTACTCAAAAAAAAAAAAGAAAAAGAAAAAAGGGCATGCTTGTGCATGTGCCCGCACATATAGATATATCGATCAAGAAGAAATAAGGTTTGAATACTTTCTTCAATTCAATTCTCAGGGAAAACAACTTGAAGGGCTAGGGATCGATGAAAGGCGAACATGAGTGGGCACAAGTCCATTGTCCGATTAACTAACTAACGTACCCAATCATATAAATTAGGACCAATCTACCATATATATATATATATACATGAATGATCATACTCCCACAAGGGGGTAACATGCATGCCTTGAAGCCTCATGTGAACATCATATTTTTCCCAATGGCTGATTATAATTTTTATTGACGCGACGTAGGAAATTAAACCAAGACAGGCGACGTGGGTGTAAAATGCAACCCCACAAGAGGAGCAAAACCATGAAGATGATGGCATTGGTGGGCATGCAATCACCGGATCACATGGCGCTGGCTGGCGCTTTCTTTTTGACATATGTGGCCTACTCGGGATCATCGACATAAAAAGTAAAGGCAATACTAAAGATTGCTACAAATGAAAAATAAATGAATTGCTTATGTATGTATGGGGAAGAAACAATAGCAGAGACAAAAGCAAATTTGAAAAGGGAGCATCAAGAAATCACTATAATGTAATGGGGGGACCTTACCTTATTTACACATGGGGTGGGGTAAGGTAAGGTAAGCTAAGCTAAGGTGCCTCTATCAATATTATATAATTATGTGATGATATATATATATGTATCTATCTATCTTTGCTTCAAGTAACTGTACCTTCTCTATATCAATGATCTCAATCCTTTCATCAATCATTCATTTTATATATTATTACTTTCTTCTACTCCTTCAATGGGGCTTTTGAAAACTTTTTACTTCCTAAGGTTTTTTATCATTAGATGAAATGACTTCACTTCATTCATGACACTCTTCTTCCTAGTGTTCTTGCAATTAATCAGCACGTTGTCAATTAGCCATAAATATATATATATATATATATATATATATAGAGAGAGAGAGAGAGAGAGTATGCATGAAAATTAAAGAATTCTAAGTTGCATATATAAAGTCAAGAAAAAAAAAGGGGGCTTTTGTGAATAGACAAGTTTTGGGAAACTAATCCCACTACAACAACGTTTGATTAATCCTAGTATAATAATTCAATCAATTAGTTAACCTCAAATTATTCAAGTAACAGTACTGATCAATTTAATTAATGGGATATTAATGTCGTATGATTATATACGTATATACAGATGCAGGTCCCTTCCAGATATATAGACAACCTGGAAATAATTTATGTTTGTGGATGGAATATTAATAAAAAAGTATATCCATACATATTTTTATATATGGCGTAAATTACTCAATTTGCATAAATTCGACAAACAACTTGCTACTTATCCCTCTCGTGACTTCAATTTCCAACACATTGTCCAATGCTGTTCTCGTATTTTATTTTTTTTCCTGGCCAACAATATTTAATCTAATTCTATTTTATTTTCATTCATTTTTGTTCCAATTTGTTTAAATATATATATATATATATATATTTCAAGTGACGTGCCAGGTTGTAAAGAATATATAAATTTTCAGCTTAAAACTGAATAAAAATATAATGAAAACACCCGAGGCAAAACCTAGTGGATTGTTTTATCAATAAATGAAGAATACGATATCTGATTAAAGTTGATGCTGTCACACATCACTAAGGATCGAGATTTAGATATATATATCCCACTTAGCTTCAATCCAATTCATGTACATGAACATAAACTTGCATAATCCATTCAATCAGAAATTAATTAATACCGAAATTGCAATACGAATCCATGATCGAATATTTATGATATTATACACCTCAAGATATTAGTCACATCAACAAGAACTTAATTAAGACCGTTTCCCCTTACTTCCTAAAATAAAAGGGGTAAACGCCCACAAAGAGGACACTCATGTCCTCAAAGCTAGTAATTTGATTTGATTTTTCTATATGAAAAACTAATATATTTCTATTAAGAACATGTAAGAATCTTGTAAATACAATGAGTACATCTTAGAAGTCATTTCACTTATCCTATAGGTTTTTTAACCCAGTGGTTCAAAATTTAATATGCAGTAAAACATATATTGGTTTATTTCACGTTGTATTTGCTCTTATCTTACATGATATCACTTCCATTGTTAATATTCATTCATTTTAGCTCGAGAAGAGGAAGGAAGGTACCAACTAGCAACTAGCAAGCATATATATGTAGCAACGTAAAGACAAACATCAATCAATAACAATTACCATCGAATAAAACAAATGCACGTGGATAAACAGCCCGCACGTGCAGTCAATCATCATAGGCCCATGTTTCCCCTCTCATTTCCTTGCCTTGATTTCATTCATACACAACAAAGTAACATATAAACTTGAATAATTTGTTGAATATCGAACATAATATTTTCCAAAATTTATAATTTGACAGCATTATCAAATTACAACAAACTTATTTTCGGGATATTCCAAACAAAACATTCGGAATTTAACATTAAAAAAAAAAAAAAAAGTAGTAGTAGCTTATATAGTGTTTCTTGGTGTGTTAGTTGCATCAAACATTTATAGAAAATTGGTATATTTTAGCAAAAAAGCATAATACCCATCAGTAAAAAGACAACTATACAAAACTTCACCACCGAAAAAAAAAAAACCAAAAAAACATATACACATTCCAAAAGGTGCAATTTTTCATAGATGGACACAATATCCCTTGGATTATAATAAATCCAAATTATACTAAAATGAACAATTGATCTCAACCTATATATGCCCCACCTATAAGTTAGGCATTAGTACAAATAATTTAGGGTGTACTTGGTACAAGAAAATGATGATAGAAGAATAAAAATAATTTCATTCACCAACTAAGCACACGGCACTATTTTTCTACCAATTGTCATCTCACCATCGTCTTTTCTTTATTGATTCATATCTCCTTTTCTATTTGCAATACGTATCTCTTCTCTATATAACTGTATTTATCTTTTATATTTCTCAACTCAATTTTGATATTTCACCAAAAGAAAAATTAATTCTTATTGTTTGTCTCTTAAATTTTATTCACTCTATCAAATAGACCAAGACATGGAAAAAAGAGTACTCACCCTTTGACAAATAAATGGCTGTATTAATTCAGGGATAGTGGGACTTGGACAAGCCGATAAGTATGAAGACCACCTATGAAATACTTATATTAAAATCAGTCACAGTGGGAGTTAATAAATATAAAATATATATAGGGAGAGAGAGAGAGAGAAATGGATGCAACAACAAGAGAGGAAAAATAATAGATGGGAGAGAGAGAGAGCAACCAAACACAGAAAAGAACAAAATGGAGGCCCTCGTGCACGTCTGGACTTTTGACTGTATTGTATTGTATATCCACACATATACATTTCACGAAGCATAAACGTCGTCTGTGCGTGTGGGTAGACAATAGACAATTGACAGTAGACATAGACATTCCTCTCTCTCTCTCTCTCTCTCTCTCTCCCCTACCATCTCTATCCATTTCTCAATAAGTTATTCAATAGTTTTATTTGATGGGTTTAAAACCATGATCAATCTAATGCTAATATTTATTAATCGTAATCTGAAAAATGAGATGGGCAATATTGGAGACTCTTGTACGTTCTCTAATAGTTTAAGTTTGAAGTAAAACAATCATTCTGATCATCTAATATAGTTTCAGAGTTGAGTTCGAGTTCTACCATTTTCATCCGGCATATAGCCTTAGACATCTACTTGCACCCAAAGGGTGTGTTGGGCATGTTAGGAGTTAGGACTCTTATTCTCGTATGTTAGAAAAATAATTAATATTAATGAGGCGTATCCCCCATCATCTATAAGCTAATTATCAATTTCTCATAAATGAATTCTATATATATGTGCAAAAGGAGGAGTGTGTCTGCTGTGTCAGTAGTGTCAAAGCCCTTTCCAAGGATCTTCTCGAGGATCCACATTTCTTCTCAGGTCATTGTCCAACTATGACACAAAATGTGAGGAGAAGAGAGAAACGAAAATCACAAGACAAACCCACCCTGACCCTGACCCTGACCCTGTTTTAGGACTAGACTCTATATACATTACAAATAATCTTTACCTACTGACTATTCAACCTTTATACATACCAATTATTATGAATTGTGTAGTAACATTAACACCCATATCCATCACTCTAAAACATTACTACGTTATTTCCCTTTCTTACTTTCTTCTAAATGAGGCCATCAGACAAGTGCACTTTCTTCGTACAACCTATAAAAATGTATGCAACTAAAAGTTACTGTAATTTCAATCTAAATCTCTGTATCTAAGAGAATGGTGCATAGTATAATAAATCCTCCCCATTGGGCACAGTCAGTCAAAGCAGTCAAGATCCGAAAACATGAATATGAATATTCAGGCCTATATATATCATTATAGTAATAAAATGAGAGGGAAGATCCAAGTGTATCAACGTTCATCAGTCCATCCACATGGGATATTATATATATATATATATAGAACTCGAATTAGTTTTTATATATAGGTTAATAAATCCTCTCCATGCACAAGGCTCCAAAAAAAGTCACTGAATTTTGAGATGCGAGCAAGATTAGAACATGGGCAACTATAAGATAAGAAAGACAAACCAGAATACAGTCTAAAGTCAATTTTCACAAGAGAAGTCATTGGGAACTACGACCTAATAGTAGGACATTGACTATGAGTTACCATGTTCCCAATACATGACCAACCAACATGGCTCAACTGATTTTTGCTCTCTCCCCCTCCCTCTCATATTCATTCACCATAAACATGTCTGTAACTGTAAGTGATTTTTACATTTTTATGTAAAAATCTATTTGATAGGCATGTGAACAAACTTCAGCTCAGTTCTGTATTTCCACTAAGGAGCCGCCCATGTGCGCTCTTCTATTGCCTATAATTTTAACTTCAGTCAAACAGGGAAGATTTTCTTTGCAGCTCCTTGAGAAAAGATCAATAATTAACCATATGATTCACAATGGTATTGGTACCCACAACTTAGCTAAAACGTACTGCTAGTTTACATTACCCATGTAAATTTCACACGTTCAATTCACAATTCTTGCCAAGTGTATGCTTGTTTACAGCTACAATTTTGAATGAGATCATGTGTCCTGAAAAAGGAAAAACGAAAATACACTTTCAAACAGTATTTACTTGTAGTTACAGAGATGTATTACTTTCTTTGTTTAGTGTGCCATTAATTTTTCCTTCAGGTATTGAGGGTGGGTCCGTACCCTGTTATCCTAGCTGTGCATGGTATTGCTGCCCACCCCACATCTCTCTCTTTCTCTCTCCATATTATTTTAGATTTCTTCAGGTCTATATAAACACCCGCACGAGGTGGTGACCAGAAAGCATAAAACCAGAGCAGGAGAAGCATACCTTTGACAGCTCTTCTACCTCCCCACCACAATAATATTGGGAGGTTCTAGAGAAAATCAATGGCTGGCTTAGTTGTCATTCTAGGTGTCTTTTGGAGCATTTGCCTCTTCAGTATAGCTTTATTGAGATGGAACGAGGTCAAGTACAGGAAGAAAGGATTGCCTCCAGGCACAATGGGGTGGCCAGTTGTTGGAGAGACCACTGAGTTCCTAAAACAAGGCCCAAGCTTCATGAAAAACCAGAGATCAAGGTAACCATTACCAAAACCTATATAATTATGGTTCTTTGCATGGTAGAAATAATGCATGAAGGAAATTATGCAAACAAAGCTGCAATGGATCCTTTTTCTAGACAAAATTCAAAGATCCTGATTTTTAAACATTACTAATTGTGGATTTATGATATGATGTTCAATACTTCAACTAATGTTTTTATCTTTATTAACAGGTTTGGAAGTTTTTTCAAATCCCACATACTGGGCTGTCCCACCATAGTTTCAATGGATCCAGATATAAACAGATATATTCTGGTAAATGAGGCTAAAGGCCTTGTCCCTGGATATCCTCAATCAATGCTGGACATCTTAGGGAAATGCAACATTGCAGCAGTTCATGGTTCCACTCACAAGCATATGAGAGGGGCATTGCTTGCTCTTATCAGCCCTACCATGATTAAAGATCGTTTATTGCCAAAAATCGACAATTTCATGAGATGCCATCTCAACAACTGGGATTCCAAAATTGTTGACATTCAAGAGAAAACAAAGGAGGTTTGTACTAGAAACTCTAGATCCAACTAAGTAGCGATCATGGAGCATACTTGCTATATTTTTACTCCTCTGTTCTCATACAAATATAATAATAAAATCCATGGCCATTGTTCAGATGGCATTTCTATCATCCCTGAGACAAATAGCTAGCAATGAAGCCGAAGGAATATCACAAGCATTCATGCCTGAATTCTTTAAACTGGTATTAGGAACTCTCTCTCTCCCTATCAACCTTCCCAACACTAACTACCATGGAGGAATTCAGGTGAATGTTATCCCACTTTTTTCTTTTTGGTGGAATAATTGATCAGGGAGTCCTAATAATCAATTTATTACAGGCAAGGCAAATTATTACAACCCTGTTGAGGAAACTGCTAGACGAGAGAAAAGCTTCTGGTGTGGAAAATCAACAGGACATGCTTGGTTTTCTACTAAGTGAAGAAAACAAATATAAGCTAAATGATGAGGAGATGATCGACTTAATCATCACTATATTATACTCTGGATATGAAACTGTCTCGACTACCTCTATGATGGCTGTGAAGTATCTTCATGATCATCCAAAAGTACTTGAAGAATTGAGAGTAAGTAAAGATTTCACTTTATAAATAAGCTTCAGATCAAGCGAAATGATGTCAGCATCTTTACCTGAAGGTTTTATTTTTCAGAAAGAACATATGGAAATAAGAAAACGAAAAAGGCCTGAGGATCCGATTGATTACAATGACTACAAGTCCATGCGCTTTACACGTGCAGTAAGTACTCTGTTAGCTTTTAAAATCAAATAGTTACTGCAATCAATCAAAATGTTGATGGTAGTTGGTTTATATCGACATTTGCAGGTCATATATGAGACATCAAGGCTAGCAACAATAGTCAATGGTGTTCTGAGGAAAACAACCAGAGATATGGAAATAAATGGTGTGAACAAATTCTTACTCTTCATGCAATTATTTATGCTTTATCAGCACAAAGAAAACCAGAAATTACTTACTAGCACAATGAAGAATCAATTTTTTTTGGATATATAATAAAATACTAAAGCAGCAGGTGAATACACAACAATCATAGAACAAGAGATTATTTCTTCATATACCCTACCATGTCATGATCCACATGGAAAACCTATCATTCCACCTAAGATATTTCCATCATGTTGAAATACTTATTTATCCCAATGGCAGGATACATAATTCCAAAGGGATGGAGAATTTATGTGTACACAAGGGAGGTCAATTACGATCCAGACCTCTATCCTGATTCACTAACCTTCAATCCATGGAGATGGCTGGTTTGTAATCAAAATTATATGAAAAAATTTTATACACTACACTATGGACCAACAATAACTAATAACTTCGTAATATTGTAAAATGCAGGAAAGAGGTCTAGAAAATCAACACCATTTTCTTATTTTTGGAGGAGGCACCAGACAATGCCCGGGGAAGGAACTTGGTTTGGCTGAGATTTCTACATTCCTTCACTATTTTGTCATGAGATACAAATGGGAGGAAGTAGGGGGAGATAGATTAATAAAATTTCCTAGAGTTGAGGCACCTAATGGACTTCGGATTAGAGTTTCTATTAACCAATGACACAGGTAAACAGTCCAAAGAAGGACCAGAATAGAGATATATTGACAATGTAGATCAAAGTAGATTTTTGGGATGTACAGGATTATGCAGAAATTAGATAATCTAAACCTATCTTACCCCAATACAAAGAATCTCGTAAGCATATGTACACTACTTTTACAAACTTAATGTAGCACTCAATTCTACGAAATCACAAAGCAATATCTAAAAATGTAGTACTGTTAATAACAACACTAAACAGATAATCCATCGATACGAAATCACAAAGCAATATCTAAAAATGCAGTACGGTAAATAACAACACTAAATAGATAATCCATCGATACGAAATCACAAAGCAATATCTAAAAATGCAGTACGGTAAATAACAACACTAAACAGATAATCCATCGATACGAAATAAATGATTGGAAAGTTTACCGACGAATAATCTCTTGAAAACACTTCTAAATCGCCATAGCCTTTCGAAAACAGCTCTGAACAAGTTGATGAAATACGGAGTATTATTTTTATTGAAAAATGAAGGTAAAATTGCTACAGTATTATTTTTAATGAGAATCCTAGAAATGATAAAATAAAAAATCCACTCAACTTCCCATTTTATACTAATTTCCAAAATTACCCCTTATATTTTAAGAAATTTTTTAATTACTTAATAAATTCTGATTTAAAGAAGAAAAAAGTTTGAAAAAATAAATAAAAATAGAAAATCCGACAACAAGAAATAAAAATAGGAAAATGCAAAGGCGCGCCATTAAACTCGCGTCAACCGGCGTTGAACGCTTCCCCGACCATACAACAAAAATATCTATTCCGACAAACCCCTGGACGAGACGACACGTGTCCCTCCCGCCCACATATATTACCGTTGCTTCCGATCACCTTTTGGAAGCACAGCAGAATCATCGTCGTACACTTATTCTCAAACTCAATTCTTTCTTCTCACCTCCTCCGCCATGGCAACCGCGCCGCCGCCGCTGAAGGACGAGCTGGACATCGTCATCCCGACGATCCGAAACCTGGATTTCCTCGAAATGTGGAGGCCGTTCCTGCAGCCATACCATCTGATCATCGTCCAGGATGGCGACCCCTCCAAGACCATCAAGGTCCCCGATGGCTTCGACTACGAGCTCTACAACCGTAACGACATTAATCGGCTCCTCGGCCCCAAGGCCTCCTGCATCTCCTTTAAGGATTCTGCCTGTCGCTGCTTCGGCTACATGGTCTCCAAGAAGAAATACATCTTCACCATTGACGACGACTGCTTCGTAAGTGCATTCCTGCATTGTACGTGTCAAATGAACGAATATCTGATTACTGAATGATCGAAATGAAATCAAATGAACTTAATTAGGTGGCCAACGATCCGAAAGGGAACATGGTGAATGCATTGGATCAGCACATCAAGAATCTGCTGTCGCCGTCGACGCCATTGTTCTTCAACACGTTGTATGATCCTTACAGGGAGGGCACCGATTTCGTGCGCGGCTACCCTTTCAGTCTGAGGGAAGGAGTACCGACAGCCGTCTCGCACGGCCTGTGGTTGAACATCCCTGATTATGATGCACCGACGCAGCTCGTCAAGCCCCTGGAGAGGAACACTAAGTAACATTTTATCTTTCTCATCATCCAATCCAAGTTAAAATCTGAGGATTCTTACATATGATTCACTCCTGGTTGCATTTAGGTACGTTGATGCAGTGATGACAATACCAAAGGGCACCCTGTTTCCCATGTGCGGCATGAACCTAGCATTCGATCGCGACCTCATCGGCCCTGCTATGTACTTCGGCCTGATGGGAGACGGGCAGCCAATCGGGCGATACGACGACATGTGGGCTGGATGGTGTGTCAAGGTACAGCCTTTTTTTTCCCTCCCAAACTGTATGTAGCCTGTTCAACAGTAATTCAAATAATTGGATTTTCAGGTTATCTGTGATCATCTGGGATTGGGGGTGAAAACGGGGCTGCCATACATATGGCACAGCAAGGCAAGCAACCCGTTTGTGAACCTGAAGAAAGAGTACAATGGGATATTCTGGCAGGAGGAGGCCATACCATTCTTCCAAAATGCAACCCTTTCAAAAGATTCGACCACTGTGCAGAAGTGCTACATCGAACTCGCCAGACAGGTGAAGGAAAAGCTTGGGAAAGTGGATCCTTACTTTGTGAAGCTTGCAGAAGGTATGGAGACGTGGATTCAGGCTTGGGATGAGCTCAACACACCTGAAAAGCTTCAGAAAAAGTAGTCAGCTACTACTATGTGGTATGATAAAATCAGGCCATAGTTTGAATTCGAAGTTCAAACTTTGGATTAATGTAGTTCCTGTTTTGCTTCTCGTTTAGATGAGGTGTTGTAGACTTCAGTTGGATTTTTGCATAAAACTGTAGGAATAAATTGTGAGCTTGCATTTGGATTAATGTAGCATCTGCTAACAATATAAATTAACAAAATTTCAAGCGTTCAAAAAGGGAGACTAAACAAGAGTCTGTGTTCCAACCAAAACCTAGTAGAAGGGAAGACAAATGTTAACCAATAACCAACTCTAGAAAGAGTAATTAACGGCAACATGCCTCACTAGAACTCAACTCACAACTATATCAATAAAGAAGGTAAATTCTCCATTTCATGCCGGTAAATGAGAGTTTTGATGTACCGGTGCGACGCTAGCTAGCTCTCTCTGCAAAGGAGATGTAGAAGATGAAACTTTGTCAAATGTCTCCCAGCAAGTCGGGCCAGGGCATTCATTCTACATGTGAAAGAAGGGGGCACATCCCATAGTATCTATCATAAATTAGGAGGAATAGTAGTATCTCCTGTCTTCTTACGCTTGCTTGCTGGCTCGTCGCTTTCTTCTTCGCGGTTACATACAGAGTTGACAGCATCTGCACCCAGAAGCGAGATGTGCTTGCTAGTGATCTGACGGCCTGCCCTGAGCTTAGGCCCCCAATGGCTCTCCGGATTTGGGAGGAATCTTGCAACTTTCTTGGCTTGTGCTTTGCTCAATGAAGACACAGCTCTTGCAAAGTTAGCCTGACCATAAATAAAGACGAATGAGACTTAGAACTAAGCAGCCTAAAGTCAACTACCTAGATGCAGAGTAATGTTTCGAAAGAGTTGTCACCAAAGAACATTAAACCATGGGTTGGTTAGCAATACCTGTAAAACAGGTTCCTTGGAGAGGATTACACTTCCAGGCTGATCTTCCGGCTGAGCTTTTATGGGATGATTTTTCACCTGAGAAATGAACGAAATTGTATATTAACAGAGACGGATTATAAGGAAACAAGGGAGGACATCACAAAAATAGTTGGAAACAAATGGTGCATACCCAACAGCGCATAATATCCCAGATGACTTCCATAGGAGCATCTGTTTTTAGACCGAGGGGATTTACGTGACTTCCCGATATACGATACCCTGCATTAATCACTGCAGAGCGGAAAACAACAGCAGAAGGAGACGTGCACTTTAATGTTGCGCAGAGGTTGTGCAAACTCAGAAAGAGTGGAACATCCGGCAATTCCTGCAATTTGAACAGGTGGTTTGGGAAAATCTCCAATCAGCCAAAAATTCAAATAGCAATCAATGTCAAATCCAAATCTTATTTTAACACCAAATCAGAAATAGATATCAGAAACCATGAGATACCCAAAGTAGCCTTTCAACTGCTCAATTCAGTATATAAAAGAAAAGTGATATTAAATATACAAGCAGCACTTAACCAATATAATAACATCTCAAATAGGTGGTAAAACTACTAATTGAAAATTTTGACAACAGAATGTGGCATACCTCTGAAATTGTCGTTAGCACAGCAGAGATCCGATCAAAAGCAGGATACCGATCCTTCATAGATTTCACATCTGATAGAATGGAAGTTGCCCAGTCCATATCATGAATTGGAGCAGACCATATGGGACCACCCATGTTGTACTTCTTTCCGCAGTCCCTACATTCTTGACCAACAACAGGACCAAATCCAGGTAGGTATCTCACACTTTTGTTCTGTAACAATTAACATAAAAAATTTAGGGAACACCTATTATATAATAGAATAGAGTTTCAGCCCAAGAATGTGAGCTCTGCAACTAGACCACACATTCTAAAACACAGCAGAACAGAAGGCATGCCATGAAGATTTTTTGAATTGCTTATATTATATGATTAGATTAGCCAAAGCTGATTATGCACCTTAGGGACAGTCCTTCCAACTGGCTGAAGGTGAAAAGAATCGCAGCCAATGCACTGATAGACATATGACAGCTTTAAAGGAGTGCTCTTCATTGCACTAGCAGATCTGCAAGCAAGTAAACCATTATTCAGACACCAGAGATGGAAGAATAATGCATAGAGCACTTTGAAGGAATCAGTCCATAACAAAATTAAGTAATTGGCTATATGAAATTAAAAAGCTTAAGAGGAGAAAGACTCACGTAAATATGCGAACAAAAACCCGTACATAGAAATCCATTTGAACAGATAACACTGGGACTATGTACCGCTTGTATCGATTTGCATGGCTCTGCAATTTAACTAAATATTAACTTCATGTGAAGATGTATGAAATAGGTTCTAATTTTCTGTGTACCAATAAGTATTGCTAAAGAGTTGCTATCTTTCAGCTAATGCCTAAATATCAATTGCCATAAGGATAGAATTTCTGAAATCAATTACCTCAATACATGCCAGAAGCATCCTCAACGCCATCTCATGGCAATATTTTCCTCTTAATGGATAAGAGCCATATCTAGTTCAGAATAAGCGTATGGTCAAGAACTACACACTTGGTGCGGGAAAAGATTATAATGATTGTAAAAGCTAAATCTTACTTTGAATAGCAAACCTCACCATTCGCCCCACAGAGAACTGCCATATCAGTTGCTGTGCACATTAATAAGCCTCCATCAGCAACTGATTGCACAGCAGAGTCCAGGAAAACTGAGGGTGAACCATAAGGATCAAGATCAACCTGTAACAACCACTCAGGTAATTAATGACGCCCATTAAATAAATGCAACGCGTACAACAAAATGGTGAGATTGTGTTGTATGAGATGCTGCCTCCAACACCTGTAACCACCACTCAGGTAATTAATGACACCCATTAAATAAATGCAACGCATACGACAAAATGGTGAGACTGTGTTAAATGAGATGTTGCCTCCAACACCTGTAACAACCACTCAGGTAATTACTGAAACCCATTAATAAATGCAACGCATACGACAAAATGGTTAGATTGTGTTATATGAGATGCTGCCTCCAACACGATGTCTATGTAAAGCAAGAGATTAGGATATCGTTATAGCTTGGCGATGCAGGACAACATGTTCCACTGGTATTACATACTTTAATGATTGACAAGTGCTATAAAGTCTTGGAATACTGTACACATTTTGCCTCTTTCACCATGTCTAATTGCATAATAGGTCCATAATAAATCTGATGGATGCAGAGAATGGTTTCAGAATGCATACCACATCAAATTCCTTTGGGTGGGTGAGCATATACACTCTTGCATCAGCAAGGTGTGACTCCACCTTTGAACTTGCAACTGAGCCATTGAATTTAATGTTTCTCCTGCAAGCCTCAATGCATGCTGTAGAATGGAGCAATGTTAGCCTTTTCACTAGTACAATATGCCATGCAACCAACATAAAAAACAAAAACTTTTGTTCAGAATAACTGTGCTCACACAAAATTGCAAGCACAAATAAGTAGTAACATTATGTAAGAGATCATGACTGAGATAAAACCATTCGTGCCAACATACATTGCATTATATAATGATTACAATGAGAAGAATCGAATCACCTTTATCATTGTCCAAGGCTACTACTTGACCAATTCCATTAACTTCTCGAGCATATCTCAAGGCTCTGAGCCCAGAAGCTGACAGAGCCTGTTATACCATAAGACAAACATGCCTAAGCGACAGATAATCAAAACAACATACCAAATAGAAGTAACATTAATGCCATAAAATCATATACTACCTCCAGGACTCGAGGTGGCTTGAGTTCTCCCCGGCCTGTTCCGTCATTGTTCGTTGATGGAGGTTCGGTTAGGCTGCAAGGTACATCCTGAGATACCTGTTCAGAAGCTTTGCATGCTCCATTAGCTTCTCCATCATGTATTTCTGTATCTTTAGGGGCCTCAGCTTCAGCATCCCCTGAGACCTTGGATCCACTTCTCATTTTCCTGGACAACTTTGTTTCGTGTTCTTGCTGGCGCTTTGATGTAAATGTCCTCAAAACAGCAATCGACATGTCTCTGTTATTCACCTGCCATCACATTCCAAAAGTTTCAAACTCCAACAACATAACAGCCGCAAACGGAAATATTCAGTTAAATCAAGCAACGGGGATAACTTTTTTCTTATTATGAAAAAGAAGGATCCTTCAAATGTCCCCAAAAAAGGACTACTTTTGTTTTCTAGAAATCTCTAAGACTTCTCAGTTCAAGAACTAAGTCTTATTGCCAATCCTCCAATCACGGTCATGTGCTTCTAAACGCACAAACAAAACAATCTAAACCAACTCAAAACTTTCACATACCTGCGCTTTGTTGTAAAAGACTTCGTTTTTGGCGTGCATCAGAATCTCAGCCTCTCCTTCTTTAATGATTTTAAAGTCATTGATATCAAACGGTGCCGCCGCTTCCGGCACCACGCTACTGCGCTTCTCGTTCTCCACATCCCCAATTTTATCATCAGCGGCTGCCATCGGTTCTATAAATAACGGGTTACCCTGCTCCTGACGGCGGAGCGGGCGGAAGGCTGCAAAAAGTGGAGAATCAAGGACGACGGCGTAGCGCTTCCTCTTATTAAGAACTCCTGGAAGAAGAGAAAGCATCAAAGTGAGCAATTTAATAGCAGGTCGTGGCGCACAAGGCTAGTGGCGTGCAAGTTGGAGACTCGCAAAACCCTACCTCTCTGTGCGAATGTAACTATGGTGATACGTGATGTGTTTTCACAATTTGACTGCGTAGATTTTATATGGTTATTGATTTGACTATTGGTCAAAATTGAAAAGCCCTCCCATTCCCGTTTATTTCTATTTATTTTTAATCTTACGCAAAATCAATTTCACATAATTTTATTATCATACATAACAATTATAGTAGATAAGTTTTTTTCAATATTAAACTATATTAGTTTGTTCATTCGTGCATTTAATGTAAAATAATTCAACAAGTATTTATCATCGGAGAACATATAGATTTCAAGTTTTTGAAACAGAGGTATCATATACGGATCGGATCTATCATATGTACATTACAAAAAACAAAGGTAGACTTCAAATTACAAAAATCTGAAAGAAGAATAGACTCGAACTTATATGCCTTCAAATGTTCATGTTTAGGTACATTATACATCAGCAGCATTCCGCAAAGGTTGAAAGCAGCCCCAAGCGGACACTGCATATATAGGCCTGTCCCGCCAGCATATCATCAAGCTTCCTTTCTCGTCACCGACAACCTTAAAACCCGCCGGCCTGTACCCCTCCACGACCCGCCTCGCCTCCTCCATCGTCTGGTACCACAGCCGGATTGGCCTTAATCCTGCCCTAGCAAGCCTAATGCCCCACTGCCCGTGCCTTTCGTGTCTCTCCTCCCCTGCAACGACGTTCTCAATTTCCTTCCCGAACATGCCTTCCAAGGCTGTCCGATCCGAGCACAGAAATCCTCCGCAAGCAGTGTCAATGAAGTCGAATATTGCGCTGTAATAATGCAGCCCTTCTACAACCCGGTCGAGTAGTCGCCTTGAATTATGATTTGCCTCTTGTTCGACCAGCAGCATTGCCTTTGGCTTCATCGACTTTACCATGTTGAGGAATCTGTTCATTTCCCTGCATTCCTTCACCTTGCCGTCGTGCTGGCTTACCGCAAATTGTGCGTCGATGCAATTCTCGTCGGCGAGAAGGGCATGCAGGCTCAGTATCGACGTCAGTGCTACAGCTTCACCTTCTTGCACTTCAAGCATGTCCAAGCTCAGCTCCTGAAGGCTAACATTTACACATTTGAATTGGAATGGAATGTTGAGAGTCTCGGCTTCTTTCGCGAGCTTAGCTCGAGATATCTCTTGATTGCTTCTACCAACACAAGTGATTGTCAAATGGGGCGGCTCAGGCTTTCTATCTCCTAGTCCCTTAATAAAAGGAACCCAAAGATTCGGGTCACCAGAGCCGAAGTCAATGATATGGATCGCGTGTTCCCCCGACATGGCCTGAATCAGGGTCCGGCTTATGACTGCATAGGCAAATTTTAAACAGGGAAATTTTCTAACAAAAATGGATCGGGCATGATCAAGATTGCAACTAATTGTGGCGCTACTATTCAAAGCCTTGTAAAGGCCCGGCCAGCGCTTAACCAGCCGGACAGCAAGAGCCGAGGCAAACCTGGCAGCCAGGCGCTGCATGGAGTCTCCGGTGATGGAGGCCAACTGGGAAATCTGGAGTAGGCAGTCGTCAGCGTGTTGGAGGTTTCCCGACGAGGCGTGCCTGGCACAATTTAACAATAGCTGGATAAGTTTAACACTCCTTTCTTGGGGCTTTAGGGCATCATGGGCTGTTCGAGGCTGCGATAAACTTAAAGACAATGTCACATCCAGCTTCTGCGAAACAGAAGAAGATGTCATGTTTTCTAACCAAGAATGGCAGAAACGTAAGAATATAGAATGATCATAATTTATGAAGGGTGTTTGTTGTTGAAATTGTAAAGGGAGTAGGTACAGATAACAGGAGAATATATTTGTAAGCATTACACAGGTCCAACAGCATGCAACAAATGTTGTGTTTTATAAATGATTCTATGAAGTAGACATTTGTGGATTCCTTGTTGTCTTGACTCTTGACACACACTGTATGTGATATATATCGAAACATATTGTCAACCTACAGTTAAATTTTATCGTGCAATTCGTACGCTGACGTGAGGACTTGCGTTTCCAACTGTCAAGACAAAGCACAAGAAACAAAGGTTAGAGAACAAAATATCCATAGCAGTTGTCAAACACAGGAAGTGTTTCCATGAAACTCACCGCCCACCTGCCGGCTACTAATAGCAAGTTAAACAAGGAACTGATATTTTAATCCTTCGAGGGTCAACGCAATGCAAGAGTTCCTTGTTATCCCAATATGAGATTCATGAAACAAATTACTGAGTTAGGAGTTAGAATCACCAATGCCTTAGGTCTCGATTCAATTCATCGACTAAAGCTAATGCAATACCAAAATTCCAATTCACCATTCTCACAAAAGACCATATGGAAAATATTGCTACAAGACAATTGGTGCAAGCATTTCCTATGTATTTTAATGTGCTGAGTTTTTGTCTATTCTTACACCCTAGGTATCCGAAGTTTGGTTTCTAATCTACATAGTAAAGTTGAGTCGTGATAAGAACAAGTGTTATTTCTAATCTTTGTCCTCTTCTAGATACATGACATGATACTACAAGCCACACTTACGTCTCTATCTAGTATTGGTTTTCGTAGAGGCCGCAGGGAAGAAACAAGACAACACCAACATAGCCAAAAAAGGTATACATCATAATTCATAGCCTAGGAAGATGCGATACAGTGAATGCGAAAGACAGATCTGCAATAATGGAGAACATTCAAGGCTGATTCATCTTCAAACACAGTGATTCACAGATAGTTACTGGTCCACTCTGTAAAGTGATAAAATCAAGTTAGGTCTCTCTTGTTTCACCTGTTTCCAAAGTAAAAAGTTTATGCAGTAATTTAATCACAATCATAGAGAATAATTGGATCGATTTTATGACAGAAAGAATCAGAATTCGAAGAGTAAAACCAGCACAATCCACAGCATCAATACTCAACAGACGCACCGAAATCAATAACACCAAAAAAACCGACATTTAGGAGGAGAGAAACTCAGAAGTTGATCGATTCATCAACAAAAACGATGAAGAAAAGATAGAAGGAAGCAAAGGGGAGGGCAGATCGAAAACCATCGGTATGGGAGGAATAGGGAAGGAGCATCAAAATACCATTCCTGACAGAAATTGACCTCCTTCCCCATCACTCCGGCACCGAAAATTTCCGACGACTGCCACCGCCCTTTGAACTTCCCACCAACTCCACCCGCCGTCTCGGACGCGCGCCATCGGTAGGTAGGTAGGTTAATATACATAGCGGACAAAACGAAAGTGCGTGTAAGAATTTGGGCCTCACATGTATAAAAATACGCAATTTAAAGGTCCATTTAGTAAACTTAAAAATAATTTCAAAAGTTTGGCCCATACAGGTCTCGAACCTGTGACCTTCGCGTTATTAGCACGACGCTCTAACCAGCTGAGCTAATAGGCCAGTGTTCGTATTAAACTAAATTATATAATATCACGCATATTACAGCAAAGACAGTGTATTATATCATATGCGTTGTAACGTTAAACGTCACCCGTCATTCACCTTTCCAATCCTCAACAGCCCAATCACAGATAACCTCATTCAACCCAGCCCAATTCCCACGCGACACGTGGCTATTGCACCGCAGGCATTACTATGGAGACGCCAGATTGCACGACGGACGCCCCACGTAGATTCTCCGTTTCTGATGAGACGTCCGCCGTCCTTTTGTGAATAATTAATGCGACGGAACCGTTTTCTTGTTCTCGGCGGTAGCCGACCCCAAAATTTTTTTACTATTTTTATTTTTTTCATGTAATAAATAAAATGCTGTAAAAAGGCGTTACGAAAAATTGATTTTACTAAGAGAAAAAAACTCGGGCAATAATTTGATCTAGCTTCAAAAAATAATACTCTTGACTAATTTTAGTGAATGGACAAGAATTTACAGTGCATGGTTTTAACCAGTGAAAGTAGACACCAGTTGTGTTATGTTTGGTCAGTCAATGTCGTTTTTATTCATTAGAAAAGCCAATACATTGCAATTTTATTTTATTTTATTTTTCGTATATATATTTGTTTTGTTCTATACACTATATATATATATATATGCAGGGCCCGAACCACCATAGGGCAAAGGGGGCTCCAACCCCCCGCCCCGGGCCGTCTCTTTTATTTTATTTAAATATATATTTTTTTTATAAATATGTATGCATTTGTATATTAAAAATATTTAAATTATATAAAGAATAATGCTAAAAAAAATAATTAACTATGTTTATGTCTAATATTTTAATTTCATATAATTTTTTAAAAATATTATAAGATAATACAATATATATATAATAAAAGTTAAATACATTTTTAGTTGTGATAATAAGATAATTTTAATATTTTTTTAAATATTTTTTTCTTTAAAAAAAAATAGTTCTATTTATTATTTTTAAGCAATATAAAAATAAATATATAAAAAATATATTTTTTATTACTTTATTTATTATTATTATCTTCAAATATATCAATTTAAAAAATACAACATTGAAATATATATTTTTAATCGTGTTATTTTAAAAAATTTAAAAACTAGTCCCCTTGCATCGGTCTCTAGTTCCGCCTCTGTGTATATGTATATATGTATAATGTATATATATATAATTTAACATTATTAAATATATCTTGAATATTATAGCAGATACAAAATTAATTGCAAGTGTTCAACGTGCTAATGACATAGTTCAAAATTTTTAATTAGTTAACAAATATCAGTGTTGAAAGTTTAGATATCCTTTATTTTAATGGACATAACACATGCTCTATTGTAAAATAAGAGTGTATGCTATATGTTCATTTTTATATTATTCTACATACATATATTTAGTTTTTTATAAAAATATATTTGATGTTTTATAGGAATATACATTATATTGTTTCCTTCGATTCATCTTTTGATTTTTATTTGTCTCATTTATTCTGTCATTTTTTTTTAGAAAAAAATTATACATTTTAATTTCATTTCAAAATTTCAATTTATAATTTTTTTAACTTTAATTATACTAATTAATTATCTTAGTCTTAATATAAGATTATTTTTATTATACAAACAATTACTTCATATAAAAAATTATTGGGTAAACAAACTCTTAATTCTCTAACTTTGATGTAAAATATATTTTGATTTAATGATTTTGTCTTGTATTGGGATTAGGAACTTGAACTTTAAATTATGGAAATGGTTAGAAATGAAATTACAGAATAATAATAATAATAATAATAATAATAATAATAATAATAATAATAATAATAATAATAAAGAGACATAATTAATGGATCTTCAATAGCTTACAATGTTAAATATATATTGACATCTTTATATATAATCGTCACGTTAGTGTTATTAGGTAGTAATCAATATGATTACTCAAACAGTTATTAGTCATACCACACATGCATGCATGCACACACAAATATATGTTTGAAATGTCAACTAAAATTTATTTCATAATTGTATTGTTAAATAATAATATTCTATTTATCCCATTTTTATTTTATCTTTGTTTTTATTTCTAATTGAGATATTTTAAATACCGTTTTGTAAAAAAAAAATTCAACATATTTTCTTTTCTAAAAATTAATATATTGCACACACTCATTATTTTTATATTACTTATATAATTCATATATTTTTTTTTTCTTCGAACCAAATACATATGCTTTAATTAAATATGATAACATTACACTTTTAATAAACAAACAAGTAAAATTAAAGTACTTAAAAATACAACTAAAGTAAAGCAATTTTCTTATTTAATTTCCTGTTTTGATATTTTTATGTTGGTCAATCAATATATACATACGCGCGTGTATACATGTATTGACTTCTTATGTAATTATTAGAAGGTATATATTTGAAATAATAAATTATTAACCTGGTTAATGACGTACTTAACCTCACCCGAATTTAGTTGCCCTAAACCAATGGATTTTACACATCTTGACTGAAACCTAATTTCGAGGCCAATGATCACCCGACACGTGGAAGTCAAATCATCTATGGACGACGGCTGTCCGATCTTCCTGACGAACATCACCGCCACCGCCACGCGTTTCCTCGCGCGTCGATGCCAATCCCAGCATCACAACCACACGCGTGCAATCCACGCTCGGCATCAAACAGTCAAATACACGCACGCTTTTGTACCAGTGGTTAAAAAGCCGGAGTGGCTTCCATAATTCTTACATAATAAAGCTATGGAGAACACCCAACCCTAAGTCCTCGTCTCTGATGTCTGATCTGCTGCACATGTCCGAGTCCTGAGCTCTCTCCTACGGAGAATCCACGAAGAAGAGCTGAGCAGCAACAAATCCACGCACGCCATCGTTTCCGTAGCTGTGGTCTTCTATATATGGAATTGTCGTTTCTGTGTTTATTTGGAAATTAGGGTTTCAGGATTTTAACCATTTTAGCTAAGGGAGATGAAATAAGATCATTCTTGCAATTAATTGAAGGGGAAATATAAGGCATTAAACAGAGATTGAGCACGAGATCAGCAAATTTAGGTATATTTGGAGAGATTTTTATTTAAAACAAAATTAGGGATCATGGGAAGAGGGAGAGTGGAGCTGAAGAGGATAGAGAACAAGATAAACAGACAGGTTACATTTGCAAAGAGAAGAAATGGTCTGCTCAAGAAAGCTTACGAGCTTTCTGTCCTCTGCGATGCCGAGGTTGCTCTTATTATCTTCTCCAACCGTGGCAAGCTCTATGAGTTCTGCAGCTCCTCCAAGTACATATATCTTCTTATAATTTTCTCTATTTAGTTATTTCTGCAGATTATTTTTGTCAAAAAGCCATTTTTCTGCACTTGTCTCTTTGTTTTGGTGAAGACATCTTGGTTCGTAGTTATGCTTGAAATCTTAATGTTGGTAAGAAAAATTAGGGTTCTTAATTTGGGGTTTTTCTTAATCTTGCACAAAGTAGTTTTAATCTCTGGTTCTTTCCATTTAATATATGGATCTCTGAAACTGGCAGATGTCTTTCCAACTCCTCCATCTCTGAGTAATCATCAGATTGTTTTTCAGTTTGAACACTTCATTCTTCTTTTAACTGGTTTCAAGCCTGACCTGTTTTGATTCTCCCAACCTCCGAGGTTGTTCAGGAATCTGCAATTATTTAAGTGGCCCTTTCTTGATTTACTGCAACTGCTTCCAGCTAACTAGGGTTTGTGGAAAGGGTTGAATTAATTGATTGTGTTTCAGCATATTGCTGATGGAATGCTCAAAGTGATTTAATAAAGTGTTGTGCTTGGTCAGCACATCATCTTAATTAATTAGATGTTGACGAGACTTTTTTTTTTTTTGGGTGCCTTTGGCTCATTTGATGAGAGGATCAGAGTATAATAGTAAATCTTTTCAAATCATTCATAGCTATTATTGTATATATTAATAACTAGCCCCACGATGTATATATTTTTTTTTCTTCAATCAAATTGTAATATAACCAACATTTTTTTTTGTTTTTTGTTTTTTGTTTATTTTTTTATATAACAACAGTCACAGGGGAAGAGTTCATCTTCAGAATAAGTTTTAGAAAACTTAAATATATAAACTAATGTAACCGAGTTTGTTCTGTTGTCATTTTAAAATAGGCGTTCAAGCTTAATGAAGTACTATTAAACATTACATTTATCACTAGATTTTCTTGTTTTCCTTTGTAAAATAATAATAATAATAATAAATTTAAAAAAAATGTATGAAGAAAACTTATGTTAAATCTACCTAATTGACAAAGGGTGCTGTTTGGTTGTATTTCTAACTTTTTCAGTACATAACACATCTATTTTTCATTTATATATTATGTAGAAAATTTATTTTTTATTTAAAACATATTTCATTTATAAATTACATTGCATAAAAATGAACTTTTTGATACTATTATTAAAAATACCAACACACCCAAAGACACTGGAAGTAGAGGTTTGTTTATACCCATCAGCTCTAATAATTATGATAGTTCTTATATGGGTAAAAGTAGTTAGGGTGTGTTTAGTTTCTTTTGAGATGTTTGTGGTTTTCTGGTAGTTTCCAATTTAAATTTTTTCATAGTTAAAAATAGTGGTAGATAATTAGTTTTGATAGTTTAAAGTTTTATTACTCTAGTTGAAGTGACAAGTGAAATTGGTTTTATCCTGTAAATCTTCACTCCAGCTTTGTTATAGTGAATGGATCAACAGTCCGACATGCATACATGTTGTAAGAACCACATCTTAGCTTAATCCAAGTCTGTTGTAATGCATCCGCCACATCATGGACACTTAATTATATTAATGAACAAAGAATGTAATAAAATAGCAGCTACACGAATATATATATATATATATATATAACTGTGCTCCCTCTAACCATTGCTGGTATTCTTGTTTGGATTCCTACAGCATGCTTCAGACACTTGAAAGGTATCAAAAGTGCAGCTATGGCTCCCTAGAAGTGAATAATCCTGGCAGAGATATTGAGGTATGTGTGTGTTACTCAGAATCTTTAATTTATTACAAATGTAGAACGTGTATGCATGTGATAATTCAAGTGTAGCCTTAATTATTGATTTCTCCAAAACATGTCTGATTTAGCTATTGCATATGTTCTTTTGTTTTTTTTCTCTGTGTTGTTGTAGCAAAGTAGCTATAGAGAATATCTGAAACTGAAATCCAAATATGAGTCTCTGAAGCGATACCAAAGGTAAGTAATAGTAATGTTCTTCATTACAATGTAGTATTAAGTTAAACTTAAACCCCTTCAATGGAAGGTGTAGCTAGGTACATATACATACATACAAATATATATATATATATATTCTACGTGGCGCTTTCAGACAACTTCTTGGGGATGATTTGGAGCCTCTGAACATCAATGACCTCGAGCAAATCGAGTATCAACTGGAGACATCATTGAAGCACATTAGGTCTACAAGGGTAAGCAAGATTGTCCTTTTTATCTCTTTTTTTTTTTTTGGGGTCTATTTTGCGATATTTCTTTCAGACAATTAATTAAGTTGAATTTCTGACTGAATTTATTTATTTATATTGAGCAGACGCAAGTGATGCTTGATCAGCTTTCTGATCTCCAAGCCAAGGTACTTACTACTACTTGCATGCATGCATTCATTCATTCAAACATTCATTAATTTAATCGAACATCATTAATATATTACATTACATTGCAGGAGAAGATGATGCTCGACGCCAATAAAGCTTTAGAAAGAAAGGTACCCATCAAATATATATATATACTATTCACTTCTTCTTCGGAATAACTAATCAATATATATATATATGTATGTATGTATATATTACTTATCAACTCGATGGGGATGATGGATGACGTGTCCCAGCTGGAAGAAATCTATGCCACTAATCATCTGCAGCAGCAATCCTGGGTGGGAGGTGGGGAGCATAGCAACGCTTACGGCGGCGGCCACCACCACCACCACCATCCCCAGGAATCTCAGGGCTTCTTTCAGCCTCTGGATTGCAATTCCACTCTCCAGATTGGGTAATTTTCAACCTTAAAATAAATGCTTTTAATTTGTGTTCGTCGTCGCTCACATTCTTACAATCAATTAATCAATCAATTTACTACACACTTGCCATATTTTTTCTTAATTAATTAAAACAATTGAAAATGTGTGAGTGCAAATTAAATTAATTAAAGAGTGATTGATGTTGCAGGTACAATGATCCAGTGAGTTCGAGCCAGATGACTGCAGCAGCAGATGTCCAGAATGTGAATGGATTGGTCCCTGGCTGGATGCTTTGATCTATTCACTGCATGTTGTCCGAAAGAAACCCCTTTCTATCTAATTATTATATATAGAGAGAGAGAAAGAAGCATATATATATATATATATATATGTTATAGTATAGTATATGGTATGCAATTAATTAATTAATTAATTAATTCCAAGCTAAGTGTGGGATCCTAATTTATATATCGATCTATCTATTTATCTATCCATATCTGCTTCCAGATACAGTATGAATAATGGAATGGAGTGGAGCAGTGTTGCTTTCGTTTTGGAATTCTTGCTTGTCAATATATATATATATATATGGGAATGGAAGTGTATGTATTAATGTACCTATATATGTATTATTAAATTGACTAGTTTGCCACTTTAATTATGGGTTCATTATGTGTTTAATTATTATTTCATTTTAGGACTTTTTTCAATTACATTAGGCCCATGTCTTTGGGCCCATGTAGACCAATACGATCACTGGGAGGACTTTTGTATATGTGATCAATATAATCCCCACTTATATATTCCCTCCGTCCAGGTTAATATTTTTTTCTGTCCAGGTTACTATTTCTTAATTTAGTATTATACTATCTATTTAACTAATAAGTATTATTTCAACTTACAATATATTACAAAAATAGCATTATTTTTATATTTTACACCATACTATTAGGGATATTTTTGTCTTTTTTTTTTTCTTTTTCTTTTTACTTCAATCCAATATAATACTAATATTAAAAAATTTAAGTGCGAAAAGCAAACGCCACCCTTCCAACGGAACGAAGGGAGTAATATATATGTGATCAAACTCACTGCAATATTTTTCAATTTAGAAATAATTAATAATATATATTAATATATACTTTACTTTATTATATTATATTACTCAAATAAAAAAATAAATAATCATTTTTCACTTCATTCATATTACTTAATATTCATATTATCTCAAATTACTATATTTAATACTCCTCACTTAAATTCTTATGTCAAACACAAATGTTGCAGGATGTTTGGACGGAGAGAATATATATATAGAATTGAAAAATATGTATCACTTCCAACATGGATAAAGTTTATTTTAACGACTATGTATGATTGGTTCTTAACCACAATAATTATTTGCAATTTGCTAATGACCTTATTCACTCCGATCCGCCCACACCCCACGTGAAATTTTCACTTCAATCTGCCTATGCCTATTCAATAATACCAATATAATACTATTAATTAATTATTAGATTCGATCCCCCTCGATAAAAATCAAATTCAATATCCCAAAAAATCTCCATCGTAGAGCTAAATAATTTAAGAATTTATGGGCCTTTCGTTTTATATGCTGTATATAATTAATTAAAATGGTCCCCATGATTATGCATGATAATAGGTCAATTAATGTAATAATAAATAGGTGAGTAGTGTTACGTTGGATTACATCCCTACATAAGCAGTGTTTAAGTTTGGACCACTCAACTTGGTGGGGAACAATTCAACAGCTCAACTTGTACTAATGTATTCGTATTTAATACACTCCTCCTCATTTACCTATAACCACTTTCATTTCACTTGTAATAATAGTACGTATACATTGGATTCCTAATTACATTATGTAATAAATAATTAAAAAACAATCATATTGTCTTATGTTACTCTTATATATACGTTGCTTTATCTACTAGTCATTTATCATATATATAAAGGAGCATAAAATAATTACCGTGTGTTTGGTTTATCTCATTTATTTGTCACACTTCTCCCAACTTTTCTTTTTCTCAATATTACTTTTTACTTACTCCGTTTTTATTGACCAGTGAAAATATGTAAGAAGTTTGATATTTTTGTTCTTTTATATGTATATATAATAATATATTTATAATTTATGTAAAAATTTAAAATATTTTGATATTGATGTATAATTATTTTTAATAAAAAAAATATTTTGAGTTAGGACAAATTAGTCCATTCTCACATCACTGTACCATTTCTTACCAACCGCACAATTTAATTATATTTGTATATGGAGTATCAACTATTAACAATAGACTACTTTACTAGAAACGAAGATATCTTATCTTTTTCTATAAATATTGAAAAATAAATTCAACTTGTATTTCTAAGAACACATGCATAGGTGGATCCACGTGTCAAACGTTGTACTATATGAAAAGGGTCCAATTATCCGTAACTACTATCTCCCGGCGTAAAAAATAAAATTTGAACAAAAATGAAATCAAAATAAATAAAACTTAATTATTTTATTTGATAAAATTAATTAAAAAAATATAAATTAAAGAATATAACATAGAAATACAATGGTCTAAAAAAATATACTCTCTCCTTCCTAATTCAATAGGTTTTTTTTTTTTTTTTTTAGTTTGGTAGTAAATTTAAAAATAATAGTATTTTATTGGTTATTGAAAGTAGGTAAATTTTTTTTTATATTTTTGTTATTTGACTTTACATATAAAATACACGTTGCCGTTTCTGTCTGTCCCACATACCATGTCACTTTCCCTTTTTTAGAAAATGATTACACACTTTAATCTCATTTTAAACTTTTTAATTTTTTAAAAAATTTTAATTAAACTAATTAGTATGTTAATCTTAATTTATAATTATTTATATTACAGGATAATTATTTCATTAATATATTTTTAATTATCTACTAATTACATCCTCCTAAAATACCGTGTCTACAATATAGCAGGCACGGTATATAGGACAGATGGAGTAGTATATTAGTAATTTATGTAAAAACAATATTTTATTATTAGTGTAGAATTATTTTTTAAAAAAATATAATATTTGAAGTGGGACAGGTAAAAATATATAGTACCTAGAATTAGGACGAAGAGAATATATATTGCAGATACTGAAGATATATGATTGATACATGTATAAAAAAAAAAACCATGAATTTAGTATATATATATATATATAAAGTTAGTGAAATGTGAACTCTAGAGAAATAGGGTGTGTTTGTTTTGCCTTTTGATTTAAAAAAATATTTTTTTTACGTGAGATATTATGAAAGTTAAGTAAATAAATAATATTGACAAATGAACACGGCGTATGCATTTTTCAAAATAAGAATAAATAAATAATGAAGAATGAGATATAGTTGATTCTTAGATTTGAATCTTTTGATTCAAACAAACAAACAAACAAAAAAATTTGACATATTTTTGTTCTTCTGTCTTCATTTTCTTTGTACTAATACATTTTATTATGTACTATGTTTATGCTTATTAATATATTTATGTATTGAATCGATTGTATTATGCATGTATGGATTATTGTTCTATATGTCGTATATGCATTAATATGTTTTACATTGTTGATTTATACTTTATGAACAATCTCTCTCTCTCTCTCTCTCTCTCTCTCTATATATATATATATATTATGTATTATAAATACTATGTTAATTAATTATAGTCAGTACAGTAACAATTAATATATATGACACTAATTAGGAATGCTAATATAATAACTGTATATCTTATTTTTATATTTTCTGTTTTAATTAAAAGTATTTTTTTTACTAATTTTTTATATGTTTTACTATAAAGTATTTATTTTCTATTTTAATAAAAATAATCATATATTAATACCAAATACACTTATTTTTTACATAAATTATAAATATACGATTATAAATATATTTATTATATATATATATGAAGTCAATGGGCAAAAGTAAAATCTCTTATCTCTTATATATTGTCATTAACAAATTAAATATTAGTATTATATTTTAATATATTACAAAATTTTAAATAATCATTTGGAGTGAGACGGAGGGAGTATAAAATAAATTTAAATCATACTATATAAATTTTATTTAAAAAATAATTCGTTTACCTTGCTTTTTATCCATATTTTATATAATTATATATATACATATATATTTAGAACCATTACATGCAGCACTATATATTTATTTTATTTAATTTTTTTTTTCTAATTTTAAATATTTAAGGCTTAAATTCTCTATAAAAAAAACCCATCAAATACACAATTTTCATATAAAGCACTACACTCAACCATTATTTTATATAAAAAAACCATAAAAAATACAAAAACATAAAAAAGCTATAAATAAACAAAACACTTGTTATATGTTTTTTTTAAAAAAAATGTTTCACTTTTTAGATTGTCGCTGAAAAGAAAACATGTATATAGACCTCAGATAACTAGACAGGTAACTATAAAAATATTAGTAATATATAAATTTAAAATTCATTTATCTGTATTTGGGACGCACGGCACGACAATAAAGCAGCGTTAGCCGTTAGTGAAAAGATGGAGGATGCAACATAATAACCTGAGACAGACTCCTGGGATCTCAACGCCAAATAAATCCAGACCGTTCAATTTGTAGACCCAACAAATGAACGGCATACAATCAGTAGGCTCTCTAATCCTTTCTCCGAGCAAAACTCTCTCCTCGCCAACCCTAATTTGATTTCCTAACCCTCCTTCCCAGCTTATATATCTAACAATGTATGTCTCTGTGTGTGAATGGTAAAAATTGCCAGAAATAAAAACACACACATAATATATATATATATATATACATATTATTAAAAAAGTAAGTGCTATAGGAAGAAGCACTCCTAGGTTACTGTCTTTGAACTTCTCCAACGTGGAAACAAATTAAAGCAGCAGCAGCAGAGAAGTAGAAAGAATTAAGCCAAGCCCCACCCCACCATCCCCTCTGGTTATTTTGATTGGTCGTCACTGTGAACCATTTATTATGAGGTGAGATCGAGTACTCATCCAAATTCTTAGGTTTTCGTACTACCACGTACTGCATCTGTATATAAGTACATGCTTCTCATCATAAATCTGGAGAGAGATAGCTAGAGAGGATTAATAACTAAAGATAGTAATAATGGGGAGAAGTGGAAGACAGGTGGAGCTGAAGGTGATCGAGAACAAGATCAGCAGGCAGGTTACCTTCTCGAAAAGGAGATCCGGTTTGCAGAAGAAAGCTCGGGAGATCTCTGTGCTCTGCGATGCTCACGTTGCTTTCATTGCCTTCTCTACCACCGGCAAGCTCTTCCATTACTCTTCTCATATCAGGTATGTATATATATATATATATTATTGTATTCATTATTTATACATACATACATACATACATACATACATATGTTCCGATAAAAAAAAAAAAAAAAGAAAAAGAAGAAGATCAGAAGGTTCCTGCATTAACACACACATTTGTTTGTAATAATTTTGTGTATCATGTTCAGGGATCCACTGTACTGTCCAGATATATATGCCAATAACTCCAGATGAAAAGAATTTGTGTAAAATAATTAATGATTAATTAAGTTTCAAAGTGTTTGGATGATTAAAGAGTTACAACCAATAAGATACTGAATTTCTTAAACAAGAATTTATTTTACACAGCAATTATTCAATATCATTGATATACTACAGTTAAAATACTCTCTATTTTTATATATCAATTTTATACTTTAAGCTAATATTGCTAGCTGAGATATATGATTAAGGAGGAACTTAATTAAAGTTAATTAAAGCATCCATTTAGAGATTGTAGCTTGTTAGGAAATGTATAGCTTATGTTCTTGTGGAGTTTACAAGTATATTTCTTAAAAAACATTTTATTCACTATTGTAATATATGAATCTAAATTTTCTATTCGTATAAGAAACCATACATATATACAGTGGAATGCAAATAGTCAATAAGTACAAAATCAATCGAATCTCCCAAAATAAGGTTAATACTAGGATTATAATATACACAAATATATACCTAACATCCATCAACAGTTTTAATTTGTATCTTATGCAATATGTTTTGAGAATTCTACCAACTCATAGACATAACATCCATTCAATAATTGTTTTACAAAAATGTGCCTTGCTAGAAATTAATATTAGTTTGTTCACATCTTAGTGATTTGATATGCTTTATTTTGTTGTTCCTAATTAGCTTCCCTTGGCTTAATTTATAACCATATTCGCTCGATCGGTCATTATTGCAGCATGGAAAAAATCATCGAAAGATACCAACAACACATCTACTCTCATAAAAATGTTGATGCAGATTGTCAGCCTATGGTAATTAACATTGCCTTACTCCAAGTCCTATACTCATGATCTGCTTGCTTCCACAAACAATAAATTTGGATGTAATATTTTATATATAAAATAAAATATTTTTAATAAAGAGTTTGAGGATTTTAAAGTAAAAAAAAAAAACATAAATTATATTCCAAAAGAACAGAACCTATGATTTAGAACATTATATATGGAAAAATGATGAGTTGGGAGGAGTTTAGGTTTCATGTCCAGACCGAAGTGGATATGCATGACAATTTTTGGTTCTCATGTAGGAAAACCCGTTCCTCGACTATAAAAAACTCAAGTCTCGAGCTCAAACTCTTCAAGCAAATATAAGGTACATACACACACATAAGTGTATGAATATATTACCTTAAGTAATATACATTATTTGAAGTATACTTAATGTTTATGTAATAGATCTTGAGGAAGCACCACAGTGTAGTTGTACTAATTATATATATATATATATCTTTGGATTTTTTATGTATGAATTCATTACATATATTGAATAGGAATTATGAAGGACAGGATTTGGATCCACTTAGCTTGAGAGAGCTCCAGGATTTGGAGCAACAGCTTGACAGTTCTCTTATGCGAATCCGAGCAAGGAAGGTATGCTGAATTCGATACATCATAGTTATTACAATGCGCACACATATATATAGCATGTAATGAAGTTGAGGAATTAACTCTAAGTGAACATCTTTATTGTTGTGTTAAATAAACAAACAGAACCAACTCATGCGCGAGACCATTGGTGATCTTCAAAGAAAGGTATTAATAACTCTCCTTACATTTTATATGAGAAAATTGTAGTTTAGTTCTATACCTATATGTAAGATCACTTTTATCCGTGTTATATTTTTTTTTATTGTATTTGATCATATACCTTTGAAAAAAATCGATTTTCTTATTGCTGCCTCTTACATCCTTGCGAGATACATGGCCAAAGTAAATGTAAGTAAGAGTGATAATTGATTATAGATACATGACTAAACTTACCATTTTTGTTTTGTAAAAATCATGAGATCAGATTCTTTGGGAATTAATATTCCATTGACGTGTGGTGTTCTTGGCAGGAAAGAAACCTGCAGGGTCAGCACAACTCATTAGCAAAGAAGGTGAGCTTAAAACTTTCCAAAATCTAATCACTATCACATAATTATGAGGATCACATGAACTGCAATTGATGAAATAATCATAAATTGGATGTCCTAACAGCTCAAGGAGAAGGGAAAGGAGAAAACGCCGGAGGAGGATCGATGTCTCATCGTACAGTTGGAACAAAATCCCATCTTCATAATTCCTCCCCCACCCCTACAACTATACGACATTCCTTGTCGTCTAACCATCGGGTAAATGCAGCAGTCATTTGATTCTTTGAGTACTAATCATGTTAAAATTGCCAATTTAGTCTTATACTTATGCAGTTTTAATATTCTTATATATATATTTCATGAATTTTGATGAGCAATCTTGATTTAGAATACTTTGCTTGGCCACTGCAGGCTTGACAATGGCGGTTCACAAAAAAAACTTGGCAACCAAACACGGCCTGTGCATCATTCCTCCACCACCTCCATCCACCCCTGGCTGCGTCTCACCAGATAATCTTGCATTATATATATATATGCATAAGTGTGTATATTGAAATTTGCTGATTCTATCATTTCTACTATGTAGTATTTGATTATGACTAGGCTTTCAATTTCTACGGATTTGGTTTTCCAAAACTGTGAAAACTTGAAAATAGCAATGGTTCTTATTTCTTTCTTTATTTGATAATTATATATATATATATATAGTATTTAGCCTATTAATTAATATTGCAGCAGTATAACTTGTAACTAAACTTGCTTTGTCTTAAATGGAAGTAATCAGCCAAAACACCATTACAATAATAACATTTTGTCGTACATGTGTGATAATTTATGCATATGGATCAAGTACTGAATGAAAACATTCAGCACTATGCTGAAAGGGTTGAGAATTAAATATTCTAATTTGTAGAATTAAATTTTATTATTAATATAATTATGATAATATATTATAGTCTTTAAGCACATGTTTTCATCCAGCACATAATCCCCACCTATAATTTATATTCCTGTACAGATATATTTAATAAGTATATCTCAAACCATTTCTTTCTTAATATGTACTGATTTCCTGTGCATGTCCTGAAATTAGTCTGAAAGTTCATTGCCTGATCCATTGATCATGTCAAGTTTGGAGTCCCGAGTAAGGCTATATGGGTTTTGGTCAAGCTCTTATGTGTATAGAGTGATATGGGCACTGAAGCTGAAGGGTGTAGAGTATGAGTACATAGAAGAGGATATTATGAACAAAAGTCAAGCCCTTCTGGAGTACAATCCAGTCCACAAGAAGGTTCCGGTGCTCGTCCATTGCGGAAAGCCGGTAGCCGAGTCAGCCGTGATCCTTCAATACATCGAAGAAACATGGCCGGATCATCACAATCCATTGCTACCTATGGATCCTTATGGAAGGGCCGTGGCGCGTTTTTGGATTGACTTTGGCCACCAATTGGTAAAACATAGATATATGCATCATTTGGATTTTTATTTTCATTTTTATGATTTTTGATTAGATAAAGTCCATGATGAGGCAGAAGGACATGTTCATGGCATTGGTTCTGTCTTCTGGAGAGGATAAAGTAAATGAAGTGGAGAAAATGCTTAGAAGGATTCAAGATGAGGCATTGGGAGATAAGAAGTTCTTCAATGGGGATCGAATTGGGCTGGTGGACTTATGCTTCGGGTGGATCGCTGGCCCATGGCTCGAATGCTCGCAGGAACTTGCAACAGAGGAGCATGTTTTGGACATGGAAACATTGCCAACGTTGTGTCGATGGATTGCGGATTTCAGACAGCAGCGGGTGATCGAGGAAAACCTCCCCGAACGCGAGGCAATGCTTGCAATCATCAAAAGGGTGAAAAAGAGAGGCTCAAAGCTTAACCCCTGAGTGCTAAAGTTGTTACAAATCTGCAAGAATTTCAGCAAGCCATTCAACTGTTGATGTGATTAACTTTAGCTCTTCATGATGTGCAATCCAATGAACTGTTTGTTTGGTTATGTTTTCACTAGGCTGAATGGTTTGGTCTTTGTACAAATAGTGAGACAGAGACACGAAAAGGTTGTGAGCATGCAATTAGAATTTGGATTTGGATTTCTAATAACAAAGTGGTCCAGTCCACCACTCACTTTCCAATTGTTTTCTTGGAAAAATATCTTAGTCCTGTCAAATCTACAGATTTGGGATTGAAAAGGCACAGCTGTCTAGTGAAAAATCCCAAGTTAGATTACATGGGTTCTGGGCAAGCCCTTATGTGTATAGAGTGAAATGGGCAGTATGAGTACATAGAAGAGGATCTTTCCAACAAAAGTCCAGCCCTTTTGGGGTATAATCCGGTCCACAAGAAGGTCCCGGCGCTCGTCATGGAGGAAAGCCGGTGGTCGAGTCAAGCGTGATCCTGCAATATATCGATGAAACATGGCAGAACCGACCGATCCTTATCAGAGGGCCGTTGAACGTTTCTGGATTGACTTTGGACAACAGAAGGTAGCTTTGTAATAGACTTTCTCATCTGAAAATTGGATTGTAGAAATTCATCATTGTTAAGTAAGACATCAAGATTTTGTGATTGAATGATCAGGGCCTCGTGAATCAACTGGGAATCGAATTGCCATCGCCCCAACCATCCCTCAACCAGCAAGAATGTCATTAGAACAACCAACTAAAGTTAACAGGAAAGTAACTGCTGATAGTTTGCAGCTAACTTGTTCCTGCGTGAATGCCATTAATGTATGAAAAATCTGGATCACATCCACGTGAATAGCTCTGAAGTTTTCCTATAAATTGGACCAACAATTGTTTTGAACAGACACAGTAGAGGCTTTAGCTTTCAGCCATTGATGAACTGTAAGCTCTCTGAGAATGCATTTGCTTTCGACTGTGATCTTCCTCTGTTTCACATTTAGCAGCGTCTTGACACAAGCTAGGGGAGGGACGTCTGCTGTCGTCGTCGGGACCGTTTACTGTAATAACACATGCCTGGGCTTTGCTGAATCCATTCCAGGTGAATTGATCATCTTCTCCTTTTCTAAAACTAATGGTTTTTACAGAGCCTCACCTTCACTTGCTGCGGTTTAGGTGCATCCATTGCTGTGGAATGCAAGAATTTGAGCTCGAGCTTAGCCCCAAACTTCCGACAGATATTGAAGACCAACAAGGATGGAAATTTCAAAGTTCATCTCCCTTTCTCTCCCCAAAAACATGCCAAGACTATAAAGCAATGCTCAGTCAGACTAATCAGCAGCAATAAGCCCTTGTGTGATGTACCTGCAATGGCTACTGCTGCTGCTTCGTTCCATCTCCTGTCAAGAAAACATGGAACACTAATTTTCTCGCCAGGTCCTCTCACATTCAGGCCGTTCAAAGATAATCAAGCATGCGATCAGAAACCAACCACCATCAATTTTAAGAAATCGAAGAATGCTCAGAACGAGCTGACCCCAATTCCAAATCAAAACGAAGAAACTGCGCAATTGTTGGACCGTAAGGCTGATCAGCCATTTACGCCCCCGCAAATTCCTCAAAATCCATTCTATCCGCCATATACTTTTCCTCCCAACCCATTCCAGCCGCCGACGTCTTCTCTTCCACCAAACCCTAATTTTCAGCCTCCGCCTTCGGGATTTCCTCCATTTTTCCCTTCACCAGCAATACCTAGTCTGGTTCCACCTCCGCCGCCGCCCCGGCCATCTTTTCCTTTTCCGTTCCCACCGTTTCCCTTCCAGCCAACGCCTGGCTTTCCCGGAGCGCCGCCGGCTGAGGCTCTTTTACTGTCTCCTTGATCATGGAGCAACAGGGCTACTTGGCTAATGAGTAATGACTACTGTATTATGCTTGCTGATGGAAACACGTACATTATATATCAAGATTAATAACAACATGAACTTAAAAGTTGGAATGAGCTTTTTCTTTTTTCTTTTTCCTTTTTTTTTTTTTTTTTTTTAATACTAAAAATCCATTATTTTTATTTTTTTAATAAATAAATATTTTGTTATATATATTAAAAATTTCTTATTTTTTATAAAATTAATTTTAAATTAATTATAAATAAATATATATTTTTTTATTTATTTGTATTGTATAAAATTTTAATATCTACAAAATTATATTTATATGTTCATAATTTATTAATCTATACTGTTTATTTTATGCCATAACAAAATGTATCACCGAGGAAGTATTTAAATATAATTTTAAATTAAATATTTTAAATTTAAATTAAAACTAAACTATTTTACTTGATTGTAATTGAAATTAATTTAAATTGAAACATTAGACTTAGGTTTGTTTGTTAAATTTTTTTTAGATTCGTAATTTTTAGTATATATTTTATTCTTTTATAAAATCAATATTTCATATAAAATATTTTTATTTTATAAATTTAATTTTTTATTATTTATGTGAAAAAAAGTATACAAATAAAAATACTAAATAAATTTTTAATTTTTATATTTTAATATGATATTTCAGATAAAAAAATATATATATATGTTTATTGAAAATACCAAATAAATATTGTTAAGTTGAATTTCAAATCACAGTTAAACATGTTTAATCATTATTATTTTGTAAATTGTTATATTAGAATGTTTACCAAAGTACACATCAGTGAAAAATTGGAAAATACGATATAATGCCTAAAGCAATAAAACATCTATATCATACAAAACTACTATATTTTTTATAATAATACAGTAGTATAAACTTTCAGGTAATAATATAAATTTTTTATAATTTTGTAGTGGAATCATATATTAAAGTTTTATTGAATTGTTATTAATGTATTTTAATTTTCTCTCTAATTTTACGAAAATAAATAAAATCCATCAATGTTGATGTTACATATAATTATTTGTAGTTATTGCAAGTAAAAAGAATATTAAATTTACTTTTATTTTTTCTTCTGATATTGTTACAATTATAATAGTAGAAAAAAAAATATATTTTCTCTGTTTTAATTTAAACTATATTTTTTTTACTATTTTTGTCATGTCACACTTTCTTTTCTATGTTAGTAAAAGTAATCATACATCAATATCAAAATACTCTTAATTTTTACCTAAATTACAAACATACAATTACACACAATTATAATTTACATTAAAAATATTAAAACTTTTTACACACTTTCACTAACTAATAAAATATTATTATTTTTTAGTCTACCATAGACCTAAAAGAAAGGAGTATCATAAACTACATTTATTGAAAAAAAAATGAAACAATAAATAAATATCATAAAATTACCAACAATGACAATTTTCAAAGTAGATAATATCTTAAAATTACTTTTGAGAGTTGACATTGTCATTTTAATTTATTTTTTTCAAAGTATTATCACATTTGTCAATTTTACTTATACAATCATTTTTTTTATTTGATATTATATATTTTTTTAAAAAATATCATATCAAGTGTATTTGTTTTCTCATAAAATATCAAATAAAATGCTAAATTTTTATTTTTTTAAGTTTTTAAAATTTAAAAAATATAAAAAAATCCTTTGTCTAAAGGAGTCTGTTTTGTGTGTGAGTATTGATCACATTTTTATTTTGGTTTTTTCAATGTTTGCGTGATTTTTGCTTTGAGGGTAGAAATGTCATTGCATGTTTTAGTGGAAAGAGATCAAAGTTCTTTTTTTTTTTTTTTTTTTTTTTTTTTTTTTTTTTTTAATATTAGCTGAAATAAGTTGCTTAATTAAGCTGCCTACTTTTAGCAATATTCATAATATGTCCCATGATTGAAAAACAAAGTAAAATTTATACATATGGAGCGGTAAACGACCGGAACATAGCCGAATTTGTGAGGTTTGAATTCGGTTCGTCAAGGATTCGAATTCGGCTCATGTTCGTTTGTTAAGAGATACAAATTTAAATTTTTGTTTGAGCTCGACTGTTTAACAATTTTTTTATTTGTATTTGACTTGTTAAAAGAAATTTTATTTTATTTATTTAATTTTTTTAAAAATAATTTTAGTTAATAATAATTATAATTTTTATTAATAATTTAAATAATAAAATATGAAATATAATATAATATTTATAAATATATATATTTAAATATAAAATTATTAATTTAATTTTTCTAATAAATATTATCTAACGTTTGCGAAAAAATTCGAAACAGAAAATTTTACAGAGCTAAATACATCTATTTGACGTAATATTAATATAAAATTATGTGGAGGAAAAGTGAAAGAAATGAAAAATTAAAGTCGGTTAAAAAGGGCTCGGCTGCAAAAAGAATTAGAAATGAATTGCTTGGAAATTAAGCTAAATCTCCTCCTTCAACCCTCTTGCCTATAACTCCATGTTATATAAAACCCTCTCGTCGGAAAATTTATCGGCGTTTCGTTTACTCGCTTGCAATTTCTATACAGAATTTCTAATCGTTGAATCGCGAGAGCTTGTTTCTGCTCTCCAATCGAAAATCTAATGAGCTTTTGCTGATCGGGAAAATGGCGGAGGAGATCGCCGCTCTCGTCACGGCGCTGTCGTCCGATGACTTCGCCGAAAAGCTTCGTTCTGATCCATCAGCACATGAGCTTAGGCTAGGGTTTCAGAAGCTCTACTCAATTGTGAAGCAATCAGTGAAACCACTGGATTGTGATAGCGGCGGCGATGATGGGAATGCCAGCGGTAAGTTAGGATTGGAGGTCTGGGACCGGGCTCAGGTTCATGCCATCGCTTGTGTATTGATCGCGGTTGTTAAATCCGTCCGGTCGGTGTCAAGTATGTTATCTGCTTTGGTTAAATATTAAAATTTATTTTATTACTTTATACCGATCGAGTGATTAATATTGCTTATGTGGTAGTTGAGCGAATGGAGCCTGTGGTTGTGGCGGTGGTCCAGCAGTCAATAGAATTTTCTTTGTGTTATTTGGAAAAATGGATTGGGAAAGCTGATGATTCAAACATGCAGGTAATTTGCGGACAGATTTTAAGTGTTTGTATGTGTGTATAGTAGTTGATGGTTTTCTTCTTGAGACTACTACCCTGGTAGTGCATTTTCATTGATGTTATTATCCCGTTGGTAAGTACAAACAATATGGCTGGAGACCTGAAGCCATTGGTGGGCTATCGGTTATTTTCCTGTGGAATGCCGCTTTCTTTTTTTTCTTACTAAGACATTTTTCTTATCGCTTTTATTGCATCTCTTTAAAAATCAGAACTTATATGTTATGATATGGCTGTTGTTTCTTATCTGACTTCTATTCCTTGGTCAGAATATCATGTTGCAGTTATTAGAGCTGTTGCTAGTTGATGGCGTGGATAAAGAGTTGGATACTTCACAATCCTGTCCTTCTGTTCCAATTGATATGTTGCCTACTGTTGTTGATAATGATGATCCTCTTCAGTGGCAGGAACATGTTAGGTGCATGCTTCAAGGTATATCTCTTTGGTTTTCTGCTATGCACTCTTTCCCTATCTTAATTATGTAACCCTTATGTGTTGATTTTGTTTTCTTTCCTGGAAGGGTCCATGTGTCGTCAGGAAAAGGAAGCAGAAAAGCAACTGTTAATGGCATTGGTGTCTGAATGTGCTCAAGTCAATATTGTTAATCCGGTTATGGTTGGACAGCCTTTTCCATCCAATGCCAATAAAGTGAACAATATTTTTCATCACTGGGCCATTGCTCATCTGAGATGTCTCCATCGCCTTACCTTCCTCTGCAAGATGCTTATAGAACCCCCAGTATCATGTGATGAGAAGCAAGTTTGTTTCAATTTGCGAAGAAGATTATCTACTTGTCTGAGAATATTCAAGATGCTTGGAAGTATCACAAAAGATAATTCTTATATTGACTCTGACAATATGTTCTTGCAAACTGCTGCATCCTTCATAGACTCCTTGCCTTGCTTGTTCAAAGCTGGCGTAGAGTTTGCAAACAATAACACTGTTGTTGAAAGTAGTTACGAGACACTAGCCGTGCACTTGTTGGAAGAATTTCTTCAATTCATGCAAACAAATTTTGGCACTACTTATGTGTATCAGAATATCCAGGCCTGTGCTGCTGCTTCTATATTGCACAGTTTGGATTCCTCTGTCTGGAGGTCCAATAAGTCCGCTGCCACCGATAAACCCCCTTTGGCTTACTTCCCTAGGGTGGTAAGTTTTGTTCTGAAACTCGTATTGGATATCAAGGACCAGGCACATCGTATGATTGAGTTGGATAATATGAATACTTGGCACACATATAGTCACGTGGAGCATGGTCCTCCTTCATGTTTTGTCTCTGGTGAGAAAATGTATTTGTTGAAGAAGAATACTATGGAGGAGTTATGTGGAATAATATTCCCATCATCAGTTCAGTGGCTGGATAATCTGATGCATCTTGTTACTTTCTTGCATTCAGAAGGCATTAAATTAAGGCCAGTGTTGGAAAGATCATTTTCTACTGGTGCGAAGGGATCTGTTACATCTGAAGTGGAAGGTGTTGTTTGTCATGAAGATGAAGCACTTTTTGGTGACCTTTTTTCTGAGGGTAGTAGATCTGCTGATGGTTGTGAACAATCGAATGTTGCCACTAATTCTATTTCAAGCTACAGCAACATGCCATTTCATGCAGCAACTGAATTAATCAGTTTTCTGAAAACTTGTATTTTTTCTCCTCAATGGAATCTGCCGATGTATGAAGATGCTTGTAAGAAACTAACTAGCAACCATATTGATGTGTTGCTTTCAATACTCAACTTTCACGGTTGCTTTCCTGAGGACTTGACTGGTGAAAATACGCTGCAGAAAGAAAGGAAGTTTGGACAAGTGCATCAACTTTGCTTTGAACTATTTCAAAAACTTGTGTTGCTCCGAGCCATCCCTAGACATCTTGAAGATTTGATTGTTGATAAGATACTGTCAGTGGAGAATGGCAAATACACATACAATGATCAAATGCTTGCTTTGCTTGCCCATATACTTGTGTGCAGAGCTGGTTTGGATGGTTCTAGCTTGAGAACCAAAATCTATCAGACGTTTATAAAGTTTATCCATCAGAAGGCTAAATCAGTCTGTTCAATAGGTCATGATCTGGAGGAGATTGCTGAAACTCTTCCCTCCCTGTTCCACATCGAGATTCTCTTAATAGCTTTTCATTATTCATCTGAAGATGAGAAAAGTTTGATGGCAAGTAAAATATTGTCATCGATCGTGTCCATTGAGATGCCTTCTTTGAGTTCCAACAGCAAGCAGTTGTCATGCTGGGCACTACTGATTTCGAGGCTGATTTTGATACTACGACACATGATATATAACCCTCATGCTTGCCCACCTCTGCTGCTTTTGGACTTCAGAACCGAATTCAGGGATGTCCGGGAGCTTCAGGTTTCTAGTTCTCCCAGTTACCTGATTTCTTGGCCATCAATTGTGCTACAGGATGCAATCACTTCCAAAGGAACTCCAGTAAATGTAACTTTGCTTAAGAATTTGATTGACATTGCTCCTCTTCCAGCATCTCTATGTAGGGATTATGATGAAGTTGATTGCCTAGGCTTGAATTGGGAGGAGATATGCACCTCCTTTTTGAAAATTTTGGGATTTTGGGCTGGTAAAAAAGCTTCTGATGCAGATGACCTGATTCTTGAGCGATATATCTTTGTTCTTTGCTGGGATATATCCATTGAAAGATCATTTCAACACTCAAACGTCCTCTTTAGTGATCCCAAAGCCCCTGAAGTTTCAAATATGAAGAGGTTTCTTTATATTAGTCATTTTATGCTAAGTCATCATGTCACTGCCAATGAATCTGGGAGCATTCCGGATTTCCTGTTGAGTTTACTTCAGCAATTATCTGGTTCACTTGCATGTGAAAATGTTGGGGAACCAGGGTGGGATTTCTTCAGATGTGGATCCTGGCTTTCCTTTTTGCTCTCTGTACTTGGTACAGGCGCCCAGGGGTACACCAATAAAGATTTTCTTGCAGTAAGTGGACCAAAATGGCTGGGTTCTGCTGGGGATACTGAATTTCTGAAGTTGACCAGAGATCTTGTTTACAACTCTTTCAATGCTGATCAAATTGCCAAGCTCATCCAATTATTGTCATCCTTGCTAAAGAAATATGTGTGGATTTACCAAACAGCATTAGCTTCAATGTTTGACAATGGATGCAAGTCATCTGGAAAAATCCTTCCCCTGATGTTTCTGGAATCCACTGATTTAGATAATACTATGCAAGATGAGTTCACAGAGAAGATGGGGGTTAGACCTTCCATGCTTAGCTCTCTTTATGAGCTTCCATTGAAGCTGAATAGAATTGTGGAGGAACTTTCTCTGGGAATTCGATGCAAGGTTTTTTGGGAGCTCGTGTTGCATGGATTTCCTCTTCGTATTCAATTTGCAAATGAAATTTTGTCATCTTGTATTCTCAATATGAAGGGACTTGTTTGTTGTCTTGGTGGATTGCTTGAGTTAAAAGATTCTAGAGGGATCAATGGGAGAGAAAAAGATGTTAGCTCTGAGATACTTGAATCAATCTTGGTAATGAAGTGTGATAAGGTCTTTGAAAGTCTTGAGGGGCAATGTGAAGTTATATGCCAGAGGTTGAAAATGGGGACTGAAGGACCTGCTTGTAGAAGCTTATTCATTATGAAGCGTATGGAAGAATTTCTCCAAACTGTTAAGGAAGGAAACAATGTTGATAGGAGCATACATGAAGTTGTTGCTCTGAAAATGGTGGATCTAGCAAGCTGCCTCAAGGAAGATCCTTCAAGAAATGTCATTTTGAAATTTTTTCTCTCAATGGAGGATATTTCTGATGAGTTTACGAGTTTATGTGGTTCCCAGAGGGGTGATATTTTAGTTCTCATTGATTCTCTGGATTACAGCAGTTCTGAATCAGTTAATGTGAAGGTTCTGAACTTCTTTGCAGATCTTTCACTTGCTGACTATCCTGAGGTTAAAATAAAGTTATTTAAGAAGTTTCTTCGCATGGATTTGATTTCCCTATCGAAATGGCTGGAAACAAGGTTGTTGGGATCTGTAACCGAGAAGACACCAAGTGGTAGTTCTATAGGAGCTTCAGCTTCCATAAGAGAGGCCACCATGAATTTTCTTACATCTCTTTTGATGCCTGCTTCTGAGTCCCAGTTGCAGGAACTGATTTTTTATTTTCATGAGGCCCTGCTACTTTCCCTTGATAATGCATTTTCACTGTTTGATTTCACTATAGCCAAAGCTTACTACAACTACATAGTTCAGCTGTCTAAAGGGGAAGCGTTAATCAAGCCGCTACTGGAGAGGACTTTCTCAGTGATAGAGAAGCTGGCTGGTGATGAGCGCTTGCTTCAAGGACTGAAGTTTCTTTTGGGCTTCCTTTCAAGAACTGTGGGTGATTGCGCATCTCCTGGGTACACCATTGAAAGGTCATCTGGGAAGAGTTTGTCCAGCTGCAGTTCTGGTTTAGGTTCATTTTCTTCTAGAACTCTTGGTTCAAGAAAAAATGCTGATGATCTGCTTCCATCTGCTAACCGTGGTTCTGCATCTGTTGACTGTGATGCAACTTCTGCTGATGATGATGAAGATGATGGAACATCTGATGGTGAGCTAGGTAGTATTGATAAGGATGAAGATGAGGATAGCAACAGTGAGAGGGCATTGGCATCCAAAGTTTGCACCTTTACCTCTAGTGGCAGCAATTTTATGGAACAGCACTGGTATTTCTGTTACACCTGTGACTTAACTGTCTCCAAAGGGTGTTGCTCAGTTTGTGCAAAAGTTTGCCATCGTGGTCATCGTGTTGTGTACTCCCGTTCTAGTCGTTTTTTCTGTGACTGTGGAGCAGGAGGTGTTCGAGGTAGCAGTTGTCAGTGCTTGAAACCTCGAAAATTTACTGGAAGCAATAATGTGCCCACTCGTGGGACAGGAAACTTCCAATCTTTTATCTCCCTTCCAGAGAATGCTGATCAGTTGCCGGATAGTGATTCAGATGTTGAGGAAGATTCAACTGCAGACCCAGATAATTCAACGAGGTTATCTCTTTCAAAAGAGGTCGAAGACAGGATGCCAGGGTTGCTTAATGAGCTGGAAGTTGAAGATCGTATAATACGAGTCTGCTTGTCTTTGTTGCCTTCTATCACTAGAAGAAGAGACTCCAGCATGGTGAGAGATATGAAAGTTTCTCTGGACGAAGACAAAGTGCTTCACTACTGTAATGATCTTTTACAATTGAAGAAGGCATATAAAAGTGGATCATTAGATTTGAAGATAAAGTCAGATTATTCAAATACAAAAGAACTCAAATCACATTTAACAAGCGGATCTCTTGCCAAATCATTACTTAGTGTTAGTGCCCGAGGTAGACTGGCAGTTGGGGAGGGTGATAAGGTTGCCATTTTTGATGTGGGTCAACTAATTGGTCAAGCAACTATTGCTCCTGTCACTGCTGACAAAGCAAATGTGAAGCCTCTTTCTAAGAATGTTGTACGGTTTGAGATTGTACATCTCCTCTTTAATTCACTTGTGGAGAATTATTTGGTTGTAGCTGGCTATGAAGATTGTCAGGTTCTTACTGTTAATCATCGAGGTGAGGTTATCGATCGATTAGCGATTGAACTTGCACTGCAAGGTGCATATATCCGACGTGTAGAATGGGTTCCAGGTTCTCAAGTCCAGCTAATGGTGGTAACAAACAAGTTTGTGAAGATATATGACCTATCTCAAGACAACATCAGTCCTTTGCACTACATCACATTGCCTGATGATGCAATAGTGGATGCAACACTTTTGGTGGGTTCCCAATGTGGAATGTTTCTCATAGTCCTATCTGATTCAGGAAACTTGTACAGGTTGGAGTTGTCAATGAAAGCCAATGTTGGGAGCAGACCATTGAAGGAAATCATTCGAGTAGAGGGCAAAAATCAAGTCGCAAAGGGTTCCTCATTGTATTTTTCATCTACTCACAAGTTGCTTTTTTTGTCGTATCAAGATGGAAGCACCTTGATTGGCCGCCTAAATGCAGATGTAACATCTGTAGTGGAGAGCTCTCTTGTTTATGAGAATGACCTGGATGGTAAAGGACGTCCAGCGGGATTGCATCGTTGGAAAGAGTTGATGGCTGGGATTGGATTATTTGTTTGCTATTCTAATCTGAAATCAAACATGATGCTTGCTGTGTCCTTGACAGAACATGAAGTGCTTGCTCAGAATTTGCGTCACGCTGGGGGTTCAACTTCCCCTCTTGTTGGGGTTACTGCTTATAGACCATTGTCAAAAGATAAAATACATTGTCTTGTTTTACATGAGGATGGAAGTCTCCAGATTTATTCCCATGTTCCTGCTGGGGTTGACACCAGTGTAAATATAATGGCTGACAAGGTGAAAAAATTAGGTCCTGGAATTTTGAAAAATAAAGCTTATGGGGGTGTCAAGCCAGAATTTCCTCTTGACTTCTTTGAGAAGACAGTTTGCATTACCCCAGATGTCAAATTTAGCAGTGATGCTATACGGAACAATGATTCTGAAGGAGTTAAGCAGGCTTTAGCATCTGAAGATGGGTTTCTGGAGGGGCCTAACCCTTCTGGCTTCAAGGTATTAAAACTATAACGTTAATGTGTAACCCTTATCTCTTAGGGACTTAAAATCCACATAGTCATATCTTTGTCACCATGATAAGTAGGAATTTGCTTGTTGCTTTGGCATTTATCTCTTCTTTCCATTTTGAGAATTCTTTTGGCCAAACCGTGTCGATGATGCTGAATGGTATTAGAAACAGTAAGAAAGTTAAGTTTGTTGTTCTCTACAACTTATGGGTTTGCTTACTTGTGAGTTTTCTACATATTTTTTGGTTTTTATGTATTTGAGGTGAAATAGTAGCTGGGTGTGATGTTTTGAATGTGAAATCAGTTTAGATAGGATGTTTTTGGTGGGAAATTTATGATTGAACAGTAAAATAAGTATACAAACATAAGTAAACAAACCACTTGTTTCATTGTAATGTGTACCACCAAATCTGTTGGAGCCTTGCAATTTACATCATCATTATTGTGTAGGATATGTATATATAATACATATTATTGAATTTTCATATGCTTGAATTCAGAATAATCGGTGGATTAACCAAGGATGTGCTTTTTTTTGGTTTGGGTCTTTGATATGCACTCCAACACATGCCTAAATGTTGTGGTACCATACTGAACATTCTGTACTTCTCTTATGTTTTCTTTTTCAGATAACAGTCTCCAATTCAAATCCGGATATTGTTATGGTTGGTTTCCGCTTGCATGTCGGAAACACATCAGCAAGTCAAATTCCCTCTGAAATTACTATTTTTCAGAGAGTGATAAAATTAGATGAAGGAATGCGATCTTGGTATGACATACCCTTGACCGTGGCTGAATCTCTTCTTGCTGATGAAGAGTTCACAATTTCTATTGGTCGGACCTTCAGTGGATCTGCCTTGCCCAGAATAGATTCATTGGAAGTCTATGGTCGGGCTAAGGATGAGTTTGGTTGGAAAGAAAAGATGGATGCAATTCTGGACATGGAAGCTCGAGTGCTTGGCTGCAATTCCTGGTCCGCAAGTTCAGCAAGAAAAACACGGACATCACAATCTGCTCCAGTGCAGGAGCAGGTGGTCGCTGATGCACTCAAACTCCTATCCAGGATTTATTTATTGTGTAAACCTCCAGGATCCTCAAAAATTGATGATTTTAAAGTGGATATGGGCAACATTAAATGTACACCAGTACTCGAAGCAATATTTGAAAGTGACAGGGAACCTTTGCTTCAAGTTGCTGCCAGCCGTGTTCTTCAGGCTTTGTTTCCAAGAAGAGAGATTTATTACCAAGTGATTGCCTTATCCTACTTCAATATATGATCCACTGTTGTGAATTGCCGATCTTTGTTCTCTTAATCATTTCTGATAATAATTGTGAAACACATTTCTGGCTTTGATGCACTAGTTTTTCTTACTAGCTTCTAAAATTATGCTCAGGTGAAGGACAACATGCGCCTTAGTGGAGTAGTGAAATCTACTGTTATACTTTCATCAAAACTGGGAATGGGGGAGCTTACTGCAGGGTGGATTATTGAGGAGTTTACTGCACAAATGCGTGCTGTTTCTAAGATTTCATTGCATCGTCGCTCAAATTTGGCTAGTTTCCTTGAGGCTAATGGTAATGTTCTTTCCCTCAGGCTAAAAATATTATTATCGGTCTTCCTTTATGGCATATGAGCTAAATGAATAAGAGATGCCTTTGAAAACTAAAATCGAATGTTCTTCTGTTTTCCTAAGAAAGAATTTAAGTTTACGCTGCTGCATGTGGCTACTATCGCCTGCACTTTCTTTTCATGTGCTTTCTTGAAATGACCATAGCTACAAGTATTTACCGAGTACTGCTAAGTGAATTCGTAAAGAGTTCTATTAGTTATCCTTCTGATTGTGAATGAGTAGACTTTATTTTAGTTAATCAATGTACTGATGATGGCTTTTCCACTTGGGGAATTCACTCTAAATCTTACGTGGCTACTGATTATATCGGAGTGTAGGTTCTGATGTGGTTGATGGGCTTATGCAAGTACTGTGGGGAATTTTGGATTTAGAGCAGCCGGACACACAAACTATGAACAACATTGTCATATCATCCATAGAGCTGATCTATTGTTATGCAGAGTGTCTGGCATTACATGGTAAAGATGCTGGAAGGCAATCTGTGACCCCTGCTGTTACTTTACTGAAAAAGCTTCTCTTATGTAACAATGAGGCTGTTCAAACTGCCAGCAGGTAAAATTGAATATTAGTTGCAAATATGAGAGCATAATTTTTGGTTGATGCCCTTACAATTCACTTTCTTTTGCAGCCTGGCTATATCTTCTAGATTGCTCCAGGTTCCCTTTCCAAAGCAAACCATGCTGGGAACTGATGATGTGGAGAATGCAATAGCAGTTCCCCTACGTTCTGATACCACAGGTGCAGGTAGTGGAAACAATCCAATTATGGTAGAAGAAGATGCCATTACATCATCTGTACAATACTGTTGTGATGGGTGCTCAACTGTTCCTATACTAAGACGGAGATGGCATTGCACTGTTTGTCCTGATTTTGATTTATGTGAAGCATGCTATGAAGTCTTAGATGCAGAGAGACTTCCTCCACCACATTCTAGAGATCATCCAATGACCGCAATCCCAATTGAATTTGAGACCTTCAGTGGTGATGGCCATGAAATTCATCTTTCCACTGATGATTTAAGTGATTCAATGTTGCCAGTGGCTACTGATGTTAATGTTCAGAGTTCAGATCCATCAATCCATGAGCTGGAACCTAACGAGTCAGGGGAGTTTTCAACATCAGTAATTGATCCTGTTACTATTTCTGCATCTAAACGAGCTGTGAACTCGTTACTTCTTTCTGAGCTACTTGAACAACTAAAAGGCTGGATGGAGACCACCACTGGAGTGCAGGCTATTCCAGTGATGCAGCTCTTCCATAGATTGTCATCAGCTGTTGGGGGTCCCTTTGTTGATAGTGTAGAAGCTGAGAGCTTAAATTTGGAGAAGCTGATTAAGTGGTTTCTTGATGAGATGAAAATTAGCCAACCATTTGTAGCCCGCACCCGCTCATCTTTTGGGGAAGTTTCTATTCTTATCTTCATGTTTTTCACCCTTATGCTTCGTAACTGGAACCAACCGGGCAGCGATGTTAGTGCATCAAAATCTTGTGGGACAACAGATACATCAGAGAAAATGACAATCCAGACGCACTCTTCCATGTCATTATCCAGTTCATCTATGTCGGATGGCCAAGAAAAGGGTGACTTTACCTCTTGTCTTCATAGAGCATGTGGCTATCTTAGGCAGCAAGTATTTGTTAATTATCTCATGGATATCCTGCAGCAGCTTGTGCATGTCTTCAAGACTCCTGTTACTGCTGATACTCATGGATTGACCCATGGTTCTGGCTGTGGTGCATTGTTAACCGTTAGGAGAGAGCTCCCTGCTGGTAACTTTTCACCATTTTTCTCAGATTCATACTCAAAATTGCACCGTTCAGATCTCTTTGCCGACTATCACAGACTGTTGTTGGAGAACACATTTCGTTTGGTATACTGTTTAATTCGCCCTGAAAAGCATGACAAAGGGGGGGAAAAAGATAAGACTTACAAGACTTCTTCTGGAAAAGATTTGAAACTCGATGGATATCAGGATGTTCTCTGCAGCTACATCAACAATTCAAATACGACGTTTGTCCGGAGATATGCTAGGAGGCTGTTTCTGCATATATGTGGCAGTAAGACACATTACTACAGTGTGAGGGACTCTTGGCAGTTCTCAAGTGAAATTAAGAAGCTCTACAAGCACATCAATAAGTCTGGTGGATTTCAATCTTCCATCTCTTATGAAAGGAGTGTGAAAATAGTCAAGTGTCTCTCCACCATTGCTGAAGTTTCTGCTGCAAGACCTAGAAACTGGCAGAAATATTGCTTGAGGCACAGTGATGTCTTGCCTTTCCTCATAAATGGACTTTTCACCTTCGGAGAAGAATGTGTTGTTCAAACACTGAAACTTCTAAATTTGGTCTTCTACACAGGAAAGGATGCCAATCACACTTCACAGAAGGCTGAAAGTGGAGGAGATGGAGGTATAAGTTCAAATAAGTTGGGGCTTCAATCTGTTGAGTCTAAGAAAAAGAAGAAAGGTGAAGAAGGAAGTGAATCTACTGCAGAGAAATCTTACATGGATATGGAACAGGTGTTGCATGTCTTCACTGACCGTGGTGATGATTTTCTGAGGCAATTTATTGACACATTTTTGTTAGAATGGAATTCAAGCATTGTGCGTGCGGAAGCCAAATGTGTCGTACTTGGTGCTTGGCACCATGGCAAACAGCCATTCAAGGAGACACTGTTATCTGTGCTCTTGCAGAAGGTTAGGCATTTACCATTATATGGACAGAATGTCATTGAGTATACAGAGCTTATAACATGCTTGCTTGGAAAATCGCAAGATAGCAGCTTAAAGCAGCAGAACATTGAAATCACAGACAAGTGTTTGACTTCTGATGTGATTAAATCCATTTTTGAGACACTCCACACACAAAACGAACTTCTGGCTAATCATCCTAACTCACGCATTTACAACACCTTGAGTGGTTTGGTGGAATTTGATGGTTACTATCTCGAGAGTGAGCCCTGTGTTGCCTGCAGCTCACCTGAGGTTCCTTACAGTCGCATGAAGCTTGAAAGTCTGAAATCTGAAACAAAGTTCACTGATAATCGGATCATTGTGAAATGCACTGGTAGCTACACCATTCAGAGTGTAACCATGAATGTGCATGATGCTCGAAAATCAAAATCAGTGAAAGTGCTGAATCTTTATTATAACAACAGGCCTGTGGCGGATTTGTCAGAGCTGAAAAATAATTGGCCTTTGTGGAAGAGAGCGAAGATATGCCATCTTGCTTTCAATCAGACAGAGCTGAAAGTGGACTTTCTTATTCCAATAACAGCATGCAACTTTATGATTGAGTTGGATTCTTTCTATGAAAATCTTCAAGCATTATCCCTTGAACCACTACAATGTCCACGTTGTAGTCGGCCTGTTACTGACAAACATGGAATATGTGGCAACTGTCATGAGAATGCCTATCAATGCAGGCAATGCCGGAATATCAATTATGAAAATCTTGACTCCTTTTTGTGCAATGAGTGTGGATACAGTAAATATGGTCGTTTTGAATTTAATTTTATGGCCAAACCAAGTTTTACATTTGATAGCATGGAAAATGATGAAGATATGAAACGAGGACTGGCTGCCATTGAGTCTGAATCAGAAAATGCTCATAAAAGATATCAACAGCTGTTGGGTTATAAAAAACCGTTGCTGAAGATAGTATCAAGCATTGGTGAGAATGAGATGGACTCTCAACAGAATTCTCAACAGAAAGATTCTGTGCAGCAGATGATGGTATCTTTGCCTGGTCCTTCATGCAAAATCAATCGTAAAATTGCACTTCTTGGTGTACTGTATGGTGAAAAATGCAAGGCAGCCTTTGATTCTGTGAGTAAAAGTGTTCAGACACTTCAAGGTCTCCGGCGTGTATTAATGAATTACCTGCATCAGAAGCAGTCTGACAATCTTGCTGCAGCCTCTAGATTTGTTTTGTTGAGATCTCCCAATAGTTGTTATGGCTGTGCCAGTACATTTGTGACCCAGTGCCTTGAGATATTACAGGTTTTATCAAAGCATCCAAGTTCTAAGAAGCAACTTGTTGCCTCAGGCATTCTGCGTGAGTTGTTTGAGAACAACATTCATCAGGGCCCCAAAAATGCACGTGTTCAAGCAAGGGCCGCACTTTGTGCCTTCTCTGAGGCTGATGTGAATGCAGTTACTGAGTTAAATTCATTGCTTCACAAGAAGGTTGTGTATTGTCTCGAACATCATCGTTCCATGGACATTGCTCTTGCAACGCGAGAGGAGTTAATGCTGCTTTCAGATGTCTGTGCGTTGGCAGATGAATTCTGGGAGTCAAGATTAAGGATTGTCTTCCAGTTGTTATTTAAATCGATCAAACTTGGAGCCAAGCATCCTGCTATATCTGAGCATGTTATTTTACCTTGTCTGAAAATTATATCTCATGCGTGTACTCCTCCCAAGCCTGATGGAGTGGATAAAGAACCAGGGCATGGAAAACCAGCTCCTGTGTCCCATCTAAAAGATGAAAGCAACTCATTTGAATCTGGGTCCAGCGGGGTGAATGTGAAGAAGTCACAAGGAAAGAATGGAGATGATTCTTTGAAGACTCAAGATATTCAATTGCTGAGCTATTCTGAGTGGGAAAAAGGTGCTTCATATCTTGATTTTGTAAGGCGTCAATACAAAGTTTCTGAGGTTGTCAGAGTTGGGCAGAAATCTCGACCTCCGAGGTATGACTATTTGGCCATGAAATATGGCCTCAGATGGAAGCGGCGTTCTTTGAAGGTAGTTCCAAGCGAAATAAAGTTATTTGAACTTGGCTCATGGGTTACTGAACTTATACTGAGTCCTTGTTCTCAATCTATAAGATCTGAGATGTGCATGTTAATCAATTTGCTCTGTGGTCAAAGTTTGTCAAGACGATTTCGGTTGCTGAATTTACTGATGTCTTTATTGCCTGCAACTCTTTCTGCTGGTGAAAATGCTGCCGAGTATTTTGAATTGCTTTTCAGAATGATAGATCCAGAGGAAGCACGCATATTTTTTACTGTAAGAGGATGTTTGAGTACTATATGTAAGCTAATCACAAGGGAAGTGAATAATGTTGAGTCATTAGAGAGAAGCCTCCACATTGACATATCACAGGGTTTTATTCTTCATAAGCTCATAGAGCTTCTTGGTAAATTTCTGGAGGTCCCCAATATTAGATCAAGGTTAGTACTTGATTAGCGGGTTAATAGATTTATTTATTTATTTCCCAATATTATACCTAATAACTTGTTTTCCCTGGATGGCAGATTCATGCGTGAACAGTTGTTGTCTGATGTTCTTGAGGCCCTCATTGTGATCAGGGGATTAATTGTACAAAAGACAAAGCTAATAAGTGACTGTAATAGGCTTTTGAAAGATCTTCTTGACAGTCTTTTACTAGAGAGTGATGAGAACAAACGGCAGTTCATCCAGGCATGCATTGGTGGCTTACAAGTGGATGCAGATGGTAGAAAAGAACGTAGTTCTATGGTATGTTGTAACTTGTGTCTTCTGCTTTTCTTTTATGTCTTGTACTTATTCTTAGCTCGGTTAGATATTGTTTTCTTTAAAATATTGAGAAAAAAGACAGGGTGAGCATATATGTGCGAAAGATACAAATGGAAAAAAACACTAACAAGGATTAATGCTCTATTAATGGCTTTTCAATTTTTAATCCGTTCAAGTTGTCAAGTCATTTCACATTGTGTGCAACTATGTGCAAAATCCATCACTAACTTTTTGTATTGCACAGTTTATCTTGGAACAGCTATGCAATTTGATCTGCCCATCAAAACCAGAGCCTGTATATCTTTTAATACTTAACAAGGCGCATACTCAGGAGGAGTTCATTAGGGGCTCAATGACCAAGAATCCTTACTCGAGTGCTGAGATTGGCCCTCTGATGCGTGATGTGAAAAATAAGATATGCCATCAGTTGGACCTCCTGGGCCTCCTTGAGGATGATTATGGCATGGAGTTGTTGGTTGCAGGAAACATTATTTCTCTTGATTTGAGCATTGCTCAGGTTTATGAGCAAGTCTGGAAGAAATCAAATAGTCAATCTTCCACTCAAGTCCCTGGAACAGCATTTTTATCTGCTAATGCTGCCACATCCAACAGAACTTGCCCACCAATGACAGTGACCTATCGACTTCAGGTCATCTTTATAATCCTTTTTGCTGTGTTGTTCTCCGATTCGTCTCATACTTCAATTTTCCTGTTATTTTATTTTAGCAACTTTTTGCAGCTACCCATTTTATTAATTAGAAACATCTAGCTACATAGACACAACCAGGAAAAATATACCCAATGGCTCACTCTCAATTCCTTGAAAATATTTTGATCTCCTTTTCATTCCTGGTTTATTATAAATGTTTTGCCCTTAAAACTGCAGGGTTTGGATGGTGAAGCTACTGAGCCCATGATCAAGGAGTTGGATGAAGATAGGGAGGAGATTCAAGATCCTGAGGTTGAGTTTGCAATAACTGCTGCTGTTCGAGAATGTGGGGGTCTGGAAATTCTCTTAGGCATGGTTCAGGTGCGGTGTTTTCCTTTTTTTGTAAAGGTGTTCATACTAGATTCATTCTATATTAGATGGGGGTCAGTTTGATTGGCCAAACTGTTGGGGACTAGGAACTAATAGATGAATTCGTATATTTATATTTACTCCTAGCATAGAGTTCTATGTTCTGAAACGTGTCTAAACCATGAATTCTCTGAACAGCGCCTGCGTGATGATCTAAAGTCGAACCAAGAGCAGTTGGTTTCTGTGTTAAATCTGTTAATGCTATGTTGCAAAACAAGGGAGAATAGAAGAGCACTCTTAAAATCAGGAGCTTTAAGTTTGCTCCTTGAAACTGCCAGACGTGCCTTCTCTGTGGATGCTATGGAACCTGCTGAGGGCATTCTGTTAATTGTGGAGAGTCTTACCTTGGAAGCAAATGAGAGTGATAACATCAGTGTTACGACAGGAGTTTCTACAGCCTCCAGCAAAGATACTGGAAGTGGTGAACAGGCTAAGAAGATTGTTCTCATGTTTCTGGAGAGACTGTCTCATCCTTCGGGGCTATCAAGTAAACAGCAGAGAAACACAGAGATGGTTGCCAGGATTTTGCCGTACTTGACTTATGGGGAACCTGCAGCCATGGAAGTCCTTGTCCAGCATTTTGAACCTTACTTGCAGGATTGGAGTGAATTTGATAGGTTACAGAAGCAGTATGAGGACAATTCTAAGGATGAAGAGATTGCCAAACAAGCAGCGAAACAGAAATTTGCACTGGAAAACTTTGTAAGGGTGTCGGAATCACTAAAAACGAGCTCCTGTGGAGAAAGATTGAAGGATATAATATTGGAGAGGGGAATTACTAGAGTTGCTGTGAGACACTTGAAGGTAAGTTTTGCATGCACCGGGCAGCCTGGCTATAGATCTACGGAAGACTGGGCATCTGCATTAATGCTGCCTTCTGTCCCTCTCATATTGTCTATGCTGAGGGGATTATCAATGGGTCACTTAGCTACACAGCAGTGTCTGGATGAGGAGGGTATTTTGCCTTTGCTACATGCTTTAGAGAGTGTGGCCGGTGAGAATGAGATTGGGGCAAAAGCTGAGAATTTGTTGGACATCCTGACCGACAAAGAAGGAATAGATAATGGACCTTTAGCCGAGAAAGTTAGACAAATACGACGTGCAACCCGCGATGAGATGAGGCGTCGGGCTCTGAAGAAAAGAGAGCAGTTACTTCAGGTGCACTGCTTATTTTCATTGGTTTCAAAATGAACACAAAATTATCTATTATTGCAATATGATGCCTTTGTAGTTTCACTTGGTTGAAAGAATATAACTATCTAATCATTTATAATTACTAGATAATCCTATTCTTCACACCCTAAAGGTATTACTTTAATGAAAAACAAAATGTGAAGTAATATTTGTGAGCATTTAGGAACCTAATTTTCATGTAATAGGTATGTCTTGGAGCAAAATTCGATGGCACATTTTAACGTTCATTGTGGGATTGGAGATTTTAATTTTGTTTGATGTTGACCTTGTGATCTTCTCCATGATTGTAGGGACTTGGTATGTGGCAAGAATCAACTTCTGATGGGGGTGAGCGAATTGTTGTTACCCAGCCTGTTCTTGAAGGTTTTGAAGATGTTGAAGAGGAGGAAGATGGCCTAGCTTGCATGGTTTGCAGAGAGGGTTACCGCTTAAGGCCCACTGATTTACTGGGTGTATACACCTACAGCAAACGGGTCAATTTGGGTGTTGGAGGCTCTGGAAGTGCTCGTGGAGATTGTGTATACACAACCGTAAGCCATTTCAACATCATACATTTCCAGTGCCATCAAGAGGCCAAGAGAGCTGATGCTGCCCTCAGGAATCCAAAGAAGGAATGGGATGGGGCTGCCCTTAGAAATAATGAAACCCTCTGCAATAATTTGTTTCCCATCAGAGGGTCTTCTGTCCCCATGGGACAATATACACGGTATGTTGACCAGTACTGGGACTATCTTAATGCATTGGGTCGCGCTGATGGAAGCCGGTTGCGGTTATTAACATATGACATTGTTTTGGTATGCTCTCAATCTCTATACTTACTTCCACATATCTTATACTAACTTTGATGGCTTCCCTTGCCATACCGATACTTGTTTAAGTATTCCCTTATAGTAAGTAATCTTGTCTATGTCTACACTGATTGTGTGTGCTTTTCGAATCTGTGCGCTATGGTCATACTGGTTTTAAGAATTGTGGTTTTGTTTTGCAGATGCTTGCTCGATTTGCCACTGGGGCATCATTCAGCACAGATTGTAGAGGTGGTGGGAAAGAAAGCAATTCCAAATTTTTGCCTTTCATGATACAGATGGCGCGGCACCTTTTGGATCATGACTCTTCTCATCGGAGTAATCTGGCAAAATCTATTGCAACTTACTTGTCTTCCCCCATGACTACTGAATCCAAAATTTCAATGTCTCCTGGAGCACAGCCTCCTAGTGGAACAGAAGAAACTGTCCAATTCATGATGGTGAGCTCCCTCCTTTCAGAGCCCTACGAGTCTTGGGTACAGCATCGGCGGGGATTCCTGCAGCGTGGAATATACCATGCATACATGCAGCGGCATGGCAGGATACAGCGGAGCTCGGCGGCAGTGGCCACTGCGCCCGGCATTTCAGGAGGTTCGGGAAGTGGATCTGATGACTTGCTTAAAACCATTCAGCCAATGCTGGTTTACACTGGGTTGATCGAGCAGCTTCAGTCTTACTTGAAGGCTAGAAAATCTTGGTCGGGTGTGGGTGTGGGTGTGGGGTCTGCTGCGTCGGAAGGGGACGAGGAGAGCAAGAAGGTGGAGGCTTGGGAGATTGTGATGAAAGAAAGGCTGTTGGATGTGAGAGAAATGGTGGCATTCTCTAAGGAGCTTCTGTCGTGGCTTGAGGACATGAACTCGGCCACTGATTTTATGGAGTGTTTCGACATAATAGGTGCTCTGGCAGACGTGCTTGGATCTGGACACAAGACATGCGAAGATTTTGTCTACGCTTCAATCAACTTGGGGAAAAGCTGATCTGATCGATCATGTACATCTTCTACCTGCTCGTCGTGTCATCCATGCCTGTGCCTGTTCCTGTTCCTGTTCCATTCCTCCTATTAAGCTGTTTTCTGTAATTACTTACTGTGTGGTAATTTATCAACTCAATACGGACTGTAACTCGCAAAATTTTGTTATATCATCGCTTTCCGTTCTTCCAATCCAAATATGGCATGGGCCAAGAAGCTTAATGCGCTGTCGGGCAGTTGCTGAGAATCTTGAGATCCCACTATTAAAGTTTTGGGCCCAACATGGAGCAATCCAGGCCCATCAAACAAGCATGAGCCCAACTAGATATCATATAGGCCCAATAACTACACGTACGAGCGATCAGACATTCCCACCTGCTGACAGCCAAGACCCGACAAGACCACGTGCTGTCGACCCTGTGATGGACAGGCCCAGTTCCTGGCCCTCTCTCAAGCTTCAGGCCCACTACTATTGGCCCAGAGTGACCCCGACAGCTACACGTGTTGCTGTTGGACAGGCCAGCCCTATTGGCCCAGAGTGACCCCTGACAGCTACACGTTCTCAGCACGTGCGGTCGGTTCGGGCACGACACGTCAACTCCCTGACATCCCACACTCCAACAAATCCACGTGCCGTTTCCCAGGCCCCGACCGGCCCATGTAAACAGCACAGGGCCATCGGACAACATAGAAGCCCATTTATTTCAGACAGGCCCCAAATTGGGCCCATTCATCAAGCTTGAGGCCCAATTTTATGGCCCTCTATCAAGCTTCAGGCCCACTACTATTGGCCCAGAGTGGCCCCGACAGCTACACGTGCGGTCGGTTCTGGCACGACACGTCAACACCCTGAAATCCCACACTCCAACACATCCACATGCTGCTTCCCATGGCCCGACCGGTCCATGAATCAGCACAAGGCCATCGGACAACATCAAAAAGCCCACTATGAGCCCATGTTTCTGCAAGACAGGCCCAAACGTTGGCTCATTCTTCAATATTGAGGCCCAGTAGAGTCAGCCCAATATGACTCTCGACCACACGTCTAGGCCCATTAGTCAATACCAAAAAGCCCAGCACCAACGGTTCAATTTTCTGTCGGGCAAAGTTCAGACATGACACGTGTATTGGATACACGCTCTACAGCCGCACGTGCTGTCAGGTCTGCCTCCATGTGCTATCTGTCCACTCCCGACAGTCACACGGGCTGACAGCGGAGACCCCGACATTGTCACCTGCAGACTCTAAGGCAAGATCCGGCCCAAGTATTGGCCTAGGCCCATTAGGCAGCGCCAGAAAGCCCATAACTAATAGTCCAATCTTATGTCGGACGAAACCCGACAAGACCACGTGCAGTCGCTGCAAGCTCTACAGCAGCACGTGTTGTCTGGTCTATACCCACGTGTGGTCGGTCCAGACCTGACAGTTCCACGTGTCGGCGTAGACATAAGCCCACGTGGTTTCCATGGCCAGATCCTGTCCATACATCAGCCCAGGCCCATGTCAATGGCTCAATGTTCTGTGAGGCCCAGACCCAACAAGCCCATGTGCTCTATGGTCTTTCATAAGTGGTGTCGGCTTCAACCTGATAGGCCCACGTGCAGTTCCGCAGTGTATCGGCCTGTGGTGTCCCACGGAATTAGGCCCAGTCCAATAGGCCAACGTTCTTAATGAAATATGTCGATACGGGGCGTTGGTACAATCAGTCCAGTTTTCTTTATTTTTATTTTGCAATAATTCGTATATTATTAGTTACAAGTTTTATATAAATTTATATATCAATATATTAGATTAATAAAACTATCATTCATTTTTTCTTTTTTTAAAATTTTCTATCAATTTCAATAGACCCAAAAATTAACAATTTTAAAATTTTCTATCAATTTCTTTTTTAAAATTTTTAAACATACAATATTGAAAATTTTAGCACTAATTATCGAAGTAATTTTATTTTTTTTCCCCCAAAAAGTATGATATTAAATATACTCTTATCACAATACAACACATCAAATACTTGTTATTATTAACAATTTTTTCCACTACAAAAGAATACAACCTACAATCCATAAAGGGGAATAGAAAAGGAGAGTAGTAACATAATCTAACCATTTGAGAGAGCTCTTTTTGCCTATATGTGTGTACATACAGCAGATTGATATCCTCTATCCACGCCCCAAATCACATACTTCTCTTCATAACCTATGGGCACAAAATAAAATGTTAAACATGCCACGTCAAGATATAAAAATGGCAGCCATAGCATTCATCACACATGTGTAATAAGCTTTAAGTATATGAGTGGATCAATCACCCACCTCAATAGTTTTCTTCACCTGTGCAAAAGATTATAAATATTCTCCCAAAAGTTAGAAAACGGCTCTTTACAAAACTGACACAGGCATGATCACCACAAAACTTCGATGGCAATGATCTCGATAGAAATGACAAATTCCTTGTTTCTGCAAAGACAAAATGAATAGGATCAAATGCCCTCTTTCCACAAAGGACTAATGTTAGTTCTAATACACAAGTACTAATATTTAATACAACAGCATTAACACAGACAAGCAAGCCAACCTATGCCAACAAAATCTCCCACAATAAGAACAACGCTACCATTCATAATCTAGTGTGCATTAATTCAAAGACGGGCTCGAAGATCTCCATCTCAAACTGACATACTTATAACTTATTAATAAAACAATAACATAATTTTTAAAATATAAATTTGGAGATTGCCAAGTGGTAAGACAAAGTACCCAATAAGTAAATCAAGCACTTGTGATAGCTGGGCATAATCCCGGATTTGAGATGGAGAGACAACATCACAATATCACTTCAGTAAACTAAGATAACAAAGACAGGTTCAATGGACTTTAAGATTTCCTGATGAAATGTAGCAGGAATTCAAACAAAGCGAATGCCCATGGAGAAAGTTGAGCAGAAATATTGTTGGCAAAGACACGTTACCTTAGCAAACCATGTATTTCCACAGAACATATTTAAATTAGGAGCACCAAAAAAGTTGTATACATATCACAAGTACACAACATACAAAACATGCATCTATCCAGAGTAAGAGAGGATAAAGGGTATGCAGTTATCCATACACTTCAATTAAGAACAGAGATCATTACCTTCAAGAGAGCAAGCATACACTTCAGAAGTGCATTCAACAAGCCCCTCAGACAATAGTATGACACAAGATATTTATCTGAAGAAAAAGAAAAGAAAAGCATGTTAGGAGGCAGTGACTGGGTGCCAGAGATAACAAATAAAAGCTCCTAGCAATTTCTACCTTGTGCGGCCTGGCTTAAACTGGATCACATTTTTGTGATGTCAAATAGTGTGAATTTGGATGCTAGCAAATACAATGACCTTCCTTTTATTGCTTCTGAAAGAAAATCAGATCCAATTCGTGAACCCACATACACCAGGGCCAGAGGCTCATAATGTTGCTTGCTATTGGATATGTCATAAAGCTTTGCAACTTCTAGTTGGATCCACCCATATTGCCAACTGTTAGACAGGCTCTCAAGGTTTATTTGGTTTCCCAGCCGATATAAGAGAGTATTTTACACTGAAACATTTTCACTATTGATCCTGCAATCTTTACATCTTCTTCGAAACAATGGCTGAGTACATCGATGCTTGTGGCTGGCATAACGTCCTAAATACTTGCATCACCAGATAATAAAATCCTCTTTGAATCATGCAATCCACCTTACCAATGACAAAAATGAATACACCAACCAACTCAGTCTCCAGGTGTCCCAGCAAATGGCATCACGCCATGCCGGATTTGGTATTCCTGCTCTGCCATGGCATGATAGATCGCCATCAACAACTCAAGCAATCTTAAAATGCAGGCCTTCATTGAGCAACTTTGCTTGATGTTTGGGTGAGAATCATTGCCTGTGACCTCTGTGGTGAAATTAGTACAGTGAGAAATTGCAGGCACCAAAAAGGAAATGTTCTTCTATCCTCTCTCCTCTCTCCAACGGATGTCTGCCCAACCATTGCTGACGGAATTGCTTGCTTTGAAACGAGCGATGGCATTTCATATCCTCCAGCTTCTAGGTTTTGAAGGAGCTCTTCAGGGAGATCACAAGAAGGAAAAGATAAAATTGAATCTACACCATTATCTCCAGGTGTGGATATTCTAAGTTTTCTCCTGAGAATCTTAGTCTGGCTGTGGTTAGGGTTTTCAGTTCCGACTTATATTACTTCCGTCTCGAGCGTAATAGCAGAAATCCATCGCCGGTCCTCTTTCAAAGAAGGTTTGAGGAATCGAAAGCTCTGGCTCTAGACGCCGACTAAGAAGAATACTCACACAAATGTCTACCATCTCGGCGCTTATGAATGTATTCACCATAAGCGACCACACAAAGCGCGCCGAGGTTTTCCAAGAAAAGCCTCGCGTTGATCCCAACATCTTTCTTCCACTGCATCCTCCTCCTCCATGGTTCCACCAATTGAAACATGAAATACAAAAACAATGAAAAAGTGGAAGAATTTGAGATTGAACTTCCGCCAGTATCAAACATGCCCTAACGTTGGAATTCAAATTCCATTCCAAAAATTACAAAATCAAAACGAAACAAAAACAACAAATTCTCTAGAAACTTCACCGCCGTAAATTCCAAATTCTAAGGGCCAAAATAAGGAAATTATTATACTATACTGACCTTGCACAGATTCCCTTTCCCAAATTCACAAGTACATGGCCGATCTGCACAGTTGGAGCAGGCTGCAGCGTCAGTTTCATGTTGGGCAGGATACCACAAATATCAAGCCCTGTATCCTCCTGCTACCTGCCAACTACCGATTTCTCACATCGAATTTGGGCCTAAGCATGTTCTATGGGCCAACCCCAATTCCATCATATAAAATCAGCTCAAAGTGGAGGAACATTCTGGAAACTCATTTTGTGAGGGGAGATGCAAAATGAATACGAACACCATCCTGCAAGGCTCAAATAGAGATTTTTCGAATTTTTTAGTTTTGGAAAAATTTAATTAATTATTCCATATTCTGTAATATTTAATATAATTTTTTTGTTATTGATAAATAATAGTATTAAATCTTCTAAAGGCATTAGACATGTTTCTACTGTATTGTATAATGTTGCCCGTCATCATTAATGCTCCAGAAGCTTCCTCAGTTAAATCCAATAAACGACTTCATATCTCAACTTATAATAATAATGACTACTGACTAATTCACCGTATCACACTCTTAAATTTTGTTTTAATCGTAATTATTATATTTCAAAATTCAAAGAGTGTTCAAATATAAAGAACTCTAAATAAACTACTTTCAATGTGTTGTATATATATTATATATACCGTCCAATCAATCAATCTCCTTATACAAACAAACACAATACATTTATTACTCATTTCAAAAACATCGAATTATAAAATCAAAATACGTTAAGAAAAATCCTCACTTGACTTAGCAACATATATATACATACATAAGCCATAGTAATTATTAATTATAACCAAGCAACTACATATTGACTTACTTTTAAGTAATGGATTTACAATCCACTCTCTAATTCTCATCTTTGTATCAAAATTAAAAGAATGATTTGGTCAAGATTATCATTTTCATTCACCTACCCTGAAATATATATATATATATATATATATACCAATGTTAATTGTTCCACTGAATGAATCAAATATCATGCCTATATTTAATTCTTGGTGGTATCAACTAAACTACATTTCACCCATACTTATGTCTTGTATGACCATTTCTTTTTTCAGAGTCCATTAAACTTCTTGCATCATGGTATGCTGTCCCAATCCCACTTAAAAAAACATTTCCCATCCTTACCCACAAAATAATGTGCTGGTCTTAAATGGGTCAACTTATTGGTCTTTAAAAAAAAAAAAAAAGTAGAATAAAAATCCATTAATAAATTAAATCACGTACATAGGTGTGTCCCACTCTCATAGATTAATTAGTGAGCAATAACTGTCTAATTAATTAACAAATACCTCTACCTAACCCTCCTGTTTATAACACGTATAATTTGGTATAATTTTTGTTGCGTGGCAAATAGCCAAATGGGCATAAAATAAAGAAATTATTGAAAATTGCATTCATAAAATAAATACACACACAAAGCCAAGACAGTGGGGCTTCAAAGAATGCAATAATAGATTCAAGAGCAGAAAGAAATGCCAAAGAAGAAACACAAGATTAGTACAAAATTGTTGCCCTCAAAAATGATCCAACACTTGGAGATGTATCATTCACGGGCTTTTGTTTTCATCCAATCCTTCCAAATTTCAAGTTGCACTATATATATAAATATCATACGTGTAATTTTAAAAATATTTATAAATTAATTTTATTCTTTATTCACACACAAAAGGATATCCAAATCAATTTCCTTTTCAGTGGCCTAATCAATTGTGGAAATAATTAGCTGCAATACCCCAAAAATAAATGCATATATAATTATTAATTATATGTGTGTAAAAGAACCAACCAGCCACCTATATAGACGTAAGAATCACATGTGATCTTCTCTTGTTTTTCTTTCTTTTTTATTTTTATTTTTATTTTTTTACATAATAAATATTGGAATGTAAAATGGGAAGTTGGATGCTAAATAAAAGAGTTTATTGTTTAGTTGTGTTTGGGAACATGTCTATAATTAATTCAACCTAATATTGGTATTCAATTGAATGCAGAATAATTAATAATGTAATTGAAAATTTTAGGCAAGTGGAGTTGGGAGCATCACACTAAATATGTATGAATATTTTATATGTACATAAAACTGAACAACCAAAACTAATTCGATCTTGCCTAACCCAAATTTGTAAAAATATTAAAAATTAATATATATATATGTATATATATGTGTGTCATGTGAATTGACCATTTCATTGAAGTTTTATTTGTAATAATAAATTAGAGGTAACTGTAAACATGTAAAAGGGAATTCAAACGTATGGCTTTTCGTTGGTTTTCTGTTCAATTTTTAAAATGAAGATAGAAATTGCTTTGTAGTTTTTTTTTTTTTTTTTTTGGTGAATAATAATAATGATTCATGAGTAGTTGTTTTGTCATGAATGAAATGTAGGATATTAATTTAGGTCAACCACTGGGAAGCACCAAATTCACAAGCTTATCCATCAATTTATTTTATTTTACTTTTTCATGTTTACTGAAACCGGTAAATAAGCATTTGTCTGGCCTTGTACAATAACAATAATGATAATAATAATTTGTACATATAGTTCACACTTTAATCCATATATATATATATTGATTTTTACTTGTATTTTCTTTAATTATTAATTTTTTTTTAAAGGAAAAGCAATCCTCTGTATGTATTTAGATAATTAATTAATTATTTATTATTTAACTTTGTGAATATGATTAAGAGTGTGATGGCCATTGCCCACCTACTCTATTCACACGAGAGCACCACATCCATTGCCATAATGCCATCCATACATCAATATTTCAACTGTTACCCCCACTCACCACCACACCACTGTCCCCTCAAAAAAGCTCCTTTTTTCTTAATGTTTTTATTGCAATAAAAATAAAATAAAATAAAATTGTAGCTAGTGTCAGGTCAGCATTTTATTATTTTGGTTTGCCCGTACGAAAATTACACATCATCTCCTTGCCGTTTCCATCATAAAAACCTGACCTCTAAAATACACCGATGCATACATGCTTCTTATGGAAAATCGTCTTCTCCAATTCCTCCGTGAACCAATCCATAATCCCTAATTGTACGGCCTGCATTTCATTCTCTGATCGCCGAACAGGAAGAGGAGGAAATATTCGACAATGCACCGACCCTAACTGCTGCTACTTTCACAGCGTTGTTGATTTTCTCTTTATAAAAAATCTCTCTTTCTTCCTCAACTGTTCTTCACCATTCGACGGAATCTTGTCGGCAATCTGACAGCTGTGCCGATCCTTGAGAAGGGTTTTGGAGTTTTTGACAACTGCTCTTCTATTTATACGGTTCATCCACATTACAAGTTTGTTTTTTTGCTGCTGTTTGATGTTCCCAATTTTTAGACTGTAATCGTGCATTTGTTGGAAGCTTCCGAGCCGTGGGGGTGAAAAAGCTTAGCGGGTTCTTGATGTCAAGTTTGACAATTTGCGGGAGGTTTCGATTAGCATTTTAAATTTTCGAGGTGTACATTCAATGATAGTTAAACAATTTTAGATTCGCCATGTTTTGCGCGCAGAGAGAGAGAGAGAAGGAGAGTGCAGTGAGTCAATAATCTCACTCCCAAAACTTTCACCGTCTTAGAAAAACTATTTACTGATTCGTCCACCATTTCCAGCATTCATTAAACCTCTTGATTTAGTATATATTCATCTCTCCCTCGCTTCCCACCGGGATGAAGAAGTGTTCTTGATTGATTGGCAATGAAGACATTGCGGCAGAGGGAGAGGGCATGGGATTTCTTTTCTGAAGATCAGGTGCGAGAGACTACCAACTTCCTGAGGTTGTCCCATTCTAGGATGAAGCTGTGGACTTTGAGGGCAATCACAACTTTGTTGCTGTGGACATGTATTATTCAGTTAGTAGCCATTGGAGAAGTTTGGGGGCCAAGGTTGCTGAAGAGCTGGCCTTCATGTTCCATTTCTTCCCCAATTATCCGTACACCTGAAACTTTATCTTCTGTCCAACCAAGAAAGCATTTTCCACCAAAGAGTGAGCCCACAAATATCCCTCTGCTGATTTTGATTCTTGTTTGTGTTTGGAGTTCTGTCTGTGTTCAATAACAGTTGAGTCATGGAACTGTCGTGACATTTTCCCTTGTTAGAATCAAGCATGGTATTTTGTTTTTTAAATCATTGATGAAAGACTGCTATTTGGCTGCTTGATTGTTTTTGTCATTTCTGCGATGCTCGTGCTTCATTTTCTTCGGTATGTGTTGATTTTAGGGATATACAAGAACAATGGTTATCTTCTTGTTTCTTGCAATGGTGGCCTAAATCAGATGCGTTCTGCGGTCAGTTGCTACGACTCTTTACCTATGGCTAACCTTGTTTTAGTGATGAGTGATGATTTGTATTCGATTCCATGATGGCTTCTTCTTGCTGGCCTTGTATGCAGATATGCGATATGGTAGCAATCGCTAGATATCTCAATGCCACTCTGATCGTCCCTGAACTGGACAAAACTTCATTCTGGGCAGATCCGAGGTCGGTGAAACTTTGTGGTTGTTGCCTAACAACAGCTGATGAAATATGATTGTTACTAACAACATCTTGTGGCATTTGCAGTGACTTCAAGGACATATTCAACGTCGAACATTTTATTTCCTCGTTGAGGGATGAAGTCCGGATACTGAAAGAGCTTCCACCCCGGCTCAGACGTAGAGTAGAACTTGGGAAGTTCTATGAGCTACCCCCCATCAGTTGGTCGAATATTTCTTACTACCGTAAGCAGGTTTGACATACAACCTTGTTCTATCTTTCTTTCTTGGAAGAAAATGATCCCAACTGTAATGTGTGTGAATCATTTCTGTTGTTAGATTCTTCCCCTCCTCAAAAAGCACAAAGTAGTACACTTGAATAAAACAGATGCACGCCTCGCCAACAACGGATTGCCTCTGTCGATCCAGAAGCTGCGCTGCCGAGTAAATTTCAGCGCTTTAAGATTCACTCCCAAAATAGAGGAATTGGGCAGAAAAGTGATCAGATTGCTGAGGCAGAAAGGGCCTTTCCTTGTCCTCCATCTCAGATACGAAATGGACATGCTGTCATTCTCGGGCTGCACTCAAGGCTGCACTGCTGAGGAAGTGAATGAACTGACTGCAATGAGGTATGCTAATCCATGGTGGAAGGAGAAAGTGATCGATTCCGACCTTAAAAGGAAGGAAGGACTTTGCCCCTTGACACCTGAAGAAACTGCCCTTGTACTCACTGCACTCGGCATCGACTCTGGCATTCAAGTATACGTTGCTGCTGGAGAGATATACGGCGGGCGAAGGAGATTGTCAAGTTTGTCGACAGCATTTCCGAACCTGGTCAGGAATAGCTCTCTCTGTGTTAGTTCGTTAAGCATTTCAAGAACTTCGCTGATTAAAGTTTTGTGGAATAGGTGAAAAAGGAAACGTTGCTGGAGGCGTGGGATTTGTCTTACTTCCGGAACCACTCGTCGCAGATGGCGGCGCTGGATTATCTGGTCTCCTTGGAAAGTGATCTCTTTGTTCCCACGTATGACGGGAACATGGCTAAGGTTGTCGAAGGGCATAGAAGGTATGTGCATAGCAGGCATCGTGAATGCAGTTAGTGTTCTCCAGTTTTGTGCATTCTAGTACAACATTAGTCTCTGTTTATTTTCAGGTACTTAGGTTTCAAGAAAACTATCCAGCTAGACAAGCGAACCTTGGTCGGTCTGATCGATCGATACAGCAATGGACTGTCGAGCTGGGATGAATTCGTTTCGTCTGTGAAGGAAGCCCACGCAGATCGAATGGGGAAGCCACAGAAGCGCGTTGTGCTTTCAGACCGTCCCAAGGAAGAGGATTACTTCTATGCCAATCCACAAGAATGCCTTGCAGCCTACAAATGAAACGACGTTCGACATATTTACTTGTCTGTAAGAACAAAAAGCACAACGCAAAGAAGGAAGCACATCAAATCTATACAAATCTATACATGATTCTTTCGCAATTTTGCTGTACATATTAAACCCTTTCTCTGGGATGTAAAACAGTTTGTCAATCAAATGGGAAAAACATTCTTCAGACTCAGAAGCTGCAGATTGCCTTATACACTCTGCTTTGCATTTTTAGAACATGAAATGCTAACAATCCTCGAATATGTTTATGAATATATTCTGTCTACAGCAAGAAGTGCAATTTGGGGAGGCTAAAACTGTATATATATTTTCAAGAACTGAAGTAAGCCGATTTCACGGTAACAAACAATGTATATATATATGTATTGTAAATTTTGAACAAACAAATACCAGAAAAAACCCAAAATAGCACCATCAGTTATGCTGTTCTTTGCTAATGCTGCACATTCTCCTCAATTCGACCTGTTGGTATTCGATCTGGCTAACAGCTCTGGAGAGATCTCCAGCTAAGGAAATGTTGTCTTCTTTAACGAGACGTTGCTGTTGTATCTTGATTATGGCTCGGGAGACTTCTCCTATCGACGGCCGTTTTCTCGGGATCTTATGGAGACACCTGTGGGCAATTTTAGCAAGGCTTCTCGCTTCTTGCGGATTGAATGTTCCTACAATCTTAGAATCGATTATTTCATCCACGCCATCTGGGCTCATACTCGCCTTGGATGAGGTTGAAAGCGTGATGTCAGAATATATATATATATATAATGTACGGTAGCAACAGTAGCAGCATTGGGAAGAAGGGTGTAAGATTCTTACAAGATTGATGTATTCCATCAGATTCTGGTGCGGATGGATGGCGGTGATAAGCTCGAATATAATGATGCCAAAGCTATACACATCGCTTTTTGTAGTAAAATAGCTTGTCGAGATGTATGCTGGATCTATATACCCATATGTTCCTTTAAGACCTGAATTTCGACCGTCAAAAGCCTCTTCCTTCGACAGCCCAAAATCCGCAACCTAGTCAAACAAAGAATCAGGGAAATGACAAATGTTGAAACCTTAAACTTGCGGGGGATAAAAAAGTTACACAAGAATGGTCTCTACCTTTGCTCTCATGGAATGGTTCAGCAATATGTTGGCGGACTTCAAATCTCGATGGATCACAGGAGGCACTGCCTATTCCAAAGAATTTAAAGATGTTGGAGTTATTAGGACAAGAAAAATGAAAGTAGCTCTACACATTTTTAAGTATTCAACGAACCCCATCATGAAGATACTCAATGCCATGTGCAATGTCCAGCACTATTTGAAGCCGATCCTCCCAACTCAAAATTCGTTCCTCATCGTCTGTACATACACGTATACAATATGAGTTTTTTGCATATAAGAAAGACAGACAACGAACAGGCTTACTATACATCGAACATAATCACACAACTTACTATATAGAAGATTTTCCAAACTTCCATTTCTCATGTACTCGTAGACTAACATGTATTGCCCTTTATCTATGCAATATCCGACTAAATTAACCAGATTTCGATGATGCAGTCTAGCCAGTAAAGAAACCTGAAATTCAGAGCAACTAATTGATATGGCAAACAATGAAAGGAAGCCGGACTGTGCAGTACATTTTGTTCTACATACAATTCATTCCTCATTTACCTCTGTTTGAAACTCTTTTTCCCCTTGTTTCGAATCCGAAGCTAGAACCTTCACTGCAACTTCTTCCCCAGCAGGCATTATAGCCTTATACACGAGGCCAAAAGAACCCTGTCCCAAAACTGTTGTAAAGTTCTGTGTCCCTTTCTGAATGTCTCTGCAAAAAGAAATGGAAATGTAAATGTAAATGAATCATTTTCCATACAATGCAACAGCCTCGAATTGGAGAAATTTGATATCCATACACATACTTGTAAGAGTATCTTGGAATACCAGATGCAGAAGGCAATCGATCTTTACTGTGATTATTCTTCCACCAGGAATGTTGAGGTTTGCGGGCATAATTCTCCGATCCTTTGATGCCCACAAAACTCGAAAGAGATGCACTGGAATCAATGGTGGTTTCTAAGCCATTCGTGCGGATCGGAAGGGCCGCAGCCGAACGATCATTTGTGCGGCGAAGAGGGGCAGAGCGCTTTCTGTACCAGCAAATGGCGAAGAACACGAGACATGCCACGAGCACGCCGACGGCCACGCCAACAGTTACCCCGATAATAACCAAGTCGGCTTTACGAACCATCTTTTGGCCCTTTGTTAGAATCAGAATACAGACACATCTTGTAAGAACTCTTCTGCAATCACTGTACGATCACAAGCATAAAATTCATTGGTAACCACAAAAAAAACCCTAAAAAATGGCATCAATGAATGAACTAACCAACAGATTCGCAGATGTCGCAATTAAGCATATGTAAAAGAATAATTGGAGCATCAGAAAAGTGATAAAAGGTGAAACCATCAAGATGAAAAACCGCCCAGATAGATTCCAGCACAAAAGGAAAGAAACTACGACTCAAGAACTAATCGAATAAATCAAGCAGTCAACCCACTGCAAAATCGAGTCAACCCAGAAGAAAGGGCACCAAAATAACTTACTCATTGCAGGGCAAGAAATCCACGCATGATTCTTGATCAGCTACGGCACAGAAATTGGGAAACTGAAGAGCAGGTCATCGTGGAGTCGTTTAAATTTAGTGGGAGCCCTTTTGTTGAAACAGAAACAGAAACAGAGAAAATTAAAAGCATGTAGACGAATGTTTTTTTTTTTTTTTTTTTTTTTCAAGAAAACAAAATCAAAAAGGGAAAAAGAGGGTTTTGGTGAACTGACTTTTCATTTGCTTGTCTTCCTTCCTTCTGGAGATTCAGATAACACTTGGATTCTTGAATCTCTTTGTACGGTCTTTGAAGTCACACACAGGGTTTGCAGGTAAAAATAACCAAACTACCCGTACTGCGTATGTCTGGGACTATCGGAGGACTCAATCAGTCGACCATGTCCGCCTTACAACGCGGTTTTCTTCGAAGGGTTTCGATGAATTTTATGTTTCTTGGTTTTACTTTTGTTTGATTGGTGGCCTCTCACTCACTAAACATTGTTTAGACAAAGATTTGCAGGAATTTGAAATTTTAAAAATAAGTAAAAAATTAATAATTAATTTGATATTTTAAAAGATAAAAAAATATATTTAATTTAATATTTAAAAATAAATAAATAGTGCCCATATCAAATTTTGATAGTATTATGTAAACAAATCACACCAAACCCAAAATACCCTCGATATATGTACATTATTTTAAAAGTGTTTGAAGTGGGGATTTTTATATTGGATATAATAAACATTTAAAATTCAATACACGCATAAATTTTATGGACTTGAAAATGTACCAATTGTCATTATATTATTTGGAATAAAAATGAGAATGGTTTTAGATATTAAATGAATTTGATGTTGACTTTTTTCTTTTTGGTTAAATTCTACTTCAATCAGTCCACAAAAAATGTATTTACTTCTTTGCTATTTTTTGGTGCTTATTTATTTTAATTTTTTTTGGTGAACAAAAGAAGGAATTTTACATTTACTAATTAATTTTTAATTTAGGTGTATCAGTAATATTAGTCAGAAGATTAATAATGAATTACAGAAGATCTATTTTAAAACTATAGACAATTTCTGTTGATAAATGCTACTCTACAAATAACACAAGTATTAGTTTAGTTTAGTGTCTGTTTAAATAAATGAGTACCTCAAAATTGAAAATGACAAATATGACTGGTATAAATTTGAGCCACCAACTCAAGGAGAGTAAAGTATATATTGTCATGTTACCAAATTTGACAATTTCCTCTCTTTCTTTCTGATAATATTATTGAGAAAATTGCAGAATTGGATTTGAATACATAAAGACTTTCTTATTACAAATTCTAAACGAAGTACACATAATAATAAAGAGCCAAATTTCTGTGCAATATTACTATACTGTAGTTCCCAAAACAGAAGCCTGCCCTATTTCTTTCATGCCCGTAATAGAGGATGCCATTGTCCATTTTGGACAAAGCTTTCTTTTCAGGCATTATTGTAACTTTACACGACTTTTCCTTTTTCAGGTCATATAACACAAATTTTTATCCCTTATTTAATTTCATATCCAATCCAACGTTGGGTTGTGGGGCCCGCCACCACTGCAGATGCCTACCCTACTTTCAACTGCACCAGAGAAAATCACGTGACAAACCCCCCCAGGCGGCACGTGACGCCTGCCCACTACCCACGCGCCACTGCCGGAAAACGGTCCAAACATTTAATTAAAGCAACGCTGACAGTGTTTGCTGCTTCATCACTTCCTCTGTTTCGATAATGTAATGCGTTCTTTACATCCACGCTCCGCCGGCGAGAGTGGGCTTCCGATCTGTATGCTTTTCACACGCCAGGCAAAACACTGTCTTTACACACTATACGGCGTCGTTTTGCCCTCACTCTCTTTCACCTTCAGAGTCGAGTTCGACGACGACGACGACGACGGCTCTCGCGCTGCTGTCTTTTAGCGCGTGATAAAAGATCCCACTATGAAGTGGGTTTCTCCGACGAAAGCCGCCGCCGGCGATGGGAAAGCGGTGGTTTTCAAGTCGAAGCTTAAATGGGTCGGGCTGTTCGGGCTTGTCCTGTCTGCCTTCTCACTCTTCACTCACTTCCTCCTCGCCAGATACACCGATGGCTTCGCTGTTTCCGAGTACAAATCTTCCATAACCTTCTTTTCTTGGAGGCCCATTTTCGACGGCGCCGATCTCCCCGCGAATGTAACTTTCCCAAGATCTCATCTTTCTGCTCCTCCTTTCGATTGGTTAACTATGCGAATGTTGGATAATCATAATGCTGTGTTAGTGGGGTCGTTTTGCTGGGGTTTATTGTAAACTATACTTCTTTTTGTTTGCTTTAATCTTAATTTTTTAGAATTAGGACACCGATTCCAAAAACAGGTTTCCTGTTTCCCTTTTCCCATGTTTCCGAATCATAATGTTTGTGTTTTCTGATGCTGCCCGCGTGTATGATGTTCCTTTGGGGTATGTGGATTTTGTTTCCGCCGACACTTATTGTTCTTGGGTTTTTGCTTATTGCTCGATTTATGCAGGCAGCATTGCATAGAAGGCTTTGGGGCCCTGTGAGGCATTTTGAATCTATACATCCTTATGCAAATCCCAGAGCAAACTATGTAGGTCAGATCTGCTAAATTGCTATATTCGAAAGAGTGCTTATGTTTCTTTGATCATCTTGTGCTCTAAAAATTATGCTGCCTGTTAAATTTTGCTTTTAGGCAGAAACTATGGCGAAGATTACCTTTGTTGTTAGTCAGAAACTTTGAGCATTCACTCCTCTTGATTTTTCTTACAATCTAAATATGGTTTGGTGCTTGCAGCTCCTGGTCCACAGACTTCTGGATTCATTTTTGTAAGGATTCGAGGTGGTTTCCATGAAATCAGGAATTCGGTATTAATGAGCTTCTGTGTGATTCCTGTAATCCATAAGTTACATGCTTGGATGAATATACTAATAGAAGGCTCTATGCTTCTGTAGATTTGTGATGTCGTCGTGGTAGCACGACTCCTCAATGCAACACTAGTAATTCCCGAGATTCAATCCACAACAAGCAGCAAGGGCATCAGGTTGACTCGCGCCCTTACCTATCTACATATTTTGACAGTGAAACGAAATGCAAGTACTTTGCATCGTTAATTTTTCTATTATATTATGCAGCACAGAATTCAAGAGCTTTGCCTACCTCTACAGCGAGGAGCAGTTTATGACAGCGCTGTCCGAAGACATCAAAGTCGTGAAAACACTTCCAAAGGATCTCAAAGGAGCTCGAAGAAAGAAAGAAATCCCTTCATTCAAAGTTCCAAGCTCTGCTTCGCCTTATTTCTATCTCCATCATGTCCTGCCAGTGCTTAATAAGCACTCGGTTGTCGAGCTTGTGATCCCCGATGGAGGATGCTTGCAGGTACCGTAATCTTTTCTAGTTGCGTACTCGCTAGTTCCATTATTTTACAGAATTGATGATTGATGATCTTGTGAATCAGGCTATTCTTCCTCCTCACCTAGAAGAATTTCAAAGGCTGCGATGTCGGGTTGCTTTTAATGCCCTAAGATTTCGAGATGAGGTTCGAGAACTTGCCACAAAGGTCCTGTTTCGACTGAGAGCTTCTGGGCGACCGTTCATAGCCTATGATCCGGGAACGACGAGGGATACTTTAGCTTACCACGGTTGTGCCGAACTCTTTCAAGTGCGTAAAGATACATCAAGTGTTTGTTTCTTTAGAAAGTGAAGATTTTTAAACTTATTCTGATCTTTTGGTTTTTACTTGGTCGATTCTCTTTAGGATGTACATACCGAACTTATCCAACATAAGCGAGCATGGATGATAAAACGGGGACTCGTCAAAGGGAATCTTTCTGTCGATTCAGCCAAGCAGCGTCTTAATGGTTTGTGTCCGCTTATGCCTGAAGAAGTATGCTACACGTCTCATCGATTATTTTTTCTCATCAAAGGGAAGTGTTTGGTTTCATATTAATAACATTTTCTACAGATAGGTATTCTTCTTCGAGCATACGGATATTCATGGGATACGATCATTTACATTTCGGGGGGAGAGGTCTTTGGCGGGCAGAAGAAGCTCATCCCGCTTCACGCAGTTTTCGAAAATGTTGTTGACCGGACTTCTCTAACCATGCCGTGGGAGTTGGACAGAATGTACGGCCGGGAAGCAAATCTTGTGGACAAATCTCCAAGGTCTCCGCCTCCGATTAAATTGGAAAAGAAACCCAATGACTGGAAAACAGTTGGACCTCGACCGCGTCCGCTCCCTCCACCCCCGGCAAGAGCGAAATATCCCTACAACATTGAAGGCTGGTGGGGCTGGGTCGCCGAGAGTGATAATGAACCCGAGAGTACAGTTATGGAGCTGAGAACAAACGCTCATAAATTGCTGTGGGAAGCTATAGACTACACGGTATGTGTCGAAGCAGATGTCTTTGTTCCGGGATTCAATCGTGATGGACGAGGAAACCCGAATTTCGCTAGCTTGGTTATGGGGCACAGGCTGTACAAGTCTCCTAATTCGAAAACCTTTCGAATCGACAGGTAGCTAACTTTTTGCTCTTCTAATGGCATATTCGGTTTTCGAATAGTGAGTTTAATTGGGATTAATCGGTATTTGTACAGGAAGAAAATCGCGAAGATTTTGGAAGAGATCCAAGACAACTTTTACCAAGCAAATCGAACGTGGATCACAATGCTGCGACGCCAAATGAGGAGAAGTTTGATCGACGGGCTGGCAGAGGAACTGACGAGATCGAAACGAGTTTCGTTTCTTTCCTTTCCTCTCCCAGAGTGCTCTTGCTATAGCGGCGGCGGTGACGATGATCCTGTTCGGTCCATAGTTAATGCGTCGAGTCCTTCAGTCCTCTCGCCCTTACGGAATGTACTAGGGTCAATGCAGCGCTGCCCGTCGTGGGTGGAAGACAGCCTACCTGACAAGGAAACTGAAACGGACAACGTCGACGAGGACGAGTCTGATTCTCTGGTGGCTGCTCCTCTTTTCCAGCAGAGCGGCAGCGGAAACAACGAGGCTGGAGTCGAAATGAGCAACAAAGAAGAAACACAAATGGAGGATCAAGAAGAGCTCGACGGCGGAGACAGGTGATGCAGATAAACAACGAGGATGTCTGATTGACACAAATTTTGCTGCTGGATCGAAGAACTGAAACAGAGGGTAGATTAGAACCGCGACCGAGCCATTGTGCCGGCGGGAATTTAGACGTCGATTTCGAGGGTTCCTCTGTCTTCACCCTTGGACAAAGGGGCAAAACCTGATTGCAGCAGTGATATGTTGGTAACTTTGTATTGACTAACATTAGTAGAACAATGAAGGAATGTCCTGATTGTAAGCAACTCTGTATCGATCAATTCAAAACCAAGAAAGTGGAAAAACGAGGAAGCATTTGGAACTCTTCGTGTGAGAAAAGAAAATTGTCGCGTGATTCGCGCAACTGTCGCTTGATTTGTTCACATTTGTAATCTTGAATTAAACATCGATCCCATGAATATGATCGATCGGCTTCATTATAACTTAACGGCAGGAAAATATCCATGCACGTCTCTGCTATTATTGTATTTGCACAAAATCTGACAGTCTGATTCGACAGCTAGAGTTGACCTCGAGCTTTAAATAGCTTTGACATTTCTGTAAGAAATAATGTAAGATCAATGGCGATTGCTTTATTAATGGAAGGCACCGGAAGAAGCGCTGAATGCACGTACTAAAAGCGTGAGAAGGGAATAAAGCACGATTTACCATATGCGGAAAGTCGGGAAAGAAAGAAGCGGCAAACAGCTTCAACTGCACATGCGCGGAAATACTTCATGAGTCACGTTTTGTTGCCAGTAGGTGAAATTTTCTGTTACGCGTATTTATACGATCGTCTTCTGCTGCGAAGTGGCCGATCTCCTCGTGCGAATTCCTCCATCGATACTGGTCAAGCTGCATGCCATATTAGTTTCGCTAATTTGCTGCAGAAACTGGATGATCTGATGACGACGGTTATTCTGCCGTTGTTGGTGGTGATTCTGTTGCAAGGCGTTTCTGTAGGAAGCTCGAAGAATGATTCTCCTCCTGCATTGTATGTTTTTGGCGATTCGTTGTTCGATAGCGGGAATAACAATTATTTGCTGACTCTAGCGAAGGCGAACTTCCGGCCGTACGGCACGGATTTCATGAGAGGACCGACGGGGAGATTTACCAATGGGAGAACTGTGGTGGACTTCATAGGTTTGCTTCTTCAGCTTTCAGTTTCTTCAATTTTTTTTTTTTTTGATTCAGCTAACCTCTTCTGCCTGACGATGAGTCTGTTATCTTCACAATCCTATTGCACGTGTTTGATTTTAATTTCCAGCGGAATTCGTCGGCTTGCCGTATTCACCGCCATACTTGAGCTTCCAAAGAAAACTTCTCAAATCAGACGAATTGCCGCTGACAGGCTTAAATTTTGCCTCTGCAACCTGTGGAATTCTTTCCGATACAGGAAGCACCTTGGTACGCCGATGAACACACTTGTTTCAACTTTGGATTCAATATTTTAGAAACCATAAAACAATTTCCAGTTTCCAGTTTCCATATTGAATCTGTAATATGGTTTATGCCAGGGAAAATGCCTGAGCCTGGAAGAGCAAGTGAACTACTTCCAACAAATAGTGGAAAAGAAATTGCCAGGACACTTCACCAAACAGAATGATTTATCAAATTATTTGTCGAAATCATTGTTCATGGTTTCTGTAGGCAGCAATGACTACATCTTCAACTATAGCGACCCGCACACGGACACCAGCAAACGGTACTCCCCTCAAGAGTTCGCTGAACTTCTCACGAACAGTCTTTCGCAACAATTGCGGGTAAAACTAGTTTTTCATTACCTTATCCAAACGTGAAGCATTGGATTCAACAAGTTTAATGCACAATTGCAGAGATTGTATAACTTGGGAGCAAGAAAACTGGTAGTGTTCGGGTTAGGACCAATAGGATGTATTCCCCATAATACAGTGCGATTCACTCACAGTGGACCATGTGTGGAGAATATCAATCGGCCTGCAGTCATGTTCAACAATCAGGAGGCCAAGATGCTAGAGAATTTGACATCAACTCTTCCAGGCTCATCCTTTAGTTTTGGCAATGGTTACTGGATCGGATTAGATGCGTTTATGAATCCATCGGGATATGGTAAGTAGTCTTTCACAGTTTCATAATTATAAACACTCTTCCACACTGAATCTTGATCAATCTGATTTGTGCCGTTTCTCGTTTTGCCATTACCAAGGTCTAAGCAATTCGAGCAAAGCATGCTGCGTTACATGGATGAATGGGACGTTGGGTTGCATCCCGGGGCTGAAGGCACTGGCCTGCTTTGAACCTAACAAATACTACTTCTGGGATGGGTTTCATCCTTCTGAAACTCTCTATAGAACTATAGCCACTAATTGTTTCAATGGCTCCTCTGTTTGTATTCCCAAAAATGTTAAGGAGCTGATACAAATTTGAAGATGTTGTGAAAAACTATATATCAATGTCCATTTGGGTGTTTATGTTATCATGGATCACTGCAAAATGTATAAGGACAATTGAAAGTGATACAAACAAGCTAAATGAAGCACTTGCATTATGTGGACAATGGGAAGAGGAAAATTAAAAATCAAGAAAAACAAGTGTAATTAATGTATAATGTACAATACTACCAAGTTTTCTACATACTTTTGTGATCTTAATACTGACATAAAGGGAAAGTCCTATACTTGCAAGCATGCAATATTCTAATAACCGAGCAAAAACAACTACTTTTCTTGATAGTATACATACATATATATATATATATATAGGGATGACTTTCACTGTGGGGTGACAAAATTGTGAAGCTCCCATTGTTAGTGCACTACATTATTACATTAAAAACTTGTTCTTAAACCTTTGGCTCTTGGTTATTGACTGGCGGCTTTCTTCGACCACGGCCTTTTCCAGTGTAGTCCTTGCGCATCAGATTGGCAACCTGGTCGGCTGCCTCTAGAAACGCCGTCAATCCATCCTTTTCCACCTGAAGAAGAGAAGCTCCAAACAATTAAAAAAAAAAAAAACTAGTTTGAAATCTTGATTGTTTTTCCCCTTAAAAGATCTGATTCTTTTTTGTATTTTGTTTTATTTACCGAATCATCAATATGAGAGTTTTCGCTATTTTGTTGTTGTTGTTGTTGTTCAGTGCAAGATCTCTGTGCCTCATCTGATTTACATTTTCCTGCCATCAAAGTACAAAATATGTAAGTTAGAAGGTAGCAAACTAGCAATGAACTCTCCTAGATTAACTCTTCAGGCATTGCAGCTAATACCTGAAATATGTATTGGTTTTCCATTAATTCCCAGCTGATTCTTTCTCCCCACAAGAAATTTTCTTACATGATTAACTTGAGCAGCTGCAACAGTATCCTCCTCAGGTATGTACTGTTTTCATTATATATCAATAGTTATTACACAATCAAGAAATAAAGGGGGGCAATAATTGCTTGAGTTTAAGGCTTACACTATGATGAGATTCAACTTTCTTTGCTTTCCTGCTGCTCAAGTTCTTTCCTTTTGCTTCAACATTTCCTGTAGAAACACCTGATTACAATAGTTACTAAAAATGTACCTCGAATTTGCTGGAAAACTTCTTTTCACTGTCCTAACTTACTTTGCAAAATCCTTTGTAAGAGAATGAACACATACATACATACTTACTTACCTAGATGACCATTTGCATTGGAGCACTCTACAGCAAGAACAGTGACTATAAACCCCAAAAGTAAGGCTGAATAACCACCAGATAGCATTTTTGAGATCCACTTGAAAATGACTTCAAATTTATTTATTTATTCATCAAATGAATAGGGAAGATCAGGAAGCATAATGTGGGCTTTTATAGAGTTCAAATGAAACAAGAGTCAAAGGTAGGGTTCCAAGTAGTGAATTTTTTTATATTAAGTTTCTGGCACAGACAGGACTTGGGAGAACTCAAAAATTAAAATAATTGCATTATGTATGTTAACAAATGCATATGAATGATTCCTATTTTTTTTTTTTGCTAAATGCATTGCAGATGTTATTAACTGATTCCTATTGTCTTTGGGGATGATCTAAGACTTAGCCATGGCTTCCAACAATTATCTTACACAAAATGAAAGGCAACCAGGGATCAGATCAAAAATTTACTTACAAAGGAGGTGATTTCAAGGTGAAAGTTTCATGTGATGATAAGAAACTCATGCGTGTGTGGTTCCATACAATTCACATTTACTTGGTCCATCCATGAAGATTATTTTAACTAAGGATTGTTTCTAGTCAGCAAAGTGGCTACTGCAAAAAGTTACTGTTATTCTTCAACTGTATGAGCTGTAAACTCTTTATTATTATACTCATGACATTACATATATATATGCATACAATAAAGAAAGGTGCAGCAATCTCTTTGGATACCTAAAATTTGATCTCAGTAGTTAATCACCATTTTCAACTTTTGACTGGATCTATTAACTACTGATTCAATATATTTATGCAATCTTTGGTTTTTTTATTCTTTCACACAGCTTTTTTCTCAGCTTCTGCTCTGTAAATGGAGACTATGATACTTCTACTATTTGAATTAAATGGAGACTACATATGTGTGTGTGTGTGTATATATATATATATATATGATATGATATATTTGTATATCTGAATTGATATGAATTGTTGTCGTTGAATTAAGTAAGAGCAACTCAGGCTCGTGAGTGCAGTGGGATTAGTATTCACACTTCCCAACAACTAAAGTAAGGTTAAGGCAAGTAGTTTCCTAGTAAAGCATGATCATCAAATGAAGAGCTTCATGAACGTGGGCATGGGTTATTTTTACTGAATAAAATTACTCACTCCTTTCTTTTACATAATATATAATATATGGTCTGTAAAAAACTGATGGGTTTGGTGTAAGCAAGCAGTTGGAACACTTGGGAAGACTGCAAGTGGTCTCTTCTTGAAACCAGTGTGTGGTGTGTGGACGTCTTAGTTTGTTCTTACTCACAAAACAATAAGAACAATAATAATCATGATAAAAGAAACTGTGAATAATGTAAATAAAATGAGGTGGCAATCAACAGCAAATCTTGTTGATGCACTGAATCAAATGATAAGCCAATTCTTGTAAAACAAGTGTATGTAAGAGGGTGTGCTGTGAAGCTCTAGAAACGAGGGAGAGACACGTGGAAAGAGAGTAGTAGTGCTCCTGATTCCAATGCAATGTCTCCCCACAAATTAATTCTTACACTTTACTTGATCATATGATGAAATTGAAGGGTGAGATTAAAATAATAACAGGGACCAGAATACCATATGCCGAATTGAGGAGGATATTTCTTTCGTTCATTCACACGTATTTGTCATCCCATGTGGTACGAATGCAGAGCTAAAGATTCTACTTTTACCTCACCTTTCTGTATTTATTTTATGTCAAAAAACAGTACAAGAACCTAGTGGTTCTTGTAGCCTACTATTTTGAGTGTCCTAAAACTAATAACTTAATTCTACATTTAGGAATACTCATGGTTAGGTTATCAAGGCCAGAATAGACATTCTCAAATTTGCCAGATTTGTGAAGCAATTACACAACTTCTTGTAACATTGAGAATTTCATTGGATCACTTTCCTAGGTTTTCACTACAGGGGAATGAATGTCTTGTAAGAGTAGCATCAAATATCAAAGAGGATCATATGTAGAGATACACTAAACAAGTCGACAATGCTCATCAAGGCAATGACCAAAGGACAAGAAGTTTACAACGAATATGTCCCTTCGAAGATCATCGAACCTTAATCGGATCAATAAATCGTAGCATCGAATCTTGGCTCGTAAAAGCAGACCTGGCGGTTGTACGGTTGAAGTGCACATCCGGCTATCCAAGACCACATCTTTTTATCCATGTCGTAAAGAAGACCTTTCCCTTGGTTCCAAGACGTGAAACAAATCAAATTGTTCTGCCCGAAGCATTCGAATCTCTCGGCAGACAGCCTCAGAAGGGCCCGAAAATACCTCGGCGGCATCCTGCTTACCTCGACCCAGACAAACTTGGTATGATCCAGCTCCCATATCTTCATACTTTGTAGAGTGCTGTAGAGCCCAATTCTTCCCACCAGAAACAGCCGATTTTGGGTCCCGGCGATGAGGTATCCGTCCAACAGCGACCGGGGGAACTTGGCGGGAAGATGCTCCCACTGCCCCGTGTCCAGTCGATACATCATCAAACCGAGGGGCGAAAGGGTTTCCAAGTACAACCTCGAGTCGCAAAATGCCATCTTTGAGGAACAGAGGTTTACGGCGGGAATAATTTGGTGAAGCAGCCATCTGTCGAGCTTCGAGTCGTACACTTCGGTGGGTAAAGTGCTGAAGCCATAAATGTCGCTCGATGCAATAACTTTAAACGACTGATCCTTCCTGTCGACCACCATGATCAAATGCCTTTGCTGATTATAATGCATGCTCGGCAAAGCCCTCCAAGCCTGCGTCAACGGGTTACAAATTAACGTCTTGAAAGTCGACCCATCCATTCCCGAAAAACAAACGAGACCCCCAGAAGAACCAACCAGCCAAAAAGCCCATTGCGGGAGAAATGTGAATGGAATCCGAAACCACTGCTTCAACGGCAAACTAAATACCGAGCATTGAAGAGTCTGCAAATTCTTCCAGTAAGTCAGAAGACAGGGTCCATGACACGACACCTGCGAATGGAACTTCAAAAACTTATTGTCTTGCAAAATCGAATTCCATCTCTTACAAACCGAGCGAAGCTTAAATATCATGAAAGGCGGAACTCTAGCCAAGATTTCATTCAAAAGATCTTCCGGCAGCATAGCCCATATATTATCTTCCATCGGGACATCCGGTTGGACAACTTTGCTAACCACAACCACCATTTCCTCGTCTAACCCACGGGGCTTGGTTTTCACAATCTTCTGCCTAGCAGGACTTGTATTCCTCGACCACAGCCGACCAAGAGGGCTGATGTTCCTCGACCCACGCCCCCCGAAAAGATCTGGCCATTGGATATTCTCCTCCTCCCATAAAGAACTACTTCTTAACACTATGGAACTTAATGTTCTCAAATCAAACTCAGAAGCTTCCCCCATTTCAACAGCAGTGTAAGAATTCAAAACCGGAAGTCCAATCTTGCTTGTGCCGGAATTCCATAAGCCCTAGTTATGTTAAAATGCCTTTTCAGATGACAGAAATTGGGCAGCTCAATGCAGGTGGTTGTCAATGAAGGCCACATCTACGACATCACTCAATCTGAACATCCTAACAAAAATCAGCCACAAATTGTAAACTTCCCCTCATGTAAAATAATCCAATTAATTAAAACTCGCATTCGTATGTCAATAGTGAGCAATCGAATGATAAGCAGAAGAAACCAAATCCAGAAATTAAAATTCAACATACTATCCAGGATCCAATTCCAGTTCTAACACTAACAGCAAAACCCTAGGCACAAAAGCTTTGCGTTGGACGCAAAATAAACCGACAAAAACCCAGTCAAGAACCAAAACACGAAATTAATAAATCTAAAAAATTACAAGGAAGACTGAACCTGCTAAGGATGGATTAACTCATGCCGGAAAAAATAATACGAACCTGCAGGATAAAATTTCCTCAAAAAGTCGCAGGTATTCGTGTTTGGACGGATTAATCTGTTGTTCCGTGAATACTTGTCAATCCCCGCGACATTGATTGAAACCACATTTGTCCGCGTCCTTGGTGAGAAGATGGGTTCTAGAACCTCACGAGTCAAGAAAATGGGGGAAAATACAAGAAGGTTTTGTCTGAAAGTGCGGGCGGCGCGCCTGCAACTGCAACGCTCCCTCTCCTCAGTTCTCTTGTAGACCAGTTATGATGTAAATGGGTCGGATCTCAAATCGGATCCATCAAGACGAACAGGGTTGGAGCAATTGAATATAATTTAATTGGACTGTACGAGCACCTCTTGAGTGCGCTCTGCAGAATGAATGGTACAGAAACTGAAAAGCCATTATAGCATTTGGGGCTTCCTATCCTCTCCTATGGGCCAAAAGTCCGAATCATTCAATCCACCATTGATAGACACTGCTCTTTCGGAAATAGTTCAAAGGGATACAGAAGAAGCCCAAATAGCCCAAACTCACTTGGGAGGAAGAAAATTTCAATATTTTTTTAACCAATCTCTCTCTAAAATGAAAAGTGGGAATTGGGGATATATGAATTATGACAAGGTCATTAATAGTATTAATTTTAATTCTATTAATTACAGTACTAAAAAGTAAAACAACGAAATGAATAAAGATCAAGAAGCGCGTCAAGAAAAGCTTAAACAAAGACCTAAAGAGAAGAAACGCGTTTTAATGCAATTGTAAGTAACAACAATACCCATCATTTCTTGACTGCAAAACCTCCAATGGCGTGGGTCACGAATCTCCACCTCGGCCCGCCGTCTCCTCGACGACCGGTTTTCACAGTCACCGGACCACACGAGGAGGAGCCATTACAACAAGATCACCGCGAATTCTATCATCACCTCAACCCTTTCGCTTTCGATTTCGAATTGTTCTCCCATCCCAACCGTTCTTCAAACCCCTCATTCTTCGACGACTACAACGTCGCCGCCCGGCGCGACTGCGACGAGCGTAATAGCTTCTACATCGCAGGCGAGGACGACAACGCCGACGCCGACGACGACGACGACGAAGAACAGATGAATTTCGTAACAAATCTGTTCGAATCGCGGCAGACGAGCCTCGTGGAAGATCCAAATTGGGAGCGCAATGTTCGGGCAGAGCTATCGCCTCCCGAATTCGGATTCGGTCCCGGCCTCCGGGTTGTGAACATGGATTCGGAGTCCGATTCCGAGGATTTCGAGGTAACTTCCGCATACATTGACGATTACGAAGATTCCGGAATTAACATCTATCATAGCAATGGGAACGAGAGAGAAGAGGAGCTTGGATGGGAGGAGGTTAGCGAGAGGATCCATTCCGACGAGGGAGAAGATCTGAATTCATTGATAAGCAGGATTGAGGAACTCTCTGTATCATCAGATATCTCTGATTGGGAACCATCTCTAGGCGATGATCTACCAGCCGATGAGGAATTGCGCAGGCTAGAATGGCAATTGTTGCTGGCAGCCAATAACTTAGAAAGGGAGCTCGAGAATTTAACAGAAAGCAGAAGCAATGAAGATTACATCATGGCAGGATTCGACACCCTCTTAGGGACATTTGTCGAGAATGAAACTGCTGCAAAGGGCAGTCCTCCGGCGGCCAAGTCTGCCGTGGAGAGTCTGCCCACAGTGGTGGTGACAACTGGGAACGGGGGACTCGTTTGTGCCATCTGCAAAGACGATTTTGTGGTAGGGGAGAAAGCTACCCAAATGCCTTGTGGGCATAGGTTCCATGGAGGATGCATTTTTCCATGGCTTCGGATCAGGAATACGTGCCCAGTTTGTCGGCATGAGTTGCCTACAGATGATGCGGATTATGAGAAGAGGAGACGCGGCCGGGGAGGAGTTGACAATGATCGTATCCGACTAGAGGTACGCCTATGAAGTTCAATTCAATTAAGTTCTTGGGGCATTGTTTTAGAGAGGATATCTGCCTTTTGATGTTGGTGGTGAAGTGTTTGAAAGCTTTTTTGTGGATATATTACACTACATAATGAAGTTGTAGTTTTGGCGTATGAAAAAGATGTTCCAGTCTGCAGTGTTGGAAGATTGAGATGATCTGATCACTCACCTAAAACAATATTGCAAGATGATGAAATTAAAGTGCACATTTGATTGGAATTCTTGTGGTTGTGTTGGTGATTGATTGATTGATTCATAATATGATAAATGTTGCACTGGGAAGAAACTAGGCACTTTATGAAATGTTCACGGGATGAAGAAAGAATCAAGAGTAACTGAAACTTTTTAAATTTGGTAGTATGGAGTAAAATCAAATGGAGTAACGTCTCACTCGTTAAAAACTATTATAAAAACAACATTTTAATCCTCTGTTTCACGACCTGTTCCACAATTTCTAATTTAAAAATACCACATCCAATACAAAGAAGGTGGTATGATTTATTAATTTATCAACAAGCATGCATGCTATCACATGGCTAATACATTATTGTGTATACATGACTAAATTTTGCATGTGCGTGTATATTTGTTTGACATCAGTTCTTTATGTTCCAATTTAAAACAATCCTAAACACAAATAAATACAATACAATCTCAAATTTAGGCTACTGGCGACTAAATAAAAGAAATGGTCTAGATAGATAGATGTCCAAGCCCCCATTTAAATTCACTACCCAACCCTCAACCTCATGTCAAGGCTGCCCTTGGTTGGAACCCAACTTCTCAACCAACCATTCCATAAAATTATTGGGGTTTGTTTAATTGAGGTTTCATTTTGTTGTGTTTTGGTTGGACTTTCCAAAAGAGGCCCATACGAACAGTGTCCTTTTTATTGACACCATTAAAATGGGCACTGTAGCTTGAGCCCAACGCGGAGAAACAAGAAGACGTAATAGGATCCATTCTAAAAGGTTGTTCCAGGGTAAGTCTATAATTCAAATGGAAATAAAAAAAGATGATCGATTTTAGAAATGGTTGAGGTTAAAGTGCCCAATCACAGAAAGCACTTTATTTTCTCTAGAAAAATCCTTTTTATTATATTTCTATAATGGCATTGGAAGCGAGTGGCTCTGCTTCGACCAGACACCCTACTCTACCATTACGATATTTCAGCGGTGGGGACTCCATACGATACACTATTATTGCCCCAATCATTGTTGTTTTTGAATACATCAATCTATTCGGCTTATTTTTCTCTCAACAGCTCCTCAAGCTAATAAAGAACTACCACATAAAAAGTAATAGAGCCAATAAAGAGGTGTATGTAAGCACAACAAAAGATGTCAGACACACCACAGTGGGATGTACACAGCAAAAAACAACCATGGATTACTACGAATATGTCCCTGGAATTTTAATTAACATCAAGATGGATCCTATAATTTTAATTAACACTTGATTACAGAGCACCTACAAATTTATATATAGTTCGCATGAATCTTATGTGAATCACTTAACTTCATCACTACATCAGACTCAATTATCAGGACACAACTTCACATTCTCTACAAGATAAAAATAAATAAATAAATAATAAATATGAGCATCTGTACGTAGGGATGTTTATCTTAAAAGATAATCCCAAGAATCCCTTGTGTATCTTAAAAGATAAATCCCAAGAATCCTCTCTAGTGTAATTGATTTTATTCTCATCACGTCAGGAAAAATACATACGAGTAAATCAAAAACTGATATGATTATAGCATGCTGATCAAGAGGGCATGTAAAACAAAATAAGAAATGGCAAAGACAAATAAACAGACAAAGCACCACTATATCAACCATGTCCACGGAAAAGGGCACACTATTCTCTGGCCTAATCCAATATTAGCATCCTAGGCATTGATTTCCATCATTGTAATCCCCTTGTATTCATGATCCCTATTACTTTAACCACTTTTTCTTGCAAATATTGACAATCGGGGAAATGACAATATAAAAATGGGTGAGGCACGCTTTAGCAACTGATTAGTATTGTCTTGTTTTTGCTAGCTACTAAGCAACAATTACAGAGGTTTGGTTCTTGACAACTTACATTTTACTAATGGTTATTGGTATTGGGCAACTTGTAGTTTATAGACAGACCTGTATGACTGCACGATATCGCAGAAATGGACAAGTTGTCACTTCAGTTGAACTTCATTTCATATAATAAACACATTAGAAATGGAAAACTCTATGGTTGTGGTAAGAACAAAATATGTAGGCTTAGACACAAATTCCATATACTACCAGTAAATTTGCATAATTGAGGCAGCAATGATATCTGCAAATAATTAATATAAAATCTTTTGTAAAGAACTAAAAATAGAATTTATTTAGCCCTAAGAAAAATATTAAAACTAAAATTAAGACGACCTAACCATTGAACTATAAGTTAGCCTAAATTTTTCATTGAATTTCTATGCTATAATTTTGTACGTTATAAAACAACAAACCATTGAACTATAAGTTAGCCTAAATTTTTCATTGAATTTCTATGCTATAATTTTGTACGTTATAAAACAACAAAGAAAAGCTTGCTTCAACTTTATAATTATATTGCTCTATGCTTGCACCTTTTGATTTTTTAAAAATATCTATAAGCTAGAGGTCTTTATATCCATTTATATAGATACGTAAATTGAATACTTGAATTTTTACATCTAAGTACACCATCAGGCAAAAAAAATGATATATAAAACAATAATTAAAGAAGCATCTATAAAATTTTAGCAAAAAAGTTATTAAACCAAATCAAACAATTCAATACATCGACAATTCAATTCTCAGTAAACTCAGTTCAATTCCAATGAACAGCCTAATAGCAAATTACAAGAGTTCAGTTCAAGGAGAAAGAATAAAAACATTCTCCTTTTGTTAACTTATAAAAAGGAGATTTTACTCCAGTTTATAATTTTACCTATCCAAATAAATTATGTAGGCACAACCTTGACACACAACCCAAAAATACTAATAATCTTAAACAGTGTCAAAACTTCTGATATTTGATAATAACTCGACACGTGTTGGGAACAGCATGGCCATAACAGTACAAATTCATCAAATAACTTTTACCCACCCAAAAATTAAAGTAAACTTAAAAAAAAAAACATAACATCAAAGAAAGATAGCCAAAATGTTTTGCTAATGCCAATTTTAGCCAAAAAGATGCAGTGGTCCATTTACTTCGAATAACCAAACACCTTTTCTATCCACATTGCAAGTGGATCGACAACTTATAACATGAAACTAAGCATTGTACCATTTAGTCCAAAAAGGAATAAATAATTCCAATGCACCACCCACCTATAGTATTATGCATTCCTCATTATTGCACATTATAATGTATTCGTCAAATTTATATTATTACAAAGAATTTTATATTACTCAAAAGTTAGATGATGATTCAAGAAGATGATAAGCTTATCCTATCTTAAACCAATAGCTGGTCCTGGTTATGAGTACATAAAGATTTGATCTTAGGCATTCTACTGCTAGAGGCCCATTAGTAAAGGTCATGGGCCTTACTGTAAATTCAACTTGTTTCTTGTGATTGTTTTAAGAATTACAATTCTCCCTAGACAAGTAAATAGTTCCAAGTAATTGTAAAGTAAGGTTGTGTGGGCAAAGTTGTATCAAAAGATTTTTGTAGATTCTTCCTGTTGGAAAAATACTCCACATATTTGGGTGGGGAAAGGATGCGCATAGAGCTTTCTTACATCCAAAGGTACTAAAATTCTAAAAGATGTGATAAGTGAGCTATCGAATGCTATGACAGCCAACCATTTCTTAGAAAATGATAAGACTATTTGCATTAATAATAATAATAATAATAATATTTTTTTTTATTAGAATACCTTATGTTATTGATAAAACTAAGTCAGTCTTGACTCTTGCTATATTTTTTAAAAGTTTAATAATATTTGACTCATCATCAGAATGACTACTAAATTATCATTGCCAATATTTCATTGGATTAATTATCCTATTTTGATCAAGCACTTCAAATTTATGCATTTACATACAATGTGGAAATTTAATAAGTCAAAATAGATATAAAGGTAAAAAAACTTATCGAATTTGATGATTAAAATTATTTCCAATAGCAGACGCAACAACTGACAGCTCCGCGAACATTTTTCGGCATCCAGATGTAGTCTTCTCCTCATACGTTGAATTAACCTTGTAAATACAAAATTATTGAATAGCATAAATAAATATAGTCGGAAAAAACAAAAAAAAAATAAACTGAAAGATAAATTACAGTAGCAATCGATTGTTCCGACGAGCATCTTTTAGCATTGTGGCGGCGGCAACGTCCTCAAGTAGTAGCGGATTACACCTTCAGGTGTTTTGTTCCACATTTAAAATACTGTATAAATAACTGTAAAAATTATGTGAATATTAAAACTGTAAATAGCCTCACTAACACTGTGTAAGAAAATTAGTAATTACTTGAATTTCAAAACTGTAAATGCACGTACTAACATATTAAAAAAGTGAAAAAAAAAAAAAACTGTATAATAAATAAAATTTTACAATGCAAGAATTACACACCAATATCAAATATATAACATATAGAATAGAGTCAGGTTTCCAATGCAAACTAAAACATGCAAAATTCAATATAATATATAGAAACAAGAAAATGAGGAAAAAGAAACTCAAATACCTGAGACACTCCCTATGAGCTCAAACAAAAACCCTGATTGGTCTTAACACATGATTGTTTTATGGAAATCATTTGCCTTCACTACCCTGCAAGAAAAACTTTTGTACAGGTTACTTTAGTGGGGTGCATAAATGGGGCAGCATATGGTAGCAAATGACAGTAGCACAAATTTGAGAGCCCCATCATGGATTAGAGCACCTGAAAAAAGTCCTTGCCCATATCAATATGAGTAAGATCTATTCTATCATCACACACACACACAAATATTTTCACCTAAATCATATAAATCAGTGCCTAGAGATTATCTATAGCTTGGTTTGTCCTATACCAAAATGCTCCATTAACTTTTTACAGTTTCATCTGGGCACGCATCTTATAGAATAAATCATTTTACTTTCTATAATTGATTCATATTCATGGTCAAGACGTGTGGTCGATACATGTGGTTTGAAGTGACAGGGCGCTAATTCAGGGGAATTTAGTGAACCCCAACACCCATGCGAACTTGTTTGCCAAGGGCCCCCTTTAGTAGGGACGGGCCATTATGCTTGTGCACTTGCACTTTCCTGCTGTGCAAACCTTAATTCACATATAACAAAATACATTGCTCATTTGATGCTATAAAGGAGTAGAGCAAATGTTAAATCCGGCACCCCTCATGCAATACTTATACCGTTGGTTGAGGGTGCTGTCCCTCCTATACTTTAGTTTTGTACTCCAATTAAATTATCCTGCAATTAATTTTTTCACCGGAAAAAATTATAAAATTACATTCTTATGGGGAGAAAATTTTGGGGTACAAGCATGATTTCTGAAAGAAAGAAAAGATAGGTTGACAGGGGCATTGTGCCTCAAGTGGGCAATATGTATCTAATCATTTCTTTCTTCACATTACAAAGGCACTGTTACCAGCAACCCATTTCTTTTCTTTTCTACCTCCTTTATATGATTTTGTGTTGGGACTTGGGAAGATGGAAGAAGAAAAAGAAATTTACACCTTTAAAACTTCGCTATTATAACAAGCTGATGCATCTGAAGTCAAGAACTGAATTCCTAATTGTATAGTACTGGTATAGTATTTGATTATGGTGGAGCCCTAAATTTTTCTTTTCCTGTGACACTATGTTTTAGGTTTGGGGTTTATGGACAACCGGCCATGTTTAACTATTGCTTGCTAGCACTTGCTTCTGAGAACGATCATCTTACAATACAGTACAGTGTTTCAACAGTCGCACTCCTTGAGCAAAAAGAAGCAATTTATTTTGTTTAACTGTGAGATGAAAAGTTGATTCTACTACAACTCTGCAAGTTTTTACTTCAATTATGGTGATAGAACACTAATATTCTTAGTCCCCTGCAAAACAGGGAAAGCACATGAACTGACAGGCATCCTATTGAAGTCTTAGATTAGTCTATCAATATAATGGATTTCGTCATTTGGTCAAAAACTTTAAGAAAGGATGATCAAGTTTGTGGGGATCATTCCTTCACAGTTTGAAGCATTCTCACAACTACAGTACCAAATTATAAAACTCAGTCACTAGACTTAATGAAATCGACGTAAGGCCAAGTATCCTGATTGACACCGCATACATGTACATGATAGGAAAACTAAATTAATAATTAAAATAGAGCAATCTAACTGAGCAAACCACAAGGATTAGTAAAACAGGGTGAAGTTGCATGTAAAATTATGTTGAATACTCGCTGCTGAAGTAGATTGGAGGACAATAACACTTGCACAAAAGGATTTACACTAGTACAGTACTGAAAAAGGGGGAGTTATCAGTTATGCATGTATTCCACCACAATCATCTCGTGCTTGTCAGTCCTCAATCTCAAAAAATACTTTGTTTGTAATAAAAATGTATCAAGAGGAAGTGTGAGGGGAAAAACACTAAAAAGATAGGTAGCAGTATCCAATTGAGACAAGAAATGAAAGAGAGGTCAAATTGTGTCTAATGATAATGTTGACTATTAAGTGCGGCCACTCAACCTGACCCAACATTTAGAAGAGGGTATGCATATTACCTCAATAAGAATTTCTTGATGCATTGCTTTTTATTGTATATACTAGTGGGGAATACTGCATTTTAAGGTACATCCACACGCTCATGACCTTCAAACCCCACCACCAGCCGTACAAGATTTTTTGAGCTGCGTACAATTGGACATGTTGAGTGGCTCATACTAACACAGAAATAAATAATTCTACTAAAGGAAAGTGACCTCAATGACTTGTTTGAGCACAAGACTTTCCACAATGATCTGTCTGAATGGTTTCCTGTTCTCGTGCAAAATCATCTATACTATTGGGCCTTTGAGGATCTGGCAGCCTGAAAACCGTACTCTGTGAAATACTAAGCAAGCTGCAAACATTAGTGATGGGAATAATATACAAGTCACACTCACTACCTGTATAAGTCAGTTAAAGTGCTACCTCTGGGAAATCATCAGTGTAAGAGAAAATTACAGAGCAATGAAAATGTAGAAGCAATCAAATTTATCAGATCTTCATGATCCAAATTACACAGAATTCTAACAAAATAATCAAATACAAATGTAATTTGGCCATAAATTTTAAAAACAATGCAATAAAAGTCAGTATGATCCATTTAGTGACTAATCATGTATTTTGCACTTACCGCGCTTTATAACTTACTAATTATACAGGCACTAAACACGTATGTCGAACTTACCCAACATTATACTTCGCCAATCAAAATTGAAATTTCTACATCGACACCTGCTCAGCTCTAAATCTAGTGTCTAAAACAGACCTCACTCCAAAGCACTCTGTGATACAAATACATGGTTCCAGGCAGGGATCCTGACTTCTAATTTGAAATGATGAAATAAAAAATAATAATAATAATAACAAAAAAGATCATATACAGTTATAGTATATTTAAAGATGTCTTAAGAAAAAAGGTTGTTCAGTCATCAACTTATCCACTTTTAAGGAAAAGGGTTTCCATCCCAATCTCCTGTGTGGTTTCCTCCATTCAAGTATGGCATTGGTTATTGCTGACTAAAAACATATATAGAGCAGAAAACATCTTTAAATGGATAGTAGTTAACACCATTTCTAAATTGACCTCTCATCCCATTTTTCTCCTGGTCTTTTTCCATCCACATTTCCTAGAATCAATTATTAGACCTTCCACAATTCTCTCCCCCCTCGTGTGTGTATGTGGGTGCGTGCCTGTGTCCCTCCCATCTCCTGATGTAAGCACTCTTTTATTTAAATAAGATTATCCAATAACAACTAATGTATTGGAATAGTTTTTATGGATTTCCTAGACGCTGGTCCATGCAATCATGAAACATATCATAATCGCACCCTTTGCAGCATAGTATTATATATCTATCTTGTTTACTTAATGCAAATTCAGAAGCTATATCTACACAACACAGAGGTCTGGCATCACAGTCCTGTGATACCAACTTTGTGGAAGGAATGCTACTGTACCCTAATTTTATGATGTGGGACCAAAGAACCTTTTTTCCATTCTATAAATTCATCTCTTCCAATTAGTTTCCCTTCGCCTTCAACTACAATAGAATTCCTGACATCCTGTGGACACCAACCACTAAGCAATGCAACCCAGTGAGGTTAGTGAGCTCCATTATCTATTTCCTTCAAACCCAACACTTCTCCCATCTCATTTTCCCTTCACAGGGATGAATACACCAGTATATGACTTTAACAGATTATCTAACCCTCATCAACTTCAAATCACACCCCATGTTCAAGCATTCAATCCCCAGACAACATGCCTCAGCAGCAACTCCACTTCTGATGAAGCAGATGAGCAACAATTAAGCATAATAAACGAGAGAAAGCAAAGAAGAATGATTTCAAACAGAGAATCTGCACGACGATCACGCATGCGCAAACAAAAGCACTTGGATGAGCTTTGGTCTCAGGTCATCTGGCTCCGAAATGAGAATCACCAACTCATAGACAAGCTGAACCATGTATCAGAGCGTCATGATAAAGTTCTTCAGGAAAATGCTCAACTGAAAGAAGAAGCATCAGAGCTTCGTCAAATGTTTTCTCACATGCAGCTCAACAGTCCTTATCCTAGCCTGAGGTTGGATGAGGAGCCATGTGATGAGTTGGTTTAAGAAGAAAAATACTCAATCTAGTCTCACCCGTTCCTGATTCTTGCTGATAACAAAACCTTAAATTTTTGTCTTCTCTTTAGTACGCACTCTCTTTATCTCAGTTGATGAGAAACGGTCTCCAGCCATGCTGTATGATGAGATAAGATTATTGTTGAAATAAAAATTTCTTACTACATACAAGGATTGCATCAAGGAGCTCAAAGTGTGTAATTCAACTTATATCCTAACATTTCTCATACAGCAGCAAGGGAATGCTTGTCTATGCATGTAGGCACAGGGACAGACTCATCATGCACAAGAATAAACTTACGAAAAAACTGAACTAGGAATTGCCTGGTCAGGATATTTTAGATTCTCAAGTCCATTGCATTCAAATATGACAGTGATTTCTTAACTTTAAAATACACATATACAAAATGAAAATGCAGTTAAGAAACAGAGAACTGAGAATTGAGTTTATGCAATATTTCCAAAAGAAGAAAGCAACCCTCTCAGGAGAATTTTGGTGTGAAAAAGATTTGCATATGTACATGAAAACAAGAGGAAGCAAAGGAAATACAGCTCATCAAATACAGACCAGACTTCTTACTATAAGCATTGCCACCAGCAGAAACAGTATGTAGGTGGTAAGATCATCTTTGAGTTTCTCTAGCTTCAGGAAAGGCCATGGCAGTTAGTCTCTGTCTTCTACAATCTTTTCATCGGAGGGGAGTTGTCACACTTCACCGATTTCACAATCATCGGTTGACTACATATCAGTTGTACCGTAATCAATTGTGTGAATTTTTTCAAAATTTTGTTTTATCAAGACCCTAGCTCTTATGCATTGTAACTCGTATACTGTTTATTCCTTCGCCTTGTATGCCTTCAACTAAAGCGCAGTGATATGAAGATGCAATAGTTTTAATGGAGTGGGCGTAGAACATTTGGCTCTCTTCTGACCACAATATTCCACCAACTGGATTTGATGAAGTTGGTGGTTGCAGCAATAAGTTTCCCACACTTAATGCCTATTCACTTACGCTTTTATGAAAATTTAAACTAATAAAAAATTAATAAATGGCAATTAGTAAGTTCATGAGGTGGTATTAAGAAATAATCAATAAGTGGCCGGCTTGCTATAGTTTAATCTGCTAATAATAGATTCCAATTCATGTTCACCAGTCATTTGCAGTTGCTAACAACATGATTTAGTGTTCTCATTAATAAATAAAGATATCAATACCACTTGAACGAAATTTTGACAGTCGTAAATGAAACAATTAAAATAAGAAAATAGTGCTTATCCATTGAATAATGCATGCATCGTTGTAACAACTGTTCCAGGTAAAACAAAAAAAAAAACCACATGCACACACACAGACACATTGAAACAAAGGGGACTCAACGAGATCAGATATTACTAGGAATCGGAATCTTACATGTCCGCCTGCAGAAATACTTTTCGAAAATCTACGCAATAAATGATGTTCGATCCGCCGATTCCGAATACTCAAATTCCAGATGCTCCAGTCCTGTTAGCCTCATTAACTTCGCACGACTAATTCGTCGTCACAGTTTCCGGATGATCTGTAACGCCGCCCATCCATAAATTTTCAACTCGTCACACGTTTCTAAATACCACTTAACTTCTCAAAACGCACAATGTTTTCACTAACTCCAGCGCTTAGCAACTCGGGGAATTTCAACCTTGATCTCACCCGCTGCCATTGCTTTCGCATCAAATTCCACTTTTACGGCCCAAACTCGTCCCGTAGCCGCGCGAATTCGGATGAACTTCATAGATCGACAGCGCCAATTTCAAAACCGAGAAATGGGGACCAGCGCGACCTTATTTATTGCGGGGCGGGTCAAAAAGGGATTATGGGCCTCGGCCTACTGGGCCATACAAGCCGAGTAAAGTAGCGCTTAGCCCAGACCAATTAAAAGGCCCAATTTAAAAAGCCCAATACTGATGTGTCTACCTCAACTAACTCTAGTCCATGTTTTCTCCATTTCAACTAATTCCCACTTACCCACCCGCTATAAATAGTTGAAGCACGTCCGAACGTATGCCACTCCAACCAACTCCTATAAAAAAATAAATAAATAAATATTTATTTACGTGGATATTTTGAAAATAAATTATATTGTCTGAAAAACAATTTTTTTTTTTAATGGAGTTGAGTGTTATTTTCCAATGGAATGACCTGAGCTGGTATAGTGATGAGATTGTCGATTCGATGGAATTTGTGATACAAGACATGTCCATATTATTATTTAAAATTATGTAATTATAAATAAAATACCTATATAAACGTCAAGAACTATGTGAAATAAATTAGATTCATTAAAATTTGAATCAAACATTGAAATTTTAACTTGAAATAATGGTTGGAATAAATGCCCAATCTTATTTATAGGAATAAGCAGAAAGTCACGTGCCAACAACATCCAATTGGACAAATTGTACCTAAAAAGTTGGTCCCAATAAATTTGGCAGAGGTAATAAAAGTCCGCCAATTTAATTAATTTAGTTGGTTCCCATCAACCCTGTTTGGACCATCTATAATTTTTGTTAAATTACTTACTGATAATATTAAATTGACAATATAATTATAATTTATATACGTGAGTTATATATAAAAATTCATATGTAGAAAGTAATTACTTTTCCGTTATCATTTAGCGTGATCATCTTTTTATTTTATTTTTCTTAAAAGAATAATGTTATTTAAAAAAAAATTAATTTTTAAATTTTTTAAAATTTTAATTAAATTAATTAAATATTTTAATTTTAAATTACTTTTATTATACACTAATTATTTTAATTAATATATTTTTTATTATTTAAAAAAAAAAAAAAAAAAATGGAAGGTGGGGGGTGGTCAAAGTGCTGTGACTGGAAGGATCCTTCAAAAAAGAACTATTAATAATATCATAATATAAATGGGACAAGTAAGCGGCCAAATTTGACCTCATCAGAATCAGAGAATTAGAGAAAGGTTCATCGACGCTGGCTGCTAATTGCTGTTTTTCAAAGTCGAGTGGCCAAAAATTCGAGGTTTGTTTGAGGATTTAATTTGATTTGTGTTGTTCTTGATTGTTTCTTGTCTGTGATTCTTTTTTTTTTTGTTGGTCTATGTTTTTCGTTGATCTGATTGTGGAAGGTGCTGTCTTTCTGAGTTTGTAAGGATCGTTTTGTGGAATTCCTATTTGATGATCACTTCTTCGCTAGGATAGGATCGTTCCACGTTGTCGTTGTGCTAGTGTGGTTTGATTTGAGTTAGATCGGATTGAATGAGATGCAGATTTGTTAATCGCCATATTTCCTCTGATATTATCTTTGATCAGCATTATAGATCTCATTTAGCATGAGTTTCAAACAGGAAGTTAATCCTGAGATCCTCAAACAAGTAGATGCCTAGTTTTAGCTCTGACTCCCAATAGAATGAATATATGCAGTTCATAACTTTTTTGTTTGTGGTTCTTTTTCTTCATCATCGTAACTATGCATGAGTTATTGTGGAAGAGGCTGAGATTTTACTTAGGTTTCTGTTTGATGAGTTCTCAATTTGTTAAATATTGATAAAAGTGGAGTTCCTTTTTTTCGGATTTTTGGCTTGTGTTTTCATTGCTTCATTGGATTACTTAAATGGACCTGATTCTGAATCGATTATGTTTTCATGATTCAAATATCTTCTTGTGCATTCAGAATTGGCAGTATGTTGTTATTTTTGTTCCTTCTATGAACCATTGATAATCAAGAGCTTTCAAACTACAAAAATTAGTAGATCTTTAGCAATCTTTCCTTTATGTGTTGGGATAGCTTTGAGATTCCAATAAGATGGCTTTGATTACTGGCAGGAAGTAACAATGGCCCTGCAATCACCGAAACTAACCAGGATAGGCCTGGCTGGTCTTGCTGTCATGGGACAAAACCTAGCCCTCAACATTGCTGAGAAAGGCTTCCCCATTTCAGTTTACAATCGAACTACATCCAAGGTTGATGAGACGGTTGAGAGAGCAAAGGTTGAAGGAAATCTTCCAGTGTTTGGTTTCCATGATCCTGAGTCATTTGTCCTCTCAATCCAAAAGCCTAGGGTGATCATCATGCTCGTCAAGGCTGGGGCACCTGTTGATCAGACAATCAAAACGCTGTCTGCTTACATGGAGAAAGGTGATTGCATCATTGATGGTGGAAACGAGTGGTACGAGAACACTGAAAGAAGGGAGACAGCAATGGCGGAGTTAGGTCTCCAGTACCTTGGCATGGGAGTTTCTGGCGGCGAAGAAGGTGCTCGAAATGGACCTTCTCTGATGCCCGGAGGGTCCTTTGAAGCCTACAAATATATAGAGGACATCCTTCTTAAAGTAGCAGCTCAAGTTCCTGACAGTGGTCCCTGTGTGACATATATTGGGAAAGGAGGATCAGGAAATTTCGTTAAGATGGTTCACAATGGAATCGAATACGGAGACATGCAGCTTATTGCTGAGGCCTACGACGTGCTGAAATCCGTAGGAAAACTCACAAATGAGGAGCTAAAAAATGTCTTCTCGGAGTGGAACAAAGGCGAACTTCTCAGCTTCTTGATTGAAATCACCGCTGATATTTTCGGAATCAAGGATGATAAGGGAGATGGCTATCTTGTCGACAAGGTCTTGGACAAAACCGGGATGAAAGGTACCGGTAAGTGGACTGTCCAGCAAGCAGCAGAACTTTCAGTTGCAGCTCCTACAATCGAAGCTTCTCTAGACTCTCGATTCCTCAGCGGTTTGAAAGAAGAAAGGACTGAGGCTGCAAAAGTGTTCAAATCTGATGGCTTCAGCGACATTCTAACCGAACAAGAAATTGATAAGAAGAAACTGATCGACGATGTCAGGCAGGCACTTTATGCCGCGAAGATATGCAGCTATGCTCAGGGGATGAATCTGATTCGCGCAAAGAGCATCGAGAAGGGATGGGACCTGAAGCTTGGGGAGCTGGCCAGGATCTGGAAAGGAGGCTGCATCATTCGTGCCATTTTCTTGGATCGCATCAAGAAGGCGTATGACAGAAACGCGGATCTTGCTAACCTCCTGGTCGACCCAGAGTTTGCGAAGGAAATCATCGACAGACAATCTGCTTGGAGAAGAGTCGTGTGCCTTGCAATCAACTCGGGCATCAGCACCCCAGGTATGTCTGCTAGTCTTGCTTATTTCGACACTTACAGAAGGGAGAGGCTGCCGGCGAACTTGATCCAAGCTCAACGAGACTACTTTGGCGCCCACACTTACGAAAGAGTTGATGTGCCGGGATCTTTCCATACCGAGTGGTTTAAGATGGCTAAAAAGAAAGACAACTGAGCTCGATCATCCGGCTGCGAATCTTCCTGAATAAAGGCTGGCTCCAACGTCGCCCTACCGACACCACAAACTGTGAGAAGTTTCATGTCTTGTTTCTTCAATCAATTGACTTTAAAAACTAAGACACCCTTTTTCTGCTTTCCTAATTATACAATCCATCTTTATACTTCATCTTCATTTTGCTGATATGTTTAGGCTTTTCCATTATCATTTACTTACAGAATAGAAATATATGGGAAAAGAATTTCAGAAAAAAAACCAGAAGTGTATTTATTTGGTCAAGAAAGAGAAGTACAAATCATCACCATGGCTCCAAACAGCCAGGGAAGAAAGCAATCAAATCAAGGATTGCCATAAAACAACAAATCAAACATAAACTAAAACAAATTAACAAGCTACTGAGAGATGGATCAGAGAAAGAGACATAAATTGATGATCAAATCAAAAAGTAAAGAAGTCATTTGTTCATCCCAGTTGCATTCTTCACAGATTCGACAGCATCTTGTGCCTTGGCCTGCACTTGCTGCCCAGCCTACATCCCGAGAACAAAACAACCATCATCGTCATCATCAGCAAAACCATCGAGAACGAGGATTCTTTCCTTTTTCTTCTTTTTGTTTTTATAAATTAGGAAAGAAAGTAATTAGAGTACCTGCTGCATAGACTCCACGGTTGATTGTGCAGCATTGCTGACCTTGTCCATCACCTGGTTGCCCTTCTCCTGCACAAATACATACATACATACATATATATATATATATGAAGACAAGAATGTGTATGTATGTATATCAAGTGTTTGTTTGATTTCTGACCTGGGCTTGGCCCTTGGCCTGGCCAGCTTGGTAGCTCACGTTGGTGGAGTTATCCATGATCAAAGATGAAGAAAAAGAAAAAGAAGGTTGTAAAACAACTTGAGTGAGTGCAGATGGTGTTTTGTTTACTTTGGTTGCTGCTGGTGACGAATGAAAATGGTGGCACTGCTATTTATAGCATTTAGGCCCCTCTTCAGAGGCTGCCACGTGTCCCTTTACGAAGAATGCTACCCACCCCCCGCGGATCGGAGGAACTCATGTCCTTCAATTAATCTCCACCCTTCGTTTACTGCTTCCTCAATCTATGGAATGCCATTGCCATTGCCATTGAAACATGTCTACTTTTGGAATTTTTGGTATGACATTGAATAAAAACAAATACAGTTTTTATATAATATAATTATATATTGTTGAACAATGAAATTAATTCTAGTGATTTTTTTTTTTTGCATGTAACCAGAATTTGTAGGCAAGTGTAAGTTCATTTGGGTGTGTATATAGAATAGTTTGACATTATGGAGTGCAACATTATATGCTATCAGTTAATATTGTGTCTGCTTATATTCTATATATACTACTTACCAATCTACATATATTCTATAACTACGAACTATGTACCTACAAAAACAAAAGGTTTTACATTTTAAAACTTAAACATGCTAATATTTTGTTTTTATATAAATATCTATCATATATAAAAAATTTAATATAGAGTTAATATCTAGATATATTAGTAAAATGATGCGTCTAAAAATATTATTGCACTCGACTCATCTCCCCAAAGACCATATTTTCTCTATTATTACAAATCGTAAGCAAAATGATTTTTTTTTTTTTTTTTTTTTCTCAAATAGTTAAATTTTTCAAAAAATAGTGTTGTAGAATTATATTTTCTTTAACAAAATAATATTAATAATAGTAAATCTATATATGATGCATCCATGGAAATACATGAATAATCATCTATGGAACTCTTATTTGAATACGTTGGACTTGTGATCGTGAAGTCATTTATTCAAATTCCAACGCCTCGGTTTTGCCTATCATACATTTGTTGTCAAAATATATCAAACTTTATTGTCATGTCATTTTATTTGACTTTGTGTTATTTATATCAACAATATTTTACTGTATATCAAATCATGATATAATAAAGATAATTTTTTATTAGTATAAAACTGTGTATAAAACTGTTAATATGGAGTTATAAATTTTAAATAATTTCAACAAGATTACACAATTTATTTGACAATTTTGTATTATGTTAAATTCTTTTTTTTTTTTTTTTCTTTTATAGAATAGCTATACTTTTAAATAAAGTATGTATAAATAATGAACTTATAAATGATATAAAAAATAAAAAATAAAAAATATTTAAATCTTAAATTTTTATATAGATTTTAAAATATTTTGGAACTTACTATTCACTTAAAAATTAAATAAAAAAGTATATACTCTAGAAATTTAAAGTTGTATATCCCTACTTATTTGTCTAGATAATTTTTTAAGGAAAATAATCAGTTTAGGCACCTCATGGCAATACTCTCTTCATTAAGCAGAAACACTACTGGCTGAACATAGTGACACGCTCAAAAACAAGAAATCCTCAGCTGTTCACATCAACCAAATAAGGTATCCGAGATGTCTTCGATACAAAAATTCAGTCTAACAGTCACAGAGAGAACTTTACTCTAAAAGTAGAGCCCAATTTATTCACCCATTCTCCAACACTCCTTTCATTTATAACACATAATAAAAAGCAATTTCAGAAATTTAAAAAGTAGTCATCAAACCACACTCCAGTTTGTTACATATGAATGCATGTATTCTTTCTTGTATCATTCATCATCAACAATCCTCACTTCTTGTCTCCTCATCTTCATTCTCACTCCAACAGCATTGTAGAATCGAGCGTGGCGATACGCAACCCTTCGCACTGACGAAGCTGGCGTAGATCATCGATCCTCCATTGTTGCCAACCACCTCAAGGCTACTTTCTCCACAGGAATATCCATCAAGTTTAAGTGGGAAGTCGGCTGCAAGTTGGCACTCCAACGATGCGTGCAAAGACACAGAAAACTTTGCTGGCTGGAAGCATGCCACCACCCTCTCCAGCAATGAGGTCAAGTCCAATTCTTTGAAGTTATAGCCAACAGTTTCGAAACTGGCGTAGCTGAAACCATCTTCAGGGGTGACATGGATGGTAGAGACAGCGCTGCCTTCGATTGCATTCATGGAGTAGCCGCAGGGATCGAATTCAAAGTCGCAGATGTCGGAGCCTGGGAGTATATTCCTAATGCCAGAAGCTTCAGTCATGGCAGCTGCAGAGGAGGACTGGTTCTTGAAAAAGACAGAGGCCTTCTTCCGATCCAAATTGGTCATGCACATCTCCAGGGTGTAAACAGAGTCAGAGTCCATCGACGGTTTGGCACATGCAGATGCAGAGTACACGTGCCATTTCTCGTGATCATCGGCACCGCACATCTCGTAGGCTTTGCTGGCCAGGCCGAGTCGGGAGAAATGAATGTTGAGAACATTAACTTCTTCGGAAAAGCTCCGGTGGGGATACGGCTGAGCACCGGGAAAGATGAAGCTTCCACGAGTGTATCTAACAGATTCCACAGTAAGTTCGAGCATGTCGGCCATCTCGAGGATGGGAGGAATAGAGAGCAGCAGTTTAGTAGTCCCACAAGTTTTGATTATGATCTTGTATGGGTAGACAAAGAGGCTGGACTCTGAAAGGACATAGGAGTCGACTTCATCGTTCTTCAGGGAGGAGACAATCGTGCATTCTGCAGGATCTAAGATTTCATCCAACTGATATTTAGTAAGCGACCGGAGACCTAAAGGGTCGGACAGTGAGTCAGGGCCAGGCTCAGAGAAAGAAATCTCGAGCCTTTTTTCGTAGCCTTCGAATCCGATTGCTGAGGGAGGGTAGGACATGGCCATGGGGCTGGCTTAAGCAGAGGGTAGGAAGAAAAAACAATGATGAGGAAGGAAAGAAGAAAAGAAAAAAGGATTGCCAAAGAAGAAGAAAACAAAGGATTGCAGAATTTAATTATTGGGAAGCTATTCTAAGGAGCTGGAAGTGGCTGGTGTAACACTCTGGACTATCTCAGGATGGCTTTCGAACGCACTGCATTGAAGAACCATACAGAATGATAAGATTAATCAATGATTCATAACATGTATGAAAAATTAGGAATCAGAGAGTGCATGGATATTTTTTGGTTAAAACTTACGTTGGAGTATGCAGCAGATCTGAATTTCTTGATTCCTCCGTGTGGTCGAACGTCCTCAATGCTATATCCAAGGGGAGCTTCGTAGAGTAGGGATTTACTACTGGACTTTTTCTTGCGACCTTTTGACTCCATCAGATCATCCAGTTCCCTCTGCCACATCAATCAATCGAGATTATTCAGGACATACTAGAAACAATAGGAGGAATGACATAAGTTAATAACATTACATATGTTGTGTATTTTGTTAGTAACTCAAAACAACTTTTGGCTATAAAGACAAAAGATGGTGCAAAGGAATGGGGAGAAAAAAGCAACTTTGATGATGAGGTTTCAACACAGAAAACCGTAAAATGAATCCTGTCTGGGGTACATCCACTGTGTACAAACCTAGATGTTTCTAAAGTATAATAATGAACAATAGCCATTTTAATACCTCCACTTGAGATGGAAATACAAGTAAAATGCAATTCACCAGCAAAAACATGAGATAAGTAAATAGGTAAAGAGTATAAATTCAGTCAATGATTTGTCAACAACACTTCACAGCCTGGTCAATAGACAATAGTCAAACTCGGCTACTCAATACGTACGCTAAAAGATAAAAGTTGTATCCTAGGTCCAAAATCACAGCCAATGCTGCTATGATACTCAATTAAAAATACCATGATAATGACGACGATTAAAGGAAAACCAATCAATTGAAGAAACTGATGCACACAATTCAGAATTATCAAGAATGTAAAACCCAAAACACGTGTGCAGAAAAAAGATCATATACAAAACCTTGAACATAACATATATTTTAAGGCACAACATTGCATCGATCTGCTTTATGAATCTGCCATTTCTGATGGCGAGAATAGCAATAATAGAATAAAAACCAATCAAAATTCCAGCGACTGATTCAATCAGATGCGGTAATCAAGAGAACGCGATACCATGCATACATATATACAAGTACCGCACGCAAAATCAAAAGGATCGTAATAAACATTCCCATTGGAGAAATGCATATACTTACAAAAAAATACCAATGGATGTGTCAAGGAGGGCGATAATCGACCAAAACTAAATTTATTCCAGAGATCTTCAACAGGCAATCCTGAAAACACAAATTAAGAAAAAAAAAAAAAAATCTCATTAGGCGGCTATAAAAACAATAGATCCAAACCAAACGCCGATGATATCTCACGAGCAGTAGAGAGAGAAGACGTTCAAACCTTTCAAATCCAAAGTACGAGTATTGGAGAGGAAAATAAACCAAAACCTAAATTTGACAGTTCTCTCGATCGAATGAGAGATCGGAGAAGCATTTATAGAAGTTTCTAGATTTCGCTCATGCGGCGAAACGTATTTGTAGAAGAAACCGTTGGTGAACAAGTCCTTCGATAATACTGGTAATCTGGTTGAGGCATTCAAATAATCCCTCCGCTTAATTCTGCCGCTATAATAATGTTCTTTGACTAATATACCCCTCTCTTGCTTTATCGCCAAGACATGTGAAATGGGCCTTTTGCGGCCCACTAAAATAATATAGGCCCAAAACATTAATGAGACCGAATTAAGAAGCCCAATACTATAAGTAGTTCCATGACTGATTCAGCCCTACGGAGATGGATCACACACCCAATCAGCTGACCTGACCATGGTGGGATATAGCTCTGGTGAAGAAGAAGAAGAACCAAATATTGACTCTTATCTTGGACCCAAGGAGTGAGGTCATCTCTTCCGGAGACGATTAAGTGTCGTAAACAAGCTGTTCGATCCGTTCGTTGGAAGGATGAGGTAATTTTCAGTTTCGAGAGTGCATTTAGTTGCTGTGTTTGGAGTAAATTGAGGCAAACTTTGTTCTGGTTTCATGGGAAATTGTGGTTGTTATTCTTAGAGAGATGGCATCTTTTCCTCTTGCTTGGAATAATATTTGTGTTGGGAAATCCAGCTTGTCCTGGAAACAGAGAGCTCTTACTTATTCGGCGCCAAATAATTGTATTCCCTTGGTTTCGAATCCCTCTTTTTTGAGTTATTGCTCTCGTAGAGTTACTCGTAGGTTGTTGTTGTGTAGCAATAGGACTAGTTTTGTGGCCAGTGACAAGATTCATGGCGATGCTCGTTTGGTTAGAGAAGGAAATAGTGAAGTGAGAAAGAAATTTTCTTTGAGATTGCGCCCTAGGTTAAGATTATTGATTAGAAAATTGAAGAAGAGTTCAATCAGGTCGTTTTTAGAGGGCTTCTTGACATTTCTTCGGAAAAATGTTAGGAGAGTGACGTTTTCTGCTTCTGTATCAGTTGTCTTAGGCCTTTGCTTTTTGTTTCTGAAAATTACTGCAATGCCAACTCCAAAATCCGTTCCCTATTCTGACCTGATAATGAGCCTTCAAAATGGAAATGTGGCTAAGGTTTTGTTCCAGGAGGGCACTCGTTCCATATACTTTAATTCAAAATCATGGAGTGATGAATGTGATGAAACCATTCCAGATGTTAGTGGCAACAAAGATGTTGAACCAGGTAATCAGGCTGAAAGGAATATGCAGGCGAAACTTAACAAGCCTACGAAAGCATCCCCAGCCTGGGAATTTTCGACAAGGAAGATCGATCATGACGAGAGCTACCTCCTTTATTTGATGAGAGAAAAGGGGACTATGTACAGTTCAGCACCTCAGTCAGCACTAATGGCCATGAGGACTACATTGATCACAGTGCTCACATTGTGGATACCGTTGGCTCCTTTAATGTGGCTTCTTTATCGACAGCTTTCTGCAGCGAATAGTCCAGCCAAGAAAAGAAGGCCTAGAAATCAATCGATTAACTTTGAAGATGTGGAGGGTGTCGATACTGCAAAGGTGGAGCTGATGGAGGTATGCTATTTCCCTACTAACAGAAATCATCTTGAATAAATTGTTTTGACGAATCACCTGATTTTTAATGTTTGTTCTACTTAATAGATAGTATGTTGCCTCCAAGGAGCTATAAACTATAGTAAGCTAGGCGCCAAATTACCCAGAGGCGTGCTGCTCGTAGGTCCTCCTGGAACGGGAAAGACATTATTAGCACGAGCCGTTGCTGGAGAGGCGGGAGTGCCCTTCTTTTCAGTTTCTGCTAGTGAATTTGTTGAATTATTTGTTGGTAGAGGGGCTGCCCGGATAAGGGACCTTTTTAATGTTGCTCGGAAGAATGCACCATCAATTGTTTTCATCGATGAGCTTGATGCAGTTGGTGGAAAGCGTGGAAGAAGTTTCAACGATGAACGAGACCAAACACTGAACCAGGTATCCCCTGTTACATAATTTCATCTCATTTCAGCGCAAACCGGCTGGCCCTTATGATTGTTTGTCGGTGTCCAGTTGCTGACAGAAATGGATGGGTTTGAGTCAGATACAAGTGTGATTGTAATTGCAGCAACAAACAGACCCGAGGCCTTGGACCCGGCTCTGTGTCGACCCGGTCGATTCTCAAGAAAAGTATACGTGGGAGAGCCGGATGAAGACGGAAGAAAGAAGATTTTGGCTATACATCTGAGAGGCGTTCCCCTAGAGGAAGACATCGATCTTATTTGTAATCTTGTCGCATCTCTTACACAAGGCTTTGTCGGGGCTGATCTTGCCAACGTTGTCAACGAGGCAGCCCTGCTTGCAGCTCGCCGAGGTGATATGAACTTTTGTCCTCCAGAAATTCCTTATTCACGTATAGAGTTTGGATTCTGTATCTCTAAACTTGTAGCCGTGTTGAATCAAACAGGGGCTGAGGATGTATCTCGGGAAGACATCATGGAAGCTATCGAAAGAGCCAAGTTCGGAATAAATGGCAGGCAAACGGCTCCCGGAACGATTAGCAAGGAGCTCGGGAAGCTATTTCCATGGCTGCCTTCTCTGATGAGCAGAAACGAGAATGCAAGAGGAGATGGAATGCAAGGAGGATCTCTAGGGTACCAAACACTCAGCTAAAATTTTTTTGGTTTATATTGCAACTTTGAATGGATATTCACGTGCTGTGTTACTTTTGTTCAAAAACCTACCATAAACTAAAGGCCTGAAATTTGCTATAATCTGTTTTGTTGTATACATCAACCAATATCACTACCTGTTTTATTACATAAAGTAAAAACAAGAAAAAGAAATCGACCTAATATCATGGTGCAGTTCATCAATCTCTATGTACAAACCCAAGCTGATCGACGAACTTAACCATGACTAAAAACCTAGGCAAAACAGCACACCCTCCAATTACAGTTGGAATCACTTCCATTATTCTTGTCAGCAAATTAAGTTTGAATAGCTACTGCATCACCACCCTCCCCACGGATTCCTGATTTCAGTCTCCTCACCCATTCCTTCCTGCACAGGCAAAGCAAACACCAGTTTATCAGACAGTATCTACTAAGGTCAAATTTGCAAGAGAAATATTAAGCATTGTTAATTACTTCATGAGATCTCTATCAAAATTCGAAGTACCCAGAACCGCCGTGTTCTCCTCTGCCCGTCGTAGTAGATACGGCATGATCTGCTCGACCGGTCCGAATGGCAAGTACTTGCTAACCTTAAAACCGGCGTTCTTAAGCCCGAACGAAAGCGCATCCGACATTCCATACAGCTGAGCAAATTGCAGGGAAGGATCTTCTTTCGCAATCCCCAATTGTCTTGCTTTACCAGCAATAATATAACCTAAAAATAGCACACCTCATTTAATCGATAGATACAAATATACATTCATACATGCAAAGACGAGCTATTAATTAACCAAAGTTGAATTAATTACCAGATTCAATGTTGTGGGTCGCCATAACTGCTGAAGCCTTCCCCTTGGCGACCTCGTTTAACAAAAAGTCTGCACAGTCGTTGTAAGAATCATGAGTTCTCTCAAGAACAGGGTGAAGTGGGTGATCAGCCCTCAAATTGGCGGCCAAGATTTTCTCGGACGACATGTAGGCGCCCCTCACCAATTTGATCCCCAACGGCACTCCGATTCGATCGGCGGCTCCCATAGCCGATTTCAACCTCTCAAAAGAATCCTTCAAATAAGCCTGGATTGTGTTGAATATCAAAGGCTTGCCGTCGGGGAGCCTGTATTTGATTGCAGCAGAATAAGCAAGGTAATCTATGGCGGGTTGGGTAGTTGTTTCTTCGGCGTCGATTAACAGAGGTACGTTTGCTTCTACACTCCTCTCGCAGATCGTCTCCAGTCTGGCGATGGCTATTTGAAGATCTCTTTCTTCTTCTGGAGTCAGAGGTGCAGGGCATCTTATCGTGTGGTATAATGGGCTGATGTCTGTGAAAATCGGCAATGTCTCCTGCTTCCATGGCAGATCAATCGAGCCACGCTTGTACTCCCATCGGAGTAGATCGCTTAGTCGTCTCAGCAGCGATGTTGGGCAGATTGCAGTGATTTTCACCACGATGAAGCTCACCTGCGCCAAAATTAGAAATTAGGGTTTCTGATTGCATGAAATTAGGATTTCTATTGTTATATTAATTTGGGGCTCACGCATTGAGAATTGGGGAGTGATTTGGTCCATTCAATGGAGGCAAGGAATTCAGCCAAATTCCGGTCGCAGGAGAGGTTATCGTCGGAGTGTTCCAAGCCGTAATCCAACATAGCATTAAGGCCAGTATCCCAAAGCATCTGCACAGTCCGGCCGGCCTCCAGCAGGTCCTTCCCGCCGCAGAAATGGCCGAAGAAGGTCCGCTCGGTGAACCCAAGAATGGCGGCCTTGGCGATCGGGTCGTCCATGGCACGTGAGTTGATCACCCACGACCCGACGGCGGCGACAGAGCCCTTCGCCGCCACTTTCAGCGTCAGCCACGACTTCATTAGCTTCGCCGTCGTGAAGGAGGCGTAGAGCTTCGTGTGGTCGTCGAGGTCTATGGTCTTAGGCAGCGGCGGCGGCGACGGCGGAGGCGGCTGTTTGGGAGACTGTTTCAGCGACGGTTCCGGGTGGCCGGCGCCGCCGGAGGAGAGGAGGCAACGGATGTAGCGCTGAACCGTTGGCCGGACATCGCGCGAAGCCTTGGAGTTAATGCTGCGCGGCATGATCGGCGGAGGTTGCTGCTGGTGGTGGTGCTGCTGCTGGGAATGAAATGTTACTGAGTGAAGAAGGAAGGGCAGTGGTGGGTCTGTATATAGCCGTAGCCGCCGAAATCCACGTGGCCATTTCGTCGTAATTTATGCATGAGATCCGAACCCTATTCCTATGATATCTCGAATGCGGCGTTGATTCTGTATCCGCCACGTGGCGACTCAGATGGTAAATTTGAAAAGTTTAAAAGATACATGGTATGGAAATCATTTTATTGGATTTCAAATCATTTTTGGATTTTATCAATTTTTCTTTCCAAACATGACAAAAGAAATAAAATAAAATAAAATAAAAAAATTGTTAATATATTGTGAATGTACTTTTTTATGTTAGATAGTAAGTATATGGGAATGTTGTCAAGATCAATATAATATGACTCCTTTAGATCCATCTATCTATCTATCTATGCCACCGATTTTATTTCATTTTATTTTTTCTGAAATTTCCTAAGTTATATTTAAAGAAATATAGTGTGTGTTAATCCATTTTTAGGGAATTTCTTAGATGGAGATTTATACAATCAATTTTATACCATGAGTCTTGGACAATGTAAAACTCTTATATATATATATATATATATATTATTTTTATTTTTTTTGTTTTTATTTTTATAAAGCCAGAATCCACACTCACTACTTTTTTTTTAAAAATGTAGATTCAAACATTTGCCTATGAGTTTTAATGAGAATGTATATAATACTTGTTATTTTTTACTTTTTTAAAAAAATTAAAAATATAAAATAGATGATGATAATATAAAAAATAATATTATGCTGTGAATTATTGATTTTGTGTAAATAGATGTATATTATATTTTTTTAATAATATTTATAAAAAATTATTCCACTAAAAAAATATTAAGTAAATAAACTCATAACTTCTTATTGAAAGAAATAGTATAGTTTTAGATCAGAAAAAAAAAAAAAAAAGAAAAAAGAAAAGAAAGAACATAATTTTGAATAAATAATAGTAATATATTGATCTCTACCAAAATTACATAGAAAATAATAATAACATTAAAAAATAAAAAAATCTATAACACCCCTAAGTTTAATTAAAAAAAATAAAAAAATCTGTCTATTTAGGGTTTGAATTTTGAGTTGAGATTTGAATAGTAAAAATTTTGAATTTAAATAGTTCTATCATGTGATATAAATAGGTGTTGATGTGATGTTTTGAATGTAAAATTAATTTTTAATCTAATATAAAAAGTGAAAAATATGTGTTTAATTTGATATTTTTTGGGGGGGAAAACATAAAATGAATAGTGTATTTAAAATCCAATACCCAGAACAAACACACTTCCTAAGTGTTGTGGTGTGATTTTTTAACTATAAATTTATAATTTTTAGTATAATATAAAAAATAAAAGAAATATATATAATGTAAATTTTTTTGTGAAAAATATATACTAGAATAGTAAAAAAATTCTAAAAATTACCAAACAAAGCAACTTTTTAAATGATAAACCCACATTTCAAGCATAAAATTAGGTAACCGACTTTAATAAATATTTCAAACAAAAAGCTTAGCTTGACGAGAAAATCGAATTGATGCGGCATTTTTTTTCTCTTCTTAACAAAAATTTTAAATTTAAAAATTGCACTAAAATAGTTAATTAAAAAAACCCCTAACAACAACAACAACAATTATACAGAGTATAAAATAATTTTGTCTTCTAATTCATTTATTTTTTAATGATATTGTTTGAAATATTGTATAAAGTGTAAATGTATTATTATTTAAAAAAAAAAGTATAATTACTAAAAGTTACACACAACACAAATCAGCCAATTTTTGTTTTTTACAATTTATTTTCTAATTTCTACTCATTTTCAAGCAATTTTTTGTCTTTAAAAATTCAACATATTTTGTTTTGATTTGAGTTTGAATTATTATTTTTATTGTATATACAACAAATTATAATAAGGTCATCTTGTAAAATATGAATAGATATACACACCATTATTTGATATATATTATTTGGCACAATTATTGCCCTCTTTAAATGATGGTGATAATTTTATCAAGAATGCTTTACAAAAAGATGCCGCTTTATGTCAACTTTTCAAATAAAAATGAACAGATTAAAAACAAACACAAAAGATTGATCAGATCTCTAACGTACGTACCATGCATCTTTCTGCAAATATTATTTTTAATATATCTTATGTTTTCATTTAACATTTATTATATAAAATACTTATTATTATTATTATTTATTAATATATATATTTACAATTAGAGTGAATTTATTTTGTTTTGTTTTATTTTTTTGTGAGGTGTGTAAATTTGTGAAAATATTATAATTTTTTTTAAAGTATTTTATTATATTTTTTGTGTATTTTTATTACTATATCTATATATTGTTTATTATATTATATTTTTTTCATCTATTTTAAAAATATAAATTTATTGACCGAGTTTAAAAAATAATAGTAATATTTTAATTATAGTGAATAATTAATATTAATTAGTGTAAAGATAATTTTATTATTTTCGAATGAAAATAATAATATAACGATGATAAGTAAGTATATTTACAAGACAAAAATAAAATTATAATTATTAAAAAATAATTATTTTATAATTAAATAACTCAAATAAAATATATATATATTTTTTTATAAATCACACCACGGATCATATATTAGAAGAACATGGTTAGAGCTAGTAAACACACTCGTATCCTTATGCAAAAAAGACGTGTAATAAATCAATCAATACACTACTACCATACTATCACCATCACAATGTACGTAACAAAACCACGTTCTCTGTACCGCCGCTTCCCCGCCGCTCTCTCCGCCCATCCGCCGGCGGACGGTCCATTCTCCGGCCAGCTAGTCGTCACCGACGAAGATTCCGACGCCATGGATTCCTCCTGCTGCGGCATCTGCAACACCGACCGGATCAAGAACCTCCCACTCCCTTCCGACAGGATCTTAAAAGTTGTCCACTCTTTACCGGACGAGGCCGCCAACATCGCCAAAGTCTGGTTCGTCCCCGTTCTCGATCATCCTCTTTCCTCCAATCGTTACTACGCCATCAAAGCCAGGGGACATCACAAAGGGTACGCTGCAATCATAGGATCATCGAAACTACAATTAATCTTAATCATATATCGATATTAATTCCATCGAAACTGTAATTAATTTTGCAGGCGAGCGTACACGTGTTCTAAAGAAGGAGACGCCGGGATGTGCTGCTGTCCGAGGACTTCCCGGATGTCGGAAAACAGAACGAGGCCGTTCGACCACCGCGACAGGTACCAACAGATGGAGATCCGGCCGTATCCCGGCGGCGGCTTTTTCGCCAGATCGGTGGAGTGGGACGGCTACCCGCCGAGCTTTTTACGTAAAGGGGGATGGGAAGCTTACGTGTCTCACTCCTTCAAAGTTCATCTACGCGAAGCTCCGGCGCTCCGGGAGCCGCCACCGACGGCGCTGCCTGGCCTCGACTTCCCGGTGAATTCACGGCGGTCGATTCCGGCGGTGATAGGAAAGTGGTACTGTCCGTTTATGTTCGTGAAGGAGGACGACGTTAGGTGCTGCGATCAGATGAGGAAATCTTTGTTGTACGAAGTGAGCCTTAAGTTGTGGTGGGAGCGGATATACTCCGCCGACAACGACGGCGGAGGCGGTGGGTGCCACGTGGAGGTGGATGCACGTGTGAATAAGTTGATTTGTTTGGTGAATGGGAAGGAAGGTGAGAAGGATGAGAGGCAGGATATGGATGGGTTTGTTTTGTTTAAGTTGAAGGGGGAGTTTGGGAAGAGAGGGGGCGTGGGGTTGAGCTTGGGTTTGTACGAGAAGATGAAGTGGTTGCAGGAGACCAGAGGTTGGTTCGATGGGGAGAGATATGTAAGAGTTTCGGGGAGGAAGGAGATCCATGGGCATGGCGGCGGCTGTAATGATTGGACAAAGTTTGGCTGCTATGTGCTGGTCGAGAGCTTCGTTGTTAGGGCTTTCGATGGAAGACTCGTCATCAATTTCAACTTCAAGAACACTGACAAAATCGCCTGCAAATGGGAATGAAACCCACCAACGAATACGTTTCCAGTCCACTCAAGTCAAACTCAATACCAAAGTTAAAGTCAAAGTGAAAGTCATCGACGGTTTTAAAACGTCGTACTCCAATTCTAGTACTGCGAAATTAAGATAATAATAATAATCGTAGTAGTAATTGAACTGCTGCATATAGTCAACCGCCGCTTTCGACGTTCCGACGCCAACACGAGCGCCCTTCATTCTCAAATCTCCATAGCTTCTGCAACAACTTCATCCCACAAATGGCTGAGTCGTTAGCACTACTTTCTTCTTCTGGAAACCTGCAGAGCCATGTCCAAGGTCAGTTTTAATTTAAAAAACCAGGAAAACACCCACATGCTTTTATTGGATTTTCTGGATCTGATTTGTGAATTAATTCTCAAGATTTTGTTTCAAAGTTAGGGTTCAAATTTCCTCTGATCCTTTAAACAATTAGTTTGGGTATCTCGAGCACTTGTCTCAGCTTTCCTTTCCTTTTACCGGCGCCGTACAGGAAATCATCGCCGCCTGGGCTGTTTCCCCGCAACAAGAAGCCCGCCGCCGCGCCGCCTGAAACTTCCGGCCAAATCCAGAGTATTCGCCGCCTCCGACGAAATCCCCCGGCGGTGGTACAATCTAATTGCTGATCTTCCAGTAAAGCCGCCGCCTCCACTGCATCCCAAAACGTTCGAACCGATTTCGCCGGAGGACCTGTCCCCTCTTTTCCCCGACGAATTAATCAAGCAAGAGACAACACTCGAAAGATTCATCGACATCCCTGAAGAAGTCATCGATGTCTACAAACTCTGGCGCCCCACCCCTCTCATCAGGTCCTATATATCTCTCTCCTTCATTCAAATCCTCTTCAGTCATTCCTGACCGTTGGATTAAACTGATCAGGGCGAAGCGGCTGGAGAAGCTGCTCGACACGCCCGCCAGAATCTACTACAAATACGAAGGCGTAAGCCCCGCCGGTTCGCATAAACCCAACACGGCCGTGCCGCAGGTTTGGTACAATGCACAGCAAGGCGTCAAGAATGTTGTCACGGAGACCGGCGCCGGCCAGTGGGGCTGTTCTCTGGCGTTCGCCTGCTCCTTATTCGGTCTCAATTGCGAGGTTTCCGATACGATCGAAAAGCTCGAAACTTAGATTAATTCACATTGCTTTTAATCTTGATGATCATCGCGATCTCTCGTTTTCAGGTGTGGCAAGTCCGCGCATCGTACGATCAGAAGCCGTATCGAAAACTGATGATGCAAACATGGGGCGCAAAGGTGCACCCTTCGCCGTCGACTATAACCGAGGCCGGTCGAAGAATACTTGAAACCGACGCCTCGACCCCGGGGAGCTTAGGTATTGCCATCTCCGAGGCTGTCGAGGTTGCGGCTGCGAATCCGGACACTAAGTACTGTCTAGGGAGTGTTCTCAACCATGTCCTGTTGCATCAAACCGTGATCGGCGAGGAGTGTATAATGCAGTTGGAGGCTATAGGAGAGTGTCCCGACGTAATCATCGGATGCACCGGCGGAGGATCCAACTTCGCGGGGCTGGCTTTCCCGTTCCTCAGGGAGAAGCTCGTCGGTGGGAAGATGAATCCGGTGATCAGGGCAGTTGAGCCGGAAGCGTGCCCGTCGTTGACGAAGGGCGTGTACGCCTACGATTATGGGGACACGGCTGGGATGACTCCGTTGATGAAGATGCACACTCTCGGCCACGATTTTATACCGGATCCTATTCACGCCGGCGAGTAGCTAAACTGTTGTAATAAGTATGGGAGCTCATTACGTCCGGAAAATAACGATCGCTTTCGATGCCTCGATTTGCAGGGGGCTTGAGGTATCACGGCATGGCGCCGTTGGTTTCGCATGTGTACGAATCGGGACTCATCGAAACTCTTGCGATTGCTCAGACCGAATGCTTCCAAGGTGTGTATGTACACAAACTTAGATACAACTATTTCATCTAAAAGCTTAAGCTAGTAGAGATTCGGCGGATCATTAATTTACATATTAATGTTGTGGTGGTGATGAAGGTGCGATACAATTTGCAAGGTCAGAGGGGCTGATCCCGGCGCCGGAGCCGACTCATGCGATTGCGGCGACCATCAGAGAAGCGCGGCGGTGCCGGGAGACGGGGGAGTCGAAGGTGATTCTGATGGCCATGTGTGGGCATGGTCACTTTGATTTGCCTGCCTACGACAAGTATTTAAACGGCGAGCTCGTCGACTTGTCGTTTTCGGAGGATCGGATTCGGGCATCTGTGGCTGCCTTTCCTCGGCCTAGTTAGGAGGATCGTCGACGTCCATTTTAGCTTAAACTTGGTGAAATACTATATTAATGTTGTGATGATCGATCTTCTGATCTACACAGTGCAAGAACAGATATAACCAGTTCTTATTACGAGTCGAAATTTCTGTGACAATTTCCAGTTTTCTGAGTAGTTAAGAATAAGACACTCTCTCCCTTTGTTCAATTTAGACGATGAATGTTGTTTGAATCATGATCAGGATGTGTGCTATTGAGAGCACCTTGAATATTATTTTATTTTATTTATATTTATTCTATTAATTGTCTAAATTAGTAGTACTATTTCTGTCGTTTGATTTTTGTGTTAGATTCTTTTGTAAAATGCATAAAAAAAAATTAAAAAAAAAAGTAGAAAAGAGTATTACAAGAGTTTGATCGGTGTGTCGGGTCTCCACCGCTTTCTACTTTTAGAAATTTGAATAAATAATAAATAATTTAAAATCAAATCCCACGTTGTAAAGTGTGGGGATTGACACGAGGAGTGTGTGGATTTTTTTGGCTGTATTTACTGGCTTTAATGTCTTAGCAGAAATAATTATCTAATTAATTAACTAAACCACTACGGGATTTAAATTAGTAATTAAGAAATTAATTTATTAATCAACACATACACAAGCTAATGGGATATTCTTAAAAAAAAAAAAAAAAACTTGAAAATTACAATAAGTTAGCAAATGCATTGAAAGGAAACTCACCAAACTAGGCTTGAAAATTGGAAGTTATATATTATCAGAAGGCGTAGGTTCTGGTGTTGGGAGAATCGGCAATTCTGAGAGTTTCCTGGATGAGCTTCCTGGTTTTTCTGCTCCGGATTTCGATCCTCATGCTTTCGCTCTTGTCTATCTTGTCGTACTCCTGCTCTTGCCTTTTCAACTTCATTGATTTCATCAGTTTTGATTTCAAGCTCATCATCAGCTTCTCCAGCCTCCTCATCGCAGTCTCTAGCTACTTCCACCTTCAGTTTATTTAATTAATTAATTAATTCTTGGAGTAATTGTTGGACGAACAAGGAAGAGAGGAAGCTTAATTACCTTGGATTGAAGAAGAAATGGTGCGAAAATAGTGAATGGCTGAGATAGCCGCCTAAGGTTGAAGACGAAATCACCGCCGTTGAATTTGTGTGAAGGACGGAGTTGGGAGAATGAATCTGGCTTCAATCTATATATAGATACACACAACTTCAATTATTTTATTTTTATAAATAGTAAAAGAAAGGACATTTATTTGGTTTCTGTACAATTAATTATTTATTTATTTATTTGAATCGTAAGTGAGATTGTTTTCATTGATTCTAAACATAATCATAAATGTTATAGGTGGTGTCATTTTCCCACTGCCAATAATGGGAAATCAAAAGTTTGAAATAATGAATACTCTATTTAATTATTCTGGTTATTAAATTTCTACGTTTGCATTAGTCTCTATTCTGCATATTAAAAGGTCGTTCTTCACAAAATTTCAAAAAACGTCACAATCATCAACTCATATTTTTTAACGAATTCAAATTGGGCTAAGTTGAGCCCATATCATATTAACAAAGTTGAGGTTTTATAAATATATTTATAATTTATTTAGTAGAAATATTTCAAGAAATAATTGAGATAAATAATAAAAATGAAATTGAAATATAGGGTGTGTTGGTTTCGTATTTAAATGTATGTATGTGTTATGAAATTTGTGTTGATAGTATAAAATAAAAAAAATTAAAAAAAAAAAATTATTGAATGTTAATTTTTTAAAAGTAAGTAAAGTATATACATTGTATAAGAATGAGAATTTTTTTTAATATTTATTGAAAATTATATCACAATGAATGAACAAATTGATAGGTCTGTCAAAGTAATTAGTTTTTACATTGTACAATACTATATATATATATATATATATATATACTTGTGGTATATGAAATTATACTTTGTTTTGTTTAAACCACATATTTCTTACATTACACAACATCCCTACGCGATCCATTGAATTGTGACCACAGGGAATAATCGTACAATACTATCCATGATCTTGTACATACGTACGTACGGTAATCAAATTTCTGCATCGTGTCTGGTTTCTTTCTGTCCATCCACGTACGTACCGTACTTCAATCACCTGCAATGAAGCTCCGCGGGAGGCCCAGAGCACGACGGAAAACAACGATATCACGACTCATCATCATTCCAATCATAGCCCTCCTCGTCCTCGTCCTCCTCGCAATCCCTTTTTACAACAGTACCCCCATCGGAGATTACGTCAAGAAATTATCCAACCATGGCGGCGGGGCGGCGGAGATCAAGAAACGGGAAGAAGACGAAGAGCGGAGAGGCGACAGAAACGACGTCGTTAGAGGAGAGGAAGTAGTTACGTTAAAAGCGCTGCAGGATGAGAAATGCGACTTATTTAGAGGGGAATGGGTGCCCAATCCTGAGAGGCCTTATTACACAAATGCGACTTGCGACGCGATCCAGGACCACCAGAATTGCATGAAATTTGGTCGGCCAGATTTGGGCTTCCTCAAATGGAAGTGGAAACCGGACGGCTGTTATCTTCCCGTTTTTGAGCCTCATCAGTTTCTGCACCTCGTTAGGGGAAAGTCTTTGGCCTTTGTGGGAGATTCCGTCGCAAGAAATCATATGCAGTCACTTATTTGTCTCCTCTCCAGGGTAAGTTAATGTAAGAAATTAATAATAAGAGGATTAAACAGTTTTAAAATTTTGGGGGAATTAATTTTTTTTTTTTTAATTTGATCAGGTTGCGTATCCGTTGGATCTATCAGATCCGACGGACCAAAACAAGCGGTACGAATACAGGGAGTACGACTTCAACATGTCGATGTTCTGGACGCCGTACTTGGTGAAAACGGGGAAGCTGGAGTCCAACACGCCCGTGTCGCGTCCTTTCGACGTATACCTCGACGAGTACGACGACCGGTGGACGACGCAAATCGGCTTCTTCGACTACATCGTCATCTCCGCCGGCCACTGGTTCTTCCGGCCGACATACTTCCACGTCAACCGCCGCCTAATCGGCTGCCTCTACTGCTCCGACTCCCACGTCCGCCGCCGCGGCGCCGCGTTCAGCTACCGCCGTGCCTTCCGGACAGCTTTCCGGGCGATCAACGACGCAGTAGACTTCGACGGCGTGACGTTTCTGAGAACGTTCGCGCCGTCGCACTTCGAGGGCGGGTCGTGGGACAAGGGCGGCGACTGCCGGCGGACGGCGCCGTACCGGAGGAACGAAATTGGACTCAGGGATTACGCGCTGGAGATGTACGCAGTGCAGTTGGAGGAGCTGAGAATTGCACGAAGAGCAGGGAGCGGAACCGGAGCGAAGTTCAGGCTGTTGGATGCGACGAAGACGATGATGCTGAGGCCCGATGGGCATCCCAGTAAATATGGGCATTGGCCAGGGGTAAATGTGTCATTACCTAATGATTGTGTGCACTGGTGCTTGCCTGGACCCATTGATGCCTGGAATGATTTTTTGCTCGAATTATTGAAAAGAGAAATGCACCATTTTATTTTATATGCATAAACCACAGTATAATTAACTTTAAATCACTCATTTTTCATTTAATTCAAAATTCAGCAATTAATGTACAGTAATGATAGACAAGCCCTATCTATCACGTAAACAATAATTTAATTTAATTATTTTTTTTTTAAAAAAGGAGTGATATGGGCCGGGCCGAGCTGTTTGTATGGGCCGGTAGTTACCTACGTCCACACATGTTTATTTTATGATTAGACATACGATTAATAAGTGGATTAGATTAGATAGAACAAAATAATGTTCCCCAATATTCAATTAGAAAAAAAAAAAACTAAATCTTGGATTAGTTGTGTCGTCATATCATCTCTTAATAAATTACTGAAACAGACGTCTTACTCTAGAAATAATTAATTTTAAATTAGAGATACCACTATCATTAACTTACTTCGATTTTATTTTATTTTTTTTTAAAATTCAAACTGTTTAAATTTCTTGTGTAAATATATATATATATCATAGTTAAATATACATACTCTAAAATATATTTGAGATGACTAATTTTATAAAAATAAAATTAAAATTCAGACGTGCACTAGTAAGGGTAAAAATTAAAATTCCATTTATAATAATACTAATAAAAAACCAAATATTGATTTAAAGGATCACTAATTTATAATTTTATAACATATACTAGTCAGAGTGTCAGTCCATTAAAATACTACAAAAAATATGAGTAAACTTTATTTATGGCAAGTGGATTTTAAATTAATTTAAAATCCGTTAAATTTGGATTTTATTATTTGAATTTTGAAAATATTTAGAATGTCGTAATAGAGGATAAATTCGCAGTTCATCAATTTGTGTAACAAAATAAATGAACTAAAAATAATAATATAATAATTTAAAATCATTTTATCCCAATTCCCCAAGTAAATTATTTAAATAAGTTCATTGTGCTCGATAATTGGGTGTTAATATATAATATAATTGACTCGAGTTTCGCTAAGAATAGGAAGTCTGTGAAAGTGGTTGGTTTTCTAAGCAACTACACCACGTAGTTGTTTACCAAATCGCACTTCAATTTACGGACACATGACACCCAAATAATAATAATAATAAGACACAAAACCCACCGTTGTAACTAAACAGTCCTTAACAATGTAACTCTAATGAACTTAATCATTACATTTCACTATATCTTCATCATTCAGTTGTTATGGTTTCATGATTTTGTTACGAAAATATTATTCAATGATCTGTCGGTCAGCTTCACAATAAGTTAGCTAAACCGGAAATAATATATATTAATAATAATAATAATTAGTGAATTGAAGAATCCATAATTAATTAAGTTAAGAGGTCACCTCCATGCACAATATTTCCACCCAAGATTATGATCCCTTAACCACATTATGATTATCCGACGCCGACGTGTCTTCATTTGTCCTCTCTTCTCAAATTATTATTATTATTATTATTATTATTATTATTATTATTATTATTATTATTATTATTAATGTATAAAAATAATATCCCATGGCTGGCTATCGCTGCAACAACAACCAATAATACCGCATCCTAAATACCTCCCCAATCCTTTTCAGAACTGTTTGTATCCATTTCCTGATATCCAAATATGCGTTGTGCATGACCGGAAAAAGGCGGTCCTAATCATGCCCAAACAAACAGGGCCTAACAATAATTTCACTTATTCAAACAACGCCCCTCTAATCTCACAATTCTCATATTCATACCCAACAATTTTCATATATTAATAATGACAATAAAGTTGGCTAACTTTTTATTCTCAAGTTAATTACAAAGTTATCATTTGACACAATGATATTTTGAAGATAAGATTGGATTTGTTAGTAATTTAATATTATTTATTACTATTATTATGTAAGAATCAGTGTAATGTCACTCTATAATATATGTGTGAGAGTGTGGATGCATGGGTAAGCTAAAAAGTATATATATATATATATATATATAGAAATAGTAATTATTATATACATTATTGTTATTCGAGTCTGCTCCTCCAAGGCTCCTTTTTAATAATTTTTCCCCCAAAGCTCTTCAGATGAAGCTTCAAATCCAATCCATGGAGCAGACGAAAAGCAAGAGCACTACGAAGAGCGTGTTCATCCTTCTAGCCGTAGCGTTAATCCTTATTACTCTAATTCGCCTCAATTATCCAGTCGTGAAGCTTTCTTCGTCTTCAGTGCCGGCCAGATACAGGAGCTCGGCGGCAGGAATCGGCGGTTCGTATCGCGGGGAGGAAATTAGGATTTCCGACGAGGAGGAAAAGTGCGATATATTCACAGGGGAATGGATTCCGAATCCGAAAGCTCCGTATTACACGAACCGGAGCTGCTGGGCGATCCACGAGCACCAGAACTGCATGAAGTATGGACGGCCGGATTCGGAGTTCATGAAATGGCGGTGGAAGCCCGACGGCTGCGATTTGCCGGTTTTTAATCCGTTCCAGTTCCTGGATATGGTCCGAGACAAGTCCCTGGCCTTCGTTGGGGACTCCGTGGGGAGGAACCAAATGCAGTCCATGATATGCCTTCTCTCCAGGGTACCGTACAATTTCCCAACTGCATTCTGTTATTCATTTCCAAATTATTCATTTTAGTTTTCAAATTATTCCCCAAATTAAACTAATCTATATATTTGATAATTCATTTCTTCATTTAAATATATTATATATAAATCTGCATCTTTCATTGCTCATCATGGCATCTTTGCTTGATCTGTGGATTTTTGGAGTGGCTTGCTAGTGGATGAGCATTGATAGATGTGTACATGCACATACATACATACATACATACATATATGTTGTGTGTAGGATGATTAATTTCATAATCAGTCTGTGTGTCAGAATTGAATTCAATAAATTACAAATTTAGGTAATGGATTGAGAAATTTGTTGAACTGAGCCCACTTTTGGTTTATGTACTGACTGTATATATCACAGATTAATTATATTTATAGCTGGAAAGAAAACGTTAGTTTACCTAAACCTGAATTATCATTCAAAAACCACATTAATAGCCCTCTATTATTTCAAAGGTTTTAGCTATGCTATACTTTACCATTGATTTTTACTGCCAATTTTGCTTTTTTGAGGTAATATGAAATTATTGATGTAAAATGTGTGTGTGAATACTTTACCTAAAATGTATTTTCTTTTTCTTTTTTATTAAATTTATTTATGTATAGGATGAATATAAATATGAAACAATCTACAGCTTGTCGTCAACCTTAAGCAAAGGGTATTTGGCTATCATTTTTTTAAGTTAATCACATACTTATGGTAGTATTCATCACTCCTTCAATTTATTTATATTTGAAATTTGAAATTATATTATCAACACATAACATGCATGCTTCACTTCAAATCTTGGGAATCATCAAAAGCTGAGAATTATTGATTAATTGAAAAGGCTAAAGGAAGCTGATGAGAAGCCAGCTGGCTGTGTTTGGACGCATCTTATTTGTTTATTAGAATTCACATCGGATGCGAGCCCTCGTGACATTTTAATCTTCTGGCCAAACAAGAATCTTAAAAATAGTTCGCAAAATGTCCTGTGCTTTTTTTTACTAATTCTGATATAATTAAACATCACATGAATAATCATGAAAATATATGTAGTAATCCAGTACCATCATGATCTTTTGTTTTCTCCCTTCTGAAATGAACCACTTGTGAAATCGTAAGGCTGTAATGTCTGCTGTACCATTTTTTTTTTTCCTTTTTAAAAATTCTTGATTTGTATTCTAATGGGAACAAGGGAAGACGACAGTGAGCAGGGAATCTAATCTCGGCAACGTGACATTTTCTAGATCTGTAAATCACAACCGTCCATTTTCGTGATATGAATAGTTGTCTCCACCTGCACCCGGAGCACGTGATCATCTCTGCATCAATGTGTTATACTTTATTCTTTAAAGTAGAGAGACATCGATTCGATGCGGGAGCTACATAGCTACTGCTTTATTCGATTGTACCTTGTTAGTACGTAGAAATTTGCTGACCGGGGGTAAATTTGTCATTTCATCAGGTGGAATATCCGATCGACGCGTCGTTAACCTCCGACGAGCATTTCAAGCGGTGGAGGTACATAAGTTACAATTTTACCCTCGGCTATTACTGGTCGCCGTTCCTGGTCAGATCGGAGGACCGGAAGGACACCGACGGGCCGACCCACACCGGACTCTTCAACCTCTACCTCGACGAGGCCGACGAGGCCTGGACCACGCAGATCGACGGCTACGATTACATCATCCTCAACGCCGGCCACTGGTTCACCCGAACCGCCGTCTACTACGAGAACCGGCGGTTAATCGGCTGCCGGTTCTGCCAGTTCCCCAACATCACCGACCTTCCGATGACCTACGGCTACCGGCGCGCCTTCCGCGCGGCGTTCAGAGCCATCAACGGGATGAAGAACTTCAGAGGCGTGACGTTCCTGCGCACCTTCGCGCCGTCGCACTTCGAGAACGGAATATGGAACGCCGGCGGCAATTGCTTGCGGCAGCGGCCGTTCGGCAGCAACGAGACGATCCTGGAGGGGATGAATTTGGATCTGTACATGATTCAATTGGAGGAATTTAGGGTTGCGCAGAGACATGGGGAGAAGGAATTCCGATTGCTGGACACGACGCAGGCAATGCTTCTGAGGCCCGACGGGCACCCGAGCCGGTACGGACATTGGGCTCATGAGAACGTCACTCTGTACAATGATTGCGTCCATTGGTGCCTGCCCGGGCCCATTGATTCGTGGGCTGATTTCTTGCTGCATATGCTCAAAATGGAGGGCCTAAAAGGTAATCTCCTACAGGGACAGAAGAAACTGCAATAGTTTTTATTATTGTTTTTGGGTGGGATTTTGGTTTTCGTACAGTTGTATTTTCCAAAATGTTGTTGAATTATTTTTTCTCAACTTGGTGTGTAAACAGAAAATGTTGGAAATAAGTTATATATTATGTGAAAGAGGGGTTTTCATATTATATATATAAATGTTGGCTGTGGTTTTTTAATTATTTATTTCTTGTTGGAATAATTAAAGGGAATAAAGTACAGAAACAGCGAATAATATCAATATCCGTTTCTCAGAAAATATTAAAGAAATAGTAATACAGACTAATAATATTAGGACCAGCAGAGACTTTGTGTCGGATTGTGTGTGCCATCTTAATATTAGTGATGAAAGAAAAAGTAATTAATGGTATTATTAAAAAATACCGAATCTGTGTAAAACAATCTGGATTGTCTCTGACGACTTTCCATAATTTTCGAACTTCCACAACTACAATGTGCCAAAGAATAAAGATTAAAGCCAAATACAAGAAACTTTCAGAAAAGAACAATTTAATTTATAATTAATGGCATGATTGGATGCTGCTTCACAACGATGGCTTAACCACAAATATACAGCTCAGAGATACATACATACATATTTGTCTGTGTATGTTGTGGACCATTGGTCTCACATGATGGCTGGTTAAAGAGAAAAGACAGTGACATATGAACCAGAATTTGGCATTACAAGAAGACAACTTCATCGATGTCAATTCCAACACACACACACCATAAGCCATTAGATAATTTCTTGAATTTCTTCATCCATCCATCTATCCATTCATCTTGAATCTGTGTATAGATCGATCAGTTAGCTTTTCCCTTTTAAAATGAAGCAGCTCCAAGATTCTGAGGTTCCTAAAAGGGATTCAAAACTTGTTGTCCAGATCATTGCCCTAATCTTTGTTCTTACAGTAATCCCTCTCTACTTCCCCTCCACCCACAAGAAACTGCTCCTCGCTTTTAACATCATCGCACCTTCCTCCAAATGCGACTTATTCGCCGGCGAATGGGTGCCCAATCCAGAAGCCCCCTATTACACCAATTTCACCTGCCACGTCATCCAGGAGCAGCAGAATTGCATGAAATTCGGGCGACCTGACACCGATTTCCAGAAATGGAGATGGAAGCCCGACGCCTGTGACCTCCCCATCTTCGATCCTTACGACTTTCTCGATATCATGTCTGGAAAATCCATGGCTTTTGTTGGAGATTCAGTCGCCAGAAACCATATGCAGTCCCTAATCTGTCTACTTTCCAGGGTTAGTTCTTTTTACCTTTATTCCTTTCTTCTTCTGCTTCTTCTTCTTCTTCTTCTTCTTCTTCTTCATTGAACATCTGGAGTTGGAGTCCATGGAGCTCCCAAGAATCTGCCCTTTTCTCTTGGGGGTCTTCTTTTTTATTTAAAATAGTAATTTGAACACTTTGACATGCAACTTGAAGTCAGTCAGTCGGAAATATTTTTTAACTGCTAAGACATGGAAGCAATTATTGAAATAATATTAAAAAAAGAAAACTTTAATTATTATTACATGGATGGATGTATTACTATTTCTTACTGTATGTGATGCTAAAATGACAGGTCGTTCACCCAGTGAATATCACAAGACAGACTGACGACTACAACCGCTACTACGTTTATCCGGACTACAATTTCAGCGTATCCTTCTTCTCGTCGCAGTACCTCGTACGCGCCGAACGGACGGATCCCGGCGACATATCTCGGCCGTTCAATCTATTCCTTGATGAATTCGACGAGTCGTGGACGGCTGGGATTGCGTCCTTCGACTACGTCGTCATCTCCGCCGGCGCGTGGTTCTTCCGCCCCACCTATTTCTACCTCAACAAAACCCTCGCCGGCTGCCTCTACTGCCCGGAGCCGAACGTCACCCACCGGCCGCTGTATTTCAGCTACCGGTGGGCTTTCAGGACGGCGTTCCGGGCAATTCGCGCCGCCGGGGGTTTCGAAGGGACGGTGTTCCTGCGTACGTTTTCGCCGACGCACTTCGAGGGCGGCGCGTGGGACAACGGCGGCGACTGCGTGAGGACGAGGCCGTTCAGGAGGAACGAGACGGCTCTGGAGTATTACACTTTGAAAATGTACAATATACAGGTGGAGGAGATGAAGACTGCGCAGGATGCCGGAAAATCAGCCGGAGGAATATTCCGGCTGCTGGACGCCACCAGACCGATGCTACTCCGGCCGGATGGGCATCCCGGTAAATATGGGCGGTGGGCGGTGGTAAATCAGACATTTTCCAATGACTGCGTACATTGGTGTTTGCCGGGCCCAATTGATGCCTGGAATGATTTTTTGCTACATCTGCTTAAAGAAAATTAATACAATTAAATAATTATATACATTCATGAAGCCGTTTTGTTATTACTTATTTACATGTAAAGATAATTGAATTGATTCTTGTAAAAAAAAAAAGAAAAAATCATAATACCAGTCATGAAATTATTATTATTATTATTATTACAATTATGTCGGTGTGTTGCAATAAAATTAGATTGTGTGTAACAACTAGCAACCCCTTTCAGCACAATTTTCAGACAAGATTTATGATACTTAATTGAATAAATTAATAATTTTTCTCAATATTTAGTTGATGAAATAATTAAGTCCAATAATGAGTTGATACATAATGAATAAGTCCATAAAAACATAAACTTTGTATTTTTACCTTGGGCTTTAAAGAAAAATAATCAAAGGTTGGTCCAAGAAAGAAATCGGCCTACATCAGGAACTATGAATCCAAATAAATAAATAAATAAAATTAATATTGTTCATTAGCAACCATCTCATTAGTCCTAAAGGATGGAGGCCAAAAAAATATGTATATATTTCAACAGTCTTCCAACCATACAATAATCATGCTAAATATTAGTATTAAATTACTCTATATATATATATATATGTAATCCAGCACATGGTAATTAAATAATTACTCTATATACAAAATCAGAATCGACTTTTATATACGTATATATATAGTTTTTATAATTCAAACTAGAGTCTCGTTGACTTCTAAAAGCATGTGCACGATGGCTAAGTCATGTGTGAAGAATTATTAAAATATGTTTTTGAATGGATTTGAATTTTTGTTTTGACACTGTTTTAGATGAGATTAAATTGAGTTTTGTAAATGAGATAGCATTTGTGTAACATAATTCTGTTATTTTTTTTATAAAAAAAAAAAAGAAAAAGAAAAATGAATATAAATATATGTAGTATATATTTAGAAAAGTGATAGAAGTATAAAATTACAAAATATTCCCTTTTAAAAAAATATTAAGAAACATGAAATAATAAAATTTAAAATGAAGAACTATTATTTTTGTTACTCTTTTAGGTTAAATAGTAGGGCCTGACATTTTATATAAACAAAATGAATGATTTTGAATTGAAATAATTGTTTCATGTAAATAAGTATTTACTATTTTATATGAAAATTTAATTCTAAACATAATATTAAATAGAGTAAACTGTTTTTTTAGTCCGTAATTGGACTCCTTTGTCATTTTAGTCCTGTAAGTGGAGCCTGTCGCAAACTAGTCCCATAAGTAAAAAATTTTCGCTGTTTTAGTCCTCCGGTGCCGGAGATGCCCGTGTGGCTCACCGGAGGTGACGTGTCCGCCGGGTGTCCCACCAGGTCAGCGACACCTGGCGGACACGTGGATTTACTTTTTTTTTTTTCATTTTTTTTAATTTTTTTAATCTTTTTTTAATTGTAACAAATAAAAAAAATACTAATAAAATTTAAAATAAATTAAAAATAAGTTTTTAAAAAAATTAAAAATAAAAATAAAAATCCACGTGTCACCTCCGGTGAGCCACGCGGGCATCTCCGGCGCCGGAGGACTAAAACAACGAAAATTCTTCACTTATGGAACTAGTTTGCAACAAGCTCCACTTACGGGACTAGTTTGCGACAGGCTCCACGGGACTAAAAAAAACAATTTACCCTATTAAATAAAAAATATAAATGTAGTAATATGTTTTTAGAAAAAACTACTATAATAAAAACACACATTTGAAAGCACAATCAAAGAAACCCTAAACAAAGAACAGATCCCTAATTACCAAGTCACCCTCTCCTTAATATACACGACGTGCATTTACATGCATTATACAAGTCAGCCTAGCTATAGTACTACCATTAATTTAACACAAACAATATATATAAATAATAAATAATAAATAAATAAATCTGATCCCACACTCATCATCACTAGCTATAACTTGAGAAGTTAGTAAGATCTTTATTACTTAACATACTTATGTATGTATGTATGTATCTAAGTATCAATTTTGATATTTGTAGAGAGAGGGCAATTAGGCAATTAGGCAATATTGTGACACTCAATCAAGAACTAAAAACATAACCATTTTCTTGGCCATTGCATTGATCATCTTTCTTTTTTCTAGTGCATTTCAATCAACCCTTCCTCAAAACTTCACCTTCTTCTCCTCCAAGCTATCCCGCCGCGACGGCGAAATGCGATATTTTCACCAGGGAATGGGTCCCGGATCCTTGAGCGCCGTATTACACGAATCACAGCTGCCATGCAATCTACGAACGCCAGAATTGTATGAAACACGGGCGCCCCGACGATGATTTTATGAAGTGGAGATGGAAGCCCAATGGATGTGAATTGCCGGCCATCGACCCCCACCGGTTTTTGGAGACCGTTCTGGGCAAGTAGACGGCATTCGTCTTTTTTTTTTTTTTTTTTTTTTGCGCGTGTATTTTTAGGTCCGATTGTCTTTATTTTTTTAAAATATAAAAAAAATATATATATTAAAATACCATATCCTACTATTAATATATTAAAAAAATAGAGGAGTTTAAATATTCATGATGCAAAAAAATCATGAGTTTAAATCTCTTACTGTCATTTAAGTTTGTTGTGGTGTTTAATGTAAATGATTATAACGTGAGGATGTCTTGTGATGCATGTATGTGTATATGTAGTGTTTTTTGGACAGCTAGTTAATCAATCATTGATGGCTTAAATACATAAAGGTAACAATGATGAGCATAGCAACTACTTGTAGCTAAAATCCAATTTCTTGCTTATAATTTCTTTTGCCTTTGGGGAACCATAATGGACATTATTGGTGTTTCCATGTGTGTTATTCATTTCATATTATTATTATTATATTGGATATAATGTCATTGTCATTGCCTCAAATCACAACATATCATTTTATTTTTCAAGTATTATACATTCATTATATATATATATATATATATATGTAGTGACATACAAATATATGGTGCTTAATATGGAATCTTGGAATGATCGATTAATGACAATTTTAGAAATTGGCTGACAGGCTGGATACTTTTCGGATTTTGAACTATTTTGTTTAATTTGTTCTAAAATTTTGCCCAACAAATACACCCTAGATATATATATATATATATATTATACTTTTTGTATAATTGTGGGTGTGTGTGCTTTATATTTCACATTAAAATTATGAGTGGAGTTTTTTATAAAAAAAAATTAAATTAGTCGTTCTGTTTCAAATTACAATCAACCAACTCATATGTATTTTTTGTGTACGTTGTTATCAATTTGAAAAATATATAAATTTTTTAATACTTCTTAAATTAAATAATAAATAATTATGATAATATATGTTGTATATAATATTATTAATAATAATAATAATAATAATAATAATAATAGTAATTTATGTGAAATTTTAGGTAGAAGATCCGATTGAAGAGAATGTATCGACTCCGATGGGCAAAGAATATTTCCATCGCGTGAAGTATTTGAATTACAATTTTGCCCTCGTCTTCTTATGGTCGCAATTCCTCGTGAGATCGGAGCAGCGCCGGGATACCGACGGCACCGGAATCTTCAACCTCTACCTCGACGAGGCCGACGAGGCCTGGACCACACAGATCGACGGCTACGATTACCTCATCCTCAACGCCGCCCACTGGTTCTCCAGCAGCATTGTTTACTACGAACACCGCCGCGTCGTCGGCTGCCATTACTGCCTACTCCCCAACACCACCGCCCTCCCCATGACCTACGGCTACCGCGGCGCCCACCGGATGGCGTTCGGAGCCATCAACGGGAAGAAGAACTTCCGAGGCGTGACGTTCCTGCAGACGTTCGCGCCGTCGCACTACGAGAACGGACTGTGGAACGCCGGCGGCAATTGCTTGCGGCGGCGGCCGTACCGGAGCGAGGAGATCAATCTGGAAGGTCAGAATTTGGATATGTACATGATTCAATTGGAGGAATTTAGGAAGGCGCAGAGAATTGGGGAGAAGAAGTTCCGATTGCTGGACATGACGGCGGCGATGCTTCTGAGGCCCGACGGGCACCCGAGCCGTTACTATCACCCGCCGGAGGAGAACATCACCATTGCCAATGACTGCGTCCATGGGTGCCTTCCTGGGCCCATTGATTCTTGGGCCGACTTTTTGCTACACATGCTCAGAATAGAGGCCCAATAAGAAAATTGGTTTAGCCTCCCTTTCTATTATCTTAAATAATGTTTCATCCGTATTTTTGAAACGTAAATTTGTTTAGTTTTGGCCTAGAGTTTAATAAAGGTGGATTATATTTTAATACACTCTCAGTCCATTTGAAAAAGGATATTATTTTCCATTTTCATTCAAGGTTATCGTTTTTTAATATAGTAATTGTACTAAATTACACAACCTACTTGATATAATAAATACTTTTCAATTTACACTATATTACACAAATGTCATTACTTTTATATTATACAATACTAATAAAGGTATTTTCATTTTTTTCACTACAACTCATTATAATACTAATATTAAAAAATTTACGTGAAAAAGTAAACAACAACCTTGCATCGCGACGAAGGGAGTATTATTTTTAGCATTGAAAAATATACTCATATTTTTTTTAATATATATATAATGTGAGAATACTACTCTTGGAATGCGCTTTAAAATATAATAATTTGCAAATTAATCTTGAAAGACAAATTATATCAAATAAACCATGTGAAGTTGGCAAGATTTGAAAGTGTCGGATGTTTGAAGCATAATATGACGGTCATAAGTTGATTCCATATCATTAAATCATTTCTTACGGAACCATATATAAATTTTGGTGTAAATGAATAATAGTAAACGGTATTTTTATTTTTTTTTGTCTTTATAGTGATGATTAAAAGGACTATACGTAAATATATATTTTTTTAATAAAAAGATAAAAGGAAGTATTTTCATAATATAAAAAAAAATGGTAAACATAAATTTTGATGATTGATGAAATTGTATTTTGATAAAATATTATGTAAAAAGATGTAATAAGTACACACGTATTTAATGGATACTCTTGTAGTACATTTAAAATTCAATTAGTGTCTTATTTATGTTTTTAATTTTATTCTTATACTTATTATGTATTAAAAACAAATCATGTCAAATCTATTTAGAATATCTATTTTTTTTATATTTTAAAAACCATTGATTTCCCTAGCACATGTGACAACGGCTGGTTCATGTGTATACTATAATTTAGTGTAGTCAGTCGGTCTTTCATTGAAATTATAAAATACACCAACTTGCATGTGCTGCATTCCACAACTCCACATATAATATTAATATTGATTTAAGACACCATAAATAAATAAATAAATAGTCTTTCTCCCATATCAAATCCTCCGGTCTCGATTTCTCTACTACAGACTACAGTGAAGTCAACCATCCCACAACTCTACCTATAATATTAAAATATTAGTATAAGAGAATTCAAGGGAATCAAATCTTTTATTTCTAATTTCACTAATTTAACAGTGACATACATATATGGGGAATCAAATTGTATTCAATTTTATTTATTTATTTTTTTTCTCAATTTGTTTATTATATTATACTACTATATATTTGTAAATATAGTAGTATTGTTTGTAATAAAAATACAAGAAATAATTTAAATTGGGAGCAGAAGAGTTAATTAATGCCACATCGAACTTTGCCTTTAATAAATGTACCTATGTATGTAAGAGTAATTGTACTTGTAGATCGATGGAGAAAATTAGAAGTAATCAAACAAGAATAATTAAAAACATAACCATTCTTATTGTCATTGCATTCATCCTTCTTATTCTTCTTGTACATATCGATCATCAACCTAATTATAATTTCCTCAAAACATCTTCTTCTTCTTCTGCTGCTCTAACCTATGCCGACTCGACGGCGGCGAAATGCGATATATTCACCGGGGAATGGGTGCCGGATGCTCGAGCGCCGTATTACACCAATCGTAGCTGCCGTGCCATCCACGAGCATCAAAACTGTATCAAGTATGGACGGCCCGACTCCGAGTTCATGAAGTGGAGATGGAAGCCCGACAAATGTGACTTACCGGCCTTCGACCCACATCGGTTTTTGGAGGTTGTTCGGGGAAAGACGATGGCATTCATCGGCGACTCGGTGGGGAGGAACCAAATGCAATCCTTGATTTGCCTTTTGTCCAAGGTATGTTGTTCTTAAAAAATATATGTGTTTGGTTGGCAAGTTTGAATTTTGATTTACGTGATATGTTTTATTTATAATTTCAATTGTAATATGTATATATATATATATATATATGTGTGTGTGTGTCTGTTTAGTGGAAATGATTATAAGATGATATATGATGGGGAAAAAGGTGCAACTAGTTGGTTGTAGCTAAACTACAAATTCTTTTGCTTTTTGGGGGAAACAGAAATGACAATTACTGGTGCATTATCATTCCCATGTGTGTTCATTGAAAGAAATTGAGGTTGTTATTATCATTATTGGATATAGGATGTCTTTGTCGTTGACTCTTACAATGGAATCTTGAAATCATTGAGAAATTAGGTGACAGACTGGATAGTTTTGGAATTAGTGAATAATTTGGTTTAATTAAACATTACATATAACACATGATATTATTATTATTATTATATGGACGTGGCCCAGCTGTTCTGTGATATTCATTTATCATTCACATATTAATTTAATTCTATCGACAGTTAGGTATTATTCTTTTTGCATCGTTGTACATTTAATGTCTATTTTTAGGATGTTAACGTAATTATGTATTATATGTCTAAATTGTTACTTTATATCATGTTCCATGTATATTCTGTTAATCACATATGTTGTTTGTCTATCTCTATATTAGCGTTGTGTTGGAATTTTAAATTGAGTAAAATTACTGTATATTTACAAAAATAATTATTAATGATAATAACAGTAATAATTTATGTTATGTTTTAGGTAGAATATCCAAATGATGTATCGTCGTCTCCAACCCACGAGGAACATTTCAAACGCCTGATATACTTAAATTACAATTTTACCCTCGTCTTCCGTTGGTCGCCGTTCCTCGTGAGATCGGAGGAGCGGCGGGACACCGACGGGCCGACCAACACCGGACTCTTCAACCTTTACCTCGACGAGGCCGACAAGGCCTGGACCACGCAGATCGACGGCTACGATTACATCATCCTCAACGCCGCCCACTGGTTCACACGCACCGCCGTCTACTACGAGAACCGGCGTTTAATCGGCTGCCGGTACTGCCAGTTCCCCAACATCACCGACCTCCCCATCACCTACGGCTTACGCCGCGCCTTCCGCGCGGCGTTCAGAGCCATCAACGGGAAGAAGAACTTCAGAGGCGTGACGTTCCTGCGCACCTTCGCTCCGTCGCACTTCGAGAACGGATTGTGGAACGCCGGCGGCAATTGCTTGCGGCGGCGGCCGTTCCGGAGCGAGGAGATCAATCTGGAAGGTATGAATTTGGATCTGTACATGATTCAATTGGAGGAATTTAGGGCTGCGCAGAGATTTGGGGAGAGGAAGTTCCGATTACTGGACATCACGCCGGCAATGCTGCTGAGGCCCGACGGGCACCCGAGCCGTTACGGGCACCTGCCCGATGAGAACGTCACTTTGTACAATGACTGCGTCCATTGGTGCCTTCCTGGGCCCATTGATTCTTGGGCCGATTTTTTGCTTCACATGCTCAGAATGGAGGCCCAATAAGGAAATTAATTTCCATTTTCTTTTGAAATATTTTTAGTTTATAAATATTATAGTCAAGTTCCCAGTCCAGTCCAGTCCAGTTCAGTCTCCCCCACAATTCACCATTGCTCACCGTCTTCAATGAAGCTGCAAGCTTCAGAAGAACTTCCTTTCGCCAAATCCGTGACGCAGAGAAAGGCATCGAGTTATATCCTTGTAATTTCGCTGATTTTTGTTTTGACAGCAGTACCAGTTTACTTCTTCTCATCTTCCCCAATCAACGCTCCTCGCTACTTACAGCTGCTTGATGCAAACCGCAGCGCCGGCGGAGATAAGGCTGTTTTGGCGAACGGTTTACCATCGAGTGACAAGAAATGCGACTTATTCAGCGGTGAGTGGGTGCGGAATGAAGACTCTCCGTATTACACAAATGCGACTTGTGATGCGATTCATGAGCATCAGAATTGCCTGAAATATGGACGGCCAGATACGGCGTACCTGAAATGGAGATGGAAGCCTGACGATTGCGAGCTCCCTATTTTTGATCCTCATCGCTTTTTAGATATCGTGAGGGGGAAATCCATGGCGTTTGTTGGGGATTCAGTGGCCAGAAATCATATGCAGTCCTTAATTTGCCTCCTGTCCAGAGTGAGTAAACACTAATTGAGCATTAGATTTCTATTTTAAGTGTTGATCTGTTTTCAATACCATTTTGGTGCTGCGCATCGTAGGTCGCTCATCCTTCGGATTCGACGAATCAGACCGACGGAGACGCCGTGTACCATTACACCGAATACAACTTTAACGTATCCAGCTTCTTCGCACCGTTTCTCATCAGATCGGAGAAAATTGAGCGTAACAATATGAGGCGTCCATTCGACCTGTTTCTCGACGAGTTCCACGAAAATTGGACGGCCAATATCGAATCGTTCGACTACATAATCATCTCCGCCGGGCAGTGGTTCTTCCATCCATCCTATTTCTACCTCAATCGCACCCTAATCGGCTGCCTCTCCTGCTCGGAGTCGAACATCACTCACCTGACGCTACAGTTCAGCTATCAATGGGCGTTCAGGACAGCGCTTAAGGCAATCAGCGACGCGAGGAATTTCAAAGGCGTGGCGTTTCTGCGAACATTCTCGCCGGCTCATTTCGAAGGTGGCGAGTGGGACAACGGCGGTGATTGCGTGCGGACGATGCCGTACAAGCGGGATGAGATCGAGTTGAAGTATTTCCCTTTGGATATGTACAGGATACAGTTGGAGGAGATGAGAATTGCACAAAAAGCACAGAGGGGAACTGGAGGGAAACTGAGGCTTCTTGACGCCACAAAACTTCTGTTGCTGCGCCCAGATGGACATCCACGTAAATATGGCCGTTGGCCAGTGGCAAATCAGACATTTGGTATCGACTGCGTTCATTGGTGTCTGCCTGGCCCAATTGACGCTTTGAATGATTTATTGCTACAAATGCTCGAAACATGAACAAAAAAAAGAAAAGAAGAAGAAGAAGAAGAAAGTTATGGTCAGTTTGTCGTGGGGTAAATTTGATATTTTTTTAAAAAACAAAATTTAAATTTTATTGAAATAATATTTTAATAAAAATAATATAATATTATTTAAATATTAGGTGTGTTTGTTTTGTATTTTAATTTGAAAGATTTATTTTTTTATGTTTTTATGTGATGTGAAATATAGGCTGTGTTTGTTCGGGGGTTTGGATTTTGAGTTAGAGATTTGAATAGTAAAAATTTTGAATTTGAATAGTTGTATGATGTGATATAAATAGGTGTTGATGTGATATTTTGAATATAAAATTGATTTTTAGTATAATAAAAATGAAAAATAGGTGTTTAATTTGATTTTTTTGGGAAAAAAAATGGGATGAACAGTGGAAATAAAATCCAATCATCCAAACAAACACACCCATAGTGTAACATTAAAATAATGTGTGTAGTATATTGATTTTTTTTTGAAAAAAATGTACTCCCTCCGATCTATAGTTAGGAATATTGATATTATATTAATAATGAGTAAAAAGTATGGGTTGTCTTTGTGAGCGTACGAACGTAAAAAGTAGTGACTGTAATAATAATAAAAAATAAGAGTGTAAATACGATTATTAATTAAAATGAAACTATTGTTTTTAGGACCGAAAAAAATGATAAATAAGATTATTATTAGAACGGAAGGAATATAAAAAATTTTGTACAAAAGAAGCAAATTAAGTATAAGTTGATTAATAAAAATTGTAACTTGGGAGCATATTAATAGTGTTTTTCTTTTAAAATAATAATTATTTTTTTGGTGCGTTTTTTTTTATTAGTTTAATAAAAAATTTAATTTGAATTTAATATTAAAATAATATTTAATAAAAGATTATGTAATAGAAAAAATATAAAAAACTCAAAATTCAAATAATAAAAAATTAATGTAGTTATAGTAAAAGAAATGACCCTATACTCTAGATTTGATATTTTTTCTTAAAAAGGCTAATGTATAAGAACAATTTAAAAATGTATATAAACGACGGGTTTTTACGAGCTCCGGGAGCAGAGCGCCTAAAAAGGCAAATATTTCAGGGGATGATTCCTTGTGGGTTCCCTGCTCCAGGAGCTTTCAAATGGAAGCTTTAACATGTGCTGGTCACTCATGGTGTTGCTTTGACTTGAATGATAAATTCCCTCGTTCACGTCTGGAAGCTTTTTGTCTCTGAGAATAAAGAAAATGGTGGACAGAGACAGCTCAGTTCGTGGTGGTTCATTTGGCGACTCGGAACCTTGGCGCCGCTATATCTCTCAATTGTGGTGTATTGTAGTGTTTGAAGGCTGTAACGAAGTCGTCCCCACGTTGAGCTGCACCATTCTTTGCCGTGATTTCCGGAAGAATGAGATCTCTGCGATGTTTTGTTTCGGTATTGAATTTCAAGCTTCCGCTCTGACTGGTTATTGAATGTTCAATCTCTCGTTCCACAAAATTTCTACTGTTATTGAATTTGAGCTGCGTTTGTCCTAGAGCTTATGAATTTTGCAGTTGCTTGGTGAATTTTGGCTCAGCTGATATCAGATATACTTTTTGTGGAATTTAATTTATTTGCCTGATCTCTGGATTGTGTAGCATTTTGTTCCTGATTCGGTTAGGGTTTTCCTTTCATGGAGCTGGCGATCTATGGTGTCTTATTTGTGTCTGTTGAAGTAAGAAGTCTGTGGTAGGGAATGATTGCAATTTGCATCAGTATTGTTTCAGGCCTTTGGGATGATTTTTCTGATTGGAAGACACAGTGTTATGATATTGGAAATTCAGTTGTGTTGCAGCATTTCAATGGTAGCTTTCTGATCTTGAACTGGATCATCTATTTCTGAATGAAGGCAACTTTATTTGGTGAATATGGCTTCAGTTTCACCCTCAACAAACTCATCATCTTCTTCTGGATCTAATCCTGATCAGATAATAGATACACCACCTCCTCCTGCATCTACTTCCTCTGCTCCACCTCCTCAATCCTCATTGCCAACGCTTCCTCTGCCTCCCCTCCTCAATACTCCTCCATCTCCACCACAATCTCCTGCCCCAGAAACGTCGGTGTCGCCACCTCCACCACCTCCTACACTGCCTTCCTCTCCCCCGCCCGTGTCTCCTACTTCTCCTCCGGTGTTGCCACCGCCACCCAGCCCTACTGCTCCACCCCCCTCTTCCAATTCAACTTCCCCACCAATTGTCTCACCTCCTTCACCCCCTACTTCATCACCTCCCTTACCACCTGCCTCTCCTCCGGCACCAATTTTGTCACCTCCTCCACCATCAGGGGCTTCTCCTCCCCGAGAATCCCCTGTCACTCCTGTGACACCACCTACTTCTCCTCCAACTGTTTCTCCATCTCCTCCCCCACCGGTAACAGAGCCATCACCACCTCCTGCTCCTCTTCTTTCACCTCCGCTTCCACCAGTTGCTCATCCTCCAAAGCATTCTCATTCCCCACCCCCAACTATAGCACCAGCATCTCCAAATGGTTCCGTGCCTGTTCCTCCTACTACCAGTCCTCCTTTGACACCTCCCCCTGATCACTCATCTCCACCCTTGAATAATACACCTGACAGTGGTAGCTCACCCGCATCACCATCTCCAGCCTTCTCTGGGGAAAAACCCATTGCAAGGCCAACTCCTAATCCAATTTCAGCAGCAGGTTCAACATCAAGAAGTTCTGGAGGTGTAGCAGCATTAGGCAGTATTGCTGGCCTTTTGGCACTCAGTCTGGTGGTTCTTGTTGTTTGGTATTTCCGTAGAAGAAAGAAAAGGAAGGATGGGTTTAGTCTCAAGTATGGCATGCACTCTCCATTTGCATCTTCTCAAAATTCAGGTATTAATCCCCATGTTTCCTTGTGGTCACACTGTACATTTAATATGACATATAATCTGCTCATCAGCACTCATTGATGATTTAGGCTGCCATTCAAAAAGCTGAGAGTCGTTACATTTCATTGCTTCCCATTGTTGGACATTTTAGTTTCATCCATTTTCAAAATATGTTAAGTCACCTGAAGAAAATACATCATATTGGCAAGACATTGTGTAGTAGCATCTCCTTAAGTGAAATTAGATTTTGATCACTTTTCCAGGTATTGCAATACAAGGACATGCCATCCCTTCATTACTGAATACATAAATTTTATTTTACTAGTTCATCATTATCTAAGCATATTTTCACTTCCCATCAGTACTGAATAAATTAAATGCCAAGTCACCATAAGGTAACCAAAGTCTTAGGATGTTACGATCTATTCAGTGTACTTCACTTCACATTGTAGAGTAATCTTATATCTAACAAATGTGGCATGGTAACTTCTTAAAGCCGCTGAGATATTGACAAATGATTTCCGTGATTGATAAGGTGTACCATAAAAGTAGTCTCTTTGGCTTTTGCATGTCCAGATTCAGTATTTCTCAGGTCCCATCACTCGGTGCAATTAGATGGAAGTGCTTCAACAAACAATTACATGTACTCACCAGACAGTGGCATGGGCACTTCAAGGTCATGGTTCGGATATCAAGAACTATACGGTGCTACAAATGGGTTTTCGGCTAATAATCTTTTGGGTGAAGGTGGATTTGGGTGTGTATATAAAGGAATTTTGGCAGATGAAAGAATAGTAGCTGTCAAACAGTTAAAGGCTGGTGGTGGGCAAGGAGAGCGTGAATTCAGAGCAGAAGTTGAGATCATCAGCCGTATACACCATAGGCATTTAGTGTCACTTGTTGGTTACTGCATCTCTGAAAATCAGAGGTTGCTTGTTTATGATTATGTTCCAAATAATACACTGCATTATCATCTTCATGGTAAGGCTAGATTTAAGTTTCTGGATTGCCAGCCAACTTTTACTTGTTAAGTTTACCCAATGTTTGTTTCATAACATACACAGATGAAGGCAAACCTGCTATGGACTGGCCTAGCCGAGTTAAAGTTGCAGCTGGTGCTGCACGTGGACTTGCTTATCTTCATGAAGACTGTAAGTTGTAGTCCTTGTTTTTGAGATTGTTACTTTTCCTCCACAATATAATTTTCTGCATCACTTGTATATGTCTTAGGAATTTCTCGAACTGCATTTCTATTTTGCTAATTTCATTTCCTTATATGTTCAGCTTGTACGCCCCAATTTTCATTTGGTCATTGTTTTGGCATCCAATGGCACTTGCACGCTCCAAATACAACTATACTGTAGTATAGGAAGACAGAATTGCAAACAACTAAAGCTATATTATATATGGATGAACTCAATATGCTTGCTTTAGCTGTTTTCTATAATTTTAAATGTGTTTGCCAGGTCAACCTCGCATTATTCACAGAGATATCAAGTCAACAAATATTCTCCTTGACAACAATTTTGAAGCTCGGGTATGCATATCTATGTTAATCTTAACAAATAACAACTGTATCTCTAGAGCTGTTTATAGTTTCCTCGTAAAGTAAGACGCCATCACAAGGTGATTCTTAAATCGTGAGTTCTTCAAACAAGATGTTGTTTTTGAATTACGTATCCATTTTCACTTATGGACAGGTGGCTGATTTTGGGCTTGCAAAGCTAGCGTTAGAATTGGATTTACACACTCATGTGTCGACTCGTGTGATGGGAACCTTTGGGTACCTCAAAACTTTACACATGCATATTATTTTACTAGACTAATATATTCCATATCTTGTGTTGCATGAAATATTTTACTGCAAAAAAAGAGAACTTATTATGTACAATTGATGACGGACTATACTTTCATTCATTTGTTTGTCTTTGTATCGATTGCTTGCAGATACTTGGCTCCCGAGTATGCATCCACTGGTAAACTGACTGAGAAATCTGATGTTTTTTCATTTGGTGTCGTGCTCTTGGAGCTAATCACGGGTCGTAAACCTGTTGACTCCTCTCAACCACTTGGCGACGAAAGCTTGGTTGAATGGGTGAGTTCATTTGCACATTGTGGCCTTGACCAGACTTATAGATATCAAATATAGAAAGCACATTAGTAGCTTTATGCTCTTTGTATATATAATTAGTTGAATGTCGCCACTTCTCCTGCAGGCTCGTCCTTTACTAACACAAGCACTCGATAAAGAAGACTTTGGAGATCTAGTTGATCCCAGGCTAGAAAATGACTTCTCTGCGAGTGAAATGTTCAGGATGATCGAAGCTGCTGCAGCTTGCGTGCGACATTTATCTTCGAAAAGACCACGAATGAGCCAGGTGAGTTCTTCCGGCATTCGACACCACATGCATTCTCCATTTTAGCTGCGCATCGATCCAATATCTCGGCTGTTTGCAGGTTGTGAGAGCCTTAGATTCGATGGATGAACTGGCTAACTTGAACAACGGGATCAAGCCGGGGGAGAGCGGAGTTTTCAGCTCCAGGGAACAATCTGCTCAAATTAGAATGTTCCAAAGAATGGCATTTGGTAGCGAAGACTATGGCTCCGATTACTTCAATAATAATTCTCAAACCAGCTGGAAGAGGTGAGCCATTCTTGTCCAAATGGAAAAACGCCTTTCATGTTACCTCTGCAGGTTTTTCTAGACTTGTGATTTGTGTTCATTTCTTGGATGTAAATTTTGTTATTTATTATTGGCAATGAACAAAGTTAGTTAAGTTCTGATTCTTTGTATGATATACATATATATATATATATCTTTTTTTATGATCGGATGTATATTCTTTGTATAATATATTTGGGTTCTAGATGAATTCGGCATACCCATTTCCATGGCAATTTATTTATTTATTTATCATTGAAATTTCACCATGAAATTAGAATTAGTTGATGTAATGATAAATGATAATGAAACTAAAAATCTTTTCATATAACACTAACTAATGACCGTTGAAAATTAGAAGAGTAAAACTTTTAACTTAATTCCCAAGAAACAGAAAAACGCAACAGATGGGAACAATAGTAAAAAATATATATTATTTTTAAAAACGAGAGAAGTTTTTGTTTTTTTGAAAAACTACAGTAACACTAATTTTACATTGAGGAGTACAATTTAAAGCGCAACGGCAAAGAGAAGGTTGGAAATGAATGGGGTAGGGGTGATAAAGGAGTCCCCCATCCTCGGTAAAATTAATTTACGAAGTAAACAAACTCAGGATTCACTAGTTAGTTTCTTTCTGAAGAAGCAAGGGAGAGGGAGGTGGCCGATCGGAAACCATGGGAGGCGGAGAAGCAGAGGACCCGCAGAGGCTAAAAGGAATTGCGGCGGCGGCGGCGTACGATTACGACAACGATCCACGCTGGGCGGATTACTGGTCAAACGTCCTTATTCCACCTCACATGGCCTCCCGCAGAGATGTGGTCAACCACTTCAAGCAGAAGTTCTACCAGCGATACGTCGTATAGTTTCTTGATTCTCGATCTATTTAACGCGCGCTATTTGGATGCTTTTTTCTACTGTTATCAATGGCTGTTAGTGCGACAGCTTTTTTGTTATTCAAATGATGTTGATGGTTTGAAGCCCAGGCATCAGTTGTTTGATTGCGGCAGCGCGAAGTTCTGATATTTCTAATTTCTTTGCCTAATGATGAGAATTTATTGCATTCTCAGTGGATTGAACTGTTCTTGGGGGTATTTAACCAAACCTGTCGGTATAGTGTGGATTCATTATAGATTTGTATACCATTGGGAGAGTTGGGCGGACAAATTATCTCATAGCCGTTACTTTGAAGATATGATTTCGTTTTTCATTGAGCTTCAGATCAATGACTTCCGTAAAATTTTAATGGTGTGTTGAATTTTTCTGATGCTTCTTGATGGCAATTCATTTTTAATTGACTTGTTATGCCGGATATCTAGGACCCTGATTTAATTGTGGAGCCAATAGGGGCCACCAGCACTTCACAGCCAGAAAGAACATCAGCTGCTTCAACTCAATCATCGTCATCATCAAATTCGTACACGAATACACGCCAGCGGAATTCAGGTCTTAACATTTAGTTCATTCTTGACCATTTGAGATGAGAATGAAGATTTACCCTTTAACATGGAAGTTTAAGGGCGTGTTCTTTGTTTTTTTGTTTTTTATGTTTTTTTTTTTTTTAAAGCTGAAAATAGCGGTTGGCTGTGAAATTTTACACGGAAATCGAGTGATGGATATGATGTTTTTAGCGGGAAAATTATATATTGATAGTAAAGAAATAGGGGGAAAAACACCCTAAATTGCCCCCACCTCATTTTACACGCACTGATAGATAATATAATTTAAACTGAGATATAGGGTCCTCAAGTGGAACATCAGGGGCATCAACAGCACCTCCTCCTGGTCCTCCTACAGCACTACGCTGGGATCGACAAACCATTCAATTTTCAGTTAATGCTTGGGTATGTTCTCTAACTCTGTTGGGGGCATTGAATATGAAACTACTTTGAAATCAGTATGTACAAACATAAAACCTTTCTCTAATTAATTTGTTATACAGTGCACTAAGACTGCAGTTTTAAATATAGATCCATTCTTTTAGGATGTGGAATGCTTTTTGTGTGAATTTAGGTTGTCAATATGAAATGCCAGCATTTTCTTTCAACGTTAACAATTCTAAGAGTCTCAAGAGTATAGTGTGGACCGATGTCTAATTGTTGCTTTGACTAGTGTATTGAACAAATTTTTGATGGCATGCTTTGCTACTAGGGAAATAATTCTAATTGATTCCTTGTATATACATTCAAGTCTAATGTAGGTAATTGATTGATTTTAATCATAAGATTTTGGAAAGTAGCGAGTGGGTGACATCAATGTACTTGTAAGCGAACAACAGATTGCTTAAGGGTAATTCCAATGATCAATGGATTCTGAGCCAATCACAAGATTTACAGGTTATTAAATGTACTGCAAATGGAGGTTGGCAGTGCAGTGAATAGAGTTTATGAAAATTTTCTCATTGGGGAAACAAATAGTTACTGTAATACCATGTAAAAAAAAAAAAGAATTGAAATGAAGTTTCTCATTTTTTAAAGAGGTTAGATATTTATTATATCCATGAGATGAACTAACTAGGAGACAATTCTAATTTGTTTCTTCTAAACATATTCAAGTTAACACCTAAATATAAGAAACCTCATGTCAAGAAGCCTTTACATCTGTATCTTCAAACTAGGAAATTATGCATGATACGAAGTTCACTGTTGATTCAAGACTATTATTGATGTACCTTGCTATTCAGCTACAAGTGATATTTTGTTTAGTCCATGCTTTGATGTCCACCTTTAGGAGCAAATAGCCTTGTGCTTATGCATATTTTCCTTCTTCTTGGCAGGTTCTTGTTGTGGCTGCTCTAGCTGTTTTCCCAATTGTGCCAAACAATCTCTCAAATCGAGCATACCGGCTTTCCTTCTTAGGGACTGCATGTTCTTCAATATATTCTTTGTATTCATTATATGGGGTAACGTCATGATACAAAATTTCTTTCTCCACAGCTTACCTTCTGTTTGCTAATATAGCTGTTGTTTGCAGAGACCAAGAGCATGGAACTTGCAGGCTTCGCAAGTATGGTTACAGTCAGTGATGGTTACCAAAGATTTTATCTACTCAATTTACAGCATCTCTTTCATCACTTCCCACCTGTGCCTTAAATGTCCGTATCTTCAAATATTAAACTCTAGTGTTTTCTGTTTTATGTTGTTCGCTTTATGTTTCTTTTCCATTTGTAAGGATATAATGTTTCTCATTTGATTTTTTCTTTTCAGTCGCTCTAATTCCTGTACTCTGTCGGACTCTTGAGCTTGTTGCAAAATTTCTGAGGCGTAACTTTACCAGATCCACCTTGTACAGGTGAGCAATGCTTCACACTCTAGTTAATGTTGTGGTTCAGCATCATGTTTTCAGCATTGAAATTGTCAGATAAGACCTATTTTATTGATCTCATTTATTGGTAGCTTTTGGATGTAGCTTTATGCATACACTTAACATTTTACTTAACTCAATGTCAGTGGAGTTCATGTCAGTGGAGTTCTGGGAATTTTTGAGATTATTCTTTCCATTGGAAGTTCATTGATTTGACAGATGTTGGGTTTAGCTGTGTTTTAAGGGATAAGGAAAAATTAAATAATATCCTGGCACACATCATTGTTGTAACTTCAAAGATCCGATGGGATTGGACTTTATTTGAAGTTTAATTGAGTTTGGATGTTGTTTGAGTTGGTTGTTGTAAGATGCTTAAACCATTGCATTGAAGTTTTAACTTAATTTCATTTTAAGCTTAGAGAAATATGTGTGGCTTGTGTCTTTTATTTCTTTTTTCTGGGGGTGGTAAGGGTATGGTAGGAAGGGCTGTGGTGTGAGTGGTTTTAAAGGGATTTACGTATCCAAGTTATTTGGAATATTTTTGACAATGTAGATCATAATGTTGTAGTGATAATGATTAGAGATTTAATATGTGTATTTATGTGGCTCTATATGTAGCAACGATCCGTTTAGATATGGTTTATTATTCACATGTCAATAGTTATGAAAAAGAATGTGCGGTGCTAGGTGTTTGACGTACAAGTTGTTTTAAAATGCAAAGCCAATATTGACCTTCATGTTATTATTACACTTTAATGTTACATTATTGTTTCTTTTGCGTATTGTGCCTATTGTGCTTGGAACTCTTACAGGAAGTACTTGGAAGAGGCTTGCGTTTGGGTAGAGTCGAACACATCAACTCTTGGCATTTTGTCATCACAAGCTGAAATTGGAAGTGGATTCCTTCTGATTATTTCTCTCTTCTCGTGAGCAATTTCTTCATTCCATTCCCTTCTCATCAGTTCATTGCAACATTTATGTAGACAAGTTATGCTGATCTGAATTCCAATGTTTATACGCAGGAGGCAGCGAAATATTATCCAAGCATTTATGTATTGGCAGGTGCGTCGCCCATGTCCAGTTCCAATACTAATTAAGTTCTAAACTTTCCATTTGCACGACTACATCTTTTCTATTTCGTGGCATTGCCTCTACCTCTTCTGAATTTTCTCAAACTTGGATTTTGCATTTTTGACTTCTAAGTGGTATTCTCCTTCTTTCAGCTTTTGAAGCTCATGTACCATGCTCCTGCCACGGCTGGTTACCATCAGAGTACATGGGCGAGCATCGGGCGAGCTGTGAATCCAATAATCCAGCGGAACATGCCGTCCTTGAACACTCCAATGTCAGCAATACAGAGATGGTGGTTCAGGTGAAAAAATAAAAAGGCAACTATAGGCAGAGGAAGACACCATTCTATCATGACCAGTAGCATTGCTTAGAATGACAAACTTCACACTTATGATCAATCCTGTAGACTTCTTAACTTGGTCAACCCCTCTGCTGTAATAATCACTCCCCTGTTTTCATCAAGAAGTATCTATCACTCTATCCGGGTACATGGGGATTGTTCCCACACATTTATTATGTTCCAGAATCTACAGATGCAGAGGATTCTAATGTACTTGTATGTTTAATTCTGTCATTTCACTACATCTTAGCATGTACCAAGTTTAATTCGGAAATGTTTGTCCCCAGAACATTCGAGCAATCATGGCCAGAGCAGACACTTTCTTGGAGGGCCCCAGCAGTTTGTTATGGGACACCTCATGTTAGACTGATTGAGGATTTTGTCGATTTTCTTACACCCGTAGCTGACTCTGCTGTTAGCCAAACCACAATTGAGATAAGATTTGGATTCGAGCAGAGGCATCGGATTCTCGTGTGGTCGGGATTGCATTTGCCGAATTTGGACGATGACCTTACAGCTGGATTTTCCATTACCTTGCTTCCGTGATTGAGATCCATGGCTGCAATTCGACGCTTCCCCACCGTTTATTTAGCCCAATTTTGCTTCCTGCAGTAAACCATCTCCATCATTGACGCATGCAGAATTTAATTTGATTAGGGTTTTTACCCATCCCCTGTTTTTTTGTCACTTTCCAGTTTAGAACAAACCTGCCAGCGATTTCCTGTGCGGCGTGGCGTGGGGTCACATTCAAATCTTCGCTCAACCCAATGCGAAATCTGACATTTGTCATTTCGGAACACCGGCCTCGTACCTGCTGATTTCGCTGTTCGGTCCATTGCTGATGGAGACGTCGTCGTCCTTGCCCGCGAGTCTTCTTGCCACCACCAATTCCGAAGGTAATAAAGCGGGAGAGATGGAAACCGAATCTCTGGTTAGGGTGTCGACTTTCCCTGTCGCTGCTTTAAACCAACAACGGCGAAGAAGATTTGGCAATAAAGCGGCATCTCTCGCAGATCGGCCTCGCCGGCAGCAGTCGTTCGGCCGTGACATTGGCCATGCTGCTGCTGAGACTTATCTGCTCACTCGGCTCAGTTTCAGACTGCTCAGTTATCTTGGGTATCATTCTTTATCCTCTTTTTTGCCTGGTCTTTCGTTTGATTTTGTGGCTTGATTTTGGGATCCCGCTTTTTTGCCTGGTTATCAGTTAATCTGATTGCTCTACATTTCGGACTATAGTGTAGTGTTGTTATTCAGGAAGAGTCTTTGATGCTTTACTGAAGTGAATCTAACATGATAGAATTCGTGCTGTTGACATTGCCTGATAGATGGGTTTGATCTTAGATAAGGAATGCCTAATTAGAAGGATGAGGAAATGCTTTTGATATGAAAATATGAACAACCTTGTTTGTAGCTGTTGCCTGAAATCTGACAATTTTGATCACCCCATTATGCTCGATTTCTACAAGTTGTGGGATGATGTTTTATGGTTCAGTTGATAGACATACTGAACTTGTTATGCTTCTCTACCAATTTGATCACTTTGTTCCCTGGGAGCAGAACATGTTCTTTTTTTTTTTTTTCCCTCCATCTTCATTTGTGTGGTGGTGTTTTTTACCTGAAACTTGGAGTATCTCTCTGTTTGAACAAGGCTTGAGAGTTGAGACAATCCATTTTAGTTAGCTGATGGTGTGTTAATCTTCATTAGTTTGGCTTTGATCAAGGTCGCTATTTTTAGTTGGTTATGTTCCTAATCATCCTTTTATTCAGGGTAGGCTATCGGTGGATTACAAGGTTACTAGCCTTAGCTCTCTATGCTATGCTTCTCATGCCCGGGTTTCTTCAAGGTAAATTCACAATAATTATGTGATTCTTTTAGCATAGAAACTGATTGAGATATCTTTGTCTATCCAATATTTGGATACGTCATGAGAAGGGATTATTTTTTCTTTTCTAATGCTTACTATCTCTCCTGCAACATTATAAGATGCCGCCCTTGTCTTTTTACATGTTGTTTAGAAGTTAAAAAGTATTTTAAAATGCATGCTGTTGCTTATGATTGAAAGCCGGCCAGGGCGGAAGGCTAATTGATAATAGCTTCACAATTATTTATTAATATGCTTTTTTGTAGTTGCATTCTGTTACTTCTTTTCAAGCCAAGTACGCCGAAGTATCGTATATGGTGATCAACCAAGGAATAGGTACACTTTGGTATTTATAAATATATATATATTATAATTCATATTTTCCTCCATTTTCGTTGGCTTCAACTTAATCATAACATCTCTTGCAGGTTGGATTTATATTTACCCTCATCCACATATGGTGATGATTTGAAGCCAGTAGTGATATTTGTAACTGGTGGGGCATGGATTATTGGGTGAGTAACATTTAATTGCCCTTAGCTTCTATTGAGAAAATCGAACCTCTTCTCATAGATATAAGGTGTCTGACTGTGTTTTCCAATTTGGTATCCCTAAAACTTGGTACAATGCCCGGAATGGTTGCTAGTCCAGTTCATTGAATTTGATTTGTGCATTTTTCCGATTTGCTACAATGTTGGTGGAATGTTAGTAAAATAGTTTTTATGCAGGTACAAGGCATGGGGTTCCCTCCTGGGATTACAATTGGCTGAAAGAGGAATCATGGTTGCTTCCATTGATTACAGGTACTTGACTGTCAAGCTCCGAGCCTTAGTCCCGGCCTTATTTATTGATCAAACTAGTTAATTTGCCGTCTGGTAAATGGGCATGTGATTAGGATTTCCTGTCAATACACACATTCATTCTTTGGCTGAATTGCAGAGGAATAAGCCTCTATGGTTAATCATAGAATAACTGAACTGAACAACAGTGCATGATGATTAGGCTGGAATCGACAAGTCCATAAATGAAATTCAATATTTCCAGTTTCTTCTATTTTTCTTTTCCCAAATTCATTGCTTTGTAAACAAGCTTGGATGTTTCTAATCTTTCCCACCATTTGTAAGTATATGCATGTATATGATTTGTATCCTTCAGCTGATTAAGTATACTTCTAATTGGCTGCAGAAATTTTCCTCAAGGAACAATCAGTGACATGGTTAATGATGTCTGTCAAGGGATTGCATTTGTAATGGAAAATATTATCGAATTTGGAGGAGACCCAAGCAAGTGAGTTGTCTCTTATCGAATGATGCTAGTATATGAATAATAAACAGCATAAGCATTTGGTCAATTGCCATGGTCCTAACTCAAATTCGTCGCTTATGCAGAATTTATCTAATGGGTCAATCTGCTGGAGCACATATCTCCGCTTGCGCTCTTTTACAGCAGGCAGTTAAGCAATCCAGAGGTGATCCCATTTCTTGGAGTGTGTCTCAAATAAGCGCATATTTTGGTTTGTCCGGAGGGTACGCGAATCACAGATTTCGTATTTTTTCTAAGTTACAAGATTATTTGAAATGCTCTCACATGGAAGTTCCTGAAATCCATTTCGACAGGTACAATTTACTCAAACTAGTTGATCATTTCCATGGCCGAGGCTTGTACCGCTCCATCTTTTTGAGGTAACAGATATCCAAACCTCACATATATTTAGACCTTACAATAATATCTTTGTTCCGCTGCCTCGTAACACTTTATATGCGACAGTATCATGGAAGGCGAGAAGGCATTGGAACAATTTTCTCCTGAAATGATCGTACGAAATCCAGGCTCAAGCGATGCAGTATCTCTGCTTCCGCACATTATTCTATTCCATGGCACGGGGGATTATTCCATCCCATGCGATGCAAGGTCCGTCTAATTTATATTTAACGACCGTATTCGCTGGCTGCTACTGTGATGTGCAAATCAGTCTTTACTATAACTAATCGAGAGCTTGATGATCCAATTTTCTTTTTGTTTCCGATCTAACTCAAAAGAAATTTCTTTGGCATCAGTAAAAAATTTGTTGAAGCACTCCGCAACGCCGGGGCTAAAGCAGATCTCGTCTTGTACGATGGAAAAACTCATACCGACTTATTTCTCCAAGTAAAGCCATCAATTATATCCTCCAGTTTCTTTTTTTTTTTCTTTGCCGTAAGCAATTTTGGTCATCAAAATATGCAGGATCCCCTGCGAGGAGGTAAAGACGATCTTTTCGACTATTTGGTAGACTTTATACATGCGGGCGACAAGGATGCTCTTGCCATGGATGCCGAGGCTCCTCCCCGGAAGCGCCTGGTTCCCGAATTGCTCCTGAGAATGGCCGGGCGAGTGAGTCCATTTTAGTCAGAACAAAATTCCTAGAATTCCCCGGCTCGATCGAAGTTGCGGCATGGTTCTTTGTGGTGGTGGTATGTATACTCTGATTAGACTTGGCCTGGTTTTTGCCTAATGCTACAGCTGGTTGTGATCTTCTTCACTAGAAAGACAGACGTGTTCATTCTTTTATGACCTTTTTTTTATAGCAGCTGCCATATTACAACGCCTATATAACTTGTTGGATTCTGACAAATTACAAAATCACCAATTCTTTTGTTCTCTCGCATAGTTTTGGAAGAATTTATGGATGTATGTATGTCCCGTAAATAGGGATCAACTCGGGTAAGTTGGGAATGGATTTTTGTTTATTTTAGAGGTTATATAATAAAAATATAAATAAAACATTTTTAGATTATAAATATTAATCACACAAGTTGAAATATTTTCAGCTGCATAACATCAATTTAAAAGGGATTCGCGTTAATAGTATATTTTTCAGTTGATTGTCAAAATTCATTCCAAAAATCCATCAAGATAAATAAGGGAGCATAATTTTATCTTAAAAACACAATTACAATAAAATAGAAAAATCAAAATAAACAAAACAATTTCGTATTCGCGCCAGTAACGAAGCAGTTAATTAACCGCTTCGAGGATGCAATGTTCGTCCACTCATTTGCTCTTGCGAGTTGGTTAGATCCATTCGGTGTTCCTCCATTACAATGTCCCCGCTTGCTCGAATTGCTTCCGCTGTAGTAGCAGCAAACTTTCTGTTGATTGCTCGGTTAATTTCTTCCACTGTGCCTCGGGGTCTTCAGAAATTTTCAGGTATGGTTTTGCCCCTTCCTCGCTACTTTTTTGTCAATTTTAACAATCCAGAGGTTTATACCCCACTTTTCTTGTGTCGAAAGAGCACACACATAAACTGGAAATATTTTTCAACGATAGCGTTGCCTTCAGGAATCGTTTTTTGTGTTTTCATTTTTTTGTTTTTTTGTTTTTTCAGTGGACGAACCTTCCAAGAGAACAACAGCTACAAGAATTATCAAGAACTTCATTGGAGATGATGGACGGATTTATGCTTGCTCAGGGAGAAACTTTTATGTCTTTGAAAGTAATGGTTCTATTGCGCGGAGAATATACCTAAAATACACCTGCAATGCTAATCTAGCTCCAGTTCATGAAGGATCAGGAAAGGTAAGGCTCTGGGCCGAATGTCTTTTCACTTACAAAATTTCCAGCATTTTTATGTTTGAAAATATCCTTGATGGACATCTAATTAGGTTAAAGATATAGGAGGTATACTTTCCGTTACTTGTCTGTATTATTTTGTGCTAACAATGTGATAAATTGTTTCCTCGTTGAGCACTATGAAACAAGCATAGGATACTGTTTGGTATAGCACTTTGAGGGCATTGTTAACATTTGAAAAGGATGTTGGCAGATATATGTGGTTGCAGAAAACAGAGTACTGAAACTTGATTATTCGAAAGTAGGAATTTCTGAACCGGCTGTAGAAGTATTCTTTGGTCCCGCACAAGGGAAAGATGGACCTGGGGAAATAATAGGTGTCTCTGCAAGCATATCCAGTTCGTGTGTGCTCATTACTGTAAAAAATCGCGGGCTCTTTGCATACAGGCTGAATGGGAGGCTCATGTGGAGTGCCGGTCCAGTGCTTTATCGGCATGGCTATCGCCAAGGTTGCAGGAAAAATATTACGAAGTGCTATTTTACATCAATGCCTATAATCGATCACTGTGAAGCAAGCATATTTGTAAGTTGCAGGATCCTTGATTTGTTCTCTTGGTGTTTTCTTTTTTGGGTGTGTTTGTTTGGGGGTTTGGATTTTGAGTTGGGATTTGAATAGTAAATTTTGAATTTGAATAGTTGTATGATGTGATATAAATAGGTATTGATGTGATGTTTTGAATGTAAAATTAATTTTTAGTATAATATAAAAAATGAAAAATAGGTGTTTGATTTGATGTTTTTGGGGGAAAAAAATTGGATAAATAGTAGAATTTTGTTAAAATTCTACAAACGAACACACCCTTTGTGTATTTGTGTTTTGATTTTTGGGTGAAATGGTTTTTGGATGTATGTTTTGCAGGTTTTGAACACTGTGGGGGAACTGTATTCGTTGTCTGTTCATGGTCCTAATTTTAAGTGGATCCAAGATCTTAGCTCATATGGAAATACTCTTGCAATTACTCCTGGAAACAATGGTCTTCTGTATGTTACTGTACCCGAATCAGCTCTTGTTCTTGCACTGAATGCTTCCACTGGGAATATCTTATGGCAAGGAAGTTTCGGGCCGCTAAGCTCCATAGATAATGAACCAGTTGTTGATGCAAATGGTATGGTGATGAGTCTGAAGTTACTTTAGATTGATTGATTATGATGTATACTTACAAAGTTGTTAGGAAATATTAGCCATAGTCCCTATTATCTTGTGGTAAATTGCTTAGTTGAGAACACTGCTTGTTCGATGATGCAGGTTGGATATCTTTTGGCTCATTGGATGGACATCTTTATTCATTTTCGCCAACGGGAGATCTCAGAAAGTTCCCAAGATCACCTAGTTTGGATTCTGTGATCCAAGTTAACCCTGTGCTTGATTGCTCCGGTTATGCACTTTACACTTCTACGACAAAAATGGAAGGAAAAAGTTCGCATACCATTGCAGAATACACTTATGTATCAGCTCTGAAGCCCAAAAATGTTGTCTTCACCTTACTTGTTCCGGCTTCCAGTTCCGTCTATTGGTCTGAAAGCGATCCTAGTAATTCCATCCGCCGGTTCTATTAATAAGAGCATTTGTTATCCCTATCACTCTTCTATAATAACGACTCGGCTTTTAAACTGCACAGGTAAATTCTTATTCAAGTTGTCTCAGACTGATCTGCAACTTTTTGTGTTGGATGAAAGAACTCTTCTATCATTCTTTGCAGCTTCAAGTAAGTCCCATTTTCATATTGGTTAAGACATTTGTTTTTCCAGAATCACCTGAAGATCTGTCTTTTGATTATGTAACTTTTTTGCCATTGTGCAGGAATTGGCAGTCCATTCCCTTGTTCATGTAATGCCCTTTTCATTGTTTTTACCTTATTTTGAAGCTCAGTTAAATTCATCCACAAGCACCATACATCATAATCATATATTGTTGCAACTTTTGTCTTTGATCTAGACAAGAAACTCGAATCTAGCTGCCTGCAAGTCGAGCCCGAGAGTGAGCCTATCTACACAGGTAAGAACTAGTGTCCACCAAGTTCTTGCATCCTTGTTCTTGTGAAAATCCATTTCCCTTTTTTCCAGGCAATGGGAGGACAATCATCATGTTCCTGGCAATCGAATCAGTAGCATTGTTACTACTAGCTGGAGCCGTGCGATTCTGCTGCATTTTTTGGAAGAAGAAGAAGGTTCAAGATCAGAACCTGGGAAAGTTCCTGGACAAGAGAGTAAGGATAAGGATAGCATTCCTTTCATTTGCAGCACTGAAATTGATTTGATTGCCATTTTTTAGTCCCTTTTCTTGCTCTTTCTCCATCCAGAGATCTCTACAATCACAAGAGAAAGCATTGGATCATATGATCACAGAGCTGCAGCGAAAAGCTTCAGAAGATGCAAATGGAGTGCTGGAAACACTAAGCGATTTGGTGAGAGGACGAGAAGACATCAGGCGAAGGCTCTCGACAACTTACAGCTTAGGAAGGGACACAAATGAAACACACCCCAATTCCAAATCACGCCTCCTCCCTTTGTACGAAGGAACGAGCCAAAGCCATAGCCAGAGCCAGAGCCATTCCTTGGAAGGCGTAGGGGGCGGCAGCAGTGTGTCGATATCTCAGACTCAGAGCAGCAGCAGTTCAGGGGAGTATAGTAAAAGAGACGAGTTCATGGTGATGCTTAAAGCCAAAGGAAAAGCTGTTGTTGCCGAAGAAGAAGAAGAAGGCGAAAGCGAAAGTGAAGCCACCTCTAATGGTGGGAGAAGGTAAGGTGCAGCCAATGGCTGTTGTTCGAGTTGAGGAGGATTGAAGATCATCCATCTGTGATGCCGCTGAGTTTCATTGTTCACGAATTGTTCATTCAGGGAGGAGATGGAGGAGGTGGAACTGCCATTGATTGATGATGATGATGAAGAAAAGGCTCTCTCTCTCAAATCAACTCGTAAGGGTAGAAGAAGATCGAGGAGAAAGAGGTATGTATGTCCATACCTAACTCTATCCCAACTGCTTTGAACAATATTTATATTTATAATTTTAATATAGTTAATGCCATATGATAGTTTCCTTTTCTTAATTCTATACTAGCATATATCTATGATATTATAAATTTATTATAAAAATATTTTAATGTTGTTAATAAATTATGATTGTTATTAGAATCATAAAATATATATATATATATTTAATGAGCAAATAGAAAATATATATGTATTTGACGGGATGTTTGAATTTTGATGAAAAAATTTTAAATTTAAATAATTATTTCATATTATATATATGAATATTAATTTGAGATTTTATATATATATATATTAATAAGAATAATAATATGATTGATGGCATACATAGTTTTATTTTATTAATTCTGTTACACAATAATATTCTAAAATGTTGGTAATAAATTTTGATTGCTAAAAATATATTTGTGTCTCTTTGAAGTTTGAATTTTAAATTTTAAATTTAAAATTAAAATAATTATATGATAAATTAAAATAATTATATGATGAATTATATATATATAGATAATAATATAATATTTTTAGTAAATTAATTTTTAATATAATATAATATTAAATATTAAATATTTAATTTGATTCGAATGAAAATTTTGATTAATAAAAGATTTGGTAATTTTTTTTTGTAAAATCACATCCGTAATTTGTGGTATGGGCGGGCAATATCAAATACATATCCAATAATATACACTGTATTGTAATGTGAATTATTACTGTTATATATATAAACTTTATGAATAATAATAATAATAATAAAATAGCGATTAGATGATTAATAATTTAATCCTAGCTGTATTCGTATCATCATGTTATTCCTATTTTTAACATAAATTCGGATACGATACGAAAATCGGACTATAAAAGTCAAAGGTACGGACGGGCAGGGCAGCGTACTGCGAATAGCGAAGGGTCGTGCCTTTACCATCTCACAGTCTCCACCTCTCTGTGTCGGGCGCCATCTTCATTTAGATTCCGATTCCGATTCCTCAGGGCTGCGGAGGCTTTGTCGGCTGTACCTGCTTGCTTGCTTCTTGCTCGACCTTCAGAAGAAATTCTCGGCATTCGGACACCCCTAATTTGTTGGTGAGTTTGTTGCCCTAATACTGATTTCTTGATTTCCCTCCCTCGGGGCAAGTCCCTCTCAATTTGTAATTCAAGCGCGCGATATTCAATTTAGGAGTGCCCTGAGTTTTGTATGTGGTTTAGTTTAATTACAGATTTTCAAGGTTTTAGATTATCCTGAGTGCGTGCTGTGCTGCGAAGTCGATTTCTCATACTTTGCTGATTTGTTGGATTGATGTGTCTCGAAACGTTGTTTCTTCAGATTGATTGTTTTATCTTTGGGGTTTTGTAGGATTGGTGTCTGGAAAGTTCATCCTTTGATGTGTGTCTCTGTGTTGGGCAGCTCCGGCTCAGATTTTCAATTCGAATTCCTGAAAATGTTGGATGTTAACTTGGAAAATGGAAACTTATTTGATTATGATTCGTCCTTTGTTTATAAACTCGAGTTTCTCATGCCAATTACACATTTGCAACTGACAAGTGGGATTATTGTTGGATCTTTATTTTTTCTTTTTCACGTCTTGAGTTTTCTAGCATATATAATGTAGGTTTGTAGTTTTGTGGCATGTATATGTATTATCCATAGCCAATAAGCCAGTGATCTTCGGAATGATCCTATTAGGAAACTTTATGTAATGTGAAAGGAATGGATTTTGTGAGCTGCTATTGGGGAATAAAAAGTTTAACTAACATAGTTCGCTACGGCCACGTGTTACTGGGAATTAAATACTCCTATTCCTATGTTAAAGACACGCGCCTCACGTGTATTGACAGAAGTTGTTGAATGATCAATCTATATGTTGGTTGAAGTGTTTTTGATGCATAAATGCTTATTCGATAAATATAAAATCTTTTGACACCTGTAAGTTTCTTCTGCATTTGGCAGTATTTTATTCGCCTGTGAAGTTTCTTACTGCCCTATTATTTTTTCCCAGAACAGATATTCTCCGATGGATGCTGAGGATTTTATGGAACTTCCCGGTCCCAGTAGTTTAGGGCATGGGAGCGAGAATGATACTCCGTCTGCATTTGGCCATGACTCTAAAAATTCTGGTTCTCTACCTCCGAACTTGCAGTTAATGGATGAGGTTAATGGTGAGAACCCAACAATATTAAATGGATTACATGTGACCATGGAAACTTCAGTGCTATCTGAGACTGAAAAGGAAGCAGATATGAACCCTGAAGTCCAGCCAGTTTGTGTCGAAATGACAAAATCAGTTAAGATACAAGAAGAAAAGTCATCCATCAGCTCTACACACACATTGGTTGCTCACAGTGAATTCGTTTCCAATCTTGAGAAAGATGATCCCCTTTTGAGTAAGGACAAGAAAGATGCTAGTTGTATCCTTTGTGTGTTATTTTGTTATACTTAGATTTCAGCCTTGCTAAATATAAATGAGAATTCATGAGATTTGTTTCCTGTGTTATGTTCTTTCTTCTTCTAAGGGATCGCCGAACCACCTGGTTCATAGTTTTATGCTTTCCATAACTTGACTTTTCAGATGTTTCTGGGGTTAAGAGACCTCGAATGATTGTTGATGAGCAGCAACCTTCAGTGCATATAATATTTAACTCTTTGCCCAGGTATGATGTTCTTAATTTGCATCTATTGTCTGAATAGATATGGAGAGCAATAAACTTCAATATTTTTCTCAGAAAAAGTAAACAAAAACTTGAAGAGCTACTAAAGCAGTGGTCGCATTGGCATTCACAGAGCTTCTTGCCATCAGATGTGAGCTGCTTCTTTACATTTATGTATATATATATATATATATATATCATTTTTATGTTTGCTTGTGAGGCCTCGTATTTCCTTTTACCGTCATTGATTACAATGATGAAGCTGATGTTTACTTTCTACTCAGGATTCAAGTGTAATTACGGAATCTGGAGAAGAGACCTACTTTCCTGCTCTTCATGTTGGCGTGGATAACCCTTCTTCTGTTGTATGATTCTCTTCTTCTTTTATGTTTTCGTAAAAAGGCTTGTTCACTTGACATATTCTTAGATACATGTATATTCATAATCCACATCATTTAGCTGCTTGGAATAATTTGCTAGAACATCTCCTGGAGATCTATACATTTCATTTTCACTATAGAACTGCAAGGAAAATGATTTAAATGTGCTTTTATGCGTCATTAAAAGCTTGTATATTAAGAAGCAACATAATAAATTGGATTTTCTCATTCCTTTTAGATTCACGCCCTTCAAGAATTAGGTGGGGGTACTATAGCAGAACTTTTAATCTCATGACAGAATATATGAAAATAGAAGTTAATGTCAAATAACTTAAGCCTCAACCTAATTCAAATGAAGGTTTCCATCAGTTTCTTTTTCCCAAAAGTTATGCGAATGAAGGTTTCCATGCATTGTATTAGAAATTTTTATTTTGGTCACCCAAATTATGATGCATTTCTTATTATAGTCTATGGAAATAGTCCATGGATGCCCTATATCTTACAATGATTAGCTGGAAACTTGTTTTGCTATGAACTTATGGTTGTTCCATTTACAAACTTTATGAAGACCTATTGGGTGGATAACCAAACAAGGACGCGACCAAATAAGGAGTTTACACCATTGGATGACACCTCTGTTCCTCTATATGATCGTGGATATTCTTTAGCTTTGACTTCAGCTGGTGGTTCCGGTGGTACGGATGGGTATGTTCATTTCAATGTATTTCAATTTTGGAAGTATTTAATTTTTTGTTTCCCTTGGTATGCCCCTATGAAGTTTTTTGCTTTCTCTATTCTTACTCTTATCAATTTTTCTTATAAACCAATTTTGTTTTACACTTATTTGTTGGGTGTGTTTTTATATTTGTGACGCAATGAATGGTGTAAAACCACCAGAATTACTAATAATGGAAGAAAGCCTGGCACTACCTTTAAGTTCTCTGCCAAAAATCTCTCTTACAAAATTTTTTACAGTTTGTAGATTATAGGCGATTATCATCGTTAGTCGTTAGATCCGTGGTGCATTATGGATTAGTTGGTGAAACATGAAGAGCTAAATATCATTCAACTATCTTTCTTGTGTGCTAATTCTTGTTTTGTTATTTATAATAAAATTTTTGCTCCATTTATCTTCATTTCCTGCAGTGGAGGGGAAGAACTGGATAGTTCTCGTTGTTTCAACTGTGGCTCGTACAACCATGCACTGAAAAGTTGCCCCAAACCTCGCAATAATGCTGCTGTCAATAATGCTCGGAAACTCCACAAGTCTCGAAGGACTCAACAAGCCAATTCTCATAATACTACTCGATATTATCAGAGTCCCAAAGTAGGAAAATATGATGGCTTGATTCCGGGTGTACTTCATGCTGAGACACGTGAAGCCTTGGGCATTGGGGTAAGAAGATAAACTCTATCACTCAAAGCGTACTCGCCTGCACCTTCATGAAATTACTATTATGGTGTTTGTCGATTGAATTAATGCTGAATCTCTTGTAGGGTATCTTATGCGTTTTTTTATTTGTACTTTGTAGAAGCTTGATCCACCTCCATGGCTTAACAGAATGCGAGAATTAGGATACCCACCAGGCTACCTAGGTAAAATTTGAGGATAGTATGATGTGATTTCATTGTATGCTCATATGAGCTGGTGCAATCTACAATCTTTGTATTGTTGAGTTCTTCTCATATGTTTGGCTTGATTTTGCAGTTGTTGAAGTAAATGAAGAGGATCAGCCATCAGGTCTTACAATTTTTGGCGAAGAGGATACTAAGGAAGAAGGCGAAGAAGGTGAAATTCTAGATGTAGGCCTCCCCAAGCCATCTAAAATGTCTGTCAAGTTTCCAGGGATAAATGCCCCAATACCAGAAAATGCAGACGAAAGACTTTGGGCGTCACCCAGCCCTTTTAATTCTCATCAGCATAGGGATGATCCAAAGTGGAGGTACAATCACCATCCGACTGAACATCTGACCCGATGGCGTCATTCTGAGCATAGGTGGTCGTCAAAAGGGCTGGACGATGAGGGCCCTCCCGGCTGTGAGCCAGGAACAAGTCCCTCATTGTCCTATCATCTTCGAAGATACAGTGATACCAACAATGCCAATAATTATTACTCTCGTAGTCCACAAGACAGCCCGGCAACACCCTGGAATTCTCTCTATAACCGGTCGTCGTCTTTCAGACACAGGTAGAACTATGTGGTCGTCGTCTTCTCTCTATAGCCGGTTGTGTTGGCGGTAGCCAAGATCAGCTAGCTAACTAATCAGAAACTGTTGGAGATGGGCTGCCACCATGTTAGACAGATGGTTGATGAACTGTAGTCTGATCTGATTGAGGATTGATTCGCTGCTTGTTTGACAGACGATAGTTTGATGATGATGATGAGTGCAGACTTCTTACATGTTTCGACTGTAATTTCTTGTGTAAACTCCTCCTGTATTTGAATTGAGCCTCTAAATAGGCAAAACTTGTTTCTATAGCTATTTATTTGTTTCTATAGATGGCATGGGATGGGTTTTTCAAAATTACATTTTTTTATAAAAAAATAAAATAAAACAAATTGGTCATCGTTTCTATGTTATAATTGTTCTTTAGTGCTACAGTGGTTTGGATGGATCTTTCTTTCAGGTCAAACTTGAAGGGCAAATCGATTCTCTTCTTTTCTTGGCGGACATCTGATGCTACAGATTCAAAACCCTTTTCGACGCTCCCTTGTTCGTCCAATCGAATCGACCCGCTCGATCGATTTCCTCTCCTTTCCGGGGGTTTTCTAATGGCGGTGCCGGTGGTGCGATTCCCGATCTTCGCAGTGGTGAGAGCCCTAGGAATTGCTGTGGCTGCACTGGTTCTTGTATGGACTGTGCATTACAGAGGCGGATTGGCTCTCGTATCCGAGAACAAGGATCTCATTTTCAACGTAAATTCCTCCCCTGTTCTTCTTTCTTTTTACATATTTGGCTCGGAGGTTTTCCAGACTTCTAATTTTGACTTTCTTTTGTGTTTTGGGAATGGAACATATCCTTTTACATAAATGATGAATTAAAGCGTGGTAAACTGTGTTTGTTTTCAGGTTCATCCTGTGTTGATGCTGAGTGGCCTCGTGCTTCTGAATGGCGAAGGTATGAAAAATTTGAAGCAACAAATGCGTTCTGTTATTTCGGATTCTAAACTAAATTCTAATGTTTTTAGGCCATCACGTCTTCCTCTTCAGATGAATTGTGATTAAGATCCACATGTTATTGATTTAAGATTTGTTAGGAAACTGAAACAGTGGGGATCAATGTGTATTGTTACCTTAAGATCACCAAAAACTTAGCTCTTTCTCCATATGCCTTTCTGAAAGCAATCTTGTGCTTTCGTAACAAAAAGCCGACTTCTTTTGTTCTTGAGAAGTATTTGCTTGCATTTTGACCTGTGGTTAACATTAGTTCATTGTTTCTTAATGCCATCTTGGCTTGGTTGGATAATGTTTCAAGTTTATTTAGCACCCAAAAGAATCATAATTCTGTTCCTATCCATCATCTCGGTAAGCGGGGAGATGATGTCTCGGTAATCAATAGAACAATCGAAACTACTAATAAATGCTGTGTTCAATGGTGTTGTCTCTGTAACTGATATTACATTAGAAACAAGCCAAATTTAGGGATTGGGTCTTTTTTCCTCGGTAATGGTTTATAGATCAAGAACCAATGCTAAACAATTGGACATTCGACTAGGCATTCATACTTCGTGCGCACTGTAATGGATGAATCCAATTGCCCCTGCTGCGTGTTTGGATCTTGATCTAATGTGGGAGTTGTGTTTGTCAGAATGTGAATACGCAGACATTTTTTATTATATAGTAGGACTATGTTGTAACTTGGTATGATTTTTTTCAGCGATCCTAGCGTACAAGACTGTATCGGGAACAAAGAACTACAAGAAGTTAGTTCATCTTCTCCTGCAGTCACTAGCTTTTTGTCTGAGCATCATTGGACTATGGGCTGCGTGGAAGTTCCATATTGACAAAGGGATCGATAACTTCTATAGCCTCCATTCGTGGCTCGGCCTGGCCTGTCTTTCTTTATTTGGAGTTCAGGTAATTGTTTTTCATAAAATGTCCTTCTGCCCATAAATCTAGCAGCCTTGTAGCTTCGCCAATTGAAGTATTGTTGGTTTCGCCGTATAGTGGGCTGCTGGATTCACGACTTTCTGGTACCCTGGAGGATCAAGAAATAGTCGAGCTGGCCTATTGCCATGGCATGTATTCTTCGGTGTTTATATCTACGTGCTTGCAGTGGCGACTTGCACCACGGGGTTTCTGGAGAAGATGACGTTTCTTCAGACGGGTAAAGTAATTTCGCGCTACTCGGCTGAGGCGTTGCTGGTGAATTCGTTGGGAGTGTTGATCGTCGGGTTGGCGGGATTTGTGGTTCTTGGGGTTGTTTCTCCTGTCTATGGAAAAGGTGATCCTCACAGAGGAATAGCAGAATAGCTGCATCAAACTCCATTGTTGAGACATTGTAAGCTTTTTATACATATACTGCAATTGATTGAAGAACATTCATAACCATACGTCAGTTAAACATAATCAGCATTACGTTGTGCAGTCTACTCTCTCTCTCTATCTGTACACTTTGTTACTATTTGGGTTGGGCCTAAATTCTTGAGTCCAATGGGCCCAATGAGAACTGGCCCAAAGTGAAAGTGGCATGAATTAAAATGAACTCTTGATTTAATCAGGCAGGCAGGCTCTTCTTAATTGGTTCCTTTTCAGCATCAGCACTCTTCATTAAATGAAATAATGTAACAAAATTGTTCGACAATTAGGATATTGGTACAATCTATTTAATTTCATTTGGGAATTGCAGACTATCTATATACACATCAAGGAATTTAATGCATAGTAAAGTACTCTTATCAGTGGGACTTGTGACTATTCCTAGAGGAAATTGCATGCAATTTTGAATAATGTATAATAAATATTCTAGGATTATATATATATATGCATGATAGTTCTCAATGGAATATAATAATACTTGATCCCAAAACCCTATTCTGGATTTAATTTATTTACCATAAAAGAGTGTATGTACAACTATATTTTCTGTGATTGAGAGCCACAGAAGGAGCATGAACACAATTAAATTAAATATTATAATTCAAGATTTTCTGGGAGCCAACATATCTCTGCATCAACCTTAATACACTCTTTGATGTCCCTTCTCTCTCTCTCTCTCTCTCTCTCTGTGTGTAATACCAAGCCAGTATTAATTATTTCCCTAAATTTGATAGCTAGGGTTATTAATAAGTGTACTTCGAAACAGTGATATAATTAAATACGTTCATCACCACATTCTTGAATTATGATTGATAAGAGGTATGTGTGCATATACATATTAAATGAACAAACTATCTAAAATTTTGACACAGGGCTCCATGTAACAAATCATACAATACAATCATCATGTTAATTGTGCCCAAAAATATAAACAAATGTATAGCTGCTCACTAGCTAGCTAGGTTCTATTTTGGCTTCTATATCTTAACACATCCATATATATACACATATATAAAATCTATATGTATATATATCTAGCTAGGGCTTTTTATTTTTTCCTAGTATAAATAAGTGGCCTTGTTCTGCAGTTTCTGTCCCTCCTTCGTCATATAGTATTTTAATATATATGTATATACATCTATCTATCTAATTCAATCCCAGAAAGAAAGAAAGAATGTGCATATGGTCAATTTCCTTTCCTGCAGCAGCCATGGTAGGAAATTTACTGTAACTATTTGCAGTTTTAGTCCAAGATGTGAGATTTTCTTTATTTATACAAAACTAACTCAACTGATCCTCCTTTTTTTTTTTTTTTTTTTTTTTACTCAAAAACTTCTAGATTTATTAATATTTTGGGCTGATTAGCCAAAACTGCATTAAGTATCGATTGGATCTTTGAGGGTTCTTTATTTATTTTATTTATTATTGTATATATATTTTATATAAATAATTCTTCTCTTTACCAGGTGAATGGAAGAGTTGAAGAGAAGAATTTTTATTAACATTAGATACTCTATCAAGTTTTATTTTGTACACACCAAGGAAAAAATAAAGGTAAATTAGTTAAATTGATTATTTAAGATATCAAGGGCCATATATATATATATGTGTGTAAAATATTTAAACATTAGATAAATAAGTGTATATATATAAATTATATCTTGACTCGACTACTCTATACCCATGACTAGCTAGGCATATAATAATTAAATGGCTGAAATTATCACACAAACACGTCAAATCTTTTCCTGCAAATTCATCATATATTATTTTCTGTAAGTACGTACCTTTATTATTATTATTATTATTATTATTATGTTTATGTTTAGCTGATTTAATAAATTTTAGTTGGTCACTGGAATAAGTACTGTTCAAAATTAGGCTATTTAATTATTGTCCCAATATTATAAGGGTAGCTAGCAGCAATAAAAAGTGGTTCTTTAATTTGACTCCAATGATGTTGCAGGAAACTAGCTATTAATTGAACATGCATGTCTGCTTGGGCTATATCTTTTTTTTTTTAGCAGATAAGTACAGTCATGGGACTTGGCCTTTTTAACAAATGGATATACAAAACCCACTATATAGGCAATAAATTTGTTGATAATATTTGAATCTTTATAAGGAAATTGATTTGATGTAGAAACATGAACAGTTAAACATGTTTGTGATGGTTAGCTAGCATGTTTCTTTCAATGAAAAGTCATACACGTAAATTAAATTAAAATAAAATTACAAACATCATTTGATTGATTGTGATCCTAACATACATTACTAATCCAATGTATATTTGCAATGTAATAACTTGATATATATATATATATATACTATATATATACACACAGAAGAGTAGCTAGCCGTGTCTCTCGAATCATTGTGCTACAGAGGCAGCTTTTATTTATTTGCAATACTCTCTAGGCTTAACAGACAATTGGCTCTCCGATTTGATTTGAAGTTGATATATTTTCACAAATGTTAGCCTTTTTAAGTGAAGCCTTTATGATCTGATCGATGTAACCCCTTTGGTTCATATCTGCTTTCATTTCTGATATATATATATATGTGTGTATGTATGTATTTCAATATATATTTATTATGCTAGTCTATCAATTAAATACAAACGAATTTATATCCTGCATCAAATTCAGAATTACATTGGATTGAATTGATCAAGACAAGTTGAAAATCACTCATCAAAACATGGACTGTAGTGTTTAGGCTATGCCCATTGGTCTTACAGAAATTCATGTTATCTTGACCCGAAACAAATTGAGATTTGAGAAGATATGATATGAGGGGTGCACAAACAGTACAAACATGATCTATATATTACCATTCATGGCAGCACTCTATGTAGGCAGGCAGGCAGTTAATTCCAAAGCATGAATGATAATATAATTAATAATATTACATCCTCACACATTTTAAGGTTGCTCAAGTATAAGGTAGGTAGCAAAACTTACATGTTCTTCTGGTGATCAGCAACAAATAGTCCTGTGGCTTCCTATTGGCCGCTTGAAGTCCTGTAGATGAAGATGATCGATATAATTTATAATATTGGAAACTGGAAAGTCACTTTCTATATGACAAATATATGTGTATGTATATATATATATATATATATAATTATAATTACCTTTGGATGAAGTTGTGGTGATCATCCCAAACGGCAGGCATGGTGGATTGTGAGGTAAAGCTACATAAATCCCAATTCTCAGAAGCATTAACATCAGATGGGATACTGTTGTAGCTTGAAGAACTGAAATCATTTGAAAAAATTAGGTTTTGATGCAGCCCCAAAATCGAAGGGTTGTTCTTCGTCTTCCTTTGGATTTCTTGATTATTGGGTAGGGCACAATTGAGGATGGGGTCACAAAGTCCCGAATTTGGATCAAAAATGGAGGAAAGGTTGTTGCTACTCGAACCTGCAGCAGATAATTGGAAATCTTCGAATCGATTATTTTCCCTACGTTGGAAGGGATTCAAATCTGAACTGGATCCACTTAGCTGCTGCTTCAAGCACATTTTCTCCCTTGTTCTTTCCCTAGCTCTTGCTCTGGCTTTGGCTCTCGATTCCTTCGCATTATGTGCCTCCTGTTGCTGCATCTGATCCTTCGATTTTCGACAATGGGTGGAGGATTTCTTCCTCGAATTCGGTCCTGACGAGTTCTTGTTCAGTGTTTCAATGGCGTCCTCCTCCTCGTCGCCTTCTTCAGAAGCTTCATTGCAATCAGAACCGCTGCCTTTCTGCTTGGTATGCACGAGCTCTTTAATGGCTGCTTTCGATTTGGTGAGCAGCCAATCGAGGGTTTTGCTGGGCTTGTCGAAACCTAGCATTTCTTGAAGATCGAAGAACTTCCGTGCAATGTCTATGGAGAGACGTACTCTCCGGTCCCTGGGTCCTTGGGAAGTGAATATTTTGCTGTGTCTGTCCTTTTTAACCGTTGGTTTTGTCTGCAGAGATGCTGCTGCGTTAACGTTGGCCATGGAATTAGGAGCTCCAAGATCTCCATTTAGGTCACCAAGATCTCGACTCGGCAAATCTGATTCACCTCCTAAATGATGAAGATGAAGATGATGATGCCCCCATAACATCTCCTGATACTGTCGATGAACCAATGCTTCGATGGCGTTGAGGTCAACCTCGGAATTGCAACAATCCTGAGGAAGAAAATATGTGCTCTTGCTCATCGTAGAAATCTTAATTCCAACACAGACACACAAAAGGGATCGAAAAGTCGAACGCTCTATGAACTTTCTACATCAAATCAAACCGTAATTAATTATCCAATCAATTTGAAAAAAAAAAGAAAAAAAGAAAGCACTTCTTTTCTCAAGGAAGAGGAAGTCTGCAAGAGGGCAAAACCTCATCCTTAAAATCATGTTCTTGATGGATCGACAGCATTTACATGGAAAGATTGGAGACGGACAGTGAGGTTAAAAATGGGAGTAAGGAATTAAAATGATGAAAAGGAAAGAGTTTCAGGAGAGGAAAAGTTTTCGTACACTACTTTTTTCTTTTTTTTTTTTCTCACTCCAAATATAAGCTGCTTGGATGAACTAAATGAGGGTATCTCATTGGTTAAAGAAAAAAAAATTCTTCCTCATCTTGTTCTTTACATATTCATCTTCTTATATGATTAATTCCAAAATGAATTAATTAAGCTACAGCTTGATACAGTGGTGCAATTAATTGACCTAATTAAGTGTCATTACAAATAGGTCAAAAAACCCCTAAATTAATTCAATTCCAAAATCCATTGAGTTTGTATGTGTGTAGAGTAATTAGGGTTTGATTAATATATAAGTAGTGATGGGTTAGTGGTGGTTTTGCAGGGGTGGGGCGACGCCTGCATGTGTAGTGAGTGGCTAGGGCAAAAGCTAAAGCTAAAGCTATAGACGATGATATACATGTATGTATATGTATCTGCGTATTTAAGTGCTGAATTAGAGAGGACGACTGTGGTATTACAATGAGTCTATACTATAGTATAGTATACGTACCTTTTATCTATAACCCTACGCAATGGACAAGCTAAGTTAATTTACTCCATTGCCATTTGCTTTTCTTGGTGGGGCCCACTCTCATCGTGTCCTCTTCTTCACGACTCTCCTCCTCCCACACCATTTACAGTATCAGTATGCCCTGTCACCATTCACTCCATCACTCCCCCCTTCTCTTTTCTCTGATCCAATCTCTATCTCTTTGCTTCTGCTTCGATCTACTTTTATTTTCTATCCTTCTGTACCTCTGAAAATAGCTTCCCCTTTGGCTCGATCTGTCCTCAATCTTGCAATCTTGTGGCAACCTTAAGGTTTTTTCAGGTTCTGTGGACTTGGTAATTGGCTTTTTGTAGTAAGAAGTAATTGGAGCAATTTGGGAACTAGGGTTTTGTGTACAGTGATTTATACTTGCAGGTTGCATTGGAAACCCTAGTTCTTGAATTGGGGTTTCTGTGATTGTGATCATGGTCCTTTTTTGTTTCTTTTCTTTTTGAGGGAGGGAGGTGATTCGGAGGAGGTGGGTTTTATCATTTAGTATTGGGTCATTTTCAAGAATTTACAAGAACTCTTTTAACTATTTCGAAACATAATTAACTAACATTTACAATCGATAATATTTCAGTTTAAGTTTCTCTGGTTGAAGACGACAGCCACAGAAGCTTCAAGAGCAGCTGCAGAATATATCATCCATGGTAAGGAAGTTCCCCCATCACAAATATATACACTCAATCATACAGATAGATATACATATTGTCTGTGTGTAAGTGTGGAAATAGCTTGAGGAATAGAATTTTTTGATAGAAAAACAGGTGGTTGTGATCCAGAGGCAAAACCCTCAAAGAAGAAGAACAGCTCCTCCACTGTTCATAGTACCATGTTTTTTTCAGAACAGAAGACCATATATTAGACTTTGCAATTATTTTTTTGTATCATTTATCAATTTATTTATTTTTTTATAAAAAAATTATATTCAATTAAAATATTACAACAATAATGTCAAGATATCTTATTTTTCATTCAAAATTTTAATATTAAAAAATATAATAATAAAAACACATAATTCCAAAGCACCACTTAACAAACCCTAATAAGTCCAGGATTAATAATTAAAGGATTTGTTCTCATTCTCTCACTATATATATTTTTAAATTATTTATTAAAAATATCTAAATTTCTATATAGATGTATTATTTTCTTTAATAAAAAATCATATTGAGCTCTTATTTAAATATAAATACATGTCAAACATGCTAAAAATATTTTGTGTGTATATATATATATATATGTGTGTGTGTTTGTAAAAATATTTGTAATTATTAATTACTGTTAATATTATTTTGGTGCATGCTCCAAGTCAGAATGTTTTGTTGGATGTTTTTTACTGTACTGTTCTGAATGATCTCTCTATATATAGATCACATGTATTGGTTCCCTAATGTTCGAACCTGCACACAGATAAAATATAATTAGGTCTGTACTATTCTACACAAATATAACCTTTCAACTGTGCATACATTTTTTTTTTTTTACTTTTTATGTTCAAATTTAAATCATCTCTCTCGTATCTAAATAAGTACTTTTGATAGTCATTTATACTTTTATATGCTATTGATCATATTTTTATTATATATATATAATAAATGAAGATGAATTAGTGGTTTAATAAGTTGGTTTCATCTATGAGATATAATTTTATTAAGGGTGAAATAAAAATTAAATCAATACTTTTAAATTTTAAAAATATTATATATACATATATATATATATATCTTTATTTGTATAAATACATATATTGAGTGTAGTTATATAATACTGATATACAAATACTGATTTATTGTATACAAATGCTGAATATGGTCAATGTAAAAATAGGTGTAGGGTTGGACTTGTGACCATGTTGAATATATTAAAGGTGTTGAATGTTAAATAACATTAAAACAACTCCAATAATATATATTCCATGCATGATATTTCAATCATTTTAATAGAAATATATTCTAAATATATGTTATACAACTAATTTACATTATTAAGTGGAAAAAAGCAAAGGTAAATGTCTATATATGATCCACTCTTATAGAAGCCCATCAACTACCCTGCAGATTCTCTTACAAAATTTTAACACAATAAGAATACATAAGAATAAGAATGAAATATATATATATATATATATATTACCACAAAATTAATTATAGAATAAAAATTATATAAAGTATGTGTTTCCTCTTATATAACAAAAGTGATATCAACAAAGTGTTGTTGATTTTAGAATTTTTTTTTTCTTTTAGTATTTTAAATTAAACTCAATACAATTAATCTTGTACGATTTTGAATAAAAATATATAATTTTCTTTTATTATGTATATTATAATACTATTTAAACAAAAATTTAAATCAATATAGCATTTCAAATCAATTTTAAATTACAATAAACAAATTTTTAGGTTGTGTATGATTCTAGGGTTTCATATAGGGTTTTACTATTTTTTATTTTTATTTTTAAAAAAATATTAAATTTAAATATTTATTTGGTATTTATTATATTATATTATACTAAAATTTAATTTCATAATGTCAATATATATTTAAATTATATTAAATAATTATTTGAATTTAAATTTTTATTATTCGAAATTCAAATCTTACAAGCAAACGCTCTTTAGTTATTAGAAATTGTGACATTGTTTAGTTTGAGGTCATTGTTTAGTTGCGTTTCTTTTGACGAGTTTGGAAAAAAAATTGTTTTGAGTTTGGTATAAAAATAATATTTGATGAAATATTTTGTGAAAGAAAAAAATATATTTTTTTAGAAAACGTAGAGATCAAATAGTAAAATTCAGATAAAATCGGCTAAAGAAACATACATTATGAATTAGTTAGAATATAGTAGAAAGGAAATAGTGCAAGAAGCCAACGAAGAAGTCCCTTTCATAAACTTTTGTTTGCAGTTATATATTATTATTATTATTATTATTAGCTTTTTGAGATGTACCCTGGCATGCATTAACTTTAAATCATATCATATTCGTGTCCCCCAATAGACACCATACAATGATAATAATAATAATAATAATAATAATAATAAATCATGGTCACGTCAATCCTTTTACCTCAAGTCATGACCATATTGTGAAGTATAATTGGCCACCTTGTCAGAATAATTTTATACATAATATTTTGATATTTAAAAAATTCAAAATTTTTACAATTAAATATTTCATATTAATACTCAACTATTAAAAAAAAAAGAAAAAAAAATGACACGAAGCATTTAATATCTTAAAAAGTATAGAACGGCATGAATGAAAATGTGTTTCGAACAAAATACAAAGTATTTTTAAATGCCATTTTTTGAAAAAAAAATGTTAATCTAATTTATATAATACGAAAGGGTGTTTTTTTATATATTTTTTAAAATTGTTCTTACTATGCTTGAATCTTTTATATTTTTTATTTTTTTTTCGCTCACAAAATATTATATAAATATTACTTAAATACAAATTTTAAATTAAACATTATCGATCCAAATTATCTAAAAAGACTACTCTTGCTGTGGAATGAAACACAGTCAAGCACGCTATATATATTTACTCCTTTTAACTTTTATTGTTAAATGGAGTATTAAAAACCTAAGGTTAGGTAGTTTTGATATTATTAATTAAAAATATTTTTTTTAAAAAAATATTATATTAAACACTTTTTTGTTTTTTTAAGTATCATATAATTATTCAATATTAACTATTTGATCCATATTATATAAATATGTGTATTTAATTCGATTTGGGATAAATCCAAAGTGGTGTCATTTCGTGATGCTACGGATTCCACAATGGCCTTAAAAATTGAATGTCACTTGTCGAGCAAATGTATACAACAATAAATTCCCAAATAACTTTTACACACACGCAGATATATATATATATATATATTATATGTAAATTATCCTCCGGCAAAGAAACATGTAAAGAAAAATGGAATGTAGTGTCACCTTTTATTGAATGGTACCTAATAATCTACCTAACCTTAAATAATAATTGTTATAATGGGTAAACTCAAAACTTGTATGATATTATCCGCTTTAAATTGAGTTTGTATATACGAAATTATTTTTAATTTTTTCTAAAAAAATTTATACTACTGTAATTATATGTAAAATTTATAAAATGTGACTTATAATTTTTTCAATATGAGACTTGAATTTGCATATTAATAATAATTTATTGTTCGTAGTTAAATGAATCAATTCTTGTGTAGTATATATGCACAAGAATTTTAAATAATCTTGTTGGTTCGTATATGCTACCTATTTTTTAGCTCAATATACTACCTTTCTGATCCGGCTATCGTGTCTACACAAAAATTTTAAAAAAAAATATAATTAGTAAATAATTAAAAATGTATTAAAAAAATAATTATAAAATAAAATTAATATAACTATTTAATTTAATTACAATTTTAAAAACTATAAATTAAAAAAATTAAATATGATATTAAAATGTATATTCTTTTTCAAAAAGAAAATGACATAAGATATACATAAATAAAAATATGAACACGATATGTGAGAGGAAAAAAAGTATATAATAACTGTTACTATATTTATTTATTATTTTTAACATTGTGCTGGGAAAAAAAAAAAAAAAAAGTTAAACCACACATAGTACATATTATATTCGAAACTACCATAAGATTGTAATGGTTAATGCAATATATATCACCTTTAATTTCAATGCATATAATTTGTAATATAATTAATACAATATGTAATATAACTCACAATACAGCCGATAACACAGTTCAGTACTAATTATATATTATGTATATCATTATAATGTGCTCTTTGATCCACAATCGACATTGTAACTACAACTATATATCAGTGAATTATTACGTTCTTTATTATTTTAACTTATATATATATATATATATATATTCAATGGATGAGGGAATTTTACGACTAAATGAAGTTTGCTACAATTTGGTATGTGGAACGTAACTTCATATAATTTTTAGGGTGCTAATTTTTTAGCACTCAATTGTGATCATTTTCATAGAAATTAATAAGTTTCATAAATACATGGAACAAATTTAATGGCAAGTTTGCAACAAAGAGATCAATAAGCTTATAAATTTAAAGCAATTACATTTTGGGCCGAATTTGTGGTATAAGGCCCAAATTTCAAGGCCTGACGAGCCTACATAAATGAGTGTAGATTGACTGAATAGTGGGCTTTTAGGTATTTTTCTTCCACACCCTGCAGAGTGAATGGATAATAATTAATGTTTTCAATTGATCTATTATATATTATTTAATAATAATAATAATAATAATAATAATAATAATAATAATAATAAACCAGTTCAAAGAGGTGGGTTAGGGTACAATTACTTAGATAAAATTGGGACTTTTCCTGGTGTATTTTATTGGGGGAAAATAAAAAGAAGGGATATATAGGATGTGGGAATGTTGGAATCGGACAAGCAAGCAATGAAGCATGGTGCGAGGCCTTGCACCGAGATTGGCAAAAGGAGAGAGATTTTTTTGTTCGACTTTTAGATTTGGATCAAACCATTTGGCATTTCGCTTCCATTTTCGGTTGTTTATAAGCTTGTCTCTGTGTGTTTTGAACTAGATCTCTCTATAAGGATTGTCTGAGCGACAAGTTCACAGTCACCACTTGATCTGACACTGAAATTGAAAGATTGTGATATTTAGTTTTTGTGATTTCAAATATAAACGTTTTTTGAAGTGCTTATAAACCTGTGCCCTCTGATCTTTGTATCAAATGGGCGAGTATTCAATGGTTTCATCGTTGTTTGAACAAAGAGGGGTTTTCTGATATTCGGTTCCAATCTGGCATATTTTGGGGATCAATTTGAGGCGGTGAATGAAGAGGAGAGTACCGGGGGTTGACTCATAATATCTTGTTATTCAATACGCATTCTGTGTTAATTGCTTTCAAATTCGACAGGCTAGCTGGTTTCCCTGCTGAAGATTTCCTTTCTTTAAGCGCTGATTGGGGCTGTTGTATCGCCTACTTCACTCTGCCTGTTCAAAAAATTGAATTTAATTCCTCACTTGTTTTGCTTATTATTATTTTCACTTGTTGGGGAGGATTTCTTAGGTGCGTTTGATTTGTTTTTTGTTACTCTGCATTTACCCAATTTTGGCTATCATTGTCTTATCAAACAAAGGTAGATACTACTAGGAGTCTAGGAGCCCTTTTTTGTCAGCTTTTGAGCCACTCATTTTGTCCTGACATGTTTCTTTTTTTCAATATATTCATCATGGCATCAACCTATTTGCCTGAGGGCTAACTGCATACCCTTTAGGCCCCATGTCCAAAATATTTGCATGTTTTGTATGTTGCCTACTCTGATATATATGTGGTTTTTCTGTGCACCTAAACCAAAATTTGTTCAACTAGATGGATCTGTAAGTCATGGTGTGTCTACATGGGCATCTGGTGTTGATTGAATTCCTGCTATCATCTTTCTTTGCTTGTGTTAACTGTTGCATTCAAACTTCATCATTTCCTTTTCCTTTTGTTACTATTTGTACTTCTCATTTTGTGTCTTTGCATAAAGTGGCCGTCACCATAAATTTGGGGGCGTATTTCTAATTATATAGGACTTGATTATACTTACGGGTTTGTCATTATCATGTATTCACATTATTGTGTTTTTCTCGATAAGACAACTGGATTAAGAAATTTGCTTATTGGCCGTTTACGGAGCACATTGCCTATCTTAATGGGGTCATGCTTTCAGGTGACTTTATTATTAGGGGAATTCATAATAATTGATGTTCTTGGTTTTAGTTTTATTTGTTTCACAACTGAGGAAACCCGTTTGGGGCATGTCAGGCTATCTAATCATTTTTTTTTTTCAATCATATGTCATTTAAACTCACAGAGCTTTAGCTTTTTGGCTAATGGCTGATGCTTTAATAAGCCTTTGTGCATTTCATTGTTGTTTCACTTTTGCCATAGTTCTAAGTTCTCTCTGCTTCACCGGATGGAATACAAATAGTTGGACAAGTTGTGTGATGTTCTTTTGGATGCTCCTTTTGTTGCACTTCAATGCATAGCCATTATTTTTTTCTATTTCTCTTCCTATGATTATCTGTTCTAGTAGCCTATGACATGCTCCTCTTGTATGGGTTTGTTATAGTTATACGCACTTGAGTGATTTCCTTGTACAAGGTTCCCTGCAGTTTTTACTATGAATACCTTGCATATTATCATATGAACTATCAGTCTGACATGTATGAGGACTTCTGAATTCACGTTGAGATTTTCCCAATCTCTGGATCATTTTTTATTTTTTTCACCCTTAACTAAATACAAAGTGAAGAAGAAAAGAGAAATCTTGCTCTTTTAGTAGTTAATAATCATAGTGATTAGTGAATTTCAATGCTGCCATACTCCTGAACATCTGGTATTATTTGATGCATTTACCAAGCTCGTTTTGTACTGTTCAAGATTGCTGGGGTCGGGTGAGGCAGAACTGAGCATGCCTTTGGTAAATGACTTTCCATGAACATCTACATTACTTTTTTCATCACACATCACTAAATTAAGAAGATTTGTGTTATTCTTATTGTGGGATTTACTTTTGTTCTGTCATTGCTATTCTGATGCTTCTCATTTGTGTCTTTACAAAGGGTAAAAACTCAAATGGCATTCGTTAGTTTATTTGGCTATCGAGTTGGAACATTATTGCCATCGAAGTTTTAATGTGATTATATGCCTATGTCGCTGTAGATGTAGAGAGTTGGTTTCCAACTTCTGGGGAAACAATTATATTCTGAAGCCCAGGTCAAGAAAACTATGGAGGTGAGTGATTATCGACTTATCCAGTCATATACATTAACAGCTTATTGGATGATATGGCTACCATTTGTATTTCTGGAGTACCTTATTTAACGTTGTGTGTGAACAGTCCTTTGGAGAGGCGGAGAGGATATGAAAAGAGAGCTCGATCATATATGGTTAGATTATCTCATCTTTCTCTCTCTTTCTATTCTCCATGGTGGTTCTACTCTTTCTGAAATATGCTTTTAAAAAAAGCTAGTTTAGTTACTTTGCCGATTAATAATGGGCCAATGATAATTTTTTAGGCTTAAATCCAAAACCAATATTTGTGTCTCGAGCCCAATATTCATGTGACCATTTACTGGTCTAGCCAGTGCCACCATCCACCGTTAGATCTTAGGGTTTATCTGAGCCATTGGATTCAACATTAACCTAAGTATATATAGTGGGTGCCTGTATGCGCCTCCACCATAATACGCAAAATCTCTTTCTAGAAAAGGGTTTTCCCATACTCCTCTCTCCACCCCCATTCCTTTACTTTATTCTTCTCTCGCGATTGTGAGGTTTAAGGCTGTTTCGTTCTCCTTCCTCCTGACTCCGTGGAGGCATTGGAGTTCCACCGAGTTTCACGGCAAGTCAACTGCTTGGTGTTGTTGCCGCCGTGAGTAAGTAGTTTTCGGTAATCTTTTTCCTCCCTTTTGTTCGTTTTAGTGAAGTTGTCATCACTGTATTTTGTCAAGGGTTTTGGCCTTGGGGGGCTAATTTGGGGATAGAGAGGGGCCGTGGATGTTGTCACAGCACTGCCAACGGGTCGGGTCCAGTCCGGATCCGAACCCGAACTCTCACTACATCCGTATCCGGAACCGGTTCGCCGGAACTAAAAAATGTTGACCGGAACCGGTTCCGTTGGATCCGGGTCGGCTCAATCCGGTTTCGGGTCTAAATATTCAGCAAGTTGTGTTTGTATTTTGGTTCGAAGCAATGCATGGTTAAAAATTAGACAATTAAATTTAATTACTATTATTTTTCAATTTAGACCGTCTCCAACGGAAGAGGATTTCCTCTATTTTTGCTACAGGCTGGGGAGAAAAAACTGCTCCAACACAATTGCAGAATTCACCCGCTGGAATCAGCGGGTGAATTTTTTCATTTTTTTTTTATTATAATTATCTATTTATTTATATAATTACCTATTTTTTAATATTATCTATTTATTTATGCTGTTATTTATTCCTTTTTATATTTATTTAATTTTTAATTTTTAAATATTATCAACAATTTTGTTTATATTTTTATATTTTATTTATTTTATTCTTTTTTTATTTTGTTTTAAGTTTATTATTTTTATGCTTTAATTTAAATATATATTAATAAATACAATTTATCAGCATAATATTAAAATATTAATTAAAAATATTAATTTTAAAAATTATGCAAAATAAAATATAAAAGAATATTTTTTAACCTCTAAAAAATGAAACCAGCAAAAATAAAGGTTATGGTTGGAGTATGGTTGGAGTAGAGACTTGCAAAAGTAGAGGGTATCATTGGAGATAGCAGACCCGGCAATGGAGAAATGTACTCTAGAGCTATAGAGTTATAGTTATGAGTTGGAGATGGTCTTAAATATAAAAAAATTACTTAATTCAAACTAAGTTCCTAATTTCAAAGAGAATTTAAACTAGTTAACACTACAAATATATTGATAAATAATAAGACATAAAAACATCTGGATCATGAATCATATAAAATGGATTCAGGTTAGGATATGGATCCAATCAATATAAGGTTTCGGATCCGGTTCGGGGCGGGTCTAATTGACAGGCCTAGATATTGACCGCGTTATATTGAGCTCGATTGTGTTTTGTAAGGACTGTAGCATCAAAATATTGGGCTGCATGAAAGTGGGCCAAAAGTGGAATCTGAGAAGCAGCACGTGGGCGGATGGGGCTGATGAGCATGCATGTGGCATTGTCGGCTCAAGACCGATTGCACTGCACGATACCCTTCTGTATGGGCTCAGCCATTGTCAATAAAATTGGGCTATGTTGAACTGGGCTCAGATTGTCCTGTTTTATAGGCCTTTCTGTTATATTAAGCCCAAGCAGTCAACATTAAAGCCTGTCCGATTGTGGAAAACAGCACGTGGAAGTCGTTTGACCTTGACACACGTACACGTGGTCTGCTCAGGACCGGCAGTAGTAGGCTTAGCTGTTGTATAATATAGGGACAAACAGGTTGAATCACCAAAAGATATGGACCTGATACACTGAACAGCAGGTGGTCATGTCTGATTTCGGATACACATGGATATGTCCGAAGTTGTTGGACAAACACCTGGCCTTTTTGGCACATGACTCACAGCAGGCCATCTATCATCTATGGGTTCTTTTGTTAATAATGTGGAGCTGATAGAGCCCAAAACCAAAATACTTGGGCCTCAGTGGCGTGCCCAGCAAAACAATGCGACTGTTTAGCGATTTGCAGACCTGTCTGCTTTTTTGGAGACAGTACGTGCAACAGTTGGACAGGTCTACAACACAAACATGACTTTGTCGGCTCTAATATGGGCTGTGATATGGGCCTGACTGTTAAAATATGGGCCCAGCAACAGATGCTGTCAATAAATTGGGCTTGGTAGCCCTAAAACATAATACTATATTGGGCTTTAGTTGTTTGCCTGCTTTAAGGAGACAACACGTGTAACGGTTAAACAGGACTGTAGCACACACGTGACCGTTGGGGGACAGCATGTGATACTGTCTGTTTTTTAGAGACAACACGTGTAACGGTTAAACAGGACTGTAGCACCCACGTGACCGTTGGGGGACAGCATGTGATATTGTCTGTTTTTTAGAGACAACACATGCAACAATTCAACAGGTCTGCAGCCCACACGTGACATTGTCGGTTCAACTACGGGCTTGTGAAATGGGCCTGACAGTTAAGATATGGGCCCAAAAACTTGATGCTGCTAATATATTGGGCCTTAGTGACTTGCGCCGCCAAAATTTTGTGACCGTTGGGGATTTATGGACAGCACGTGATCCTGTCTATTTTCTGGAGACAACACGTGCAGTAGTTAGCAGGTCAGCCGCACACACGTGACTTTGTCGGCGTAAATATGGGCTTGTGATATGGGCCTGACTTTTAGAATATGGCCTCAAAAAGCTGATACTGATAAATATATTGGGTTGGATAGGCCCAAAAGATAAGCTACATTGGGCCTTAATGGCCTGCCTGCTTTTTTGGGGACAGCACGTGTAACAGTTGGACAGATCTACAGTAACACACGTGACTTTGTCTGCTTAATATGGGCCAGTGATATGGGCCTGACCGTTACAACTTGGGCCCAAAAACTGTTGTGCCAATATATTGGGCCTTAGTGACCTGCGCCGACAGCATGTTGTCCTGCCTGTTTTTTAGAGACAACACGTACAGCAGTTGGACAGGTCAGTACACACGTGTCTTTGTCGGCTCAAATATGGGTCTGTAATTAATGGGCTTTTAACAAATTGGGCCCAAAAAGCTGATGCTACCAATATTGGGCCTCTTAGGCCCGTGCCGCCAAAACATTGTATGGAGTGGTCTTTGTTGACAGCACATGATCCTGTCGGATTCTGGGATACTGCGTGTGGTTTTGTCTGATGGGCATGAACCACGTCATGTGGCCCTGTTGCAATGGACCAACTGAGCGAAGGGCTTTCACGATGGGCCGGGCCTTGAAATATTTGTGGCTTATAGAGCTTCTGCTATTATGGGCCATTAGGCTGTGTGGGCTTTAACCGACAACATATTCTCCTGCTGGCTCCGTACTGAGCGAGGGCGTGTAAAACGAGCCGTCAAAATATTGTGCTTGAATTGGCTTATCATAGGATTTATTGGACTGAATGGACCTAGACCGATTTTAAACATAAAAATATTTTCAAATGTAATGTTTTAATTTAAAATTACACACTGAACAATGAATACTAAATATATATTTCTCTCTAATTCATCTCTTTTTTGCCATTTTTATTCGTAAAAAATCAATTATCCCCTTTCTCTTTTAGTAAATAGTGTATTAAAAAAAAAGTTCTTAATCTTATTTATTATTACACCATCAATTGAAGTAGTTATAGACACGCCTTAATGATATATAATAGATATGAAAGAAATCAAAGACATCGATTATTATGAATTCGTCTGATACTGAAGTGAAGTTACCTGAAAGAGCGACCCACCGTGCAAGATAGTACACCCTTGACATATATACCACCACTTCCGCTAATGCATTATTCCTCCCTCTTTCCGGACTGCAATAAAAGGAATCAAAATGAAATGAAGTTCAATAATTTGTGGGTAGGTTCAGTAAGCAGAGGAGATCAGACCTTCCAGCACAAATTTGTGTGGACATTAAGATGTTCCCCGATGAAAGATAGCATAAACAGTGAAGATGCCCCTGGAGACCTGAGCAGAAATATTGTCAGGAGAGACACCTTGCCTTAGCAAACCATGTATCTCCTGGAAGGTACAAAATCAGTATTAGGCTCAAACAAAAATACTATACAGTATCAATATGCACAAGATACATAACATGCATCTATTTTGGGCAACAGGGTTTGAAGAGTATGCAATTATCCATTTGTGGAGCATTTTAAAAATTAAACATAAAGCTCATTATCTTCATGAGAGCGTACACTTCAGAATGCTTCCAACAAGCCCCAAGGCATAGGATGACACCATGATCTTTATCTGAAAAGATAAAGAAATGAAAAACATGTTAGGAGGCAATGATTTGCTGCAAAACTGATCAACAAGAGGTCCTTGCAATGCTTGAACTGCATCACATATTTTTCGTGATGTCAAAATAGCATAAGCTTGGATGTAAGCCTCTTCAGCAGGAATCACCTGCAAGAATAATAGATTTTCCTTAATCAAACAGTATGTCTTGAACATAGATAGTGTAGTAATGGGTAGCAACTGGCAAGAACAAGAGCTTCAGGAAATTCAATTCGATAATATGTTTTAGTGCAGGATGCTATGTTCAAATCGGTCAGATATTTAAGATGAAATCAACTAATGGTGAATTGGAAAATATAGTCATGTACAGAAACAACGAAAAATATGATGCAGAGTGCAATGTATAAGTGCAAAAATGAATAAAAGGAAAAAGGAATGAAAGAAAGAAAAAGGGTATTTATTACAAACCTCATTTAAAGTTATAAGAATGCCAACAGCTAGTAAAACTACTACATAAAAAGAAAATTAAATTGTTTACTTTACAACTGGATGGCCAAAGTAGGTAAAACCTCAAGGGCGAGTATATTTTCTATATAGGAAACAATATTAAGTATAATATCGGTTGTTCAACAATGGAAAACTATACCAATTCATACTATCATCTAACTACGAGGAATTTACATTGCAAGGCACTTTCTTTCTGCAATATCCCAGCAAGTTGTGCTGCATCTGCATTTCATGTCACTTCTCACAATTCAAACACAAAATATGAAAATTCCAAGAACTGGAACCTATTAAAATGCAGCATATTATGATACCAAGGAATGCCCCTAAAATTGACAAGGGCACTGAGCTTCAAGAACCTGCAACAATGCAATCAATTTCGATACTAAGGACAATAAAAGGGATACACCAACAATGATAAGGGCATCGAGCTTCAAAGCAGGGCATTCATTAAAGGCTGGAGTGACTTGTCCAGTTGTTCTAAAGTATAATGCTACAGAGTTACTACTTTGTAGATGCTAGTAGCAGAGAATTATAAAAGTGAGTGAAAACTTTTCTAGACTCCAGTGAATTACCATAAAGACTATTAAATTGGGTAGGAATATTCAGCTACTGGATTTGCTGCTGTTGTTTGGAGTTTGGAGAAGGCTAGATCAGCAGCAGCAGCCTTGACAACAAAAATAGCACAATTAGCTACCTGTTACAAACCAAAGCACATTACATATGTATAGAGTTTCATTAATCTCTGGGTGTCAATCTTCTAGTTTGCATCAATTAAGATACAAAAGCCTTAGCTATAACATGCTCACCAGTTATCATTTTAACAATTACACCAAGATTCAGGGCCCTTATAATGGTCTCTGCACTATCATGCTTTGGAGATGGAAAAACGGCATGGGTCCTATAAATTTCCATGGACCTTCTGCATTCATTTTTCTTCCATTTGGAACCTCGAGCAGATTAACCAATTCCCATGTCGTACGATCAGACATGTCTTAATTTAATATCAAACTTTGTACTACGAGTTAACAATATTATCAGTTCACCTGGTCTGCAACTCCAAGTGATTGTGTACTCCATGCTCAGCAAATTTATCAATGACAGATTGAACTTTATGGTCTTATCAGATCTATTGTATGCAATATTTTATTATCTGGAAAGCCAAATTTGTGACAATTCAAGTCAACTTGAGGGCATTGCAGTAACATAAAATTAATAGATGTTCGGCGTACCCGTTCAGAGGCACCTTTGCTGGCTCGGTGTATTATACATGTATGTGAAGCTGTGCGCTTATCAGTTGGACTGAACGGCAAGAAATGAACTTCTTGAATTCCAGACCTTGCCTTTTGTTTGAAAATGTTGTGTATCAGAGGGAAAAATAATATAGAAATAAGGTTACCCCATATGGGGTTCACAATGTCAAATTCGGAGATACATCATGTAAAATAAATACAAAAGGCCAACATCATATACAAAATATAGAAGATTTAACGGAAGGCATAAATACCTCCTTGGGGTCAAAGCAAGCATCCCCATTCATGCTGCATCAAGGGCATCTTGATTTTCCAACTGAGAACTGCCCACAATCATTAAAACAACGGTATCTGGATCAAATCCTTTAGCAAAGACCTACAATGTTATTTCAAATATCGAAACAGGATTCAATAGTTGAGTTCATTTTCATATATTAACCGCAGATAGTGTTTTGACTTCATAATTATTTCTCAACACTCTAGTTTTTTTCAGTGTCAAAGTTCCAGTTTTATCACTGCAGAGCACATCCATGCCTTCCATTTCTTCTATGGTTGTCATTCTTTTAGCCATCACTTCCGAGATATTAACAATAAAACTGAAACTAACGAATAATGTAACCTAGAAAGTAGATTCTAAAATTATAGCTAAATAATTGTAGATCTCATAAAGTGGGTAGAACTCTACCTCTTGAGACAGACGATGGAAACTAATTGTCGTGGTAATAGCCAATACGGTTGGCATTGCAACAGGAATTCCTCCACTGATAAGCACAAGTAACTTACCCATTGCTGGAGAATAAGTGCAGTGCTGAATAGGATATATCACAATGATCTCAACCACCATTCGCACAGAAATAGAGTATATGCAGAAACTCACAATCGCAATCAAGACCTTCGAAGCCATGCAACATCAGTTTGTGAGAAAAGTGTGGTATTTCGAGAAAGAAACAGAACGAGATGTAATTCAGAAAACAAATCCGTTTATTCATTGCATATACTCACCTTGTCAATGAAGGTATGAACACCATTTGCGACGCTTAATGCTTCAATCTCACCTTGTTTGACAGTTGAACATGAGTACGCTCCATCGCCGGGGCCTTCGTAGCGGGAAGGAATTCCCCCTTTGTCGTGCCCCCACCATTCCCCTCGGGAAAAGGGTTTTCGAGACCTAGCCACAGACGAAGAGACTCCGAGATAATTGGATTGAAATTAGGTTCTCAACACAATTGGATTGAAATTGGGAACGTGATTTATAGGGAAAACATTGACTAGGGTTCGTCGCCCGTCGCCCGTCGCCCGTCGCCATCGCCATCGCCATCGCCGTCTAGCGCCTCTTACCGCCGCATTCTTATGTCTTGGCATAAAAAATTCTTAACAACGAGACCGAATACAGACTGTGAAATTGAGACTTTTCCTAGTGTATTTTACTGGGGGAAAAAAGTATATATGTGTATATATATATTATAGGATATGGGAAATGTTGGAATCGGGCAAGTCAACAATGAAGCATGAGTCGCAAGTGGACTATGTATAGAATCAGACAGTTAATGATGATGATGATCCAAAACTGAGAAAAAATCCAACCAAACTGAAAAATTACAGAAGCGTTCACAGTAATCCATCCAGAACAAGAAGAAGAAGAAGAAGAGGAATCTCAAGCACCCCAGTTAATTATTCACAGGTTGAAGAATGCAAGAAATTAAATTGATATAATGTTGATGAATAATATATATATATATATATAATGGGAAATGAGTCAATCGTGGTCGTGGTCGTGGTGCGAGCAAATAAGCATGACAAGGCATCTCTTAATTATGTAAAGCCTTCCCCTCTGCTCCTTGAGAAATCTCCCTATTTTCGAACTCCCATTGGATCCTCCACCATTGCCTCTTTTTATCATCATATATATATTGGACTCGATCAAGAAACTTACTACTAATTAATGGGGAGGGATGAGGAGAGTCTTTATCTTATGGTATAATGTGGAGTTGAGTATGAACAACCAAGCTAGTTCTATATATATATCTGCATAAGTATATGGGCCATATACAAGGTCTACGTCATATGATCAAATCATTTCTTTGACACCCAAAATTGATTAATCAATTAATGCATCAAGAACGAATAATCAAATATTCAATCAGTTGTGACAAGATAATAAAGTGACGTGGCTCCCACCCCAGCCACTCATTGAAATCATTACACTGCTGGTTCCCTGCCTCCCAGGAAAGTTAATTTCCAGCATAGCTCTTTCAAATGATATGCATACACATACATGTATAGTTTTGACATTGCAACTTTGGAGAGTACTGCGTACTAACAATATAATTAATCATGTGAATCGATGAAGATTACAAAATATCAACAAGTTCTTGAGGCAAATTAGAGAGAGACAGCCACTTGAATTGTGGGTCCTAACCCTATTGATAATTATTACTATGATATATAAAATACAAGTGTGAACTCGTTAATATTGATCAATCCCTTTCTTTTAGGTTTAGGTTTAGGTTTAGGTTTAGGGCCATATCTATATGTATGAATAAAGGGGTGTATTATGTGGTTGGTGATGATGACTCAATTATACTTATATGATATCACTTCAAAGAACATCAACACAAGGAACACATGCTGTTCGCACGTGAAACTAGCGTGCTTCGAGATGGCGAGTGCTTCTCTATTATTTTTTATTTTATTGTTTGCCTTTAATTAATTAATTTCCTTTTTCAACTGCAACTAATTATTACACCATTATTTTTCCCTATATAATAGCCCTTTTAGATATTATTAGTGTTTGCACTTCCATCTCTAATTTAAATACAAGGTTAAGCCCAATTTCCAAGTCACAAAATATCAACAATAACGACACCCCAATTTAAGCATTCGAGGCCCACTTTCGAGTTTCAGCTACCTAATAAGAAGCCCATAAACTGCAGTCAATATTGGGCCTAAACCCTAAGGCCCATTCAAAATAGCCTTATCGGGCCTGAACAAAATTATAAAAAAAATGAACGCCGTTGCCGGGGATCGAACCCGGGTCGTCCGCGTGACAGGCGGAAATACTCACCACTATACTACAACGACCTGCTGAAAGATTCCGGAGATCTTAAAAATATGTTAATTATGTATTATTTTTTGTTCGTAGATTCCGTTGTTGAAATGAACCGAACATTTGGCATGCTGTTGACTGTTTAACCCCAACATGGGCTGGGAATTTCTTCCGAGTCGAAAATCGGACGAGCTTCCATTTTGCCAAAGAAGAATAGAACTATCTCCCCGGCCGATTCGTTTGCCCTTGCATTTCTGTGAGCAGAGGTGAGCATCCGCTTTAATTTTTTTAGATTATTGTATACCGTTTCGATTTGTGTGGAATTAGGGATTTTAGTTTGGAGGTTTTTTGCTACAATCTTTTTCTTATCTTCGATTGCAATTCGATGTTCCTAGGGTTTAATTTTTCATGGCTGATTAATTTGGATTTGTGATACCATTTTGATTGATTCTAGGGTTTTCGGTGGATGGAATTAGGGATTAGGGATTTCGGTTTTGTATTGATTGAGTTGTAAGAAATTTCGCATATGCATAACGTTGATCTATCTCTGTGGAAAGAGAAATTTGATTAAAAAAGTTTCGTATCTTGTAATTCCGTTTATGGGAAGCCAATTGGTGTGATTCTTGATCGATTATCATTTGTCATCCATTGTTGAGCTGCAATTGAATTGTGAGCCTGTAATGGCAGGGTTAGATTTCCCCAACCACCATGGCTGAAAGCTCATCTTCCTTACGGGGCGATGGCAATGAAGCTGGTGGTTTCGAATGCAACATATGCATCGATTTAGCTCGAGATCCTGTCATCACTCTCTGCGGGCATCTCTACTGCTGGCCATGCCTTTACACGTGGCTGCGTGGCCATTCATGGGCCCACGAATGCCCTGTCTGCAAGGCTGTAGTAGCAGAGGACAAGGTTGTTCCTCTATACGGCCGAGGGAAACCTCGGGTCGATCCAAGATCAAAGCCTATTCCCGGTGTGGAAATCCCGAATCGACCTGCAGGGCAGAGGCCTGAGCCAGCTCGGCCTGTGGAAGACACTAACTTAGCTAATGTTCTTCTAGGACTCATGGGAGGATTCTTGCCGTTGGCGTCTGCAACATTCGCTAACGTTGGAACGTCTGCGGGATTCGGCGGTGTGTTCACCCCTTTCTTCAATGTACAGCTCCATGGTTTTTCGAATCCGGTCAATTATGGCGGATTGGGCTATCATACTGGATATGGTCATCCATCTCGTAACCGAGAGGGCAGGCGAGCTTCGGCCGACGACAGAAACTTGACAAAGATCCTCCTTATCATCATCGTTTTAGTGATTTTGACATTTCTGACAATGTGAAGGATTTGTATATGCTCCTGAACTGTATATGATTGTGTAGGGAATTGTTAGATTTGAAATCTTTGGATTTAATTTCATGTTACTCTCTGTATTCTTTGGGAATGAGCAGATTAGTTGCAGTTATATTTACCTTTCTTGGATTCATGGTTTGTGGTTTGACTTAATTATGTGTTTGTTTATTATTCATTGGAGAACCCATTTGGAGTTTATTTTTATTTTTATTATTATTTTTTTGGTGAATAAATAAAATTACACGATCATGTGGAAGAACATGGATATGTTGCTAAGATTAGTACTTTCCCATGCTCTTTGAGGAAGAATTTCTCTACGTTTTAGGGGTGGGGCATGTGACACTGCACATGCTTGGTTATTGAACACATAAATTGAATCAATCACACATTAATTATCCTCCTATTTAGGCATTATTCCTATAACCAATGCAAAATTATTAATAGAAGTATTTATAAACAACAACTCAGGCTGACCCTGCCTGTGATGCTGTTGATTTAAAGTGTGTGGGAAGTGGAAGAAGAAGCCGACAGGGAAAAGCATCTGATTATTATTATAATTATGAATGGCAAAAAAACAAAAACGTGTTGGGCAGAGATTCATTATTAGATGGCATCAGTTCCGGCAGTACTTTCTAAAAACGACCTTTCATTCTTGGTCCGGTCCGGTCCGGTCCGGTCTGTGTTCCCAAAGTGTTTTCTGTTTGTTTGTTTGGCATGTGCCAATAGTAATGTTATAATTATATTTCTTGCAATGACGAAGACCCTTTTGAGGAAAATAATAATACTTACTATATCATTTATTATTTTTATTGCAGCATGATGTAGAAGGCAAGGGTATTGCATTGCCTTGCCTTAGATTGTGGATCAACTTTAATGCAGAAAAAGCAGCAGGGCTTCAATGGTTATTTAATTAGTGAGCAGCTTAGTAGGTCTCTCTGCATTTAATGTTCATACGGATTATCTGGAATTCCATTCAATTCCCATATTTCATTCTCTCTCTCTCTCTTTCTCTCTCTACTCTCTACTTGTTTGGATTTTTTCTTGTTTCTATGTAGTAGTATAAAAGAAAACACTAACACGTACACACATATATATATATATAATAATACAATACATACATATATATATATATACATATGGAGGGGATTGTGTGCATTACACAATAAACCTCAGACTGACGAAGAGTGTACTAAAATTTCTCTGTAAAAAAGAAAATTAAGTCATGCCATCGTGTTTATGGACGACATTCATAGTGGTGTTGATGATGATGATGATGGCAACGGCAAATGTAGCCGTTGATGGTTTCAGAGAGGCTCCAAAGTTCTACAATTCTCCGACCTGCGCAGCCGTCGATTCTCCAACGGGAACCCTGTGCTTCGACGGCCAAGATGCAATCCACGTGGCGATGACTCTCGACGCCGCTTATCTCCGCGGCTCCATGGCGGCGATTCTTTCCATCCTCCGCCACTCCTCCTGCCCGGAAAACATCGTCTTCCACTTCGTCGCCTCCTCGGCGGCGTCAGCCTCCGCCCTCCGCCGCGCCATCACGGCGGCGTTCCCATACCTGGAGTTCGAGGTGTATCCCTTCGACGACGCGGCGGCGGCGGGGCGGATCTCCACCTCCATCAGGGCGGCGCTCGACTGCCCGCTCAACTACGCGCGCAACTACCTCGCGTACCTCCTCCCGCCGTGCGTCGGAAAAATCGTCTACCTCGACTCCGACGTCATCCTCGTCGACGACATCGCGGAGCTCGCCGCCACGCCGCTGCCGGACGGCGCCGTACTGGCCGCGCCGGAATACTGCAACGCCAATTTCACCTCCTACTTCACGCCGACCTTCTGGTCGAACCCTTCACTCTCGCTGACGTTCGCGAACCGGAAAGCCTGCTACTTCAACACCGGCGTAATGGTGATCGATCTCCGGCGGTGGCGCGCCGGCGATTGCACGACGAAAATCGTGGAATGGATGGAGCTGCAAAAAAGAATGCGGATATACGAGCTGGGGTCCCTGCCGCCCTTCCTACTGGTCTTCGCCGGCAACATAGCTCCGGTGGATCACCGGTGGAACCAGCACGGGCTCGGCGGCGACAATTTCCGGGGACTTTGCCGCGATTTGCACCCCGGGCCGGTCAGCCTGCTGCACTGGAGCGGGAAGGGCAAGCCCTGGGCCCGGATCGACGCGAATCGGGCCTGCCCGCTTGATGCTTTATGGGCGCCTTATGACTTATTACAAACGCCATACGTCATCGAATCTTGATCAGGTCTGTCTGTCTGAATCTTTGCCCTAAATATAACCCTAATTTCTCGAAACAATTTATAGTAGTATTGTTACAAGGCAATCATTCATATAATATATATACATATACATTCAATTATAATATATATTCGAAATTGAGACACCCGGCGGAGATCAGAGGTGTTGTAAAGGCTGTTCGCCATTGAAGTGAGCTTAATATTTTATTTTTTTTAATTCTGTGATTGTACAGAAATCGTAGTCGTAGAAAAGTTTTTGAATTATTCTCACTTTAATTTATTTATGAAATGAGTTACAGTAGTGTGATTAATTCTTGATCGATGCCCATAAGGTAAAATTAAATGGGTGAATGGAATGATGATGATTACGCAGGCAGTCGGCAGAGCCTTTAGTTCGAATTTGAACAAACTATAGTGGGAAAAGATTTCTTAATAACAGACACTGAGGTGTCTGTGCTTTGTGGTAGAAAGGTCAATTTGTTCCTTTAATTAAGCTGCTTTATTGATTTGTGCTTTTTCTACTTTAGGAATAGGAGAGAGAAAGAGAATACGAGAGAGAGGGAGAGGGGTTTTCTTTCTTCTTCCTCTGCTAGTTCTCCTCCATGCTTGATTGCATGCTAAGATTTTGACCCAAACCCGCAGCCTTTTATGGCTAAAGTAACCTGCCTGCTTCCCTCTTTCTTGCTGCCCCTTATTACAGTTTTTGTATTGTATCTGCCAAAAATAAATAAATAAATAAAAATTAATGGAGGGAAGTGATGGGAATAGGCAGTAGCCAATGATAGTGAGCCATGTGCAGTTAGTTATCTCCTTTTTCTTGCGTCAATTGTTATAATCAAAGAGTGTCGGTGCTCCCGACAATTGTGGCAAGTCTCAAATGTGTGGGGCCTTACTATAATTGGGGGCGTCATTTTCTGCATTTTGGGCTTTTTCATTTTGGAAATTCTACTAATTCTGGGCTTATTAGAAGTACTTCGGACCTTTCGAATACAATTCCTTCAATCCAATCCAACTGAAATTAAAATGAAATCAAGAATGAATTCATAATTATTCATACACGGGTAGAAAGACGAATCATACCTACAAACTTTATTATGTATTGGTAAGATCTTTCCAAGAAAAAGAAAATTGAATAATTTGAGGAACAGTTAAGTTGGCCTGCTTGCAATTTCAATGCTGGTCCCTCCCAAACATCCATCAACAACCGGAAATGAACAAAACCCAACTCCCTCTCTCTGTCTCTCTCTCTCACTCTAAAATCAAGTCATTCCTCTCTGCCTGCGGAAGTATCTGTAATAAACATACTGCACCATTATCTGTCATCACCAGCAGAGTTAAGTTTTTCAATTCTGAGCTTCAAGACAACAGCTAAGCTAAGGATATATGAATTTTGGACACCAAAGGATACGAATAAGTCGAGGAGGACACAAGCCACGGCGTCCAGTAGCCAAGGCATGTTGGCTTTGATCTTATCCCATGCTATCGACCTTACAAGAATGCTGCACCAAATTAACAACTCTAATTAGCCCCGTAGTAATTAGTAGCATCACATATTGTACTAGGTTGTGCGATGAGGACGAACCTGGCGACATATGTTGCATTGCCGAGGATCGCAAAGATAAACATGAAAGGATTCAGTCCCTACACAAGTTTAAAGAAAAGGGTCAACCTTAACAGGATGTAAAACAATTTCGGTTTTGATCCCAGGAGAAGAATGGCAGGGTAATCATGCACCTCAACAGATCCTCTTTTAATCTGTTTCAGAAGATTAACACACATCAGTTCAAGAAACAAAAAAATAGATCAATAGATCGAATTCATATTATTACATATAAATTTATTCCTACATTCAGCCATATTTGAGGTAGCCTCCCAGTCATGTATATGGCAGCCATTATCCACCCCAGCCACTGACCGAACACACTTCCGGATTCATCCTGCTGGTAGACAAACACATACCAAATTTAATTGATCAAACGCCTTAAAATCTTCATTCGTGTCTCAATCTTACCTGCATGAGCAGCAATTTCCTTCCTGTGAATCCAGCATAAGCTTGGATCAGTATTGCACTTGATTCTCTGGGCATTATGGCTGCTGTAGCAAAAAAAGCTCCATATCGGGCCTGTGAAACCATAGATTGATGGTATATTCATGCAAGAACTATAATATTAGTGTGTACCGATAAAAATGGCACAACCATTACAATATTTTGCAGATGCATTACAAGATTAGATCACTCACAGATGTGGGGAGTGTCTGAGGCTTGGTGACAGTTCTGCTGTCTGAAACTGCATTAGCCTCATCATCCTCAGAAGAGGAGGAATCATTGTCTATCACAAGTGCAGAAGGACCACTCTTTATGGGCCGAAGCTGCGACCAGATGGGCGGCGTCATGCTCCCAGCCATTGATCTTGCTGACCTGCAGAGATGTGGTCACTCAAAACAGCTTAACATTGTCTATATCCACACAACAAACGGCGACATTATCATACAAGAAAAATTCATGACAATAATATACGTGTAATAATATGGTTCCCTGGCGGTTGTGGGGATAGGAATGCCTTCATTAGCTTGCTTTTGTGGTCGCAGAGGCTTCTTCACATCTTCAACCTGGGAGCAACGTAGCATCATTCATTTTCAAGAAATTGCTGGTCCTGTGAGGGGATGATTAACATCAGTGCAGACACCTACCTCCTGGTCTGATTCCCTGGATTGTCTGCTTCGCCGCCATTTGAAGAAGTAATCGTAGTACAGGCTCTGAAGAAAGAGCACCACTGTGGTGGTGGTGTAAAGCTGATTCATTCATTTACAGTAATATTACATTAAACAATTAGGGCAGACAGTTTCGAGCATAATCGCATGTGCAATGAGGTTAATTAAATTAAGGATGTATTGATCGATGAGTGTACTGGACAGTGCAGATTGGGAAAGTATTGTCCTTACCACAGCAGTGTAAAACTGTGTTGGCAACTGCATCACAGAAAAGAACAAAGGAAGAAGACAAGTGAGAAATTGACGAGAAACGAGATTTAAATTAATAGAGCATTAGCAAAATTGTGTATAGATATCTTAAGTATGCCTCCAATGGAGAAGCTGTTTTCTAATCAATCCAAACAAGGGCACGCATATGAGTATGACTAACCGTGGCAGGCTCGAGAAGGCAACCCACAAGGTTCAATACATCGCTGCCATGTTTATGAAAAAGAAGAGCTATAAGAACATGGTGCCATGTCCTAGAATCTTTCATTTTTGCAAGCAGGAACATGTGCAAGAATTGCAAGATTGATTTTTAACTCAGAAGAAGGAGAAATTACGAACCCGGTAATCCAAGTGACAAGGAAGAGCAAGGAGACGCCATGACTGGACTTGGTCCTGAAGTTAGTGATGATCTGAGGGAGTTCGGCGACTCCCCAGCAGACGACGCTTGCCATTCCAAAACCGAAGGAGAATTCATCTCTGATGTTGCAAAGGCAATCGTTGAAGTACTTCTCCACCCAACCGAGGATACACGGATGGTTCTCCTTCAAACACTGATGCAAGGAATTGTGAACTGCAGATTTCATCCTATCTGTGGATGTAAAGGTGAGGAGAGATTAGGATGCAGTCTGCAAAGGAAGAAAGGATTTGTACATCTAGCGGTGTGTGTGTGTGCGCGTGCATACAATTAATGCTGAAATGGGTGTCTGCCCATTCCCCCAAGTTCCAACCTTTAAGCCTTTCTTACATTTTTTAAACATCAGGAAAATTTACTATTCGGTGATTGTTGGATGAAGATTTGACAGTATATCTAGCAGATTCTACTGTTTCATTAATTGGATTAAGATTTACTTACCAGAAATGAGGTGCTACGGCGCGTACACGTCACGTGCTGGTTCTTGCTCAGATGGATTCTTTAATGAAAGTCATCGTCATTGTGAACCTGGATGACTAGCGACAAATTTAATCATTGAATAAAAAAAGAAGGCAAATTTAATCCCATATAAAGTTCAAATTTTGAACAGTGTAAAAGAAGAGAAGAGGCAGACTGACGCGCAATAAAGAGAGATATATGCAGACACCATCATCCTAATCCTCAGAAAGAAAAGGACAGCCTGTAAAGAACCAGGTATGGAAGTGGACATATTCAGGAAGAAAGTGGAAAAGAAGGGTGTCACGGCGGCAATGCGCTGCATGCAGCTGGTGGGGACACGTGTCAGAATGAATGGCACCACAACCACAGACCAATTCATGTTTATCTTCTACCAACCTCCAAAAGTCACATCTTTCTAATTTGTGCTTCTCTCCATTTAGAAATTGTTTCGAAACTTCTCTCAGCATTTCCCATCTCAGATTTTCCAATTGCCCTCTCATTATATTACCGGCCCCCGTCCATCAAAGTGCATATAACTTTTTCAGGACAATTATGCACACTCCAAATTTGAGCATAAATTAAAGGGTTGCAATACATACCTCTTTAGTCATCTTTCTTCACTGGTATCTTCGCTATGTCCCCTTACTGCTCTTCTTGCCTGCACTTTCTCTGATTTAGGCCTAATATTCAAATCTGGTCCACAAATTAAACCACAATTGTTTTGAGGATTATATAGATCAGTTGCAACGTTAAGATATGTCACTTAAACATACTGTTGCAATAATTCTCTTTGACTTCTGTGTTTTGTTACACGTTTCACCAGCAATAAAAGCTCCATCTACCTCCTGGCAGGGGTATGGGGCAACTTCTAACCTGAGGGAATAATATATGAGATACCGACATTTTCATACAGCTACTTTCTTTAATCCCTTCTTACCTACAAGCTTCTCTATCTGTGATTTACCATTCCATCCACCATGTGTGTAACCTGCATGGGTTTAGAAGAATGAACTAATAGAAGAAAGAACATATATATATATATATATATATGTATATAACCAGTGTGAAGGCTCAAGCAATATTGTGCAACCCACACACGAAAAGAAAAATGATTTCTTTAGACAGGTAATAAACGTTTGTTGGAATATGAAGGCCAGGAAAAGGGTAGAGTATGAGTTGAATTATAGAAGAGAAGTGATGTGCACTTCCAGTTAACGATATATTACAGGTCAACAGCTTGTATAAGTAAAATTGTTACACTAGACTACAATCTAATTCATTTCTGCTTGCATAAGAGAAAGATCACCATGTCCAAAATCCCAAAAAAATGAATTAGAAGAGGCACACAAGTTCCCCAGCAGATCATTGCATTGTCTAAAGTGCTAACTGGGTCAGGGGACCATTACTGGGAATAGGTCTGTTGCCAAGATTCCAAAGAAGATAAAGACAAAAGAGTAGTTGCATCACAAGTTTCTGCCAAATCAAAAATGTGCTTCCTGACATCTCAATGGAAAGAAAACAAAACGGACAGATAAGTGTATAAAAATAAAAGAAAATATAAGCATGCTATCAGTACATGTAACATATTGTTTTCAAGATACCACTTGTAGATCGTGAGATGAATTTAGATCGGAGCAAGAATGTGAAATACTAAAGTTGCTGAGATACAGATCTTATGATTTGGGGGAACAAAACCATACTTGTGGTTCAGTTTATCAACACTACAATATTTCGAAGCAGCTTTAATATGTAATTGATTAAAAGAATATCGAGGAAATACAGCAAAGCAATCTATCGAAATCAGCACGACAAACAATTAGCAATGCAATACCTTGATCGAGACCTATTACACCCTTCCCCTCAAACGCAAGGGTTCGCACGCTTTCCTCATTGCCCGTTCACTCCCCAATCGACAGGTGATTCCACCTCATTCCCTCCGAAAAATGAAATATGGCGGATTCATCGGAGACTAAACAAATGAAAGCAGAACAGAAAGTCCGGCGGCGTCGTGTCCGGCAAACAGGAGCGACGGATTTTGTTAGTTGGGGTTTAAACCGCCGAGGGAGCGGGAATTGCAAATTACAGTCCGTTAGGTCCTTGTTAGCAAAATTGAAAAATCAATGTTGACCTAATTGTGATGTGATTGATTAAGACGTCGCTTCGCTTATTTTCTTATATGCTGTTAATTTGAAATAATTTCTTATACCCAACCCAAATTGAATCTTAGCCGTGGTATTTAAGGTAAGGTTATTTAATTAATTAATAATAATATTTATAATTTGAAAATAAATTTAATATATATAATTGAAAAAATTAAAATATAATTAATATTTATAATTTGAAAATAAATTTAATATATATAATTGAAAAAATTAAAATATATGTTTAAATATTTAAAAGTTATATAGCAATTAATATATGTAATATAATTAACATAAATTAATTTTTTAAGATAGTGTAGTTTTAAATATAGATAAAAATATTTATTTTTTTAAAGAGATATATATAAAAGGGTTTTGAATGAACCTACGTCATTTATATTCGTTAAATATGTTTATATTTAATAATTTTGTTTCAATTGTTACGGACAAAGTATATAAAATATTTCTGTTTATCTCTTTAATTATACTTTTCTTTATTGTTTGCCTATAAATATCATTAGAGCACTTATTATTAGCTTCTCAGCTTCCAAATTAGTGGAAGTGCTGTGTTTCTTCCTCCTCGTCGTCTTCTTCCTCAATCAACAACAACCTGCGTTTGCTTCAAACTGAAATAATTTCATGGATGCAGAGCTGGTAACTGAAGAGTGATGCTTCAGCAACAAATACTTCTACTTTTGGTGTTGTCCAATTGCCAGGGATGACTTTGAGTGCAAACTAAAAGTACAAACCAACTTTCTGTTATAGCGCCTGGCGAACGAGGTGTTGCTGCACCAATTTCCACGCTGACATGGATGCTTCAACAGCTCGTGCCTCCAATGCAATGCTCGTTTCTCTCCTGCTGATCTTCTTCCCGCTCGCATGCTCCATTGATTTCAATTATCCTGCAGTTTTCAATTTTGGCGATTCCAATTCCGACACCGGCGGCCTGGTTGCCTCTAGCCTCGGCGATCCTCTGGAATCGCCTAATGGCGAGACGCACTTCGAGAGTCCTTCTGGAAGGTTCTGCGATGGTCGCCTGATCATCGATTTTCTCAGTAACGCATTCTCCTCCTAATTTTATCACAATCGATATATGCTATGATGCGAAACTGAGCAAGGATCCGTGCAATTTGGCAGTGTGCGCGATGGATATGCCATTTCTGAACGCATATTTGGATTCGATCGGTGCGCCGAGTTTCAGAAGAGGATGCAATTTTGCAGTTGCAGCCTCCACAATACTTCCACCGACTCAATTCTCGCTGAGTCCGTTCTCCTTTGGTATTCAGGTGGCTCAGTTTTTCAGATTCAAGGAAAAAGTCGAACGTCTCAGAGACAAAAGTAAGTTCAGATTTCACCATTACCTTACCTCCATTAGAAATCAATCACTGATTTCACTTCTTTAGCAGCTAGGAAATTCGACAAGTACATTCCACCAGAAGATGTTTATCAGAAAGCACTTTACATGTTCGACATAGGCCAAAATGATCTCGCCGGTGCCTTCTACTCCAAAACATACGATCAAATCATTGCTTCAATTCCTTTGATCCTATCCGAATTTGAAGATGGAATTCATGTTAGTACACTATTCCACCTTAATTTTCTCATTATCTCTTGATCTGTGGTGGTGTATTCTTCCTTCCCTGCAGAAATTATATGATCAAGGTGCAAGATATTTTTGGATTCACAACACAGGTCCCCTTGGCTGCTTAGCTCAGAACATAGCCAAATTTGGAAAGGATCCATCGAAGCTAGATGAGCTCGGATGCGTCAGCGATCACAACCAAGCTTCCAGGCTCTTAAATCTGCAGCTTCATGCCCTGACTACAAAACTACAGTTCCAATATCCAGATTCAAATATAACCTACGTCGACATTTTCACGATCAAGTGGAATCTCATCGCTAATTATTCCCGTTATGGTTAGATTCACAACCACTGCATTCCTCTCATCTATTTAATCCTACAAATCATAATCCTGGCCTACATGTGTAAATCTTTCAGGTTTTGAACAACCTTTGATGGCTTGTTGTGGCTATGGAGGGCCTCCCTTGAATTATGACAGCCGGATTGCCTGTGGGCAGACCAAAATCTTGAATGGCAGCACAGTAACAGCAAAAGCTTGCAATGACAGCACAGAGTATGTGAACTGGGACGGGATTCATTACACAGAGGCTGCGAATCTGCACATCTCGTCGCAGATTCTAACAGGGAAGTACTCAGACCCTCCATTTGCAGACAAGATGCCATTTCTTCTCAAACTGAAGTTCTAACCACCATTGCCATTCTTTTAGTTCCCATACAGTCGCTGAAACTCGATCAAAGCACATTGCGACGCAGAATCCATCCAATTTAACCAACCTTACCCAACTGATTTGATTGTTAGCATTTGGATTCATCAACCACTTGTCGATCGACAAATTGGTTTCATCTTCGAACAGGGCGTCAATGTCGCCTTTCAGACAATTGTAACTATACACCACATATAATCTAAGCCTTTATTCATTATTTGAGAGTATGATCCGTTTCATCTTTCCTCAATAAAGTTAGCATCTTTCATGATTCTATATAGCCAATATGATCAGCCCAGCCTGAAGAAATCGGGAACAAAAATTAACAAGGAAAGGTTCCTGTGAGCTGAATGTGATCAAGGGTGCTCTTCAGGCCATATTTCAGCACTGCCTTATTTCCTTCCCGGAATCCGTCTCCGTAAGCGGAAGAGGTGTCGGATTCTATCTGGTGTTTGAAGAACTCACCGAGTTTCTTCTCGAAATCTGACCGTTTGCCCTTCTTGGAAGAAGAGCTGGACGATGAAGACGATGATGCTGACGAAGAAGAGGATGATGACGACGCTGGTGACCATGAAGATGCTGACGCCGCGCTACTACCCGAGCCAGCGAAGATCTCTGATTCCAACCACATGTGTGCCAGCACTTGGCAGATGCCTTCTTCCACTTCTGGGCTGAGATTTGGGTACCCTGCAAGGAAGCTATCGGTTACTATCGTGATTAAGGTACGTTCCGACGACTGAAACCAGTTAAAAAATACTACCTTTAAGACGGAGCCAGGCGTGCATCATCTCGTGGGCTAGGATGGAACCTGTCAATAACCTTGGAGACAACAAGAAGTTGCGATCACAGATAATGTCTGGACCATACGACGAATGTGTGTAATAAAACGAGCTTTTCTTACCTAGGCAGACCGTATAAAACAAGAATCGCTGTAACTTCACATCGACGGATAAGCTTGTAAGGCACGGTGAACATGTCCATTATCCTAAACTCTCCTATTCTCGGCCGCCTCAAGATCTGAGATTTTCAGAACTACGTAAGAATGAAACTAATTTCTGCAATGGCCTTTTCAAGAAACTCGTACCGTGCTGACGGTTTGCTCTTCCGACAGACAAAGCCCTCTTGTCTCGGGCATGTGGTGATGGCCCTAGCAAGAAAGAAAGATAGATATTACGACAACTCAAAGGCGATATGGATCGATAATATAATGCATATAGGCCTACATTTTTCTCCCCTTCCATGGCTTCGTTTAGCGCTTGTCTCTCAACCAAGAGCATCGGGATTTGTTGCTCCACCTTCATGTTTAAACCTTCGTAAAACTCTTGTATTTCGAGGTATAGAGGCTGGCACTCGTGGGTGTCCATTATAGAAGAGTCCAAACACTCGAGGCACAGCTTCCTTCCATCGTCAAGAATTAAGAATCTTGCATCTGCTTGCTGCATTTTGTCGAAGTACATCACATTTAACCAAACAATGAGTTTAATCTTTTCGACAAGATTAGTCTCTTCGGTTACCTCCATTCGCTCGCAGCTGCAACAACGGGGCGTTCCATCGTGCTCGTGTGCAGGACAGTACTTCTGATGCCAGAAAGGATGCGCTCTGTATTCGATAAGTCCAGCAGCATTTGTGGGGATCTGAAGGAATGGAATGTGAGATTATGCCACAGAAATTTTACATTTTCGGATTAATTCGGTATCCCTTTTTAAGTAATGAAGTTGAACACTCACGAAATTCTTGCAGATGTCACATTTCGGGTGATGCAGATTCTTGTAGCACAATTTATGGTAGGGGCTGTTCTCAGACATGGAAAACTGCAACAGAGCTTAACAAGTCATAAGTATGTCAGAAAAAAAAAAAAATACTAAATAGCATATTGGTGTCGATTCTGCACCTCAAAATCAGAAATCGGCTGATTGCACGCGCGACAACGGAAACATTCTGGATGCCAAACAGCTCCCATGCAGCTCAAAAATCTTTCACGACCGATTTCACTGTTGCAACCGGCACAGATTCTACAACGAAAAGGATGTCAAATCCAGAAAATGTCGATTCTGATTCTAACGAAGATAGCAAGAAAAGTTTTATAAGCTTGACAACAATATTCGGAGAAACATTCGAATGTGTCTTTACAACATGATTCGGCGGGCGTTATGTTATCATCAACTATACTATAGATTGGAACAATTTCTGTAATCAATATTCTCAGGCATTTATGTAAAACTTGAAGAGAGGTGAAAATAGTTCATCACCTAAAGCTCGAAGGGAAGTAGAGAGAATTAGGTGGCAAAAAACTTTCGTGATCGTGTCTAGGCAATCGGGGTGGAGGTGGTGGAGGTGAATGTGGTGGAGACTCCATATTCCAAATATTTTGAAGAGCCTTGGCGAGCATTTCATCGTCTTCCAATTGCGCCGCATTATCTAATGTAATGAAAAGAATTCGACTATAATGATCAATCAACCTTAAGTGAATGTAATAAAGGAATTCAACTATAACGACCAATCAACCTTAAGTGAATGTAGTAAAAAGAGTTCGACTATGATGATCAATCATCCTTAAGTGAATTTAATAAAAAGAAATCGACTATGATGTTTGGTAAGAGAATCCTCTGCAGCAAATGCTGGAAGCCCCTTTCGCTTTACCTATTGGTTTTTTCCCCTTATCGTCTTGTTCAGCAATAGAGAGTTCAATTGCTCTTTGCAGTTCTTCCTTATCGAAATCCGACGTTTGATCCTGCAAACACCGACCAAATTGAGATCAAAATCTCACAGATTAGTATATAGAAAGTCCATCAATGGCCAGAAAAGAAATCATTACAAGTGAAGTTGAAGGCCCCTCCCAGATTGTGTGGTCATCTTCATACTTGCCATGATGCTGTCCCTTGGAGATTTTGTGGCCTGAACCTTTGAGAATCTTCGTTAGCCAACCCATTGTCCAGCTGCCATGAATTCAAGCAATCTAATTCAGCCCAGAATCTTGTCTAGCTAATAACAGATAAGATTGATGAAAACTCAAATCTTGAAGAAAAGATATCTAAATTCGAACAAATTATTCCTCCAGATCAGAGTCATGATTCAGACCAAAAAGGGATCCAATTTAAACAGTTTAAGGAAAGATTGAATCACCTGTCAGAAGCTTTAGCTCGAATCTGCAGAATTTTAAGGAATCTAAAAGGCCAAGATCAGACTGAATCAGTCAGTCAGTCAGTCACCAACAAGAATCGGAACCGCCGACGCCCACAAGATACTGATGAATCTGCCCACATGAATGAATCTGCCCCATTTACAAGAACATTCAAGTTTCAAGAAAGAGAAGCACAATGGCAATGGCGAAGAAAGGAAAGAATTGAATTTTTACAAAAACTGACGTGGGAGGAGTTGCCGTTTTCCAATTTGCCAAATAATCATAAATCCCCTTTCTCGATATACATACAAATGCCCCCAAGATTTTGTGTATCATTTCCATAGGCGTGGGGCCTTTCTGGATCGACATTCATTCAGCCCACCATCACTCAGTCCACTAAACGTCAAAGAACCCACCACTTTTATTACTATTATCATCGTCCACACGTTTCAGAAAAAAAAAAAAAAGAAAAGAAAGAAACGGTCTTTATTGCATCTTCTTCTTCTTCTTTACTGGAAGGTACCCACCAAGAATCTAAAAAAAGCACCGATAAGTAACCATTGCCGCAAGACAAAAATAAAGGATCACATCCACTCCTCCAATTCTTGCTTCGATCTTTTAATATTATTACAGTTTTCTTGAATTTTATTTTCTTCCTCATTCATTACATGAGCCACTCACAGTTCTCCATGACCCACGAATTGATATTGATTTTTAATGTGCTCCACCTGCTCTTATCATAATTGAATTGTTTTCATGTAATTTAAATTACGTGTCATCTACGCAGAGAACAGCCCATCATCGTCGTATGGATTGAAATCTTGACTAAACCCATCGCCATCATAATGTAAGCTTTAAGCAACAGTGTTGCCTGTCACAAATCTCAACCAACACTGCGGTTTTGATTACCTTTTTAAAAATAATTAGACTAAAGAATTGGTTCGAGTGGGTTATATAGAAATAACAGGTTATGGGCTTTTATGTATATGAGGCCTACTTGATTAGAATATATGGGCTTTTTTATTAAATTGAGCCCTAATTATTTCGGGCTTTATTTAATTGAGGTCCAATTAGTTTGGATATTTTGGGCTTTTATTTAAATGAGGCCTAAATGCATATTGAGTTTTCAAGCTGGGAGAATTCGGACAGGGTTTGTCAAGTGATTAGACTAAAAAATTATTATTTAAAAAAAATGAATTTTTATAAATGAGATTAGTGATGCAAAATATTATTAATATTGGTGTTAATTGCGTGACTCAATTTACATAATTATTTGACTTAGTTACCCACAACTTGCAATTGCTTGAAAAATATGCAAATAAAATATTTCATGAGAGTAGAATTCGTAAACAGCATAGTCAGATTTGAATCAATAAGTCATCGGATTTGTGTAACATGACCAATAAGAATGAAACAGAAAGAAAAAACAAGAAATCGTCTTTAATTTACTACAATTATTATTATTATATAATATATAAAAAACCAATCAATATTATTAATCAATGACGTGATTATATACACATATATTTGTATGTATATATATATATGATGATAAGAAACCCTAAATGTCATGGCATTTGGTTCTTAAACAGTCTGTCAAATCATGTTTGTTGACGACACGTGTCCGGCTGCGGGAGCAGCTGGACCACGTCGCCCATGTGTCCCCGGCCACCCTCTGCCGGCCGCGCGCCACCATCCGACGGTGGAGGACCACCACCACCACAACCTCCAGGACATATATATATATATATACACTCATTATTCAACAAGTGCTTGCCTTTCAATTATTTCATGTCCCTTTCTGCATGGCCCCATTTCCTTAAACTTGTCCATACCCTACCCCACCCCCACCCCCAAAAATATGTCTGTTGCATGCATGCCCTTCTTTTTTCTTTTTTTTTTTTTTTTAATTTTTAATTTTTTATTGCATTTGCTCCCCTAGTCCCATTTTCTAAAAATTGTTTTCTTGTCTGATTTTCATCCCTTATGTCAATTCCATGGAAAACAACTTAACTCAATTACACACACTTTATATATGCCCACATATATATATATATGTATGTATATATGTATGTACTTGTGGAAGTACTCGAAGAGCAGCGATTACATATACGTTGAATGGAGCAATCACAATGAACAGCAAAGTGAGCTTTCTCATGAGTTTAATTACTTAGTCATCAAAACAATGGTAAATGAAAGTAATTATTAAAAACCCTAATATTCTGAATCAAGTAACTACATACATACATACATATATTTGATAATGAAATTTTTAAAACCCCAATAATTGAAATCAAGTTACATTTACACACACACACATATATATATATATAATTGGTAATAAAATTAAGTGTGGAGCCATATATAATATATACACTACCATGAGAATGTTGGTCCGATCCTTACACACATAATATGTAACAATCAGACCACTGGAAAGTGACCCAATTGAGAAGGACTTTACTGTTTGCTTTCTGCAAGATCAGAGCAATTAAAAATTTGGGATTATCTGCATTCTGTCTGTCTACTGTCTATCTCTGCTACTGTTAATTTATATATTTACCTAAGTCTGGGACATGATAAACTAATATGCATACAAGAAATTTAAAATAAATCAGACTAATATATATGTATAGAAAATCCAAGAAATTTCTGGGACCTATCAAAATGGCCAAATTTGGGTTTGAGTTCACATATAAATATATTGACAATGAGGTCTCAATAAAGTAACACACTACTTTAATTTTTTCTTAAATAAATAAATTATTTCAGTAGTAATGTATTTTCCATTATCGGAATGACTTATGATCAGTTGCTGAGGATTTATTCGTTTGACTAATTAGGTTTGCTGTTAAGCTGTACTTCATGGTACAATTAGGTTTAGTCACACAAATCAAGGAAATTTTATTTTATATTTTAGTTTTACTTAACTATAGAAAATTAATTAAAATAATAATACTTAACTAATTAATTTGGACCTAACCCATTATATTGGAGCTTTTCTATATTCCAACAAATTAATCTAACCCTTCATAAATTTTTGATTAAATTAATCTTTCTCATCAAATTTAATTTGAGCCTATCAATATATACTGTAGTAAACAGTAAAATTAAAATAAAAACCTTACCCATTATTATTTTGATGCTATAGTTCAAAGTAGTAAACCTTTTACTCGGTCTCTCTCTCTCTCTCTCTCTCTCTCTCTCTATATATATATATATATATATACTACTACTACTACTACTACGACATATTTACCTACATTTAATTAAATATTATAACATATATAATTTCGAAACCCTACCCCATATTGATTGATGCAATTAATTGAATGAGTACTCTAACTTTAAGAAATGCAAGTAGTCTTCTGTTTCTTTCCACAAAATAACTCCAACTCTAAGTATGACAAGAATGGCACCTTTGAAATTGACACTTTTTTTTTAGTATATATATATATAGTCATTTAAATTGTCAACATGCAAATTGTATATTTTAAACTTTTTGGACCAATGGGAGACGAAGCTGAAACAATAAATATATAAATAAATAAAATTTTCAATTGTTTGGTGGGTGTGACAAGTCATGGACTTAAATATTAAGTAAAAACTCATGGGGCTTGGCTTTTCATCATCACTTGCTTCACTATATATCATTCATAATTTATGTAAGAAAAAACAATTTAAGTTAATTAATTGGACAATTAATTTGCTTGTATAATCTTTAAATGTTGGTTAGGGTTTTACATCATTAGGTAAAAGGTACCTTTTTTTGTACTTAATTTATAATTAATTTCATATTATCAGAGAAGCAATCATGATGCAATTAATTGGGACATTTGATATTACATATTGCTACTCCCTAATTAATCTCTTTCATGGGATATTTCCCTATTTTCCATGGTGCGTCTATTTATTTATTTATTTTATTTAAAATGAAACATACTATTATATCAGTCCAAATGATTATCAATATAAATAAAATATTTTTTCTTATATAACATCATATCAAAATATCATTTGATCAAAATTAAAATTAAAATTAAAATTCAAACCAAAACCAAACAAATTATTATTATTATTATTATTTTTAGTCTTTTTACACATTTACTTAACCATTAATTATTGAAAAAGTTAGTTTGCTTTTAATTAAATTAGTTGCATTACTTGCACACATGCAATATGTATATATCTATCTATATTGCAAGTTGTGACTATTTTCATCAAAATTAAAACATCATGAATACAGCATTTTCAAAATATTTTTACAATAATTTAATTGTTCCGTGTTCTTTTTTGGACGAAATTTATATATAATTATAAAATCTTATCATTGATTATTTTTGTTTGACTGTAATTTAATAATACAAATATTACAATAGGGTGTAATTTTAGTCATATAAGCTAAAGTTTTAAAATAGCAGGATTAAAACAATAAACTACCATAACTTGCTAAAAAATATACAATAACATAGAATTATGAGATAAAGATAAAAATTAATATGTATATACAAATTTCCATTCTTATGGTGACGTATGCCAAAATACACAAAATATGGCTACATAACTCAAAACACACATGTATATAAAGATATGTAATGCAAAATTGGGCAATGATGACAACATGATTGGGATTTCTGAATATTATTATTTAATTAAATCATAAGTCATAATATAATTATATAAACATATTATCTGGGCTAATGTGACAACTTTCCAAGCAATAATTCTAATTGATGATCTTTTTCTTTTTTCCTTTAATTAGTGATTTGATTTTTATAAATTTGTATGTGGACAAAACATTCTTGGTAGTGACACGACACCATGGATTACATCAAATACATCCCTTTTCAATCCCAACAATTCAAAGTTCCAACATTATCGTACATCACATTATATTATATTATTACCTAAAATTTTTGCTCATTTTTTTTCCCAACTTAGGGGACTATTTGTGTTTTATTGACAACTATAAATATATATATAATATATATATATTTATAGTTGTCAATAAAACACAAATGCTCATGCACATAAAAGTATGTGTGTGTGAATACTATGATGAAATTTAACTTAAAATAGGAAGAAAAAATAAATAAATTGAAAAACGTACATGTAGTGGAGTTGTGGTCACGGAATAACAAATTAAAGGTCATTAGTGAATTACGTGGTGGAATAAAAGGGGAATTGTAGGATCAAATAAAGAAAAGGAATCGTTTCTTTAAAGGATAAAAATATCAAAAGTAAATAAAAAAAATTCAATCAAATTCAAACATTATAATTATTATTAATTGGGGCACACATACACATACACGTACACGTACACACAATGGAGCTCAAAATCGTTGAACCAAGTTTTGTTAAGATTAGTTTCTCAAGTTATAATATTTTATATAAAAAAAAATAATATTTCATTCATCATATGTCTTTATTCTTTGAACTCATAATTTCATGGCCATTCGTATATGTAGATGTTGCTAATTTTTTTGGTACAAGTGTAAGGTTTGTTTAGATACTAATAATATTTGGGGAATAAAAAATAAAAAATCATACTATTATATATTTATTTATTTTTAATATTTTTAAAACTTCAAAACATTTGTAAATGGAGCCTAAACTGTTTGTAGAACCTGAGACAGAGCATACACACACATACACTGTATATTATCAATGGCCGATGGGTTTTTGCTTAATTAAATTTTGCTGCAATTTATAATAATGATTAAAATAAAAACTATATATAAAAGATACAATAACATTATATTCTATATTCAATTTAAAAACTATATAGTCACAAATATATCCAAAGGAAACCCTTTCTTTCCTATTCTCCAATGGGCAAACTAAAAGAGACGACACACACACACAGTCATTGTAATAGAAATCTATGGCGTTGACTGCCCTTCCTCGTACCAACTCTTTATTATTTACTTGTGTATATATATATATATATATGAATTAAAATTGTTGTAGGCTAGGATTTTTATTTTATATATACATAACTAACTGTATATTGAATAATAATAAATTAATGTGACCAAATTAACACAATGCTATAGTAATATTTAAAAGAAAAAAAGAAAAGTTTGTCTGTTTGTAGCATCGTGCATATATATTATATTTATTGATCTTAAATTATTCATTTTTTCTTTTAAAAAAAATCTAAAAATCATGATATCAAACGCTTATTGTTTATTTCAAATATTATATTAAAATTTCATTTCAATTTAAATAGAAATCTCGTTGAAACAGCCTCCTGTAATAAAAATAAAAATAAGAATAGTAAGTGGTCCTGTTGCCTGTTGGCCTGTCCGGTCCGACTGTCCGTGTTGGACGAAAGGAGTGAGAATCACGTGACCATCACTCAAAAATACACGGACACATGGAAGGCCAATCTTGGATCCTTTACTTTTTAAATTATACCTAATCTCTAATCTTTCTATTTCATTTTCATTTTTTTTCTATCGGATAATATGATTAATTAATATTCAAAAGAAATAAAAATAAAAATAACATATCCAAATATTTAAATGCAAATCATTCAATAGTATATATGTTTTTGTGCAATTCGTAGGGCCAAAAATGGGAGCAATATATATATATATATATGATAATTAATTTTTTGTAAAAAATAAAAAAATAAAAAAATGTATATATATATATATATTTTTTGAATTGATTAAATGTGGTGAAATAAGACAAAATTGTTTTATCATTGTCATTTTCGGGCAGCAGGAAGTGGTATAATAACAGAATGGTATGCTACTATTTATATTATATTCTGTGGATTTGTTACGACAGATTTCGTTTTCAGACTATTGTCTTTCAAACAACATTTAATTAAATTAAATTAAATTATATACTAAAATAAAATAATAGTATATATATGTATAGATTGGCACACACACCTCAATTATTCCTATTAATGTTTTCATCAATCTATTCTGCTTATTTTGTCTATACCAACTTATGAATCTTGACAAAAGCATATATATATATATATATATATACACATACATATATACATTCAAAGCATTCACCACTGATCTCCCAATCTCATAAATAAATAAAATAATAAATAAATAAATGAAATCTTCTATTGTCTGTCTGCAATTGTTATGGGCTGCCATGTAATATACATGATTGTCATAATTAATATTTCTCTAAAATATTTCCTTGCACTTCTCTCTTTAATTCCACACGGACAAATACGGTTTTTCTTTTTATAATTGGTTTTGTATTTTTTTCTTTTTTTCAATAGTTGTTAAATGTGGTGTTTTATAAATAAAGATTATATATATGTATATTCATAATTAAAAAAAAAAAAAAAAAAGAGAGAGAGAGAGAGAGAACGTCATGTGTATATATATATATATATATTCTATATATCTACATCACTACTAGAAAAAAAAAATGATAATCACATAAATTTATTGTAGATTTTAATTATGATTATGAAAAGTCACATAATTTTTTCATAACTATTTAATTTATAATCATGAAATACCGATCATTTTGAAGAAGTGAATCAAGCAATGTCGAATCAAGTTAGTATGAGTGGATCATAAGAAAGAATGGATAGGTCAATCAAATTCATTTAGTTAAGATATTTATAACATATTAATGTTACTATTAATTAATTATATATGATCAACTTGCTTGACATATCATCTGATTTTCTGTCCATTTCATGATAATTCTATTAACTCTTGAGGAATACTTATTGTTAACATAAAATAAAATAAAAATTGATAAAAACAAAATAGATGTTTGCATGCTCTAATATAAATAAATATTTGATATAATATTATGAATAATTTTTTTTGACGTAATTAATATTTTACATAAAAATTAGCTTTTGCAAATAATACTCTTTTAGAGAAATTTTAATAAATAGTACTTTAATATGATAAGAATTTGTAAAATGAAGGTTATAAACAGTCGAGAAAAGTAGGTAAACCCTAGTTCATGGTTGTTTGAACGTTGTTTGGTGGATTGAAAAAAAAATATAATAAATTAATTTTTAATATCTTCTTACATGATTTTGTAATAAAAATAAATTTTAATATAAATTATAATAAAAAATCCAAATATCTAGTGAGATGGTTTTGAATAACAACAACAGCAGCAATAGCAGCAGCAACAACAATAATAATAAATAAATAAATAGTACATGATCTACATTGTACCATAGCAATCAAACCCGAATAGCAGTAATTAATTTTTATATCATAAAAATAAATAAATAAATAAAATTATATAATCAAATAGGTTAGATGAGAATCTAACTCTGATATAAAGGTTAAGAGATTGAGAATTTCACTATTAAACTACATTCTCATTCCCAAAATAAAAATAACATTTATATTGACTATACATGTTTCTTAATTTTAAGATAATTCATTTTAATATGATATAATATATATGTATTTATTTGCGGATATAAAGAAAAATGGCATATAATAATTAAATAATATTAACAACAACAACAATAATAATAATAATAATAATAATAATAATAATAATAATATATAAAGAATTCAAATGTGAGTACGTGTTTCCTTCAACGCCAAATGCCATTGCCATCCTGTTACCGTGCACCCTACACCACACGATCCCAGCTTCCCCCGTTTCTATGTCGCCAGCATTTATTTTTTCCATCTACTATACTTTTGCATTCTTCAATTAATTATTTATTTATTTATTTTAAAATAATTTTCAGTAAAAAAAAAATATAATTAATTGGATTATTTATATGTAGTAATCTGATTCAAGCTACGTTCTGAAGGTTTAATTTTCTAAGATTATTGAATTTAAAATGGCTAATCTACTATGTAAATATTCACTCTACGATTTGGATTATATATATATATATATATAAAGGGGATAAAAATGTAAAATTATTGAAAAAGAAATTAATAGTATGATTGATTAATAAAATATTATATCCTCGGAATGATATATTTTTATATATGTTATAAAATAAAATAGATATTCCCAATTTTCTAACCTACAAAAGTATATTTATTTAAGAAACCTAAAATTAAAATATTGTCACGCAATAATATTATTGGATCAAATTTGAATATAATTTAAGTAGTTGAAAACACATTGCTGATGGCAACATTAACATATAGCCTTTACAATAATTTTTAATAATAAAAAAATATAAGAAATAAAATAATTAATCAACCGTGGGAAAGGGTTTCTTAGTCCCTAAATAATAAAAGATTGACTTTGTCTGCAAGTCATTAATATTTGCATATTTTGCTTATAGTTTACAACAATGCAATTAAGGACCAATGCCCATACACAGTCGATTGATTACCACACTAATTAAAATAACCATTAATATATATCTAAATTAATTGCAACTAATTATGCTGCCCTAATTTAATAATATATATATATCTTTATACATTAATTATATATTAAATATAATTATCAAAGAAAGTATTATATAAGAAATAAATAAACAAATAAAACTGGTCCCCCGTTCTATATTTCCTCCTTGTCTTCTCCACAATAAATTTGAAATTTAATTACGTGTCCTCATATTTTCATAAATATTAAAAGTCGCTCGCGATTTTCACAGGAGCAAATAAATAATAATAAACGCCAGTAGATAAAGTCTGGAGTGGTCAGGGGCATCCTCGTAATTTTGATTCATATCATATTCTTACAAGAAGAAGACGCCTTCTATTTTAATGAAATTATATTTTGTACCCCTCAGAAAATTAAAAACAATCTCCATACTGGTTTTACTTTCTTCTCTCTCTCTCTCTCCCCCGCCCCTTTGGAGAAGACAGACAGGAGAGGAGCACTCTCACTGCAAATTAAAGAGCAACAAAGAGATAGAAAAGGAGAGGAAGAGAAAGATAGAAAGAGGGACGACAGCTTCAGAAACAGCAGCAGCAGACACACAGATTAAGAGAGAGAAAGAGAGAAAAAAAAAAAGAATTCATCAGTCTGGGGTGGGTTCTTTTTTATCTTTCTTTCCATTTGATTTGATTAATAATATTCTTTGCTTTCACAAATCCCATGGAAGGGAAGAAGAAAACGATGTCTGAAATCTTTGCACTCCTTTACAAACTGCAAGCGTAAGATCGAGGTGGGTGTGGTGTCTGTATGTATGTATCTATATATATATATGTATATGCCAATGACTTATAATTACATATAAAGATCAAATTTTTAATTTAATTTCTCGTCTTTGTATATATTTATTTGTGAACGACAATCAAATTTGGAAAGAGGACTGCCATGAGAAAGACTCGTTTGAAGCTTTCTCTTTTTCTCTAATCAATCCTTCTTCTTCTTCGTCTTCTTTTTAATTTTCATCAGATTTCTGCAGGATTCGTCTGCTGGACGAGCCCCTCATTACCAGGTCTTTACACGATCCATTAATTAGCAGTGTCTGATTGAAGACGATGAAGTTATCAGGGATATGGGAATAGCAACACCGCCGCTCCGTTCTCACGATTCTCGTCCTCAATCGATCCAAAATCATCAGCAAAATTCGACATCAAATTCTATGTCCCAGGATTATCATCAAGGTATCTTCAATTTCTCGAATGGATTCGAGAGATCGCAGCAGGAGCAGCAGCAACAGCACATAGCGCAGCAGATCCGCCGCGATAAACTTAGGGTTCAAGGCTACGAGGAGCCACCGCCGCCGCCGCTAGTCGGAATTGAAGAGGAGGAAGAATCTGCCGGAATTCCGGCCTACGAAACTGCCGGTATGCTGTCGGAGATGTTCAATTTTCCATCAGGCGGCGGCGCCGCCGCCGGCACCGCCACGGAATTACTCGAGAACCAAATTATGCAGAGCTACCGAAATTCGCGAGGCCCACCGACGGCCGATTGGTTCTCCCACCGGCAAGGGATGATGGCCGGCGGCAATTTGGGCGATTCCAAAAACCAGACCGCCGTCGTCAGCGACGCCGCTCATCATCAACATCACCATCATATTTCGAGCATTAATGCCGATTCAGCAGCAGCTGCAGCCATGCAGCTTTTTCTAATCAATCCACAGCAGCAGCAGCAACGGTCACCGTCTCCATCTCCATCCCAGCCTCCCTCCACTCTCCACATGCTGTTGCCAAACCCGAACCCGAATCCAAACCCAAACCCGAATCCGGCTACTTCTTCCTCCACTCTTCAAGCCTTGCAGTCGGAAGCCCCCGGAGGGCACTTCGGTCAATTCACATGGATCCCCAACAATGGAAGCGGCAGCAACCCTAATGACTTACCAGGAATCGTGGAAGGGCAAGGTCTTTCTTTATCCTTATCTTCCTCGCTGCAGCACCTGGAGGCCGCCAAGGCTGAGGAATTGAGGATGGGAGAAGCTGGAGGAATGCTGTTCTTCGGCCATGGCGGAGGGTCAACCCCTCAACAGTATCACTTCAAAAACTTGGGCGGCGGCGGATTGAACCAGAACCACCCGTTCGGATCTTCATTCGGGACAGTAAATCTCCTGCGGAATTCGAGGTACGCCAAGGGTGCGCAGGAATTGTTGGAAGAATTTTGTAGCGTCGGTAGAGGTCAAATCAAGAGAAACAAAATCAATAAGCAGAATAACACCACCACCACCACCGGCGGCGGCGCTGCCACCAACGCAAACCCTAATTCAAATCCAACCCCCGGCGCCGGAGGGAATTCCGATTCTTCTCCGAAGGATACTCCTCCTTTATCAGCTGCTGACAGGATCGAACATCAGAGGAGAAAAGTCAAACTACTATCGATGCTCGAAGAGGCACGTATTTCTCCTTTCTCACTCACTCTCTCTCTCTCTCTCTTTGTCTTTCTCTTTCTCTCTCAGTCAACTTTCACTCTTTAACCTACAGTCATTTTGGCAATCATTGACACTTAAATTATTCCATTACATTTGTTTTATCAAACCCACCTGGGCAGAAAATTCCGGCGAGCTTCATGTGCATTATTTTATTGCCGGCGAAAGAAACATTCTACCTTAATTTTTCAAATTATTTTTCTTCTACCTAATTGTATATTTTGCTTCAGCTGTAGCTACGATATATATATATATATATATATAGTGGGGCATAATTAGGGCAAATAGTATTTTCATTTGGTGAGTGAACTAACTACTGATCTCACTGTTAGATTTGCACCAGAATGGCTTCTTCCATATCTGTCGTGGAAGGTGATTGAGTACCATCCATCACAGCAAATTATAACATTAATTTTAATTATCATATATTGTCCTTCCAACTTAAACTTAATTAATTGCATTCAATTTACAATCATTTCTTCTCTAGAAAATAATTCAAATGCCCTAGCTAATAATTTAATTGCCAACAATCGACTATTCAAATGCAGTATTGTTAAATTATATGTTCGTTCATCAGGTAATATATGTCCAGCATGCAAGAACACTACAACCAACACAATTAATTGATACATGAAATAGTATATATATGATTAATGGATGGAGGTGGGGTGGGGTGGTGCAGGTGGATCGGAGGTACAACCATTACTGCGAGCAGATGCAAATGGTGGTGAACTCGTTCGACATGGTGATGGGATTCGGGGCAGCGGTGCCGTACACGTGTCTAGCCCAGAAAGCGATGTCCCGCCATTTCCGGTGCCTGAAGGACGCCATCGGCGAGCAGCTGAAGCACAGCTGCGAGGTTCTGGGAGAGAAGGAGCTGGTGGGGACATCCTCGGGGGTGACGAAAGGCGAGACGCCGAGGCTGAGACTTCTGGAACAAAGCCTGAGGCAGCAGAGAGCTTTCCATCAAATGGGAATGATGGAGCAAGAAGCTTGGAGGCCTCAAAGGGGTTTGCCCGAACGCTCTGTCAACATTTTGAGGGCCTGGCTTTTCGAGCATTTCCTGCACCCGTACGTAATTTCATCCTCCATCTCCATCTCCATCTCCATCTCTACTCTACCTTGCTGCTTAATATTATTGTCTTGTCTTTTTCATCCATCCTCTTCATTTTCTTTTCTTTTATTTTATTTTGGGGATCAAGAAAAAGGGGTTTTATTTATATAATTTAATAATAATCATTATTACGGAATTCTATGATAAGAGAAGCTCGATCCCCATGGGTTTTATTCTTTTAAAACAAAAAAAAGAAAAACAAGAGTTAGGTTGTTCTTGAAAACTCGAGCACTTTTGCCTTTTCTTTTTTGTCACTAGTGTGATCGTCGTTTAAAGGGTTCTGAAATGCAGTGGTTTGATGTTGTCCCTTCACTTCAAAAAGCTGAAACAAAGGAGTAATTTTTCCTCGTTCCCTACTTTTCATATGTAAATATTTTTGTTTTTTCTCCTGGTATTAATTAATCTTCATTTATTATGATTGAATGCTGCATTACACAGTAAATGAAAAAGCCATTAACTAGCAATCAGGCAGTGATGCAATTACTGCTGATCTGATTCTTACAATTTCAGTGTCATTACATATATAGCTAGGGCCCCGTTTTGTCTGTCTCTAGACTCTATAGCTTGTCCCCCCACCTATACAGTTTTTTTTTAAAAAAATATATCTATATAATATTACTACATGTCAGCTGTCCTTGCCATTATATTAATTAGCACTAATCAATAAATCAGTACATACTAAATTATTGTATTAAACCATAGGTTACATATATATATATATATAATTTTTTACAATAATATATCTATTTGATTAAATAATACTTTTCCTAGTAGAAGTATTTAGGCAGGCGTGCATCCTTCCAGTTCTATGTCTCTTCTGCAACTATTGCTGCACCATGCTCAACAATATTGTGCTCATAGATTCTCACGCCCATGCATATACATATACATATAGTGAGAGAGAGAGAGAGAGAGAGAGGAGAGAGAGAGATGTACAGTGTACATATATATCCAATATCCATGTATAGATTGTTAAACATAAAGGTCGTTCGTCTCTTTATCTGATTAAGGCAATATGTATATCTAGTTATTATAAGTGTGAATGATGTATGTATCTGATATATATATGTGTCGTTTTCGATGGTGGTCTCTTTCTCAGGTACCCGAGCGATGCAGATAAGCATCTGCTAGCCCGACAGACTGGTCTCTCAAGAAACCAGGTACGTACGTACTACTCTATTCTTCATCTTCTTCATTCACTTTACTCCTACATCCTCGTTTCCTCTTTGCACCTTTTCTACCCATACAGGATAGATATATATATATATATATGTATTCAATCAATCATGGAGTACTAGTTAGTAGGAATAGTAGTAGTATCGTATTGCATTTTCTTCTCAATTCAAATTGAAGAGCTGGGGTTTAATTAGGTTTTAGAGAGAGAGAGAAAGAGAGAGAGAGAGAGACTGAATCACTGATCCCCATTAAAAACCTTGACTTACGTAAACACAGACACACTCACACACACATAGTCCTGTCTCTATGCAAAAGCCAAGGCTATTTTTCAAGGTCCCTTTACATTGTTTCTTTGGATTCTTTCGTCACAATGACAAAAATTCTGAGAGAACCACTGGGAATAGTAGCAGTGTCAAGTACAGGAGGAAGGGGAGAGTGAGACATCAAAGTTTGCAGCTTTCAGTGTTTTCTTTTCTTTCTTTTTTTAATTAATTAATTATTATTAGTTTCTTTTCCTTTTTCAGCTCACTTACATCCACCCCTTTAATGAGTTCATTCATCTATGAGTGCTTCTGCAATCTCTACACTGAATATATATATATATATATATATGAATATGGATTCATAGCAGTAGAAAGAATTCATTAGCTGCTGACTGATCATGACTGAATTCTGACTTCCTTTGCCTTTTCAGAACCACTGATTTCTTTCAAACCTTAAATTGCTGAATCATATACACCACCTCAATAAAGATTTACTTTACTCACTACTTACTAGAATTATTATAAATTAGGGTCTTTTGAATTAGACCTGCTAAAACCCTAGCTTCCTAGCTGCTTTATTTTATAATTTAGGTATATGTATATTTATATATATGTGTCTTCTTATTGGGGAAATTTTAAGGACACGTAGTTGGTTTTGAAAGAGGAACCCTAATTAAAGCATCTGCACCCTACATTGACAAGACACAGAAAATTTAATATGATTGCTGCCTGCATGCATAAAATTCAAAAAAATGACCAACAGATCCATCTTTGTCTTGTCCTGATGGATGGATTTTGCTGATTTCCAATTTTCTTTACATTTAATATGTCTCTGGGGATTGCAGATGGGGTAGATGCTACCACCATTAATATACCTTGCCAATCAATTAATTTTTGAATTTTTGTCCATTTGTTCTTTCGTTACTTTGTATGTTGTAGAGCATCCCAATGCCTCAGATCATCCTCTTTTTTTTTTTTTTTAATTAATTTAATTTAATTAATGTCGACGACGACAATTGTTTTATATATCAAGTTCTTCGTGTCCGAATGGAATGGCCTTTCCTGCTGCAGGTCTCCAACTGGTTCATTAATGCCAGGGTTCGTCTGTGGAAACCCATGATCGAAGAGATGTACCAGCAGGAAGCCAAGGACCAGGGACTCGACGACGATGCCCAGGACCTGGACCACAGCTCCACAAGCGGACAAACTCCAGCGCCGCCGCTCCCCGCCACCACCGCCGCCGCCGAAAACGACCACTCCTTCACCGGAATTAATAGGCAGGGCTTCTCGGATAACCAGGCCAGCAAACTGTCCCAGAACCCCATCTCCGGCGGCAGCGCTGCCGTCTCGTTGATGCAGCCTAAACCCGCCGCCTCCATCGCGGCGGCGCAACCTGTACCAGATCAACAGGAGGTTGCAGGTGAGCCGAACCGCTACCATCCGATCCATACTGACATGGAATCCACGGTTATAAGGTTTGGGACGTCCGCCGGCGACGTGTCTCTCACTCTAGGGTTACGCCACGCCGGAAATTTGCCGGAGAAGGGCCCCTTCTCCATTCGGGAATTTGGGGGCTGCTGATCATTAAATATTATTAAAGGGATTCCGAAACGACGTTTCTTAATTATAGCTTTTGTCGGAGTTGATCAAATTAGTCTTTTTATTTTTTTTTGAATTTCTTGTCTGTCTTTATTATTAATTAGATAAACACATAAATTAGAAGGAAGAAACTAATGTTAGCAGATTATTACGAGGTTTTATTGTAATTGTAAAGTTAAAATTTTTGGACCTCATTCATATTTCCCCACTATATATATCACTGTCTATTAAGTTTATAAGCACAATGCACAATTCAATTTTACTTGATTCCTCATGATGTATGTAATAAAATTCACCCCGCTTCCTCGTCGCCTTCACGTTTTGAATTACAAATTATACTAAAATACTCCAGGAAGAACATATTGCATATATATATATATATATATATGTATGTATAGAAATGGTGATGGTAAGAATGTAGCAAACGAACCAAAGGGCTCTCCTTTCTACATTAGCCACAGATAACTAACAGAGCCTTCCCCGGCAATTCGTGGCGCCGCATAAGCACGGCCATCCTTCGCCGGGTAATCGCTTGTACCGGAAATCATACGTCAATTCCTCCCATGGCGATATCTGCTCGCATCAACACCATCTCAGCTAAGGTTTTTCAAACATGGATTTTGTCGAGTTTTGAGGAAAGCAGAAAGAGAATTCTTACATCCCGGCTGGCGTAGAAACCGATGTGCGCGAGGTGGCTGTCCATGCTCTCCACAAGAACCTGATGGTTCACGAGATTCGGCGCACAGCTAAAAGAGCAAAGTCTCGATCAGAAAAATGTAATTAATTACACGTTGAAGAAGGAAATTAAATGGCGGTGTCTATGGCTAACCTGTGGTTGATGTAGCGCGAAATATTTCCATAATTTGTGGCGTCGATTACGAAGGGAGGCTGTCCTTCGATCATCCGGCCCATGTCATTGATTCCAGCATCGATCTCGAAAAGATATTTGCAGCCTTCTTGACCATACCTGCTCACCAAATAATAATGAAGCATCAGACCGCTTGTCAAGAAAGCTGCGAATACACCAAGAGCTTGTGAATGGAGCATCAAACCTGGCGCGCCTCTCCTCCGCTGCATCTTCGCTTATAACCTCCCCAATATATTCACAGACAAAGGTGCCGCGAAGAATTGCTTCCCTTGACCTCACTGCCCAACCCTGCGATTTGCACATTTTATATATAGTTAAAGATCATATAAAGTAGAATGTGTATTATTATCGAATATTCAAGCTTTCAACTTTACCTTTTTTTCGGTTTTAAAAATTTCCAACTTTACTCGCACCCCATTTTGCAGAATCCTGTTTCGGCAATTGCTGCTGCAACGGCACCTCTGATTGCACTCGTAAACAACGTAACCCTCCTGAAAATTCATATGAAAAACCCACATGTTAGTTAATATAGCATAAAAAAAAAAAAAAAAAAAAAAAGATCAACCGCAACAGCAGCCACAATGACACAGCATCATTTAAAATATATATCCAAACAAAAAATCAAAGGTAAAACAGGGAGAAAATCTGTGTACCTCTAATATAATCCGGCCTCTCTCATCATAGGGAAACCTTCCGCGCATAGACTTTCCATAAATGTCTTTGGCATCATCATAATCATTGTTAAAAAGGTACACATGATCACATGTTTCAGAAGAACATGTCGAATGAGAACAAGCACACCCCAGTTGCATACTCTGGATATCAAGACAGAGCAACGGTAAATTTAATTTGAACGTGCATATATCTTATTAATTGTAGTAAAACAATTATATGCAGTCAATTTTTTAAGACAATGGACAGCACATGCTAAACAAGGTAATTGGATAAAAAAAGGCGGCGCAAAGTATAAATTCACAGATACCTCGGATTCAAGAGCAGGGTATTGGTCAAGCACCGATTTTGTGACATAAGTAAATGTTTCCCATGGAAAGGAGTCCTCGCTGATTTGTCCATCGGGCACCTCAGCATTTAAAAGATTTTCATCCACCACACAAGCTATGGGAAGCGATTCCTGTCCAAAACTAATATCATCACATAAAACTACATTTTTCTCAGAGAGATCCATGGAAAAATGTCGGGAATCAATAATGCAGTGGCTCTCATCCATTGTCCACTCTGAAGCTGTAACATTTGATGAGGGAGAAGATTTTATCTTAAACATCTTCTCTTGTAAGGGCTCTATGGGAGACAAAATTGGTAATTGCGCATTCGACTTGCACCCCCTAGGGCAAATAAAATCATCTTGGTGCCACTCAACTGGTATATTATGCTCACTGCACAGTTTTGCGGCTTTCAGGTACATCTTCTCTGGCAAAATACCGTACTTAGACTCCAGCAAGGCTTGCAGGCTTATCTTACAGCAAGCAGAACTGGCACTTGATAAAATTTCTGAACTACTTGGATGTGGCTTGATTCCTTTCAACTCCGACATCAATATTTGTGCAACAGCCGAGCATTGAGAATCTGCCAAGCTACCAAGTGTTGCCACTTCAGGTATAGAGGATTGAACTGGGATTTCAGCCGGGGAAATGGCACTTGATGGCTGGATGCGTTTCTTCAAATTCTGCACGCTTCTATTCCTAATAGTATATGATGCTGAACTCAAACCCTTTTTGAAGCGGGGACGAGTCAGCCGACCAGATTTCAGTTTCTGCACATAGAACTGAATGCCTTTCTTCGTCAGGCGAGGACCACTAGAATTTTGACTCATGTGAGCAGCTTGATGGTGGCGGCCAAGATCAGGTAACAAATCAAATTTTAAGCCACAAAACTTGCAGATAAACCTCCGATGATGCACGGATTGATTCTCAGATTTAACATTGTCCAATGTATCTGAATTGTTCAGCACTGGTGTCTGCCTTGAACTTTGATCTTGCTGTTGAGCGGGGTTTGACAGCCTTAGATCGAAGGGATGAGCAGACAGCACATGTGACCATAGTTGATCAGGATTCCCGATATTGCTGCCACAAGAAATGCACTGTAGAAGCATACACTGCTCAACAAACTCAACGTGATGCCTGTCCTGTACATGAGCTTCCAGAACCTTCTTATTAGTAAAAGAATCCAGGCAAATAGCACAGACATATCGTCTAAATAACCACTGGGACTCTTTCTTGTGGCTATCCATCCAGTGTCTTCCAAGTGCTTCATCATCAACAAACTTTTCCGAGCATATTTTGCACTTGATGGCATTTTCCTGATCACTGTCCTTGGCTGTCTCCACTGGAACTGGAGCTGGATCTGAGACTGGAATGGATTCTTTAAATGTTGCTGAAGCTTGCAAGCTCAATCCATCTTCAAAGCCCCAGACCTTCTTCAACCTGTCTTTCTCATTGCACACCAATTTCATTAAGAATTCCCCTACTCCAACATCTTTTGAAGCTTCAGAAATAGCCCATTGAAATTGTACCTCCTTGGGTACTGGATTTCTCAAAGATAATATACTCTTGAAAAGCCTGTAAAAGACTTCGCATGCTTGGTGTAAATGCAACTTTTGTTCCCTCGACTTACAAGTTTTCAGAAGTTCAATGAACACTTCCTTGGAAACTATCCTACTCTTGCCATTCCTTGCACGCTTAAGCCAGCTTGGAATATGTTGCTCGCAATATAAAGAATGTCTTTTGGGTATTTCAAGACAGGGCTCACTAACATTCGAGGGCAATGGACCAATGCACTGCCCCACCTCATCACTACCAATAGATTGCTGAAGCTGCTCAGAGTTCTCATTCGCGCTGCTTTCTTGAACGATGCTTTTTCCCATATCAAGCAGGGAACCTAACTGTACGGGATCTTCAGCTTCTCTGGAAAAAACATAATTTGTCAACCGTTTACTCTCCGATTGCTTGAGATTCTCTTCACCTTTTCTTTTAAGTTTATTAACAGGAGATGCCGTACTTTTGCCATCGTCGGGCCTGTGCTTCTTGCAGAAAGACGAACCAATTAGAGCTCTATGCTTGCATTTAGTTCCAAGAACTGTGGTGCCCCCACACATTGGTGAGTCTGCAAGAGCCATTGCTTCAGCCTTTGCAGGATTCGCAATAAAACGAGTTGCCAAATGTACACAACAATAAACATCCCCTTCATTAGCATAACGCACACACTGCCTTCCCTTAGCTGCAATAAAGGCCATGCATTGCCGATTTCGACTTCCCGATTCTACAGGTTTCTGAGAAACAGAACTGGCAGGTGTCGACTCCATATCTTGAGACTTACTAGCTTCCAGATGTCCGGCCTCAACAACAAAATCATTCCATGTATTGCCAACAGAACCAGGGGAACCTCCCAGGGCAGCATTGGCGATGGAACTCTCCTTTTTAGTTTCTGAGTCTAGTGATGCAGTGGTCACATCATATCCATCACAAAAGGTTGAATTAGCTTCCATAGGTACACATGGATGTGAACCAGATGTGTTTACATCAGCACGACGAACCTCAAGCTTTGGTCTCTTCCTGGTCATCTGAAATTCCAGGGTGTCCGGATTATCATTTATAGGTTGGTCTGACCCTACATTCGTAGACATCGGATGCCACGCGGAAAACAATTTCATGACCTCATGTTTCCAATTCTTCCAGTCCGATCTGACATTCACCTGTAGTGCCTCACTTGCAATTGAGTTTACCTCTTCCCATAAGATGGAGTCAGCCAATTCCTGAACAGGGAAAGGAATTAGAGATGTTATCTTGGATAACTGGTAGAGGTTAAAGGCATATATTTAATTTTGTGGGAAAAAGGGGGATAAATCTTCTCCTATTCACCTAATCTTATAAGTGATGGATTAAATGATGCAAATATAGCCACAAGCTAACACTGTTGTCCTTACATGAGTTCAGTGTTTACTAGTTAAATGTTCATAGATCAAACACCAGTAAAATGGCAAGTACCATATGCTTTCTGCTGATATAAGTTCAGTGTTCATTTCTTCATCAGTTTAACTCAAGTTTGGACGGAAGGAAAATAAGGAAAAGAAAAGAAAGAAAAAAAGGAAACCAGAAATATTTTTTTGTTTAGATGCATAAAAAAAGGGAATGAAAGAAACATTTCTTTCCCTCAGCATAAAAAATTTCTGCCCACGTTTGGATGGAAAGCAAGGAAAAGAAAAGATAATAGTAAGAAAAGTACATTAACTATTTTAAAAGGTAAATTAGTAAATTAACTTCAATTCATTTCCTTTCTTTTCTCATCGACTCCCAAATACAACATTTGAACTTCAAGAATCTAAATTTTAAAAATTTGAAAGTAGAGATTAGAGATCCCCACTCATAACTACTTAAAATTCAATGGGCATTTGAACTTCAAGAATCTAATCCTGCTATATCCAAACAAAGTATGACAAATTGAATGAGGCAGGGAAGTTAAAAAAACATGGGAGAGGTAATGGTAATCTCAAATCCACATCCCATTATTTTCTAACAAATGCAAATTTACTAAGATATGAAATAATTAGGCTGAGATTATACAAGCTGAGGTAAATTAACTGTCGCTAGCTCTAGGCTGCCAGCATGGCCACAAGATAGAAAATCATTAGACCTAATCCTATATTCTTCATGCTTAGAAATTATTTATGTCACTACTGATGAATTCAACAGTATTCTATGCTAATAATGATAGCCGGGTTCTAGATTTTCAGTGCACTTCATCAGAAGGAAGAAGTGAAAAGAAAATAAAATAACAAAAAAGGAAAGCACCAGACTATTTCAATTAGTTTTCTCAAACTGGTTTTGAAGGAACTCATTTAAAATGCCGAGAAAAACCTTTTTCCAACATTAAACAGGACTATGCCAATAACGATAGCTACCAAAGTACCTCCTTCAGCATCTCAATGAATTCAGCACTATTTGCATCCTGACATCGTTGCTTCCAGGGTAGCAGGGATTGGTGAAGCCATTCTGAATTTAGGCAACGCGGTAGTATCATCTGGTAACAAACAATTGGATTAAACTCAGCATTGACTTCAAACAATGTTGAAAACCCTCAAAGGCTACCAAAATGCATGGAAAAGAGAGACCGATTATTCAGTAATTATTTTTATAATATTACAACCGACTGGAGGAAGCATTACATTTTGAAGTTTCAAAAGCATCTTTCCAAGATCAGAATAATCTTTACAGCAGGAGGCCTCCATAGCAAAATCCTTCAAAACTGCCACATCCCGAGCTGTTTCTATCAAAGCCTATATTGCCATGAGAACATCATAAGAAAGCATGAACAAAAACAGCAGCCAGATACACATAATCGTTGCATACACATATCTGATTAAACATTAAATTACGAGAACAGAAAAATACAAACAATTGAATGTGTTGATTCAATAGCAAACCTCTCGGCCCAACTGGTCAAGAATATTCAGCATGCTCACAGCCAATCTTTGCATGATAAAACGACGAGCAAGAGTCAAATCTTTCACCATCTTCATACCAACTTTGTGGGTCTTATAGGCAATGGGCTGCGGAAACTCATTGATTGGGCAGACTAATAATACATCAGCCCATGAATAATTCCTTGTATGGGGAAAGAATATCACAAGATATTGTTTCCTGCCATGAGTTGGCTTTGCTTTTAGAGTCGATAAAGGCCAGTCAGCCCTTGCACATCTGATCCCTGACTGCCACTTCCCTCTCCACTACAAAGGAAAAAAGACACGACATCAGCATTCCTTTCTTCAGAAACAAAATCACCTATAACCTTCTAAGTAACATAATCTACATTATAAAACTAAAAGATTTTGGTTAAATTTGACCATGGAAATGCCATTGTCATTATATACTTACTACAATTCGGGAAATTCAATTCTTAACTAAAGTGTAAGACAACTATTTAGAGCCAATAAGTTCAGAAACAGCTGGTGATGCCGACAGTTATAATATAGGGAAAGAATAGAATTTGTGTAGTAAAGGAAAGTGAGTAAAATACCTTTACCCAAACTGCTTGGGGTTCATCCTGTTCTAAGGCTTTAATATCAGAATGGGCTGAACCCTCCTGATTGTTATCGGGGAGTCCACTTTCAGATGAATCCAAGACCATGTCAGAACTTTCTATTGTAAGACCAGCTTCTGCAAAGTGATCAATTTTGCCTAAGTTGTCATCTTCAGAATCATGAGAATTGCAGGGGAGATTCTGACCATCAACATCAAAATCACTGCACATATCCCCATGATCGCCTCCTTCCGAAGCTGGGAAACTCTCAAACATTAATCCATCTCCAATTTCTCTCACTTCCTGAGACTCTCCAACATCAAGGGTTAACCTCTCAACTTGGACATCTGTTGTCCCATGTTCAGCATCTTGAAGGCTATCAGATTTTACATCATGTTTAAAAGCCGTCTCCAATCTCTGCTCAGGACCATCAGATTCTCCAACAAGACGAGTGCCAGGACATGTAAGAATCTCCATAGTTTAATTCTAAAACGTCAATGCAAACTTGCAGCCCCAATCATCAAGTAAATCAAAATTCTGCAGCACAGTGAGAGTTCCACATGTCAGAGCAGTATAAATGAAGAAGAGCTTATGATACAGTAGCTCGGAAAATGAAACAATGATTAGTTGCATTTTATAGTGAAATCAGTTAACGAATTACAAAAGAAAGCGGTTATAATGTAGACATTTTGTTACCATAAAAAACCCAACAAACTAGTAAACAATTTCAGAAGTTCCATTTGCATGCATAAAATTGAGTAGTTGCAATAGAGTTCTTTCACATTTGTAAAATTCCATATTTGAAGTACTTACATAAAGACAGGATAACTCAATCCTCCTATGTAAACCCGAAAAGCTAAAGATGCTCTGCTAACAAAACATTAAAACTACTACTCAAATGTGTCACATTATTAAGGCACAGTGTAGTATAATTATTGAAGTGAAAATGAACCATAATAAAGGCGTCCAATGAAAGAAATATATGTAAATTAGGGGAAACAAAATTCTATTTATTGAACTCAAAGACCAGGAAAGAAAAAAGCTCCCAAGTCTAATAGATTGACTAGTTCAAATTAGATTAAAAACTCAGGATAGATTCCACCAGAACTTGCCAAGCTTGTCTTCCTCCCCATTACTAACGATTATGTAACTCCAACTCTTCATGGTAAGATCATATAGCCTAATGTGCCCGAGAAGATTGAAATAGTAATTAATAATAATGCAACAACAAACCCCACCCACCCCCCCCCCCCCCCCCAGCAACCTTTACTTGAAATTTTGCACTTGCCCGTTGAGTCTCAACAGAGTACGTGCAAACTACTGTAGCCTATATTACATAGACTGCTTCTAACCAAAAAAAAAAAAAACCCTTATATTTAATCAAGCATCTCCCTCCCAAGGGTTACCGCAAGTTACCAAAATTGAAGAACTTTGCAAGAAGAAATCAGTACCCTTGCATAGTCAGTCAAAATTGAAGCATTAAAAAACCCTAGACAAATTGGACAAGAAATTCATCCCCATCACCTATATAAAGTGGGTCCAAATCGAAATGATAAAAATGTCAGTAAGGGAATTCACAATTCAAGATACAATCTATAGATATGAAAAAAATAAAAAAATAAATAAATAATAAAAAAACTTTACACAAGAAAAGGGTTTGATTGTAAATGAATTTCCTCATCCAAGGTAAACCCATTAAATTCGTCGACTAATTAGGCAGGGCACACAGGCAAATACCCCTTTAACTTAGCCCCATGCCCGCTGCTCCCATAAAACATGTCACACACACACACACACACACACATGCGTGCCTCTGTATAATTCACAGAACGAAGCCAGACAGAATTTGCTTGTAATGTACCTCTAAGAACCGTGGATCACCATTAATTTTTCCTGGGTAAAAAAAATAAAATACTTGGTTGTGTGATTTTTCGTGGGCTCCTGGTTAAAAACCTGAATAGATGTGGATGGTGTGAGTGACCAGATTTTTGTGCTGGGAAAAATAAGGATGGAATGGTTATGTAACACAACACAGGTCCAAATTTATGGAACAAATAAAGGTGAGAAATTCAACGGATGAGATTTGGGGAAAAAAAAGGGTGAATGAAAGCAGATTTGGAATTGGGGGTACGAGTACGACATCAATTTGGTAAGGGTTAGTGTGGTGTGTGTGTGAAAATCACATTCACAATTACAAACAAATACAGAAAATCATTAGAGAGAAGGCAAGGCAAGAAAGGCAGGACGAGAAGAAAGGACACCTAAATAATAATTAAAAACGAGAAAATAAAACTAAGGGTCGCCGTGGGACTTGCAACGTGCTGTGGGGTTATTCTTGGAAATTCACTTTTTTCCCGGGGCTATTTTGGGTAATTAGAACTTGTGCTTTTGCACTGAAACTAGTAACCGCTCACAGACTGGATAAATCTAAAATTATTATATTATAATCTATGGAATATGTTGCAGATAAATTTCAAGGTTTATTATATTATTATTATATATATATATCTATATTTTTGGTATTGTTATTCTAAATATACATATCAATATTTTGACAGCACGAATAACGTGGGGAAAGTAGATAAGAAGGCGATAAATATTAGTGGCATTACTAACATGCGTCACGTCTAGTTTAGGCCGCTTCATATCAGCCGTTGATTTAATCCCCAATCTGGATAACCCTTAATGGGCCAGTAATGGGTTTGACCCAAACCTTAATGAACCTTTTTTATTATTGGGCTAATAATTTATATACGGCCCAATTTAATGCTGTTTTTAAGCACAAGGCCAGGCCCAGGATAAGAAGACATGGATAAATTTTCCGCATATGTAAATTAATTTTTATTTCTATTTCTTTTTCAAGAAGAGATGCCTTTTTGCATCCACATATGATTGGCCTTGACTCTCTTGTCCGAATGTCTTTGGAAAGTTTTACTTTTTCATGAGCTGCAGACATTTGTGGGGACTGATGGTGGACATTGTGGCATCGAGTTGGGAGCTCCCGATCTGCCATTGAAGTGCGCCATCAACGGTGTGGAACGCTCCGGCGTCGAGCTCCCGTTAGTGATGACCCATCGTCGTCTTCCTCGAGGCATCACTCTGATTAGTCCTCAGTGGACGTAGATCTGATCATATATCAGTAGTGTAGGCAAGAAAAGAGCATAAGAACAGAAAAGATTCTGATTCATTTTTGGAGTTTCTTACAATCTTTGAATTGGAAACACACATTATATATATATATATGTGTATATTCATTTGGATTGGACATGAGTTCTACCGTATATGCTGTTTATAACTTATTGACTTGTAATTATTTGCTCAAGATTGCGAATAAAGCATGCGGGCCTCTGGCAGTCCTGACAAACAGTTTTTTATTTAAGATTGCTGTAAGGAATGCAGGCTGAAATAATAAGGCAAAAGACATCACAATTGATGTCTGCTTTTTATATATATTCAGAGTTTCGAAATATTTTGAGAAGTAGACACACGCAAACAGGATAGTCGAGAAGGGTGAACAATGGAGGAGATCAATCCATCTCAATTTGATTAAAATTTAGTGAATCATGCTGAAAAGGGTTAATATTATTTTGGCAATATTCGTCGAATAAAACACAAATCAAAACAATGTCGAGATTTGTGTGTGCTGGTGTCTTGAAACTGATAGCTTTCAGACACAGTCTGTCTGTATCTACTGATTCATTCATTGGTGGTGAAATCTGCAGAGCAAACTTGCAAACTGATTCCATTTTGACCAATCTAATTTCACACCACTGTAAGAAATGAATTTTAATCTCATCAACATTTGGAGTTAGATTTCCCTTTCGTTTATTTTACGGCACATTTATTCATGGCAGTGGAAAGTATGTCTGTCAGTTTTTGGATTAGAAAATTTGAGGCTTCACTTACTCCCAAATGGAACAATAATTTATTCAAAACTTTACGCAAACTTTTCGAGTTTTTGGTTTAGTTTAAAGATCAAATCTTTAGTAAACAATTTGGTTGCATAAGAAGATGAAAAAGAAGTTTCTTAGGAACAAAACTAAACAATAAAATTATACTACTAGTAATTAATCACTTGTAGTGTTTTTTACAATGTAAGATAGAACAAATTACGAATATCAATAATAATAATAATAATAATCAGACCCCATATTTCTTTTTCCCATCCCCTTTTGCAGCTGTAAAAAAAGGGCAGCTTTAATGAAGAGGAGGGGAGGTCTACATGACGACAAAAAGAGAGGTCTGAAGACCCAACCATAATCATCGATCTGTTTTTTCTTTTGTATAAATCTTGGAAAAGGTCAAGCACCTATCCATTATTTTATTTCCTGATTCTTTGACAAACGTTAGTCTCTTGGATGCTTGAGGACAGTGTGGGTATCTTCCCATTTTCTTCTTTAATCTTTTTTCGACTTTTTTGAATTAGGCTAGAATTCGGACAAAGGGAAACCCCACAAAATTTCATTTCCTTTCAAGCATCCAATGTTTCCTTTTCAACCTCAACTTTCATCCCTTTTGAGGAGACACTGCTGTGTACTCGGAGTCGTCGATACAGACCAGACCAGACCCCATTTCGATTTATGCCCACAAGTTTTTATTTTCTTGCTTTTGGATGAACACATTTGGAGAGCCCTGATGATGGTTGCAGTGATTGAATAAAAGACAACCCTTTTTTTAATTTTTTGATAATTCAACGTTTGAATTTCAAATTATTCACTTCAGAAAACTATGGTGGATGAAATTGCCAGGGCCACTGTAATAAAGTAATTTAATTTCTTCGGAAGATACTGTAATGGGGATGTTAGAAAATGATCAAGAATATGTTACATGTCCCTGTAACACAACAAATTCATTATTCTCCCAAAAACCCTCTGGATTCTCCCAGAACTTTTACCCAAATGCACCTTTTCAAATTTCGCTTTCTTGTTGACTTCAAATCCCTAACTTGCTTTCAGCAGTTTATGGCATAGACTAGAATATCTTACTACCTTAAAACAGAAATTAAAGACTTACTAAACTTTATTAATGTTTAATTTTGGAAATGCGGATCAGATTTGGTTATTCTATTGCTATTGCTGCCAGCCTGTTCTGATAGAGAACATGGCACGTCTATATCTATATACACACAGAGATATAGATATATATAATCATTAGTTAATTTATAATTAAAAAAAAAAGAAAAGAAAAAGGGTTCTTGCAGAAGCAGCAGTATATATTTGGCAAGAAGGGACAAAAGGGTGGAGGAGATGGTCACCAACTCCCACTTGCAACCCAACAAATTGAAGGGATAAAAGGGTGCGTGGGTTTGGACTTCACTGCTTATATTTTGTCGCTGAAATCTTGTCTCTGTTTCTTATTTCCTAAAAAAAAAAAAAAAAAAGGAATTCCTTTTTTAATTTTCCTATCACTCCATTTGACTTGGATGATGATACCCACCAATATCTATTTAATTTTCTTCTCACACTTGGGCACACTCTGACTGTCTCTCTCTCTACTCTCTACTCTTTCCCCCAAATTTCGACTAAAGAAATCGAATCTCGTCTGCTGCTTTATTACACCGAAAGCCATGGCTGATTTTGGAGGAGGGACTGTGGGTGGTGCTTTTCTGTAAGAAAGAAGCTGCCCTTCTGGTCAAAAGAAACGAACCGCCTTTCCTCCGCCATTTTTCGTTTGTGCACATGATGACCTGGTTTTGGCGGTGTGTTCAGATATCAGACTAGGATTCGGATGCGTATATGTTGCGCTGCAGGGCATTTGGGAGTTTGACCTGCGCTGAGGTTTTACAGGATCTCATTTTCAAGAAAAATAAAAAAATAAAATCCAATCTTTACTCTTGATCCTTATAACAGGGGTTGTATGAGGTAATGCTTCTTCTTGCCTTCCTGTTCTTGTTCTTCTGCTTTCACATTTGCAGTTTTGTAAGGGTTAAAGTTTTATTACAGGGATGGGTTTTGAAGGTTTCAGCAGCAGCAAATGGCCTACCTTGGCTAGACACAAACGATCCAAGAGGTAGATTTGATTTTTTTATTTTTTTAATTTTCGTTTTTTTTGGAGTTTGAGGTAAGGGAATAGTTCTGTATGGCCTACAGTGGAAAGTTGCATAGAAAGAGGATGGTAAAGAGTGTTTTCCATGCCTTATTTATGACTTGAATGTACTTCCTCAGAGTTATTACATTTTCTTTTCTCAAGTGTGTGAAGAATGAATGAATAGTTGTAGTAAATGAGTACAGAAAAGCACATGTATGAACAGGTCTTGAAACTGGGGTCTTTTGTTTTATGATTTCTGTGCTGCATAGTTGTTCTTAAAGATCATAAATGTGAGTGTTTGTAATAAAATGAGTTTGAAAAGTTGTAAATTGAAGTTTCTTGATCAAGGCAGTTTAAGGTGTTGAATTTCAAGCTCATGTAACTCTTGCAGCTTCCCGGAGGAAATTAAACCGGTGAATTCAGTTGAAGCCGGTTCTAAATTGAAGAAGCCGGTGAGAACTTATTACAGCATTCACCTTTTGTCATAACAACATAGGAAGATTTCAAGTTTTCAAGTGTTGTAGTGAGCAGAAATCATGATTGTAATGAATATATGTTGGCTTGTTTTCTCCCCAGGCTATAGAACACTTAAATGACTGTAATGAAAAGAAGCAGTCATCGGCCAATGCCGAGATCCAACAATCGTTGAGGCAAGAGGTATTCGAGGATCTTGTTATGACATTATTACATTATCGAACAAACTAGAACGAATGCATTGTCGTAATCTGTAACTTATGTTGCTAATAAAACGAGCCTTTTTGGTGCAGATAGTGCTGCTTGAAAAGCGATTACACGAACAGATGTCCGTTCGCTGTGCTCTCGAAAAGGCGCTCGGTTATCGAGTTTCCTCCCGTGACATTGCTTCTGCCGAAGCCACAATTCCTAAGGTAGTATCATGTCTTGTAATAAAAGTTCTTAAGCTTTTCTTACCCCTGCCTTGTATGTGCTTTTGCTAATATTAACTCCTTACAGCCGGCGACAGAACTCATCAGAGAAATTGCAGTGTTGGAGCTGGAAGTCGAGCATTTGGAACAATACCTTCTTTCACTCTACCGAAAAGCATTCGATCAACAAACTTCTCAGTCATCTCCTTCGAAAATAGAAGAAGGATCGAAATCTCCCCTGTGTCGACGGCTGGATTTTTCAAGACCCGAGATTATACCCGAACCAGAATCCGTCGATCCACAGTTTCATTCCGATTCAAGAAAGGAAGCGAATGGGGAATCTGTCGACAGGCTCGTGGATTCCGGCGTTCAGCGCTCTCACTCATCGTTATCTCAACTTTCGCCATTGGAGCACGCGAGCTCCCCTCCCGATGAGACTCTCGGAAAGGCCCTCCGCGCGTGCCATTCGCAGCCATTGTCGATGATGGAGGTACATTTGCGATAAAACTACGATCCTTGTAGGCGAATATTTTCGAATTGTTAACACATTATCGCCGTTCTTACAGTACGCGCAGAACTCTTCCTCGCAAGTGATCAGCCTGGCAGAGCATCTCGGCACGCACTTTTCAGGCCATATTCCAGACACACCAAACAAACTTTCCGAAGACATGGTTAAGTGTATGTGTAATATTTATTGCAAGCTTGCAGATCCTCCATTGGCAAACTATGGCCTCAATTCTCCAACCTCGTCTGCGTCGTCCGTAAGTGCTTTTTCTCCGAAAGATCAGCGCGGCCTGTGGAGTCCCGGATTCAGGAACGATTCGTCCTTTGATGTCCGTCTGGATAATCCTTTCCATGTCGAAGGTTTGAAAGACTTCAGCGGACCTTACAGCACGATGATTGAAGTGCATTGTATATACAGAGACAGTCAGAAACTCGGCGATATCGAATACTTACTACATAACTTTCGGTGAGGAGAATGTGCATTCGTTACACTGATTCGCTTGTAGTACAAAGAATATTCTTACAGCCGTCGATTGTCCTGATGTTGTGCAGGTCTCTAATATCGAAATTGGAAGGAATCGACCCTCGGAAGATGTCGCACGAGGAGAAGTTGGCATTCTGGATCAATGTACACAATGCTTTGGTGATGCACGTAAGTATATCTACATCGAATGGCGACGTAGATTAATCATCCGATGTCGAGCTTACATTTCGATTTTAACACGAACAGGCATTCTTGGCGTACGGCATCCCTCAGAACAGCATGAAGCGGATGTTTTTGCTCTTGAAGGTACACAAAAGACTCCACTCCTTTTCGGACAGGAATTGATTCGAACATTTAACATTGTCTGATATCGGGTTTGTGTTCATCCAGGCTGCATATAACGTCGGAGGTCAAGTAGTAAGTGCCGACACCATACAGAGTTCGATCTTGGGATGCCGAATGTCTCGCCCCGGACAGGTATACTATTCCCTCGATTATCCTTAAACGATACGATCAATTTACAAACGAGCAGCAACCGTCGTTACATTTGCTCTGTTATTACAGTGGCTTAGGTTGCTACTCCCTTCGAAAACGAAATTTAAATCAGGCGATGGACGCCAAGTGTATGGAATCGAACGCCCCGAGCCCCTTCTGTATTTTGCACTTTCGTCGGGGAGCCATACCGATCCTGCGGTAATCATCCCTCATTAACTTCTTATTTGTGACCGATTTCATCATTCGATTGCTTCCGGGATTTCATTGCATTTCGTATATATCCATCAGGTTCGCGTGTACACGCCCAAACGGGTGTTTCAAGAACTAGAAGCAGCAAAAGAAGACTATATCCGCGCGACATTTGGGGTCCGGAAGGATCACAAAATCCTCCTGCCGAAGATCGTGGAGTCGTTCGCCAGGGACTCCGGCCTGTGCCAAGCTGGCATTGTCGAAATGATCCAACAATCCTTGCCCGAATCGCACAAGAAAAGCATCAAGAAATGTCAGCAGCAGGCCAAGAACCGGAAAAACATCGAATGGGTTCCGCATAACTTCGCTTTCAGGTACCTTATACTGAAAGAGCTGGTGAAGTAAGATTAATACATTGTCTGTTTTCCGGTAGTTGAATCTCTGTAGTGTAAAGGAAATTAAAATAGATTTCGAGCTTGAAGATGATCTGATCATTTTGGCCTGATTTTGTAACATTTCTGTGAGGCTATGATCTTGCATTTTTGTAGATAAATCGATCAGACTATGGCAAGATTCTATATATATATAAAATCATTATTAACTCGGAAAACAGGCAGTAAAAAAACGGGATCGATCGGACAGGGATAATAATAATGAATGATTAATTCTAGTAAGGTTTTTCTCCGACGACATTTCCGGGGGGATTGTAGAAACAGATGGTCAAGCTGGATTGGGCTTTAGGGCAGGAGGCCTGGGCGCACCCGAGGTCCAGGGACTTCCTCCAGACGACCTGAGTGTAGACGCCGCAACGGCGGTCCGCCGCGCACGAGTTGTTCTGGTAGTTGTAGTACTGCTTCTCCTCGATCCAGGCCTCCACGGCGGCGCGTGGTGTCACTTTGAGGCCGCCGGCCCAGAGCTGGTTGCCGCCGTACCTGCTGTTGGCTAAGTTCGCGAAGCTGCAGTTTTGCCGGTCCCGTTGCAGCCGCGCCGCTAGACTGGCGGATTTGGCAAGGGCCGGGCTCCATTGGAGCGGGCCGACCCCGACCTCAGCTCGGGCTTGGTTGTGCGCTGCGAGATACTCCTCGGACTCGCCGGAGGACGGAGCGCCGCCGCCTGACGGCGAAGGCGGCGCCGCTTGCGATGAACATTGGCGTGTGAGAAGGAGAAGAGCAGTAAATGCTGACAGGAATCGAAGCATTTTTAATTTTATTTTAAAAAATAATAATAATAATAATTGAAATGTGAAAATGCTAAGCATAAATATAAGCGTTCTACTCAGTTGAAATATTAATAATTTTTTGGAGGGTTTTTCATAAGATGTGTGCTACCGAGTAACGATACATTTTATATTACAGATTAATCTTTTTTTTAAAATGAGAGAAATTTGAAAGTTGCAGACTGTCTTGGTCTTTTCACCTAATAATTGAAAACACGGTTGGAGGCATTAATTTCCGTGATTTGACTTTGTGTACATTAAGAATGAGAGCTCCTGGCTTTCCCAAACAATATTTATCTGGGCCGTTCATTTGATGGGCCGCTTGCATCAACGGTGACGATTTATCTGGTGTTGAAGGACCGGGACTAATATCCATATTCCAATGGCAGAGCCATGTGAACGTGCCAGCTGGTGACACGTCAGATTATTACATGACTCGAAGTAATATACGCATTAAATGCATCACCAGATCTACGTACTCTTCGAGTTTCACACAAATTACTTAGACCAAACATTTCCGTACAGACCAAATATAAATGGGCTTATTCGAGCAAATACTAAAAGAAGCCCAATTGTGAAATTGTCAGATAAGCTACGTAACTGGTAAGTGGTAACGCAATGAAGAAATGGATTTTTAAAAAATAATAATAATAATTTTGAAAGTAGTAAAAGGGCCAATTGGAAGAACGTCAGGCCCAATCTTTTAAGCCCATATTTAGAAAGAAGCCCAAATGTGAAATAGTCAGAGCACCTACGTAACTGGTAACATCATATCACGAACAAATCGATTCCAGGAATAGTTATTTATGTGCAGAGATGAAAACGACCTATATATGATCAATATATCTATCTATCTATCTATATATATATATATATATATATAGAGAGAGAGAGAGAGAGAGAAATGAAGTGGATATGCGCACTATGGTCGGACAACGTTAGGACGTTAAAAGGGGCATATGCATGCATCAATTAAATTAAATTAAATGGCATGGAAGATATGATATGATATGGGTTAGAAACATAGGATGCTTTGCTTTTATCTGAATTGTCTGAAAACGATCAAGTATCAGTGGTCGAGAGAGAAGCCTGTACTGCAGATATATATATATATATATATGTTGATATATAAATGATAATCTTTCGTGATAAGATAAGATATATGGACTACAAAAAGCGTATTTATAGAGTACTGTACGCCTTCTCATGATCATATTATACATATATATATATATATATTCCTCAGAGCATTTTAGAATATGTTCTTCTGATTTCTTAAGGTTGATTATAATTGGTCCAGTTTGATGTTGATGCATCAAACATATGTATGTGTGTGTGCATATACAGTTGGAACGTGTAACAGCACAATTGGATAAGAAGATAAGTATCTAATCAACACTGGAGAAGAATATCATTAAATGAGAAAAACTGTTTTTCTAATGTTACGAGTTTATTTATTAATTAATTAATATAGGACTTAGGAATTAATGTTGTAGTACATGCAAAACCCTAATTACAGTTTTACGATGAATGATTTGTTATCAGTTCCATCAATGCAAGAAGAGGACATGACAGTGGAATGCAGCACGATAAGTTTTGGAGTGTAGCGATGATCGATCGATCGGTCCAAGAGGACATACATACAGTGTGTACTCATCATCGATCATTAATTAACTTTTACGTGGTTTCCAGCTGTATCTGTTAAAGAAGATGATGATGATGATGATATATATATATATATATGGAGTTGTATTGTATTGCATTGTATTTGTACCTAACGTTCTTTACTTGTTTTGGACTTGTCTTGGCGACCTGCCACTTTAATTTCTCCAAATTGGGAACATGTATAATAATTACATTTGCTTTCGATTTATCCAACCTTAATCATACATCATCAATAACATGTATATATTATTAGGGTTTTCTGTGATTAATTAATTATTATGGATCTCATGTCATATGGGGTGGTTCATAATGAATTGAATGAAAGTGGGTAGCGTAGGCAGCAAAGAAATATAACGTGATGACCATAATTAATCATATCATTGAATTACCTTTACCTTCACTCCACCATTAATGGAAACTTGTCCCAAAATAGACAGCTGCTTAGTTGCATTGTCTTTCTTTATTATTATTATTAATTAACTCAACCCATCGTTTACATTATATTTACAAAAACTATGTAACCCTAACTAATTAATTAATTATTTATTAATAATTACTCAGGTATGGCGCTCAATCTCGCCGCGATTTTTTTCCTCCGCCGCGATCCGGCCGCCGGTCCGGCGGCGCTGCCGCCCTCCGCCACTCTCTGGGACTTCCGGAGCCCATTCCCTGCACCGGAAAAAAGGAGATTGATATTCCGGCAATCGGCGGCGGCGCTGCAGCAGGTGGATTTATTAAGGGCGGAGCTGGCTTTGACGGCCAATGCCGCCATTTCGTCGGCGTGGAGCCGGCGCTTGAGCCGGCTCAAAGGCAGCGCGAAGTAGAGCTGACCGAGCTGGAGCTCGTCGTCGGCGCTGACGGCTGAAACGACGTCGTCGAAGTCCATCTCGTCGGAGTTGCAAATAAAGCACGCCGGATTCTTCTGCAGAACGTAGGAGACCTTCACCGGGTACGGATACTCCTGCAGCCTGCCGTCGTCCATAATCAGCTTCGCCGTCGCCGTCGCCACCGCAGTCGACTCGCAGGAGCTGCAGATTCCCATTTTAATTTCTCAGACAACACACCCATACCCATATATATACACATACATATAATATATATAAACGCGCAGACACAGCGGGCACATGAGTCCCGGGACTGAGGCAAGGGCAATTTGGGGAATTCACATGGTAGCCACGTCAGCAAATGAAAATGGAGGGCGATAGGTGGTGGTATAATGCATGGGGAAAAGGAACCGTGGACCACTGCACCGGGCACACATAGTATCGAGATTCTCCGGGCGCTGGAGTCCCGAGAGCTCGGAAGGGATCAGGGGTGTTGCTGAGCTGTAAATCTGTGGGCGACAGCTTGTAGGAGAATGGCAAAGGTAATGCGATTTGAAATGACTGAATTAGGCCTTGGTCTGGCGTGATGGTTTGAGGGTATTTTGGTCATTTTGTTGTATGTACAGACTGAAGAGAGTGGGTTTGGGCATGGGTGGCCAGTAAGAAGAAAAGGTTGCAAGGAAAGGATTGATTCACGTGACGTAATGTAATATTGGTGATTAATTGGTGGCTTCTTTTTTTTATCTTTTTTTTTTTACCACAATTATTGGATTGACTTTTGTAATTGGATTTTGACTTTCTGGGGTCATGAGGTACACATGATATTATTAATAAATTATCCCATTAATCTGAAAATTAAAGTATTACTATTTTATCCTATTGATAAAGGAAATTAATGATATATTGAATCAGATACAGAAAAATATATGTATATGAAAAATTATATGATATATTCATAGACATATGTTGAAGTTGAATTATATATATATAAACTAATCGATTAATTTTACATAAATATATAGGAGAAATTCGCTTTCTAAAGACTCTCCTCAATTGGTTGTTGGATGAGGTCAAAGCAGAATTATATAAATTCGCTTACAAAAATAATGTTGATAGCACGACACAAATTGTATATTGTTATTAATATTACACAAAGTCAATTCGAATAGACAAGGAAGGGTAATAAATATTTAGTGAATAAAGACATGCATTCATGCATGCAGGCAGGCAGTAATTGTAGACACGTGGCAGGTGAGGGAAGGAGGATTCCATAATTGAATCTGAGCTGGCCAACATGCACAGCCCCACGTCGTCTCTAAACTACCAATTATTCAATATTCTAATTAATAGTAATAAATAATATGGTACATAGTCTAGTCAGATTTTAAAATACTTTTTAAACCAATTAATTAAATTCATATATTTCCTTTTAATAAGATATACAAGTTTCGGTTAAACTATATTACATGCATACATAATTTACGTTAATTAATCTAATATGATCAATAAAAATATAAATGTAAGTTATAATAATACAATATAAATAATAATCACAAAATTGTAAGTATACACACAACGCAGCGGCAAGAAAGCAGACGTTAACGTTAGAACATACATTGAGACTGTTTGGATGAGCTCCAGTAAATTATTTTTAGCTTATGTTTGTCTAAACCCCAAAAAAAAAAAAAAAAAAAAAAAAAGAGAGAGAGAGAGAGAATAATATTTGTATTGTAATATTTAATTTAAGATAAAAATATACTTTTTAATTATTGTATTTCTATTTTGGGAATCCTATCGACAGACTACCTAACCTGCAGCGCTTCCATCACCGTCTCCTCACATCCATACATTCATTTATATATCTATTATATCTTTCATCACTCAATTTAAATAAAATAATAAATTATTGCTTTATATATATATATATATATAATACACTTAGCCTGCCTGCCCACACTAATTAGTGACTAATAGGCCCTTTTTGTCTCACTCTAATTCACAATATTCTTCAACATTGTTAGCTGTAATGTTGGCCTTCTGTCATACTCTATACACACAAACATATATATATATACTTAATTCATGAATTGGCTTTGAATTCAAATAAAGTGTTCATTGCAATGAGTACCAAGAAACTTCCTCTCACATGCACTATATATGTCCAAAAGTGATTACCTGCAATAACACCTTTTCAATATTGTATTATATGGATTGATAATTCATTGCCCTTTCCCTTCAATTATTGAATCAATTAAATACTCCCTAATTTTGCACATGTTCAATTCTCAATCTCGCTCTGCTCAAATATTATCACACTTTTGGGCCTGTGTAGGCCGAAACTATTTCAGGCCCAACCTTATATGCATGGCCCAATTTCCTGCTAACAAAAAGCCCAAATTTATTTTTCTTCTACACTGTAAATTTCAGTATCTGTACACTTGGCATATTATGCATAAACAAACAAACACAAATAGGTACAAGAACAGAGCAGAACAGAACCATACGAGCTGAATGGTACTGAATAAACTAAATCATGTAGGAATAGACAGACCTGATCTTAGCTACGCTACTGATGGAAGAAGCCAGAGATTGAAGAGGGACGAGGAGAGTGATAGAAACCACGACAAGAAGGCCATGGCAGCTGACAGTTGATATCTGGTGCATAGCTTTCGCCCGCAAAATCCTTCGGCAGCGAGCAGAAGGCTACTCACACTGGCAGTCGAGCACGACGCTGCCAGCGATAGAAAGGATAGGACCTGAAAAACAATGTGTTGTTAGTCACCAGGGGATTCAAACTGCGGCTGCAGAGCTTAATATCAACGAAATGCATGTCATATGTATGTATGTACATACCCAATCTCCTAAGACTACAATCGAAAGTATCCCCGACTGGCGAGCTGGACGTTTGATGAAAACTGAGAATATGTCCACAATTGCCAAGGTCAAGCTCCATGGAATTATCAGCCCCATAACCGTCACCAAGAAGCTGTAAAATCGAAAGAAATAGCCACTGAATGCATATCCAAGTTCTGCAAAACATAGATATGTCCTTCTAGCAGAGTTGCATAAATTTGTATGTAAACATATATATATATATCAACTATGGAGGTCTGCTAATCTTAATCATCGCGGAACATATTTCAGTAGAGTCCCCATTACTAATTTATTCTTGATGATAAACTGCAGATCATTGCTACGAATTTGGCGTTTTTAGCTAGTCAAAATCCATAGTTATAACATATGCTCGCTATCGGGCTAACAAGATTACATTAACACACATTCGGCATGAGAAAACAAGCAACAAAATCTACCGCAAAGAATTCATTCATCCCGTTGGCAATTAGTTAAAAAGCTAAGTAAAGTTTGTCCTGCAGTTAGCAAAACTAAACTCTTTCCAGATACAACGCAGAGATGACGTCAAATATCTCTGAGATGTCGGCTACTTAATTCGTGACTAATCCATTGGTTGCTCATAGAATGAGAAATACATTCGATCAATCCGACTTCACAAGTTTAAGATACAAGTTAAAGGAAGATGTAAAATAGTTCTGTTGTAGATGTTCCAATTTTCAATAGCATTTGGTTCAAAGTTACTGTCCATCTTCTCCATCCCTAATTAGCAACAAAAGTCAATGAAACTAACGAATCCATAGTTATTCTCCAGAAAATTGCCAAGAGATAGCTGTCAGCCATTATCTATGTGCTCGGCACCGACAGAAAAAACACAAAGAAGAAAACAAAAGGCACCGATTGTATATTGCAAAATTGCATTAGTCAAATCACTGAGCAATTCACTTCACAAAATTCATGTGATCAGCAGAGACTTTGGACGAAAACGCATAGATATCGGCATAAGATCGAAACAGCTTAGAAAAAGAAGCGTATAAATAGAAAATTAAGTGAAAACGAACAATCGAAGAACGAAGGCGACAACAACAGAATAATCGGATCACTAGACAGAATCAATTCAATTAATCGAAGGAAAAACAGAAGGAGAGTCGTCCGGAATTACCAGAAGGCAGTGTAACTGTAGAACTCGACATCTAAACACATGAACAGCAACGAAGCCACAGCGAATATGACCTGGCCCAACCTCAGAGCCAAGCTCCCACTTGTTCCCAGCGCCCCCGGCAATTCCTCCATTTCATCCACAATTACACCTATATATTTCTCCCAATTTCTTCAACGGAAACAACTCTGTAATCCCCAAGACGATAATCACACCACAGCCTCCTCATAGCCACACCGTCCTCATATTCGGAAAAGAAAAAACGCCAAAAATTCAACGCTGGACAGTAGCGAATTTCAAGAAGTTGAAGGAAATCGTACAAACTATTTCCGAAAACCAACAAAAGGGGAAAGAATGGTCGATGACGATCACGGAGGAACCGAGAGAGGAGATGCAAACAAAGAAGAGTCTTGTTTCTTCTTTCCCTGCATTAAATGAAAATGACGAATTTTTTTCAATTATTTATTTCGGAGTTGAAATTAGGCTTTTGTTATGATTATTATTATTATTATTATATACAAAGCCTTCAACTAAACTATTTTTGCTATTTTGGAGTGAGAATTTTGGTATATTTTGAATCATATAGTATTTCATAAACATGATAATTAGTATGTTTCAATGATTAAAATCTCGATAGGTTGTCACAGATTAAAATAATTAGGGTATAAGATTTCGTAGTCAAAATTTAATTAAGAAAGAAGAAAACATGCAACATGAGCATGAGCATGACCTCAAAAGATTACATAAATAAAATGTGACATCGTGCGGCTGGTATTTTATGGCAACAGATATTCAATCTCCGCCACAGATTCCATCTAATTTTAATAATGTTCAGTGTCAAATACAATATGTACTGTATGTCACACAGAAGATGCCAAAATGGACGATGATGGAGTGTCGAGCTATGAACCCATTCTTGCTTCCTCAATTAATTAAAGTTCCCTCCCACCACTTAATTATTCTTCCACACCAAACTTGATTACGATGGGCCACCGATTAATTTATTAGTTAATTCTCTGGATTGGTTGCTGTTAAACTGTCAGCATAATTTATTAGTTATTCCACAACCGCAGCATGACCAAGAAAAAAGAAGGGTTCAAATTTTACTAATGTATGCTACTTTTTTTATGTCCATCCATCCGTAAGATTCAGATTCTTTGGATTCCACCAAGATTGGTTGATAGTTAGTAGTATTATGCAGAAGCTTCGACTCATCCTGCCCACCCGACAGAATCAATTCGGGTTCGGGCTACTATCGTAAACGGACTTGGGCTTTGCAACCCATTTCCATTTCCATTTCCATTTCCATAAATATTTTTAAATTACAAATGTTGGTTGGACTTGGTTGAGTCTTCTTCTTCAACTGTCGAGCTGGGCATACCAGATGCCCTGGATTTTGACTTCCTTGGGGGCTTTGGACCCCAAGTCGGTGTCGGAAGGCTGAGTGCTCTCGAAGACGCCGATAACCTCACCGGTCTCCGGCTTGCTCTGTGTCACACTCAACGTGATCTTCCCCGACGACGACGCCACGTTCTTGATGTTCTCCTTCTCCAGTTCCTCCTCGTCGCCGCGCCCGCCGGCGGGCAGCGCCACCGCATTGTCGTACCCGGTGGACCCACCGCGGCCCTTGGGGTCGAGGAACGACGACCCTCTGTAAGACGGCACCAGAAACTCCCCGCCGAATCCGTCCGGCTTCCCCGTCGCCACCAGCTGCTTGATCGAGAAGAGGAACGGCACGCGCTCGCCGCCGGGGAGTTGCACCGTCACGGCGGCGTAGTCGATCCCGTCTTTCTCCTCGAACTTGACGCTGCCGTCCTGGGATACTTCGAAGGGGCCTTCGATCTCGTCCAGGGTGTAGGTTAGTCGCGTCATGAGCTTCGTCTTCTGGAACTCCGGCGGGGCGTTTTTGTTAACGCCTTCTGCTTTGACGGTGAACGACGTCGGCTCCAGGCAGAATTTCTTGGCGTAGTACTTGCCGGACTTGAAGGCGAACTTGTCCACGCCGCCGTCGATGGTGGGGCACTGGTTGGCCGTGCCGGTGCCCTTAACTTCCATATACGTCTTGCTCTGGATTTCGTCGTAAGTTAGTCGTTTTGGGACTCCCTCTGCATTTGCTCCCTGCAGGAAATTAAGGAAGAAGAAGACTGATCTGATCAGTCGCCATTCCAATCTGGATCAAAGGATGGACAGGAACACCGAACACGGCCGTGTTCTGTGATTGCTTACCGTTGCGACCAGTGCAGACGTGGCGAGAGCAAAACCGGCGATCTTGGCGGCGTCGGTGCATTTCTGGGCCAAGTCTTTAAGGTCGGCTTGGAGGGAGCAGGTGAGTCTTGAACCGGCCGGTTCGACGCCGAAGGATTTGGCGGCGGGCTGAACGGACCGGAGTTGGAGGGTGCTTCTGGCAACCTTGGTGGGCTGCATCAGCGTGGCTGCTGCCTGGAGTGAGGTTGCCATTGTTTCTGCTTACAGTGGGATTGTGGAGGAGGAATGGTTATGCTAGTGGTTTTGGTGCTAAGTAAGATAGGGGATAGGATAAGGTATTGTTCTGATTGGCTGGGCTGGAGGGACTTGGGTTACTGGTTTTGTGGCCTGCCACGTGGCAGCCACGATGTTTAAGATATAGATATTTCGAATGACGTGGAAATTTGATTAATGAAATGAAACCCTACCTCCATCATGGACAAGGATTGCAAGGATATCCTACACCTTAACCATACACATATGATGTAAGCATAAAGTTGGAAACAAGAATTTACCTTAGGTTCCAAGTAGAATCCAAAGGTCATCAAGGATTTTCCCCAAAAGATAATTAATGTTGTGTAATTCATTTCTTGCTAGACACTGATCCTATAATCTTTCTTGATTGTGCAATGTCCATAGTACATGTTCTTATGCCAGTAAGAGTGTGCTGTATCCATACAAATTGGAGTGTGACGTATAGCACAAGTATATTGGCAATATACTAAGACTTGCAGTAATGTCAAGATAATATTTCATTATAATGATTAAAACATATACTGTGTAAACATTGTTTATGTGATAAGTGATAAAAAATGTGAATGTATCCACATTCTAATTGTTCACAAAGAATCCATGGTAGCAGACGTATACTAGTTTGGATAACGAGAAAAGTACAATGGGGATTGGAACCAAGAAAAACCCACTTGCTATATTGCAAGAGAGAATGGCCCAACTTCTACAAACTAATACAATATTACCTCCATTAAAGTTCGATCATTTACAATCAAACGAAAGGGAAAATGAAACACAAGTGGCTCAAAAGTGCTTGAGAAAGAAATCCCGGCTGCCTCTGAAATGCATTGTTTAAATCTTAGAGTGCAACTCGACATATAAATTAGAGAGTGTTCAAGTTCTCATCATTGCCACATTTTTGGAGCACTTCAGAGATTTGAGCTCAGAAAAGAAAGATGAACAACTCCTAAACTATATGATTAAAACAAAGTGAGGAATAGACTCTACACTTAAAACTTCAGGATCTTACCAACTAGAAAATGATAATGGAGCACAATAGTTGCAGGCCTACTACCACCTGCATTGAATCTTTGGCAAGGCTTAGAAGCAGGATACAGATTTGATGTCAAAAAACATCATTGCACATGTATCAATAATAATTGATTGCAAAAAAGAAATAAAATGTAGTTGAATTATTGAATTCTCAGAAATAATATGAATGTGAGAAGATACTTGAGAATGTAAAGTATTGATATTTATCTGAAGACGTGTTCCGTATAACACAACCAGATTAAGACGAAAGTGATTATAAAAGAACAAGAAAAAAAAGAATCTTAATCAGAGAAGATTGATAAATCGAAGTGAAACCGGAAAAAAACAAAAGGAGGGCACTCAGAATGAGTAGGAGGTTGATGATTCAATCAACCGAAGTTCAGTTCCAAACACAATCCTCATAATGCCCTGAGAAGACTTAAAACATATCGAAACGTTGAATAATTAGTGAAGAAAATCAGGGTGAAGTGTGAGTTCCTCTCAGACAAATGCCTCGATTTGTCGTCACGATTGTATAACGAATGGATTTCGATCGGACTCGTCATCTTAGTAATTCATCATCGAGAAACATAAAGTATCAAATACAGACTTCTCAAAATCTTCCACCAATCAAAACATCAATGAAAAAATACGAACTACCAAAAAAATGGTAAACGAAAAGAAGTGATTCACAACCTAAGCAATATATTTGAAAACAATGGCACAATGATTAGGCACCATTACAAGAAAAAAAAATGCTGAAAACGAAGCAGACTCAATCAAGTACCTGAAACAAATAGCAATGAATGCATGTATGATTGATGGCGGCGACAAATGAATCAGTGACGCGAAGTGATGCGGCGGGTTTTATAATTGTCTTCTAGGGTTAGGGTAATTGATCATTCATCATTGAGTCGCCGCTTCATTTTGCTGGGCCTGGACTATATGCCCACCCGAATAGGCCATTTTTTTTATTCTTTGTAGCAATCGTTTCTTATATTATCTTATTAATATTTTTTTTCCTTTTCAAACGTTCTGCAGTATTTTTAAAATAAAAAATATTTTATCTTTTTCCCATAATTTAATCTATTACATTATTTTTTAGTAGTATTTATTTACTTTTATGTATCGATATTACCCCCAAAAAAACTCGTTCCCCAACCCTATCTTACACTTTCTACGTGTCGATCCAGTTAATTATGGGCCAGAATTTTTAAACTTTGATTTCAACAAATTTGAAACTAAAAAAAGTTACCACTTAAAATCAAAACAAGGGTAGCAAGCAACGTGCCAGCTACCTCTTGGTCCTCGCCCATGTAAAATTCATTTAAATGAAAAATATTTTAACTATCCTCTTCCGTTTAAAAAAATAAACCCTTTTAAATATGTAGAAATATTATAGCTATCTATCTTCCATTTGAAAAAAATAAATCCTTTTGAATATATGCCTGTATTGAAGCAGACCCCCACTATCAATTGCTTTGCCTTTTGTACTGGAAAAACTTCTTAAAAGCAGAGCAGTGGCAGTGCCCACTTCTATTTTTTACTATCTGCCAAAATTGCTCATCACATTCTGTCTTACAAACAAGAATTCATGCAGAAAAATCGTCATAAAAAAAAATAAAAATAGTACAAATAAATAATAAGCACGATCTTATAATTCATAAATTACCTGTATTCACACAAATGGGCACCAAAAATTAGAAGAGTAAATAATAATAATAATTATTTAAAAAATAATTTGATGTAGGCATTACTGCAGGTCCCGGCGGGGACCGGGCCCGGTGCCACGGGCTCGGGTTTTCCGAGCCTCGGCGACGGTGGGTTCGTGAGAATCGCAGACTTGGGTTTTGAATTTGCAACCGAACTTGGCTCGCCAACCGCCTTTGTCGCCGTGATCACGTGAGCCGACTTTGTCGATCTTCTGTATGGCCTTCTTCATGGTGGTGCATTCCCTCTCCAGCTCGTGCACGCGCACACGCATGCTGTCCATGTCCTGCCGGAGCACCTGATTCTCCCTCACCGTTGCTCTCCATGTGCTGCTCGCCTCCGGTGGCGGTGGACGGGCGGCGATTGCTGCGTCGTTGTCCTCGTCTTCGTCGTCTCGGAGCAGCCATCCGTCGTTTGCTGTGGCTGCTGCTCCTGGATCCGCGGCCATTAGAGATCCGGCGATGGCATGGCGGAGCTGGAGCTGCTCGAAGAACAGCACCTGGACAACCGCTCTTAATGGCAGGCGCTCGTTCTGTGCCGCGTGAGTGCACGCCTCTAGAGTCAGCTTCTGGCAGTCCAAAACTCCGCATATCTTCTCCCTGTCCGCCTCAGGAATCCATGGATGAGCCTGCGCATTGAAATTGAATGTTGTGTTGTGAGATTGAATAGACGGAGATGGTTATCAGGTGACTACAGGGAACAAATTGCATGGATTTAACCTTGAGATAAACATCTACTGCTCGATAAAGACCGTCGTCAAAAAGTCGGGCATGATCCGGCAAGGCAACGGCCAGGTTGTGAAACTTTTCTGGCTTCAGATTCGCGTCGGAAGCAATTTCCGATAAGTAACCGTCAATCAGTTTTCCGACGAGCATTAAAGCAGCGTTTCTGACGCTTGTATTCTCGTCTTCGCTTTCAGCTCTGGTAGCAGATCTCTCTTCTACACCTTCGAGAAAGAAGGCGAGAATTCTCTCCACACAATCCACGTCGTAAAGTGTTTCATTCAAATAAGAGTAGCTGGGAATCAGCAGATCATCTAAAGTCGCCTCCTCTAACTGCGATCCGATTTTCTTCTCCAAAGTTAACCTGCAATCCTCCGAAGCATTCAAAATGTAAGCTGTACGCAACAATCCGAGCAACAGTCGTGTAGTGTTTGAAGCGGATCGCAGAGTCTTCTCTTTCGGAAGATTATATATAATCGTCTCGAGGAGCTCTCTCTGATCGTTCTCAGTTGGTACGCTGATGGAAGACGACGACTGCTTCCGGTTGGTCCGCGTCATTCCGGGAATAAACTTTTTGGCATAGTGAATCAGACAGCTCTCAATAACTTCGGCGCTTAGATTCAAACCTTTCATGGCGAAAATAAGTCGTTTGAAGAACGGCAAACTCAGGAACCCTAGCTCGTCTAGCCATGAATCCACAGCCGCCGCAGCGCCTCCCCTCGTCGCGGTATTCAATTTCCTCCGCGGATTAGGTTCATCCGCACCTTTGTAGTCCGCACTTCCGTCATTCACCGGCCAACCAAACAGAGACGGATCTGAGGCGGCGGCTCTGGTAGCAATGGCCTCAATGCATCTCTGAACAATCCCCAGACTGTCTGCCATAGGCAACAATCCTTCGCAAGAGACCAGAGCTTTGATGGAATGCTTAATGTTCCTGAGTACCGATTGTGAAAGATACCTTTCGGTTCTGGAAATTAGGTTATCTTCGGAGTATTCTTCCGTCATTTCGAGGTACTCACCGGCGCATCGGAGCGGGGCGACGTTGGTTGCGGTGATATCGATTTTCACGCTATAACAGAATTTCGCGGCGGTCTCAAAGGATTCAGAACCTCCCGGAAAGTCCGGAAGAATAATGCGAAACTGCTCTTCGTCCTCATCCTCTCCATCCTCTTTCTCTTCTCGGATTTCCTCTGTCTCTTCACCGTCGTTGTCAGATTGATGGCCAGGTGGAGAACTCGTTTGGATTCTAGCGGTTCTTCCTGCTGGTCTCCGCTCCAGTTCCGTTATTTGATCGTGAAGCTTTCTACTTTTTGACATCAGAGGGAACTGATAGATTCAAAGCCATTCAGAACTCAGGAGCAAACACGACAACAACAGCTTGAAGAAGAAGACTATGAACAGTCTGACAAAAGAAGAAGTTTTTAAAATCACCTTGTGAAGATGGAAGGTCATGTCGTCTACTTCGATTACAACGTCACTGGGCAGCCCCGTCGTGCAGAACCTGCAACAGAAGTATAGTAGAGGCACATATCATCAAACACTTGGAAGACAGAGGAAGAAGGTAAGAGAGATTCAATATTATTACAGGAGATTGAACCCACCATGCTTGCCCTTTGGTACTGGGTTTCTCGGCGGCCATTTTCCTTCACCTCGAGCTCAGCTTGCAGCAAAAGGGAACTGGAATTTAAGCTCGAATCATGAGAGCAAAAAAGGAGGGGGGTTTGACTTGCGTATGAAATGGGGACTAAAAATGAGCCTGACTTTCTAAGGTCTGAGTCTTATGGAATGATTGTGTTTGTGAAAAATCAAGCACAAGTCTAAAAGGGAAGTAGGTATTACAAAGATTGATTGGAAAACTATGGAGGAAGAAAAAAAGGACTAAGAGCGGACAAATTGGAGCCTTTGAGAGCAGAATCCGATAAAGGCCAAGAAGGAAGATGATGATGGGCTGTTGAGAAGGTATTGATTGCTATTCTTTACAGTTATGTCTTTCCTCTTTGCACCCCTTTTTCTTGAATCAGATCAGAATCTTCTTTATTTCCTTTAATTTTTTTCTGTAGCAGGAGAGAAGTAAAAAAGGGCTCGTTTGGGTCCAGAGTGGATTTGGGTGACTTTGAATCTCTGCCTCACGGTGAGGTGAGTGGATTTTCTTTTCTTTTCTTTTTATTTGTTTTTTTTAAAATCTTCTTTGATGATTATGATTGTGGTAATATGATAATTATGTGCAAATCCAAGCCCCTCCCTGAAATTGCAATGCTTGCCAACTGTTTTCTCTTACTTTCCTCGTGTGGTCGTACAATAGGTTTTGGTAATTTAAAATTCTTTAGTTGCTGGTTGGGAATTGGGATTGCATTGGCCTCAACTAAGTTTAAATGTGCATCCCCATCTTCATCAATCTTCGTCCATCGCTAGCTAGCTGATATAATTGACCAGTAGTGTGTTTCATTTATGCTTTTCAAGGTAGTACCCACTTCTGGATTTTCATTATTCTTTGTGAATAATTTTATCAATGATTCTCATTTATTGCTTTGAAATCTAGACATTATATTTCATATGACAATTTCGAGTTAATGCATCTGTCGGTCATTATTAGTATTAGGATGTTACACACTTGTGCTCCCCCCACATTCTGGAATTTACATTGTGATGATGAATATGATAGTGGCCCCTCACTAACCAAAATTGAAATAAAGTTAAAATATAAAGACATGCAGCCTCTACATTACATTAATCTATTCACAATGCTATCATTAGCCCCTGATTGCTTTCTTGGCTGCTTAATTATTGCTAGATAATTGACAGGTCTTTAAAGATTGTAGAACTATAAATAATGGCACTCATCAATCCATCCAATAAATGTTAATTAGCTAGGTGGTGATTTAATTATTCAAGAAATCATTATCAACTACAGTATTAGTTACTTAAACAACACTTGTGTGTTGGTGGGATTTAAACCAATTAGAATGAACAAATTTATTTCAAATTTGGCAAGTTGGTTAGCATGCGGGTGTTCATTGGTGTGATATTATTGCAACAGAGAATATGCATTTGGTTGGGTCACATATGCCCTGTGAACCCACATTAAAGGTTGATGAAGGTAGTGGTAATTTTTTTGAATTTTTTTAAAATTAAAAGCCCTTATGGATGGATTTGCTCAGTTTTCTTGTTATATATTTTGCCATTAATAACAGCATATCTACCCTTTGTACACTTTCTTGCATCCACAATTATTGCTGCATTAAACCACTGACAAGTTAGTAGGTTTGCATTCAATATTGTACCATTGCCCTATTTAAATTTTTTCGAATCATGAATCTTTAAGACTATAGCTTCACCCCAAATAAAAATGTGCAATATTCATAAATAATCCCACCTTAATTTACCTAGTACCAAACAAATTGATTTGTTACTGCTTTCTTAGGGTGTGTTTGTTTGGGGGTTTGGATTTTGGATTGGGATTTGAACAGTAAAAATTTTGAATTTGAACAGTTGTATGATGTGATATAAATAGGTGTTGATGTAATGTTTTGAATGTAAAATTGATTTTTAGTATAATATAAAAAATGAAAAATAGATGTTTGATTTGATGTTTTGGGGGGAAAATTTTGGATGAATAGTAGGATTTTGATAAAATCCTACAACCGAACACACCCTAAATGTTATTTTGACTTCTTCTTTTTTTCTTTTACTTGTGTATATATATAATTTGCAATAAAAATGGTATGATATTCGATGTTAATTGCTATTTATTTAGAATATTCGAATATTCCAATTCAATGTGACTTCATTAATCTCTTTTAGCTGTTGAACCATTTTAATGTTAAATGTGTGTGCTATTTATTAGAATTGATAGGAGAATTATTGACTATGATAGATTCTATTGAACTATATTAAAGAAACCATTAAACAAACTAATATGTGCGTGTTGAATATTGCCATTTATTTCTTCTCTAAATAACTTTAAAACCATCCCAACCATTGACTGCATAATTCAAGGATGCTAAATTCTATCCTTTGATACAAACAAACAAACCAAATCGAATCCAATAAAACGAATATGTGGCTATTAGTTTTTGGTTTAGCACTAAAATAATAGAGAAAAATAAAATAAAATCAAAACATAACCCTAAATGATTAATATCAATGTCATCAGGTAACAGAGACAAAACCCACTTGCTTCATCAATGAATTCATGTCATTTGGATGCTTCCCACAGTACCTACATGCATATTGATGTGAATATATACAATACATACATATCTATATATATATGTATGTATATTATTACATAATGTTTATGTGCCACTCTACCTACATTGTTAAGGATGGACAACATAGAATAGGGTTTTATTTTATAATCATAATACAGTCAAGTTTCAAGAACAACCACCTGCAGCAATAGTCTTAAATGCTTGTACGTTGGCTCCATCCTAATATCAGTTTTAATTAATGAATAGGTAATTATATAATTAATTAAAGATAAACAGACAGTGGGCTAGAAAAAAAAGTAGAGAAACAGCACAAAGTTCATAACAATATAGTCCAAAAAGAGCACAAACCCCCGTGATTAACGTAACGTAAAATTCAGGCACACTGCACTAGAAAAAATAAATAAATAATTATTACTGTAAAAGTGTTGCCGCATATATTATTCAACTAATATTTGTCAGTGGATGTTTTATTTTTGTTTATTTTGAAAATTTCTGGTATGTACATAATCTTGTCATTTTCTTGCAAGGAGGATTTGACAGTAGCATAATAACCTAATTATAAAATACTATATAATAAGGGAGAAGTTAGACTGTTGATAGAGTTACTCAACGCTATTATGATAGTTTACCAATATGAAAGTAGTACATCGATACAAGTTCTGTATGCATTTCTAAAATTTAAGAAAAAAATTAAAATGCTTAGGGAGAATGCCTAACAAAAGAACAGAATAGAAACTTTAAAATATTTTTCAACATATTAGTATGTTAAATTCGAATTATTATCACTTACGGGAGTGATTATATATTATTGTCACACATAAAAAATAAATAAATAAAAAACGCGAAAACCAAACCAAACTCAACAAAAAATTTGACCCAACAATCAATCTACTATAGACTTCAACTTATTCTTGATACACAATATATAAATTTCATAAATAAAACCAATTTTCATTTAATTACATTTATGTCAGTTCTAGAATATTAATTTCAGTGGATTTTCTTATCCTTATGCATGTTTCGTTACATCAAAGTCATGCACAACTTTTGTCCCATGGGAAAGGCCACAACAACGACGACATCTTCCATTTTCTTGCAATAATTATTCCTCTAACGTAACAATACTAATGTATATATAAAATAGACTTCGATTCTAACTTCTTCTCTTTGTATTATCTGAATTAATCAACTGTTTGTGCATGTCTGTATTTTAAAATTAAGTGGATTTCATCATTCTGATTTTAAATTCAAGATTATGATTTTTTATTTTTTATTTTTTATTTTTTATTTTTTTTGTCGTAATTTGTGAGGTGAAGACCAATATGGGTCGAGAGTGGATCCAAGACAGGATCAAACAAAAGTAGTTAGGGTCAGAAATTTACAGTGTAATAATTTCTATTCTCGACAGGGAACAACAAACGAGTGCAGACAAGATCCCTGTCTTCGGTTTGTTTCTTAGTTTTGGGCCGCTAAAATTAATTTCTCATTGGGCCTTTTGGTATTTTGGGCCCACATTGGGTTGGGCTTTTCCCGACTGAGGAAGGTATAAAATACGACCACGTAATCGGGAGCGGCGAAGCCATGGCGACCACACGTTCGATCATCGTAGCACAAGCTCTGCCTGCGCAACCGTCCCCTCAGGCGGCGAACGCCGCGAAGAATGCTGGGATGGTGGGGATTCCGTCGAGGAGGCAGTGTTTGGTGCTGCTGACCTCCGTCGCGGGGATGAAGGCGATGGAAATGCCTTCGAGAGCCAAGGACATACCGCTGTTCGGACTGAGGCAAGGGCTGCGGAAGGCGGAGCAGGAGGCGGAGTTGATTGTGAAGGAAGGTTTCGAGACGGCGGATAAGGGGATTGTGGCGGCGGAGAAGGGGGTTGTCGCGGCGGAGAAAGGGGTCGAGGCGGCGGAGAAGGAAATTGAGACGATATTGAGCTTCGGCGGCCTGGCGCAGGCCGGAGTGGTCGCGGCGGCGGAGGTGCTCGGACTATTGATTGCCACCGCCGTCGTGAACGGAATTTTAGGGCCAGAAGCTCAGAAATCATGAGAACCATCACAACATTGTAAGTACCGCTGTTCTGCTACTGTATGTTGTTTATTGTTCCTGTAATTGCCTAAACCCTAAATCAATTGCTACGTATGCTGCTTATCGATTTCAATATGCTTATTGGAATTCGTTTAATCTTATATAATGGCAGTGCCTGAATCTTGAATTAAATTCTGCCAACGAAAGTTGCTTTGATTCTGAGTAATTTGAATCCATAGCTGAACCTGTATGCTAACACAAAATCAATCAACACAGAAGAAAACTGATTGTATTTAAGGATATTGATTTATCAGCAGTTGCCATTCTTGAAAATATCACCTAAATCTAATTGACCTTAGAAAAATCAGTCTCCAATGTGCAGCTAGTAAGTAAGAAAGAACATTGAAACAAAAATACATAATCTTTGGATTGATACAACACAGTGATGATATCTGTCCAAATTATTTCCTACTCCCGTATGAATTTCCTCTTGCTAATAGAGATCTAAGTTTCATGGCCATGCGAAACTGTCTCCCTGTAACAACCATGTCTCTGTAATCTGATGAAATTCTTGAGCATTAGAAGGGGACTGTGGTGGCAGGTTGGCCTGCAAGGTGTTGTTGACCTTGATCATGGCCTTGTGGTGGCGCAGCCGCCGTAGGACCTCCTGTTTATCCATGCTCTGTGAAGGAGATGGTTTCAGGAGGAGTTGAGTGGTGACTGATGAGCCTATGGATTCATTTATTCCTTGGCTGGTTCTTCCCTCCTCTGGGAATGATGTCTGGGTTTCAGACAAGATGAAAGCCATGAGAAAACTGCTTCCTTTCCCAGCTGAAACTAAATACTTATATAGATTCTATATAGAATATAGATGCAGTGCAGCAGAGAATAGCGCATCCCTAGTTGAGAGATTTATCCATTTATATAATGGTAATAATTGATTGATATGAAAGGTCGGATAGATTAATACTATTTCTGTGGGCTAGTCGAAAGTGACATAGTTTGGTCGCCATGGCCTTTGTTTGTTATTTATATTTATTGCGTAGATGGGTTTTCCTTTCCCAGGTGTGGTGGGTCTGCCTTTCGACTGCCCACTGATTTTTATATTAGGATTGGTGAATTGTTCCGAGTTTTAAAGACACTGGTTTTTGTCAACGAGTGTTTCTTTTCTTCTTCTTCTTATTATTATTATTAATTTTATTTTTTTTTTCATGAGATTTCAGCTTCTTAGACTAATCAAAGTGATTTTATTTTATTTTTGAAAGAATTTGTTGGAAGCTAAAGGTTTGTCTTCTTGTCGTTTGAAATATAATGTTATATAAGTTTTTGTTTAAATAGTACATAGCGTTGATGTTTTGTAAAGAAAAATATATTTTTATTAAAAATCATGTCGATCGATAATATTAATTTGAATTTTAAAAATAATGAAAGTGCATAATCTGAAAGTCATATAAATTTGAAAGTTAAGTATTTTAGAATAGTGTATTTATTTTCCATTTTTTTATTTTTGTCTTTTTCTAGGTTTTCATTCTTACACTGTCCATTTCTTCAAAAATATATTTTGTATGACTTATAACATAAATAATACTCTAATAATTATGTAATGATTTTTTTTTTTTTTACTATTTCTACTCAATTATGCCTTTAATTTTTAAATTTAAAAGTAAATGAAGTTATTTTATTTATAAAATATACAGTATAATATTATTAAAATTAAAGTAAGCTAAAAAAAAAACATAAATATTTCATTAAAATGAATAATCTAAAATAAATTCATTTGTAACTACAAGGACTCGACCCGAATATAGCAGGTCCGAGTTCCCACAGTTTAATTGGCAAACAGGTAGACACGACTTCTGATTTACTTCCATGCCCATGTGAGCTTCTATTTCCATCTTCTTTGATCTAACATATCACATTAAATGCCCCAATATATTGGTGATCATCAAAACCAGTGTGCTGCACCCGGTTTTGGGACATCAAACCAGAGGCCTTATTACCAACCATTTACTGTTATAACCAAGCCTCCTCTTGCACAATTTCTAAGCTAACAACTAAAAGAGGGAACTTCAACACTATACACATCTTAGAAAAACTAACTACAACAACCAAGTGTAATCTTACTTGGATTCGTTGTTTTGATCAAGAAAACTTAGCAAATATCCACTGACAATCCTTCGTGCTAACGGATGAGGGATGTTCCGACACAAATATCCGTCGATGTAGGCGACTATACCCGACAGGATAAACTTCCCGATCCCCCATTTCCACACAAACCCGCCTACCATTGGCCCCCCGGCGCCATCATCTCCGGCAGTGTCATCTTCGTCCCCCTTAGCTTTCTCCTTCCACTTGATTTTCGCCACAACCTTTCCCGACTGCTTGCGAAGCACACGAATTATGAAACTCACAAATAAGTGCTCGCATAGCGTCAGTAGTGTAGGCCCAAGTCGCCATTCCTGGTAGACATTATAAAAGTTTCATATTTACGAGCAGTGACATGTTCCATTAGGACATTGAGGAGAATGAATAAAGAAAAAGAAAAAGAAACACTTACTCTTTCTCCTCGGATGAGTCGGAGGGACTGACCAGTCGTAGGTTCCCCTTTCAACAAAGCTTTGCTTGCGAGGAAGCCCTTTACGTTTTCCATTATTTCATTGATGAGAGAACTGCTCGGAGGAAGGTTCTTGAGGATAACCTGTGCGGAGACACAAAACATTTGTCGTATCAATGGATATACAACTAAAGTTACATGATTTTGTTAAGGAAATGTGGGGACAAGATTTACCTGGTTTTCCACGACTCTCACCCTAAGATATTCTTGTTTGTACATTGTATCAAGCATTGCTTGCAGGTAACCCTCGATATATAGCTGCATCGTTTTAAGTGAATGAAACAAGATCAAGAAGAGGTCATCTATGGTCTCGAAGGTTTCTTGTAAATTTTTCTCTCAACTCACCTCATCAACCCCGGGGCTTCTGTCGAGCTTAATTTTCCGATCTGGGCCACCTTCCATGAAAGCATTACTGAGAACTGATGGTTCCATAGCTAACTTTAGAATCCCTTGGTGAAAGCCATTCACCTGCATAATTCCATAACAGTAAGTCAGTAACAGTCTAACATATCGATCCACAACGAGCATTGAAAAAACAATTAGAGGAGGGGGAAATGAGATTCACCATTCCCGTGAAACCACTTGTCTCGGCTCCTCTAAGAACAGAGTCTGATATTTCGGTGACAGCAGCAAACAGCATATTCGACCCTGCTGTTTTCAACTGCAAATGAAACGAATGGAGGAACTTTATTCAACTATAACACTGGAACAACAATAGATTAGCAGATAAGTTTAAAAGGAGAGGTACCGTTTTTCCCATATCACCAAAGTACCGCTTTGTTCCAGAAAAGCCTTTGTTGTCGATGAATTTACTGATGAGCTTGAGGGTGCCTAATTTATGAATTATAGATAAAATGCGGACCACATCAGAGGACCATTGAGAGTGATCCATTCATTTTCCGAAGACACAGTTACCAGAAGCAAATAACACTAATGAAGAGTTATCCAAGGGACGAAAGTTTAACACTGTAACATGTTTCTCTATCATCTTAGATATCTTACTGCAAGATAGACTGGCATACCTAATGTGACACCAGGAATGTTAAGCAAGCCATTTGAAGGGTCGAAAAAGACATCTAGCGATGATGAAGCAAGATCATCAAATATCGATGCAAAACCAGGCGGAAGCAATGGACTTCCTTTTGCAATATAGACTGCTCTCATGGAATACCTACAAAACTCAAGAATAAATAAATAAAGTAGAAAAGAGATTCCCAATATAGAACCTAAACCAGAACACTAATTAAATAGCACCACCATACCAGGAATAGTGTTGTGCGCATTTTATAGTCAATTCACGTATGGTTATCAGGGCATGTGTTACGAGGACTCCGTTGAGCTCGACAGTCTTTTTCTTAATTGCAGGCATCTACATGGAGAAGAAGAAATAGTATTTAGATAACAGCAAACAATTTAATAAACTAAATAATCGATTATTTGGCAAAGGATAGATGCTCAAAGACCTTAATTACACTATGAAGCAGTGATCTCAGAGTCTCCTGAGTTGAACTATATCTGTAATGTGCATCCCCAGGAAGGAAGCTCGCCACAATCTTCAAATTTGCATAAAGACACAAATCAGCCGCATCCCATTGTTGATATTAAATGTTTGAAGGGAGAAGGAAAATGGAAAGGCATAAGAACTCATTCAAAGCAAAACCAATATGGATCTCAAAACCTTTATAGGGTGGATCTCAAAATGATCAAAATAGTACTGTTGACGCGGAGTACTTGAATTACTGAGAGAGCTTCTCCAAAATGGAACAATTTTCATTAGTGTCTCCTCGTCAAGGTTCAAGTCAAGAGGCTGCAAGGAAAGGTTCTTCAAATTAAAAACGGGCAAATATATAATTCACCCCAAAGAAGTTACTTGCAAGTGGAGGTTTGAAGCACAAATCAAGAACAATGGACACACTTTTATGGTTACCTGCAGAACAATAGAAAGATACTTGACTTGTTTGACAGAAGAAACAGTTGGAAGCAAAATAACAGCAACATGAAGGATGTAATCATTTGCATCGGACTTTTCTAATTGATGCCTACGAAGCATCGTTGCAAAAGGAGCTCCAACCCACTTTTCATCCATGCTCAGTGACTGCATCATCATGTACTAATCAGTAAAGCATACAAGCTTGATAGATCAACTGCTTCAACAAATCTCAGTCCTCGTGACAAACCCAGTGAAGAAAAGAGAGGTATGAATGACAAAAACCGAACTCCTTGTACCTGCACCCTGATTTGGTTATATTTTTGCTGGTCATTGAATATAGCATCCCAGTTAATTCTTTCAAGCCTTGTAATAATTATCGGTGCATACTCAAATGGCTCTTCTTGAACAACCTCCTTCAGAAAATTACAGAAAACACGATTACGATTTGTTTACAACATTCAAGCAAAGTAGAGAATTAAGCAACTACTTCAGATAGGTTAAGAGGAATTCTACCAGAATATGATTGCTTTACATTTCATTATGCAATATCATATGATCTTTGAAATTTTGTAATTTCCCATTTTTACCATAGATGTTAGTGGCGCATGGAATGCTATAGCACAAAACTTTCAGGAGCCATCGCCACATAGTGTGGGGCATGCTTTATTGAAATGTGAGACCATTGCGTAAGCAAATAATATATATGAGTAATTTAATTAAAGGAAACACAAAACAGATTATAGAGTGTAGATAAATTTTACACAGTGGGAAATTGATATATAAGTTAACCTGCTTGGCATGCTCCAGTAAGTGGACAGAGAAATAAGAGATTCTCAGCCGCAACTTTGTATGTGAGCCAGAAAAAACCTTATTTTCCTTATGACAATCAGATAACTCACAAATCCTCAAAACTCGCGTGACACCATCTGCATATACTTCAAATCCCACCTTTACAGTCACTGAACCAAATAATCTACTGTAAGTAGTTCGTTTCTGTCCTTCAGGTTTCTTCTCCAGAGGTAAATGAATTCCCAGATCTCTGGCTTGCTTGTTACTATAAAATGGTTTCCATGACCGCACCTTATCTAAGTTTATCTCACGCCATAGATGCACATCTGCAACAAGAGAACCGCACAATTGCAGAGCAAAATAACTTTTTATTAACCTAACAAAGACCTGGAAAAATAGTTTCCAACTTCACATTGGTTTTGACGTTCCCTCCAAAATGATGATATTGTAAACACAATAATACAATCTAAGGATCAGTATCGTTTATCAACTTCACATGGTACCAATGAGTGCAAATGTATAGTCTCTCTGGAAGAAACATTCTTGATATCATCTAACTGCCATAATCTGAGAAGGTAATTTAACATGGAAATAATATATTTTTAAGCGAGGGAAGGTTGGACCTTAAACTGATATTCTAAACTTTTTAGCTTGATTGACAGAAATGCTTCAACAAATTTCTAAATTTAACTTTGAGATATATGGAGAAGGGCATGTGTGAAGTCTAGAGTCCAGACCAATTTTCAGTGTTATTGTTCATGCCATGCACGGAATGAAATGAGCGAGATCTTCAAATCACAATTTTCTTTTAAAAGATGCATTCGGTGCAAATGGATCAAGTACATCACAAATGATCGGGGAACACTTCCTCTTTTTCTCTTTTCCTGTAGTTCAGTCTATTGTTCTTCTGAACCATTTCAAAAAACGTAATCTATCATGAAATCATAAAGGTAAGTAAAGAACTCCACTGAAAAGTTTGCAGACACCATAAAAAAGAGCTTTAAATTTAAAGAGCTAATTAACACCTGCAAGTGAGTAAGCAACCATAGTCATCCACCTTTTCTCTAGAGTTAAACACCACTTTTAGATATTTAATGTTATTTTGCTCAACAGCCATCACAGTTGGATCTACTTCACTATTTCGATCATTCAATAGTTCAAATTGAATCTTTTGCTGATAGGTGTGTCAATCTCAATTCTATGATATCAACTCGGTAGTTCACCAATTAATGAAGAATAAGCTACAACTTCTAGCCATGAATTGTATACCCCCACGAAAAATCCCACTTAATTACGAATTTGGTTAGAATAGCCCCTAAAATAGCAAGAGATTCACAAGATCATCGCTGCATCATCTGTCCTTCTAGTAGCAATTGGTCATGTCCATCGTTAAAAATTCGTCTCATTATGTAGCACCCATAGGAAGTGATGCACCGATGTTAATTAAATCAAGCAAACTTGCATTCAAACTCAGAGTAAAGAAAGAAGATAAGAAATTACCAAGTAGGACAACTAGTTTGTGTGGAAGGGTCAAGTCATCCCAGGCATAAAGAGCACTATCCCCTGCTCCTAACGTCTCTTCAGATACAGAACCCTGAAAAAATAAATGAAAATAAGAAAAACAATTACTAGTCACGTACATTGAATTATACATGGCAAAGAAAAAACAGAAATACATCAACCTTTTGATAATAAGTTATAGGAGAATGATGTAATCCGTTCTCTATCCTGTACGGGAGGTTGGTGACAGGTGGTCGGTGGAATTGCAAAACAATAGCAGATCCTTCTTCCACTGCATGAACAGCAGCAAATTCACCTGAATGATCTTTAGACTTGCCATCAGATTGACTTTCAGGTAATTCCAAGGATTTTCTAAATCTCAGGAAAAATCGTCCCAGTGAAGCCACACATACTGGGCCTGACCATCCAAATGTGGTCCCACATGGACGAAACTGAATGAAGAAGGATGGGTCATTTTGAGGTTTGGTATGCTTTCTGAGAAGATTTTCAATAATGTTGGTTTCTTTCTTCTTTGGTAAAATAGAATTTAGCCTCAAAGTTGTCCTCTGTTTGCTGTTGATAGTGATCAACTCTTCCATCCCCTTCAAAAAAGAAACACACACACACACACACACACACACACACACACATATATATATATATCAGAGCAAAATAGAGGACTTCAATGAACACAAAATCTTAACTTTCTGTTAAAATATTTTACAGTCGGGAAATACCTCCATATAGCATTGCCGAATGGCAATGACACCTTCTGATTCATTGTGTATAACATATCTCGGATTCAGAGAAACCACATGTGATGAGACCTTTCCAGTCAACGCTGGCCTTAAAGACACGCCTAGCCTCATAATACTTTTCAATCCATACAATTCTTCCGATTTCAGGTCTATCTCTGTTAGACCAGATAATGCATCCAAGTCCAACTGTGCCTCAAGTTCTTTTTCCACCAAGAGTTTGAAGCACAACTTGTGGCATCTGGTCAGGAAAAGAATATCATCAAGAAGCTCCAAGAATATAATCCAACATTATATTAACTATCCCATTATAGACCATATTTATCTCACTTATTAAAATTATTATTTATTCCAGTCTCATTGAGTAAAATTTAGTATTTGGAATACTATAATATTTGGATTTATTAACTCAATCTCAATCTATTAAGCACTACTTGAAAACTAACACATTACGTACAATTTAGCATCTAAGAGAGAGATAATTACAGTGTGTGAAGAGATTCAGAGCTTTCGGGTATCAGCAGAAAGTGCAAAGATATGGTAAGGCAGTTCATGATAATTGATAATATTCAACATTGTAAGCTAAAATAATTATTAGGAAAATTTAAGGAATATTTGCTCCACGATCCTCTGGTTTCGGAAGATTGGCTATAATATCCACCCCCTCCAAAATTTCCTCAATCTTTACCAACAAGAAGTCTACATAGAAATGAATAAGCTGCACCTGTCTTAAAAAGGTAGTCTGCATACATATTTATTTTAAAGAAAATCTTAACATGCTCACACTAATGATTTTATCCAGCAAAATAAATAAATTAAAAATTTTAATATATTTTCTTAACTCTTTTTTTATGTGTCTTAAGAACAGAATTACCAATTAATTTCTTAAGAAGCTAGCTGCAAAAAAAAAAAAAAAAAAGATAACAGTTTACTTAAGAAACCAGGAAATTGTGGAATTAGCAGGAAAATATGATCCTGACTCCAAAGGAATATCAGCACCAAGTCTCTCCAAGTCAATCCTGCAAAACACCAGTTTCTTGTTCAGGACAAAATTGAACCCATAGTTAAAGCCTCTATTTTTATGGCTCAAATATCCAATACCTAGGTAAAGGCTTTTGGTTTGCAGGAATGCAAAATAATGGCTCGTTTATATCATTCCGCAAGGAATATGGTGTGAATACACCAGCCTGTAGACAGAATCAATGGGTTTACAATCTAAACATGTGTGTAATTAACGTCTTAGGATAATTACCTCTAATGTGCCCTGGGGCCCACGAGACAATCTAAGTAGAGCAAAATACTTCCCACCATCAAAATCCAACTCAATGTCCAAATGAGAGACATCATCTTTTTGTTTCTGTAATTTTCTGACCCAGTCACTGCTATTGATGGGTTTACATCTTGAACCGTAAGAAGTTAAAGTAACAACAAAAAAAATGGCAGCAGGGTTAGCATAAAATTTGGCAGCTGATCCATATGAAATTGTTGCTTGATTCCACAAACTATGACCGTCCGGGGTGTTGCCATATGGATCTGCAACAAGGCGAAGGTTAATCTATAATAAATATCAAACAAATAAACCAAAAGCCTTGAGATATTTTCTGCATTATTACCCTTATCAGTCAAACTGACATGTATATCCGTGTGTAATAAATTTGAAACCTCAATCGTAGGAAGAAGAAATATTTCCTTCTGTTCTTGCATTGCAACTGGTGAATTTCTATTACCGGATGCATACCCAAACTTATCAGGATTTACAACAGGTACATCCTTTCTAACAGTCTGTATCAAGAAATGTATGTTACCAATGAAGCCTTCTTCAGATTTGACAGCACAACTTGCACTGCTCAGTGAGATTTTTACTGGGCTGCGAGACAATGCCTTTCGCACTTGGTAACTCAATTTGTCAAATAGCCCAGATAGGCGAACAGGTTTTCCACCTTTTAGATCATCTGACCACTCTACTAATGTGTTTTTAAGTGTTTCCAACTTCTCTGCAATGTTGGGCCTGAACGAGAATACATAATTCCCTACAAATCATTTTTTTTTTTCTTAATTTCATGATTTTCTGTGAAAATGAACTAGTGATAAGACAGGCATATCATATGCATGCATGAAAATATGTACTGATGCATGGATAGTAACAATATCAGAGGATCCAAAAATAAAAGTACCACAAGAAACAACCCCTTATATATGGAAAAAAGAAAAAGTCATTCTAGCATCATCTAATAAAATATTAAATGTCCTCAAACTAAATCATACAAGCTCCCACTACTGACTCAGCATGTTATACAACAAAACTCATAAAACTATTGTGTATTAAGTAATACCAATATTCTTCTCACTATGCTTGTAACTACTAATGCCAATACTATATTCTGCTAATCTGTTTCAAATGTAACTTTATGGATCCAAGTACATAGCACAATTTTTTGCAAACAGTATATTAAGTCACATATACCTCATTAGCTGCAAACATAGGACACAAATTGTAAGGATCAGATTCAATAAAGCAGAAATAGCAGGCTATGCAGTCAATGGAAATATATCTAGCAACACAAACTTCCAGTAGTTCATAAATATCAACTTTATTATCATAAGAAGCATAAAAATTTACCCCCACAGAGATAAATTAAAGTTTCTTTGAAATGATGTCACTGAAAATATATATGTATATAATTTCTAGATGCTTATAAATTAATAAATTAATAGATTTAGAAATACTAAAAATCAGAATATATGTAAGCATTTAAAATTTAAGAAGAAATGTTCTCCAAATAATGTGTGATCTTGGTTCTTTCCAATTAAACATTCAGACTACTGTGGAACAAATTATTAAAAGTAAATATCCTCTAAGTGTTGACTAAATGAAGTACGAAGAAAGGACATACCAACACTTAAAGAAGTTAATGCCTTTCTTGAACCACCGGATAAGTCAATAGCAGTAAATGCTGTCACACCATCATCTATAATTTCTCCAGCTCTCAATATCAGGGAAGCAGACTCAGTTTCATCATGCTGAGATCTTTGAAAATGCAGCTCCATCGAGAAATCAGTTTCATTATATATCTTCAGCAGGGGAGAGACATTAATTGACAAGCCATCCTTTATGAAACAGATAGGAAAAGAAAACCCAAATCAATTTCAGCGACAGGAAATCATAAAATCATAGCAAAGACTCAGACATTGTTGGGAAATTATACCTCAATCCCCTTTGAAATGTCCACAACAACAATTGGACCAGGAAACAATTTTGAGTCTGATCAAGTACAGAAATTTCATCAACTCAAAAGACTTACCATTTAAGGTAACATGCATGCTTAATGAGTAGAGGAAAAGTAGATATTCGTCACAATTTCATATGATTTCTACCAACAGTGGTCATTACAATTTCTCTTGGCAATGTGAACCAAAAGCTTATTGTATAAAAGAATTTTATATGTGTAGAAGATGAACGCATTACCTTGCCTTGACACAATGCGTGTTCTCCAAGCAAATTGTTGAGCTTCTAAAAGTGATAAACGGATCGGAGAAGTTGAAAATTCTTGGCGGACAAGTTGTATTGAAAAGAAAGAAGCCTCTGGTGGTTGATTGTCCAAAGCTAGGTGCCTCCAAAACATGCCCATGAATCGCAAGAGCACAAATCAGTTGAAGAAATGAAATTGCAACCATGAAAGTGAAGAAAATAAAGTAAGCTATGTCAAAGACATCACGTTAAAAGGAAGAAAATTGTTGTTAAAAAACAAATTCAACAGTCAAAAAAAAAATCAATGTAAGTATTGCTTAATTGTTGTTTTGTTATCTAGCAATGCAGTACCTCAGAAGAAAATTAAACGAAATTCATCTGAACATTTAATGTAGTTACCAGATGGGATTGTTATATGCATCGTGCACATATTGTTCGTCATGGCCAAAATTAGAGATGTGTTTATCTAGTATTCTGTTAAAATATTATATTGGAACTAGGAATTGTTCACTAATCCTCATTTTCTGTACATAAAAGAATGCAACGACCTTAAAAGAAGCAATTATCCATTACATATTCAAACTGATAAAACTAGACCCAGATATCAATAACCAAGAAATAAAAAATAAAAAAATCCCACTGACGCTACCTTAAGAACGTGGAAGTTGATTGTCTTGCAGAAATCAATGCATCTTGATTATCATAGAACTGGCAAACAAGGGTCAAGCCAGATTTGTTTTCAATCTGCCAATGGAAACATCAGCTCACTATTCCACTTAAAGAAGAAGAAGATATCCCAGGCCCAATCAAAAGCATACAATCAAATTGACTAAGCACAGCATGAAGGATATAAATGAAATGGGAGACCAGATGGAGTTATCACAAAGCTTTCAAGATAAGATGCCACTAAGAAAGAAATGGGAACATCAAACATATGGTGGCCACGAACAATGCAACAACGCATAATAGTTTCTCTAACATTTCAAAGGAAATTAGATCCAATTTCTATTTTTTAATTCAGTAGAATAAAAACTCTGCTATGTTCGTTGGCAGTATCCAAACTGCAGTGGAAGTTTATTAATAAAACATTAGTTTGTTATAGAGCAAGAGCATGGAAATTGAATAATTGAGGTCGATTTACTGTTAGAGGAGGGAGTCCAAGTGACTAGAGCAACACTTAGCTAGAAACTTAGCTGCAGTATATTACAGGTTTTGACAGACATTCTAACAGAAGATGTGAACTTAATTGAACTTAGTAAAAAACAACTTAAGACCTAGGTTGCAACTGTGAATAGACAATTTGTACATAGGTTCGTAGACAGTAGATTAGGGTGGTTGGATACAGAGCAAACTTAGGCATGTTGGTGTTTCCAGGAAGGAAATCCCCTATTGGTTATCATTTGACTTTGCTTTTCACTTATGTTTTGGCTTTCACTGGTAGAATTTATCTTTTAACGATTAGCTACTGCAATATTTAGTTGCTTGCTTTGCTGCTAATTTATGGTTTGATATAATGACACAAGGGTAGTTGGGTAGATTCCAAACAGAAAAATGATCAAACATCATTAAGACTCAGCAAAGAAAGAAATATACAAAGGTAGGTATTATTTCATATATATATATATATATATATTCTAGTTAATGATTGTAGGTCACATTAGAAAACATGAGGCCACTTAGGTAAAAACACAAAGACACACACACAAAAAAAATTTAGGAATTTTCAAGAGAATTGCCATATGAAACCAATAAAAAAAACCGTACCAAAACATCAATGCAAGTCAGACACAAGTTCAGCTTAAGTACCTTGCAACAATTTGCCAAAACACGAGCATTGTTTACAGCATAGGGGCCAGCCAAATCCAACTTCCCAATCACAAACAGAAAGATATCTACTGAAAGTTCACTCAGTAATAGAGTCACCTGCCAATGACATGCCAAAAGTAATGGAAACATAACTATCATTATAATAGAAACAAATAAACAAAAAAGAACTAACCTCTTTAACTCTAGCATGGAAATGATTTGTAGCTGTGTTAGAGAGATTTTCTGTAGCCTTAACAAGAAATTTATGAGAGAAGAAAGTGGAGACTTCAAAAGGTTGAATCAATTCTTTCCTAAAATAACATGTGAAAAAAATAATTATATGAAGCATCTAAGCAGTCATAATATAGGAAAAATGCAAATGCAGAACTGATGCATGAAAACAGTTACCATGAGTTTTGCTGGGCTTCAAAATAATACAATGTGGTTTCAGTTGTGTTCATAACTCTGACTTTAGAATCAAGTATCTGTATTACAGTTTGACTGGGTATAATTGATGCCTGAAGAAGTGGGAATTTTTCTTGAGTATCTGATATCTCATGGACAACTGTCAAGATAACCTTGTCTAATGTAACTATGATTCCCAAAAGGTTCCCATTTGTCTTCAACTCTCTAGTTTCATCCTCTGAGGACGTACAAATTCCCCTTGGTCTAATGGTGGGGATGGATGGCTCCTCCAATACATTGTCATTCAATGAAACATCGTCATCAAACACCTTCCATTTAAAAACATTTCCAGGCTTGTTGACAAATTCTAGAGTGCCATCAACAAAGGCCACTGCATAGTCGTTTTTCTTATTCACAAGGTGAAAGGTTTTATTAGATAAAGTAGCAGAAGATTCCAGCTCAATAGCATCTTCATGGACACCAGGGTTAAAAGGAAGAGCTCTCCAAAGTGCATGCTCACTATCTTTAGAACTAGATACATCCACGAATCTTGACCTTTGGTGACAACTCAATCGCAATGGTTCCCCAGAGTTATCTTTAGCATACAAAGACATTAGAGAAAAAACAGGTTTACCTGGCTTCCATCTTCTTGGCTTGTGATACTTTACCTGAACAAACATTTTGTAGAAACAATTAAGTTCGTTACAAATCCCATTGACTTATTACAGAACTATTATTACCCATCAAAACTCAAATTTGTTTTACAGATTCTCTGTGGAGGGTTGCTCTCTTATTACAAATCCCATTGTCTTATTACAGAACTATTAGATTACCCATCAAAAAATCAAATTTGTTTTACAGATTCTGTGAGAGAGGAGGATTGCTCTTCTTTCAACCATCATCCAATTAAGAAGAATGTGCCAGGATACAATATAAAATAAACTCAGAGGATTTGTATGACAGTGAGCAAATGTGGCGGGGAGTACATTTCCACCTTCAGACCGACAAAAGATATGAACTGAAATTTCAATGTAAATAGATAAACAAATCTGAAGCAGCAAATATCTTGTTCAGATAGGGTAATTTCAATTCAAAAGGTAAACTAATCAGAACCCAAGTATATCACGTGAAGCATGCTTAGATAAATTGAACACCTCCAGAATTTAATCGCTCTTGAATGTAAAGATCGATGTTAAAGTATCTTACTCTAAAAAGAGCCTGCTCTCCCCCTAGTGAATAATGATTTGCCCCACCAATATCATATCCCCCCTCTGAACCTCTAACAGCCACATACATGTGTTGGTCAACATCTTGGATTGCAACAATTGTTCCTGTGAGATGTTGCAGGGGTGTCATTGTGTAAATTGTGAAAGGGAGCAATTCAACAAGGAAAATAACAAAGAAGAAGATATAACTAAATAAGTACCATCAGGAATGAATCTTTCTATGCTTCCTTCTGCATGGTTATAAGGCAATTGCCTGGATTCTATCAGAGAAGGTCCCTCTTTTATGCGGATATTAGAGAATATTTCAAAAGCAGTAAGCAGCATCTGTGCGAAAATTCTAAACGACATAAATCACATTGATCACTTACTAAGAAAAATGATGTAGAAACTACAAAGGTTTCAACAAAATGAGGAACCACAAAACATTGTACAACTTAATGTAATGATGAAAAGAACTTTCTACAATGCATAAATAAATCCTATTAACTTCTTACATGCCTAATAGAGAGCAGTTCCACAAAGATGCGTGATATACCGAAACATGTTTTCTTTGTCAAAATAACTAGTCATAATTGCAAACAATTTTCTACCATCTAAAGTTACAGATATGAAGAAACAACTTAAAGTTTGTTACTATTCTAATTGGGCATGTCAGGGCCATGACAACACAGATTGCAAGATATTACATTTACATTAAAGCATATGTCAGATAATATTTGTATCCATCAAAAGATTTTGACCTTTATTTCACAGAGAGAGAGAGTCATATCAAAGCCCAATATAGAACCATTCCCAACCCAAATCTGATTTGAGCATGCACGACTGATCTGATCTCTTGTCACAGGTCCATCAACAGCAATGGAACACTGCAAATCTTTCAGAATGTACTTCTGAGGACTTGCATTCAAGTCTTTTTCTCCTGGGTTGCTGATGGAAATATCAACATGAGAAATCTTCTGTGAGACAGAGGAACTTGTGCCACTAGCACCAGCCACATCTGAGAGAATGACATTTTATTGACCAAGAGCATATGGTCAGTTCTTATAAATCTGGGTGACGAGTCATTGGGCACAACAGCTGAGAAAGGACCATGAATAACCTTACCTATCTCTCCTGAGCTCCCATGCATGAATTGAGAAAGTATTGAAAACCTGGAAATGCTGGCTGAAATTTTTCTCACAGTAGTTGAGAGTTCAAGACTGGTAAATGAGTCAACCTCAAATAGAAGTTTCTGGAGTTTGCCTGCATTGCAGCAAACTTGTTTATATTATATCACAAATTCACTTTTTAACATATCCAACAAGAAATGAAGATGGCATACCAGATTCGTCTCGCTCCACAAGTATAAGAGAGAAATGCAGGACTTTCATGCAAAATGCTTCAAGAGAAGGCCATGTAATTTTTCCTTGTTGGACTAGTTGCATATTAACACTAGATTGACCAAGTGAAGAAGTTGTATCACTGACAAACTGAACAACACTAGAAGAGTAAATTTCTGAGATCCTTTTATGGTAAAAAGTAAAGCATTCAACAAGCATCATTGCAGCAGTTGCCTCAAGTAAAAAGGAAGCACCCTGCCAAGGAGCAACCATATCAGTCTTATCAATTACGGGCTCACATATTTATCATGCATACTAATTACAAGAACGATTTCAAATATATTGATCTGCCAATTAGAAATATAAATTAGCTGGAATATGACAAGCATAACACCTTGCATTCGCAGGAGATTGCTTTAATTTCACCACCAATAGATATAGATGCATTAGATTCCACAAGGTCATTGATCAAAATATCTTTCACTTCAGATTCACCTAGATAAACTTCAGAAAAGAGAATTTCTGCAGAGAACCAATGCTCCCCTGGCCTTTCAGTATTCACTGTCGACGAAGAAGCACCCCAGGTATGAGATGAAGACACACTAGAACCAGATTCTTCAGCTGCAGTATGTAAGTTTACTAACTGTAAGGCTTTCTCAGAGTTTCTCAAGAAGAAACACACTTTCCCATGATGAAGTGATGCTTCAGTCAAGAAATTTAAAGAGGATAATATATGTTTCAGTTCAGATTTATTGACAGTTTCATCAAACTCATCCAAATATCGAAAAATAACATATCGAACTTCGGTTGTTGCAACAGTACTATCCACATTATGCCCATCAAAAGTAAATTCCATTATTAACTTCTGAAAAGTGGCATAAATCCCATTCCTGTGGATGTCATGCATGGGCAGCTTTCTGCCAATTTCTCCACCAGTAGTTGCAATGCTCATATATGTCGCGAGACTATAATCTCTCCTGGAATTATGAATTACCAAGTCAAATGACCTAAGCTCACAAGCACACTTGAGAAAAACTTGAGGGTCTGCCACAAAAGCTATCTGTTCACTTAGAGCAACGGATGATTCCCCACCCTCATAATCAAAAGGACTCCACTCTTTGCTTGATAATCCTTCATTTACATCACGACCTGATCCATCAATAGTGAAGGCAAGTGACTCATCAAACACTCCAGCAATTATCTGGAAAGAAAATAATCTAAAGTTATGAAAGAAAATAATCCTATTCCTAGGGTAGAAATAAAAATCAGGCTATCCACTAACACTCCAGCAATTATTTGAAAAGAAAACAATCTAAGGTTATGAAAGAAAATAATCCTAGGGTTGAAATAAAAAACAGGCTATCAACTAACATTTAAAGCATCATCCAAAATGTATTACCAACAAAAGAAAATCAATTAAGAAAGAACTATTTTCCAGGATGCAGGAATACATAGATACATCAAGTTTAGAAGTACATTATGGAGACATATAGTAGTAAACAGGCAAGAGATTAAGCATAAGATGTACTTATACCATTGTAACATTTGCACACTGGCCACTATTGGATTCATTATCATAAAGATTATAAGTATGTCACAGTATCAAGTTCATAAAAAATGTTCAATTGTTTCCTTCAATCAAATTAAGGTAAAAAAACAGTGACAAATATATTTTATATGTGTTTGTGTCTTCCGTGTGAACAACTCAACACAATTACAGTACTTCACAAGGAAAAATATTCTATGTAGTTTTGTAAAAATGGCACACGGTAATCATTCACCTTGCAGGCACAACACTGTATATGTGAATAAAATGCATATATTTAAAGATAGGGAAGTGGAAGGCACTGAAAGTTCCCTAGCACATCCAATCATGTGATGAAAATTTTTTATAGAAGAAATATTAAGCACAGAAGTGATAAATAAACATATGCAATTAAGAAACCAAAAGTGGAGATGAATAAAGACCCCTGATTGAGCACACAACAGAATTTTTATTCCATGAATGTTATCAAGCCATTAGAAAATTTACCATTGCCAAAACATACATCTCCTCCAGAAACACTGAACAGTTAAAGCCCGTAGCGATCCAATGGGAGGCGGCTGAGACAGCAACAACAGATGAACTAAATGAATGATAATACTTCCTGCCATAGACAAGTAAACATGACATATAAGTAAACAAACATCAAACTAAATGGGTATGAACATCTACATAAGTATATTTGTGCCTCAGTTTAAAATGCAACATGTTTAAACCCTTTCGATGCCTTAATGTTTTGTCGTGTACTGCATGGTTACTCGACTTAGAAATGTTTCAATGAGAGCAAGGTTAACTACTACAGCAATTGACTTCCAAGAAACCAACTGGTAATTCTCATTAGGCAATAGGATATATATACATATAGAGGGGGAGGTGGCAGCCACTCATCAACCACTGAACTTACAGACAATCTACAAGATACGGGCACAACAATTCACCCTATGTTTCTATCGCATAATACACAATGCAAAATACAGAAGCTTACCTGATGCAACTAACTTGTGCAGCTGTTGACTTTATTATAGCAATATGGAGTTTTTGGTTCTCAATGGTTTCATCCAAGTAAACTTTAAAACCATAAGCTTTAAGGTATGCATTGAGTGGAATCCTCCCTTCACAGCTGTAAGCTCCATTATCGGATTTAAGGATGTCAATTTCTTTAAGTTCCTCCAATCCAAGATGCATTTCCCGTGTACAAGATTCAGTGCTTTCTCTTGAAAATCCAGCATGATCTTCCATAGTTGGTGATACCAGAAACTCAATGTTGCTGCTTTCCAACGAGAACTTCATGTGATGAGGAGAACTTCTAGTTTCAGAATGAAGCTGATTATTTAACAGAGATAGTACAATGTGAGGGCCAGCAATGAGAGCTGCAATTTCTACGCGCTTCTCAGGAAGCATTTTGACAATGTTCATTTCAATTTTTCTAGAACAAGAGGTAAATTTATCACCCCAATACCTCATGTCTGGACCCTCATCAGTCATTGTTGGCTCTTGAGAAAGAACATTTTTCCTCTTTGTGTTCTTGAGCATAGCACGCTGCATTTGTCTGAAGAGCACAATAGCTGAAGTGAAAGAATTGTGTTCCAGGTTGATGTTCAATTTACCAACAACCATGTAACTAGAATAGCTGATGTCATGATCAGTCACACAGCTCCGTGACTCATAAAGAATCCAGGGATCTTGAACATTCGGTATATTTTCTTCCTCAGATTTTGAAGTATTGTTCCAATTCAACCACAGTTTCACCAAAAGGCTGTCTAACTGAGGGATGGAAGACCCCTCAATATCATCAGTAGAATTAGCATCAGTAGCTTCATCATCAGAACCTCCAGGAAAGTAAATAACCTGTGCGGGATCACTCCATAAGACTACCTGCATCATGTCAACTTTCTTCTTCGAATGTTCCGGAAAGTAACTACCAGCAACAGCTTTTGCACTAGAAAAGGAATGAACCTTCCCAGATGCAAATGTCAAACACTGTTCAGATATATTTACTAGGTACCTTAAGAAGATCCTATTTACTGAGAAATGGAATGAAAGCGAGTCATGGAAGGGAATCCTAGAGTCTGGAACTGTTTTCCCCCTGAGAGGAGACAGTGATTTATTGTCTGGAGAAATATTTAAAGAAATTTCCTCAACTTTCACGATGACACATTGCTCTAAAAGGTTATTTTCATTACCATAGACAAAATGAGGATTACTTCGCTTATGAAAAGTTTGTAGAACTTTGTGCAGAAACAGGATCCGCATTAATGCAACCAACAATGTGCCTATCATTCTCAAAATAAACATGATTAGCTGACAGATCTTCGAAAAGGGTCTTCTATTGAGCAACTCAACATAATTACTAGCTCGGTCAGAAGGACCTGCTTCCAACCTGGAGCGAACTATTCTTCGAGCTACTGCAATTGCTTCAGCAGACAGACCTTTTTCAATTCCAGAAATCAACTTCCACTGAGTCCTAACTGACCTTGAATATGCTGCATTCTTAAACATGGAGGTAACTGATCTTTTCATTGCTGCATCTGCTGGGTACCCAACTAATAATAATATCCTCCGATACATATTAATATAACGCAACCATAAACATGCAATTGCAAATACTTTAACAAATGCTGTGCTAGATGTGGGAACTAGCGAACTAATTTTAGATGCCGCTATACTCCACAGCTGTTTTCCTGATCTGCGGACTTTTTGTTCCTTCGATAATAGAGCATACAACAAGAATAAGACAGAGAGATCTGCTGGAGAACATAAAAACTCCAATGACGGAAAATGAAGAAAGAAACTTAGCCACTGCAGATGATTCAACTTGACTAATGCATACACATTGGTTGCAGGACAAATGCAGCGACTGGAATCTTCAGTGTTTGACTTTATCTCAAAGCCATTAACATCAACATCAAATGAGCTTTCTTCAAGGGGCACAGAAAAGATACGCATTAACCCCCTCACAAATACTCTATGGCCTATTGCATGTGATCCAATACCGAATTTTTCCATGTACATCGAGCAGGAAACAGATTCAGGCAAATGAGAAGATTGCAGAAGCACGTGTACATCATGCAACTGCAACTTGCAATGTCTAATTACAGTATTTACAAAGGATGTTCTCCATGTTCCATTAGTGATCTCTGAAATCCTTTTAATTGCACCATGTAATGCATGACCCTAAAACATCAACAGCATGAATACCACATTTTAGCTTCAGACGTGGAACAGATTGCAAAGCACAATTTTTTTTTGCATTAAATTGTTTTCTTTGAAAACAAGATTTACAGGACCACTTATTCCATTTTTCTTAGCTCCTTAATTGTTCAACTAAAAAATGTTTAAAATACCTCAGGATCAATCTCTTGGAGAATCTTGTTCCTTTCTTCCACCGAGGTATCTCTTGGCTTCTTCTTCCACTTGACTCCTCTCTCATCCTCCTCTTCTCTTTCAAAACCAACAAAGAAGCAAAACAAAAGACAAAACAAAAACAAGAGAACTATCAAGAAACCATTAATTTGAACTGCTTTTGATTTTTAAAATCAAGGCGACAGACAGGATAAAACTTAAAGGCATACCCGAATCCAAGAACAACGTATAGGCCACGAACAATGAGAGTGAATGCAGCGGATGAAAACGGAGAGAAGTGCAGACTCATGTGCTCCACACTCGCTTCCTTGAAACAAACTCTTGACGGGTCGTCGAGCAATTCGTTCAGCGCGGAAATGTTGAAACTAACACTACTTAGGGCTCCGTTCAACCGGAAAAATCCGAGCTTCAATTCGAGGTCTGGGTCTCTCAGCCACGGCTGCAGCAGCGATGCCAGCCTCCGCTGAATGAAATCGTTGAAGAACATCGTCCGATTTTGTTTGTTCTCTTCACTCTGCTCCGAACCGAGAGAGGTTCTTCTTCTTCCCCGGAACAAAACAATTCAATTCTAGAAGATAGATAGTAGACAAAAAAGTCATCGGCGGCATTAATTCATGAACCCAACCAAGCAAAGAACAATCTCAATCTCCCCAATTGCTGCAGCCGGCTTTACGCATCCTCGTCCTTGGCGATCAAGATAAAAGTCACTGGCAAGCTGATTTCTCACACGTGTGCAAATTGCAATGCAATTAATGAAACGAAACGAATAAAAAAACATGATCCAGTTATTTTTTTTTTCTTACCGACATCATTCAATAAAATTTATGGCACCGCGTAACATGCAACAGTTTGGCCCTTCTCCCTGCCCTCCTTTTACTAAAATTTTATTTATACTTTAATTTGCAATTTATGAACTGAGTTTTTTTTTTCCTAAAAATATCACATTGTTGATGTATTTTTTCAACAGAAATAAAGTAAAATTCAAAGATATAGAAAATATCCTTAAACTTGATTAATTAGTGCCTGAGATTAGGAATCTCTAAACACTGTATGGTACAGAAAATAAACTGGAAAATAAAAGACTGAAATTTAAAGTGGTGATCCCCAAATCTGACTTTGCTTTGTTGAAGTTGATTGAAGATCCCTTGCCAAATGATGATCCAAATCCTTAAATATTCTTTGGGAAACTGTACTGAAAACCGTCGCCCGAACGGTTACAACATCTCCTTTCCAACCGTCTTCCAACCCTTCTCCTGCTGACACGTGTCCTCAGCGGACCAAAGTTGTCACTATATTTCACTCTTTGAGTCGACCACAGACCTTCCGCCCTTTTGGCCCGACTGCCACTCTACAACCGTATTGGTCCGACTGCCAATTGTCCCGACTTGCAAACCAATCTGACTTGTTTAGTTCAGCTACAGACCTCCCGACTAAAAGACCATCCGACTTGTTGGTCCCGCCGCAGAGTTCCGACCTGAAGACCTCCCGACCTGCGGACTTCCCGTCCTGATGACTTTCCGTCTTGATGACCTCCCGACCTGAGGACTTCCCGTCCTGATGACCTTCCATCTGGAGGACCTCCCGACCTGAGGACCTTCCGACCTGAGGTCTTTCTACCCTGAGGACTTTCCGTCTTGATGACCTCCCGACCTGAGGACCCCCCGACCTGTATTTTCCTTAGAAATAAACTCATTTTCCTTGAATTCCCCACAGTGTCCTTCAGCTAGTTCAATCAACTCTATTGCCAAGCCCATTTTCCTTTCACCTTACCCTGAGGACTTTCCGTCTTGATGACCTCCCGACCTGAGGACCCCCCGACCTGTATTTTCCTTAGAAATAAACTCATTTTCCTTGAATTCCCCACAGTGTCCTTCAGCTAGTTCAATCAACTCTATTGCCAAGCCCATTTTCCTTTCACCTTGGGCTTTTTAACCTAATTCTAAATTTCATACGTAACAACTTGCCCGCCGCCAAGGGACTTTCAAACGCCCTCTATCAATCGTCGTTTGGAAGTTCATAAATTACAATCCTCTTGAAAAACTCCCTTAGCAACTGCACCAGTTACTGCAACACTCCTGATTAACTTCCCTTCCTTCAATACGAGCCTTTGTGAATCACAATCTCAAACACTCTAACCATGGCGAATCGATACATTCCTGCCCTTCCCTTCGACGGAACTCTCCCAGAGGGTCCGTTTTCAGCCTCGAAAGTACTAACTCCAACCATCCGGCCATACTGCACTACTCCTGAAGACTCAAATCGGATGAGGGAAGTTTTGGAATCCCGAAATTCCCTGGCCGTCAACAACCCTACTTACCAAGTAGTTCGCATTCGAGACAGCATCAAAACCCATCTCACAGACCCAAAAGATCCGTATCGCTCTTGGTATCGACGGGTAGCAGAACACTTCCAGACCCAATGGCGATCTCAAAAAATCGACCAAGCGATTCTATTGTCCACCATGCCGATCAATCTGCACGAGAAGGTGCTCCTAGCCATGTCAGCTTTCTGGAATGCGGAAAATGGGACTTTTCTCTTACCGTCGGGCCCCTTTGGTCCGACTCTCATGGATGTGGCGATGATCGCTCATCTCCCAGTCGTGGGTGAAGACCCTGTGATGGGAGCCCTAGATGGGCAGGAGCCATCAGAAGACCATCCAGGGTGGTCTTTACAAGGCGTGAAGGAATGGGGCTGGACAAAGTTCGCGACCGACCAGCAAGGGGCTCCAGGGACCCCCGTAACCGACCGGGAGCATACTGCCTTTATTCTTTTTTGGCTTTGTAGGTACGTCATTGTTTCCCCTTCTAAATGCGTTCTTTCTTCTCATCTCGACCTGGCCATTCATATCGCGTCAGGTCGGTTCTTTTCTCTTGCCACTCTGTTTTTAGCCAATCTGTTTGAAGGACTCACTAGAGTTAGCCTTCGTTTAACAGATAATGATAATAGAAAATTAGACACTGCCGCATCGGGTCCTTTTTGGTTTTTAGAACTTTGGTTCCGTCTTTACTTCCCCAACGCGTTCACCTTAGGATCTCCGCCCACTATGCCAAAATCCGAAAAACATTTGGGATTGGCCCTCAACCGACTCTGCTTAGGACGTAATAAACTTCAATCCTCCGACCCAATAATAACCACAATTTTGACAGATACCCGCAATAACTCTCGATTTTATATGTATAAAAAATATGCGGGTTATGCTCCCGACCACTTTTGGCCCTTTCCGGCACCAAATCCTCTTCCGACTCCTGAGCCTTGTCCTCATCCCACTTATCCTTTTGCCTGGGACGTTGCCCTCAAACCCAGGTCTCTTTTTAGCAGTAAAAAACTTGATAAAAAAGGGCAAAAAACTTTTTGCACCTTTAATTACGAACCTCAATTCATGGCGCGCCAGTTCGGCTGCTGCCAAGGTATCCCTGGACCCGTCGCTTGTCCTCATATAATTTTTCAAAGTCCTGACCGACGAGTCCTACCTAATTCAATCCCTTCTTATATCTCCCAGCTCACCACGTATATAGTTTCCAATTCTTATATTCCTTTCCGCTCCAACCCTGAGACTGTAGATACATTCAATGAATGGTGGTCGGTTGTATGGCCCCTGATTTCCCCTGATGAGGATCGGTTGCTGAACGTACTCCTTCCCCCCCAAGGATTGGTTCTAGGGGCGGCTAGACATACTAGCACTCAGCAACAAACAGCCGCCCCGGGAATCGGATCTAGCGTCCCAATGCGGAAAAGGAAAACTTCCCAGTTGCAAACACCTCCGACCTCTGGGGCCGACCAGCAAGCTCCGGCGGACCCTGGATCTACTAGGACGTCAGCAAGGACCCGACCCCGAATAGGTAATTTTTCTGAAAACCATGAACCATTTCACTGTATCTTAACTTTGATTTCACTCATTTCATTCACCAGAACCGACCTTGGTAGCACCGACCACACAAATGATGCCAGCCCCAGCCGACCAATCAATCGCCCCTTTGGTCCAGTCTCAGCCACTTCCTCTCCAAACGAGCATTCGGGCGGAGAACCCGACAAGGAGGCAAACTCTTCCTCCCGTGCCGAGGAGCGGTCGGACCAGGCACCCGACCAGGAGACAATCTTTACCAGCACTGCCTATAGAACCAGTAAGTCCTCTCATCTGTAATACTTAGGATTCTAATGATCAACCTTGGTGTATTTTACAACAACATTTCCATACTTTTTACAGACACCTTCACCAATCACATCAGCAGCAGGGGTCTCTTCAGACAGCGAGGGGACTACTTCTCAGATGGGTCGACCACCATACATGGCATCAGACTCATCCATCTCGAAAGAAGAACCAGCTGCCCTTGCCGAAGCTGACCCTCAAGACAACATCCCTGCTGCTGCTGATCCCGAAATAGTCCAATCGGATGCGGCCGCGCTGGAAGCCGAAGGTACCTCAGCTGCGGCTATCCCAGCCGCTCCTGAGGTACCGGCTGCAATGGTCCAAGATGCAGCCGCCCAACCAGCAGTGGCCCTACTTCCAGCAATCGAGTGGCAGGCAGAAGAACCACCTGCGGCAGCTCAACCTCCAGAAATAGAAGAACTTTCTTCGTCCGATTCGGAGACTTCTGTGAATTTGGTAAGATTAAAACAATTCATGCCATAATATTTCTTCCTAAAACACTAACTGTTTTATATACTACTTTCCATAGGGACCCAGGTCAGCACCTCAACGACCACTCGCAGCAGCCGACGAGTCGGCTGCTATCATACCAGCTGTCCGCCCTACTCGACCGACCTCATTGTTGCCCCCTTCAATTACAGCAGTTCGCCCAGAGGTAACATATACCTTATTCAATCGTTCCTAAATAATTTTGCACCTCCTTTGGAAAACTTATTGAAACTGTAAAACTTACAGGAGCCTTCTGACTTAGCTATCCTATCGACTGTTCCGGTTCCAGCGGAAGCCCAAACTATATTCACCGAGGCCATTAACCATCCCCTTTCAGAATTAAGATCCGACTTTTTGGACAGACTCATTCAGACGGTTGGTGGCCTTCTTTTTTACACTCCGACGGAATCGCCAGTCGTCCCCATTCTGCATCGGCTGATGGAGAGACTTACTGAGCTCAAGACTGAAGTGCTAGTTATCGGACTCCTGTCAGCCGAAACGCCCCTGCCTGCTTTTGATCAAACGACACTGGAGAATTCTTTGGCTAAGACCCGAGAATCCCTTCAGCAAACTACTGGAAGGTTGGGCGGTCTCCTTAACACGAAGGCTCTAGTTGACGAATCCATTCAGAAAAAGGAGGCAGAATTGCAGGAGCTAAGGAAGGAACAGTCCATCCTGGATAATCAAATTGCCAATGAGCAGCGTCTGCTTGAGAGATATACAAAGAACGAGGCCGAATTGGATCAAGAGCTGAAAACCCAAGCTCGATCTCAATTCATCAGAAGATATCAGACGGCTGCTAATACCAGAAGGCTATCCAGGGATGAAATCAAATGGACAAATATAAAAACTGCCCTTGGGGCACTTTTGTAATACTTCCCCCTCTGAAACAGAATTTGACTTAGCAATATATTTTTCCTTCTTTTCTCAAAACAAGGATCACCATCCAATTTCCAACTTTTAAGGAACCGAAACAAACTCCTCCCTTAAAAGAACAATGTTTCTCACATATTAAGAAACACACCAAATTCCAAGGCATATTCTGAAAATCAAAACACTTGAAGTGTTAACAAACATGGCGA